CTGGTTGATTCAAAAGTTATGTTGTTTTTGTTGTTGTTGTTGTTTTTTTTATTCGTTACATATAACACATTAAACATTGAAAAGTGAATAAAGCAAAAAAAAAGTATTTTGTGCTTATATTATGGAAATTTTTTTTTGTTGTTGAATTTTTTCAAAATATTTTGCCAAATACACACACACGCACACACACGCACAGATAGAGAATGGGAAAAAAACTTTGGTTTTCTATTTTATATTTCATTATTTTTTTCACATTTGAAAATTTTTAAACCAGAATTTATTTTTCTTTTTTACTTGATTCTAGAAGAATCTTTCAAATTTATAAATTCATAGAATTGATAAAATGGAACAATAGATTATTATTTATATAAGAATTAAGAATATAAGTAATTTAAAAGTGAAAATGAAATTAATATAGATAAAGCAAAAAAAAAACCATTCGATTCAATTATATAATGATAAGTATATACAAAAATAGATCAATATAGAATAGATTTCGCTATAACTATTATTCGGTCCGTAATTGTAGGTTTTTTGTTGTTGTTGTTGTTGTTGTTGTTGTTATCGACATAGGCTTTGTGTTGAAAAAACTATGGCCCCATTACAAATGAATGAACAATTATGATATATATGATGATGATGATCATGATGAACGAACAAACTGATGATGAGCTCTGTTGTGCCATGTCCTTGTATTTAACTTTCAATATTCTGTGTGTATTATATATACACAACAATATAGTGTTTATTTTGCCATTATTTTATATATTTGTTTCTAATCTATTATCTTCACCGGTTTTGATGTTGTTGTTGTTTATTTTTAACTTAAGATCTGAAAGAAATTATGGTCCACTTGAAAATGAAAACATTGGCCATAGAAATCTCTTTTAGTAAATAAAAAAAAAAAAAATGTCCCCAATGTTATTGTGGATATAATCGAGAATTTAGATCAAAAATTCATAGTAAATATCGATGTTTATGAAACACATGGTAATTTATGCAATATTTTTTTTTCTTCAAAAATAGTACAATTTTTTTTCCTGATTCTTATTGTTGTTGTTGTTGTTGTTGTTGTTGTTTCAATTCTTTTTGTTTATTGTTGTCGGATAATAATGATGATGATGATATTTGAATCAACGATGACATGAAGAAGAAGAAGAATAATAAAAAAAACAAAGTCAATAAATAACTATATACAGACAATAGAATTATATTCTCATATATTTCAGTTGGACACACTAGTTCTTATTTGAAATAAAAGAAAAAAAAGGACATTGAATAACAAATGTAGTGTCAAACCTTTTTCTTTTCTAAAGAAAGAATTTCTGTCTCTCCAAAATAGCCATTCATTGAAATGGTGAACATTCGAATAAAATATCGTCTTTTTTTCACTAAAAAAAAAATAAGAATCTTTATAGTGAATGAATGAATGTGGATACACTTTAAAGATTGACTTCGCCCAAAGAATAATAATAATAATAATAATCATAACAGAAAAAATAAAAACTAAGGCTTGGCAATGTAACTGAAAATTTTTTTTTTTTGTGAAAAAAACGTGAAGAATTTAAATTATAAGTAAACAAACGGGAAAAAAATGTGCAATTATGAATCAACAAAAAAAAAAAAACAACAACAGCAACTGTAAAATGGTCGAACAAATAAAAACATAACAACAATAACAACATTCAATAATGATGATGATGATGATGATAATGGACAATTGTAAATTATATACCGACCGACCGTCATCACAATATGGACGGTAAATCTTATATCGTAAAAACATGATAAAAATAACAACAAAAACATTTTTTTCATTTCAGATATTGAAACTTTTCGTTTAGATTCTTACTGAAAAAAAAACAACGGAAGTAATATCAATTTTGTAGCTATTGTTTTCTCCATACGATGACAACAACAACATTTATCCATGATGATGATGGATATTATTAACGTCAATAATGTGTTTATATATTATTGTGTACAAGAAGTTGAACAAAAAAAAAAAAAAAGGAAAAGGTATTCAACCACTTCCCAATGTTCATCAATTGATGAACATTCCAAATATGGTTGAAATGATCAATTTTCTTTTTTTCCTCTTGATGGTTACTTATTTTTGGCAAGGAAAAAAAATCATCTCTAATCATCTCTATCTCTATCTCTATAAAGTATTTCGGTAACTGCAACTTTTACACTCTGCAAGTGCTTACACTGTGTTAACAAAACTAGGTACTTGATGCGGAGAAGCCGAACCGGCCATAATACTTATTTTCAATACAAACATAACTATTTGGTATGTAGCTTTTTTTCATTGTTCTAGCTAAGCACACGTTGCTGCAGCCTTTGCATCCAATAGATGGTGCAGTCATTCAATAGAACATAGAAAGAGTTCGAATTTTGATAGTGACACACGTGATTTTCATTTTTATTCCGATTCCGAGTTTTGTTTTCACCACACATCATCATCATCATTACATCATCCTGATTTTTTGATAATTTTGGTAATTTATTATATTGGTAATTGGTAAGTTATATATTATTACCTGATGATTTCATGATATTATTGCTGAAATTAATAAATTTTTTTCAATTTTTCAATAATTCGAAATCCAATGAAAAAAAGTAATGGAACCCCAACCCCAACAACAACCACAACCAAATGATGATAATAAAATTAATATCAATAATAATGAAAATAATCTTCTTCAACATCATCAACAATATGATGTTGATTATCAACATCATTATATTGTTAATTATAATAATTACTTACAATTGCAGTTTCAGCAGGAGCAACAACGACGACGACAACAACAACAACAACAACAACGACAAGAACAACAACGCAGTTGCGGTCAGCAGGAGCAACAACGACGACGACAACAACAACAACAACAACAACGACAAGAACAACAACAACGGCAAGAACAACGACAAGAACAACAACGACGACGACGACAAGAACAACGACGACGACGACGACGACAAGAACAACAACGACGACGACGACAAGAACAACAACGACGACAACGAGATCATCATCAAAATCAGATTATAAACGACTTGATTAGAAATTATTTTTTTTACCAATTTCATAATCAACAAAATCGTAATCGACGTAATCGAAATCTTAACAATCGTAATGGTAATGGTAATCAAAACCGAAATCAACAACAGAATGAAGATATAAATTGAATGATGAATGATTGAATGAAGATGAAGTTGATTCTTTTTTTTCTGTTCTATTTCTGTTTTATTTATATTTATATATAATAATAATAAATAATAATAATAATATAATATAATAATATACGGTACCAAACCGAAGGCCGTCAGGCACGAAGCGTTAAAATTGACACCTTTGGTCGGATACCAAGTAGGGGGGCGGCGCAGCCAAGGAGTCAGCCCAGCAGAGCAAGACAGGCGCGAAGCTCCTGTTCCGGGTTTGTTATCATTATTGTGGCTGTTAACCACATAGTTCCGATTCGATTCGATTCGATCCAAATCGATCAATTTTGGTTTTGTTTTATTCTGCTGCTAATAGCACTTTTTTTCTTTCTCCACTGATAATAATCGATAGATCGAACTATTTCGTGTTCCAGGTGATTGAGAATTGAATTGAATTTTGTTTTGTTTTTCTAGATCAAGATCGAAACATACATAAATTGAATACAACAACAAAGTATTGCGGTAATACACATTTATCGACAATTTATGTTGTTTCTACCTTTGGATGAATCAAAAAAAAAAAGTTTGAGTAAAACAACATCTGCACTCACACACACACACAAAATTGATTCAATATATCAATTAATCGATATTGGATATCATTATTTTCCAAATAACAGGAAATAATAATAATGGTCGATATGATTATTTCTAATAAGAAAAAAAAAATTTTTGGCTCAATTTACATTGATAATGAAACAGTAAAGTGATGATAGTGGTGGACAAATGGTATAAATTAGTAATACGAAATTGACAACATAAACAGCAGAACTTCTACAGAAGAGAACAAAAAAACATCTAGTGTTGACCACAAAGTTTATAAAAATAAAATCTCTCTTTGTGTTTCATTGTTGAAACTTTCATTATCAGTTGACTTTTTATACTTTTTCATCTTCTTAAACACATTGTTTTCATCGTTATTATTATGGATTTTTGTGTTTCAATATAAATTTCCGAATAATTAAATTAGATTTATGATCATGATGAAAAAAAAGAAGGTTTGTAAAAAAAAAAATGCAGAGATTCTATTATTCTTTTCTGTCGTTGTTCTCGATGACCACAGTCAACCATATCTATATGAATCATAATAATAATGGTCGCACAAAGCCAAAAATAATATTGTTTTTCATTTTTTATTTTGTTTTACAAAAAGCTTCAAAATTTTCATTTATCCATTGCCATAATACGTCACTATCAACGAAAACGATTTAATTATTTATAATTTAAATTTAATTAAAAAAATTTTGTTTGCTAAATTTTTCAACAAAATTATTTTTTTTTTTTTGTTTCTTCGTTTATTTATTTATTCTGGCCATCTCTCTCTCAACACACAAACATATACTACAAGTTGGATAGAATTTTTCTTTTCTTTTTTTTTATTTTATAATTATAATCAAAAGCGTATGCTCGTCAAAAAAAAAAAAAAAAAAAAAAAAAAAAAAAAAAGAACCAGAAGAATTGAAATTGTTTGAAAGAAATAAAGAAAAAGATAGCAGAACTTATGAAAAAAAAATAACAGTAACAACGAAAACAAATGATGAACAATAAGAAATCGTTCAGGCAGAATTTTGTTGTTGTTGGTTATATTGTGCCTTTTATACACTCTGTTACTCTAATAATAATAACAACAACAACAAAAACTTTGGATCGAACTTTTTTCATCAAATTCCATTCATATATTGTTTATAAATGTGTGTGTGTGTGTGTGTATAGGCATTTCCGATGTCTTCTTGTTGTTGTTGTTGTTGTTTCCTCTTTGTTTCATTTGTAATACTTTACTATGTTTTTTTTGTTGGTTATGGTTTGATGATGAGGGCATATATACACATACTCGATGATGATAAACGGTCATTCAATAGTTTTTTGTTAGTTCGTGTGTTCGTTGAATTATTTAGAATGTTACTGATGACGATGATGATGATGATGATGATGATGATGATGATAATGGTATAGGAAAAATTAAACGACGAAGAAAATGATGATGATGATGATGATGATGGAGGAGAGAATGTAGAATTCTCTGTTATCCAAGGAGTTCAAAGGAATTGTTCCAAGAATATTTTGGGTGATGATTTTTGATACATTTTTTTTATTGTCCATCTTTGGTATACACACACGCGCTCCTTGGAATTTTATTTTCGCTATTATTTATCATTGAATATGAAATAATCATCTTTCATTTCAAATGTGGCTTGTTTTTGACAATTTTTTTTTTCTTTTTTTTGGTATTCAATATCGATTCCAAATACAATATTGATTCTTTCTCTGGATATGTGTGTTTGTGTGATGAGTGATGAATGCTCAATGTTTTTTTTGTTTTGTTTTGTTTTTTTATCATCATTCAATATCAGTAATAGATGAGTGCATCTCGTAACAACATTGTGGACAACAAAGCTAATGAAAATTCAATGGGTGCTAAACCATATAATAATGGATCAATATGATATTCATGTAACATTGATAATAGCCATGTAAAACCTCTTAATATGAATAATGACCAATTAATAATTGTATGTGTATATAATAATCGTCTATGATGTTTGATTGTAGCATAAAGGCCACTTAGTCCAAATAGTAATCCTCCTATTTATAATGAATAAAAAATACATATTAAAAATAAAAATTTCAAAATTGGTAATTGGTAGTAATTGGTAAATAATTTTTTTTCAGAATATTATTATTTCATTCATACAATGTATAAACTAACCTGCAGATAATGTAACTAAATGTCCACCCAAAATAGTGCCAGTAAAAATATGATCAAAATAATTGAAATAAACATTTGACCATATTAGACCAAATATTGATGTTGCAACTAATAATGTATGTAATAATAGAAATAATGAACGACATAATGTAATCATATTACTATAGGTAAAACATTGAATTGGATTACAACAATTCCATAATTTTATACAACATTCTGGTGGACATTTCATACATTTGTGTTGGCCATCACCACAACAGCATTCACTATTTAAACAATAATAACAACAACAACAGCAACCATTTTGGCCAATACATTCATCATCCGGATCATCACAGCATCCATTTGTTTCATCTTCAAATGCTTTACACATTTTTTTTGTTTGTCTTTGATTTTTTTTTCTGTTGTTGTTTTTGAATTAATTTTTTTTGTTTCGTTGAAAATAATGAGAAAAATCTTTTGATTTCAAACCGAATGAAAAGTTTTCTATAGTTTCAGCAAAAAAAAAACTTTGAGACTAAAAGAAAAAAAAGGAAAAAGAATGACAACAAAATTAACATTTAATATTGACATCCATAACAAAAAAAAATTTTTTTCCAACTTCTGTAACTTGTAATTTTACTGGTGGAAATCACTGGATCCAATTCGATTACGATATTCGAAACGTTATGGATTTCCGGAATTTATACACTTTTTCCTGTTTTGACAACCTTTATAGACATAGATACCACCTTATCATTCGGACATTTAAGCATTGTGGACACATCATGCATTTGTGTGTTTCGTATATGACAAGCAAAAGAATGAATTTCAAATGTTTCAAATTCAACAAAACATAATACACAGACTACAATGACAATGAAATGTAAAAGAATTTTTCGCGTTTTTTTTAGTTACTCGAAGATAAGCTTCAAACAAACAAATAAATAAAAAATGTGGACAACACAACAACAACAACAACATCAACAAAAAATTATGACATTTAGCCTGGTACGACAGCTAAAACAGCGAAAGAAACAAAAAAAAATCAAAAGCAACAACAAAAACATTGACAATCACAAGAATTGAACAAGGGGTAGTGAAGAAGCAAAAAAAAAAATTGCCAAATGTCAAATGATTTTGTATTTCCAAAAAAAAAAAAAAAAAAATTTATCTTTCATTACGAATTATTTTACTTCTCGTTCAATTGCAAACAATGTGCCACAATATTGGTGATGATGATGATGATCTGAATGGAGAAAACAATGACATTCTCCACTAAAAAAAAAATTTCTATTTTTGTTAAGAAAATCGACACATATCACTTATTCTGATTGTGTCATTGATGTTTATAAGTTGTTAATTTTATATATCTATCTCTTTATTTCTTCTAAACACAATTGTTGTTCTCTGTTCATTGATTCTATTCTAAACATCACCATTCATTTCATTGATAATCTTTTCTTGTTCTTTTTCTTCTTTTTTTGTTCCATTCAATTTAATGATAATGTTTTCTTCGGGTTATTTAATATTGAATATATCAATTCTATTACTACAATAACATTTCTATATTTTTCAAAACGTGAGCACATTGTGTTTGAAATGGATTTTTTTTTCACTGATTCTTTATCTCATTGCATAAAATAAACATTTTGGGAACTTTAGAATTGATGATTGAATTGAATTAAATCACAAAGATTTTTTTCTTTTACAATAACGAGATTCTTTTGGAAGACAAGAATTGCTGTCAAAAAGAAATGTCGTCGTCGTCGTCGTCGTCGTGAAAAAAAATAAATTTTAAATGTTATGCAATTAAACTATTTTTTTGAATTATGATTAGTGTGTGTGTATGGAAATAATCGGATATTATCAACTAATAATGAAAATCATTTCATGCATTAATGAGCAACAAAGAATTGTAACCAGCAAATATATAGCCTGATAATTTTGGTTATGAGAGATTAAATGAATGAATGATTCAGCATTTGAATGAAGCTCATATTTTCAATGATGGGATAATGTTGAGAAAAAAAAACCAATGATGTAACCATTACATTTATAATACATACATTTGAAATAAGTGAAGCGAGAACCAAAAAAAAAAAAAAAAAAAAAAAATCCAATTCAATTCAATTCAATCCAAATCAAATCAATGGATTGAAATTGAATTGAATCAAGTATGTAATAATAATAATGATCGCGTATGATAATTATGAATTCTGTGGAATTTCGTTTTCGTCCATTAAATGATGTTTTTCAATGATGATGATGATGATGTGAGATTCTTCAACATTTCCGATTGATTGAATTAGTCTGAATGATGATTCAAATGATGGTTGTTTTTTCTTCACAATGTTTGTCTTGTCAATTTTATTCATTCAGTCGTTTTTTTTCACATTGAACATATTTCTTATTTTTTTCCGGAATTCATAAAAAAAAACAACAAACAATTTTTTTAAACCAAATATATAAAGCACAGCAACACAAAACAGGAAATGTGTGTCGCTAGACTAAATGAACAAATTTTTAAAGGCGTTGGTGTTTGTTTGGTTGGTTGGTGTTTTTTCAGATTTCATCATAAATGAATGAACGACTTTTTCGGATTTGTTTTTTTTTCGTTTGTCTTTTGATGATGAACCTATGATACAAAATCAACGCGCAAACGTCGAAAAGAAAAAAAAAATTGATCACATTTTTTTGTTGTTGTTGTTGTTGATCCATTCCACAATCAACAACAATTCAGGTTTAAGCTTTATGATAATAATCTTTAATGATAATAAATGAAATATTTTGTCTCAAAGAAAAGAAAGAGAAAAATTCTCGACCGCTTTATTACATTCCATGATATAAATATACCACCGCCCAGAAATTCTGTTTGAAAATATGTAGTATGAAAATTTTTTTTTGTTTCCTGCCGTTTGTTGTTGTTTTTCACATGTGATTATCATCAAACATGATGATAATGATTGGTGTAGGAAAAAATTTGGAAAACGCCTAGCAAAAAAAAAAACGGATCACATATTGAACTTGCTTTAGATTTAATCATCTAATGAGGATAATGTGTGTTACACAGGAACAATAGATAATGAGATTTTTTTTTCTCATTCTTCAAATACAAGATCCAATAGGTATATTTGAATTCATTCATTCGATCCATGTCAATGCACAATGTACTGTAAATGAAAAAGAATTTCATCAGATTTTTATTTTGATTGATTGAAAAAAAAATTGAATTTCATCGCCAATCGTGTATATAGGAATCGGAATAATAAAAAAAAATATATATCGACTTTCGAATTCGTGTGTGATAATAAATTCTTAAGACCAAAACATGTTCACAGTAGATATATGGTATGACTGGCTGATGAAACTTTCAAATTTCAATGATAGAAAAAAAAATGAAGAAAATTGATGAACACCATTCGTAGATGTCAACGGAAAAAGAAGAAAAAAAAACAGAAAAAAATTCCAAATAAATTCCATTTCAAATTCATTTTAAAGGTCATTTTTTCCATCTCTCTTTTTTTTGATTTGATTAGATTTTCGTTCCATAGAATATGTTTTTTTTCTGCAATTTTTTTCCAGGAAATAATGATTTTTTTCGTTGAATTTTATTTCCAGTCTATTCTTCTTCCTATAATTATTTTATGTGAAAAATTTTCTTTGATAATGGTAATCATTTTTTCTCGGTTTTCTTTTTTTTTTTGACAAGATGAATCTTGATGATAAAAATCATATTATGGAAGTGATGATGACCGAAAGCAGAAAAAAATCGAGCCAAATAATCCAAATCAAATGAGAGAGAAAAAAAAATTTCTCTGTAAATAACAATAATCTGTTTTTAGCTATGGATTATATTCAAGAAAATGGCCAATAACAACGTATAACAAGAAATCAAGATTAACAAATCTGTAAACCAAACTAAAAACTGAAAAAAATCTCAGTTTAGAAAAAAAACAATGATAATATCATCATCATCATCGATGAGCAACAGAAAAAGCGACGTACTAAAGATTTTTGTCGTGATTAAAGATGTTATCACAATTGCCCATTATATATGGCACGCTTATAATGATAAACAGGTATTATTTTTTTTCTACTTATCGTTTGTAACAGTTATTAGTTTTTTTTTAACAAAATTGTTGATTACTTACCATTGGTCATTATCATTATGATGATTTTTCATTGTCTAATTATTTGCTTACATCAACATCCACAGCCATAATACTGATATTCGTTTGAAAATAATTCAGCCATGTTTGAGACAAAAAAAAATTGAATGGAATTGATTCAATGATTATATTTATTTGAAACAACAAACAAAACAAAGCTGAATTGATGATGTATTGAATTTATGGGTTTTTGGTTGGATTTTTTTTTCTTTTTCTGTCTTTTGAAAATGAAAAATTGACGCATCAACAATTTTTTTTTTTCGTTGGAGGAGCTAAAAAAAGAAAAAGAAATTTGTCAAATGAATGTCTTGTGAAAACGATGAACAAGAGAAAAAAAAACATGACAAGCTTGAATTTACATTCCAGTTCCGGGATTGTCATTCAGATCAATCCATTCATGATGATAATATTCAGATAAAAAAAAGAAATATCGATGCTACAAAAAAAAATTGTATGAAACGATGAATAAAAATTGACTTGTCAAAACGAAAAAAAAGTAACAATGTTTTTTTCACATCATATTATTATTATCATCATCATCATCATGATGAATTTCACTGTCAAATAACCATCATCATCATCGTCATCAAAAAAATCAGATTATCCAGATATATTTGTTCGAAAAATTATAATCGCCTTAAATCAGAACTTAATACAAACAAAACAAGTGTTCGAATCGAATGTTTGAATCAAGAGTATGTATTCATTCACGACATTTAAACATTTCGATTCAAACATTTCACACTTAGGTGTTGATATTTAACCTGTTTTTTTTCTATTTTTTTCTGTTTTGCTGAAAAAAATACAAATAACAAATTGATACATCATACGTACACCGACATATCATTTTGCCATCGATCATTCACATACACAACCGATCTTGATAATATTTTCATCTAGCTTTGAAATGAATGGTTGTACATCAATCTAGATATCATCATTACAACAATCGATATGAATTGATGATAATATTGTTGTTGTTGTTGATGATGATAATACATGATAACGATGGTCATAAATTATGGTCTTTAAAACTTGAAATGAAAAAAAACTTGTTGTTAAAGGCAGTTTGAAAGAGTTTTTTAAAAATTTAATCATCAAAAAATTAAGAATCACTTTGGATAGTAATGGACGAAATTATTGATTCTGTAACAATCGATATTTAAATTTTTTAAAAATATTCAATCAAGATTAAATATCCGTACGGCATTTAGATGAAACATTTTCTGTTTCATTTCCATAGAAAAACGATCAGATGAATTATCAATCATTGAACCAGGAGAACTTTCACCAAGTTTGAATGGAAAATCTGATCCAAGTAATAACGAATCGCATCCGAAAAAATTCAATGCCAATTCTAATGCATTTGGATCATGAAGTAATGTATCGGCACAAATATTTGGATTTTTTTTAAGATAATGGGTAGGAGTTTGAACATCGTCACGCATATTTTCTGGATAAAATTTAAATGCTTGATCGGCTCGTTGATTGATATATGGTAATGTTCCAGCACCATGTGCAAGGATAATCTTCAATCGAGGATGACGTTCTAAAACACCGCTAAATGCTAATTGTAATGCAGCGGTTGAAGTTTCGGCAGTCATGCCAATAATATATGGTAAAAAGAATTTATCCCAACGTTTAGGCTTAACCATATTCCATGGATGAATAAACAATGGCATATTATAATCAGTGGCTGCCTTCCAAAATGGTTCGAATATTGGATCATCCAATGATTTATCATTAACATGTGTTCCAATGATGAGACCTTTCATTCCAAGTTCAGATTTACAACGAATCATTTCTTTAATAGCAAGCTCAACGTTTTGCATTGGTAACGTTCCAAGACCAATTAATTTATCAGGACATTGTCGTACAACGTGTGTAATGTTATCATTTAAATATCTTGATACAAATTCATTATCTTCACCTTTTGCCCAATAATTAAATGTAACAGGTACGGTTGAAATAATCTGTTTGCTGACACCTAATAAATTGAGAAAAGAAACAAATCACTAATCATCATCATTAATTTTAATTTGATAAAAATAATCATACCATTTTTTTGCATATCCATTAAACGTGTCTGAACGCAATAGAGTCTTTCATCAACATCTCTCATGAATGATCCATCATCGTAAATAAGTTTAGAAATTTTTTTACCATTCGAATCGATCTTATGTTCCAATTGAACCCAACCAGAATAACCGAATTTCTTTTTTTTATCATTAATAACAAATGAAACAAAAAGTATTATTAATTTGAAAGTTTTTCAATCTCTACTTACTTCTTTAAATGATGGAAGAATTTCCGGCAGAATATGTGCATGGATATCAATTTTTTCCATAATTGTTTTTTTTATTGACAAAATTGATTTAGTTCGATTGATTAATTGAAAATTAATCCACAATGATTTGCGATATAGCAACAGCAACAGTATTTATATGATGAGATGACGATCATGACATATATTTTGTTGTTGCCAATCAAAATAACCATAATCAATTATCGAATGATTGAAATCAATAAGATTGAATAATTTTTGATGACCATTGATCAATTCATTCAAATTATCGTTAAATAAAATCCAAATCTAAATCGTTTAATAAATTCATTATCACTTTTATATTAATGATTATCGTAACAGTTTCATAATTCCGATTTTTTTTATTTTAGTCATCATCATCATCATCATTTAACCATGAAACAAAATTTGAAATTTGAACTTTGATGCATTTATTATCGGGGAAAAAAATAATCAATATTTTCAACCATTCAGGCATTCACAAAGATTTTTGAAGATAATATGGTTTTTATATGATAACAAATGTAATCACCATCATCATGGAAATCATGTCATGAAAATGGAAAAAAATATTTACAAAATCAAAAAAATGAAGACAAAAAAAAATAAAGATTAATTTGGTATGAAAAAAAAATTCATAAAATAGCATATTGATCATATAATAATTGTCGTATTTTGAAATATTCATTCGATACGGTTCCTTCTAGGTGAATACGACCGGATTCTGTTCGTTTCACCTCTACCTGTCCATTACATAGTAATACACCACCGGAAAATTCTGCCTGTATATCATGTTTCATTAATATTTGTTTAAAATCCGATAATTTCAATTCATTTACAAATATTGTTTGATGTGTAGGCATTTCCGATGATGGTAATTGTTTTAATATTGGTATCATTTCACGATTATTGTTACGATGATGATCAATTTGAATCATTAATGTTGAATCTAATTCATCTTTTTTATTATTATTTGGTTCATTCGAATCGGAATTTGTTTGTTGTTGATCTTCATCTTGTGGCAATATAGATTCAGTTATATCCATATCGATTTCAGCTTCAACCCATGATAATTGTGCACCATCTTTATAATGAGAAAATTTCAATGAACTAACCAAAGCATCTTTCAATTTAATTTGATAAATATGACGTTCAGTTGTTGCATCGACTAATTCAGAAATTTTTGGCGTAAAAATTTTTCCCGGTACACAATCATTATTCTGGCAATACGAGGCAAAACTATTAGCTTTATCAGTTAGACCACGAACCAATACTAAACGTCGTGGCCTTATCAATTTGATTATCCGTTTTAGTGATTCACCGTCTGAACGACCTTCAAAATCGATCAATTCAATCTTAGCTTTTATTTGCAATTCTTCCAGATTCCGAATACATTTTGTTGGGTTTGTTTCTTTTGTCGATTCATTCATTGTATCATCATTTATTTTGGCCATATTTTCACCGCCATTTTTCAATTCTTCAGATATCATCATATTTTCTTTATCTTCCATAAACATTTTTGACATATCAAATATTGAATAATCATCTGCATTGATTATTTCACCATAATCATCCCATTTGATTTTCTTTTCCACACATGGAAACATTGGATAGGATTTTTTTGCATTCTTAAAAAATCCACCACCTTTTAATCGGCCATCCATACGTGATGACATCATTAGATCATGTTTGGCGGTATTATGTTGTGTGCCAGAAATATTTGTCACTGTTCTTGAATTTTCATTTTTAACATTTTTAATCCGATTAAATTCTTCATCAAAATATTCCTCATCATCTTCGTCATCAGATTCATCATCCGATTCATCATCGTCATCATTATTTTTTTCTTTAATCGAATTACTAGCATTTTTTTCCTTTTCTTTTTCCAATTCTTCATTACGTTTTCGTTCCAGATATTCATCCAATTCTTCTCCGGTCAATGGTACACGTATTTTTCGTTCAAATTTCATCGTAAATGGTCGTGGTAAATTGACTGAATTGATAAGTAAATCGGATAATGTACCTGGTGATGATCGTTGGGTTAAAATGATTGTGTTTTTTGCATTACCACAAAGATTATAGAAAAGTTCACGTGAAAATCCACATTCAAAATCTGGTTGTGATGCCAATACAATATATGGTTCAGGAATACGAGCCAATTCGTTCAGGTTATGACATAGCTGTATATGTTTGAATGCAAATGGATTGTTACGTTGGCCTTCGAAACCACGCATCAATTTATCACTCATCCATTCGACTAATGATTTGGCAAATTCTATTACATTATAGCTGAAATTATTGAGCAAAATGATTGAATACACATGAAGACCTGGTTCACTACGCCACATTTGATCAAGCATATGTGATAATTCTAATATACGTCCAGCTGTATCCGTACCAATCAGAACATTACCACTAGATCTCAATGTTTCAATAATACTGCTGAATAATTGTGTATCACGTTTTTTTCGCCTTTCCGGTAAATAATTAATATTATCACAATCAATAATCAACATTGATGGCCGTGATAATTTATCGATTGTACAACCATTTAGATGTCGTTCTTTTTTATGATTAATATCAACAGCATAAAGGATGTCTTCTTCACCATCTTTAACGATTTTCCAAACAGTACCACCGATCATATGTCCAGCTGGCAATGGTGTCAATGTTATACCTTGTCCTTTTCCTTTTAATATGACTGTTTGATTATATTTAACTTGAATCACTTTATCGAATGCAAGATCAACATCATCCAATGAGAAAAGATTGAAATCTTCGAAACTATGACGTGATTGATATAAATCATATGCAAACATTTGACCCATTTGATAGACCGGTGTTGTTGCATATACATCGCATGACAGGCCACATTTTCCAAATAAATAAGGCAATGCTCCTAAAAATAAAATTAATCAATTTAATTCAAGAAAGTAATAGTTTATTTAAATAACATTCTACCCAAATGAAAAGTATCAGGATGAGACAGAAGAACGGCATCAATTTTCGACATATGTGGTTTTAGATTTTCAACATAATCAACATTACAAGATTCATCTAGACCACAATCTAGAAGGAAACAAAATTCATCAATATTAAGAAGATAACATGGTGGTGATTCATCTAGGGCTCCGGAAATCGGTGTAAAATATATGATTGAAGTCATTATCGTCAGGCAAAATAATAAAATTATATAAAAATTCTAAAAATTGCATGAATACAATTCGCTGAATATTGTGATGGTCAAATATCGATAGAATCGATAGTGAGCGCAAAGTATCTGACACTCACAGTTCTTTTTTGTTCGGCTTTTCATTCAATATTATTTCATTTCAAATGATTTAATTTTATCAAATTTCATCATTTTTTGAAATTTCTGAATCAAAAATATGAATCGACCACAATATATCAGTCAAATGCCACCGCCTCCACCACCATCAACCGGGCAGATGATGTCACCTAATGTGGCAATACAAGGACCACCATTATCGAATCATCAAATGCCACCACAGCCAATATCGAATTCAATGCGACCACCACCACCGCCCGGCAATTCAATGATGCCACCACGTCAATATCCTCCGCAACATCAAGTACGTATGGGTCATCCGATGGCAGGTGGTGGTCAATATCCATCATCACCAAATCGCCCACCAATGGTTTCATTGCCACAATCAGGTCCACCCCAACCATCACAATCACCAATGCATTCTGGTGGTAAACGGTCGGCTGCCCAAGCCATGGTAAATCCTGGAATGAAACAAATGTCTGGTGGTGGCGGTATTGTACCACCAAATACAGTTGCACCGGGTTCAAACGCATCGATGCATGGTCCAATAGCAAAAAAGAAGAAAAAAATTTCTGATAAAATTCTGCCCCAAAAAGTTCGTGATCTTGTTCCAGAATCACAAGCTTATATGGATTTGATAGCATTCGAACGTAAACTTGATTTCACTATCATGCGTAAACGAATGGACATACAAGAAGCATTGAAAAAACCAATCAAACAGAAGCGAAAATTACGTATATTTGTCACGAATACATTTTATCCAGGAAAAAATGATCCCGAAGGTAATGAAGAACCGATTGTACCATCATGGGAATTACGAGTAGAGGGCCGATTATTGGATGATAAACCAGATAGTTCATCAAGTTCAAAAGCATTACAAAAACGAAAATTTTCAACATTTTTCAAAAGTTTAGTTATAGAATTGGATAAAGAACTTTATGGACCGGATAATCATCTCGTTGAATGGCATCGATCAGTGAATACGGCTGAAACAGATGGTTTTCAAGTGAAACGTCCTGGTGATCGTAATGTACGTTGTACCATTCTATTCTTGCTTGATTATCAGCCAATGCAATATAAATTGGATCCAAGATTGAGCCGTTTGTTAGGTATTTATGCAAACACAAGACCCGTTATCATTCAAGCCTTTTGGCAATATGTGAAGAAAAATCGACTTCAAGATACACATGAACGTGAATATATCAATTGCGATCAATATTTGGAACAAATATTCAATGCAAAACGAATTAAATTTGCTGAATTTCCAAGCCGTCTGAATCATTTCCTACAACCACCTGATCCTATTATAATTAATCATCAGATAGTGATTGAAGGACATTTGGATTCATTAAAAAAAGTTTCCTGTTATGATATTGAAGTTGAAGTGGATGATCCATTAAAATCACAGATGCAAAATTTTTTACTTTCCATTGCATCACAACAGGAAATATTGGCTTTAGAACAGAAAAATCATGAAACAGTTGATTCAATCAATCATCATAAAACAAGCAGAGAATTTTATCTTGGATTTGCATCCGATCCACAACAATTTATACATAAATGGCTTATTTCACAAGTTCGTGATCTTAAGGTATTCTTGTTATTAATCATATAGTTGTTATAATTATATAATCTCACATGAAAATTTATTTCATTTTAGGTTATGACTGATCAAAGTGGCAATCCTGAAGAGGAACGACTTTCCGATTTTTTCTATCAACCATGGACACAAGAAGCTGTATGCCGTTATTTCTACAGTAAAGTACAACAGCGAAGAATTGAATTAGAACAAGCATTAGGTATTCGTAATTAAATATTATTATCATCATCTTGAAAAAATCTACATAATGACCATATTTGAAAACAAAAAGGAAAATTATTTGATCTCTATTCGTTTTTTCGATTCACCATTTTTTTCTAAAATTATGCATCCAATTTTATAATTCTAATTCAAAATTATCTTAATTATTTTTCTCAAAAATCAATTTAAAAAAATGATAAATTAATATCTACTATTCTATGACGCTTGTTTGTCGGTAACTGCAACTTTTACACTCGCCAAGTGCTTGCACTGTGTACTGGCACTGTGTATTAACTTGGCATTTGATGCGGGGAAGCCGAGCTGGACATTCCTACTTATTTTCAGTACAAACATAACTATTTAGTATAAGCTACTCAGTGTGTGTTGTGTGTGTGTGTCTGAGCATGCGGGAAAACTTTTGAATGCCGCTGAACAGTTCGTCCAGCTCAGAAGTAGAAGTCGCTTCCAAAGAAACGCATTCTGTGGTATGTAGCTTTGACAAAGCTTTTTTTCATTGTTCTAGCTCAGCACACTTTGCTGCAGATTTTGCATCCAATAGATGGTGCAGTCATTCAATAGTACATAGAAAGAGTTCGAATTCGAATTTTTCGAATTGATTATTGTGATAATACATGTGGCACGTGATTTTCATTTTGTGTGCCTGTGTGAGTGTGTATTTGATGATAAAATCTTGCCTGAAGACTGCATTCATTGGAATGATTTTTTTCTGTGTTTTTGTTCCCGTGATCTATGATCTACTCATCGTTTGGTAAGTTATTTCGGTTATTTAACCTGATTATACCTAAAATACCTGATAACTTTTTTCATAACTTTTTTCATTTAAAATAAAGAAAATGGAGCATTTACGATATTACAGAAAGCCACAGCGGTTGACGATTCAATGTTGAGTGTCTTCATGCGATGAACCCACAAGGTTATCCTATAGGATCTATAGACACAAACTTGGATTAAACATTGGATCGATTATCATGTTCAGTCGCAATATTGAACCACAAAGTGGTTTGCTCAATGGCACGCGTTTATTTGTAAATAGACGCAGCATTGAAGCTCGAATATTGACAAGGAGGCTATGATTCATTTTGCAGCAAAACGATCGAGATCTTAAGCTACCATTTAAATTGGTTCGTGGACGATTTCCTGTCGTATTGGCTTTTGCTCTGACAATTAATTAATGTTTTAAGGAAAATCTTTCGATAAAATAATAATTAATGCAATGCACAAGTGATGGCTGACCCTGCGGTACCAAACCGAAGGCCGGAAGCAACACGCCGTGCATAGAAACCCACCGTCAGGCACGAAGCGTTAAAATTGACACCTTTGGCTGGGTACCAAGCAGGGGGGCGGCGCAGCCGCCACACCTGCGGGTATCCAGCTATATTGACCGTCAAGGATTGATACCTTTGACTGGATACCAAGCAGGGGGGCGGCGCAGCCGCCACCCCTGCGGGTATCCAGTTATATTGACCGTCAAGGAGTCAGCCCCGCAGGGCCAGACCAGGACAGGCGCGAAGCGCCTGTTCTCGGGCTGGTATTATTTTATATTTTTAAAGAATTAAAACCAAGTATAAATATAAATTTTCCGTAAACTTTCTCAAATTATTGACTAAAAAATAATTGAATTTCTAGAAATATTTCTGGTCGTGGTCAAAATAAAATTCCGAATACACAACATGCCGATCAATTGATGATGTTTTAATTTTGAATAAAGCAATTGTTGTTTATTTATGATTTTAATGTGTTATTTGTTTAATACATAATAAATATGTTTAAAAAATCTAAACGATCATTTCGTCAACGTACTCGTCATTCAGATTCTGATGATAATGATGGTGGTGATGTACAACAAATTCCTCATGAAACTACACCAAAAATTAATGATAATGTTGCAATCTCAATGAATATATTAACGATAGAACAAGATGCTGATAGTAGTAATCTTAGTTTCAAATCTGCTAACAATAAAAATGATCGAAAAACAAAACTCAGTTTCGAAGAAGATGAAGAAGAAGGTAAGATTTTTTTTGATTGAGATTATTTTCTACAAATTTTTAATTAAATTTTTCACTTTTCTTAGATAAAGATGTTTTTGTAGTAAAAAAATCTGTATATAGCCGAAAAATGGAAAAAAATAAACGAAAATTACTGAAATCTAAATCTAAATTTGATAATAATAATTGTACAAATAATGAAAACAATTCCATAATCGAACGAAAAGAAGATTTTGACTCATCAACAACTGCAGAAGCAAACATTGAAGATGTGAAAAAATTGGAAGAAATTATTGTTTGTCCTGGTAGCGATGATGAAGCCAATGATAATGATGACGATGATGAAAATAGACATTTTAGCCAAAGTTCTGAACAACAACGGCCACAATTTCGTTCAACATTAGAACGTGGTGTTATTCCGGATGCTAAAACAATTTATGAGCTAAAAAAACGTCGACAAAAAATGGCCATGACAGCCGATTTTATACTGTTAGAAAATGAAGAAAATGAAACGGGGGTCCGTTTAATTCGTGAAAGTGATGAAGATAAAAGCGAAAATGGTGATGACCTACCAAACTCAGACGACGATGATGATGATCACCGTGATAAAGATCGAATAAAATTCGGTAATGTTGATTATGAATCAAAAGAGAAAGAAAAATTTCGTGAATGTTTTCGTGTCGCTCAACAAAAAATTGAAAATCGAAAACAATCGAATGATTCTAAATGTTCTTCATCATCTGACGAAGACGACAATGATGATAATGATGGCGTTCAAAATGATGATAAAAATGATGAATCTGAAGATGAAATCGATAAATGGGAACGTGAACAGATACGTAAAGCAGTTCGTATGCCAAACATTTATCATTTAGCTAGATCCGAAATGAACAATAAATTTTTGACCGCTTTGGATGATAATACATTGATCAATAAACTACAAGTCATACATGATAATCATAGTGTCGTTCCGATCGAAATTGATCACCCTGATTCACGATCATATGGAAACCATATACCCAGCTATATTAGTGATAATAAATATAATCTTCAAGATGATAATGATAATAACGATTTCGATTCATTCAATGATCGCATTCATTCGATGCGACAACAATTTGAATCAAAAATTGAAGAGAATAATAAACTTTTGGATCGTATAACAATGGATCTACAATTAACAGCCAAAGATATTGAAACATATGATACGGATGTGTCGCAAATGACTGATGAATATAATTTATATCGAAATATGTTTGATTTCATACGTAATTTATTCGATTGTATTAATGATAAAATGGCTGAATTAGAAACGAACGAACAGCAAATAATTGATGTATATGGCAAATATGCACAACTTAAATCGAATGAACATAGTAACGATATACAGGATCAGAATTCAATTTCATTATATCTAATTATGAATCATGAAGCATTATCAATACAATATGCATCAATAGATCATCAGCAATTGAATTGTATATTGGATGTATATAATTTTGATGGTGATCATACTAAACGTAATCGTTGCTATAATCGTATGGAAAAATTTCTGAAGCACAACAAGAAAGAAATCTTTACAACAAATGATGATGATTCGGAACATGATTTATTAGACAATGAAGAACTGAAATCAATCCAAACACGATTAAATCAATTATTTGATGATACTGATGATGATTTTGCATCTATTCATAGTATATGTCAACAATTTCAACAATGGAAATCGAAACAGACACATACTTATAAAGAATCATTTATATCAGAATTTCTACCCAAATTTCTTTCCTATTATATTCGTTATGATTTTGCATTTTGGAATATTTTCCTTGATGATAATCATTATCACCACCATTCGAATGCTATTGATCTAATGGAAACGGAATCTATGCAGCATCTGATTCGTTATTGTTGTTCAAATTTAAGTAAAGATAATTTAATCGAGTTGAATGTGATTCCAACATTGATCGATAATGTTATGATACCGAAATTGATCGAAATGATTGAAAAGGAAATCTGGAATCCATTATCCACAAGACAAACTGATCGTTTTATCCGATTTTTACGGTTATCGATAACGAATTTTCCTACATTGGTTGATATAAGTGAAAATTTTTCAAAACTTTTACAAAAAATTGTTATAAGAATGGAAAAAACTATTGAAAATGATATATTCATTCCACAAATGATTCCAGCCAAATTTTTCAACACTCACAATGATCAACAGCAACGATCGCATTATGAAAATTTAGTTCGAGATTATGTAATTGGTTTTTTCGATCATCAATATTCGGAAACATTCTACCTGATGAAAAATATATTATCATTTCGTAATATAATCAGCGAACAAATTTTGCGTGAATTGGTGATTGAAAAATTATGTTTCCGTTATCTACTTATTTCTATTCAACGTTCAGCCGATGATCCAATGAAAACATTCGAACGTATCAATTGTTTAATATCAACTATTCCAAATGAATGGTTGAAAAAACAGAATGTTCAAATTAATAACCATTTCAATGCTATCATACAACAATTATTAGATCGTTCAAATGCAAATTATACGGATGAAATTCGGCAAAAATTTCTATCATTATTTTATCAAATTAATAAATAAATGAGAATAATTTTTAAAAATTGTACAGAAATAGAAAAAATTTCTTTTTTTAAAATCAATCAAGAAACTACCATTCGAATGCAGTCATAAATTCATATACCACTACCATATTCTGTTATATCGATATATTTTGTTTTTTCTTCAATTGAATTGATGCGGATCTAATTCTCCATATTCAACGAATCGTAGCAGCAATAGTGATGCTACGATAATGGTAGTGGCCCAATCAATAATAAAATGCGCGACAATATTGGACATAGCAAGCGGTACATTGCCCGATGGTTATTACCTTTTCTATGGTGCTACAATATCACATCTTTTTTCTTTCTCCTCCTCCTCCTTCTTTGTTTGTTTTTGTCCACTTCCACTCCCACATCCACAAACAACTGAAACAAAAAATTACACAATCAATTGTCCCCTATCCCCGATTGGCTGATATTATGTCAAAAATTTGTTTTTGTTCATTTGTAGTAGTGGCAAATAAAATAGTTAGAATCCGAATATTGTTCCAAATGAATGATTCCTTTTTGCTTTTTATTCTTCCTCCTCATTCTACAACTCTGGCTCAACTCAGGACCTTGTTGTCAATACTAATGTTCTGTATGTTCGGTATATGATGTGAATGAATGAATATTTTTTTTCATGAGAACATCATTCATCCATCTTTATTTTCACATCATTTTCAATTTTTTTTTATTTACATTGAATTTTCAAGAATTGTTTGTGTAATTTTCGATGATTGAGTAAAATTCTTTATATATCTTAAGTAAATTAAGCAAAGTATTTCATCCATTCGATTGTTTTGTAAATCGAATCTTTCGAAATTGATTCATCAATTGACAAGTAATATATTTTAGCATCCGATCAATGATTTTATCTAATTTATTATCATTTTAATAGAAATTTAACCATAAATTTAATTCGATTTTTGTTGAATCAAAATTCTACTCATTTGGTGCCTGGTGTATGGTATTTTTGTTTAATTTACATTACCACTTGTTGTTCAGAAATTCGATCATCATCATCAAAAACTCGACCATAATCTGTGGTCAGCCAACAATAACAAATCAACAAAAATGATTAATCCAACAGCAATGGCTGCTGCCATGATGAATCCATTTACAGGATTCACTGGTGCTCCACCACCACCAACACATAATGCCTCTGTCGCTACCAATAATAATAGTAACAACAATCATCATCATCATCGTCAACATCATCATGGATCAATAAATTCTGGCCAACAACAACATCCGCATCAACATCATCATTCTTCATCGTCATCTTCATCAACAACAACAGCGGCAGCAACTTTATCATCATCATCATCATCAACGATTCATCATCAAACATCATCATCACATGGAAATTATGTTAATTATTATACATCAAATGCCGATGGAATTAGGCAATATTATCCACCACCATCAACTATTCCACCTGTTCATTCAAATGCTCAATCCCATTCTGGTCATACGGTATGTTATAAATTTTTTTTTATATATTCAAAAATTTTTATAGTATCAAAGGTCCTATTATGCAATTATTGTTCAGAATTCATCATATAAATAAGATTTTCGGTAAAAAAAAGATGCAGAATATAATTTTAATTAATTCATTAAACACTAGATGGCGATCATTTTCATATGATCAAAAGGTGTTGGCTTGTTTTCAACAATATCACCGATGCCATCTATGATGAACCACAACAATGATTTAAGCGCGGCCATATTATATTATACAATACAATAATAATACCACTACCATCATCCGCGGACAAGACACACCAAATTACATTTGCCAAAAAAAGATATATCTATGGCCCAAACACAAACTTTTATGATTGAAGTTTTGTTTGTTCGATAAATGGTGATCCATTTGTTTGTATGTGTGTGTGTGTGTTCTATGTCGTCTTACTTTATTGGTGTGTTTTCTGGTTTTCTCAGTTTTTTTTTCATTCCATTTATTTGTGTTGATCTTTCGGTTGTTCGTTCTTTTTTTTAGTTATTTTCCTCCTCTCAACTAAAACTCACTCACACTCAATTTTCGCCGCTTTTTCTTTGTTTCGCTCATCACCACATATTCGACGAAACTACTCGAAGAAGAAGTATATATTATACTCATGAAAAGAAGAAACAAAACAACAAAAAAAAGAAATAACCAGAATCCAATCTCAATATTGATTTACAACCATTTTTTTGAATGCGCGAATCCTCCTCCTCATCATCCTCCTTTACATCGTCGTCGTTGAATACAACAACAACGATGAAGAATTTTGATTCTCCAATATTGATGGTGTTTTTGTGTAAATTTCAATTCGAATAAAACCAATTTGGGGCTGTTTTTTGTTTTGTTTTCATTTTTTTTTTGTTTTATGTGGTGTGTTTAATAACCTGATGGATTGACCCAATATAGAGTTTCAGCAACCATTTTGTTGTTAATGTGTTGATAATTTTTTTGTTATTGTGATTATCATTTTAACAATTTATATGTTGGTATATGTGTTTGTGTGTATGTTGAGAAAAAACAACGACATCTGATTGATCATTGATCCGTGATTTTCAATGATTATGGTTTATTATACCCGTCTATAATCCATATGGTCACTGAACTTTTTTTTTATCAGATTAATGTGAAATATATCAATTGATTTCCGATAACTAAACGCGATTATAGAACAACAAATATATCGTAATCGTATCTATCCATTGTTTTTATTGCTGTTATAATTTGAAAAATTCTATTTTCATACAACAAATAATACCCTTTTTCTATGAATTTACCTTTTTTTTAATCAATCAAGTGATTTTCTTATTTTATTTCTGTATTGTGCTATCATCAAGTGTTACATTTTTTTTTAAAATGTTAATTATTACTTGTCATAATCAATGAATGACAAATTACATTTGGTGATTCATTCCAAAAGGTTGTCAATAGGTTTTTTTCCAAAAAATTTATATTCTAATAATGTGATATTGATATACATTGTTTGAATGATACGACAATCACTTTATCATCCCTTCAACTGTTTCTATCATCAAACATTTTTTTTTGTAATTATTTTACCATCAATGATCATCATTACTACATGAAAAATAATGAAGCAAGAATCACAGCCAAAAATTTTATATAGTAGAGCATTGCAAGGTTCAATGTCGAATACAACTTCATCGACAACATCAACAACAAATAATATAAAAACAATGAGTAGTGGTAATAATAATAATAATATAAATCAACAACAATCGAAAACAACACTTGTCGTTTCGCCATCATCAACGACAATAACAACAACATCATCGATTCTGGCAAATTCAATGGTAGACATGAATGGACCGAATATGTCTTCGTATCATCAACATTCGCCACATTTACCTCATTTAAATAATAACAAGCGACATAATGATAGTGATAAAGTTCAGCAAATAGGTACAAGTGGTGGTAGTAGTGTTGTTGTTGGAATCGGCGGCAATGGCCGAACAATATTGCCAAATTCTTCACAACAAACAAACATGCCATTCCGCATGTCTAATAAAAATTGCCTACAACAATCATCATCAAATAATAATTATTCGATTCGCCATACACAGGTATTATTCACAAACACAAACACATTGTGAAAACTCACTGATATGAATTGCATAAAGGATCTTATTCTTATTAAATAAAATATAAAATATTAAGAAATCAATCAATCATTGACATTTATTATTTTTATCATTTCTAGCCTTATCATAATTCCCGAATTTCATCACAACAACAGCAACAACAAATTACGTCTTCCGTTTCACCATCAACAACATCAGCAGTTTCAGCTGCTGCTGCTGCTGCTGTTGGAACCGGAAATCAAATGGTACAAACCAATAATAAATTATCAACAAATGGATCATCTACCTCCATAAATGTTCCATCGATTAATAGCGGAAATAATGCCAACAATAATAGTACAACAAGTGGAAATAATAATAATAATAGCAGTTTGTCCATGAATTCAACAACAAATGTAAACACACAAAATGGAACGACAGCATCGATATTGTCGTCGGATAAATCGGATTCATCAACATTAACAACAATCAGTAAAACAAATTTATATATTCGTGGTTTGACGCCAAATACTACTGACAAAGATCTTCAATTACTTTGCCAACCGTATGTTTTCGGTTTTTTTCTGTAGTTTTATATATTCACAATAATTTCGTTTTCTCTATAATATTTAGTTATGGTAATATTGTCTCGACAAAAGCTATTCTAGACAAGGAAACCAACAAATGCAAAGGTATTTAGCATTGATTTTAGTTTTATATTCAAAAACAAAAAATCATTTAATTTCTTTTATACAGGCTATGGTTTTGTTGATTTTGACAATCCAAACTCTGCCGAACAAGCAGTTAAGAGTTTAATTTCACAAGGTGTTCAAGCACAAATGGCAAAATGTACTGATACAAATAGAAACAAAACAATGCAGCAAAAGATTCTTGTATGTTCATTTTGATGATATTTCATATTTTTGTATGATTCTGATTATTATTTTATTATTAAATAGCAACAAGAACATGATCCAACAAATTTGTATATTGCAAATCTACCGATGACTATGGCCGAAACAGATTTGGAAGCAATGCTTTCATTATATGGTAATGTCATATCAACACGTATCTTAAAGGATTCGAATGGTACACCACGTGGTGTAGGATTTGCTCGGTAAATAAATTAATTACTGAATGATTTTGATGAATGATTCTTCATTGTCGTCTTATAAATAGAATGGAAAGTAAAGAAAAATGTGAAAGTATCATTAACATTTTGAATGGAAAATTATTACCTGGCGGTAAAGATACATTGTTGGTGAAATTCGCTGATGGTGGTAGCAAAAAGAAGAATCATTATAAGAATGAAAGTCGTTATCGAAGCGATGTTGATGTAAGTGTTTTTGGTTTTCAATTTGTTCAAATTTATATTTAATGAAAATTTTTTATCGTTCAAATGATTAGCAACTTCAAATGGGATTCGATTCTACAAATTTGACTACGAACGGTGGTGTAACTGCTATGTTGCCATCACCATTGAGTGCTACTTCGTATCAAAGATTTTCATCTCCATACCAAAATCCAATGCAAGCAAATCCATGGATGCATCATCAAGCACCTCAGCCCCAATATATAATGCAACCACAATTGATGGATCCGAATGCTGCTACAGCGCTTCAATTTTCTCCCGCATTAATGCATCAATTGACAGCACAAATGTCGCACATACAATTGGGTGGTGTTTCAGGAACGGCTGGGGTATGTAAATCATTTTTCATATATATTTTTATTTATCAATTTGTTTCTTTTTCATTATCACAGTACCATTTACCGGGTAATCCACATCCATATGGAACACAACTTTATACACCACAATTGATACCAACAATGCCCATGTCTGGAGTTTCTGGCGATGTAAGCATTGATAATGTTTGATTTTTAATAATTCTCATTGTATTTATATATTTTTTTCAGCAGCAACAAGATCCAATCAATCCATCCCAATCAGTGAGCAGTGGAAGTGTTTCGGGTGAAGATCCTCAACAACATCAACAACAATCGAATCCACAACAAACATCGCAGCAGGCACCACCGCCGCCTAATTTTCAATTATGTTATGGTCAACAAAAATAAAAATGATACGGTCAATCAATTTTTTTCAAGAGCATTTTTCATCATTATCAATGACACCACCCATGGATATTGATTATCTTGATCTATTATAAAATGCTCAATGTTTTATCTTTTTGACCCAAAAATTAATCGAATGAAAAACAAAATCTGTTGTTGGTGGTGATTTATCAAATATTGATTGATTGAACAAAAAAAAAAAACAAAAATGATTTGTTTTTTGTTTCATCAACTAAATTTGTAAATTTTTGAAATTCATACAAACAAACAAAATGAAATAAATGAGTTCAAATTTTCGAGTAATTAATAATCATTTTTCATCATTGTTTTGCTGATCGATATCGAATTAATCAATCAAAAAAAAAAAAAAAAAAAAACAAATTACGATATAAAATTTATTATTGTTATCAACATACGGCATTAGACAAATATGATGATAAATATCGCTTTCATATGATTCTATTTTGCCTTTTCTTTGTGGTCGACAAGTTGTCAGAATTGTTGTTGTTATTATTTATTATTATTATTATTATTGTTACAACATGAAAAAAAAGAAAAACACTCAACTATAGAAAGAAGATTTATTTCTCTTGGAAAGCATCATCATCATTTTAATGGCAATTTATATATATATAAAAGTAATATTTTATTAACTATACGATCCCAATTACTGTTGATGGACGTTTTCTTTTGTTTACTTTATTTGAAGTTTGCTTTCGTTTCTTTTGTTTACTACTTTGTTTCTTTTTCTTCTTCATCATCTGTTTCCGATTCATTCCATTATTGAGAAGTGCTGATGATGGTGATCCATTTCCGTTGTTTCGGTTACTGTTGATGTTTGGTTTGACACGACCATAATAAATATCATCTTCAGCTTCAACTTGAGCATTATATTCATCTAAACTATTTGGTAAACAACATTTGCTGAATTTCATACAGCAAAGTATATTACGTACAGAATTTGTTGATATACGATCACATTGATCACAGGCTGTTGTATGACCTTGATAGAATATGATTGAATCGACATTTATTATGGTGATCGAGAATAATGTTAATAACAAATGAAATCCAGAAAAAATCATCATATAATTTTACAAAATACTTTTGTTTTGCAGAAGCCACGCTACAAACAACGAATGACATGAAATATTTTTTTTTTTTTTATAAATTCTACATCGACGAAATGAAATTTTTTCTATTTTGCTGACCAATTGGTTTGCCATTTTTCGACAGGAAAAAAACGCAGTACTTGTACACATCTTCAAAATAATATTATTGTTACATGAAATGACGTGATTGGATTGCAATCGAATGCAATTCAAGGACAATGTTTTTTTTTCAAATTAAAAAACAACTACAGTAATAATTTATCGATTTGATCCGATCGAAAGAAGACGTGGACGAAAGCAACAAGAATGTTAGAATTTTTTATTTTTTATTTTTTTTTTGTTGCAAGATCATTTATTAATTGGTTATAAATGGTCATAATAATCATTTTTAAATTATTTCCATTTTATATGTTGAAAGTATAGATAATGTTAATGTCTAAAGACATTTTCTACCATTATTAGTTTGGATTGAGATCTAATGAATTGAATTGATATACGTAGTTCTTTATCCTGTTAAAAGATAGCAGCACTACCATAAATTAAAACAAATTTTTAATACGAATCTGGCTATTTCTGGATAATCAAAAAAAAAAAAACAAAATTCAAATGTTTCAACCACGAAAAATATGGTAAAATTTTTTTTATCTGATTAAAATGATAGATAATTGGAGGAAAAATTGGTTGAAAAAAAAACATTGGCAACGGAAAAAATTTATATGAGAGAGGGGGTGGTCAAAATGAAAATGAAATTGTTGAAATTTTTTTTTGAATATCGATAAAAATTGGTTTTTTTTTGATTAATAATAATAATAATATATCATACAATGGAAGCTGTTAATGATTCCAATTCATATATATCATTACCATTATTTGGATCATCAACAAATTCAACAATAGAATCTTTGATGAATTGTTGTTGTTGTTGTGATGGTTGTTCATTTACATTGTTATCATCATCATCATTAACATTATTATCGTCATTATTTTTTTTATTATTGAAAGTCAAACATGATGACAATCGAATTCTCATAAAGTGACGATTCTTATCATTCTTCTTTTTCTTCTTGTTATTATTACCATTATTCATTGATGTCATTGTCGCGAATGTTGTCGTTGCTGTTGTAGTTGGTGGTGATTTTTTTATTATTGAAAATTTATAATTACTCGCTGATAATGATGTAGTCATTCCATTACGATTTGGTTGTTGTTGTTGTTGTTGTTGGATGGTTGTTACAATAGTCGACATTGATCCAATGGAAAATTCTGTTTATATACATACATAATTTTATATTTTAATTTGAATATATTACACCGATTTGATATGATATACAGTGCGAGGAAGTGTGGGGTATGGTGGGGAAAAAAAATAAAAATTTTCATACCAAATTATCAATGAAAGTAGTAGTAAGTAGTGAAAAAAAATTCAATTTTAATTTAATTAACAGGAAATACGAAAAGAGCCAATTTTTTTCCCCAGTGTAATTCATACAGGGTGGGTGTATATATAAATGTGTGTGTGTATGTGTGTTTTACACAAACAAGCACATCAATTTGAAATTTATCACAGGAAAAAGAATAATTGATTGATCAGGAATCTCAAATGTGCAAAATTAGCATCAAGAAATGGCAAAAAAAAAAGATATAAGATCAATTGGTTAGTGTCTGCAAGTGTGTGCAAAATGTTTGGGATGAAAAGATGAATAAAAAAAATTTTAGTAAAATAAAGGCAGCCCAAAAAATTGGTAGTTTTTCAAAAAAAAAAAAAAAAAAAAAAAAAAAAAAAAACGAAACGATGCTTGTTTTATAATGGATTTTTCATTGATGGTAATTAAAATTTTGGTGTGGTACAGATAGATAGAATTTTTTTTTAGTTTAATTTAAATGACATGAAAAAAAATTTTGAAATTTAAATTAATTAATTAATTTTTCAAATTTTATTCTCGAGATGCATGGTGTTAGTCCATTGGTGAGGTGTTTGAATATTTATATCAGGATCAGGATCAGTATCAAGTCACAAAATATTCATTGGTGGTGATTGTGGTGAATGGTGTAAATAGGTAGAATAAAAGAATAATACATTTCAGGTACATTTAAATTAGTAGTGTGTGTGTATGTGTGAGAAAGAGAGAGAAAAAAGAATTTTCATTCATTGATGATCAGAATAATGAGCAATGTCGGTACAACCTATAAATAAACATAGCAGCACATTCGATTCATATAACATGATTATTTTAAAACAAATAATTATGATAAAATATGAGAAATGAAAAAAGAAAAAATATTGAAAATATAGAATAAAACAAAAAAAAAATAATTCGCGAATTACACACACACACACACACACACACACACACACACACAAACATGGACAACAGAAAAAAATTAATTCTGTAAAACAAACTAATCATTAAACTTTTAGAATTTAAGATTGATCCATTCTAATATTGTCGTTGTCGCCTTCATTAATGTCTCGTGGATGATGATGATGATGATCAAATGAATTGAAGTATACTAATAAAAAAAAAAAAATAATCGAATGTGATTCGAAACAACAACCACAATTTAAAACAATAATTTTGACTCGAGGAAATGTGAAACTATAGTATAACAATAATCGCTAGTTATATCTTTTATGATTTTTTTTCCACTAATGAAAATGATCATCATCATCATCATGGTCATGTCATACATTATTAGACATCGAAAACGATAGACGTGAATGGATCGTTATTATGTTTTCTTGGGATTGACATTGATATTTGTCTATATTTACCAATTAGTATTATTTTTTTGAAAAGGACATTTATTACAAATTTTTTTCTGGCTAAATGATTTTTTTCCTGTTCACAGTGGATACTCGACTAACCAATATTCGGACTTACGAACATTCTTCTGGAACAAAGTTGTTCGTAAGTAGTAGAGTGCCCACTGTATATCTTTTTTTCTTTGACTTGGAAGTCACATTATTTTATCTCTAACACCCATGGGTTCTTTTATCCACTCTCTTTCTATTTTTATGTGTCTTGGTCATAAATAAATGGGAAAAAAATGTAAAAGACTATTTTTTTTCATTTCTCCTTGGGGCTATATCAAAAATCGGAGAGAGAAAAAAAACGTTATTGTATGGTTGGTTATCATTCGTTTTTTTTCTCTGGCAAATGAATGAATGAATGAATGAAAGAAAGGAAGAAAGCAAACCACATATAAAATAAGGATTTTATGTTGATGATAATAATGGATGAAAGAATGATTAATGAGTGAGATAATTTGCAGAAAAAGGCGTGTGCGTATACGATGCATGCATATTACGAAATAATAATGATAATGATAAAATGAAATGAAAAAATTGCATTCAAAATGATAAATAAAAAAAAATTTAAATTTTGAAAAATCAGGAAAAATCTTTTGCAAAGAAAAAAAGGATAAACTTACGTGGATGATGCCAACGCGTACAACCACCACCACCACCACCACCAATAACATTATTATTATCACGAGTACCGAAACACCATAGACTTTGACAGAATGCATTCTTATATAATGCATCACGAAAATTACGATTAAAACCACCATATATAATCGGATTGAATACACTGTTTGAATAGGCAATAAAATATGAATAGAATATCAGATTACCAAACCAGCTAGGAAGCTAAATAATAGATAAATAATAAATCAATTATGTAATTAATTAATCAATAAAGTAGATCAATAATAAACCACAATACTTACAGTTTCACTACTTGAATGAAAATAAATTGAATATAATACAATTATTTGTAATGGTAGCCAACAAATAACGAATACTAATAATACGACAACAACCATTTTGATTACCTTTTTTTCGATAAATAAAATAAATATATACATAGACAAGTAAAATATATAGAGAAAAATTAATGATGGAAACATTCATTAAAAATGATTTTGAAATTAATTCGTTGGAGGTAATCTATTCCTTCTATATGGTATATATATTATATATGTTTATAGCATGAAATTCTGAATATAGAAACAGTGTTAACTAGAAAAATGATAATATCGTCATTTGACAATGATTATTTTGGGAATAAACAGGAAAAGAAAACCGTATGGTGGTAACAGATTTCGATGATGATAAAATTCATCAACATTTTCAATATTAATATATTATTAACGTGAATTTAATGACAAATCGATTCTGTTGCCGAAAAAATTGATTGAAAATCAAAAAAAAAAAAATATATGAAAGATTGTTATGTAAATGTATATTATAAAAATTATTATCATCATATATCAGATTTGCAACAGCAAAACAAAAAAAAAATTTTTTTGATTGATAATCGATTCATAATATATGCAGGATGTATACATTTTAGCAACAACAACAACAACAACAACAAAAAATTGAAAACATACTTTTCTCTTGGATTTTTTTTGATGTCGTAAATTACTTTCATTCGCTTCACCAGGTAAACGGCTACCCCATAATATCCAAATTATAGCTGAATATGCGGTTATCATAATCAATACCGGTGCAAAGAATAATGTTGTCGTTACTAATGTATAATAGAATGTTTTCATCGTATGTTTCTTTACACAACCACCATCATTTTCCGAATAAGTCATTGTATATGGCCAATCTTCCATACAAGTTGTCTGTGTATAATCTATCCACTTTAGTGGTTGTCAGATTGTTGAAACAAGAAAAAAAATCGATAACATTAAAAGTCAGTTTAGTCATTCACATTTGTGTCATAATTTAATTCACACTTACTTTAACCGTTTCATAACGACGGGAATAATAGAATGGTATTGAAATAATTAATGATACAATCCAAATGACAGTGATGACAATACCGGTTCGTTGTTTTGTTACACGTGTACGTAATGGATATATAATAGCCATATAACGATCACAAGCAATGGCAGATAATGACAATACTGATGATGTTAAACATGTCACTGATAATAAATGTGTTTGAAAAAAAAATAAAATCAAAATCAATTAAAATATTGGCAACAAGATTTTAGCAGTTCAAGAGGACAATTTTTTAAGAAACAAAAACAAATTCAGATTTGTAAAATTTGTAAATTCAATGAAAAAAAAACATCATCCTTACTATCTTTATATCAAGTATATAATAGTGATGATCGATTTTTAAGAGATAAAAAATCGATATTCGTATCTAGTATCAAGAAAACAAAACAAACATTCGAAATAGCCATTTTTTTCTTCTTCTCTTGTTTTCCTCCTCCACATGTATAGATAGTCATACAATGTTGAATTTGAAACTGAATCGAATTTGAATACAAACAAAATTGATTCAATAATAATAAATTGAGTTTGATAGAGAACGAATGACAAAAGACAAATACGAAAAATGGAATCAAATTCTTTGTATATTCTGTTTACATTCTGAATACAACATAGTGATATAATAGATGTGCAAAAAAAAAAATTGAAATTCCATTTGTCGTTTTTTTTCCTATATATAATAACCATTTTGTTATCACAAAAAAAAATCAATAAATAAATTTTACCTTTTTTAAAAGAATTTCGATAATTTCTACCATTTCATACAAAAAAAATTTTTATTTATTCATTCAATTCAATTTAATTTCAACATTGCACAAATTCTAATAAATTTTGTATTAATAATGAGAATTTTTTTTTCTTAATTACATATACCGATTATGATTATGAATACAATGATATCACATATTGCAATGTTCAACAACAATAACAACAACAGCAGACAAAAGAAAAAATAAAACGGAATTTCTCATTTCAATAAAGTAGAGAAACGAGTCATGACTACAAAAATAAAGAATATGAATATGAAAAATCGGTAGATATAAAAAAAAGAGAATAAAATGAAAAATTTTTTTATAAATTAAATTTTAAAATCTTTATATCGAAACAGAATTTTTCATTTTATTTAACGAAAAAAAAAATTCTTTGATAACAACAACCAGAATTTTTGTTTATTCTCTCTTCATCATAATAATAATACCACATAAAGATGGATTGAATGACAACAAAATGTCATAATGATGAGATTGACATTCATTTCATAGCCCATTTATAATTTTGTAATTGTACTTTATGTTTGTTTGGTCAAAGATCGGACAAATCTAGTAGAATTTACAGAATTGTTGTAACATATAATAATAATAATGAAAAAAATGACAAATATAGCATCCAAAAAAATGGAATTTTTTCACTTTCTTTCCTAGTTTTTTTTTCTTGAGTTTCTTACATTCGAATAAAATATCTCCAAATTGGAATGAGAAAAAAAATACATAAAAATAAGAAAGAATCTGATTTGACATTTTTGATGATTTTTATTTCATATTGATCTTTTTTTTTGCTCTCTCTCTCTCTCTCTCTCTCTCTCTCTCTCTCTCTATTGAACAGAAACAAATACAAGACAGATAGATAGAAAAAATATGACAAATATGAATCATCATCATGTCATTGGCCGTCTATTGACCATGTGATGTTGAAAGATTTACATTACAATTTTTTTTTTGATTCACGAGAAAAAACCGTTAATTAAATTTTCGTTTTGACATTGTATAGTGAGTGAATGAAAGAAAAAAAAAACAGATAAAAATTTTGTCACATTTTTGCATATACAATCATTTCATTTTCATATAACAAATCCAGTGATTTTGAATCAATCAAATAAAATTATTTATACAATAATCATCATCATAACTAGTTTATGAAAAAGTTTTTTCATTTCTGTACCAAATTATTTGATTTTCACTTATATACACAAACAAACACACACAGTTTCAAACAATAATTGCCTTTAGGAATAATGGATTTGTTTGTATTTAGTCTTTGTGAATGTTCAGATTCATCATGAACACAATTTGTTTTCAACTTGGAATGTTATGTTAAATTGTTCGGATTATCTAATAATAATAATCAATCAGATTGAATTATTTGCCATTTTTATGTTTATCAATTTTCAACACATTCATATATACAAAAAATCAATCAAAAAAACAAAAACAAAAAAATCTGAACTAAATCTAAAAATAGTCTTTTTTACGAATAAAAAGAAAAAATTCTTTTTGGTTCTCTGAACAAAAAAAAAAAAAAATCTTGTACTTTCCATTATCGTTTATCATTTGTTGTTGTCATATAAATCAATGATTACAACTGTAAACTCTATATTATTAGAATAAAAATCCAGAAAAACAGTCAACTTGATTTAATCATGATATTTATCAAATTCAAAATATACAATACATTTTTTTTTTTGATTTGGTTTGTTTCAACAAAAATGTATGTAGAATTGAAAAATGAAGAAGAATAAGAATTGTCATCGGATTTATGTATGCATGTATGTATGGTTTACAGTGCAATAGATTCTTTTCTACACATTCTGCTTATCATCATCATATGGATAAAATTCATTCAGCTTGTAATATGAGAAAATTCTTGCACATCTTTGATCATACATTTGCATCATCACAATGTTATTTATTTTTCCATTCATTTTTTCAATTCACATGAAGTTTTTCGCTATTTTTTTGGATTTTCTTTTTTTTTTGATCCAATTGAATTCGACAATAATCATCATGATGGTGATAGTGCCGATGATGAATGCATATTTTTATTTCTTTCTTTTGTTGTTGTTGTGGAAATGGATCCAACAAAAGACAAATACCCACACACACACACACACACACCAATTTGAATTTCTATGATACATTTTTTTCACGTTCTTTCATACGTTATCGCTTCATTTTTTTTCTCTTGATGGATTGTTTTTTGTATGAATTCCAAATCAAATTCTACTCTCGTTTCTTATATTCTCACAAACCAAAGAATTTCAATTCAAGAATTCAGTTTGAATCGGATTAAAAAATGTGGATAGAAGATGAAAAAACTCGTTACATGTAGATCGAATATTTAAAACGGAAATAGTTTTTCATCATTGTACCAAAATGATTCTTGTCTCCATTCATTTTGACTTTAATAATTTCATGAAAAAATTTAATTCTGAATAAACTGTGTGTGTGTGTGTGTGTGTGTGTGTGTGATGTGATCGAAATAAAGTTGGTGTATAGATTTCATCATATCAAAGTGAATGGATAAATAGATGGAAAAAAATAATTTTTTTTAAGAAAACAAAAGTTGAAAAATTAATCAACAATCATTTTTATCATCATATCATATAATCAATCAATCAATCAATAACCATCGATCTGACATGAACTAATATTTAATTTAAAAAAAAACGAAAAAAAAACGAAGAAGAATCCCTTCATACAGCGTTTCATTTGACAATGATGATGATTGAAACGATTTGAAATCGTGTTGACAGTTTCATCAAACATCTATTTTTATTTTATGGCAAAAAAAAAAAATAAATAAATGAAACTCGCCTGAAATAAATAACACAGTCTATTTTATTATTATTATATATGCCATATTCAATAAATTTTCTAATGTATTCATCTGGGTGTAATTTTTACGCGCACACACACACACAAAAAAAAACAGAATAATAAAAAAATAACTATTTCTATGGAGAAAGAAAGTGTTTTTCACACACACACACATACACGTACATATAATTTCATTGTCAATTTATAATTGCTCTTGATTCTTATTTTATTATTCACAATTCAAAATGGTTATTGCAACAAAGAACAAACAAATATCGAATCGAAAATAAATCAATATCAACATCAATATGAATGAATGATCCAAATGAAAAAAAAATAGAACAAAAAAAATAAATATTCAAAAAAAAAATTCCTATTCATAATTCAACATCTAAAGCATCTTTAATTCATAATAATAGTGTTCTGGTATTATTGATAGTGTGATAATGATATACATTCACAACATAAACACACACACACACAAACAAATACACGTTTAGTGAAATGAATGAAGGATTGATATAAATGAAAAATTGGATCTTTTCAAAAAAAAATCACTATTATAAATGATTATAAATGCTTTTATTTTTCGAATGAAAAATTCGAATTCAATTCACCAATCATCAAACACTATCAACAATTTATATTCATTCCATTATCATCATCATCATCATCATCAATATGTGTGTGTATGTCGTTGATTTTTTGCTTTATCTAAGTCGAAAACAGATTTTTTTTTTCTCATTTGAATATAAAATGAATGAAAATCAAATAAAACGAAAAAAAAATTTAGAATTTTTTTCGAATTCACATCAATATATATTATGTATGTACGTAAACACAATGTTTGGGTGGATGATGATGATGATTATGGACAAAATGGACGAAAAATTTGGATCATAAAAAAAGTAAAATTGAATTTGGAATCAAAAAAAAAAAAAACAAAGAACTTTTAATTTGAATATTAAATTTACTTTTTTTTTGTTTGTTTGTATTCCGGAAATAAAATAAACAACAAATACTGATGTTTTTTGAGTTCATGACATTTTACTGTTTTTTTTTGTGTTTGAAACGACCATTGTATATGTCATTTACTTAACAAAATAATAATGTCCATATCATGAACAATGTGACAAATGGAATAAAAGTTTTATTCTCATTTTCATTTCATTTTTGGAATTAAGAAATATTCAGCATTAAAAAAAATAAAGTAATGTAATGAAATAATTATTTTCAATGCAAACACAACCATGGACAGTTATGTCAAATTCATTTTTTTTTTCTCTATTTTCAAATGACGATAATTAATGCAACAAAAGTAAAGTTTAAATTTTGTATAAAGTTTCCTGTTTTATTGTTGAAAATCTGTTTCAGGTTTCACTGTTTATTTGTTTACATAATGATGTTTTGTTTTGTTTTTTCATTTATTTAGAATACTATTTTTAATTTTTAAATTTTATGCCTACATTTTGATTGACAACAACAGCAACAACAAAGGTGTTATATGCATTCAAAAGATAAAAGAGTTAATTATAATTCTATTACATAAGCATTGTTTTGTTTTGGTAGTTTAACTGGAAAAAAAAAGTTTTCCACACAGATTGTCTATATAATGTAAATCTCATATATTGACAACAATGATTTGTACATCAAAACACATGTTTATTTTTATAACGGATATTAATTATTTTGTGTTATTTGTTTATGTCATGTGTTTTCCGGAGGACGATTCAAATGATATTTTTGGAAAAAAAAAAAAAAAAATAAATAAAATAAATAAACAGAAACAAATTATATATTTTTTTCCGTGACTAGTCAACCATGCAATAATTAATTGAATTTGCTAATTTATATTTTACCAAATTTCTTAATGAACTAATCAGTTTCTATTTAGTAGCAGTATTTGAGAATATTCATTCATCAAAGCACACGCAAATCAGTTCCAATTTTGCAAAAAAATTTGCGAAATTTTACAATTCGTAATTGTGTAGAGTAATTTTAAAAGGTACAAACTTTTAAGCATCATTCAATATGGATTGTTTTTTTTCCTGAATTATATGGTTTATAGGGCAAGGAATTCATTACCGGAAACAATCAGGACTTTTTTTTTGATTTAACCGTTGAACAAAAAGCAATAGAAAAACAACTACTCACTTTGTGCAAATGAATTGATTTTACAGATAAATGGTCCAAGTACATATGTTGGTGCCGTTAAATGATTGACAAGATGTACCCACATACAACAGATACATATTAGTATATCAGCTACAGCCAGATTAGCTAAATATAAATTAACTGTGACACGTAATGATCGTTTTGAAAGAACACTGATGACCACAGCAGAATTTCCAAATATTGAAGCTATTATAGCCAATATATAAATTGTTATCTTGAAATATTCATCCAAACCGAATGCTTTACTTTCGATTCTTTCACCTTTTTCAATAATTTTTATGATGTTGTTGATGGTCGAAAAAACCGGTAAGGAAGAAATGAAAAAATTTTAAAAAAGAAATTTCAAAAAAAAAAAAAAAAACAAATACAATACCTGGAAAAGTGAGATCTGTAAAATTTTCAATATCAATAAATTGTTCTTGACATTCGATATAATCATGATAATGATGTTGATTATGAAGATTATGATGAAATGTATGATTAAATTCAAATAATAATGATGTAAAATCATTTGATGTTGATGATGATGACGACGATAATGATGATGATGATGCAAATGATGATGGATTCAATGTGGATGGACTATTTAAATACCATAATAATGTTGTTGTTGCTGTTGATGTTGTTGTCTTATCATCATCATCATCATTATTGTTCAACAATAGTGGTTTATTGCTCATTATATATCAAAAAAAAACAACTTGAAATAACTGGTTATCTAAAAGAAATAAAAATAAAAAATAAAAATAGTTCAGTACTGGTAATGTCAACTATAAATAAATGAATGAATGAATGAAACAGCAGTTTGAAATTTTTTTTTCTATTCATTCAAATTCATTTCATTAGAAACAGACAAACAAACAATCCATTTGAATAGCCATCACTAGAGTAAGTGTTGTTGGCCATATCACATTGATGATGATGAGGAAAAAATGAATTGAAAATGACAATATATCAACTCGCGCATACAAACATGGGAATATATACAATAAATGAATAAAGAAAAAAGTAATCATCATCATCAGATAAATTACATTATCATTGTTAATGGATTTTCTTCTTCATTTCATCTAAAAGTTTTATCTGGTTGTCGTCGTTTTCTTTTAATTTTTTGTTTGTTCACATATGATGATGATGATAATGATGATGATCAAATAATGGATTGTTTGTATCTCTCTCTCTCTATGTCTTTCTATTGGTATTCATTGGTTCGATGTCACTATGTTATTTTCCTTGTTTTCATTCAATGAAACAGAAAAGAATAAAACGATTAGTTAAATTGATGAATACACGATCAACACCTGTGTGTGTTTGTGTGTAATAGAAAACAAAAAAAAAATTATGAATATCCATTATATACATAGAGAAGATAAAAGAAAAAAATGACAAGCAAACAATAACGACACAAAAAAAAGAAAAAATGATTGATTAAGTGTGATTCATTCATAAATGATTGATCAAAATAAGCTAAAGAGAAACAAAAAATAAATTTAGCGCAAATTATACTAGGTAAAACACATTACAGGTAAACTTGTTAATCATCATCCATTTAATATCTGGTGATGATTTCATGGCAATAATTTCAATTAATTAACTTTCTAAAAAAAATCCATAATTGAACATAGATTAGCAACACAAATATTCAAATTAATTTTTTCTTTTTTTTCAAATTGTAAAATAATAGATGTATTGTAATTCAAAGAAGAAGAAGGAAAAAATCACAAAAATTGAAAAAAGCAAACAAACGAAATAACGATTGGATTTGTGTTTCAGAGAAAAAGCTAACACCATCATCGTCATCATCATCATCATCATCAGGAGTTGATTATTCAATGAGAATTAAGCAACAATAGCAAAAAAGTGATTGAAAATTAATGTTTTTGACACCATAATCATTATCAAATACAACAAACAAAAAACGAGAATTAGGAAATTTTCAAAATTAGGTTCTCTCACACCCGAAACAATCACTGTCTAATTCGAAACAACAACAGTAATTGGTGATCATTTTTTTTTCTCTTATTCTCTACACGGAAAATTCAAATCCATTTTAATTGTGTGTGTTTTCCATTATGTCTATGTTTTATTTTCCCTTTTTAAACATTTCCGAAAAATCACCATCATCATCAATTGATGATTTTCGAGGGGGGGGGTAGAGAAAAATATACGCAAAATGCATCTGTAAAATACTTTAGTTAATGGACTATACAGAAATTAATATCATGATCACATAGATTATTCTGACCAAAGTCGCGGAATTGTTCAAGTGTTGTGTGTGTGTGTGTGTGTGTGTGTGTGTGTGTGTGTGTGTGCTGCTGTCAATGATACGAAATCACACCACATTACATCAATATTATCATCATCAATTTCAATTGTACATTCTTTTTTCCACATTTACAATAAATAATTTCATCATCATCAACATCTTATTATATCAAGATTAATGTGTTAATTATGGATTCACGTAACGTAAACACACACACACACACACACACAAGTTGTAATTATATACACTTGTCTATTGATGATAATGTATACACATCATTGACTTAATGTTAAAGTTATATATAGTTGTTAGAGCAGTTCAATTAATAAAAATAATGATAAAAGCAATTTACAATATAACATGATAAAAGTTTCATTGATTTCACTTATTACCCCCCCCCAACACACACACACACTTACACTATAAACTGTCGAACAAAATAGATGTTGTTCAGATCCATAATAACAAGATAAGATAAGAGAAAAAAAATACCAAATTTACTTGTCCCTTGAAACGAATCCAAATGGAATTCGTATTTCTGTCTTTATCTTCGCTCTCTCATAATGTATTTAGCTGGAAAAGTAAAAAAAAATGAACAAGTTAAGAATCGCCAGAAATTCAAAGTGAAAATAAATTGAAAAACATTCATATATATTATAGAAAAAGGGGATGCCGTAAGGCCAAAATACTAATAATAAAACAACAACAACAACAACAACAAAAAACAAGAGTTTTCTTCTTTATAAAATCAAATTATCGAAAATGAACCACACATACACACATGGTGGATATAGAAAATTGAATAAATTTGAGAGAAAAGTAAGTAATAATAGAAAAAAAACAAATGATCATTGTGAGAACTATAAAAAGAATTTGAAGTGTTAAAACAAAATTACTCTGGATTTTTGTTGGGTTTTTCATGTGAAAATATTTAATGACTATATGAAAATATGGAATAAAAGTACTTTTGATGATGAAAAACACATACAAACACGTAGAATATATTGGCAAAAGTTTTAAAATCTGAATTGATTTTTGATTAGTTTTTTTTATGGCTCGTTGCTACTACTTGTATTGATTTGATTCGATTGTTTTCAATTTTTTTTGTTGTTGTTGTTGTATTCCTGCCATTCTTTTGCTCTTTCTCAAGCTTTCGAGAAATCATTATGAAATTCTGTATCATGAAAAAAATAACTACGAAGCCTTTAAGTACAACGATGGAAAGAAAAAATATAGGAAAAGTTAAGAAGAAAATCTGATCTGAAATTCGATACATGATAAATCGTAAAAATAGCGATGACAATATATTTTTTCACAATCGCTTTTTCCACCACCATTGTTCAATATGTGTTACTTTGTTTATCGTTTTTTTTTCTTATTTTCGACATTATTATCACACATAATCTAAAAACAATCAATAGCCGAATTAATAATAATAATAATTATAAAAATCTTGCCGCCATTATCATCATCATCATCATCGTGATCAGAAATATGGCCATCCGATTAGTTTGACCAAACTGATTGATTGATTGATTAAAAATTCTATTAGTTACATTTGGTTAATGTATAGAATAATTAAATATAATATATATAGGCCGATTATCATTTTGGTAAATATTGGCCATCTTAAGAATAAAAAAAAAAGAATCTTAAAGAAAGAAAATATTTTTATCGATTAGATATTAATAGATTCATTCATTCAATGACGAAAAATATCCGAAAATTTTTTTTTTAAGTTGGTCGTAAAGAAAATAATATATTTCCAAGTTGTTGAAAACAAAAGTTTTTTCTTTTGTAAAAAAGTTTTTTTTTCACTTTAAGCGTCGAGGGAGATGAAAAAAAAATCCGCATCATTTTCGCTGCCTAAATGAATGCAACCATGACAACCGATGGATAAAAAAACAAAACAACAACAACAGTAAGACAAGTTATCTACTAGAAGCACTATGTTTTATATAATAATAAAATTTTCGTCGGATATATTTTTTTTTTCTTCAATCTGATTCCATCAAAATCAGAGAAAAACAATAGTTTTAAAGTTGAAAAGAAATATTTCATAAAAACATAGCTTTAAGCTGTTGAAATTTATTTTTTTTTTCTCTTCAAAGTAATATAAACATCATCATTATTGCACGCACACAAAAAAAAGTGTCTGGTTATTTCCAAATTTTTGTTTTACTTTTACAAATAAAATTACGATAAATGAACAAAGATGGAATTCAAATGCAATAATAAAGAAAAGGATTCAGTATTTTTTCGGTTGTTGTTGTTGTTTATTATTTTATTTGAATTTATATAAAAAAAAATTATAGTTACATGATTCGTTATTCTTGATATGTCAACATCATCATTTTTGTTTCTTGATGACGACAATGATAATGATGATGATGGTGGAGATAATATATTGAAACATGAATCTAATTGTCGTTGTTGTTCAAAAAAAAAATGTTTCTATTCTAGTTTCTGTAACATCAATAACAAAATCTTGTTGTTGATTAAAAAAAAAAAAAATAAAATAAAAATTTTACAGTTTTCACACTTTTTCTTTGTCATGTTTTTCTTTCATCATCTTATTGTTATCAAATTATCAAATTGCGTTGAAATTGGACCTTCCTCTAAGCGGAAAAATATTTGAAAAACCGAATTTTTTTGAAAGAAAACTAAATAATAATGAAATTCGTATGAACCTTATCAAACTGTATCAGAATAATGTGTGAAAGTGAGAAAAAATAGGACAACAAAAGCAACAAACAAAGCAGAAAAAAAGATCAACGGATGAAGCAAAAAATAACCAAAGATTATTGAAGCATTAACACAACAAAACACACACACACAAAGAGAATGGAAAAAAAGAATGTGGGAAGAATTTGCTATACAAACTTTGATTGTTAAAAATCAAAAGAATTAGATAGGAATAAAGAAAACATTCAGATGACATACACACGCAGACAAAAAGGAAGCCAAAAGATGCGGGAAAATGTCAAACAAACCGGGTTAAAATAGAAAAAATTATCATCAACAATCATATATACATGCACATCCAGGGACAGAGTATGTTCATTTCATTAGGTTAATTTTTTTCTTGTTCAAAAAAAAAATTACTAAAAACAGAATAAAGAAAAAAATCATTCGATTAAGATTTTTTCTTTCTCTTTTTATGGTGATGGTTATGATGGTGGTTGTTGTTTGCCAAAAACTAATTAAAATTAGACTTGAATTTGGAACACAACATTACGAATAATTAGAGAAGACGAAGAAGAAGAAGTGAATATCTTTAATTTTTGTTTAAAAGCTTTAATTTCCTTTGAGAATTCTTGGATACATTTGTACGACGATTATATTAAGATTTGAGAATCAACATACCAAAACTTTTTATTGTGCAAAAAAAAATAATATCAATATACAAATGAAAATGAATGTAAAGTGCAAGTTTCATGGAACATACATACAGGCACACAAACAAAAAAATCACATGACATGTTTGAGAATCATTAAAAATTCTTTATTTATTTATAGAGTGACAAAAAAAACAAATAATTCTGTAGAATGTGAATTTGTAAAAAAATAGCAGTAGTAGTTTTGTTACTTTCAAAAAAAAAAAAGTTAAACCTTACCGTTTTTTGTTTGATATGTACGGCCCCCGTATATACGAAATCAAAAATTCATAAACACCTTTTTTGATACATATTCATCAATCATACACACAAACAAATTTAGCATATTATCAATAAAGATAAAAAAATAGGCTGAATTCTAGATATTTTTTTTTGACAACAAATACACAGTGAAAGTTGTATGCATGAAATCAATGATTTTTTTTCTGGATATAGATTTTTCATCGATTAATCGGATTTTGACTTTTTTTGTTGTTGTTGTTGTTGTTGTTGTTGTTGTTGCTATTGTTGTTATTCACACAATATTTATAACAAATTTTCAATATCAAATCATGTGATGATCATAGCATAAAAAAAGCATTTTATGATTGAAAAAAGATATGAATTATAATATAATTATTATTATAGCCATTGTTTTATTATTGTTCATCAATATATATCATAATGATAAGCTTTGAGAATATTGGAAAGTTTTTGATAAAATAAAAGTTTTTTTTTATCTCCGTTGAAACAAATATGTGCGATATGTTTGTGAATGATGTTTAAACTGAATCTAATGAATTGATGATCATGATCATGATCATGATGATTTGATTCCAGTGTAGACTTGTGTTTGTTTGCTTTATTCTAAATCCGTATAGTAATAGTGGAATTTTTGTGGCTTGTCAATACATTTTAGAATATATTTTTTTTTCGAACTGAAAACTGAAAAAAAGGTGGTAAGATACGCCTTAAATATATATAATATATATCGATATCGAATGGCGCCGACTCTATATAGAAAATGAATTTTTTTTACTTTAGTTGAAATTTTCGATTCTCATTATAATTTTCGGTTTTTTTTCTTCAACAAAATGAGAGTAAAATTGCCTTTAGACACACACTCACACGGAAAAAAATCGAAAAAATGCATGCTTGTCATAATTGATGTCATGATTATAATTGTTCTTTTCTTCACTTATGCTTTTTCAAGTTTTTTTTCACTTAATCAAAAAAAGATACCAAAAAAAATTGATAATGAAATTGGCCATAAAAAATTAGCAAAGCACAGCTGTTGCATTCATTTATTCACCGATAGTCGTTTTTTGGCAGACCGAACAAAAAAAAAAATTCTTAAGTAGCTACAACAGCAGAATAAATTATAAGTTTTGCCAACCATCGGAATTTTTGTTTGAATAATGATTATTCAATGTTATATAGCATTGACAGAGTAACAATACAATAATCCAAAAAAAAATCCAAATAATATCAATCAATCAATCGAATATTTGGATTCATCACATTCACTAGAATACTAGAAAGAATATTTGACCAATTTTTCAAAAAATGGTCGGTCCATTCTTTCATAATGATTAATGATTTCGAATGAAATGCGTTTGCTGCAAAAAAAACACAATATTTTTGTTTCTCTCCAAAACTTGATGATGATTTCATTCACATTCATTGAACAAAAGTTTTTCTAACATTTAACCACCATTGAAAACATCATTTTTCATTACAAAATCAAAATCAGACAAAAAAATTCGATTTGTTATTGATGAGTAAATTTTTTGAATGAAATATCTTCGCTTACTTAAAACGATAATGATGAAAAAAAGGAAATACATCTTTTTATTAACACATTATACACGTTTTTGTGTGTTTGTTTTGTTTTCACATGAACATTTATTTATTTTTTCTCCTTCGGATTTCATTTTTGTTCAATTAGTGATGATGGACTGTCATCGATCACTAAGTTAGCGAGAGAAATAAAAAACACAGTCCAATAGATTGATGATAATAATAATAATAATAATAACAATATACAAAAAGACACTCTGCCAAATAGATTGATGATGGAAATACTGTTGATTTTTTTTCAGAAAAAAAAATTTTTGCTGTCAAATTTTTTTTTTATAAAATTCAAAGTTATTTTTAGTAGCCAAAAATGTTTCAATTTAATGGAAACAAAATACAAGAAAATGATTACTAAATTGTTTTGAGAAAAAAAAAAAAAAACATTTTACCCCCAAACATCCACACACACACACACACACACAGAGAGAGAGAAATATGACAGTGAAGCAAACTGTAAAGGGGAAAAAAAGAAAGAAAACAGATTGAAAGTAAAGTGAAAATTCATTCGATAATAATAATGATTGATTTTTGTATTGAAATGGAAAAAAAAGTTTTTTTTTCTTATTTACAGTCAAATCATTTAATCCTCGGATAATCATCAGAAAATGATTAATTTCAACACACACACACACACACACATTGAATGTTTGTGTTTGTTTGTTTACAAATCACAAATGACAAGCGTAAAAAGCATGAATATTTTAAGAAAAAAACTACTTGTTTACTTTTATGTTTTCTTATGAGAATGAATTTGGCCAGAATGTTGTCGAATCTAATGAGTGCAACCCGAAAGAAAAACAGCTAAAAATTCATCAAATAATCTAAGAATTTGATAGAAAAAAGAAAATAATCGTCATCATCATCATTATGATTATTATCATTAAGCAAATGATGGTGATTTTGTTGTGAACAAATTGAATTTTTTTTCAAGCAAAATCAAAAAAAAAAAAAATTATAATCGTATTACATTTGATGATGATTGAATGTGATTAATCATTAAAATTATTTATCCTTTATATAATTATAAATAGTATCAATGTTTAGTCATAAAACAGAAAATTCAATCTATTAATTTGACTTTTAAAGAATTTTATTTCGATTTTTTCCAGTTATTTCACAAATCAACAATAACAACAACAACAACAACAACAACAAAGAACATTCAAACAAATCTTTTGAAAGCAGATAATAATTCTTCACAGATTCGATAATTTCCCAAGTCATCGTCTGCATCATATAAAAAATTTGATATTTTCTCCAACAATAAAATTGTTGATGATTTAGGCACATCAGTAAAACAATTTGGATCAATAATCTTAAAAATTTGAAACAAAAAAAAAGAGAAAAAAATTAATGAAGAAAGAAACGCAAACGAAATGACTTACCAAGGATTTGATCCAGAATAGTACATTCGGTGCAAGAAACGATATTTCATCTAATGATGTGAATTTTGAATTCAGCACGCTACACAATCGTATTCCACATATGATCAATAATTGACGACCTAAACTTTTTGTATCCGATACGGTAGACATAAGCTTTGGTGTGTATGTTTGTTAGTAGATAAAATTAAGATCAATGATAAAGAAATTTTTTTTTATTGGTTAATAAGAAAAAACGACCAAACACCTTTTCAACAAAATTTACCTCTTCGGCTAACGGATCACATCCGTAAAGAAAAAGTTCATGTACATAATGCCCACGTATACGATCGATATCTAAATTCCATTCTCTTGCCAATTGAATTATCCTACCGAACCATTTGTTTGCTTGAATATAGAATTGTTGGCATTCATTTTTATTATCATTGGTATCTATCGATTTTCATTCGATAAAGAAAGAAATAATGGAAATTAATTTTCAAAGAAAAAAGATATATATAAAAAATATCATACCATTTCTATACGATGGAATTGTTTGTACTATCGATGTAATTGTATTAGTAAGAAATTTTCTTCGAATTTCAGTTATTTCGGGATCATTTAATATGATACCATCATTAGTAGTATCAATCGATAGAAATGAAACAAGATCTTTAAAAAAATATGCTCGTATCGATGATGGAAACAATGATAATGGACGAACATTTCGCACAGAAAATATTATAATAAATTGAATACATTGTGCTAGATGATAATATTCAATCAATAGATCAATATTGGCCATTTTTTGATGCATTGCCATCACTGCTAATGGAATGTTCAACGAATATAATGATGATGATTCATTCAATAATGATGGCTGCTTGGGTTGTTTAGATTTGTTGCCGGTTGTTGTTTGTAAATCATATTTGATGAATTCTTCATTATAATTCGTATTATATGATTGCAATGAATTAAAACTATTCCACCAATCATCCATTGTATATAAGGGCAATGCTTCTGTTTCCGATGATGCACTTGTTCTTATCATAAAATCTACTAAATCACAGCTAAAATTTGAAAATTCTTCCAAATTGTTTTCATCTGTATAAACAAATAAACAAACATTAATTTTGGACAAAAAAAATTCGCTTTTTATAATATTACCCATTCCCAATTCTTTCTTAATGACACGATCTTTAGGTTTTTTTCCCATCTTTTCGATCAGATTGCAAAGAATTTCAAATCTTTTTTGTATAAATAAACGCCATGCCATTGAAGCAACATTATGTTTCAAAACTGAACTTGATACTTTTTCCAAGTATTCTAATGCCATTTCAATTGTATGTATTAATGGTTGATTACTCCATTGTCGTAATAATTCCCAAAAACAATTTATAAGTAATATATCAGAATCAAGACAATTTGGAAAACATCGTCGAACATGATCTAAAATTTCGACCAATGTTGATTGTGCTGTTAATCTTGAAAGTTCGTTTACAGCATTGGAACCGGTTTCTAAATCACTATTAATAGGAAAAATTAAGATTATTAACGATAAAATTGTTGAGAGAACATTCGAAAAGCAAACATTGTTTACCTTTGAATATAATTTTTTGGAATTTTTTCCTCATCATACGATTCTACATTCGATGAAGATAGTGTTGAATCAACATCAATTCGTGGACATGTGCTAAGAAGTTTGGGATCAATTTTATGATACACAGCCCAGCGGGCAACAATCTCCGAAACAATACCCGGACCACTGGTCAATATAAATGATAATGATATGTTTTCAATATTTTTCACACCATTATTCAAGGTTTGCGCTGTATTTGTTGTTATTACGGATGAATTACATGATTTGAGCAACAAATCAAGTAAAAATAAATCTTCAAGTTGTTTTGATAATAAATTTAGATTTTCTTTGTCCAAATGTAATGTTTCCCATTCATTATCGGCCGATACAATGCTATGCAAGGATTTTTTCTCATCATCATTATCATTTAATTCTTTTTCTTTTATCTCGGCCATTTTCTTTTCAACTTTTATTCGATGTATAAGTGCTTTAATCATATTGATTGCTATGAATGCAGCCGGAATATTTGTTGACTTATAAATTAGCTTAATAATATCAATCCAACTGGGACTTAGATGATCATCAAAACATGAAAAATCAAATTGAATTTCATTTACGTCATTTGATTCATTATTTCTGTTGTCTATTTGTGAAGCATTTATTGTATTTATAATATGGCTAAAAGCCATTGAAAATGTCGTCCAACAAGGCCAATAAATTGAACATTTTGAATGTATCCATGCGTTAAACAATAGAAGCAATAAATTTGACAATATAATATTCGTATCATTCAATAAAATTTCCAAATTAGATTCATCACCACAGAATATTGCAAAAAATAAATATGTTGATAATCTATTCAAATTAATATAATGATCATCATTAATATTCATCATTTTTAGCTTATTGTCTTCCAATTTTCTTGATGTTGTTTGAGTTTCTTCTTTCATCAATATAATTTCAATGGGTAAATTTTCGAAAATTTCTTGTTGATCACGTTTAACAAGATGATTATAATATAATGTAAAATGTGATAACATTTCCGTAATCGTTAGATTTAATTCACTTAAATATGTTTTCATTTGTGGATCCATTTTCAATATCGATTGACGAAATGTAATTAATGATAGTATACGTACAACATCATTTCCTGACCAACCTTCTAGCTTTTCCATCAATTGTTGTATATCAGGTGGTTGCTCACTTTGATGAATGATATTTTCAAATTTTTCCTGCAATTCTTCAGTTCTTTCTTGTATGCTGATATAATATTGACAAAGTTGTATGATTCTTGTACACATCTGTGCAATCAATTTGTTTTCAAAATCTAATTCATTCTTATCCAATGATTGTAGTAAATCATTATGTAATTTTCGTGTACATAAAAGTATTAGATTGGGATCTTCACAAGTATTACATATTAATTCAATACATTCACGTCGTATTTCAGCAGTTTTTAGCATTAAAATTAATTTTGTTATTTCATTGTAGAATTTTTCTTTCATCATTTTATCGATTGAATCAGATTTTTTTAGTAGATTTTTTAAATCTTTCAATATATGGATATCACGAGTTTTTTTACTATTCTTATCGGTCAACGAACAAAGAAATGGAACCTGAAAACGGAAAATTGTTCCAGTATCAAAATTAAATAGAAAACATCTTGAATATGCAAAAAATCGTTGATATTCTTGAAAGCTCATCGTATTTTTTATGTTTTGTAGAATGATATAATTAAGGCCAAACATAGTATGATCAATGTAGAGAAGTTTACAATTTTTTCCAACATTAAAAGCTGTTACACGAGGTCCATTCTGCGCACACCAAATTTCTAATATACCTCGTTTTGGTACATAAATGACAAGGAAATGTGCCTGTTTTCGATTCTCTTGTTCCAAATCTTCATCGATAACAATCCAACCAACTTCAGCTTTCCGATAACCTTTCCAAATACGAACAGCAATTAAATTTTGCATATCAAACAGTATTACGCGGCCAAAATCATCGGTTACAGCGGCTAATCTTCGATTTGGTGAAAGACAAATTTTTAGACCTAAACGTTCATCGAATAGAGATAAATCAGATCCAACGTTTGTCGATGGTTTAATCAATTCTTTGACATTTGGTTCTTTTTGTTGATTGAAGAAAGAAAACATATTTTTCACTTTATTCATTAAATATTGAGATAATTCATCAATTATAGCATGTGTTGTTCCCTGTTGTAGAATAAATGAAAAAAAATATGATTTTTCAATCAATTTTACATTAATTTATCGATTTACCTCTTGTGCACGATAAAATCCAATATAAGGATTAGTTCCAGTAGTGAAAAAAAGATTAGCATGATCATTGGCTAATGGTTTTCCATCAATCGAATGTGATACTAAAGCATCGAAATCATTTTTAACAAAAGAACAAACATTAACACAATCATAGATTCGACCATCAGATGATGTCTGAAATGTCCATTTTTTAAATGTAAAAGGTGTTTGATTGCTTTCTTTGGTGTTGAAAAATCCGCCAATGTTGTCTATGGTTTCATCCGATTTTGTTAATCGATTACGACAAAGTTTAATAGTTTGAAATAGACTAAAACCATCAATCTGTATGACGGCAGTTGGATAAATAATTAGAATTTCATCCGTTTGATCCGATAATAGCTGATTGATAGAATATGTGCGACATTTAATTTCAACGATTGGTTCATCATGAAAAAGATGTGACAATAGAAGAAATTTTCCATTTTCCGTATAGATTCGAAAATAACCTGACGAGAATCCAACTATAATGGCTGTCCAATCACGAAAATTTACGGCAGATTTTTTATGTGATACAAAGGGTAACAAAACAATATTTGTAAGTATTTCATCATTTTCAATTCCTATGAAAAACAAATTAACAATTAATGAAACAAATATGATTATCATTTTAAACGAACAAACCAGGTAACGTTGTAGTATAAATCGAATTAAATTCAGTTTGATTATTACTAGAATTTTGTTTCAAATGAAATATGGATACTGTTCGTGATCGTCCAATGACCATCATATCTGAAAATGGTGATATAGAAATAATACATTCATTAAGCCATACATATTTCTTATCATCATTATTATCATCTTCATAGACTAATTCACTTGTATCCCAATTCCAACGATTATCCCAATCATCATCACGATACATTTCTTGCCTGGTTTGATCTTCAGGTATTAAGGTTGTTTTAATATCATCTAAATTATTTACAATTGAAAATAGATTAACTGAGGCTGACATTGTAGTCAAAAAAAATGGGAAAACACAATTAAAAAAAACTTGAAAGAATCCAAAATAATTTTTCCAATTTCCAATTTAATGACGTAAACAAATCAATAAAATCAGCTGTGCTGCATCATGATGAATGAATATCATTAGTGATGAACTGAAAAAATTGGCTATGCCTCTACCACATAAAGAAAACGATGATGTTGCTGTTGTATGAATCCTAAATCCAAAAAAACCTCCCGGTTTGGGAAGCATAGAAAATAAGTAAGAAGTATTACACTTTTAGTTTGTGAACTAACTTTAAACTGTGCCGCTACTTTTCAAAAAACCGGGGGGTTTTATTTAGTTTACACTTAGTTAACTTTACTAAATATCAATTAATTGAGCTCGGATTCTATTTATCGATTTATTTGAATATTTAGCGTTTGTCACATCATGTTTTCCTTTTTGATTTTTGGAAAATCGACATTTTAAAAAGCAGGTGTTTAAAGTATTTCTTTTTTTTTGAATTTTTACTTAATTAATATCTCAATAATTTCAGTATGTCAAAAAAGAAAAATAATATTTCCCGTTCGATAAAAGTTTCTATGGATCAATTAATGAGCTGGATTGAAAATGAAGGAATCAAGGATGAATTCATCATTCCAGCTTATGGAAAGTTGATTGATAAACTCAATGATTTTGTCCATTCATATGGATCTTTTAGCATGGACTTTGATGTGTTTCAAATTATACAGAATAAAATTGAAAGCATAGCTGATTCATCCGAAATTTCATCAGATCTTCGGATATTAGTGACGGAAAAATTCAATATTTCCAAGCAAATAACACCGAAATTCTTATCAATAAAAAAACGAAGAAAATTCGATCAACGAAGTTCAATCACCAAAGCATATAATCAAATACGATCAAAACAAAAGTCTCTGACATTCTGTTGTGGAAAGTTATTTAAAACACATACCAACATGCATCGACACATTGTTAAAACTCATCCAGATGTGATTATCGATGGAAACAATCCCCAAGAGGAGTCGACTAATACATCTCAAATACAAGGAACTTCTCTTGAATACTCCATGTTTAGTGATATTGAACATTCCTCTTCCTCAGATGATGTTTCGGTGAAAGTTGAGATCGAAACAGACCCGGAATTTTGTGATGTTTTGGTGAAAGCTGATACCGAAACAGACTCGGAATTGAATGATGTTCTGATGGTGAGTGATAACGAAATCGCCCAGGATCGAATGATGTTAAAGAGGCTGATAACGAAACAATCATCTAATCAAATGATATTCCGATGGTGGACAATATTGAAACGGCCTTAAAATTGAAGAATGTTACAATATTGACTGAAAGTGAAATGGACATGAATCAAATCATACTAATATATTGTAAATGGAAGATTTCCATGCAGATTCGAATGCCAAATCTAATTTCGAGTTAGAATCTTAATTCATTCTTAACTATTGAATTCTTATAAATAATTTTTTATTTCAGTTAAAAATTGTAAATAAACTGTGAATGAATGTTCGGCTACTCGTAAAATGGCATTGTTTGCTATATTATCATCATCATATGAAACAAGGTGTTTGATTATGGAATGACTATCGTAATATTTGCATAACAAAAGAAAGCTTAAGATTAATGAAAACCCTTAGGTCAAAAAGTTCAAGCACAATGCAATTTAACCAAGGACGAAACAAAAAAAAAAGTTTCCAATAAGTATCGACATCAAAGAAAACTCAGCAAGAAATCACCGATTACCATTAAGAAATTATAAAAGAACATTATTATACATAGGACTTTAGGGTAACAAGAACGAACATGAAATTCTGTGCATATATCAAACAGAAACATATTGAAACATATTATGATTGAACGATTGACTATTAAAACATGTAATCATAATCATCAAACGTCCACGAGAAAAAAAAATTTGTTTAATGTGCTAGCAATAACTGGTTTTAACCAGTGATTCGTCAGATAAATGCATGTTTATCAATCACTTTCGTTGACACTTTTCAGCTTGGAGAATCTGATTGCCAAACTAGAAATCCAACGAATCAATCGAGGTAATTATACTTATATTTTTATCATAAACCCATTTTTTTTCTTAAGATAATAGTATCGATAATTTTTTTTTTTTTGATGATACTTTTTTTCCGACGGCATGCGTCTATAATCAGAAATTTTGAGTATGCGACATTTTTTTTCTCTATGATAAATTAACATTCCGATGTATATAGCTATATCGGCAAATATAAGCGCCTGATCACTAAGAGTATGAAAGAGGTATATATATATATATGATGAAGACAACAAATCTTTAATTTCGCATGGCGTATTTTTTTCCAGCATGTACATGTGCACGCCGTTTTTTTTGAGCAACATTTTTTTTTATATTATATTGTCAATTCATGTGAGCAATAGAATTATGATGATTGCTCTCTAACTTCATTTCTCGAACAATTCTTTATTTAATATTGTTGTCATTCCTTCAATATCACCACATATAACATTGTATAATAAATATATGTGTGTGTGTGTGTGTACATGTCTTACAATCGATATAATCATACTGGATGAAACCAATGTATAATGGATGAAAAATGTGTTGTTAACTTTTATATTCTCAATAAAAACAAAAATAAAGAATATTCTTATTCATCATTCGATCGATTAGGCTACAGTTAAGAAATTCATAGTTTCCATCAGAATATATTGTGTAAATGTGATTCATATGTGAATATATACATACAAATTGCAAACTTGAAGCAAAATTGGTCAAATTAAAAAAAGTAAGTATAAATAAGTCATTCTACTTCTTTTTTTCAGATTAAAAATTGTGTAAAAGGGACTTCTAACTTAAAAAAAAGATTCATTTTCATGTAATTGTATATTCATGAATTCATTGCTGAGGTTTCATGTTCATGTAAATAACTAATATGAGCTCTTTTTTCATTAAACACAAAATTATTATTATGTTTTATTCACCATTATATATAATAGAAACAAAATAATGATTTCATGATCATTATCAATGTGAAAAAAAACATTTTCGCCAAATTTATGTTTATCAGATTCCCTCTTTAATTTTTGTGATAATTGCGTAATAATGAATTATCAAGAACATCTTGATATCAAAATAAATGACACGAATATAATAATGTTTTTATATTATATTACATTTTCAAGATTAGATATGAATACTCATTGTTTTTATATTTGACAATGACGAAGCAAAGTAAAATCTAGCAAAACAAAAATAATGATAATGATGAAAACTAAGGATTTTTCCCATCTGAAATGAATCCGGTTTTTAATTTCGAATTCTATTTTTTTTTTTTGACAAAATATCTAGTTAAAATTAGCTCGATTTCTATCCACCGTTTTCATTGTCATCATCATCATCGTTGTATGATGTTAGGTTTATTATTTCAATTTTTTTTTGTCAATGTATCGTATATATAAAATTTTTGTGTACGACCGAATTCATTTAGTTTTTTTTGTTTGATTTTCCCTTCTTGTTTTGATGAATAAATGAATGAAGTGCAATTGCTAATACAATTATCACTATTATTTTTCTTTCATCACATTTAGCCTTGTGTTTTCCAATCATTTTTTTCAAGATGTTGATAATATAACAACAACTGTAAAGTGAAAAAGAGAATTCAAACAACAACAACAACAACATTAAGCTCAAGATCATATTGTTTTTTATTATATTGAAATTCATTTTATAGTGGAATCATCGATCTAAATAAGAAGAAACTTTTTAAAATTTTGATCTCATTCATTCGTTTTTTTTTGATAACTTGGCTAATCGAGGTTTGTTTGTTGCTGAATTTATCTAAACAAGCTTATCTTTTTAATCTCAGTAAAATTATGGCAACGATCGATTTGAACAAACAAAATGGTGGTCCTCATCATAATCACAACCAGAATAATTGCCATCATTCATATCATTCTATTAATAAAACTCAAAACGACAATTCTAAACGAAATCGGCTAGCAAATGGCAACGATTCCGGTGTTGAACAGCAAAATTCTTCTGCTATCCAGCCATTAAGAATCGATTATAGCAAATGTTCGAAGGTTACTGTCGTTCTTGGTTCACAATGGGGTGATGAAGGAAAAGGAAAGATTGTCGATTTGATCGCTTCTGAGATGGATGTCATTTGTCGATGTCAAGGTGGAAATAATGCAGGTCATACTGTGGTTGCTGATGGTGTTGAATATGATTTCCATTTATTACCCAGTGGTATCATTAATGCAAATATTACATCCGTTCTTGGTAATGGCGTGGTCATCCATCTAGGCCAATTATTAGACGAGATTCACAAAAACGAAGGAAAAGGTCTCATAAATTGGCAACAACGTCTGATCATTTCTGATCGTGCTCATTTGGGTAAGTGTGTTCTAAATATGTATACTTTGTTGAAATATTTTTTTCGATAGTGTTTGATTTCCACCAAGAAGTCGATGGTTTAATCGAAAAAGCTAAAGGAACGAAAAGTCTTGGCACGACAAAAAAAGGCATTGGGCCAACATATTCAACAAAAGCATCACGTATTGGCATTCGTATGGCCGATCTGATGGGTGATTTTGATAAATTTTCAGAAAAATTTCGTTCTTTAGTCAAATTTTATCAGATTCAATTCCCTGACTTGAAAGCAAATGTTGACGAACAATTGGAACGCATAAAAGAAATGAGAGAACATATTCGCACTTGTGTCATTGACACAATACCATTCATATCAAGATCGATTCATGAAAAACGAAACATTTTAGTCGAAGGTGCCAATGCAAACATGCTGGACATTGATTTTGGAACATATCCTTATGTAACATCTTCGAATTGTACGGTTGGTGGTGCTTGTACCGGATTAGGCATACCTCCAAGATTCATCGGTGATGTTTATGGCGTTGCTAAAGCATATTGTACTCGAGTAGGTGATGGACCATTTCCAACTGAATTGACAAATGAAATTGGCGATTATCTTCAACAAGTTGGTAAAGAAATTGGTGTAACCACCAAAAGAAAACGTAGATGTGGATGGCTTGATATTGTTTTGCTTCGTTATGCCGATATGATCAATGGATTTTCAGCGTAAGTATATTTTTTTTATTGGAAATGTTAATTTAATCCCAATTAATTAACATAATAATTAATCAAGTATTGCATTGACTAAATTGGACATATTGGATGGATTATCTGAGATAAAAATTGGCATCAGCTATATGATTGATGGCAGTGAAATTGAATCGCCACCGTCAAACATTGTCGATATGGAAAAAGTAACCGTCAATTATGTTACATTACCCGGTTGGAAATGTTCGATTAGCCAATGTCGACGATTTGATGATTTGCCCGAAAAAGCTCAAAATTATGTCCGAAAAGTAGAGTCATTGTTAGGAAAGCCAAGTAAGTATTTAGACAATTTGTTGAATTATATCCAAGAAAAATTATCATAATTTTTTTTACAGTAAAATGGATCGGTGTTGGCGCATCACGTAATTCAATTATACAATTATTTTGATTATTAAAGAATTATATGGACAATATTTATGGTCAAAAAAAAAATGAATCTTCCACACAAAAGTTTTGTCCAACATTATTTTTCACCATTCAAATATATTATCAAGCTTTGTTTTTTCGGAAAGAATATTTTTTAATATCTGCAAATTTGTTATGTTTTTTTTCAAACATATTTTCAATTTGTTTTTATGATGGCATTTTCACAAGAAAAAGGTATTACAATGTTTTGAAAAATTCTATAAGAATAGTAAATGGTGTTCGCCATTGAACATGCGGCAAACCTCCATTTAATTTCACTTGTTTTTCTATCATATTTTGGCAACGGTCTTGTTGATCTTCGAAATTCTCACAAGCGAAATTCATTGCATTTTTCATTGCGCCACCAAAAAATTTTTGGAAATTATCGATCGCTTCTTCCGAACAAACCGGATTACCATTTCTTAATTTTTCAGTCATACAAGTAGATAATACATCGGTTACACTGAGAATGAAATTTTTATGGTTAAAAATGGAAAAAGTGAGCATCTTCATTCTGTACATACCAACATAGATATGGAAATTTATTTTTATCAGGTTCAACTTTAAAAGTCAAATTCATTCGATCCAAATAGGTTTGGAAACATTCAGTTAAAAGCTTACGATTGGGATTGGTACATTTTGCAATTTGAATCATTTCTTTGCGGATTTTCGGGTTACGACGTGCACAATATTTTTTTGCCGACTGTGTGATCGAATAGGCTATAATCGTCAAGATTGATTTACCTGATGGATTTTGTTGTAGACATTGTTGTGTGTAATCTTTGGTAAATTTTGCACCAGTTTTAATATTTCTACAATTATTTTTTTTAAATGAAAAGTAATGTTTGTTTACTACTATATTGATCAAATCTACTTACCTGCAAAAGGTTGAAAACTCTTCATCTTTGGACGGATATGGATAACGTTTGTCATTTATATTTCCCGAAATTTTAAGCATATGTTCTTCTAAATTTTTATAATCATCACATTCTATTACAATTGAAGATGGAGATGATTTAGCTTGTACCATAAACATTAGACAAAGTATCGTCCATATTAAGATGATGATAAGATTCAAATTGATTTTAAAGCCGATGTTCATTTTTTCTTAATGATTCATATTCTGAATTATGTCAAACAACAAAAAAACTTATATGTTGACGCAAATATCTGTGATTTCAGAATAACTTTCTTCGAAATTTAACCATGAAAATTTTCATCTTTTATATCTTGCTTTATCGTTTGCTTATTTTTTCAAATTTATTTTGATTACGCAAATGTAACCTGTTTTTAAGCAAACATGTTTTTTTTTTGATTTACATGCATATATTGCATTTATTCAATGATTGATGAATGGATGGATTAGCACAAACAACTGTAACTTTCTATAAATGGTACATTAATGTGAATTCCTATTAAATTAAATGATGACATGGATAATGCTGTTTACAATCAAAATGATTTCAAGATGACAATAAAGTTTTTTTCGCATTCAATATAATTATTATAAGCCAGTGATTCTCAACCTTTTTTTTTGTTGCGGCACACATTTTACGATTTCAAAATTTGGCGGCACACAAAGAAAAAGCACTGCGTAAAATAGATTATGATAATGATTTTAAATGTGCTAAATAAAATAATATATAATATGTACTACAAAAATAACAGTATATAGTGTATTTGTTGTTAATTCGTTTATTCCAGTTCAGAATCGAGAAAATGACAAATCCAACCTAACACGATCAGTTCAGAATTCAAAATTCACAATCGAGAAAATGACAAGTCCAAACTAACACGACCAGTTCAGAATTCAAAATTCACAATCGAGAAAAAGGCAAATCCGACCTAACACGACCAGTTCACAATCGAGAAAATGACAAGTCAAACTTAAAACAACCAGTTCAGAATTCAAAATACAGAATCGAGAAAATAACAAATCCAACCTAACACGATCAGTTCAGAATCGAGAAAATAACAAATCCAACCTAACACGATCAGTTCAGAATCGAGAAAATAACAAATTCAACCTAAGACGACCAGTTCAGAATTCAAAATTCAAAATAAAAAAAATAACAAGTCAAACTTAACACGACCAGTTCAGAATTCAAAATCAAAAAAATGGCAAATCCAAACTAACACGACCAGTTCAGAATCGAGAAAATAACAAATCCAACCTAACACGATCAGTTCAGAATCGAGAAAATAACAAATTCAACCTAAGACGACCAGTTCAGAATTCAAAATTCAAAATAAAAAAAATAACAAGTCAAACTTAACACAACCAGTTCAGAATTCAAAATCAAAAAAATGGCAAATCCAATCTAACACGACCAGTTCACAATCGAGAAAATGACAAGTCAAACTTAAAACGACCAGTTCAGAATTCAAAATACAGAATCGAGAAAATAACAAATCCAACCTAACACGATCAGTTCAGAATCGAGAAAATAACAAATCCAACCTAACACGATCAGTTCAGAATTCAAAATTCAAAATAAAAAAAATAACAAGTCAAACTTAACACGACCAGTTCAGAATTCAAAATCAAAAAAATGGCAAATCCAAACTAACACGACTAGTTCAGAATCGAGAAAATAACAAATCCAACCTAACACGAGCAGTTCAGATGGTTAGTTATTGGAATTAGTTACCAGAATTGGTTGGTTTCTATACCGTTTTTTAGATTCATTAAAAATTATTTTCAATGATGAATTGTGTTTTCCAAGATTCAGAGTTAAATAATGTTTGTTACATTTAATTAATTCGATATGTATCGGATGTTCTGCCATTGAAGATGAACTGGTCGTTTTAGTTTGGATTTGTTATTTTTTCGATTCTGAACTGGTTGTGTTAGGTCGGATTTGCCTTTTTCTCGATTGTGAATTTTGAATTCTGAACTGATCGTGTTAGTTTGGATTTGTTATTTTCTCGATTCTGAACTGATCGTGTTAGGTTGGATTTGTTATTTTCTTGATTTTGTACTGATCGTGTTAGATCGGATTTGCCTTTTTCTTGATTGTGAATTTTGAATTCTGAACTGATCGTGTTAGTTTGGATTTGTTATTTTCTCGATTTTGAATTCTGAACTGGTCGTGTTAGTTTGGACTTGCCATTTCTAGAATCTAGCACTTTTTGTAAAACATTGATTAATAAAAAATTGTTTAAAGAAGAATTGCTTTTATTTGTTTGTTTAATTATACTTATTTTTCTTATGTTGGTTCCACTACAAACAATTCGCACAACTATTAATAGATATTTGACTAATCGAAGTACATGTTTTTGATTCAGGATTACCATAATATTCAAATGTATCAAAACAAAAAATATTTTCATTTTATTAAATCTAAAATTTGGCGGCACAATCTTAGAATTTCGCGGCACACAAAAGTGCCGCGGCACAGTGGTTGAGAATGACTGTTATAAGCAATCAATCCTTTCTCTCTATAATGGCCTGCAATTTGATTTCATCGATTCTGTCATCACAAGATACGTTTGCAAAATTCAAATCTTAAACTAGCCATTGCAATCGTTGAATCTTTGAAAAATCACTTAATCGATTCAGTGATCGTCTTTTTTTCGTCATCATTATGTTTATCTTTAATTCTCTAATGAATAAATTTTAACTATTAAAAGCTATTACATTATAAAATATAATTTTTTTTTAATTTCTAATCGACATTCTTCTTGTTCTGAAAGTACTCGGTTGTTGTGATGATGTTGGTGATATCGTTGCTGCTCTTTGTGTAGTTCGCCATCCCCATCCATTTCTCAGCGTAGATGCTCTTGAAGTTGATGGTGATCTTCTTGAGCCTCCACCTCTACTTGTTAAAAATCTACTCATTATTGATGATGATTGTCGTGATCCCATACTTTGTTGAGATAATACTCTAGATGATGAGATATTCGATACTATTGAGCTTGATGCTCTTTGTCCATAATTTCTCTTTGGAGATCTTTTTCGTTTACGAATTGAAAGATGTAGGTAGAAAATAACGATTAGAAAAAGAAAAGCAACTACAACCAAAATAATCCATAAATAATTCAAATTGAATTCACTGGATTTATTGTCTTCAGTTTTTTTATGTTTATTATTCATTTGTGGTTTCCAATGATCCTCGTAAACGGGCTCATCATCGTTCACCTCTTCGATAGTTGATTGTTCTTTTGAATTGAATAATTTGTAAAAATCAGATTGTTGTTAATTTTGTTGTTAATAAAAATATTCGAATAATGATCATTTCAAATCGATACCTTTTTCTTGACATTGAAAAAACGATGTGGTCAATATCTTGTAGAAATGATAATTTTTACCTGTATTTATTAGGGCTTGTCGTGAAAAGAAATATACATATCTTTCTGTGATGAGATAGACATTTATTTTAGAAATAAAACCTATTCGAACCAATAGTTTAACTGGTGATGAACATCGTTTTTCTACGGATGTTTCAATGTACATAAAATTTTTATCACCACTATAACAAATATAACGATATTGTGGATTGGATAAAATATTTTCCATATCAAATATATCGCATGGAAATGAATCGAGATAAATGGCTTGTATTTTTAATTCGGTTGATTTTACATTAAGCATGTAAAGAATTTTTCCTTCTTTATCATAGCTTGATAATGGTATTGTTTCAATTGATGGCAAACGAAATCTATTGTTATGTACTTCGGACCATTCGGGATAATATTCAATCGTGTCATCACCAATGAATACCATACGTAAACGTGTACGCCAGAAAAAAATGAATGTATGTTGTATTGAATTCTGTGCCAATGCTCGTTTGAATCGAACATCGTTTACTAACTGTGGATAATAATTATCCAGAATTGTTGGTGAATTTGATTTAAGATTGACATTAACATCACCAGATTTTGGATCTTCATTGTAGGAAATTAGATATAATTTAGAATTAACTGTTATCAATAATAATTGTTCATTATTGATCAATCCAATCAAAAGTATATTATTTAATGCTGATTTCTGAAAACTTGTACATTCATCATTCGATTGAGCTAATAATGAATTTATAGGCGAAACTATTAGTAACAAGAATAAGCCTAACATTTTTCCTTGCATTTGGTTGATTGGAATGAATTTCTTTTATAAAAATATCAACATTTCAAATTAAATTAATTCAACAGTTAGAATATAAAGGCAAAGGTTATTATAAGAAAAATAAAAAAAAAGAACATTATCATAAAAAAAACAAATGGAAAATCAAAGATCAAATGACAATGGTTACTTAAGCATATATAGATATACATAATCGAGCTTATCATAAAGATAAAAAAAAGTTTTCTGTTTCCATAAAGAACATTAATGAACAATGATGAGAATAATTATCAACAAATCATTATCATTTGCAACAAAAAAAAAAGAAATTTTTTACACTTTGTATTGTGTCATAAAAAAATCTTAAATTAACAATTTTTTAATTATTAAAAATTAAATGAAAATCATTCATTTATTTTAATCGTAAAACTTATAGATTTTCAAAATGAATTCTATTTGGAAAATAACATTAACCGCTACTGTGATATCAATTCTTATTTCATTATCGATAGTAGCGATATATTATACACGTGTTGATTCACAAATCGATTCAAATTGTTTCACAGCTGCCATTTTGGATCATCGTCCATTTTACGGGAAAAATGTCAACGAAAATATTGATCAAAATTTTCGAATTTTTATCAATGCTACTATATTGGCCAAAGAACGCGTAATTAATAATAATCTTTAAAAATTGTCATAAGATTTTCTGACATTTTCTTCATTTTCTTTAATTTCTTTTAAAAAAGGATGTCGATTTGATTGTTTTTGCTGAATCTGGCTTAATGACTGGAATTCATGATCGAAAAATGGCTCTAGAATATTCTATTCAGATTCCAAACGAATTGACTCATTTATGTGAAAATGTTGAACAAATTTATGATTCATCCGTTTCTGTTCTAAAACGATTAAGTTGTCTTGCTATGAAGTACGAAATTTTTCTTGTAGCCCAACTACTCGATAAGCAACCGTGTACTAGAAATATAACAACAGAATGTCGTGATAATTATTACATCTATAATACAGCCGTTTTGTTTGATCGTGTTGGCCAGTTGGTAGCTAAATATCATAAAATGCAACCATATGGAGAAATGTTTTTGGATCCTGCACAACATGATGAATTGATCTACATAGATACTTCGTTAGGACGATTTGGATTTCAAATATGTTTCGATGTTATCTATAAAAAACCGGGACACATTTTGGCCACTGAATATGATGTAGATACGATTATATTTCCAACACATTGGATGGATGAAGCACCATTTCTTTCAGCATCACAATTCCAAATGGCTTGGGCATTTGGCAATAATGTTAGCCTATTGGCATCAAATATTCATCATCCTTTCCAAGTAAATAAACACACTAACACATTTATTGTTATCATCTCTTATTTTTTGATTAGGCCGGTTCACTTGGAAGTGGAATCTATAATGGTGGACCTGAACGAACATTTCTCAATGCTCATTTTACTGAAGATGATGCTGAACGTTTGGTAATTGGTAGATTACCAATTCATCCACGTAGTACAACAAGAGCTAAATGTAATAAATATAAAGATGAGATTATAGAAATACCTGTTGCAGGCCGTGAAATTATAACAAATGGAACCTATAAATACAAACAGATGAATAATACTAATGTCATGATGAAAGCTCTGAATATAGGACAAGAAGAAATCGAATTAGAACATCAAGGGGTAAAATGTCATTTGAAGTTCGAAGGAAATTTAAGTCAATCAAATCAAGGTTCGAAAAAAAGCTTCATTTTGTTTTGAGTAATAGTTTTTTTTCAATTTTAGATGGACAATACTTTCTCATTGGTTCCAATCGTTCTCGAGCGAACCCTTCTTACGAATGGGGAGAAGAATTCTGTGCACTCGTTTATTGCATTGAGAATGTTGATGAAACATGTGGAAAATATTCATCCAATCAGTTACCATTATTTTATCATGTCAAATTGACAGCAACATTCGATTTAAAAACTGTTGTTTATCCAAGCGTCTTAGAATATCAGAATCGTTTAATACCTATGGATGATGTATGGACGGTTTCAAGCAAAATTCAAGGAACAACAAAAATTCATGAACTTGTTTTCGGTAGTTTATCTTTCAATTCGGTTGGAAAATTATATCGACCATTATCAACATTATCTTTATACGGACGAGCTTATGAACGCGATCCGATTTATAAACAAAAACCGGCTGATTGATGATAATGATTCTTTAAATAGTAAAAAAATAAATTAAAATTTCAAATTTTTCATTCTAACATGACTTTGTCTATGAACGGTTTTCAGTACGTAAAGCATGCACAAGCTTTGGCTTCAATATATCTTATAAAGTTTACGGAATATGGTGAATGTGTTATCGATGCAAATTCCAAGCACATTGAGGCCGTTGTCGCCATGCTTTTATGAATTCATCCATGCTATTCATGTCAAATTCGACCGGTTTTTTGTACAAATTTTGTTCTGAAATTTTTTTTTATTTAGAATAATAAATTTACAAAACAAAAAACAATTTCTTTCACTACCGTTGTTCATTGACAAACGGATTTATCATTCTATTAACGTATCATAATTATGCGTTGATTCGATGCCACCAATCAATAAGAACAACATGATTCGTTTTGCGGTCATCTTCTATTTAATTATTCAAATTTTCTGTACCACCGACAAAATAAATGAACGACGAATATTGCTTCCTTATAATGATGGAGTTCCGACGAATTTTACATTGGAAACTTTTGGCGATGAAAATGCTTGTTATAAATGGTCTAGTTCACGACCTGATATTGCATCAGTGAAACTACTTCTTGATTCAATCACACCAGCCGATACTTCATCTTGTTCAAAACGTGCCTTGGTTACCGTAGTTTCCAGAATACCAAAACGTCAGTCTACAGTGGTTACTGCTCATGATCTCAAAACCAATCTACAAATTCGTTGTGATGTTGAAGTGGATGCTATTTCAAGAATTACTATTCAAACGACAACAAAAGAAATCGTCTATGGTGAGCTACCCGAAACCATTAGAGTATTTGCATATTCAGAAAAGAATGATATGTTTACATCTATCGGAGGAGTTTCATTTGATTGGTGTTTAACTCCATCGGATGTTATACGATATCGTCCTTGGTCTACATCATCTTATGCATCGCCTGATTTTGTTGAATACTGGGAGTCACGCGGCAAGAAAAGTTCTATGATTTTGGTTGAAGGTGTGAAAACTGGTTCAGCCAAGATTCGTGCCACTCTCAGTGATAATGAGTCCATGATCAAAATGGAACCAGCAGAAATCAATATCCATGTTGTTGCAAATCTTTTATTGCTGCCATCCAATGATATATTCATGGTTCCCGGAGCTATTATTCATTTTAGTGCTGAAATTTCCAAACAAGGCCCTCGTGTATCATTACAATTTCCTAATGAACAATATTATTTAGAAGTCTATGATTCGAATATTGCAAGCTTTGATGAATCGACCAACGTACTTACAGCATTAAACGAAGGCCATACAACTTTAGTTTTAAAAGATCGAAATATGATTTCAAATGGCTCATCACCCGAAGATGTATTATACAGCAGAACCCGAACAGATATTCATATTATGCCACCGAGCTATATTTCAATGTTGATTGAACCAGGTGATCGATTTCAACTTGTAACCGATTTTGAATATCAACTTCACTTATCCTTATACGACAATTCTCATAATCTTCTCCATCCGTCAGATAATTTTCATTTCGAATTGAAAATGGAGAATGATCAATTTTTTGAAATTCTAGAGAATTCGTTGAACAAAACATTTTATCGAATTCGAACCCGACAAAAAATTGGCACGGCCAATTTGCTAGTCTTTTTCCGTGGCGCAGGCAATTTTTTTCTATCTGAACCATTAATTCATCAACAAGATGTTACAATTCATCCACCAATTACATTGACTCCTAAAGAAATCTATTTGCCATGGTTACCTTCGAACGATTCCTCCCAGCCCAAAGTCTATACAGTTAACGTTGAAGCTTTAGGTGCCACTAGTAGCGGATATAATTGGCAATCTTCAAACGAAACATTAGCTATCTTAAAATTTTCAACGCATAAATCTACACGAGCAACAATTCATAGAAAAGGAGTGCTAGGAGATGTCTGGATAATTTGTAATGATATTCATAATTCATTGATATTTAATTCCAAAATGCTGATTCAAGTTCTTCCCATTGATGCTTTGGAAATTTTGCCATCGATTGTTGAAGCGCCTATTGGTGGAGAGGTTTTACTTCCTATCGCAGTTCTTGCAATCAAAGATGGCAAAAAATTTTATTTTGATGATTGTTCACAAGTCAAATTCGATGTTGACATTGTGGAAAAGAATCGAATTCGTTACAATGCTGATACATTTATGCCAGGTACTGGACGTAATTCTTGTCGATCATTATTGTTCGAATGTATAGCATCGGGCAATTCTCGTGTAACAATTAGTTATAATCATTTGGGATTAGAAGATCGAAAAATCTCTACACATACTATTATTGGATGTTATAAACCATTGAAAATGATTCACCCGATAAAAGATCAAATCGCTATTCTCTCACTTGGAGCCGGAATTGATTTAGCATTTGAAGGCGGACCACGTCCATGGTCCATGTATCCCGAAGGACATTTTACCAAAGGTAAATTACCTAGATTTCATTCATCTAAATCTTAATTAATAATGATGATTTCATTTTAAGCTATTGCAATCAATAGTTCGATTATAGAATTGATGGAAATTCGTGACCGTTATCGTTTTAATAAAGATCTTCATATATTTCGTGCATATTGTAACCAGTATGGAGAAACAGAAATCGAATTCAAAGTTGGAAACATAGTATCACCAACATTATTGAATCCAGCATCAACAATAACCTTGGTTCGAATTAAATGTTCACTACCCGAAACATTGATTATCAAACCGAAAACGAAATCATCGTGTCCTCATCAAGATGTGCAATTTTCATTGGAAAAAAATCGCTCACACGAATTAGAAGTTCATGTTTTAGATCGGCAAGGAAATGCTTTTTATAACTTTTCAACACTATATTTTGAATGGTCGAAAGATTTATCGAATGGAATTTTCGAAGAAGCCAATCGTGTCCTTGAAGAAGTAAATGGCGCTCGTGGTTTTTCCATTTTGACTAGATCATATCAAGTTTTTTCCGGTCTTACTAATTCAATAAAAGCCATTCGAGTTGGTTGTCGTATCATCGGTTATCATCAGCATAGACGTTTTCCGGATCAATTCGATATTAGAAGAGAAATAGAATTAATTATATTGGATCCATTGACAGTAACAGAAGAAAGCATTACTGTATTGAAACATTCAGATTATAAAAAAGTATTGAACATTGTCAAAGGTTCTGGTCACTTTTCACTGGACTGGCAGGAAAAACAAAATGTTCTAGTAGAATTGGCTAAAGATGACAAACGCGAATTCATAGTTACACCACTTCAAACTGGTAATGGCATGATTATCATAACCGATCTTTGCCTCAATTATCCGCCATTCATGCTGCCATATTCGGTTGTTGAAGCAATTGATATTAAAATACAAATGGCAGATAAAATAGAACTCGGCCATTCTATTCAAGGAACATTTTTTGTTCTCGATAACCGTGGAAAACGCCTTCATTCTTCATTGCATAAATTCCTTGATTTGATCATTACCAGTTCGAATAACTTACTTAAAATTGAAGACGTGAAACCAAAAGATGATTATTTATCGACATTTGCAGTACGAGCAGAACGATTAGGCTTGTGTAAATTGTTGATAGAAACACAATCACCAAAAATTCGTTCGATACTGTCAGCACAAATTGAATTGCAAATATTCTCCCCACTTCGAATTACACCCACTAATATTACGTTAATCGTGGGCAACGTGTTCCAACCGCAATTTATCGGAGGACCTCAAACACAAAGAAATGTTGAATTTGAATTAGAAGATTCAAGCATAGCTATCACCACACCTATAGTCAATGGTCCAAATGGTTTGATAAAAGCGCTAAAAAATGGCAAAACACGTTTAATTGCTCGTGTAACTAGTATTGATAATTATGAATATTCTCGTGCTCAAGCAGAAATTTATGTAACTCCATTGAAAAAAATCCAGATCTGGACTCCAATTAATCAAGTTTTTGTCGGCGCTTCAATTCCGGTTTATTTGATTGGAAGTTCGGGAGAAAATGAAACCCCATTCATGTTTGGTCATGCTCGACCATCAATTAAAATAAGTTGGTCACTTTCAAATGACAAAATTGGAACGCTGGAAAACTCATTCCAAAAAGTTGGTATTTACGATCGACAAGTTTCCGATGAAATAGCTGTACGTTTTAGTGCACATTCAATAGGAACAGTCATGCTAAAAGTTGTGGTCGAGGTTACATCTGCATCTCGGGATCCTCTTTTCGAACAACTATATCGCAATCAACCATTGACCAATTCGATCCAGATTCAAGTATATCCTAATTATGTTTTATCGGTATCATCACCCATGGATTCATTTACAAATATACGAGATCATCCAAAACAATTAACTGGACGTGCATTACTCATGTCTCCTCAATCTGAACTCTTATTACATCAAAATTCAATGGATGATGTAAGATATCGCATATGGAATGAATCTTCGCACATTAAATTGACCAACAAAACTGGTAATTTGATGCTACAAGCTGGTGATCAATTAGAATTCAGTTCGTTGGTGATTGAGCGAGATTTATATCGAACAGGCATTATGGATCACTTTAATCAAATTATCCATGTTGATAAAGTTCGATATCTCTCGATTGAATTGGATCCTGTACAATATCCAGAACACATGTCCACACCGTTGATTAATTTGGCCTCATTTCCAATAGGATCAGAAATTTCAATGGTCATTCACTTTCACAATCAATTAGGACGAAGATTTGATTCAGTGAAATCTAATCTCAAATGGATGATGTCTCGAAATGATATTATTACAGTTATAGAGTCTCCAGATGAATCTACACAATCATTTAGAATTCGTTCACTTAAACCTGGTTCAGTCATATTGAAAATTTGGGATGATATTAACCAAGTTGGACAATATTATAAAATTGTTGTCGATTGGGCCATAACATCAATTAATGAAGTGCCCACAGACGATTCTTCAATCACATTACAAGTTGGCGATGTAGTCTGTATGCGAACCAAAATCGAAGACCATCAGCAGCAGCAAGGTTTTTGGCATTTAGATCAACAAGATTCGTTAATACCTATCGGTTGGATAAATCCAAAAGTTGGAGCATTGTTGGCACTCAGTCCTGGCAAAGGCAGCATTGTTTTTAACCATTCTTTAACTCGGGTTTCAACTTATAAACCATTTCAAGTTTTAGCAATCAAACGAGTTATATTAAATACGGATGTCATCAATGGCCTCAGTACGACTTCAAAACATATTGTTCCTATCAATGTCCCAGGTTTATCATCCAAACAAACGAATAGTTGTCCCGGATTAGATGCAAAAGCGTTTGCTGATGTTGAACATCTTGTACCTTTTGCATGTGATGTTTCATTTTCGGATGGAATTTCCGATTCTCTTTGGAATGCAAAAGTTCAATATAATCCACAACAAAATGGTTGGTCATGTATATTAACGCCCAAAAAGAATTTAGATCTAGATTCATTAGCATTATGGAAAAATCGAAATGTAACTGTGACTATTGTAATTACAACATTAGCCGACACAATCATATCATCTGATCATTCTAATGAACAGCAGCAATTTTTCAATTCATTTGGTTTATTTCATCAAGTACAATTTCCATTTTGGCCAGAATTTCGAACTAATCTAAAACAAATTTTATTAACTTCTGAATCCCGTGAAGTACGTTTTATTGTTCATTCTGTTATTGATGTTCTGGAAGAAATGGTCATAAAATCTTCAAACGAAGATATTATATCTATACAAAAGCAAATGATCTACGAACATGATCAATCTTTTTCCAATTCGATGCGCGTGATTGTCTCTCTAAGAAATATTGATATTTTTTCCAATGATGTTTCTAATCTTCATATAATACTTCAATCATTATTAGTTAATCAAACGGAAAAAATTCCCATACAACTTAAATTATTTGATAGATCACTTTTCGGTGTAACTAATCTGCCCGGACAATTACTCATCGGTTCGAATACGGCATTAGAATCATTCTATACGATTTCATTGTTAATCATAACCATCATTTTAGCCTTTTCCATCTATGTCATTGGAAAAAAATTTGTTCTTGATCGACAACAACAAATCATTTATGTTGATTCATCATCACCTATTCTACAAACATCTCCAAAAAGAGGTAACTTTTTTAAATAAAATTTTTTTTCCATTATAAATTAATCAAATTTTTTTAGTCATAGATTATAATCGTACACCGACAACATCTGGACAATCATTCTCGATGTTTGGGACACAACAAACTCCTTTCGCTGCTATTCATTCTACCCCGGGAAATATGTCATCAAATGAACAAAACCGATCCAGGTCCTCTTCACCTTCATCTCCAAGAGTTGGTCGACCCTTGTACTCTACACGATCAATTATTACCTGACCTCTTTGTTCACATAATTTAATGTGATTTTTGCTTATTTTTTTCTATTCTGTGTTATATGCATTTAAAGAATCACTCATCATCATCACAAAAACAAATAAAAGCCATATTCTCACAATTTTTCGATTTGAATTAGCTACTATTTTAACCACAGTAAACCAAGTAGGTTTAAATGATTTTCAAGGCATCCAAACATCAACATTTGATTCTAAATATTTCCAAAATTGAGTAATAATCGTGATTCTTATTGATAATACTTTCGAATACTTGTCAATTTTATTTCACCTCAAAATGACCGATAATCACAAATACAAATTGAAAGATATTATTATGATTTGCGGTGAACGAATGCATGGAATGTCCATTCAATATGTCGCTCTTATGGATGATGGATCACGAATATATATTAACGGAACAGACTTGGGAAGAAATAATACTCTAATAAAAAATTATATCGAGAACAAGAAAAAGTTTTCTAAAATTTTGGATTCATATTCTAATATTGATGAATGTCTTCAAGACTGTCAACTATTGCCATCTACATCTGAATATAATTGTAAAATTTCTGAATCTGATTACAATTCCGAATTTATTGATACAATTCGTATTGAAAAAGAAGATTCGCAAGACATTCGTTATCTGTTTCGTAAAAAAGTTGAAGGTGGATGCGCTATTTATGGTTTACGCGATGAAAAAGATTGTGATATGCCCGAAATCGCTAAAAAGTATTTTTCGCGATACTATAAATCATGATTTTTTCTCACCTTTGTAAATTCTATTTTGTATTTAAAGCTAAAATTATATTCTTTTAAAAATAAAATCATTTTACGAACACATAATGATGATAATATTCTTTAAAAATTATGATTAAGATTTATTATGATTATGTTAAATGATTTATGATTAAGAATTAATGAAAAAAAAGAATACGATACAATCGATATATTGAGATGTGAAAGTTTTTGGATTTGATTCTGTTTTTGGTGTTAAAATCATCATAAATAACAAAATTACCTAATACCTCGATTATGTGGAAACATTTTTGTTCATCAATAAAAGTTCGTGATAAACGATTTTTTTCCACAAATGTTAATATATTTAGTGAAAAAATTAAACGATTACAACGTGATCGATCATTTTCCAGTCCAGATTTTGAACTTTATAATTATTTGAAAGATGAGATAGCTTTTCGAGTTGCCGACAGGATATTTGATATCAAAAGGTAAATATTATTTTTAAGCGAAAATATTTTCATCTCATAGCATGATTTTAGGCGATTCTCATTCATTGTCGATCTTGGCACTTACAAAGGTCTTCTTGGTTCACATCTGACCAGGGTGAGAAGAAAATTCCGTTTTTATTAAAACCAATTCTTAATTTATCTTTGTTTTTTAAATAGGAAACTGTTGATTGTATTTTACATTGCTCTTCGTCTTACAAATCATTGGTAATTTAAATTAATGTGTTTGAAACTTGTATTTTACTTAATTGTAATTTTCATTTTTTCATTTTACAAGGAATTAATCAAAAATCGAAATGATATTGAGATACAAAAATTATTCATCAACGAAGAAGATTTTATACTACAGGAAAACAGTGTGGATATGATCATCTCTAGTCTAGATCTTCATTGGATAAATGATTTGCCAAGACTTTTTTCAAACGTCTTTCATTCGCTTAAACAAGATGGTATATTCATAGGATCAATGTTTGGTGGACAAACATTATTTGAACTTAGATGTTCATTGCAAATGGCTGAAATCGAACGAGAAGGTGGTTTCGGATTGCACATATCACCGCTAATCACCGCACAAGATATCGGCTCGTTATTGAATAGATCGGGATATACGATGTTAACAATTGATACTGATGAGATAGTTGTACATTACCCAACCATGTTCGAATTAATGTACGATTTGAAAGGAATGGCAGAAAATAATGCTGCCATTCTAGCAAAGACACATTTGAATAGAGATTCGTTGTTGGCCGCAGCTTCCATATATCAACATCTTTATGGAATATCAAGTGAAAAACATAAAACATTCAAACCAGATGATGATATAAATTCATGTATACCAGCCACTTTTCAAATATTCTATTTCATCGGATGGAAGCCACATCCTTCACAGCCAAAACCGGCCAAACGTGGCAGTGCAACAGTTTCAATTAAAGATATACCTAATTTAGATAAATTGTTCAAAAACAAAGAAATTTTTGATAAAAATTAATGTTTATTTAGAAATAATTTTGATTGTACAATAATTGAAGAACCTGGCTTAACTGAACAATCTAAATCAGATATGAATGATTTTCCAGATGTGAATGTGGAATCCATATAACCTATACACATTGATTTGGTACTATGCCCCCAAAACATTTCAATGTTATCTGTATCAGTTGATAATCCTAGGATTCCAGCCAAATGATCTTCGCGTGGTACATTTTTCATTAATGGAGATTCTGGTGTGATAAAATATTTCTCATTGAATAAATGAAAACCCAAAAAATTTAAAAAATATTACCGAAAAAATTATCATTGAAAACTTGAACCAATTTTTCAACTATATTTTGTGTGTCATCATTTTTTCCATTCAAGTTTTCCACCGTTTTTCGAGCAAATGAAGTTCTAATTAGATATTCACCTATTCCACTAGTAGTCACAGCTACATTGCCTTCTGACCAACATCCTGAACCCAGAATTGATGCTTGTCCTATGCGACCTTCTTTTTTAAGAATTAATCCACCACTAGATACGCCACATGCTAGACAACCATTGTCATCGATGCAAACAGCACCAACTGTATCATATTTTTTATGCTTGTCATCTATCGATGCTGTTTCGCATTCTTCAAGTTGACGTTTATATTTATTAAAAATATTTAGGGATTTTCCTTTCATATATTAATAGAATTAGAGGTTGACGTTTCAGTATAATTCAAAAAAATCATACCAGAAATCAGTTCATAATCTTCTAAACCATGAGAAACGGCGAATTTTTTTGCTCCTTCCCCAGCAAGAAAATTTGGTGCTATCAAGCCTAAAGGAGGCTTTAATCTTTGATTATCCAGAATTAGACGAGCAACTTTTATCGGATTTTGTATTGATTGGACTGCGCCAACCGAACCAAATAGAAGATCTCTTCCATCCATCAAAGAAGCATCGCACTCAACATAACCAGCTGAATTGAGATTAGATCCGAATCCGGCATTTGTTATCATTTGATCTTCAAGATACGCTATCGCTTCAACAACGCCATCAATTGCAGTGGAATTATTTTTCCAACCTTTGATTGCCTTTGTGAAAGAATAATCATTAGAACAAGTTTAATCTGAATTTTGTCGAAAACTTACAGTTTCGCAAGCTTGTGAACAGACTTCTAGAAATTTTTTACGTTTCCCCGATTGATAAAATCCGGCACCTGGACAAAAAAAAATGTTTATTAAGAATAAAAAAACGAAATAATAAAAATACCAGTATGAACAGCCACAAAAACCATTTTTCGATATGTAAAAATCAAATATGAATTTTCGATGTATCGATATTTGCCCAAAACATGACAATCGATAGCTGAAGCGTGTTTTATGTTGTGAAAAATTTTTGATCAAAACAATTATAAAAAGTTTTCGTTGTAATTATTCCATTATCGATGCTTTCGATCAGCATTATCAGAACTTTTTCCACTGTCCCGAAAATTTCTGGACAAGCTGTGGGCAAAAAACGGTTCCGTTTACCAGTTGAGACCGATCCGAAAAAATTGATGAATTTTTGTTGTGGTGCCAATTATTATAAAAATTGTGAAGAAATAAAATTGAAAGATGATGATAATTATCCAGATTGGTTATGGAATTTACCACTTAAGCCCCCCAGACTCCATGAATTGGATCCAAACACTAAAGAATATTGGGAAAAGGCTGAAATTGTTGGTCAACAACGTGATTGGAAACTTCGAAGTATTACCAATGTAAGTAATTTTTTGAAGATGGTTTTAATTTGATTTGCTCATCAAAATTGTTTTTTAAATAAAGAAAAGACATATGAATCTGAATCCCATCGATGTAGAGAAAATGGAATTGAAATATCGTCGTAGATTCCGTGCATTGGCTAAATATCATTTTACTGCAGGTTATGATATGGTCGAACATCATGAGCGAGATGATATCTGGAATATGCATCTAAAAGATCGATATTATATACCAGATGAACCTGAAAAGAAATTCTATCCAGGTATCGATAATATCAATCTGAATAAAGCATCAATTGCTTCAAAATATACGAAGAAAATCATAAGAGCCGGTCATTTTGGAAAATAATTTATTTGTCATATCTAAATCAAATAAAAATTAATAAATAGTTTTATTATTTAAAAAAATAATGAACATTTTGATTTCAAGTTAAACAAAATTTTCAACATATTTCTGAATAGTCCCCGCACGTATTAGATGTGAATTGAGTTCAGATTCATTTCTATTCCTATCATCATCATTGTGACTGGACAAGATTTTCGATTTGAGTGAATCACAGATTGTACAATAATCATCACTAGGAATCATTTCCTTTTGTTCCATAATAAAATCATTTTTGACTGTATTTCGATAAACACTTATGCCGACAACTTCAACACTTTCGTCTTCACATTTTCTTGTGTAAAGTTTATACATACGTTGTACATTGATTATGGGACAATTATTCTTGCTAACGTGACTATTTTCCCTGACGGTACGTTCATAATGTTTAATATAATCAATATAACAAATTATATGTTCACGTACAGCAGCCAATTTTGTTTCCGGTGTTTTTCGACTAGAATTAGCTGATCGTCCACGGAAATCGGCACCAGGTATGGATTGTTTGAGTGCACGGGCCAATCTCCCTTCCGATATATTAAATGTGTCCAGGAAGAATCGTTTACACACCAAAACACTTTTGTTTAAGTATGTAAGAAAATACTGATAATAAACTTGTCTTTTTTCAGTATTCGAACGTCGTCGTTTTGGTGTCTTTGATCTAACCACAGCCTTCAAGTAAAAATTTTGTTTACTAAAATTGGCCATTTTCCAAAAATCTTTGAAAATCTGTTCTCGGGTTTCCAAACTGATTTTATCTTGACAATTTTTTGAGCAACATGGCCTGATTATAATTTCTTTCGATGCAACCACCACAGATTTTCGGGTTACATATTCTTGACCACTATTTCGTTTCAATTTGTTGATATTGGCTAAATATTTTTGTTCATTACGAATTCGTTTTTTCTTATCTTTGCTTTCATTCAATTTTTGTCCAATAAAATTCAAACATTCATCCAACGCCGAAAGTGGACTACCTTCATAGTTTTGAAATAATTGTTTCAATTGTATCAGATAATTTTTTGCTTCTTCCAATGCAATTTTTTCTGTTCCATCATTTATCATTGATTGTTCATTCGATTGCAGCTGTACAGGAGTTTGTTGAATATTTACATTTTTATTGTTCGAATAATGATTTCGATGGTTCACAGAAGGATATGATGAAATAATCGATGTATAAGTTGGAATGTTTGGTAAATTTTCGAAATAGTTTTGATGTTGAAATGAGTCATTATCCATAATTTTATTGGCTATTATTTAAGAAAAAATTGACCAATGAATAAATTTTTTTTAAACAATGCAATTATAAAATTAAAAAAAAATAGAATAGAATAGAAACTCGTGAATCAGAGAGGGCAAGAATTTCGACATTGATGCATGATCAATAATTCATAAATCATGCATATATTTGAATAGCGTATCAAGACTCATCATTTTTATTGTGATATATAAAATAATAGAGAAAAAAATACATACCTATATAAACATATTGTCACAAATGATGATCTACAAATGATAAAAACAAGAAAAAAATATGAATTAAAAATAGAATTGAATCTGAATATTAAATATATAAAATTATAAAAAATATTTCAGTGAAAAAATTAGAGTTTTATTCCGCACGATTTACTTGGAAGGTGTCCTAAGTTAGTCATCATTTAGACTCCAAATTTTAGAGTAATATTAATGAATGCTTTTAATAGTATCACTTACTTGGATACTCGAGCCAACAATCGATGTTGTTCAACGAATGATAATTGGATACCTATGAGTTGAAAAAAATAGAATCAAATTTACTAAAACAAGTAATATTGTAAATTGTGTGATAATTGATTACTGAATCAAATTTCAGTTGAATACAATTATTATTCCGCATAATTTTACTTGGAAGGTGTCCTAAGTTGGTCATCATTTCAAGTTCTATTTTTTTTTTTTTGATTAAAGATAAAATAACTTACCCAATCATAAATGATCATATTTTTTAATAATCATAGACATGGTTGTATATTACTGGAACCGGGCTATTTGACAAAAAAAAAGAAAACGAAATAAAATCAGTTTGTTTTCCAGAATACTTTTTTTCATAATAGTATATTATTTTTAATCAGTAATAAAAATCTGATATCATGGATATAATCTCATAATAGGTGTCAGAAATTTTTTTAAAAATAATGACATCATTATCGATAAAAGAAAAAAATGATTATCTAAAAGATAAAACAAACAAAACTCACTTTTATTTGGTTCCTGATGAATACAAGTTACATCTATTTATGCGAGAATAAAATTAAAAAAAAATTATGAAAAAGATTTTCAGAAAACAAACAATAACTAAAAAAATATTAATAATTTCAGTATAGAATGGGACAATTAATTTTGAAGAATAATCATTTGAAATGATAATCATTACTCTAGCCAAAAAATCATCATCAAATACAACAACAAAAAAATTTTTCCACACAACTTACTCTGACAAGTATAGAAAAGGAAATGAAACGATTCATGTTCACGAGCATTTTATGCGAGCAAAATGATCAAATGAATCCAGCATGTTTATTTGCGTATGCATAACTATTTTAACATGTATCAACCTGGATTGTGAATCTAGAATTTATAAAACAATCCTTTCACAGAGCCAAAAGTCTGCGGTGTACCCTGCAAGTGTTAACAAAAATGCAAATTTGCAGTTTACCCTGCAAACTTGCAGCTTATGTAACATTGTATATGAACGCTTCACCATATATACCCTCCAAATTTGAATTTTTTGAAACCCTGCAGTTTACCCTCCAAATTTAAATTCATTTGCCCCCCATTTACTTCATTAATTTTACCCCCATATTAGGATTAAAAAATTTTATTCAAAATTAATATTAAATTAATAAAGCAATGACAATAATTAAAAAACCAAATTAAACATGATCCAATTTTTGTCTTGTCCATAGTGATCCATTTATAAATTAACCAATGACCATGAGCATATGTCCGCCAATCCAATCATTATGATCCAAGACTAGTTGTCGATTTTAAATTAAGAAATTCGTTAGTTATTTCAATCATTTCCATCAAGAATCACATACCATGTAAATAAAAATCTATCGTAATGGGCATTCAGTTTTCCTTTTCCAAAATGAATCTAGAAAACGAGTCAAGAAATTAGTTGTTAGTTTGGGTAATCAATTGAGCAATTTACATACCATGATCAATTCAATTTCCAAAATGTTCGCCGGTGATCCTAAATAAAAATAAATATTAGTTTTTTCGGTCAATCAATTCATTCATTTGCTTACCATTACCACTTTCAACTATGTGTTTCATTTCGTGAATCTTCGAAAATTAATCATGTTTGTCAATTGCTTCATTGGTTTCAAAACTTCAACTAGCATCAAATCCAATAGGAAAAAGCTCAGATCATGTTCCTAAACCTAGCCTATCCTATCCTATTCCTAACTTAAAGTTGAACATTACCGAGCATTTCTTGAATCTGATGCCACTGAAGACAGAAACCGCCAAATCAATAACAAACATGATGAAAAATCGAATTTCAGAAATAAATCTGGAAAAAACAAAGCGTTATCAAGTATACAATATCCAAACTTACCAAATAGCTATGGATTTTTTTCTCATGTCAATGAGAAATCAGTAAAACTAGAAATTGAAAGTTAGTGAAATATCATAAAATGAGACAAACCCGAAATATTGGTTAACATTTGTGATGAGTACCAAATAATCATTATAACCCGATAAAATTGAGAATTTCATGATCATTTCATCAAAAATGAACAAGACGAGTGACGAAACTTGAGAAAAAACGAGCATTTTTGCACAAAGACAGCGAGTAGAAAAAGTCAACACATGAAGTGTTGTGTGATTTAAATGATAGTTGTAATTTTAAATTCGTTTTTGTCGTTCGATCAATAAAGTCATATTTTGATACTCGAGATTAATTTGTTTAATAAATAATTGGGGGGCAACTTTATAAGTGATTGGACAATGCGCTCCGAATCACTATCCTCCCCAACAAATAGATTTTATAAGCAAGGGGGAGGCCAATTTATAAGTGATTGTCCACTATCCACCCCCAACACTGACTATTTTTTAAATTACTTTATGCGCAAGTGTAAATGTGTATATGAATAATTGGGGGGCAAATTTATAAGTGATCGGCATTCACTATCCTCCCCAACAAATAGATTTTATAAGCAAGGGGGAGGCCAATTTATAAGTGATTGTGCGCAAACCACTATCCACCCCCAACACTGACTATTTTTTATATTACTTTATGCGCAAGTGTAAATGTGTATATGAATAATTGGGGGGCAAATTTATAAGTGATCGGCATTCACTATCCACCCCAACAAATAGGTTTTATAAGCGAGGGGGAGGCAAATTTATAAGTGATTTTGCGCAAACCACTATCCACCCCCAACACTGACTATTTTTTATATTAACCCAGGCGGCCGCGATGGGATTTGAACCGACGTCGAATGTGTATATGTGTGTATATGTGTTAATGTGTGCAAATGGGGGGAGGCAAATTTATAAATGATTGGGAATTTTCCCCTAAACCATTATCCTCCCCCATAATATAGTATCCATAAATGGGAATATATAAATGATATAAATCCCAATATTTACAGGAATACAACCCTTTTCGCTGTCCCGATTAGCGCTGTTTCGATATAACGCTGTGCAATTACATTACATTGCAATACTTTTTTACAATGTATATGCAGGGTAAAAATGCATTGTGTAAATTATGCAAAAATTGCCACGCTTAGCGCTGTTTTTTCGCTTTACGCTCCATATTTTTGGAACGTAACCCCGCGTTAAGCGAGGTATTACTGTAAATATTGTCGTGAATTTCAGAAGTGAGGAGTGAACTAGAAGCATAGAAAATAGTTACGAAAAAAATGAGAGAAAATTTGTACAGCCAAAGTAACAATGTTGGAAGCATAGAAATAAACCATGAGCTGCAGCAAAAATCGGCTGATTGAGTGGTGAACGATTTATTCGATAGTATCCCGATTTTTTTCGATTGTTTTTAGTTTCAACAAATCACGTGACTATCATGACAATCGATAGTATCCCGATTTTTTTTGATTGTTTCATTAAACGATTTTTTATTGATTTTCGGAATAAATCCGCAAATTAAAAAATTATATTATAAGATAAAATAAAAAATACAAATTCAAATTAAAAGCCACAAATTGATGAAACGGTCGAATTTTTGAGATCAATTATAAAATGAAGCTAGAGAATTTGGATAACCCAATGGATGCCTGTGAATGGAAAAGATAATTAGAATCGGAATTGATAAAAAATGAATAATTTACATTTATTTCAAGGGTCTTTACTCGGTTATCCATATTCTCGTAAATGATGATGATGACGAAAAGTTGAGATGGCCAGATTGACTTTGACTGATTGATCATTAGGCGATCGTGCACTTGTTAATGTCTAACAAAAGGAATGGTAATTAGAATATGAGTTGATGAAAATTCAATCATTTACCATTCATCCAGAATGTTGTGTTCATCTCTGTCCTGAAAAGTAGCATCATTGAATCAAAACGTTCAAAAAAGACCAAGTTCAAAACATGCCTTTGAATTTCATGATGATAATTTTACATCTTCAGAGTTTTGACTAAAAGCCTGAAAAAAATGAAGAATAATATCGAACAAACTGAATGAAATTCAAAATCGGAGGTTAACCTCCAATAATAAAGCGTGTTTACCATTCTTTGATAGAGGTTAATATGTAACTTTGCAGTTTAGCCTGCTAAATAACCTCCAAGTATGGAGTTTACATTGCAACGAAGCAGCGTAACCTCATAATAAGAAGCGTAGTCTGTGAGCATGGATAGTAAACTGCAAATATGGAGGCTTTTTAGCACTCAATCTTGCAGTTTACCCTGCTCACTTTCCTCTCTGTGTTGTTATCGAAAAAATATGTATATTCTTAACAAAATTCGACATTCTTTATTTAAATTAATAAATAACAAAGTTGAAATTGAAATTGGTAGACACCGATATAAAGGTTTCCTAATCAATGTTGATCCTGTCACTTTGACCATCTTGATCTACAATAATGAAAACAATCAAATTCAAATGATATTTCATCATTCAATAAAATCAATAAAACAAATAGCTGATTGCGATGAGATTTTTGACAATGATTTTCGAAAATTTTGCGACGAATTTTTCCAGATAGAAAATACAAATTCTCATGGAATTGAATCAAATGAAAATATGGAAGATAGACGCCAAAAATTGTTGGAAATTTTCGCAAAAAATAATGTGCCTGTGGAAGAAATTGATCAATCATTAATAGCTGCTTATTATGTATGCATCGATCCACCATATACAATTAATGATTGTAAATCATCCAATATGATTGTATTGAGCAAAATTAAATCAATTATAGAACAAAATATGTAAATAGATTGATAATTCATTGTGAAAAACAAGAACATTCACTGTTATATATGTATAAAATATATGTGTAAATTGAAATGATTAATAATAGAAAAAACATTTAATAATATAGAATGATGATATGATATGCTTATAAATATATAAAGAATTATTCTGTTAATGATGAAATAAAAACGATTATTTGAATGATTATATTATCAATAAATTTCTTATCGAGAACGTTTAAAGAAACTTCTACGTTTTTTTGTTTTTTCATTATTTAAACCAATATCACCATCGAAACTTTTCATCGTTGGTAATCCTGTTGAATGATCTTCATCTTTTGCATAAATGGAATCCTCTTTTATGGGCACCATGTTTACTGGTAAGCTACCATATTTACTGATTTTTGGTCGTGATGCTTCAGGTGATGGAACTGGTTGAAAAACAAATAGTGATCACTCAATTGCAATATATTATTTCATTATCATTATTACTTACAATATGATTTTTTATCATCAGAAGAATTTGTCTCATCATTCAAATCATTTTGATTGTTGTTATCAGTGGATTTGATTTCCACTTGATTAACTGATTGGGGTGAATTATCATTATTTAAATGATGAATATCAGGCAATGATGATAATGATGATTTATGACTTGATGATGAACTATCTGATACATGGGCTCCATTTTGTGATGAACCTAGATCAGTAGATGATGATGAAGGTATAATCAATTGATCGGAAGGTGTAAGTGAAGCTCGAAAAGCAATGGCACTGATCCATTCTTTAAGTCGGTCTCCGTCGGTAGTTATAAATAAGTATTTGCTCATATTAGTTAATTCAATGCTGAAAACATGTTTCTTATGCTTATATTCGGTTTTTTCACATTTAGCATTCAATATGGAGAGTGGAGCCGAAGCAGCCGAATTCTTATTGAAAGCATTTTTATCTTTGAAAAAACATAACAAATGACCACAAAGAACAGTGTAATAAGTCTTCCAGGTTCGAGATTCGGCTTTTTTTCCACCCGGTTCTGATAGATGTTTACGTTCCAAGAAACCTTTACAAGAAAATTGTGGTAAATTCGGTGTGAGAGGTTGTATTTTGGTTGATTTTCTCACAAACGAAAAACTTGCATATCTTCTGGGTGTTTTGGATGAATGTTTCGATGACATTGATTTACTTTTGTTAGCTTCGTTTTCATAATATTTCGATTCCTCATTACTACGTCGAAAAAGAATCCGTTTCTGTTCTTCTTCCATTCTTTTCTCTTTTTCTTGTCGTAATAATTCAGCTGTTCTTTGTTCTTCTTCTTCGCGTTTAAGAGCCTCGAAATATTTCTCCATCAAAGTTATCTTTTCAATTTTATTCAACTTTTCCATTTGTGCTGAAATTGTTTTTTCAAATTCTTCATGTTTTAGCAACAAATCTTCAACTTCACCAATAGAATCGCCAAAATTATTATCATCAATATAATTGTGACTAGCTTTGATCCATTTTTCCATCTGCTCAACATCGCGAACAAACTGACGGGCATCAAGATTATATCCATACAATGTAAATCTTTTTTCCCAAGTTCGTAGCAAATTATCATATGCATTTTTGATCCTTTCATTACATTGTTCTATTTCTTTTGACATGATATGTCCACGAGAAATGATTTTTTCACCAGTAACCAAAAATTCCTGAACACTTTCATTTTTCGATTTGATTTCTGTTTCATATTCTCGATGCCTTGAAAGTTGTTGTTCGGCGGCAAGAACATCCGAAACAAGTTTATCATCAGCAGTTATCAATGCTTGAATTTCATTTATCCATGTCAATAATTCCTTATAATGATCGAAATATGATTGAATATTTTCAATTTGAATTAAAGTTGCTTTTTGTAATTTTGTCTTCATATTGAGATCATCCCAAACTTCTTTTACTTCCGTTTTGCGTTCTTGAATCTGATCTTTGACATTTTCGAATGAATCGATCAATTTATCTGCTTCGATGAACAATGTTTCAACTTGTTCACGCACAGCATTCAGATCACGTTCAAATCCTTCTAACTGATGAATTTTCGCCTTAATAGTGTTGATATCATCATATTTCGAGTTGACTTCATCGAATATTGTGCTTGATTTTTTTTCACGTATCCAATAGATTGTTTCATCAACACTTTGATCAAAACGGTGAACTTCTTCGGCGCTTTGTAATAATTCTTGTCGACGGGCAGCAATTTCTTTGAGTTGAGTCCATAAAGATTGTATTTCATTCAATTTTTCTTCGGAATTTGTAACATTTTCAGCTTGTTTTTCCAATGATTTTATACGTTCTTGGTTTGACATTATAAATGAAATGAACGTATTGAATTGCTGGATCAGGCTCTCGACATGTTCAACATCTTGTCCATAATCTTCAGATTTGGCTATGATTTGCTGATCTTTGATCCATGAAATTAATTCATCAGCTTCACGTTCAAATAGGAAATATAGGCTACGTTCTGATAAAGTTTGTCTTTTCTTCAAAATTCCTTGAGATAATTGATCAAATTTATCAACCAGACCATCCAGTTTTTGTTGGATCTCATTACTTTCACTGTGATTTTTATCAATCAATTGTTTCGATTGTTGAATCAATTTGGTCATTAAAGTAGAATTGAAACGTTCAGATTCGCTGCTGATTGCTTCCAATCTTTTCAACAACATCGATACAGATTCTTCATCGCGGCCATTATCATCATTTAACAAAAATGAAAATTTTTCATTAATCCAACTTTCAGCTTCAGTAATGTCCGAATAAAATTGATGCGATTCCAATGAATCGATTAAATGTATTCGCTTCAGAGCAAGTGCGTCTTTTATATACTGAATGTTTTTCTGTAGCTCATTGGTCAAGTATTTGACTTCTTCAAAATTGGAACTTTCTGCTTTCAACAAGCTATGTCCTTTAGAAACAAGAGCACTCAGTTGAATTTCTCTTGTTTGAATTTCAGATTCCAGCATTTTGTGTCGTTTGATCAATCGTTGTATATCTAGCACAGAATTAGCATTATCGAATTGATTCAATTGATTTTCTTTTTCTTTGATCCAGAAAAATTCGTGTTCAACATCATTTTTAAACTGAAAGAATGTAAGATATTCTTCGAGTGTCTCACGACGACGATTGATTGGTTTTTGAATTTCATTAAAACATTTAATGACTTGATTACCTGAAAAATAATCATCAAATTAGCAATATTTATCAAATCATATTTAGAATTACCTTTTTCTTCAATTTCATCTATTTGAAAATGATTACTTTGTTCAAAATGTGCCATTTGATCTTTGATGTTTTCAATATTTTCATTATGATTGTGTACATCGTTTTCAAGTAATTGATGTTTTTTCAGCAAGTTACGAACACTAGACAGATCTTTTCCGTTATCAGGATCGTTAAGAATTGCTTCAATGTCTTTGATCCACAATAAGAGAACGTCACAAAGGCGGAAAAATTGTAACGCTTGATAGGCTTCATTGAGACGATTACGTTTGAATGAAGCACTTTCATCCAGTTGACGATATAATTTTTTGATAGTATCCAAATTTGATTTGATTTCTTCGGAACAAAAATGTGAATTGTTGATTAGATTTTCGCCTTCATTTATCAATTCTTCAATTCGCCCTTTATTCGAATTAATTTCGGCTTCAAATGCTGCGTGCTTTTGTTTTTTCGACAATAAATTAATGGAATCAAGATATGATTCATCATTGGCCACTTTAATCTTCTCTGTAAGCCAGCCATGAATCTCATTGTAGCTTCGTAGAAAATTAAAATACAATTTAGAATCTTCCAGTTTACATTTACGAATCTTTGCCGATTCAAACAATTTGTCGCGTCTTTCCAAAATTTCACTATGTTTCATCTGTATATTATGCAAATCAAAATGTTTCTGTTCCATAAGTTCTTGAGCGAATGTTGATAAATCTATTATTCTTTGCTGTCCGGCAAACGATTGAACAAATGAATCATGTTTTTTAAGTAAATCTTCCACGGTAGTCAAATTTGATCCCAGATCTTCATTTGTTAGGAACGCCTCTTTCAAGGTTAACCAAGAATCGGACTGCTTGTATAAGTCATTGAACTTAAGCAATTGTTTGCATTGTTTTAGGTAATTGCTTTTGTCTTCCCAAGCTTGGTCTAATTTTCGTCGCAATTCATCATTTTTTTCGATGCATTCTTGTATTTTCTGAATATGTGATTGGTTTTCTCTTTCATCTTGTTTCAATTCGTGTAGCAAGTTTAGCCCGTATTCTTTTAGATTTTTATTGTTTTGTTTTTTGGCTACCAATTCATCCTTGATATATCCATGATCTTGCAATTCACTTTCAGTCTGTGAAATATTTTCTGGTGTGAATGTATTGAATAATTTATTGGTCAAAATAATGTTTGCCCAATTTTCATATTCTTTGATTAAATCAAAAAATTTGTGCAATTTCACTATGAATTTAAGTTTTTCATCTTTTGTGCTACATTCTTGTGACAATTTTCTTAAATTATCTTGAATATTTTCAATTTTTGTCCGTGATTTTTCCATAAGCTCGGGATTTTTTCCAATCAATCGTCGAACATCATTATCATTTATATTTTTAAAATGATTATCGATTCCATAAATATCATAACAAAGTGATATGTGTTTTCGTTGTTCATTTTCCGCAGATGATAGATTTTTGGCATCACATTCTTTGGACGCAAGCAATTGTTTTTCGATCACACGTTCATTAACTTCATCTAGATCGCGATTGAGCGAATGAATTTCTAATGCATCGATCAATCTTTGTCGATAATTTGCGATTTTTTGTTGTAATTGTTTCCATTTTTCATTCAAAGCTAATCGTTTTTCATCAACCTGGTTTTCATTTTTACATTGATTGACCAATTTATCAGCCAAATGATTTATTTGATGAATTTCATCTTCATCTACTTTCAATCCTGTACCAACATCATCCAATTTTTTCAACAAGGCTGTACAATGTTCATAATCTTCGCCAGTATCATTGAATTGTATCATCAATTCTTTTTCACGAATCCATGATTCGACTAAGCCAACATTTTTGTTAAATTCGTAGATATCTTTTGCTTCTTCGAATCCTGCAAAAATATCTTTGCTTAGCGTTCTCAGTTCTTCCCATTTTTTTAAAAGATTGTCAAATTGTGAACGAATTTGTATAGAATTGGGATGATTTTTCGAGATTAAATGTTTTTCTTTGCTTTTAATCACTGTCATACGTGATGTATTGGCATTGATTTCAGCTTCAAGAGCTTGATGTTTTTGAAGTTTTTTCAATTTAGTTTCAATATCATCATTATTTTTATCTCTTAAAGAAATTTGTTCAATTTGAATTCGTTTCTCATCAATCCATGAATCTGTTTCAATAACATCACGGGTGAATTGGGCAAAAATTAAATCATCAGAAAGTTGATCTCTTTTGGACAAAATTATTTGCCACAGTTTTGTCTTTTTCGCCAATAAATCTTCAAATCTTATTTTGATTTTGTCAGAATGATTATTATTTTTTTCAATTAATTTCGTTTTACACTCTTTTAATCCGTTAAATTTCTGTTCATGTGATTCAAAAAGTTTTACGAATTCATCAAATTTCTTGAGATTACGATCCACTTCTTCCACTGTTTGTCCTTCTTCCGTTGTTTCAAGACGATTTTTGAATTGTTGACACAATTGTTCCAATTGTTTTGCATCACGAGAAAATATACAATAATCTAACAATTGATCTAATGCGGCATCTTTAACTTGCCACGTATTATAGAGTTGATCACGTGTTGCCAACAATTTTTCCGTATGTTCTTTAATTTGACTGTAAAATGGATTTTTTGTTAATTTATTGGCATCTTGCACTAAAATATTGAATTCTTCTTCACGTGCATCAATCTCTGATTTGATTCTTTCATGAATGTTTTTGGCATTCTGTGCTTTGTCGACATGAATAATGTTATCATTTTTATTTAATTCATTTGAAATTTGATCATCATTAATTTTCATTTCATTAATTAGATTCGAGGCCCATTGCTCCAAATTTCGTACAATCGAAACGAAACGATAAAATTCATAAGTATCGCATAGTTTTTGTCGCCGAAATAAGCTTGAATCTTTGAGCTTTTCCCAATAATCCAAAACTGATTTAAGTTTTTCAGTGATCTGTTTGGCATTGCCTCCCGGATAAGCGGCTTTCAATTTAACGCTATCATTTATCAAAATTTGCAATTGAGCTTCTAAAGCCACCAAATCATTTTCAAACACATCATGATTACGAATAAGATTTTGCGTGGATTGGCAATCACGGCCATAATCTTGATTATTAAGAATGGCATGTTTTCCATGAATTCTTTCGTAAGCATCGGCAACATCTCGATTGAATCGATGTATCTTTACTGCAGCTATAAATTTCTGTTCTTTGGCTTGCAATAAATTCATTACTTCTTGCCATGTTGCTGTTATTGTTTCACTATTGGTTGTAAAATGATGATCATCATTTCGTTTGAAACGTTTTGCATTTTCCATACATTGTTTATATCGTTCTTCATTGGCACAAATCAAGCGTTTTAGATCGAAAAACTTTGCTTGTAATATGATACAATGTTCGTAATCTTTTCCATAGTCTTCATTTGACAAGATTTGTTGTTTTTTCTGTAGCCATTCAAGAAAATCGTTGCTTTCTTGACAATATTCATAGAATTGCTTCAAATCAATCAGATTCAGATTACGTTCATTAGCCAATTTTTGAATTTTTTTCAATTGAACATTCGAATCTTGAGCTCGTGTTTTCAGTAATTTTTGCTCATGTTCATTTTTTACGGTTGAACTTAAATCTTCCGATTGTCTTAATAGTTCATCAATCAGTCCAGCATAAGTATCAATTTCTAGATCTATTGATTTTTGTTTTTGCAACAATTTGATCAATGTGACCTCATCGTTTCCATAGATAGGATTATTCAAAATATTGATCTTGTCATTTAACCAGGATTCAATTTCATTGCAATCGGATAAAAATTGATGCATTTTTAAATAGACTTTTAATTTTTCAATACGAGCATCCATTAAATCTAACAATTGTTTCCAATTAGAGCCCAATTCTTCAGATATTGCTTTTATTTTTTCGTTCTCAATATGATTATCGGCAATAAATTCATCTGCTTTGGCAAGAATTGAGTTCACATGAATTTCATGAGCATGTACTTCGTTTTTTAAGTTTTGTTCAATTTTTTTCAACCAATTTTGAGCATCAGTCAAATTTTGTGGCACATCAGTAGATGATACAAGAATGATTCGATCCTTAATCCATTGGATCTGGGCATTAGCATCAAATTCAAATTGAAAATATTCGTTCAACTGTAATAAATGTTGATTCCGTTTGTTTAACGGTTTTTTTAAGTTGATTATTTTAGATTTTAATTCTTTATAATCGTGATCATCTTCTTGTTGATTATCATTACCATCATCAGTGTTTCCACTATCGATGGCATCGGTCGATCGATCGGTTTTTGTATTGTATACTTTATTTTCTAATGTAGCCAATTCTTTTTCGATCAATTTATTTTTCTGTAAAAGTTTTTTACATGTTCTTCGATCAATTGGCGTTTCATCAGAATTAATTTCAATTTGAATTTCATCAATACGATTTTGCATTGTTTGCAATGACTTTTTTCTTTCCATTTTTCCAGAAATGTGAGACATCAATTTTTCATTATCTTCAATCAGATTGTTCAAATCGATCCATTCATCCTTGACTTTTCTTTCAATTTCATCCAATTCTTCGGTAGAGATCAAATGTGAATTTCGATTCAAATCAGTAAGATCGTTCAAAATTTTTTGCATTTGAATGCGATGTGCTCGAACTTCAGCTGTTAGCGTTTGATGTTTTTTCAATTTTCTTTCAATGGTGACCTCATTTCTGAGATTTTCCTTGCCATCAAAAAGATCTTTTACTTGATTTCGTTTACTTTGACACCAATTCGAAAATTCTTCGGCATCACTTTTAATTTCATGATACACTTTAGCATCTTTTAGAACTTTTTGCCGCAGGAATGCTTTATCTTTGAGCGTTTTTCGACGTTCATTTATTTTTTTCTGACGCTCTTTGATAATTTCGGCATCAAAATGATTGTTTTGGATCAATTTATCTCCAAAATCAATGAAATTATAGATGCGTTGATCTTGTGCATTGAGTGTGTCTACAAATCTTTCGTGTCTTTTGATTAATGCATCAATGTCTTGACAGCTATTACCAACATCATCAAATTCCAAGAATGTCAAATCAGAATTGATGATTGTATCGATTCGATCGGCTTCCTGATTGAAGGTATTTACATCAAAGCATTGTTGAAGAAAATTAGTTTTCTTATTCCATTCTTCATGAACTTGTTCGTATTTTTGTGACATCTCGTCCACAATTATAAATTCATTGGGATCAATTTGACTTTTTAGTTTTTGGGCCAAGTTTCTTAAATCTTCTATGTCATTACTTTTACCTTTTATATCGACCAAAAGATCATTGTGTTCTTTAGTGATGGCTTCAAGACTTTCAACATTTTTGAATGAAGGATCATTAGGATCATATTGTAACAATGGTTTAGCATAACTAGTTAACCAGGCATTGATGTCGTTGGTGGAATTTCTAACAATTTGTAAGCCAATCATCTTATCTAACCAACAACGTTTTTCATCTGAACATTTTTTCAAACGTTCCCATAATTGCTTCAATTCAACAAGACGTTTATCAACTCTAGATTTTTCTAATGGATAAGAGGATTTAACATTGTCAGAGATGATATTCAATTTTTTCAATGAATCTGTTATTGGAATTAATTCACGTTCCAAATTTTCATGTCTTCGTTGTAGAGCTTGTGCTGTTTTTAAATCTTGACCAATATCAAAAGAATGATCATTAACTTTTTCTAATTTATCGTTTATCCGTTCAAGAGTTTCGGTACATGCGGCATCAAACACTTCGACTGATGTAAGACCTTCTATATTTTTGCCCAATTGTTTTTGTAGAAAATTCACTTGATCCCATTTCTTTTGGATTTGTTCTTTTCGTTTTTTCACTGCCGACATATACATGGATGAATTCATTTCGTTAGCCATTTTGTTAATTTCATCTAATCGAGCACGATTAGCCAACAGATCCGTAATCATCTTATCAAATTGTTTGCCCAGATCAGTAGCAGGTGTTGTATAATTTTGCTGTTCTTTGTTTAGGTTCATGGATTTTTGAATAGTGTTCTCCATATCATTCAACCAATTTTCGAATGCATCACATTCACTATTGAAACCGAACATTTTTACAGAATCTTCAAGTGATTTTCGTCGAATTCTGCATAATTCCACCAATCTCTTGTAATTAGTGTTTATCAACAGTTTTCGCTGTTCAACAGTATCAGCACCATAAACAATTGATAATCGACGTTTACTATGGCGTCTTTTGACTATGGCTGAAAGTTTTCTTGGTTGTTGTAGCGGCTTTTCTAAAAATTTTGTAATGGTTTTCGGTTCGATTTCTTTGACATAATTTGATGGCACATAGAATTCATTGGGAACGCCGTCACGACAAACTTTCCACCATTCGGGCGTACTTTTTGCAATTAGAAGCAAAACATCGCCTTTTTTCACATGACAATTTTTATCTTTGAAATCATAAAGTACATAAACTTGAGGTATTTCTTCGCAAACTTCACGTATCATATCTGCTTCATCATTGATTGTTTCCTCTGTTAATTGCTCATCAACTGGATCATCAACTGAATATGACTGTGCTCCAAGAAGAAACAAACTTTCTACATCCGAATCGATCATCTTTTCTGATTGACTATTTAGACGTTCTACTTCATGTGAATATGCGGTAACTTCACTTTCAAGAAAATTATGACGTTGAAGCAATGCTTGAGCGGATTGTTCATCTTTGCCATAATCTTCGGATCTAGCAAGTTGCATTTTTTCTTTGAGCCATGATTCTGTTTCATTAGCATCAGCATGATATTGAAAGGCTTCAATGATTATGGCCAATTCTTTTGATTTATGAGCACTGATTTCTTGCAATTGTTTCCAAATCTCATGCAATGCTTCTAATTTATCTTGAATCAATTTATTTTCCGTCGAATCGTTTTCCATGAAATTTTGAGCTTTCTTTTCAATTATCTTGATTCTTCCTTCATGAGTTTTGATTTCGGCTTCGAAAACATTATGTTTTTGTTGTAAGGAAATTATACCAAGCAAATCTTTGCCAGGTAATATTGCCTGACAGATGTTTAATTTTTCGGCTAATGTAGCTTCCTCTTCTTCGAGATCTTGCAATAAACGATAAAAATCTCGAAGTTTAATCAATTTTTGCCGCTTCATTGTTGATTGATGATTTAATGTTTCATGAGATTTTTGTAATGAATGTAAACTTTGTTTAAGATTGGGAATTTCTTTTTGTAACAAAACTGATCGCTGAACTTGTTCTTGTTCTAACAACTTGATAGCATTGTTAGTCAATCGTTTTACTGTTTCATCATTCGATGCAATTTGTGCTTCCAACAACATATGTGTCTGTAAATATTCTTCAGCAGTACGTAGATGAGTGACATTTGAATCAATACTAATTCTTTTGATTATATCATGGAATTCATTATCTATTGTTTCGATTTCTAATTTGGTACGCATAAAATTTGAAGCGACCGATAAATTTTTTTGATGCATTTCTAGTACGGATATTAATTTATCCCATGAAAGTTTTATTTCTCGGAAAAAATTTTCCACTTTGTCAATGAGAAAATAATTTTCTTTCTTCAATTCAACCACCATTTGTGCCAGTGAATCAATACGTTCTTTTCTCGATAAAATGTCGGCAGAGATTGCTTCATGTTTTTTGATTGTAGCTTCAACTTGGCTTAGATTATTTCCATAACGAACATCGCTCAATACTTGTATCATTTCATCAAGATAACTTTTACGAATATCGCTTTTTCTGTAGAAACTTTCAGCCATGTTATTGATTTTTCCTAAACGTCGCATTTCTTCACGTAATTTCAATTCATTTCTATGTTCGCCTTTTTCCAGATCCATCCAACTTTTGTGAATATCTTGGCTTAATTTTCCTTCTGGTGGTACATACAAAACTTGACCCAATGCTTTCCTTTTGGTTTGAATGTTGAACAATAAAGCTTCAATTTCACTTCGTTCCCGATATTTAGGTGGTTTTTCTACTGTTCTATATTCTTTAAATTTGGAAAATTCATGTTGAATTTGATCCAAATTATTGAAAAATTCTCTTTTATCTAATTGATGAATTTTCATTTGAATCCAGTTGAGAAGATTAGTTGTTAGAAGCTCGTAATTTAACTGAAGACGATCGATTTCCATCAATTGAGAAATAATGTTTGTAATTCGTTTACCACTGATTAGTTCAGAATTGTATTTGGCAAATGTATGATAATACGATGACACATAGGTTAATATGGATTTTTCATCTGGTTTTGCCGTATCCACATCTTCTGGATCAAGCAATGGTTGTATGGCTAGATTTTCTTGAGCCACTTTGAAAGCATTATTTAGATTTTCTATGGAATTTTTCGGATCTAGTTTCTCAAAATTGATCAATTCGGGACGATGTGAATGAATCAAAGCATTGAAAGCCATTCCATTACGCCAGCTTTGTGTGAAATCCGTGACATACGCGTGAGGATAGCCATTGGTTTTACGTTGACACCAGAGAAGTAGAGCTTCTTTGGCCGAATGTTTTTTATCTGTATCTTCTTCAAGTTGAATTTCAATATCTTGAATTTGAAATCGCAAAATGATTGTCCAAAGAAGACCTAAAATGAGTGTTTTGTTTCCATCCACAATATCTTCGGCACCGATACTTTCTAATTTGACTTTAGTGTGCAAGAATGCCAAACATTTATTGACATTTTCAATTTTTTGTACTCGTAATTTTCCATTATTCGGTTTGCCAAGTTTTTCTCCACTAATTATCTCCAAAAGTTTTAATAATTTTTTTCCATCAGCAAGATCAACGAAAATATCGTCGATTTCCATTTTGGCCTATGAATTTTGATATAAAATATGTATTGGTTAATTCACTAAATAACATATATATATCACATACCTTTTGAAGAAACGAATTCATCCATTTTGTAAATGTTTTTTTCTGAACTCTTATACGTTCTTCATGAAGTTGATTGATACGATTTCGTTCGAATTTGATGCTTCCATTATCATTGTTAGAATGATGATAATGTTTATGATTATTGCTTTTATTATTCTTCATCATTTTTGTTCATTTGATTTCTTTTCATATATTCATTCGTCGATTATGAAAATGGATATTTACTTTCTAAACAAAAAAAATAAATAAATAAAAATTCTTTAGAAAATTTACTTTGTTAATTTGAAAATTTGATGATTTATTTATGCAAATAAAATAGCACCCTTAACAACCGACAAATCCATTAACAATAAATACCATCATCTCTTTACAATATGACTATGGCGATGTTTCAATGAGAAAATAAAAAAATCAACAATATAGAAATAGAGATAAAACACCAAAAATCATCAAGTAAACATCATTAACCTTTTTGGCAATTTTCAACAAAAAAAACACCATCAACCTTAAATATGGACACAAAAAAAATTAAAAAAAACTAAACACAAAATAGTCATAGGATTTTTCTTTTCATTTCATCAACAATTCATTTATTCTTCTTAAGGCAACAAAAAAAAAATTATAACCACAATCATATAATACACAAATTAAAAAAAAAAAAAAAAAACAGCAACAAAAAAAGTTCAGTCACAGAAATGGAATCGGAAACAATTGAAGACTATATTCTGTATAAATCGATCACTACTCATATAAAATGTTTATAACAAACACACACACACACACACACACATACATAAACTTTATGATGATTTGTAGTCATTGATTACAACTATTTTTTTTTTAAATCAAACACGGGTATTAAAATGAATGATGAATGAATCAATGATGATGATGATGATGATAATGATGATGATGATGATGATGATGATGATGATGATGATGATGATGATGATGATGATGATGATGATGATGATGATGATGATGATGATGATGATGATAATGATGATATTGGAGGTGGAGAGAAAGAAAGAAAAAAAAGAAAAACAAACCTACAGATAACGATCGTATATATTTCATTAACATTGGCCATATCTAATCTATTCATCTATGAATTGAATTGTAACACAAATGTATATTATATTTATACGAATTTATTTTACTTGTTTTTTTTCTGTCATCGTAATCAAAATCATAATCAGCATCATCATCATTTTCACAGTGTCTACCTTTTGTTCACTAAACAATTATTTTATTGGCCGGATTTTTGTATTTTTTATGTTTTCATATGTTATGCCAGAAACCAATTGGCCACCATAATAATCAATTGTTGTAATAATTTCAAATGATAATGATAATGAAACGAAAAATCACAATAAAAAATGGGGCGTAATAATTGTCAATAATTAATAGATGATGATGATGATTGTTATTTTACCGAACCAATGGATTATGATAACATCATCAATGTAGGGGCGATATTTTCGAATGTTTAAAATTTCTTTTTTTTTCACCAAAAATAATATTGGTTATTATGAGATTCTGTTGTTAAATAATCTGACTAAAAAATATAGATAGTTCATCTAAAATTATTTCCGTGAATCGATTGTGGATAACACAATTTATCGATTTAAGAAGAGGATTTTTATTCGTCAAAAATGAATGCAATTTTAATCAATTGAGTATTTTTTTTTTGATTATTTTGACTGATAAATTAGTTGATTGATTGATTAATTAATTGATTGATTGATTAATCAAAATAATCAATTTGGCCGTATTATAATTAGACCATGTGAAATGAATGAAAAAAAAAGAAATCAACGATAAATTCAACTTTGGATCGTTTCAAATATTAATCAAGGTATAATAATGACATACCACCAGCATGCGAAGTGTAAAGATTTTCTGTTTGAAATAAATTTATATGTCAATTTGATGTAAAAAAAATTATTATCATTATAATTAATGAAAACATAGCAGCCATCATCACTAACAAACGTACAATGTCAAAATCAAACTATATACTATTCATTTAAATTAGAATATCATAATCATCATGACAAGTTTTTTTTTTTAAATTTTCTATTTGAGCAATTCAATGATGATAACAGAAAATGGATCATCATTAAATTGTATCCTCCACATTCAATGAACATCATCTCCAATAATAATAGTGTTTAACACGCCGACATTGATTAATCTTAATAATATCCTTATTAACCAACTTTTTGTCAGGACTATATATGTATGTATTAAACAAAAAAAGGATATTACTTTCATTCTTTTATTGTAGTTTGTCGATTTTTGTGGCATTCATAATCATTATTATTCTCATCATCATCATCATCATTGACGCCAGACATACAAACACATCATTGCTTTAATCTTAATAGACAAATAAATTGTAATTTTGACTATAATTGCATAGTAACTGGCAAAAAATTTGGATTAAATATTTGTGGAAACAAGCATGCAACAAGTGTCAACATGTCGCCATGTTATATTTGTATTGAATGAAAAAAAATATATATATTACCTTTATAGTGGTTATTATTATAACTACTAATAATAATAATTTCCAACGGATATAGATTCTTATTATCGGAAATATAAATGAAGATGAATAAATATAGATTGTATAATAAAAACAAAATTATTATGAAGATAATAATTTAAATGTTTAATCATGAATTAATTATTTTTTATTATTAAATGTTGACCATAGAGTGTCGAAGTGTTGATCATTATAATCAGAAAAAACATGATGGAATGAATGTCATTTTATCATCATTGAATATATATATATATATAAATGATAATAATTATCACATTGATTGTTAATGATGATGATTTGTTTGTTTTTTTTTTGTTTTGTTCTGGTTGCTTATGGCGATGACGATGATGTTTTTCTTTTGTTCATTCATTGTTATCATCGATGCAAATAATAATAATAATGATGATGATGATGAATATAACAATTTTTTTCTATATATTCGCTGTAGATGTCATGCATGGTAAATGTTATGTTTCAATCAAATATTGTGATGAACAAGAGATACAAACAAACGAAATTAAAAAACAAATTGAAACAATAACAAAAACGATAGAAAAAAAATAACTATAGTAATCAATCTGTAAAAAAATATAAATGTTTTGTCGAATATTGATGGATCAAACGATTTATGATATACGTTAAATTTCGGACAGATTTATATTTGATATACCAATTGATAAATCTCTGTCATAAATATACACCAATCAATAATGCCAATCATAAACCTCTTGTGTTGATCATATATTACCAGTTGGATCTTCATCGTCTTTTTTTTATGCATGCTTTCTATCTAAATGTTTTTTTTCTCAAAAAAAAATAGTTGCATGCCACAAACCAGTATACTGACTATTGAAGATTGAAGATGCATGTGTTTATAGTGTATTTGTGTGTGTTGCTGCGGCTACAATATTTGCTATGGCCAGGCAAATATCACTGAGAATGTCTTCTTCTTATGAGCGTGCCAAAATAACTTGTAGTTAGTTTACTTTGCTTCGGGGATACTTGCTATCGTTTGTGGTGATGATGATGATGATGACCAACACAGCAACCATTTGCATTGCTGTTTAGCTTTTGTATGTATAGTGTGTGTGTGTGTGTGTGGTTAGTTGGTTAACATCAATCAACGTGGATTGATCATTAATAAATGAAATTTTCAATCATCAATGATGCTAAATTGGCTATTATATATTATAATATAATATAATAATTACTATATTATATTAGATCTAACCATTTTGATGAATGTTTAGTCGAGGGGAGGGTGGAAAGAACAGCTGAAAAAATGTTCATTTATTCAGGTAGTTTTTCAATCACTGATCGAATTAACAATAGATTTACTGGTAGTTGTAAATTGTAAATCATCTGTTCTTTTGGTGATGACCAATCATCAATAATAATGTTTTGAATGCCAACGAATAGACAATGAATTCAAGGTGCCACATTTTACACTTTATTGTTTTCGTTTCATTTTTCAACAAAAAACTTTTTTCACCTTCATTCAATTGTTTTAAATAAACATGACTGATTCTATTAAATATGTTAGTATTCCATTCAATTAAATGGAATATGAAAAGATTTTATTTTCATATATAAAACAGTAAACAATTGTAAAATTTGAAAAATAAAAACGATAATAATAATATTCGTTCTAACGAAGGAAAACGATTTGACATTAATATCAAAGATGACAATAATTTCATAACCAATTGAGGAAAATCAATTTGCCGCCCCCTCAATGAACTGTGTTAATGTTTTTTCAATGAACGATGCTTGACGGGTGAAAATTTGCTGTACTTTATCATCTTTTGTTTTGATGATTAGGCCTTGATGATGATCCTTTTTGGGTTTCAATATTCCATATGAAAGATCCGAAAATTGTATGGATGAGATGATTTTCTATAGAAAAATATATTTGGAAAAAATTGGAAACAAATTAATTGTTTAATAAATTCTATTCATAAAAAAATTCTGCATTACCGGACATTCAATGTTAATCAAATGAAGACCTTTTTCATTTATTCCAATAAGAATTTTCTTATCATAGAAATTTGCATGAATAAGCGCTTCAAGAATAGATCGTTCCATTTGTGCTTCGAAAAAAAATCCGCCATAACAAGGAATCGATTCTCGACATTTTCGTAAATATTCAATATACCATTCTGCATCGCGGCTTATACTGTCGACTACATCACTTTTTTCAATACATTTTTCCAAAGTCATACATGCTTTCTTTGCATTCTTAGTCATTTTCCAATAATTCTGTGTCTTACGCAATGAATTTTGATAAGATAAGTTTTTTGCCTGAATCTTCAAAGTCTTGTAGAAATCATTTTCAAAATTAGATGTAATTGAATGGACTGATTCAACAGATTTTTGATGATAATATTCTGCTCTTAATTCGATTTCACATAGTTCAACTCGTCGAGTGATATCCAATGGGTAAATATTTTTTTTAACATTATCTCGAGCTTCTAAGTATAAAATTTGAAGGACTTTAGCGTTGTTAATTTTTTCTTCATCTTTGATTGACAAATATCCATTACGTCCAAGTCTGAATTCCACTAATGATGATTTTATTTCATCAGTTTTCAAAAGTTCTTTAAATTTTTCTTTCATTTCAATCAAACGATGTTTTCGATTCAATGGTAACTGGAGTTTTGATTGATTGGGAGCTGTTTCAATATTGGTGATCCAAATCGCTAGAACATTATAATCTTTGTGATCGTCATCGTCAATATGAATTTTATAATGATTTTCGCAAATTCTTTTGATTAAATCTTCTGCTGTTACATTCTCATTGTTGGTCAAATCAATTTCGAAAAATTCATCGTTTGGAAGTCTAATTTTTTCCATAATTGAATGAAATTTATTGCAAAATCACAAATTGATATATCCTGGTCGCACCCGATTGATAAAAAATAAAAAACAATAAAATCGGAAAATAAACAATAGTTGCCAAGTTTATACTGAGCAAGTTGATCATTCCAATTGTATCCCAGTTACAAAATAAATATAGTCACAAAATGATGATAATTACGCAGTTACATTTTGATTTTATAATTTTTTATGGAAAATAATATTCAAAAAGACATTTGCATATGATGAAATATAATAAAAGCTAATAAATTCAGACCTATGGAAAGATACAATTAGGCGAGTTAAATCATTCATTCATCAAGAAAAATAAAAAAAGATTTAGATGAGAAATGAAAACATTGATTAATTGAAGATAAAAATTATTTCAAAACTAATGACAATTAATTAATGAAGGAACCTAATGGACATTTTTCCTTCAACATCTGTTCGTTCTAATGTTTTACAGAATTCTGAAAATGTTATACATTGATCACCATCTTTATCAGCTTCCATTATAGTACGATCGGCAATGTTGGCCAATTGTTCAGTCGATATGTTGGATCCGACCATCATATGCAAAACTGCAAGCAATTCATCACGAGAAATTTTCTCATCACCATCTAAATCATACATTTTGAATGCAAATCGAAGTTTATCTTCACGCGAATTTAGTTTTATTTCACGATTTTTCTTGATTGGACGGAATCGTGCCAATATACGCATGAATTGTCTAAAATTAATGCGATCATCAAAGGAATCGGTTTCAGAAAAAAATGCCTGTACAATACGATCACCAAGTGGATTGATAGCCAATTCTGGTATACGAAGAAAATCTTCTCGTCCTAATGTACCATTATCACCTTTATCCAAGCTAGTAAAACGGCTATACAATCGTTCAATTTGTGATGCACTAACTGTTTTTAAGAATAATCGTAATTAACAAATTAATTAACTTGGATATATAGATTTTTCGTTAAAAAAAAAAAAACAATTGTAAATACTTACAGCCAGTTTCATTTTGGATTGCATTGATCTCTTCATCTTGTAACATTAACGAAGATTTGTTGCCCATTTTATTTATTCTTTTGTGATTTACAAGCAAATTTAGTATGATTGTAGAATTTTTTTTTATAACTTTAACACTTAAAAATAATGATTAAATCAAAATCAATTATATGATTCATATATGAAATGAATGATGAAAAAACTGGACACAGAGTCTCTGGGTACAACCAACGGCAACAACAAAAAACAGAAAGTGATTGTATTTTATCGCCAACGTCAATGATGATTATTATGGTGACTGTGATCAATCATCAACAAATGAATAAATGAACAATAAATTAGTAAACAACAGAATAGACATAAATACGACTACATTTGATGGTTATTTTCAATATATTCATATATACAAATCCAATCATTATTGAATGAATGGAAAAAAATGTATGTATATGTGCTGATGATTATTGTGATTATTTATCAATCAAGGCTAAAATCATCTGAAACCTATAGGTGGAGCTCAATCATGATGTCCAATTCGATCCGGTAGATGGCATTTGCTATCTTTCGAATGTAAATTGCTATATATCGACTATGTGATGCTTTGGATAACAAATTGCCATATTCAAACATTGTAATTGATAATTGATTTTTATTTTAATTTGGAAAAAATTATAATTCAATTTTTAAAATAAAAAGGATACAATAATTTATTTCATAATATTGTTAAATATTAATATTCATTCATTTATTAATCCTAGCCACAATTTTAACTTTAGCTGGCATATTTTTGGATATTTCCTGATCTTTTAATGCTTTAAGTAAATCTTTTTCACGATCAGTAGCCAATTTTTCTTTTAAAAATAACATTAATGCATTTTTTGATGCTTTACCACGTTTCGTTGAACCGGGTATGATTTTAACTTTATATTTGTATGATTGCATGGACGTATATGGGCCACAAACTGGTAATGCATATAAAAGATTATCATCGGTCATTGGATTCGATACTAATGATGAGATAATTCGTTGACTATCAAGACTGTATTTGTTCAATTCTTCTTGAATATCATCATCATCATCATCATCACCAGAATTGTTTTCATTTTTATTTTTGTTCATTGTTTCTTCATCATCAACGATATCGGATTTATTGTCATCAGTATCATCATCATTATCATCATTATGAATGTTAGTCTCCGCTTCAGCATTTTCAGCCACAGCTATTGTTTCACCAGTTTCTGTAACTGTTTCTTTTAAATTTTGTTCAATATTCTTTTTATCAATTTTATTACGCTTTTTCATTTGTTTGGCAGCCATTTTCTGCGAAAACATTTTCACTTTTTTCTTTAAATTTTCTCCTGTGTTGACAATGGTATAATCATCATCATCTGTTTTGGAGAAATGTTCTTCAAGTAAATCTTTATATTTGACTGTCGTATCCGGAAATGAAGAATCAATTTCTTCACCATCTTTGTCTTGAATCGTTGGTGGTGGTTGTGCTTTTCGTTGTTCATTTCGACGTTCAAGGCTTTCTTCATCGATTCGAAACAGAATGCCAAAACCAAGGACTAAATTCTGTAATGGTATGTAGTTTTTTTTGCCCCTTATCATAAATGAACCGACGGATAAATATTGGCCTGTTGGTGCCGTTTTCTGTACCTGATGAGAGTATACCCAATAAGCGGCGGATACAACTTTAGCTTCCCATGATGCACTGTAACAAACGGCCATATTAGCCGCTTCATTTATGGTTTTAGGAGGTATTTCTGGCTTTTCTGTATGATTTTTGATTACCACCGAAGTAGCACCATGAATATCAGCATGCACATAAAGATCATTTTTGGTTAGATAACGTTTGACTATCATTTCGTTTTGTTGTGCATCGCGACCAGCAATAACTAAATAACCTTCCGAACTGATGAACCAGAAAAATTTTTCGAACCACAATGTTTTCTTCGCCATAACAATAGTCGTTTTGATAGTGGTTTCTTTAAGTTCTTGTTTAACTTTACGTTCAACATTCTTATAGATCTTTTCAGTATGGTCCAAGGTTTTTTGTTCTTTTTTCGCTGCATCTTTTCGATGATCATAGTATTTTCTTGCATTTCCATACGCCGTCAGATCGATATCGATATCGACAACCATAGAATCTCTACCATCACCATCTTCGTAAGGATCATCAAGCAGCATAGCGAAACAATTCTTCTCCAATTTTAGTCCCTGTATCTTTGATGCAATTGGATCGCAATTATCTTGAGCATCTTTTACCATCTCAGCAATCATATCCCATGAATATTTATTTGCTATAGCACTTCGAAGGACCGAAATAGCATTTTCAACTAATTCAATGTTATTTTCAATCAGTGCCGCACGACGATTATCAATTTCTTGTAATTTGGCTAGATTCTCTAGCCGAGATTCGTGATCCTTTTTAATCGATTCCAATTTTTTCATTGCCTGTTTCTCGTGTTGAACAACTTTCGATTCAATACGTTGTGATTCCATGCTGGAGAAGAAAATATCAACAGCTTTATTAAAGCTTTCATATTCAGTGTAACGATGATTTTCCAATTGTTTGAATAGATATGGATGGAATTCGTCATTCATTGCAATATTTTCGGTTGAATTTGGTCTTTTTTCAATTTTCATTGTCAGATAACCTTTCGATGATGCTGCTCGAATTTCTTTGACAATTGATTCGGCATGATCGAATACACATTTCAACCAATCAATATCTTCTATTGTTACTTTTATTCGATTTGTATCCAAAATATTTTTAACTTTCATCAATGAATGTTCCAATAAGTTTGGTCCATATAAGAAATGTGGATTGAATAATTTTTTAAAATTTTGTTCCTTTGAATTGGCCAAAATCTGTTGAATACGATTTTGTGACATTTTAGATTCTTCTGCAATGTATGTATTCAAATTCATTGGATACTTTTCTCGGACAGCAATATTAATATTCGTTTTAGCGTCTTTATGAATCCGAAGCAAACTAAGGATGATATAATCTTTATCGGTAAGAATGATATTTCCTTTGCTATAAAGTTCGAGGATAATGTGATTGGCGTATTCAGCTGTACCAAATTGAAGATCAACAACTCGATCGTTACCAATTTGTTTGATCGTTTCAAGACGTTTATTTTTAATATGTTTACGTAGTTTCATTGTAAAACCGGATGGTGATGAATTTTTCGGCCAATCATATTCAGTCAAATGTATACGAATGCCAGATTCAAGAATGAGCATCTGTTTCAAATGTTCTTCGTCTACATTTTTGTCATGTGCTGGATGAGAGAATCTTATCAAAAATGTTTTATTATCTATGTCGTAAACTTGATAAACACGATTGCCACATAATTTTTCTCGAATTTCGGGTAATATGGCAATTAAATCAAATGTAGTGAAACGATTTTTCATTTTTGTTTTTACTTTGGTTAAAATTCAAGCAACTTGTTGTTTTGTTTATTTTTTCTTGTTCAACGTGTTCCTTTTATAAATCAAAGGAATTAATGTCACCTTTTATTTGAAAGTACTTTTTGAGTTTTAGAGTTTTTCAATATTATTCTGGAACAAGCCGTGAAAGGGAATTTTATTGAATTAACAGCAACATTTAAAATGTCCAAAAGAAAATTTAATACCGATTTTGATAATGGTGATAACAATAATAATAATGGAGATCAAAAGCCAAAGTTTCAGCAGCAAGTAAAATATGATAATCGTTCCAGACATTGTCCATACTTGGACACAATAAATCGTGGTGTGTTGGATTTTGATTTTGAAAAGTTATGCTCAATTTCATTGTCCAAAATTAATGTATATGCTTGTTTAGTTTGTGGAAAATATTTTCAAGGTAAGAATTTTATCAATGATTTTGATTTTATTTAACAAGTTTGATGATCTCTTTGTAAATAGGTCGAGGAATCGGCACACATGCCTACATGCATTCGGTATCATGTGGTCATCATGTTTTCTTAAATCTACATACATTAAAATTCTATTGTCTGCCAGATAATTATCAGATTATTGATTCATCCCTTGATGATATTGTTTATGTTTTAAAGCCAACATTTTCTCATATAGAAATTAAAAAATTGAATTCTAATAATAAATTATCGATTGCTTATGATGGTACCGCATATTTGCCCGGTATAGTCGGTTTGAATAATATCAAAGAAAATGATTATTGTAATGTCATTCTACAGGCATTGTCACATGTAAAAACAGTTCGAAATTATTTTCTGATTGAATCAAATTATGATATATTTGTTCGTCAAAATTCTCAAGATCATTCAGCACTATTATTGCAACGATTCGGTGAATTATTACGAAAGTTATGGAATCCTAAAAATTTTAAAGCTCATGTATCTCCACATGAAATGCTTCAAGCAGTCGTATTGTCATCAAAAAAACGTTTTCAAATCACACAACAAGGTGATCCGATTGATTTTCTTAGCTGGTTTCTGAATGCTTTGCATTTGGCATTGAAAGGAAGCAATAAGAATGATTCATCGATCGTATTCAAAACGTTTCGAGGCTCAATGAAAACCTATACACGTAAAGTGATACCTATTGATAAATCGATTGAAGAAAAACTTCATTTGATGGAAAATGAAGAATATGCTGAAAAATGTGATGATGGAAATTTCCTCTATCTAACGCTTGATCTTCCACCGACACCTTTGTTTCGTGATGAAATGAGCGAAAACATTATACCGCAAGTTCCATTAAGTCGGTTATTAGCCAAATTCGATGGTATATCCGAAAAAGAATATAAAACATATAAAGATTCATTTCTAAAACGATTTGTCATAACAAAATTTCCTAAACATCTTATCCTTTATATCAAACGTTTCACTAGAAATACGTTCTTTTTGGAAAAAAATCCGACCATCGTGAATTTTCCAATAAAAAATGTCGATCTTTCCGAATTGTTTCCTAATCAAGATCAGCAAGGAAATGAACGGAATTCAAAAGTGGTTTATGACCTCATCGCTAATATTGTTCATGATGGTCAACCAGAATCAGGAAAAGGAACATATCGAATACATATTTTACATAAGGTAAATGACATTCTTCAATTTTTTAAAATAACAAATTCTATTCTATTCATTTATCCAACTAGGGCACTGGAAAATGGTTCGAAATACAAGATTTACATGTCACCGAGATACTTCCTCAAATGATTACATTATCGGAAGCATATATACAAATCTGGGAACAGCAAAAATGTTGAATTGAATACAGTATTATATATAAATGATTAAGTTTGTTTGATTCTTGGTTGTTGAAATTGATGTGAACAACATTTAAAACCATTTTTTAAGCAATCAAAATTAACGTTTAATCAATGAATATTGAACATGATGTAATTCAAGTCATAATTTTGAAATGTATTTTTTAATATATAATTTGATCGAAAACTTTGTATATAAAAGAATACTTTATCCATTTGTTTATTCCATGAGGTATTATTAATATATATATAAAAATCCATTACGCCATGAATTCAATCTCCGAAGGTTATTGCGCGCGCATAATATCCTCATTAATTTATAAATACGTGTTTCCATTCAATTCTTTCTCTCCACATTTTTTTTTCTTTCCATGCATGCATGGATTTTGTTATTGATCGTAACTGTGTCAACAATGATCATGATGTTGCGAATTGTTGGTACTTTTTGGCACATGTTTCAAGATGGCCACGACCACTTTCTTGTTGATCAACAAAACAACATGATACATTGTTCATAATCATAGATGTCTTATATCCAATGTCGAGACATTCAAACAATAATAAATTGTGGATATAATATTGTAATAACAAGCAATGAGACGGTTCATTTTTGTTGTTTTTTTTATGACGTCGTAATTGTGGTGATTCTTTAATGAGTGTTGACTAGCTAGCATCACCGGTCATTGGTGAATTCTTTGCCATTTTTCTTTTTCTTACATGTCATTACAAATTGTATTACCAGAATTTAATCATTCGTAAACTTGGATAATTTCATGAAGTGATAAATTTTTTTCATCCTTTCGTCTATAATTCATAAATGATTGTTCACTATTTTAAATAATAAATCGATTATGAGTTTTTCTGGTGATAATTTCTATTGTGACAATGCCCGTTATGAACGTTCGAAAATCGGTAAACTTCGTAATGAACGGGAAGAGGTACAGGCCAAAACGTATAAGAATTGGATCAATTCAATTCTTATACAAGGTCGAACTGGTATAGATAATATCTATACGGATTTGGCAAACGGCGAAAAATTAATCATTCTATTGAGACTGTTGACCGGTGAGAATGTTGGTACAATAAACAAAAGTTCATCATTGCTTCATAAAATTGCCAATGTCAGCCAAGGCCTCAGATTTATCAAAAGCAAGGTTTGTACAATGAGAATTTGGTATAAAATAATTTTAAATTGAATACAATATCAATCTAATTAATTTTATCATTCAAACAGTATGTATATCTCGAAAGTATTGGACCCGATGACATTGTTAATGGAAATAAAACGCTCACTTTGGGCTTAATCTGGACATTGATTCTTCGTTTTCAGCTTAGCAAACATCTTGATTTTGAACAATATGATCTAAAATCAATTAAAGAATCTCTGCTACTTTGGTGTCGTAATCGTGTTAAACATTTAGAATTTGTAGAAATTGTTGATTTTCAGCAAAGCTGGCAAAATGGCTGGGCATTCATTGCATTAGTTCATAGTTTTCGACCAGAATCATTGGATATCGATGGATTGCGACGTAGAGAAAACCGAGAATTGTTAGCCATCGCTTTCGATACTGCTTATCAACAATTGTTGATACCAAAAATCTTAGATATCGACGATGTTATCAATGAGCCTGACGAAAACTCAATATTGACTTATGTATCTTTTTTCTACAATCTACATAGTAGAACTAAAAACTCAGAGACTAACGTTAAACGGATACAATACTTATTGACGCACATTAGTGATGTTGACAATATGCAAGATTCATACATCAATCTTTGTCGTGCCCTATTGGAATGGATTACATCGAAATCAACTTTGTTTGAAACGGATGTTCCAGTGAATCAAGCACAAGATGCAATGTTGGAGTTTAATAACTATTTTTTCAATGAACGTTGTGAAAAATTAAAATGCCGAAATGATTGTGAGACGCTATATTTTGAAATAATAAGCATGCAAAAAGAGACCGGTATCAAAACTTTCAAACCTTCGAATGGCTTAAAAGTGAAAGATTTGGAAAAATCTTGGCTAAATTTAGAAGTGATCGAAACTAAGCGGCTTTCAAAACTTAAAAATCTGATCAACCAACAGAGAAAAATTTGTCAACAAGCTGAATTGTTTGATACTAAAAGTCAGAAATTCGAAAATTACATAGTTTCTAAGCTAGAATTATTGAATATGATATTCATGATCGAGAAGCCCGTTTCTCTACAAGATCTTGAGCAACATTTACAACAATCGGAAGCAATATGTCTGGATGTTCATGATAATAATATGAAATTTGATTCTTTGATATCATTAGCCAATGAATTGATTGAACAACATTATGGTGATTCACAATTTTATAGCCAATATCTTAGCCATATTGATGGAAAATTGAAACGTTTGCACGAACTTGCCTCCACAAATCTAACAACCATTGAATTAACACGACATTTATTTACCGATCTTACCTGTATTGAAAACATTCTCAATGAATCTCACGATCTATATGGACAAATAAATTCAATTGGCATTTCAAACGAGTCGATTGATTCTATTCAAAAAATTTTGCTTAATTTAGAGAAGCTAAAATATCTTGAAATTTATTTAATTGTATTGGAAAAAGATTATCTTGAATCGCAACGACAATTTGATTCCATTCGTTTAGATGATAAATATAAATATTGTTTCATCATTTTTGATATTGATATCTATATGAAAAAATTGACTGATTCAAAATCAAACATTGTATTGTGTCGAGATTCGATTGAAAGACTCAAGAAAATTTCTGAATATCAAATCCATTTGAATGAATTCATCACCAGTGTTGAGTGTTTATATCAATTTTTGAATGAAAAACATACACTGACTAAAACGGATCCAAATGATTGCTTCAATTGCTCTACTATCCATTTCATACAACGTCGAAATAATATCATTAAACTTGAAATAAAAGTAATGGAACGAGAACTGTATTCTACTTGTAAAAACGGCTATTTGCTCATGAATTCAAAAGAACATAATGACACCATTGATGAATTGATAAAGGCAAAAATCGAAAAAGTCAAGAATGATTTCAAAAATTTCATATTCACCATCAACGAACGAACATTATTAATCCATGATTGTATAACATTATACAATTTAATTGATGAATTACGTCAGCATGAAGAATTGATCAAAAATCTTAATAATAATTTCTATGAAAGTATTCTGGAAAAAATTGATTTATATCAAAATGATTCACTTTATCTAAGTGAAATATTTGACAAACTTGGCCAACTTTCTATTCGAATGGAAAAATATCATAGTGATGATGGTCAAGATAATTGTTCAAAATTTATTTTATATCTAAAAAATTATCAGCTGGATCTAAATAATTTTCGACCATCACACATCTATCTTATTATTGAAATCAATCTTCCTGATATTCATTTAGATAAGTTCCGTACGATTCATCTGAACCTGTTTGAATTAATTCGAGATAGAATCGATCATATTAAACAATTGATATCTGTTACTCGATCAGATTTTGATGTCAGAAAATTGAAACAAATGTTAAATGTGAAATGTGACGATGATGACAAGATTCAAAATGATGAAATCACTTCCATTCAGAATATGCCAACTGTCGCAGAAATTGATTTAATTTTTCAATTATTTTTCGAACAGCATCAACATTCACCAGTTGAACTCGAAGATTCTTTATATCAACGTAATCATTTTGTAATTTCAGATTTCCGTAACATGAAAGTATTATCGACTATGATAAAACGTACTATGAATTTGCTAAAATCAGCCAGAGATATTGTCGATTTATGTCAATTGAATCGATCTATTCCTGAAGAACCTGTGTTTGATGAAATGACCGAAATTATTCCGATTATTGATAATGAACGACAAATGAGTGATGAAGATTTTTCAGAAACTATAAAATTGATCACTACTGTTGATGCCGAAAATGTTTCGATGATGACTGCAGAAGATGACGAAAAAATTTCCATAGTCGAAACTGAAACTGAAGAACAAAAACGCATGGCCCTCATCATGAAAAAGAGAATATTTATTCATAAATTAAAAAATGACATTGTTTTTATTCATCAGTATTTTATCAATTCCAACCATCAATGTCAAGATTTGAAATTCAAGTTAAATTTTCTCCGAAAAATAGTTGGAAATAATGTCAAACGAATAGAAATCTATATTATTGAACATCCAGATGATAATTCAACAGAAATCATTCAAACTCTTTCAAATGAATTACAAAAATGTGATCAAGAAATTGATAAATTTCAAAAATTATCCACATTCAAAGATTTGCTTGATGATTTCTATCTGAATGTCAATAATCATTTCGATAATCTTAAATGCATTCAGATAATCAATTATAATGATTTGAACGAAAAAATCGTACGTAATGATATGCGAACAATCGAATCGATCGAAATTTCCTACATTTATTACAAAGATCTGTTTGACGAATTCCGACAAGATAATATCTGCCATTTGGATGGAGAGTTGGACAAATACATTGTAGATCTGACATTTATATTAGAAAAATTTGGCCTAACTATTCAGACAACCAAAGAATTGTTGGAAAAACGTTGGAAATACTTGCAAGAAAAAAAGAAACAAACACGAATAGAATCTTTTATGAAACGATTATATAAAAAGGAAAATAAAAATCCAAATACAAGCCTGGAAAAAATCAGTGCGACCAAAGTTGAACAATCTGTTGAGTCTATTCCTAATGAACCGGAATACGAAGCATATTTCGGAAATGAAAATGATTTTACAGATTCATCAAAACTAGAAAACTTGATTCGAGAAATTGAAATCATTTTGTTCGATATAAATTGTGGTATAAATATGCATCGATATAAATCTGAACAAATTCATGCAATCTATAACGAAGCCATCCAATTGACTGACGATCAAACATTATTGAATAAATTGAACTTTTACAAGAAAAAGATGGATATGATCATTAAAAAACGGAATTATCGTTTGGAATTGGAAGATTTTCAAATAGCATCTGAATATTTTTTGAAATGTTGTAAACAAGATATTCAAACCGTTGATGAATTTACACAAAAAATTACACGACTACCCATAAATGCTGATCATAAACATCTGATCAATGCAAAAATGTTGGGCTTGAAATTCAATCTACGTCATTATAAAAGTCTTATTGTAATGATTCAACAAAATCACGGAAATAGTAGGCAACCAGAAATTTGTTCAAAATGGTCTATCTGAATGATTCATTCAAAGAACTTGAATCCAAAATAAATAATCTTAACGATATATCAAATATCGATGAAGAATACAATTTGATACAATCGAATGTCGAATATATAACAATTATCATTGAAGAATACAATGATATAGATTTGGAAACTTTGAAAGAATTGCAGACAAAAACCGTCGAAACCATTGAACAAATAGATTGTTTTAAAAATAACAAGTTAATCAAAGAAAATTCTTTTGAACAAGAATTGAACGATTTGGATAATTCAATCAATAGAATCGCCATTATCATTCGATACAAAATTTTGAAACATGAATTGGTAAAAAAATTGAAACAGTTTGAGAATCGTAAAAGTATTGAAGATGAAGAATTTCAAACATTCGTCAATGAGATTCGTTCACAACAAGAGATTATGGATAAGACATTGGCTAGTTTTGATTTTACACTAAATCATGGAGAAATGTTTGATCAAATCATGACAAATTTGGAAGTATTAATGAAAAAATTAGATTCATTCAGTTATATCATTGAAATCGATTCTCATAGAAAATTACTTGAATCAACTGATGTGATTATTGAACCTAAGAATATCAGGCCTTCTTCTAAAATTATTAAACGAATTATCAATAAAAAACCTAAAAAGATAACCGAAATTAAAACATTCACATTGCAAAAGTCTGAACACCAACCATCATTTGATTTCGATTCGATTTCGAACGAAGACCTCATAAATAACAATTATACAACACCAGTTAAGTATTTTGATGATATAACCGAGCATCTTATCAAATCTACAACTACTATTTTAAATGAAAATAATGAATCTTCAGACGAAGACAGCACGAAAATTTATGAAGTATACATTGAACTTGAAAATGAACCAGTAAAAGATGAAAAACCGAAAGCTCGACTGCATGATGAAATTGTCGAAGTATATGATGAATTTGAAGAAGAATCACAAGATAGTCCAAATGATCATTTAGTAAAATTGGTAAATGATAATACGGAAACTTCCAGCATCCACGAATCTGAAGAATTTATGGAAACAATCGTTGTAGATGAATCAAATGAAGAATTATCATCGATGGAAAATGAACAACCTTCAGCCATTAAAAAATTAAAGACTAAAAGAACAAATATGAATCAGTCGGCTGAAGAGATTCTAGAAGTTTTTATAGACAGTACTAAATCATCAAATGAATTTGATTCTATCAATAATGGAAAGAATGAATTAGACGAAAAAATTGAACATTTTGAAAAAACAGAGATGCCTACCGAAACTATCATCAATGGTATAATTGATGATAATGTAAAACAAGACGTAACAATCATAAACCATGAAAATATATCGATAACAAAAGTTCATATTCGTGATGAAATTACTGAACAAACAACTTCGGGAGACAAAATTGATGAAATAATCACTGATCCATCCACAAGTAATTTGAAAAAAATGAAAAAATTCAAATCGAATAATTACAACAATAGCAATAATGTTTTATCACAAGCACCCGGTATCAATTTTGTTGTTTCAAATGAAACGATTCCCATTGACAGTATTGACATTGATGAAGAATCAAATTCGTCTACAAATGTTTTGATGAATCCACCTTCTATACAATTGAACAATTCAGCGAACAAAAATGATAGGCAGAAACAACAACAATCATCGAAAAGAAAGAAAAAATCAAAAAAGAAATCAAAATTGCGTAAGACAATACAAATCACCTCAGAAATAACTGATCCTGTGCTGGAATCTAATCATTTATCTGCTGCTGATGATAAAAAATCTCAACATCAAGGAGACGATAAACCAATGGAGATGAGTGAATCGAAATTGATTTCAAAAAAAAATTTGAGTGGAATAGTGGAAAATTCTGAACAGAATTATTATCGATCTGAAAAATTCAATCTGAATGTTTCGTATGATGATGATTGGTTGGATTATCTGACTCCCAAAATGAAAACAACCTCCAATAATGTTTATGAAATTTCTTTGAATCGAAAAAATAATAATGATGAAAAACTTGATGTCAATCAAACCAAAATATCTATCGATAATGAAAAAACTAAATTGAAAAATCAAACTGTACAACAAACACCGGATCAAAATGATGACGAAAATGAAAATGTAACGAAAATAGAATATTTACCACCAACACAGAGCTTAAGTTTTGACATCATCAATGAAAATAATAAACTATTTGACAATAACGGATCGCTAGAAGAAACAGATGACATTGTTGAACGATGTAATAATATTGAACCGGAAATTGATGAAGCATTATCGAAAGATGATTTGAAAAATTCCGAACCAATCAATTTTGAATCGACAAAGTCAATATCTATCAATGAAAATAATGTTGACATACCGTTGTCTAATTCATTGAGAAATATTTTACATAATAATAACGAAATTGTAGATGACATTGACAATTCTTCTGAAATTCTTGCAAATACTTTTGAAACGACAAAAATAACTGGAAAAACCTCAAAGAAAAAATCGAAAAAGAAGAAATCGAAACAAGGTTCAAGTTCATCATTGAATCGAATTGAAAAAACATATGAAAATCCTTCTCCAGTTACTTTGGATTCAATTGAACAAAAAATACTGTCTGTAATCGATGAAGACATTGGCTTTGATAACATACCTATGTTACAATCCGAAAACTTTAAACCATCTTCAATCCAACATACGACAACCGTTGATTCATTTATCGATACCGAAAATATTTCTCCTTCAATCTTCAAATTACCATCATCTATATCAGACGATTGGTTAGATTATTTGCATACAGCCGATGGAACTGCAAACGTTAGCAACTATAATAACGAACATATAAATGAAGATACAGTAATGAAAACTATTCAAGCAAAAATTATTACATCAAATTTGTCCGATGTTTTGGTGAATACAGATAAAAAAACGCTAGTATTTGGTGAAAATATCATAAATGAGTCAAAGTCAAAAAATTCTAAAAAATCAAAAAAGAATAAAAAACGAAAATTCAATAAATGGATGGAATATCAAAATCCAGAAACCAACGATGATCATTCATCCATATCAGACCTTCCTGATAAATATGATCAAGTTGAGAAAAAAGATTCAAGTATAGTACCAATTGATCAAAGCGTTGTTTCATCGAAACAATCATCAAGCAAACCAGATAGGAAAGACATAATTGATAAATTCAACGAACTTTTCTCATTTTCAAATCTTTCATCCATTGAAAATAGACCATCAGCCAATTATAAGCCTAAGCAAATTTTTCATTCTGATAATGATGATCAGATGATTCATGAAGAAAATGATCAGGATGATGAAAGAAAAATTTTTGAATCAATCATCGAAACATTTGATGAAAATGATCCCAAAACTGATTCATACGAAAATATCGACTCGATTCCAATATTAATTCATTCTCACAAGAACATAGTCTCAAATGATGATTTGGAAGATGAAGAAACAAATAAAATAATCGTTATGGATGAATCAATGTTAATCACCGACGATTATGATCATTCACCATTATCAATCGATTCTAATGAAAGTATAAGTGAAAATCAAGATGAAGACGATTCTGCACTCATTGATCTGGAATCGAGAATTGATGCAATAACTAAACAAATCGAATATATTATTATGCAAATAACTGTATTGTTAGAGGATTCTAGCTTCAATAATCAACAATTAAAAATTCAACAGTTTGAAGATTTGATTCAATCAAGAATAAATCAACAATCATCAAAAAGCACAAAGTCAACTTATTGCAAAAAGGAAGATGATGAAACAAGAGGAGTCAAACTCGATCTAACCGACGAACAGCCAAAAACGGTGAAAAATATGAATCTAAAATACAAGAACCAGACTGAACAACCATCTGTGTCATTGAATGATTGGATTGATTATTTGACTCCAGCTACATCAATACCAAGACCAACAAATGATTTTAATGAATTAATCAATTGGAATGAGATTGAAAATGTACATTGTGATTTGGAAACAAATTCAAAAAATGATGTTCATTTTGATTCGGTAGATCAATTTTGCATTTCTGACAAACATGACTCCATTTCCAAAATCGAAAACAAAAATATCTTGATGAAAAAACTGAAAAAAACATATTCAAATCAGAATCTAACATCGATCAAGATAATAAGTCAAAATTCGAAACGAAAACAAACATTTTCAGCAGCTCTGATGATTGGATGGATTATTTATCGCCTCAAAACTTGAAAACTTCTGAACACGGACTTCAGATGTCTATCATTTACCAGCAAGAAACTAAAACAAACTTCTCATACGATAATAATATCGTTCAGGATAAAGTACATGGAGATAATCAAAATGATTTGAAATCTAAAGAAATAGAAATGAATAAATTTGATGACAACCCTGAATCCATAAAATCAACAAAACCTTTTTCAGATGATTGGCTGGATTATTTGACACCTCAAGTATTTTATGTTATGAAATCAGAATTTCAAACGTCGATCTTAGATCAACAACCACTTGAAAGCAACTCTGGAGAAAAATTCCATTTGCCCAATCAACAAGAATCTGATGAATCGAAAATGGATATGAAAAAAATTGAAGAATCAATGCTTAAAAATTCAAATAATTCAGAGATGCTATTATTTTCTGAATTCAATCATGAATATGCCGATCGCGCTATTCCAAATATCAAAATTACAACTCTACCAATTACAATCACAGAATCAAACGAAAAAGACATTTCAGATCCTCATTCAATTCTAATTAAATCTGATTATTCAACGGGCGATAATAGAGAAAAGAAAGCTGTAGTAGATCAGTATGAAACGAAATCAAGTATGGACCGATCGAAATTCATTTATTCTAATGTTTCCAAAAAAGTAGTTAACAAATTTCATATTCCTGTTTCTTCTGACGATTGGCTAGATTATCTATCGATTAAAGGTACTAGAACTCAAAAATCAGACCTAAAAATGTCAATCATTGATTTGCAACCACTTGAAAATGTTGATAAGGAAAAATTATCAAATAGTCTTGATATTTCTTCCACAAAATCAATAAAAATTTCCAATACTAGCTCCAAACAATTTGATATGACAACATGCAAAGAAACAAAAAGTTCTTTTGAATCATTTGAACAAAACAAAAGATTGTCCCAAAATGAAAACCAAAATCATTTGCACCGAATGAATGAGAATAATGATACCAATGATAAAATTTCTGGTGAAAACTTAAATTCTACAATTACTACATTGCAGCACAACATCACACAACTCATGCTCAGTGAAATTGGCAAAAAATCAGCTACCGAACAAAAAAATGATATCGCTGGAAAATGTTCTCAAATCGATAGCGATGAAAATTTGAAATCCCAATTGGGACCAATAATTGATGATGATGATGATGATGATGATAAACGAGAGAAATTTGGAATACAGGTTGTTAAAAATAAAAATCTCATGACAAACAGAAATCGAACTTTGCCATTACCGACGTTTTCAATTAGTCTATCGCATGATAATGAGCACTCATTTCAAACTGGTTTAAAAGTCCAGAAACCATCAGATTCTAAAGAACCAAAAACTAAAACTAAACAAAGAAGAAACAAAACTGAATTTTTCACAAATGATGGCGAAAATGATAAAGAATTGATCGACAAAAATCCCGTTCAATCGTCAAAATCTTCATCATCATCATCATCATCGCCATCGACTGTCAATAACTTAAATTTTTCTACGATGAAAACTTGGAATAATATTAGAAATTCATCATCATCGGATAATGATCATAAAACATTATCTGCAACAAAACAAGCTAAAATTCGAAGTAAAAAAATTCGTAAACATTGTGATGTTAAAAGTCTAAAAGTCATCGACATGAATGTGTTGGAAGCTAAAATTAATGGCAATAGATATGAAAAAATTGAATCCACACAAAAGCCGATTCGAAATCCTAAATCATCACTTGATACGATTATTGATAATAGTGATAATGATGGTTCATCAACACCACCATCAACTCAGATAAAACGGTTTAAACGTATCTTTCAATATTCTCTACCATTTTATTTTTTTCTCTTACTATTGCTTTTAATATTCCTTATTATACCTAAAGATGAAAATGAATTCAATTGCCTATTACGGAATGATTATACAATGACATTGAAGAAAATTTATTTACATGGAGCGCCACCGATTTAGTTGATGATTGAATATTTTTGATAAATATTTTCATATTTTTTCACCAGTTTGTTTATCATCAAATGCCTTATCATTTTCTTTGATTTTTTTTCTCGTTTTGTTTATATATTTCTGAATTTGAGTTGAGTTTCAATTTGTTTGTTTTATTCAACATTAATTGCGTTTCAAATTTTTATCATTCATTCATTAAAAAAAATTTTATGACTTGTTGTTGTTGTTGTTTCATACCGAATTAAAAATGCTACATATTATTTTGACATCTTTATTCTTGTTATCATTATCATCTAATATATTTTGTAATACAAATGAAGATATTGAAGAAATAAATCATTTGTTTTTGGATCCTTCTCATTTATTCCCATTACTTAAGGTTTGATAATAAAATAAAAAGAAACTTACATTTGTTATTCATGTCTTACTGTTTCACTAGAATGAAGTGATTTTGTTCGAAGAATTTATACGCAAACACAATAAACCGTATAGAAATGATTTAGCAGGTTTGCAATTTTGCTAATATAAATCAAAGTCAAAATTATTCATATTAACTGGATATAATTCTTTATAGAGAAAGCAAAACGTTTCAAGATATTCAGGCAAAATTTGCTAAAAATTCGAATGCTCAATCAAAATGAATTAGGATCAGCTGTATATGGTATAACACCGGCCACAGACATGACCTATGAAGAATTTAAACATCATTTAGGATTACGGCCAGATTTATATACACCAAACGAAGAACAGCCGGAAATTGACGATTATTATTTTCATGATAATGCTCCAGATTCATTTGATTGGCGACAAAAATTAGGTGTTGTAAGTAGTGTAAAAAATCAGGAACAATGCGGTTCTTGTTGGGCATTCAGTGCAACAGGCAATATTGAAGGTGTTTGGGCCTTGAAACGTAACGAATCGGTTTCTCTTTCCGAGCAAGGTATAATCACCAATCATCAATTTGATTTATTCAACAATCCAGAAAGTATGAATATTTTTATCTACCTTCTTATTAGAACTTGTCGATTGTGATACGCTTGACAATGGCTGTGGTGGAGGACTACCAACAAATGCATTCAAAACGGTTATTCAATTAGGTATATATTATGTGTTCAAATAAATAGATATTCACATTTCATATAAATTTCACATTCACAGGAGGTATTGAATCTGAAACTGATTATCCTTATGATGCAGAAAATGAAAAATGTCATTTCAAAAAATCACTTTCTCATGTAAAGATTGATTCATATGTTGAGCTACCAAAAAATGAAACATACATCAAAAATTATCTCTATCATAATGGTCCCATTTCCATTGGAATCAATGCAAATGCAATGCAATTCTATTTTGGTGGTATTTCACATCCGCCCAATTGGCTATGCAATCCTAGCAGTCTGGATCACGGTGTTTTAATTGTTGGTTATGGTACGGGCAAAACCCGTATTCTACATAAAATACAACCATATTGGATCATTAAAAATAGCTGGGGAAGAACCTGGGGTGAAAAGGTAAACAATATTCTCAGCATTAGAATCTTTAAATCAATGAAATTATTTTTAATGAAATTCAGGGATATTATCGTGTATATCGTGGCAGTGATACTTGTGGGGTAAGTCAAATGGCTTCTTCAGCAGTGGTCAATTAATCAATACAACAACAATGTCAGAATTTGACAGTTGATAAATTATCATAACAATCATTGAAAGCAATAATTTATGTTGAGATTTAAATGAATTAATTGCTTTTTGATGTTTATCTCACTGATCTATTGATTATTTTTTTTATATCAATAAAAAAATAAATAAGAAAATTGTCAAATTCAGTTGATTATTTTTATTGACATGAAATGATTACGAAATCAAATAATACAATGGTATTAAAAATCTGTTAAGAAAGAGAGAAAATTCTATTGAATCATTCAAATTCTATTTTCTTTGTATGGCGGACAAAAACTATTGGATGTATATTGCTTATCGCTGAAAGCACTGTCCATCGAAAGCTATATAGTAAAGATTGAAATATTCTCTATTCCCTATTAGTCATTTATATATACAAAGAGAATATTCTGTTCAGTTCAGTTTTCGCCAATAGAACGTTACGTAAACATCTTGCGATGCTCTTGCATCCATACACACGCACATATAACGACGCATCGTTTTTTTCTGCACTCTATTCTTATTATTCTGCCTCCATCATCATAGTCGTCTTTCATCTCGACATTCACCAACTCACAACATCACATATAAAATTCTAAATTGGTGTGCTTTATTTATCCTCAAACAAATTCTGTGTTTTGTGTTTTTGAATTTTGTGTGTTTGTTCCACTTGAAAAATCAGAGAAAAAAAATCCTCAAACTGGATTTTCATTGATGTTTTGACAGTTTTTAAGTTGTTTTAAATTTTTTTCACTAAAAAAAAAAAATATTACAGAAATAATAATTAATGAACATTAACAATGAACACTTTTGTTGGAAATTTTGTTTCATATTGCAAGAATTTGAAAACAAAAACGATATCGTTCAAATGTTTCAAGTTAAATCGTAAATGTAACGTCATGAACAAGATGTCAAATTTTTTTTAATCACAGCTTTTAACTGGACAATTCTCCGTTGAATCGAGATGAAAAACACAATTATCGTCAAAATAAAATCATTTAATATTGTGCTAATCTTTATCGTTGATTTATTATTAGCGATTAATAGTCAAAATATTTTAGAAAAAATTAACTGTGATTTTAATGATGCTACCCTTTGTAATTGGATTCTAAATAACAATAATGGCATTGCTCAATTTCAACCAATGTTCAATCATACAGATCTGTTTTTTGATGATTATGAAAAAAATAATCAAGGTTTGTAAATTGCCACATTCAATATGTTTTCCTAACAATTCGAATCCTGGATTCTGTTTATTCATTTTATTTAGAAAAAATACTTGTCGTTCGTCCTAATCCACAAACGGATATCGTATCGATTAAAAGTCCAACACTGTATTCAAGCGATTATGATTATGAATTCAGTTTTCAAGTTAATATGAATTTTTTTGGCTTCATACAAATTGTCATTCGTCAAGAACAAATTGAATCACAAATCTTAAAGATCAAAGGAGATCGGGATCAAAAGTAAAATTATTGCCCAAATAAAAAAAATTGTTTGTATTAATCGAATCTGTTTTTTAGATGGAAAACATATTCTGTAGGCATGCCTAGATATCACAAGATGAACATTTTGCTGGAAATTAAATTTTTGACCATTAATTCAGATTCGGATTATATCGCTTTAAATTATGTGAAAATTATTGACAAACAACGAAAAAGTAATATTATTACAAAATTTGCTACCATTTGTTGACTCATCATCAATTTAATTTAGGTGAGACAAGCGACTGTGAATATCAATGCCATGATAGCAATTATTGCCTATCCAATCAAAGCATTTGCAACATATTCAAAGATTGTCCGTTTGGAGATGATGAACAACAAAATTGCGGTAATCCAAATCATCATCATTTAAATTTAATTTAATTAATTTTTCTTTTTTTTATAGATCTTCTACCTCCCGGAAGCTATTGTAATTTTGATCATGATTTTTGCTCTTGGTTCAACTATGATGAACCGAATTCAAGTGGTCAATGGATACATTTAGCAAATGGATCCGATTCTGGATCATTGGGTGTCGTATTCAAAGGAGTTCATAAATTTGCTTTGATTTCATATCTTAAAAGTCCATTGTTCGATTCGATTCCTTTATATCATTCCATAACCTCCTCAAATTATTTTAACAGTTGCAAGGTTTGTTTTCATTCGAAAATGAAATGTTAATAATAATCAATTGATTTTTGTAGATTCACTTTTCTTATATTTTTCATACTATATCGATTGATTTAGCTCTGGAGCTTGAGCCATACGTTGATAATAATGATAAACATAAACCGATTCAATTATGGCGTTTTTTCAACAACAAATTATCATCAAAATGGGCAAATGTTACTGTAACATTACCGGCAAATTTTCATCATAGGTATCGTCTTAAATTTGGAGTTGCATTAGGATTGAAAAGTACCAGTACATTTGGACAAAAAGTTTACGTAGCCATTGATAATTTTAGCTTAACTAAATCATGTTTCGGAATCGGTATTGTTATTATGACGCAATTTGTTCGAATCCATATTCATTTATTGTCCACTTTTTTAGATGTTCCGGAGAATGAACGACGCATTCCATTGTTCATTCCAGGAAAAGAACAGGATGACACGGAAAAATTTTTCTCAATTCCAAGAAATAAATCAATCACTGGTAATAAAATTTATTCAATTTTTGATCAGTGAACTAATGTTTATTTTATCTATTATAAAGCTTTTACCTTTACCTCATGTGGTGCTACAGGAAACTTAGGTCCAACCTATACACAATGTGAATTGTTTTATTTAAATTCTTCAACTCGTGCCGCTGTGTTTGAAAAAAATAAAAATCTTAATCTCAATTTGAACATAAATGGAACACAAATGTGGATTGTACCAAAAACTGGATATTATACGTAATATAAATTGAAAATTATTTCGAATTATATTTGATTATTTTATATGTAATTTATGTATATTTTTTTCAGAATCATTGCCAAAGGAGGAAATGGAGGTCGCGGCTTATATGATCATCCAGGGGGACTAGGATCTCTGGTGCGAGCTATATTTCATTTCCAAGAAGGTGATACAATTTTTCTTGTCATTGGTCATTCGGGTAGCAATGTTTGTTCAGAATTCACAAACAATTTCGATCAATGTAAATATCCCGGCAAAAATTCTAAAATATCCATTGGCGGTGGTGGTGGTGGTGCTACATATATTTTTAAACTCAATCCTAATTCCAATTTAAATGACAAATGGGAACCATTGTTGATAGCTGGTGGAGGAGGTGGTGGTAATGGCAAGTTCAATCCAAATTTCAAATTATCATCTGGTAAGAATGAACTTGATTTATTGAAAAACGATATCATTCTCATTTTTATTATGAAGCTCAACATGGTAGGGGATTTGATATTTACAATTTGGGATATGAGGGAACTGGAGATGGAGCCGGTGGTGGATGGAATACTTCCACAATTATTCAAAACAATCAAACTGGCCAATCATTATTGTATGGTGCTGTAGGTGGAATTCCTTGCCCTAGATTATCAAAATGGCGAGTAACTGGTGGTTTCGGTGGTGGTGGTGGTAGTTCTTGTCAATTTGCAGGTGGTGGTGGTGGTGGGTTTAACGGTGGAAATGTGAACAAACCATACGATGCCGGTGATGGTGGAACATCATACGTTGCATTCAATCAATCATTTTTGCAATCGTTTAGTAATCCAAACATGTTATCATTGTCTGAACAAGAAGAAATTCCTGCGAATGGTTTTGCCATGATCATCCCACAAATCGATAATTGCTGCAATGATGGCCAATTTTCATGTCTAATAACAGGCGAATTTCAGAATATTACAAACAAATATTGTATCTGTGGTCACGAAAAATTTATACCTGATTCCTGTGTCTGTATGTATTTACTGACATTTTGATGCAAAAAAAAAAATTCGAATCATTCTTTTGTTTAATAGATGAACCACCAAGATATGAGTTAATTCTTTGGGCTGCATTATTTATCATTTCTGTCGCTCTTATATTAATAACATTTATTTTGATAGGTAATTATTGAATTAGAAATCCTAATTTTAATCAAAATCTCTAATCTTATTCCTAGTGTTTCAGAGACGAAACTCAAAAAAGAAACAACAACCAACTGAACCGAGTGACATGTATCTTTTATCAAATAGCGATTCAACTGATTTACAATTAAGTCGTCTAAGAAGCCATAATATTATTACGGAATACAATCCAAACTATGAATTCGGTGGATCCACATGTACACTGGGTGATCTACGCGAAATTCAAAGAGAAAAACTTAATCTTGTCAAGTAAGTTGCTTTTATTTTGGTTCGATCTTTAAAAGAAAATTTTTATTTCAGAGCTTTAGGCCAAGGAGCATTTGGCGAAGTATATCAAGGATTTCTTCATAATATGCCTGATGAAACCAACGATGAACTACCCGTTGCCGTGAAAACGTTGCCTGAATACTCAGCCAATAAACAAGCAGAAATGGATTTTCTCATGGAAGCGTTGATCATGTCGAAATTCCATCATAGAAATATCGTTAGATTTATTGGAATTTGTTTTGAAAAGATGCCTCGTTTTATCATTCTGGAATTGTTATCTGGAGGAGATTTGAGAACATTTTTGCGTGAAAACCGAAGTGTTGCAGAGAAACCATCAACACTAGTTATGGGCGATCTACTTGTGATGGCTTTAGGTGAATTATATCCTCATCAATATACAATTTTTTTTAATCATTCACTTTTGTTTTATTTCTTGGAATCAGACGTTGCTTGTGGGTGTCAATATTTAGAAGCAAATCATTTCATTCATAGGGATATTGCAGCACGAAATTGTCTACTTACTTCAAAAATCAAAATGAATCTTAATGGAAATACAAATCAAACATTCAATAGTAATGGCAATTTTGATCTAAACAATTACAAAAATGGATTCAACAATAGTGGAATCGTTGTGAAAATTGCCGATTTTGGTAAGCTTGAAAATAAGAGTTGAATAATTTTCTGTTTAATCTGTCAATTAATCCATAATTAAAGGAATGGCAAGAGATATTTATCGAGCAAATTACTACAGGAAAGGTGGTAAGGCAATGCTACCAGTGAAATGGATGCCACCCGAAGCTTTTTTGGATGGAATATTTACATCGAAAACTGACGGTATATATATTGCATTAAATTCATATTCAATCAAAATCAATTTTTGAATTATTTTTTTCAATTTTAGTATGGAGTTTTGGTGTTCTTTTATGGGAAGTGATGTCAATGGGATACTTGGTAATTATAATATTTGATGTAACAAATCATGCATTATTCCTATGTTTGCTTCATGATAGCCTTATCCAGGAAGAGGAAATCAAGAAGTGATGCAATTAGTGACAGCTGGTGGACGTTTAGAATGTCCGAATTCGTTGACTCCACCTCTTGTTTATGATATAATGATGCAATGCTGGAACGCTAGCCCTGAACTCCGTCCTAATTTCACGACAATAATCGATAGCATTGGTAATTGTTTACGAGATCCAAATATTCTCAATGTTCCATTGCCCATATTCCATCGTTCAGCATCAATGGAAAAAGATGTTCGTTATAAATCCAATTTAATACTATTTATCAGTATAATTTTATTATTTTTTTTTATTCTTTGAAATGTGATAATTATTTCAGACCACTTTGATGAGACCACCACCTGATGCAACTGATTATCTAATACCAAATAATTTTGGTTCACAAACCAACTCTAATTATAGCGTTGCAACGGAAAAAACCGAATTATTATCACCTGATACTTGTTCGACATTAAGCTGTAATAACGATGATCATAACAAAAATTTCGATACAATTGATAGCCACAATCATGTTCATCATGATTCAACTTCAATATTAAATCCAAATTCATCTTATAATTTTGATTACTTAAATCAACGAAATCCATATAATTCGGAAATCATTTTGGATCCAAACAGATTTAACAATCAAAATCCATCAGTTAGATATGTAAATGTAAATGTTAATAATTCTATGGTACAAAATAAGAATATTTGACATCATCATCATCATCATCAACAACATGAATCATTCGGCATGATTTGAAAACGAAAAATCAAAAAAAAAATTAATTTTATTATTGGAAAAAAAATTCGTTTATTCTTGCTAATCTATATAAATTTAACATTTCGATTTTTTTTTGTTTGAAAGTTAATTTTCAACCGAATAGAATGGAGAGCAAAATTTTATGTCGAATGTATATATGAATAAAATAAAATTCGTATAATTTATTCATTTATCTATAGAAGCATTTTGATGATTTTATGACTTGAAATGGATAAGCTTAGCTATTAAATGATCATTCATTTCATTTATTATTCAAAATAAAAAAAAATAATTCAATCAATTAATCGTAAATATATATCAAAAACAAAATTAATACCCGATCAAAATAGCTGTAGGCCATTATCAATCAAACATTTTGATATCCTTTAAATCATGATGATCATCATTAAAATGAAACGGTTATAAATTTTCCGACAACCATCACCACCATACACACACACACACACACACACACAGACATATTGATTGATAAGATCGAATATCAATCAATCAATTATAAAAATCATTAAACTATTCGATTGATGATATTTATATGATTATCATTCCATCAATCATACATTCGAATGTATGATAATGATGAATTATTTCGGATCGGCAGTACAAGTTTTAACAGACCACTTTTTTTCATGCTTTATAACCACCCGGACATACAAAGACCCACACACGAACAAAAAACAGAAATATCATCGACCTCATCACCATTCGTCTCTTACGGACAATGAACTTACGTGTAATCGATGAGTAACAGTAAAAAAAGTAAGATAAATTAATCTTTTCACATTGTCAGAGTGATAATGACCCTTTTTCTTCTTATTTTTTCATTTTCTATTTAGTTATTTTTGTTCCGAAAAAAGAACAATCCAGTTCTTTCACCTCTATACTTCAGAATGGCTGCAACAAAAAAAATATCATCTTTTTCTCTTTATCGGAACAATAAAAGATTGATTTGATGGGTTTAACACAAACACACCTGTTGATAATATAGGCGATATTTCACTAGGGTTCAAGCGATAAACAATAAAATAAGATAGATGAAAGAGAGAGAGAGAAATTGTTATTGCAAACAGGTATTATTCATTCACCGTATATATGATAATTATTTATTAAATGTTGTTCATTTCCTTTTCAACTTTTCCCATAATAATGATCATCATTATAAAAGGACGGATATTACATGAACAATTATGTATTGTCGCCATTATATGTGTGTAAGAGAGAAAGAGAACTATAAGAATAAAGGCATAACAAAAAAAATGTATATTTCAATTGGAAAGCAAAAAAGTGGGAGAGAGAAAAAAATGATGATGATACACAAAGCGAGTATGATATTGAAGGAGAAAATGGAGACTATTGGAGCTATCGCGATATTTGATAGAAAAATTGATTTATTTTTCTTTTGGTTCAAATTTTACAGCCAGATATTTTTTTTTCAAATCCATTCGAATTTGACCTGTATTGAATCATTTTACAGATCTTGTTCATATTTCATTTACGCGTAAACAAAACTAGCAACCATCTCTTACATTAGTATATATTGTAACTGACAGACTTGTAATTACAGCAATAATAAATCATCATATTGAATTCAACAGAGACATTTTTAGTAATTAAAAATAGAAATTTTTTTAGATGAATAATAAGAATATATAAAGAATCGTCATAGAATTTTTTTTTTCATTGTCACAATTTGAAATTTGTTCAACCAACGACATTCATTATCACAAGACAAAATATTTTCTCTCTTCTCTATAATCTTCAATTCTTGTTGTTAACGTTATTTTTTGTTATATACATTATTCATAATCAGTATAATTCGTTTTTTTCATTACCGATTATACTAGATTCAGTGCAATCATCTTCATTGTCGTCATCATCGTCCGTCATACATCCTACATAAACTTACGTTAACTTTTGTTCCTTACATAACACACACACACCTACTGAATGCTATATTTTTTTTTCTTGCACTGCATCAAATCGTTCATGAGTGAATTTTTCAAATTTTTCTTTTCATTTCATTTTTGAAAAAGTAGCTACCATCATTCAAACGGATCATCGCCCAATTATCGAGATCATCCATGAATAGTGACATCGATGAACATCGTGATTAACTTTTTTTAACTAAAAAAAAAATCATTCGTTAACGAATCAACATTCAATCGCCAATGTGTGATCATTCCATCCAGACAACGGCACATAAAATCGAAAATGAATTTTTTTTCATTTGTTTGATTCTAATTTTATCCAAAACATCAATATCGTGATCGTGAAACATAAAATTGACTACTATATTTTGCTTTCTCGACAATAATAATAATTTATGACCGTGATCTGAACCAGTTTATTCGATTTGAAATTAGCGTTTCTTCTTAATTTGGTTGTCAAACTACTGGTGAAAAAAAACAGATGCCAAAAAAATCGATATTAGATTAAAAAATTCACAAGCTTCAAGTTGAAATTAAATTAAATTATCCGTTTTTCACTGTTAATCACAGCCAAGTTTCATTGAATTTTGTTTTTTATTTTTCATTTGAAATTAACTAAAAAAAAAAAAAAAAAATGTCTACCAAAACCGAATCATCATCACAATCTAAATCTTTGCATCATGTCAACTTCAATACAGATGATAATAAAATTTCTGCAAAAAAGAAACGTTATCTCACGGCCAAATATGGTCAACATCAGATGAATTTGATCAAAAAACGTTTAAAAGTTGAAATGTGGATGTATGAACAGCTACAGTTTCTCTTTGATTCTGTAAGTTATACAAAAACAAAAAATTTCTTAATATCATTTTTTCATCAACATTTGGAAAAATATAGGATGACAACTTGAATGACATTGATATCGATCTCGATGAGGTGTTGGATTTGGAAGGCAAAACACGTAAACAATGGCTAAGAGTGAGTAAACAGATGTCCATTCAATCCAAATTATTTTTTATCATTAATTTACTTTGTATTTGATTTCAGGAAAAATTGATCGATGCTAAAAAATCAAAAGAATTGGTGGAAAAATTTATTGTGGAATTGTTGGAAATGGCTAACACTTTATAAAATGAATGTTTTCATGTTTGTGTAAATAATAGTTTCTCCATACATTTCCGCGCTTGCATTTGTAAATTGTTGCTGTGACAAACTTGGCATATATTTTTTCAAAAAAAATCAAATGAATAAAATGTATTCTTAATAATTTCTTAATAATGCACAACAATGATGAATCTGATCATTCAAATTTTCGGTCAAACATTGTCATTTGTGTTATGTACACGAGAAAAAACGATCATGCAAAGGCAGAAAAAAATCATTGGATCTATGATGTATCATTGTTGTGATTTTAATATCGTATTATATAATAATGATGATGGCTACACAAATAAAAGATCTGAAGTGATGGCGAAAATAAAAATAAGAAACATTTCTTACAAATACATGCCATTAATCAAATAATCAGCATCATGAGCCAATGATCGGCCGCGGCGAGCAATTCGTTTTTTAAACGATTTCATACGACAACCAACAATAACGATCAATATACAAGTGATAAACAGACCTAATGTCAATGCAATCACAGCACTATTTGTTTCGCGGCCATTCTGTTGTGTGAGCGTACGATCGTGCATGTACGATATCGCTACTATATTATTTGATGATGGATTTTTGATTGACATTTTTTCATTGGCCATCATATTTGAATATTTGATGGCCTTCGTATTTGTTGCCGTAGAAATAGTTTTACCATTGTCCTTTTTGTCATTGTTATATGATTGACTGGCTGGTATCTGTTGTTGGACATCCGACATTGTCCTTTCCGCTGGATTGTTGTTGTCGTCGTTGATCATCAACAAATTGTTGCCTGTACCATTTAGTTTATTTGAAGTTGATGATAATGGCGAATTTTTGAGGTCATTGCTCAACGGATTCAAAGGTGAATGCGATTGTTTTTGTGTAACCATTCGATATGATTGAGGACGGTGAAAATTGTTGAAGAGCTATTGATGGTTTTTGTTGCAACTGAGAATAATTTATTTTCGTTCGACCACCATCATTCATCAATGACAGCGAATTAGGCAACAAATATGCTGCAGCATCATTATTAGAGGATGAAGGAGATGATAATGAAGATGATGCTGACAAATGTGTTTGAATGAAATTTTCCTGTGGAATATTTTGTTGATATTTGAATGAAGGCCAATAAATGGATTCTTTTGCATTCGATTGAAGCTGTTGATTATTAAAAGATTGATTATCATCATTGTTAGATAATAATCCTAATTTATCAATTTGTTTTTCCGGTAATGTCGCTAATGAATATTGATTCCAATTTGGTCCCCAGATATTATTATTGTATTCATTATAATCTCCTTGAACATGATTTCTTGAAAAGCTATTCTCATCCAAAGTTTGTTGTTTATCATTGACCGATTTCGGATAATTATAATTGAGATTTGAATATGGTACGGATTTGGAATTTGTATTTGGATTATTATTCAAGGAAGATAGAATGTAATTTGAAGGTGAAATGGCTCGGTTTTGAGCAGGTTTAGCCGAAATTTGGCTGCCATTATTATCTACATTCAACGAAATAAGATCAGAAGATCCTCGAGCGTTGACGGCATCCATATGCTGGTTCAAAGTATTCAAACGTGATTTATGACATTCCAATTCGATAGCTTCATCACTACCATCAGGACATTGGGCGATACCATCACATACATTATAGATGGCTATGCATTCACTATTGTTTCGACATTCGAATTGATAATGGCGACATTTAGATACTAAAGAAAAACATACAAACAATCAAGTTTTTCATTATGTTTTTAATTAGATATTTCACCTTTACCAATCGATGCTGTTGTTGTATCCGGTTTCGTCGAACCCATTGTCTGTATATGAGGCTGGACCATTGCTATGTCTGCAGCAATATGTTGCGATTTTTCTTTCAGTCCGACCAATTCATTCTCTTGACTTGTTTGTGATTTCCATTCGTTTAATAGGAAAGAATTTCTATTGGTTTGTAATACAGAACTGGTATAGAATGCATGCGATGCAAAACGACATTTAAAATCTTGTATGGACCCACAATCGAACAGATAACAGCTTCCACGTGTCTAATGATTGTGAGAAAGAAATTCTTATTAATCATTCAATCAATCTCGAATTTTCGATTTCGTATTACTTTTTCCTCAAAGACAGCTAAATTACAATTACTAGTATTCCAACACCACGATAAACATTCTTCATTCGAAGATAATTCGGTTTCATTCAAATACTTGGCTCCTAATGAACGCGAATCGTGTGTTTTGATGATAGAGTTTTTGTTGATTTGAAAATTTTTGAAAAAATATTCTGATCCTTTCAAGAATTTTTGATGATCAATTGATTTGGAATTACGTGTCAATGAGGCATTAGATGTATTTATATCTATCGCACCGATAAAATTTAGCAAATACAAGTGGCAAAAGATACAAAAATTGTAAAACTTGATCATTTTTAATTTGATTATTAAAATCACACTACAAGTACAGAAACTCGAATATATTCTCTGATTGTTTACCACAAGTTCCATGCAAATACGACCTTCGGGTAGGGTGACGTTACTCAACACACTACTTAAAAATAATTTTTTGCGCTTCTCAATTCGGTAAACTATATAGTATCTATATATAAAAAGAGAATATATTCCGATATACAAGGCCAAATGTCCACCATTTACTATTTATAATATGGGTCCGAATTTCACATATTTATTGGATTATTACACATTAATATTCGCAATAAAATACACAAGAAATTTATAAATTAAAATGAGGAAATTTGGAACAAAGAGATGCCTAAAAAGACGATGAACAATCCAAAAGACTCTGAATGATATTAATCAATCCAGAAAAATTATCCAGCCATTATTCCAGGGAATTATAGACCAATAGTTGTTTCAATACTTTAGTTTGACTTGTTTCACGTATTTCTCCAGCCAAAAACATTTCGTCAACAACAGAGTAAACTTTGTAAAAATTAAATACTAAATCCAATTCGCATACATTATGGAAATATTCGTTGAGAACTTCGACAAAATTATGAATCGCTTCCAGATAGACAAGATTATTATCGCTTACATCGACACAGATGCAAAAATATAATCCCGCATAACGTCGATAGACAATTTTGAAATTACGAAACTATAATAATAAATATTGTTTTTAAATATGAGAATTTTTTTAACATTGTAATTGATACCTCGACGAAATTTGTGTGCTTAGCATCACGAACAGTGACAACTGCATGAACTTCTTCAATCAATTTTTGTTTTTCATCATCATCGAAATTCATGTACCATTTGGCCAAACGTGTTTTGCCTGCACGGTTTTGAATCAAGATGAATCTAATCTATTGGATAGAAAAAAAAATTTGATAATTGAGATTGTAAAATTCTTGAAAGTCAAACCATTATTGATCGAAAAAAATGTACACAATTAACCGATTATCAAATGAATAAAAATGACATATACACGAAAAAATCCCGAACTGGCCGAACGCCCAAATCAATAACGTCACGTTACTTGTGAGCGACTCCTGTTAGAAAAACATGATTAAAATTTCAGTGTTTTTGTTTTCAACTGTTATTTGATTTGATTTTTTTTTCTCTAATTTTAAACAATCAATCTAAATTTCAAAATGATTAGAGGTAAAGCTGCTAAAACCAAAGTGAAAAACAAAGCGCCAGCAGAAATTCAAATTACTGCTGAGCAAATTCTACGCGAAGCAAAAGAGCGAGAACTTGAAATTGTTCCACCACCACCAAAGCAAAAAATATCCGATCCAGATGAATTGGCCGACTATCAACTGCGAAAACGAAAAGCATTCGAAGATAACATTCGTAAAAATCGTTCATCATTCAGTAATTGGATCAAATATGCAAAATGGGAAGAGAGTCAGCAAGAGATTCAACGTGCTCGATCTATTTATGAACGTGCATTGGATGTCGATTATCGTAATGTCAAAATATGGCTCAAATATTCACAAATGGAGATGAGAAATCGACAAATAAATCATGCTCGAAATGTTCTTGATCGAGCTGTATTAATCTTACCACGTGTCAATCAATTCTGGTACAAATATGTGTACATGGAAGAAATGCTCCAAAATTTATCTGGTTGCCGGCAAGTATTCGAAAGATGGATGGATTGGGAACCAAACGAACAAGCCTGGTTCACTTACGTTAAGTTTGAATTACGTTATAACGAGATTGATCGAGTCCGTACGATCTATTCGCGCTTTGTTACCGTGCATCCTGAGGTCAAAAATTGGATTCGATTCGCTCACTTTGAAGAACAACATGGATTTCTTGCAAATAGTCGCGACGTGTATGAGAAAGCAATTGAATTTTTTGGCGATGATTATCTTGACGAACATTTATTCATGGCTTTTGCCAGGTTTGAGGAAACTCAGCATGAATATGATCGGGTTCGTGTCATCTATAAATATGCACTGGAAAAGTTGAGCATCGAGAATAGACAAAATATTTTCAAACAATATTCATTATTCGAAAAGAAACACGGTAATCGTTTCGAAATTGAAGATATTATTTTTAACAAAAGAAAAACTCATTACGAAGATGAGCTGAAACAGAATCCTTTCAATTATGACCTATGGTTCGATTATGTTCGCCTTATGGAAGATGAAGGTGATGTTGAAAGGACAAGAGAAGTGTATGAAAAAGCTGTGGCCAATGTACCACTTAAAAAAGAGAAACGATTATGGCGTCGATACATCTATCTATGGATATATTATGCCATATACGAAGAACTTGAAAATAAAGATTATGAAAAGACCAAAGAAATCTACAAGTTTCTTCTTGACAAACTAATTCCACATAAATCATTTACTTTTGCAAAGATCTGGATCATGGCAGCCAAATTCGAAATACGAAGAAAAAACCTGTCAGATGCTCGTAAGATATTGGGAACTTCCATTGGCCTTTGTCCAAAAGATAAACTATTTAAAGAATATATTGATCTTGAAATTCAGCTACGAGAATTCGATCGATGTCGTATTTTATATCAAAAGTATTTGGAATATGCACCACATAATTGTATTACTTGGATGAAATTTTCAGAATTGGAGAATATCCTCGGAGAAGTGGATCGTGCAAGACAATTGTTTGAAATTGCAATCGATCAGCCAAAATTAGATATGCCCGAAGTTATCTGGAAAGCATATATTGATTTCGAAATCGAAATGGAAGAATTTGACCGAGCTCGAAATTTATATGAACGTTTATTGGAACGTACGGAACATGTCAAAGTTTGGATCAGTTTTGCTCAATTCGAATTATTGGCCAACAAAGATGACCATCAATTCGGCATACTACAGGCTCGAAATATCTATCAACGAGCCAATAAATCGTTAAAAGAGAGCGAAAAAGAATCCCGATTAATGTTACTTGAAGCGTGGCTAGAATTTGAAACTCGATATGGTGATGAAAAATCTTTAGCTTCCGTACGTAAACAAATGCCGAAAAAAGTCAAGAAACGAAGAAAAATTCAAACGGATGATGGAACCGATGCCGGATGGGAAGAATATTTTGATTATATCTTTCCAAATGAAACTGAAAATGCTGTTCATCTCAAGTTTTTGGAAATGGCCAAAAAATGGAAACAGAATCAACAGCAAGAAAATACATCTAACGAATCATCATGAAAATCGTTCCGTTAAGCTGATTTACCATATCAATGATATTGTAGTGTTTTCATAAATCATCCATTTTATACAATATTGAATAAAATTCATTTCGTTTTTCGCTTACATGTACCCTATTTTTTTTTTGATGTGGCATGCTAATTTTAACTTTGAAAGAAAGAACTGAAAAAAGGACAATCCACCACACCACAAAGACGTCTGGTTTGTATATTTTTTTATATTCGAACATTCGAAATGTGAAACCTTTATTAACAAATTCGACACGAAACAACTAAAGTTTTGAAGTAATAAATGCGCCATCACATTCTAAAAAATAATATATAATTATTAATAACTCATTGTTCAGTGTTTATTTGATAATTTTAAAAAAAATTCCAATGACGAATTTAATTTCTCGTATCACATACACACATCGATCGTGTCCGCCATGTTCAAACGGTTAAAAGTAAGTATGCGAACGGATTTATATTGAAAAAAGTGAACAAAAAAAAAATCGTCCTAATAGATTTATTGATTGATCGTAATTAATTGATTGATCATCATTTTATATATCACATTCATTTTTGGCCATCCTATTCGTGCGTGTGTGTGTGTGTGTACTTATCATTTTATTTCGAATGTTTGCCAAGAATGTTTGTTTGTCAGACTTAACAACGATAAAGCCATGAAAATGGTGATGATCAATAGCTGCATATAAAAAACTTATCATAGAAAATAAGCTCTCTCAAGAAAAAAAAACTCTTTCAAAGAAATTGCATAAATAAATTAGTTTTCCCATATTTGTTCATTGAAATTTACAAAAACAACAAGAACAATGTCTCATTTTAAAAACAAAAAAAAGTACAAGAATCAAAACAACAAAAATGATGAAACATCGAAAATGATACCATCCGACCTTTATAATGAGGTACCCAAGTTTGTCGACAAAAACACCTTATTGGAGTATATGGAAAGTATTCAACAAATTAATGACAGCATTATCAAAGGTAAGATCAAATATTTGAATGGGAATCAAATCAAATAATGTGGTTTTTTTTAGAATTGAAACAAGCTTATGATGAGAAATTTCGACCATTTGAAGAAAGTTTTCTTTATAAAGATTTTCCATATGCCACTCCCCTCGATGATGCTTTTTTCAGAGCAAAGCCAATGATTTTATTAATTGGTCAATATTCATCCGGAAAGTCTACATTTGTCAAGTATTTGATTGATAAGGATTACCCAGGAATTCGAATTGGTCCGGAACCAACTACCGATAAATTTGTAGCAGTGATGCATGGTGAAGAGAATTCCATTATTCCAGGAAATGCATTAGTTATCGATGATCGAAAACGATTCAAACCGCTGATGAAATTTGGTGGTAATTTTTTAAATCGTTTTCAAGCAGCCCAAGTCAACAGTACTGTACTCAAAGGCAAGGATTGATCCATATTAAAATTAATCGATGATTTCATCATTTTCTTAATCATAATAAAGGACTAACTATTATCGATACACCTGGCATATTGAGTGACAACAACAATAGTGCAGGATATGATTACAAAGGTGTTATAGAATGGTTCGCTCAACAATCAGATAGAATTTTCCTTTTTGTCGATGCACATAAATTGGAGCTATCAGGAGATTTTCAAAAAATTGTAGAAATGATTCGAAAATATGATGATAAGTTACGAATAGTTTTGAACAAAACTGATCTAGTTAATGAACAAGAAATGATACGCATATACGGTGCTCTAATGTGGTTTCTTGGTAAGTTTGGTTTTTATTAGATAAACTCTTCTCTCTATAGTCGTTCTATAATGAAAAAGGTCAAAGTTTGGAAATGAAAGAAGTAATACAAATATATGTTGGATCATTTTGGGGTAAACCATTCCGTGATGAAAAACGACGAAAACTATATGAATATGAAGAGTTCAGGATTTATGAAGACTTGTCAAATCTTCCTCAGGAAAGTTTACTGAGGAAAATAAATTCACTTGTTCAAAGGACCCGACAAGTATCAATGCATGCATGCCTAATCTCGTATGTTTAAACAAATGTATCCTTATACAATTATAAAAAGCATAATTTGATACCTTTAAATAGCATGTTTAAAGATAATATCCGAAGAACCTCACTACTTCGATTCATTTTTGACAAACAAATAAAGAGGATATATCTGAGAAAATTGCACAAAATACGGGCAAAAGTTGAAAAACAATACAATTTTTCGCGACATGAATCACCCGATCTTAATCAAATGAAACAGGCGTTGATGAGAATAAATTTGAATCGAACAAAAACGTTCAATAAAAAATTATTCGCCGCCAAAGATGTATTCATCAATGAAAATTTGCCCGCCATCATAGACAGGTATAGCTAAGTGGAATCTTTTTAAAAATATCTGATTTAATTAAATTTTGTTTAAAAATTATATCAACAGAATAAACAATGGAAAATTCCCGAAAATGTCTTTCGAGGCGAATAATGATGGAACACCATTTGGTTTTGCAAAAGGCGAAGGCTTTGATGAAGGCTCGACCGAACCTGGTAATTGGATTGTGGCCAAGTATCGAGAAAATTATGAGCCATTATTTAACGAATTGAAAATTGGAGCAGGAAAAGTTACAGGTAAGTTCATTATTTCATAAACAAATTATATATTTAAAATGATAAAATGATTTTTTTTTGTCATTTAGCTTCAAAAGCAAAAGCGGAAATGCTCAAATCCAATCTGCCGGCTAAAATTTTGAACAAAATCTGGAATATGTCGGATATTGACCGTGACGGTATGCTCGATCGTGATGAATTTGCATTGGCAATGTATTTAGTCAGCGTTACACTTAAAAATTATGACTTGCCCGAACAATTGCCAAGACATTTGTTACCACCATCGAAACGTGCAATCATTACAAATAAACACTGAATTAATATTAATAATAATAATAAGAAAAATTAAAATCCAAAAAATTTTTGAATTTTGTGTAATAGACTTTCTTTATGATGAGTATCAATGACATTTTCGGATCGTAGATTGTCATCACCTTCGTCAGACATTGCTGTTTGGATAGGTTGATTTATCATGATGAAATTTTGTATAGGTGATCTACACAATGGACAAGTATTAATTTGTTCAAAACAATTTGAACAAACACAGGCATGTCGGCATGGTAATATAGCTCGTGTAATGTGGTTGTCGAGACAAATTATACAATTTGGCATATGATCTTCATTAGATTGATCACTGCAAATATAAAGATCTTGAAGGTTCAGTACGATACCGGATTGCCTTTTAATATATTGACCAATAACACTAGTACTTAATGGGACAAGTGAATCCCTCAAATGAATTATCGATGCTAGCATTACGATATCATTGCTATTAAGCTGCTCTTCAAGTTCTCGGTCATTCAAAAGCAATATGATAGCCAATGGATAACGATCACGTGGAGTGGTTGTAAAAAATGTTGAATCGAATTGATCTGGAGCTTTAATTTTATGTATAATTTTGTTATATTCATCTTGATAAAGTTCAGGATCATTAGAATGATAGGCAAAATGATCATTGTTGAATTGATTATCGATCAATAAATTTCGTATAGTCATCCAATCATAGGCAAGTTTCTCATGGAATTCTTTAATCTTGACAGCCCAAAATGAGAACAACCAAAATGAGCATTCGCATACAATATTCAACTTGATTCCATCAATATAATTATCAACTTTTAATGATTCTGGATCAATTTTTAATAAAAAAGGATTACGTAAACGCTGTGACTTGATGGGCATTTTTTGTGGTCTACCACAAGACATAACATGATTTTCGTGGTCCATTTTTTAGAATTACTTGAAAATAATAATTCCAAGACGCAGTACAAAGACAATTCAAAACAACATAGAAACAGATTTCTAAACAAATTTTTTTTTAGTGCCATCTCTTGGCTATAATTATTTGATTGTACAGAAATTTTTATTTTTTCCTATAATTTTCAAATCGAGAAGTTTATTTTATCATAAATATTTTCAACCTATAACCAATGTATCACCATCGAACACATGATCTGGTACTTCCAGATTAGCTGGTGCTGGACCTTTTCGAATTCTACCGGAAGCATCATAATGGCTACCATGACAAGGACAATAATAACCACCAAAATCTCCTTTGCCAGCGATCGGTACGCAACCTAGATGAGTACAAATACCAACAACGACCAACCATTCTGGATTGGGTGCACGTTTCTCATCGGTTTCTGGATCGCGAAGTTGATTGATGTCCACCGCTCTTTCCTGATCGATTTCTTTTTGCGTTCGTCGTCGGATGAAAACAGGCTTACCTGTGAAAATTCATGAATGAAAATACAGATTGGAAATCGAGTCAAATTACCTCTCCATTTAACTGTAACATTTTTGCCTTCGGGTATGTTGCCGATGTTAACTTCGATTTTACTCAAAGCAAGACAATCTCTGGCAGGTGACAACATATTGAGTAAACCTTGAACCATATGCTTAGCAGCAACAGCACCACCAACACCGACACCAGCGGTTACAATATAAGTGAAAGCACGTCTATCATCCGTAGATTCAGCCGATCTACGAGATAGATCTTTGTTCGATGGTCTTCGGTATGATGAAAAATCGGGAATACTAACATCGGTATGAGCCAATCTATATTGATGGCTCACTAAATTCATAAGGAATTGCAAAAAAAAAAAATTTCAGACAAATATCCAATCTTCATTACAATAAAGTTCTTACCTCCGACTCCGCAAATTGCTTGAGATTTATTTCTAAAAAGATGAACATTTAAATTAAAAGTCGGTTTCAAATTGATTTTATGCAACGGCATATTCATTGCAAACGCTGGTACCAATTCTGGTAATGTTACTGCTCGCGTTTCCCAATCACGTTTCAATGATGGAAATGATGAAGTTATGCGTTGTCCACCACATGCTTGTGTAACAGCTTTGGCAAATTGGCCAATTCCAATGGATCGACTTTGGATCATAATTTTTCTTTATTTATTTTTATTTACTCAATTCCAATGTCGAAAAACTAAATTTCAATAAAAAAAAATCAGCCGACGAAGAAAACTCTCTCGATTGGCATCAGCAACACACAACAAGGGCACTGTATTCATAGATGACGTTTGAAAATAAAATTTTAAACTTTAACGGGAAAATTTATTTTTAATGTTTAGTTTACGGAAAAAATTAAATTCTATCAGACTCTAAATTATAAGCATTTAAAAAAGCTTTTAGCCTTTTCAACTATTTGACCTTTGATCTCTGTCGGTATGAATGAACAATATTTTTCATGTTCATCACGTGAATAAGAAGCCAATACACCTAATTCGTTGGTGAAATTTTCCTTTTTTTTGTAGGTTAGATCATTTCCCAGACAATCAGTTAACCGGCCGCCGAAACTATGAAGGATGGCTTCTGGAGCACATGTATCCCATTTTTTACAGCCTCTACTAGCAAATACATAAGCATGAGCTTTTCCTTCAATCACTTGAAGAACTTTATTGCCAGCACCGCCAACACGAACAACATAATTGGGTGAAAAAGCTTCGACAGCTTTATTAATCGTTTCGTTACTATGTGAACGAGTTGTTGTTACGATCATTTTGTTTGATGGTGGCATTATTCGTGGAATTCCAAATGCACCTAATCCGATCAATCCCCAGACAGTACGGCCAGGTTGCGGCTCCTATTTCATATGGAATTAGTATCAGTAATTTTTTGTAACTTTTAAATTTTACAACATACATTATAATTAAAGAATGGTTGATGAATAACACCACCCACAGCTTTTCCATTCACCGATAGACCGATTAGAATTGTTACATGATCATGCAAACCTTGAGTGAATTCAGATGTTCCATCCAATGGATCTACCCAAACAACAACATCGTCTTCCTCTTTGAGATTTTGAAATTCTGACGGACAATCATGTACTAATACTGTTTCATCTTGTTTAGTTACAATCCAATCAGCTGGAACCTCATAATTTATTCCAAGATTCTGTCGTAGTTAGAGATTAAATCATTTTATATTTGAAACATAAAATTATTTTACCTCCTCGCCAATGACCGATAATTTGGGAAATTTATTCACCAATGATTTAACAATACATTTTTCCGAACTTCTATCAGCTTCAGTTTGCAATTCATTGAATCCCTTCAATTGGAAAAGAATCTCTAGAATAAATAATGAGGTCAAAAGGACATTTAATACAAATACAAACTTTATCTATAATGTTCAGATTTCCTTTTTTGATGATTTCTCTGATGATCGAACCAGCCTTTTCTGAGATGCATACCGAAGATGATAGGATTCGCAGAATCAACGAAGCGTTTTTATGCATAATGAACGTTTAATTGAAAATTTTATGTCAACGTGTCAATTATAAATCAATTTAAAATGGTTAATTTCTTTCCTACGACTTGAGTCTTTAAAGTACTTGCAAGAGAAAAAAATCGAATAGGATTTAAATACGTAAATAATATGTAGTTTCTGAGTGGCACCTATACGGGTATACGGATAACGTTATATCCATCTCGACAGCAGCTGAGATTGGAAACATATGAGCATATATGTTTTTATTTTATATCAATCTAAAGTTTTTTATCATTAACAAAATACTTTGTTTCAACGACAATGTGGTCCATTTTTTCCCGTGATCCATCTAAAGATTTTGGATACGAAATTAACGAGCCGGTCTTGAATGATGAGAATTGCATTTGGATTCTGCACAAAGGGAAAAAGAAGGTTCGTATTATTTAGATTTTTTTTGTCCAGGATGAATTTTAGTATCACAATATACAGGTTAGTGGTGAAATTGTATCCATTTTCCGATATGAATTGAAACTAAATGAATCATCTTACATGGATATGGCCAAAAATTCATTAAAAAGGCTCAAAACTTTACGGCATCCATCCATATTGACGTATATTGATTCTTTGGAGACGGATAAATACATACTTATTGTAACGGAACATGTACAGCCATTATTCGTTTTCTTAAAAGAAATGTCCAAATGGCCAGAACAGCAAAAAGAATCAGCCATTTCGTGGGGAATTTATTCAGTTTCCAAGGGTCTTTGCTTTCTTAATAATGATTGCAAAATGATACATGGTAATCTTTCGTTGGGTTCTATATTCATAAATGATTCATCTGATTGGAAACTTTTCAATTTCGAGTATCTTACAAATATTGGCTCAACTCAACCAGTGAAATCATTTTATCCACATAAAATATATACTGCTCCTGAAGTGCAAGACCATAATAATAGACCTACAAGTGATAAGTAATTAGTGTGATCTGTCCAAGCCTAAATATTCATATTCATATTTTTTTAAATATTAGAAGACTAGATGCTTGGGGATTAAGCTGTTTAATTTGGGAAATTTTTAATGGACAACTTAATGAACAAGCTCAATTGAAAAACACGAAACGCTTGCCAAAAAAATTGATCCCATTATATTCAAATTTGAATAAAAATGTTTCACAAAGGTGCCTTATCGAAGATTTTCTGACTAAAGGACAAGATAAAAATGGATATTTCAAAAATACCTTTATCGATACTATGAATTTTCTTGAAGAGATTCAGGTAATTCGTTTATTGTTATTGTTATAATATTTTTTTTAATTTAATTAATTGAAGATTAAAGATTCGACCGAAAAAAATCGTTTCTTTTCCAATCTTAATAATGCGCTTGAATCGTTTCCGGTATATTTTTGTAAAAATAAAATACTATCATTTGTAGTCACGTCATTGGAGTATGGTGAAGCCAATTGTCATTGTTTGGAACTTTTGATAAAGGTAAGTAGCGTTTAAAATTTTTGTTAAATGAATACTGATCCATAAATCTTAGATTGGAAAAATGCTAAATGAAAATGAATATCAAAAGAAAGTGACGCCCAGTATTATCAAATTGTTTGCCAGCAAAGATCGTTCAATTCGTTCAAAGTTATTGAAAGAAATAGATGAATACATTGATCATACACCGACTCAAGCTGTAAATGATCAAATATTTCCATATCTTGTCCATGGATTCATGGATTCTAATCCTGTTATTCGTGAACAAACCGTCAAAGTAAATAGTCATTTTTTTACCATTCTATTTCTGATCAATTTTTTCATTTAGAGTATTTTTCATTTGGCTTCAAAATTAAATAATCAAAACCTGAATGAAGAGGTAATTAAACATTTCAGTAGGATACAGATTAAAGATCCTGAGGGAGGAATTCGAACAAATACGATCATCTGTCTGGGAAAAATTGCCTCACATTTTCAGCCACAAACTCGACAGACTGTAATGTTGCCATTATTTTTGAGATCTTTACGTGATCCATTTCCTCCTTCACGTATCGCGTGTATTCAATCCTTGATGGCAACACAAAATTTTTTCACTCTACAAGATTGTACATCAAAAATTATGCCGGCATTGTGTTTGATTTTGATGGATCCCGAGAAACAAGTTCGTGATCATGCCTTTATGACATTGACAAATTTTATACAAAAAATTGAAAAATTCTCAGAAAATCCTGCTCTTATTGAGCATATGGGTAAGCAAAAAACATCAAAAATTCCATATTTCGATTTTTTTTATTTCCATTCCTAGAAAGTGAAATTAACAAATCCGGTACGAATGTTTCGTCTAAATTCACTACTGGTCTCAGTTGGGCTGTCAATTCTTTGGCAGCCAAATTGACAAGGACCAAAATTGAAAACGATAATAATAATGAAAATGAACAGAAGCATTCACAATCGATTCAGGACAATCATTCATCTACGTCAACTTTCAATCAGCAAAAACATCCGAATAGTGATAAGGAACAAGTTTTGAGCAAAGATAATCAAATGAAAATTAGTTCTATCGATGATCTTACCGGAAATTCAGATGGCTGGGAGGGAGATAATTGGGAAAATGATTTACTTGAAGATTGGAAGGAAATTGTTCCACCGGAATCTGTCGTACAGAAAGTCCATAAGATTAATGACGATGAAAATGGCTGGAATAATGATGATATAAATTGGGATGATAATACTGATTTTGGAAAGAAAAATGAAAATATTTTAACTACCAAAAAATCTAATGAAGAAATATTGAAACCAAGAATAAGACAAACTGGAGGTGGTTCGACGTCTAAAGTGCAAAAAAAGGGTCCAATGAAATTGGGTGCTCAAAAATTGAGAAAAAATTTTGATTAAACCAAACAATTCGATAATTATTTATTCCAAACAAATGTACAAATCAATGGCAAATGATCTGATGGAATTTTCTGGTTTGGTAACGCTATCTCTTTGATCACTTCTTGATGTTCAGCCATAGGAACCACATTGAGGACTTTTAGACCAATCGGATCATAAAAAATGTAATCCAAACAACCAGAAAAATGTTGTGCATAGTGTGTATAATCAGGAAAACCACAAGCGCTTTCAAAATTGAGTTGATGTTGCCAAACAAAATCCTTGATTACTTCCGATTCGTCTGCAAAAAAACAAAAAATTATTTTTCACATATAAATCATTCAATTAAACATACTGCTTTTAAAATCTTCGAGTGTTGAATCCACTTTTTTATCCTTTATAAATTTTACCACTCCAAATTCTGGTGTTGAATTGAAATCACCAGACAAAATTGTCGTTATCTGACAATGGGAATAATTTTTCTGTTTCAATAAAAAATTATCAATAAAGGTTGATATTTATATTTATATTATATAGTGTTTTAACATGCAATAAAATTTACATTTTGAATTAATTCTATTAAACATTTTTCCACATATTTTATGGTGATAAACGTTTGAATTAATCGAATATGATCGGCATCATCTTTTGAATAAAGATGTAAATTACATAAAATAAGTAATTTGTTCGGTTGTTCAATCGATTTCAAAATGAGAATTTGAAAAGTATTTTTTAATTTCTTAACACGATTAAACAATTGCTGATTTTCCGATATTTTTTGTAGTAAAAATTCAAATTGTTGATTGTTCATGAGCAAATCCGAATAAGTATGTGCTTCGGCTCGTATGCATTCAAATTTGGAACGTCGATAAAAAATACACAAGCCTTCAGAATTGGATTCTTTGGCAATGAAATATGAATCATAGCTACTGAAATTTAATATGGGATTTAAACCTTTTCGGTAGAAGATTGAATCAAGTTCTTGAAGAAAAAATATATCAGCATTATAACCGAGCAGCTCTTTGATCAATAATGTTTTTCGGTATGAAAAATTTAAATAAGAATCATTACAATACGAATAAAGAACATCTCTTGAATATTCTGAATTAGCATATAAATCGGCTAGAAGATTGTATGAAACAACTCGTAATGAATTTGAAAAATTTTCTCGAGTATGGATAAAACTTTTTTCAAATGGACAATTTTCTGGTCCTTTTGAAATTGTTTTTGGTGATATAACTTCTCGAGAAATGCCTTCCTTTTCTGCCAGCCTTGGTGAACAAACGACTTTTAATTCATGATCCAAATCCTCTTGTTTTACTTCATAGAGAAATCCGTCACCCACAAAGATCCATTCCAAGGAATCTTTCGAACGAAACCATGTAAATTGACTATCGACAATATTGCCATTAATTATTTCCAAATAAGGATAGGTGAAGTAACCAGTCAATATTACATTTGAAAGTCTAATTTCTGAAACATGTGGATGGTTAAACTTGATGATATAATCCGTCCCATTGATTGACATTGTTGAACCTTTTTTTAAATTGCCATATTTATTGATTGGATATCAATCGTTTCGAATCATTTCTTACCATCTTTCCAGAAATCATTATTCACGATACTGCCATAGATTTCATTATCGTTCCGATAAAACTTGATTGTAAAATCAATCGTGTTGTCCAGGTTTTTATTTTTCTTCTTATTATTACCAGTGAATGCTTTTTGTAAATTAATTTTTATCCGTTTGCTACAACATTCTAATGATTCTGTGAGGCTACGTTTAAATGTGAATAATCTTTCACCATAATTCGGGTGTTCATATTTGAATACTATTAATAAATGTTGGTTTTCGGAATGTTCTTCATCGAAAAGAACGTTGCAAATCATTTTTTATCAATAAATAACAAAGACACGTGTATAAATTTTAAGGTTTCAATTTTTATAGATGTAACATTGTGCACTAATCATAATGGATGTTACGAATGGTACGAGTATTTATGTTTTATATTGTTTTTATTATGTCCACATCGAGGAAATTTATTATTTTATTATTATTAAACTTATTAATGTTAGCATATTTCCCAAATTTAATTGATTTGAATAACAACAACAAGTTGACAATTTCTAATTTAATACATAGGTAATGTTTAAAGTTAACTTAGTTAATGTGGAATAATAGTAATAATAGAGAAATCATTGAAAATAAAAATAATGGCCACAATCAAAATACGATTACGAAGATTACAACTACAAGCCAGCCAACACACGAATTAACTGTATCTTCACTATCATATAACAAGGAGCAGCAATTTTCCTCATCTTCATTGGCAACAAAATCATCATCATCTAGATCGACAAAGACGAATGAAAATTGTTCGCAATGCAATAAATTTGATCAATTCAAAAGTGTTGATGATGAACGAATTTGTCTTTGTGAATTGGATGATCAGATGAATTTGTTTAAATATTCGTCATATAATTTTCATCAACATTCAACAAAATCAATGATTTTTGATAATCCAGGTGATTAATTCCTTTTTTTGAGTAATGTTCGCTAAATAAATTAATTTAGGCCAAATATACAACTATATCAATAGATGTCGTAGATGGATAAAAGTTCTGGAACCAGATAATGTTGCGCGCCGGCAGAATCAATTTTCTTTAACCACCTATAATATTTTGGCACAAAATCTTTTACTTAATCATCTTTACCTCTATCGTGATAGTAATAAATCCGATCTTGAATGGTTAGAACGAAGTAATCGGCTCAAACAAGAGCTATTGGAATTAAATTCGGATATATTCTGCTTACAAGAGGTCCATTTAGAAAATTTCACTACCTCTATTCTACCTACACTTCAAGAACGTGGTTATCAAGTGGTTTCTAAGCTTAAAACTGGCCAAAATCATGATGGCTGTTCGATTTTGTTTAAGAAAAATAAATTTCGACTACAGGATTCGTTGGAAATACAAATGAATCGTCCGGATGTATCAAATTTATTGGATCGAGACCAAGTTGCATTAGTAGTCAAACTTCGTCCGATCGGTAGATTTCGAGCAGAAAATAATACCAATTTAATTGTGGCCAATACTCATTTACTTTTTAATCCTAAACGTGGTGATATAAAATTGGCACAATTACGATTATTGTTGGCTGAGATTCAACGGTTCGCCATTCGAAATGATTCGGCAAATACAGCAACAAAAGATCCTTTCAAAATGAATTATTTTCCCATTATTTTGTGCGGTGATTTCAATAGTGAGCCAAAAAGTGCTCTTATTGAATTCATCAAAAAAGGACAATTTAATTTTCGCGGATTATATAGTGGCGATATCTCTGGTCAAAGAGAAGGGTTTGAAAAAGGACGAATGTTACAAAAAAGTGATCTGGTACTGAATGGAATCGATTTCAACACTTGTTTCACAAACTGTACAAATGAATCCATCGAAACATCAAACATTTTTGATGAATCCGAAGATCTTACAGTAAGACATGTTTTCGATTTCAAATCAGTCTATCCTATAATGGATCAATTTAATTTACAATTTATTTCCACATCAACTCATTTTGATTGCGGTCTGGTTGATCATTTGTTTTATAGTCATAATCATAAAAATTTACGTTTATCAGCATTTAAACAATTAATGAACAAACAAAATTTGAAAAAAATCGGCAACATACCCAATTCAATTTTGGGTTCAGATCATATCGCCTTAAGTGCAAAGTTCTATTTATCATGATTTAATTAATATTAAAAACATAACTCGTTATTTTTTTCATTAAATCAATGCTTTGGTTTGCGTATGATCCACCAAAATGATTCCAATGATTGAGTAGATGAAAGAGTGTGTACAATTCTGAACGTCTAATTATAAAAAAAAAAAAAATTGTTATATCATTTGTTTTGAACAAAATGGTTATTTATGTCATTACTTTTTGAAGCCTTTTTGCTGGGGAATCTTGTTGAAATATTCATCATAGAATATGGAACTGAATCCTCCGAATAGTTTGGAAATTGAAAGTTCGTATTCAGAATGGCCATAAAATGATGCTGGATCAAAAATTACCGGATCTCCATTTACGATTTGTGTAACGTTTCCTGACCACAAATCTCCATGCAATAAAGCCGGTTCAATATTATCAATGACATCAATGAAAAATTTATCGATTTTAAGCTGAAGTTCTGACCAATATTCGATAATTTTGCGGTTACCAAAATTTTCAATGACCAAGTCAACTTGTTGCTTCAAACGATTACGAGCATAAAATTCAATCCAATTATCATGCCACTCATTGTTCTGAGGAATTTTTCCACAACAAGTGGTTGAATAGAATCCGAATTCTTCTACATGGTCGACTTTTTCGATAATGTCACAGGGAATGTTCAATTTGATGTTTTTGTTTATAGTAAATTCAATATTCTCAGGTAATTGCGATGTGAGCGGTTTACCGATCCATGATTCTAACCGCAGTTTTTTACGACCAAGAACCGAATTGAATAAATGTAAATCCGCTAAATTGGAGCCAAGTTTTTTCCAATTTGTCACCGGTTGCATGTTCAAATATTCAACAATCAACGCTCCGCCATTGCTATTCGGATCGGCTATTACAAAATAAGGCTTTGGCGTACATATAGTTTGGGTTTCTGCAATTTTTTGCAATGAAGAAAATTCACCATTCAACATATCTAAAGCTATGTCTTCGTAATTTGTCTTGACAAAAATAATTCCATCATCAGTTTCAAAACTGGCACCTAAAACGTGGGAAAAGTAAAACAATAGAAAATTACTATTGAAATAAAACCAATTACCATTGCTAATATAACCATCATGAAATGTTTGGGCAGTTTTCAAAAACTTTTTAGTTTCTAATCTATCTTGAATTTCGGTAAATAAATCCATTTTTTACGAAAATTCATCGCATACACGCACAATTCCTGATCAGGAAAAAAAGTAAAAAGGTTAGTACTAACCTATTTTGGTTATTATACAAAAAATAACCTTTTCAGGTTAGTACTGACCAATTTGGGTGATGAGCAATTTTGCCAACCGATTGTTCCATCGATATTTCTAAATCATCGATTGTATCGTTCATTACGCGATTGTTGCAACAATTACACCCTCTTTTATTCCCTTTTCCTATATTAAAATATTAGAAATATAATAAAATACATCCACATTTCACATCCCAATTGCGTCATACAACGTTAATTGTACCGTTTGAAATAGGTTCATTTGCTTACCATGATCATTTTTAATCAAGAATATCAACAATTAAGACGAAATGAAAATTACTGATGATGAAAATATTAACAAATCATCCATGAAATATATTCTCAATATTCTATTTCTATATTCTAGGAATTTGTCGATCATTTTTTTGATGGAGCTAGAAATTTTTTTAATTTAACTAACTACACATTCCCAGAATTCCCAAACAATGTAATCATGGCCTTATCAAGCCAATCCAATAATCAAATTGATTCTAAATTTTGTTTCGATAAAGACATTATTACAATAATAAAAGCAATAATTGAACAACTAGTTGGAAGCAACAAACCATATCGGAAAATGATTCCACAAACTATTTTTAAAAGAATAACTCATAATTTAATCGAAAAATATCCAAACTGTCACGTCTTTATGATCGACCCCCTTTGATTCGAGCGATATATAAAAAGAAAGAAGAGTCTGAATAAAGATGATTATTAGCACACATAATCAACGTGCTCCTACATTGGTGACCCTGTGATATTTTTTATATTTTTTTCCTTTTCCTTTCATTTTTATTTAATACATGCTCCTACAATAATAATAATTTTATTATGGCGTTATTCCAATCGGAATAATTCGCCAAGAATATTGATATTAAAAAAATTAAAAATTAAAAATTATAATTAAAGAATAATAGAAAATTGCCTAAAAATAAAAGAAAATAAAGTCTGGAGTGTTATGTGTGTTGTTGTTTGAGTGAATTGTAAATGTACAGGCATAGTTTTGTGAAGTTTATGTGTTTTTTGTTTTGGATAAAGTCGTGTAATGTGTGGACATCTTGTAAATTTAATTCAATTTTTACGTCGGTGTAAAGTGGGCATTGGATGAGTATGTAACTTGTATCTTGTAAAATGGTTAGCACTAACCTTTGTGGGTGAGCATTGCAGGTTAGCACTAACCAATTTGGGTTATAATCCTAACCTTTTTTGGTTAGTATACTAACCCTACTTTCTTTTCTGTGTCGAATCATGTGACTGCCGAATTCTACCAATAAGAACTTTTAATGTAAAAATAGGAGAAATTTAAGAATGTCCAGTTTTTATGTATCGTTCAGACACCACAGTGGTGGTCAAGGTAATGTTGCCACCTTTGTTTAGTTGGGAATGTCAGGCTATAACCTGAAAGAATGTGAGCAAAAACAACAAACGATGAGACGGAAAAAATGGGTGCCAATACTTCAAGTCAATATTTTGGTTCATATCAAAGTTCCGATTCAAAAAGTTCCATTTCAACATTCGACACAATCACCGATGTCACCTGTTCATCAATAAGTGCCAATAATACCAATAATAATCAACATCATGGATTATTTCTTAATACCAGTGAATCAACAGTTAATTCACTAGGCTTAATATTCAGCAGTAAAGATAAAAAATTAAAAAAATTGAAACAAAAAATTAAAACTAAATTGAAAAAATGTTCTCATCATTCTCAAGTGTTTATCGAGTTTGCACAATCATTATCCACACAAGAATTAGCACAGATTTATAATGAATATCGTGCAGCATTTTTTATGAAAGAATTATCTTTACATGCAGAAAGTGCACGACCCATTGCCTCAAGCATTCGTAATGATCTCAGTGAATTATATGATTTGAAGCACAACAGTGATATAACATTAGTTTATAAAGGTGTTGATTTCCCTGTACACAAAGCCATCGTTTGCGTTCGTTGTCCATATTTCCGTGAATTATTAGGTAAACTACCTCAAGGAAGTACTGTATCGGTTAATCTTGACATCAAAGGTCTTCGTGTTGAACTTTTCAATGATTTACTCAAATATCTTTATTCCGGTGAATTGGCCGGTTCATATGATCCACGTAGTAATTCAGCCTCATATGAAGCATTGATTCGAATAAGCCAGCAATGTGGTGTACCAAATCCATTATCACACGATCTTAAACATTTACTTGAAACCGGAATATATAGCGATGCATCGCTTTGCTTTCAATGCAGCAATGATAATGATTCGAAATCACAATCAAATTGTTGTTGCTGTGAGCAAACAGAATTTTCGTGTCATCAGGCCATTTTGAGTGCACGTTCCCCATTCTTTCGAAACGTTATTATTCGACAACAGAAACGAAATTCTCTAAACAAAAATGCTTGTCCGCAACGGATGAAAATCATTTTGGATGAATCAATCATTCCAAGACGTTTGGGTAGAATCTTGTTGCATGTCATGTATCGAGATTCGGAAAATTTATTGAATTTAATACAGTCTTCCATATGTAAATGTCGTCATCGATTGTCCAGCCAATCATCATCATCATCATCATCATCAAATTCGAAAGAATCACAATCAATGATATTGGTAAAAGAAGTAATGAATTTGTATGAAATTGCCCGATTTTTAGAAATCGATTTTCTTGTTCAAAGCTGTGAAGATATGATAATAAACTTTTTGAATCTTGAGACTTTATTATTGATATTGAAATGGAGTGAACAATCACATGGATCGCCATGGGTCAAACGTCAAGCGTTGACTTTTTTGAAAGAAGAATTCTCTTCCATTATTTCTCAGCATTCATTGTTATATCAGTTAGATTATACTCATCTACGTGATGTATTGAAATCTGATTTTCTTGAAGCCAGCGAATTGGAAATTTTAAAATCTATAATTAAATGGGGTGAACATCATGTCATAAAACAACAAGAAGACCGTGAACCAAATCTATTACTTTCACATAGTTTAACTAGAAAGAGTATCAAGAAAAAGGAGATTAATGATTCCAAACTTCACGATTTAATATCCGAATTAATAGATTTAGTTCGAATCGGACATTGTTTGCCTATCGATTCCGATTTTTTAATGTCAACAATAAAAAGAGGTCTTATACAACTACCATTCTATATGGTGAAAATTTCAGATGAACAAGTGCCTTCAAATAGATATGCAGCATGGTTTCGAAACAATAGTCATTTTATGAAACTTCGTTTTTTCACACATTATTTTGATGAATGTAAATCACAACTTGAAGAAAAACTTGAACGTTCCATTTCGTTGGATGAAAATATTGATAGTTTATTCATGAAGATAAAACCAAAATCAAATACATTTGTCGATGCAATGCCAGATAATCTATACATGTTGGAAAAGTTGAATCTCGGAAACGAAAGTTTAATATCCGATAGCGATCTTACTCTGCCTAATCCACAATCATTTCCTAATTTTCATTTTTGTCTCACATCTACATCAGATTCATCATCAGCTATTTGTTATGAAGATATCGATAAAGTACGGCCTAGTTTACCAATTTTGGAGGAACGAATCATGTACATGATGCATCAACGTGAACAAGAACTTCGAACATCACCTTTCTGCATTAGAGCGTTGCAAATATCACATACAAGATGTGAAGCGTTGCGATTGATTCAATTACGTGTGGTCAGGGAATTCGGATTACCCGATATTGCCTGTGAAGTTTTACATCTGAAAAATTCACTAACGCCCAAGCAACGTAATCTTCGACTTGATTCGAAAGATGATGATGATGATGACGACGATGAAAGCAATTCTATGATGAAGATAAGTTCATCATTGAGATTTTCAAAAAATAATAATAGAACTGACAATGATATAGATATTTTTGATAGAAACGCAATGCCGCCACCACCACTAAGACCAATTACGACAATGTTTGACAATTCGTCTTCAAACATTACATCTGTTAGTCAATGTGATCCATTCAGTTATCAAAGTGAACTACGACTGGAAGAACTCACTTCGCAATATGAACTAGAAACACAGGTTTGATAATATATATAATTTAATCAGCCATCAAATCTCATAAATACTTATATCATTTTTCTTTGATAAATAGTTTTCGAGTACAGAGTCTCATCGAACACTTAGCGATTATATTCCTGATATTGCTTTTGTTGGTAAAGAGATTTGAAGAAATATATGTCAAAAAAGAAAGCTCAATTGATGACAATTATAATCCGCATTTTCCCTATTTAATTGGACATTTTATCACAATTTTCTTTCATTTTGTATTTTATATTCGAAATTTATTTAATAAAACACTGACATTGAAAAATGCCTGATATTTTAAAATTAATGATTATGTTGACAATCCTGTTCTCATTCATAATCGATGGTTTGTATTCAGGTAATTATTAATTGAAAATATTTTGATTTTTTTTTTGTTACAGGGAACATGATTATGTCCATGACCAGTGGAAAACCTTGCGTTCCAAGATGGTTTAATAGAAAACATAGTTTTGTTTGTATTTGTAATGCAACTGTTTGTGATTCGTTTGATGATGATGATAGAATTTCGAATGAATCGAAAACGATCACTATTTTTAGCAGTGATATGCATTCGGATCGTTTTTTACGTAGTGAACATCATTTCAAAAATGTGGATACATTAAATCGTGGACAAACTATAACGATCAATCGAAATAAAACATTTCAAACAATCATTGGCTTTGGTGGAGCATTCACCGATGCTACTGGAATTAACATAGGAAAATTGAACGACCAATTGGCGAAAAATGTCATTTATGATTATTTTAGTCCTCGAGGTTTACGCTATTCAATGGGTCGAGTTCCAATCGGTGGTACGGATTTTTCTACCAGACCATACTCATACGATGAACTTGGTCCTAAAATTCATGATGATTTTAATCTATCATATTTCAAATTGGCTGCCGAAGATTTCGATTATAAGGTAAATAATGTTTGAATTCTATTTATTCAAGCTAATTTTGTGGTTGACTTTCAAATTTATTGTTCCATATAGATTCCATTGGTCAAACTGGCACAAAACATCAGTCATTATCCAATCAAACTATTCGCATCTCCGTGGAGTCCACCAGCATGGATAAAAACCAATGGCCATTTGAATGGTCTTGGAAGAATCAAAGGCAAACCGGATGGAATTTACTACGAAACTTATGCAACATATATGATAAAATTTTTACGAGAATATGAAAAACAAGGAATCAATTTCTGGGGAATGACCATTCAAAATGAACCAGTCGATGGAACAATACCTGCTTTCAAGTTTAACTGTAATGCAATGTCGCCAGAAGAACAACGTGATTTCATTTTTGAAACATTGGGACCCCAATTAAATGCATCCGGGTTTGGAATTGATAAGCTAAAACTTATGATTATGGATGATCAAAGACCGTTCATTGAGAAATGGGCTAATGTCATTTTAAGTGATAAACGAGCCAATAAATATGTTTCTGGTATCGGTTTCCATTGGTATCTGAATTCATTCACTTCAGTCGAAGTAGTTTCCAAGACTCATCATAAATTTCCAAACTATTTTCTATTATCTACGGAAGCTTGTGAAGGTGCAAACCCTTTTCAATTGGAAAAAGTTTCATTGGGTAATTGGGATCGCGCTCAATCATATGCCTATGATATTATTCAAGATTTAAATCATTATACTAGCGGTTGGATCGATTGGAATATGGCACTCGATCCAGAGGGTGGCCCGAATTGGGTAAAAAATTTCGTAGACTCTCCAATCATTGTCAGTGAAGATGGAAGCGAATATTACAAACAACCAATGTATTATTCATTAGCACATTTTACACGATTTATTGAACCTGGATCGGTACGTTTAGACATACAGACTCAACATGAGTACTTGAATATGGTTGCCTTTGAAACACCAAACAAGGCAACCGTATTGGTTGTTTTGAATCGTAATAAACATGAAGTACCTTTGAAAATTCATGATGATAAGTATGGAATTTTCTCTCATGAAATCAAAGGTCATTCCATTCAAACATTGGTATGGTATTGATGATAAAGTATAATTTAAGAAATAACAACAATTTTTTATAAAAAAAAATTTCCAAAATTAATGAACATCCTTCAATTGATGATAATCAAATAATAGAATAGAAAATCCTCAATTGATTAAATATCAGCTGAAAATCATATGTATGATAGAAATAAAAATGATTCTAATCTCAAGTGGTGGCATCTATCATTTATCCATTGTGAATGTAGATGTTTTCATAAAATGCATGCATGCATGCGATAGGCGAATGATATCACATCGTTGGTCGGCTAGAGGCGGTAAGATTGGTTGGATATAACTTTCTTTCGTCCTTGATTATCATAGAAATAATCGTCTATAATCAGCGGCGGTGGTCTTTATCATCGTCATTCATAATAATTATTATCTATTCTCAAAAATAGAGCATTTTTTTCTCAATATTATTTATCATCGTCATCGATATCCAAAAAAGGTCATTTATCCTTTGATCAATTCCTCAAGAGTCAGAATGTTTTATTTGACTCATTTGACTTATAAAAATGCTCAAGGTAATTTTTTTACAAATCGATCAAAAATTGAAATGAAAGTAAATATTTCAAACGTTCTTCCGAAGCAGAGAATCAAGAATCGAAAAAGTTAACCTTGTTCAACAATATTCTATCCAAATTGATCAAAAATGCCGCCTGTCATTCAGAAGTAATAAACATTAATTAATTATCACTTTATATTTGATAATTTTAATCAGATTAATTTCTACAGATTTTGTCTTCGATCAAACGTGCCAGTCCAGGAAAACTTCGAGAAATATTTGATAAATTTGCTTCGATCGAAAAGAATGGTCATCGATACATGACAAGCGAAGATTTTATTCGCCGTTTTCTAGGCTTTTATACTGAAGATGATTTCAATCCGAAAACGGTAAATATTCTTGGCGGCATTCTTGACACATCTAAAGACGGGTATGATTTCACTATATTCTGGTTCTAGATTCAAGATCAAACTTTTTTCATAGTCTTATTTCCTTTCAAGAGTTTGAAGCTTTTGAAGCGGTTTTATGTCGCCCAGATGCAATCTATATGACCGCATTTCAACTATTCGACACTAATGGTTCCGGATCTATAACTTATAATGAATTCGAAGAAATAATTAAGAGCACAATTTTTCATCAAAAAATGCCATTCGATTTTAAATCGGATTTTGTTCGACTTCATTTTGGTGAAAAACATACGCGTACCATCTCTTATTCGGAATTTTCTCAATTATTGCACGATTTTCATGAAGAACATGCCGTACAGGCGTTTAAATCGCGGGATCATCGAAAACAAGGAGTCATTTCAGCGTTAGATTTTTCAGAAATCATGAGTAATTGTAAAAACCATTTGCTATCCGAAGATGTCAAAAGAAATTTGGTTGCAGCTGCAAGTTCGACTGCCGGTGGCCATCAAGTTTCTTTTCCATATTTCATAGCATTCAATACATTGCTAAATAATATTGAAGTTATTAAGCGGATATTTCTTGCATTCACCAAAAACAACACTCAAATGGAAATGACTAAAGAAGAATTCTTTGCTGCATCACAACAAATGTACCAAATTACTCCATTGGAAATTGATATTTTGTTTCAGCTTGTTAGCCATCTAAGACAGCCAACTGGGAGAATAGGTTATGATGATCTGGAACGTTTGTCTCCACGACATGGGCTACAATTTGTTTCTAAATTTGATGCCTCTAAATCTCATTCTTCCATCAGTCAAGAACCACGTGGTGTCGGTATTCAAATCCTGGAAAGTGTTTACCGATTTACATTAGGTTCAATTGCCGGTGCTACTGGTGCTACGGTGGTTTATCCTATTGATTTGGTTAGTTCATCTATTCTTCTTATTATGAATTTGAATTAAACGATTTTTTAACGAAGGTCAAAACTAGAATGCAAAATCAACGTACTGGCTCTATGATTGGCGAGTTAATGTATCGGAACAGTTGGGATTGTTTCAAAAAAGTTGTTCGTCATGAAGGATTTGGTGGTTTATATCGTGGCTTACTTCCACAATTAGTTGGTGTTTGTCCAGAGAAAGCAATTAAATTGACAATGAATGATTTTGTTCGCGATAAATTAACCAGTAAAAACGGAGAAATCCCCATTGGAGCCGAAATAATTGCTGGTGGAAGCGTAAGAATTGAACGCATAATAGATTGTACTTTTTGAAACTAATAATGATAATAATTTCAAGGCTGGCGCATCTCAAGTTATGTTTACGAATCCATTGGAAATAGGTTTGAAATTATTGTTTATTATCGATTATCAACATTTTTGAATATTAATCATTTAATTATTTAATCATTATTTTAAAACACAGTAAAAATTCGTTTACAAGTTGCCGGTGAAATTACATCGGGACCAAAGATTAGCGCTCTTGGTGTTATTAAAGAATTGGGTTTTCGTGGATTATACAAGGTTAGTAATGTTTATCTATTATGTTAATTTGTTACGAATCTTGCAGAATGTAAAATAGGGATCTTCAGCCTGTTTTCTACGTGACATACCTTTTTCGGCTATTTACTTTCCGGTTTACGCCCATTGTAAGCTTGAATTTGCCGATGTTAACGGTCATAATAGTCCACTATCATTGCTGACATCTGCTGTCATCGCTGGTGCGTATTCAACTTGGAAATTTGTCAAATAAAATTTGATTAAATTGAAAAAAAAACAAAATCATATAGGCGTTCCAGCTGCATATTTAGTGACACCGGCTGATGTGATCAAAACCAGGCTTCAAGTGGCAGCCAGAGCTGGTCAAACCACTTATTCTGGAATAATTGGTACGAATAATTTTTTTTATGAATTAATAAATCTTGTTTATTCGATTTCAATGACAATTATGACAGATGCTGCCAGAAAAATTTTCAAAGAAGAAGGTGGTTCAGCATTTTGGAAAGGAGGTCCAGCGCGAGTATTTCGCAGTGCCCCACAATTCGGTTTCACGTTGCTGACTTATGAATTATTGCAACGTATCTTCTATGTTGATTTTGGTGGTCGTCGGCCCACTGGTTCCACTGAACCTGTCAAAAAATCGTTATTGGAAACATCACATAATCCTAGTCATGTTGGTGGCTATCAACTTGCTTTATCAACTTTTACTGGAATGGAGTCTAAATTTGGATTATATTTTCCAAAGTTCAAATCGAATATTGCTTCGTAAATCTTTGACTTTCAACATCTTTGCAAATCGATCTTCCAATGTTTAAATGTTTAATGTTGAGTTATTCAAAAAATTATTAAATTTAATCAAGTAAATTGTTCATTCTTCGAAATATCGATCTTCTTGATCATATTCAAATTCACGCGACAAATCATATTCTTCATTATTGTCCACTTTTTCATAATTGAAATATTCTCTATCTTCGCCAGCCAAAAAATTCTCAATCATAATCTTTAAAAATTCTTGTCGCAATGAATCTTTTTTCTCGTCATTAATCTCTTCTGAATCATCACCGGAAGAATCGTCGATATATTGCGATTCTTTTGTTTGAACTATTCGATTTTCTAAATAAACTTGTCGGGCCGTTTCTAAAAGATAAGATGAGAAACCTATTTGATCATAATTTTGATGATAATTGGAATTTTGAAATTCTCTTCTCTCCTGTTCATTCATATATCGGCCAATCATTTGTTCAAATAAATAGGGATTTCGTGATTGAATTTCAGTATTGGAAAAATATGTCCCTTCTTTCAGCAAGTCCTGTAATGCTTGAAATCGACGATTACGAAGCAATTTGTTTTTTGATTTGATTTTTGCTTGTAAAATTCCTAGCTGAATTTGAACCTCTTCACAATTGTCATTGGAGAAAAAAGTCAATGCCTTTGCATCGAGATATTGACCATATCGCTGTAGAAATAAAGATTTATTTGAATGGAGTAAATTTTCAACGATAATTCGTCTTTCATTTAATGATAGGTCAGGATCATTTATTTGTTGATGGATGAAAAATGCATTTCTTTCATTAATGATCGATTCGATTATTTTGTTTTTCAGCACTTTGAAAGAATTCGATGATTCTTGATCTTCGCTCATAATTGTCATTGTAATGATAATTATTATTTTTCATTTAATCATAATCGTAGTTTGAATCAAGATTTTAATGAGCAATCAATGATCGATTGATTTGACATTTTTTTAATCATTGCCATCTGGCGATAGCATTATACATCATAATTGAATTTCATTTTATAAAGTAAATTTTAATTGGATTAAATACTAAAAAAATAAAAATAAAAATTTTTGTTTGATTCACGAAAAAAAGATAATTGTGTATTTTAGAATCAAATATCTAAAATTATGGGTGAGTAGGAAGCTGTGGAGGTAATTTGGAAGTTTGATGAGGCATTGGCTGCATTTGTACTTGAGTAGAATGATGTATTTGTGAAGGAATCATTGATTCAGGTGTTGTTTTAATTTGTTTAACGCTTTCGGAAAGTATTTCATATATAGATTTTGCATAAGTAACCTGTTTTTTGATAACATTCAAATAAGATGCATATGATTTTGGTTGAGAATTATCGGGCATCATTGTCGGTTGTTCCAAACTAAATTCATTCGAAACTTGAAATGGTAAATAAGTTTTGCTATCGCGCGATTGGATAGTACATTCCAGAATGGTTCGCTGATGATTCAAAAAATGGAAAAAAATAAAATTAATAAAATCATTGGCAAGACTATTATTACAAAATACACTTACTAAACATAATTCAATCTGGTTGCAAAGCGCCAATATGTCTTCAAGCGATTTTTCCAATTTCGGCGGTTGTTCCAGATTTTTGTTGCTAAAATCGATAATCATCAAAAAATAAGCTATACATACAATTGAATAACACTTACAAGTTATCTATTTGTGTACTATAATCTAGATTCATTCCAGAGATTATGAAAAAATTCTAAATGAAAAAAATTAATGAGTTAATCAAAAAAAAGGAATGAATCTGTTCAACATTACTCTTAATGTCTCACGAAGCATTGAAATCAAATTTTTCAAACGATGAAGATCATGATGAGTATTGGACATTTGATGTGATGATGTTTGTGGCGGAGGTTGTGGTGGATGACTAGCCGATGGATTCGGTAATATTTGGTGTGGTGATGCTGTATTCGAAACTTGTGTGGGTGGAATATTTCCCGGACCTACCATCATATTCGAGTTAACTTGATTCGGATTCATTGTGGGTGTATTGAGGTTACAAGGTTTCTCTGGGGTTCAATTAACAATCAAGTAAATAAGAAGTAAACAAAAGAATTTTCTTGTTATGACAAGTATAAATTAATTATTACGAATACAATTTTGCACTCACAAACAAAATACATTGTAAAAATATGATATATAACGTTGGTTATGTATGACACAGGTAATAATTATTGTTGACAATTTTAATTTATACGATGAGCTGTAGCTCATATCATCACTTTTAGGTATTCGAGTTTAATAAATTGTTTTAAAATTCTATTTATGATGAATTCGATAGGAACAGCAGCCGGTCACAATTCAGCAATGATGCCAGAAAATATCAGCTCATGGGATACATTGGATGAACCGATTTGGGACACAATTCATCGTGATTTGTTCAACATTTATTCAAAATTGAAATTTGTCTTCTTACCGGTGTCGGAGAATGATATCTATTTAAATGTCTGTAAAAATTGGGATCTTTGGGGTCCATTCATATTCTATGCATTCATTGCATTCACCACTAATAGTTGTAATCCAGAATTATGTACCGGTTATCATCAATCAAATTTTTCTTCAATTTTTGTATTAATGTGGATCGCTAATTTTATCATCTCGATGAATTGTAAATTTTTATTGAAAAATTCAAATTTCGAACAAATATTGGAAACATCTTTCGGTGATTCAAATCAATTGCCAGTAAAAAGATTACGACAAATGTCCATATTTCAATTACTTTGCCTTTTCGGTTATTCAATGGCCATACCAAGTATCGGAATTTTAGTCATCAAAATTTCATCGTTATTATTCAGATCATCGTTTTTATTTTTTTATGAAAAAATTCTAATGATCATCATTTTTTGTTTTATTTATCCGATCATGTCATGTGCACGAATGTTATCGTCAAACATTTGTAATGAAAAATATTTCCTATTTATGTATCCAATTTGTTTATTCTTTTTCACATTAAGTTTGTATATCCATACATTTGTTTGAGTTTTACGTTGCAAAGTTGTTATCATTTATGTAACGTAGGTAACTTTTTTTTTGTTTGTTTGTATTAATGAGAATGATTTGGTTTTTTTTTCATCATTCACTGATAATGTATCTAGGCGTCATAGATTCGATCATCATATCAACGACAATATGCCTCATATAAATGCACATACATCAAATTGAATAAATGATAAATTGATCCACCATATGTCATAATAATTCGATCAGATAATTAATTCAAAATGTTTCATAAATTTCCATATGGTTCATTGATATTTTCCATGCTGTTCATCTGTGGTGTCAGCATCAACATTTACTGTATAATAAAATTGACCAATATTTATTCATTATTCGCTTATGACATGTTGAAACGAAAAGATTATTTATGGTAATTTAAGATATTGATTTTTTTTTAAATTTTGACAAGAAAGATTATCTTATTTTTCATAGGATCAAAGATATTAGAATTAATTTGATTGTATTTTATGCAATCACAATGATGTTAATCTGCTACAATTTGGTCATTTCATTTCGAATAACAATCAATTCAAATGATGCCATATCTACACCTATAACTAAGAAGAAATCTAAACGTATATATTGTCTTGATTCGGGAATCATTCAGAAAATAGTGTTTGCAATCAATCAATTGATTATGGTCGCATTCTTCATTGTAACAATGTTGATTATAATTGAATTTTTTGTTTTATGGACACTTACACATCTCTGTACGGATGGATCTAATATTATGCGTTTAATGCCACAAGATCAATATAAAACGGATCGACTTCCAGGCGAAATGGGACAATTTCTTGATTTAAGAGAATTTGCACCAATACTTGGTTTGCGTATGAATGAAACTCAATTTCTATATTTCGATAATGATAGATTGAAAATGTTCTGCGATGATTATGTTTCAATATCCTATCTTTACAGTATAATTTTCTTCATTTCATCACTAATCACCTACTATTCATTGGTACAATTAAACATTTTATTAGCCAGTAATATAAGCAAAGATTCGATACGAAAAGATTTTCAAGATGTAATGTTTCTTTATTTTAATGATGTAGCATTGATAAATTCTGAACAGAGAAAATGAGAATAAACATAACAATAAATTATTAATTCAACAAAAAAAATCAATCAAAGCATATTAATTAAAGTTTTTATAATGTCATGCGGTTATTTTTTCCGTTGCCAATTGCTTTTTTGTCTTTATTGTTTCTTTCGCTTCAATTATATTATCGATATCATCCATATCATAAATGACTTTGATGATCAACGAACAGCTAACACAACTGGCCACAACTTCTCCATTCAATAAATCATCCTAAATATATAATCATCATCATTTAGTTTAATATTATCATCAATCAAAATGTTTACAAAACATTCATCGTCACTTACCTTAAGTATGGTGAAAAGATCACCACATGGACATGGATAGCTGAAAGTTTCGGTTTCTGGATCATAATCGAAATCCTCAATCTCCACTTCATCATGATAAATTCCGGAATCGGACATTCTGATTCGATTGAAGAATTATAGAAATTATATAATTCTAAAATCTGATACACAAAAACCATTCAACCAGGCACACACATGTGGCAAACATGAGAAATTCATGTGCGTGTTGACAACTCACTCAACCTATAAACTTGGCAAAAAAAAATATATGTAGGAAATATGAAAAGAAATAAAATATGACTTTTATTCAAAAATCGATGAAAATTCGATTGCTTATATCTTCAATAAGCCAATCCATTGATTCAAAAATATTTGTTCCGTCTATTGCGCTACAGGGAAATATTTTCCAATGATGAGATTTAATTTTATTCAATTCAAGATAATTTTCTATCTCTTTTAATGTCAAAGCATTCTGTATATCTTGTTTGTTGGCTAATATTAGCAGTGTGGCACCCAAAAGACGTTCTTCAGTGATTATCTCTTGTAATTGTTTTTTACAATCAGCTAAACGTAATCGATCACAGCTATCAATGACAAAAATCAATCCATCCGTATCTTCATAATAATTTTTCCAATATGCTCTTAAACTTTTTTGTCCGCCAACATCCCAAATATTTAGATTATAACTATGAGTGGAATGAACAAGTGTAATGAACAATAGGAAATTCAATTAATGATATCATACTTTTGGTAGCTGAAAGAATTGATTGTAAAACCAAGAGTCGGTGAAACCGATTGTACATCTTCATTTTTTAATCGTTTCAAAACGGTTGTTTTACCCGCATTATCTAAACCCCTGTAATAAAGAACGTATTCATATGCAACAATGAAATAAATAAAATTGACTTACAAGAATAATATTCGAATTTCCTTTTCTTTTTGTTTCACTTTTTTAATGATTGACAGCAGAACCATTTTTAATAATTTTTTGATTGTTGAAATGATCTGTCTTATTGAGCCATAAAAAAATTGTTTTACATTGTTTTTGAATAGCTCATAAACAAAATGAAAACTTGCTCACATTCAATGTGATCAAATTTTACGAAATTTCGAGCATCGAAATTTTGAAACTAATTATTATTTTTTAAATTTAAATGATGAAGCCAAATGAAGAATCTAATCAAAAAGATAGCTCAAAAATGGTATTGTATATTGGTGTCAATGTTCGAAATCAAACTCATTTCTTTACTAGATACAAATTATTGAAGGTTGTCGGATGCCCGTTAAAATGAAATATTCCGATGATTGGCGTATGTTTGAGAATTTTTGTTTTGATCTTTGATTTATTTTTTTACATTTATCGTAGATTTGGGAGAAATTCTTAGTATCAAAAATCGTGATGAAGAACAACTATTTTACATACATTATAGCGATTGCAATAAACGTCTTGATGAATGGGTAAGTCAAGATCGTTTGGATTTGAAACAAATACAATATCCCAAAAGAGAAACAAAGGGATCGATAAAAAATGGATCTAGACAATCATCACCGGATCGGGAAACATCCATGGTAATTTTACCTGAAATAATATTAGAAAATCAAAATTGAACGAATTTTTATCAATTCAGATAATCGATCATGATGATGATCTCAACAAAAAAATACATTATAAAAAACGCAAACTAGGTAAATGCAGAAATGATATCGGTAAAGAATTATATTAAAGGTTTTATAAATACTTTAGACATCACCGCTCCTAGTACCGACGATCAAGATTCTCAAGAATCGGCCATAAATTTGCCGCACGGGGCTAGTGGTGCTGTAATTGCTCCCAGCACTAGTGGAAGTCTGTCGTTGAACAATCATGATGACATTATAACTCGAATCAAGAATATTGAAATGCTAGAATTAGGTAAACATCGAATCAAACCATGGTATTTTTCTCCATATCCAATCGAATTAGTATCCGAACCATGTATTTATCTTTGCGAGTTTTGTTTAAGATATTGCAAAAGCAGAACTTGTCTCAAACGTCATATACAGAAATGTGATCTCAAACATCCTCCCGGAAACGAAATTTATCGGAAAAATTCGCTTTCATTCTTCGAAATTGATGGCAGAAAGAACAAAAATTATGCTCAAAACTTGTGCTTATTGGCCAAGTGTTTTTTGGATCACAAAACCTTGTATTATGATACCGATCCATTTTTGTTTTATGTTCTCACCGAAAATGATAATCGTGGATTCCATATTGTTGGATATTTTTCCAAAGAAAAAGAATCTTCTGAAGATTACAATGTTGCATGTATTTTAACATTGCCACCATATCAACGTAAAGGATATGGAAAATTATTAATTGAATTCAGTTATGAATTATCGAAATTCGAAGGAAAGACTGGAAGTCCAGAAAAACCTCTTAGCGATTTAGGCTTATTATCTTATCGATCATATTGGAAAGAAACCATTCTGAACATATTGACTAACCTTAAGCCAGGTGAAAATAATGAAAAACCACAAATTACGATACAAGATCTTTCTGAACAGACAAGCATAAAAAAAGATGACATCATTTCAACATTAGTTAATAATCTAAATTTAATTCAGTATTACAAAGGTCAGTATATTATTACATTGACGAAAGATATACTAAAACAACAGCAACGAATCTATGAGAAACGAAAAATTCGTATCGATCCAAAATGCCTTAATTGGTCGGTAAAAGATTGGTCCAAACGCGGAAAATGGTGAACGATTTATATATTTCATTCGTACATTTTTTGTAAACATAGTTCCTTCTCCCTTAGAGTTTTTTTTTTAACGAATCCCAATAAAATTTAAATCTGTAAACTTTTTCGTAACGATGGACTGTTTTTTAAATATCGTGAAACACGAGGACGGATTTTTGTTGTTCGTGATGGCTGAGATTTTCCTTTGCTCAATGATTGTTTTCCATATTGCCATATATAACTAATGATCTTACGACTTACTAATTCGCCAATATCATAGGTTTTGACAAATGAAAATCCCAACCAGATACTCAATAATCCACCAAAATATGAAATGAATTCCACAAACTGTTGATGATGGTTAATAAATAGAAAGTGTTAATCTGGAAATACATTTTTTTTCATTTTCAATGTTCCTGACCTCATATTTGGGCTGATAATCTTGGATTGATTGTTCCGATGACCAGAAACGAATGGAAATCAATGTACAACATTTTCTCAAAGTCATGTCATATTTTTTACTATGGTCCTTTTCAAAAAGTGTGAAAAGTTGTCGTTAATATATTAAATCAGTAAACTTACAATTCGCTCCTGAGAAGGCCATATGACACTTTGTCGCAAAATTTCATAACTATCTGACCTATCGTTCAAATATGATGATAGATTTTTTTTTAATAAATTAAATCTGAAACTTACTTGCATTCGATTTTGCATAAATTTTTACATCGTTTCTCATGATTGGCAAAACAAAAATGAAACCAATTTCTTTCTTTAGAAGAATTGTCGCCAACAATATTGGTTCCATCGCGCCATGAACACCATTTTAAATGATTATTCGAATTGTTTTGATCCAAAACAATAAAGGGTAATTCGGGTGGCCAACATTTACAAAGATTAATTGTTTGTTTTGCTATGCAATCCATAATGCATGTTTCACGTGACATTACACGAATTTGACTTTCGCTTTTATCCATGTGACTTTTTTCCCGATCATAATTGACACAATCCGTCACGTAAGGTGAAGGTAAATATTTACCACTTTCTTTGCTAATATAAAACTCATAATAATAACCTGGATAAACGATAAAATTTCTATCACGAATCGGTGGCAATTCATTCTCATCATGAATGGCCAAATGGCCCATGACTTTTTCATTCAAGGTAGTTCTTTGATCCAAACTGAAATTGATCATCATTCGAAACACTTCGTTTGGATGAAACGGTTGATCGGCAATTTCCAGATTCAATGAATCTTCCACTCCACGTATCACAGGCGATTGAGAAATTCCTGACTTGATGGCAATCTCCTTTAATGTACGGTTTTCTGATCGTCTAAAAACAGTGAAACAATTGCCCAATTCTTGAGCACTTTGAATTACATTGGAATGATCTCTGTATAGAAAAAACAGTAAAAAAAATTAACCAAGATCCCGGTGAACCACATATTTTTTTGTTTTGAAACTAACATGCATTTTTTGTCCACATTATAGGGATCAGTTGCACATTTAAAATAGCGATTAGTAAGTAGATCATTCCATTCAGTACCTAATTGTGAAAAATCATACACTGGAAGTTGATCCATTAATTTCCGGATTGTATGATCAATTAATTTCTGTTTAAGCTAGATATATAGTATATATTAAAACAAACGAAAATTGTTAAAAAAATGTTATCACAAATTTTCAGGTGCCATACCAATCTGGTTTGATTCGAATAGAATAGATTTTGTTGAGAAAGTTCCATCAATTTTGTCCACGATTGATTAAATTTAGGATCGATACATTTCATTTTATTCAACATGATTAGATTGTTTGTGCATAAAGTGATGGCCGGTAATTCAAGTCGATCCATTATTTCGATAAATGAGAATACGGTAGTTGGAAAAGAAAAGTATAGATTAATTATGGAAATCACTTGATATGCACATCCTATTGCACAGAATGTGTAGGCGATCGTCTTTAATGTATATGAGATGATTTTCTTTTTATATGATTTCATTTTTATTCAATTTATATTAAGATTTATGCTGTGGTTAATTAAAATTTGTTGTTGTTTTTTTTTGTCAAATGCAATGTATAATGATAGTAATAATAATAATAATAATAATATAATACTATATAAAATAAATTTTTTTCTTTGGCGACAAAATCGGTTAGCAATATAATAATTTCAGTTTTTTTTTGTTTTATTTGTGCTGATCTGATTGATCACGGTGATGACAATTTTTTTTCCTTTAGAAAAAAATTGATTTAGCCGAAATCATATGTTGTGTGTATTTCTTTTTGAGACGTTTCTTAAGTTCCACCGGAAATTTGTCATAACATTTTTTACAGCATGGTTTCAGATCAACATCATAGAATTTGGATTTTTCATTCATTTTTGTTTCACAATAAGCGCAGGCGAAATGGTCCGGACACCAGGCTTTGTTTAAGGCAGTTATTGTATCACCAATGATTACTTTACTGCAGACAAAACAAACATTGCCGAATAATTGATGATAATGTGTTTCACAATAAGCCAGTCCCTGTATATGAACAAACGGAATGAATCTAAATGATTGAAATCGATCGATCTAAATAATTTATCCCACCTTTTTTTCATAATGCTTGTGTCCGAAAAATGGTTTTTCACATTTAGCACAGACAAAATGTTCAACATGCCATTGTTTACCTAAAGCAGTAACCACACGTTCTTCGATTGGACGACGGCAAGCACCACAAATCGGTATTCCCATTTTGTCATGACATCGTAGACAATATAGTTCACCTTTGATTTCTCTTGCACTCGATGTCAATTCAATACCGCAATTTTTACAATTAAAATGATAAGGATGATAAGCTTCATTCTATTTGCAAGAACATTTGTCCAATGGATCATCCATCATTAGAATTTTAATGAATAATAAATTTATAAATATTTAAGGTTTAAACTAACTTTATATTTAAGTGGAGCGCCTTCATCAATAATGGCTTTACATTTGAAACAAATGTACTTTCCAATTGCAGCAGCTTTTTCTTTTTCATTGCACGGTTGACATAAGGCTCGACCGGCATTCTTGAAAAAACCTTTGTCGGTTAAAATATCTTGGCACAATTCACATTTGAAGCAATTGGGGCACCAATTGGCATTCATTGCTTTAATAACTCGACCTGATATGAGAAAAGTTCCAGCCATGAAAACAACGAATATCCATAACAAATCTAGAATTCATGTTGAAATCTTACCAATTATGAATTCACTACATTTTACACAACAAGGAGCAAATAGTACATGAAAATCATGTTCACAATATTTACGGCCTTCAAATTCATAGAATATGGCATCTTTGGTGAATGGACGAAAACATTGGGCACAAACGAAACATTGTTGATGCCATACTTGACCGCCTAAACAAACAAACAAATAAATGAAAATCATTTGAATCAAATACACACATCCTTCATGATTAATTATCGACACCAAACATTACCAGCATTCACGAGTTTTTCCCTTTCTTCGAAGCCTTCATGACAACGAGAACAAACCATTACATCTTCGGTTGAAGTCATCGTTTCATATATAAGAAGTATATCAATACGGGTTTAAGATTTTTGATTCCCGGATGATATACCTGAATGAACACAATAATAATAATAATAATAATAAAAATTTAATTTTCACATATAATAAAAACTAACACTATACAATAATCAGTAATGGAAAAGATTGCTTGTCGTCGTATTCGTTTGTTTTAAAGCAAATAACATTTGATTTTGTCATTAACAAAACCATCGTTGTCGTCGTTATATTTTTTTTTTGGCAAATTGCCCCACCAACCAAAAACATTCATTGAAGTTCTCCTACTCGTTTTTTTTTTGTTTGCTCATTTTTATGATGATTTCCGCGCGCGAGCTAACTACAAACATAAATGCAACACATTCCATAATTGGAATACACACACAAACACACACTAATGGTTTTTCTCATTGCATTAATGCTACCATCATATAGGCCAAAGACTTGCCCAATTATTCCAAAAAAAAAACTATATTCAACCACCGCCAACGCTGATGATGATATTAGAAAACATACGCACATCCATATAAATTACACATGCATCTATTCATGGAAATGATGTCTATGATCATGATCATGATAGCTGTTTATTCGAATGTGTGTGTGTGTGTAGCATCAAAAATCATTCTTTGTCCATGGATAATATGCAATGATTTTTAATGAATGAAAGATTTTTTTTCATTCAAAAAATTAATGTTTCAAAATTTCCATCACATCAAATCTCGCCATAATTTGTGATCATAAGATTAAAATGATTATATGGAGAAAGTTATAATTCAAAATCTCAAAATGGATCATCAAATCAAAAGAAATAATGTCATAAAATAAGAATATTATCCATGAGGATACAAATAAGGACCGAGATAAAGCGGCATCTCGGTTATGAAATTATAACAATGGTACATGTCTCACTCAAACAAAAAAATCCTTTATAAGAAATAAGTATTACACTTTGAGTTTGTAAATTAACTTCAAACTGTGCCACTACTTTTTAAAAAAAACCGTGGTTTTTTGTTTTGTTAAATGTGAGATTTGTTCAGATAAGAGGCATCACTGTATTTTATAAATCTATTTCTACATAATGAAAAGACCAAAAGAAATATAGTCTGTTTGTATTTGAAAAAATTTGATTTGTCATGTTATTTCGTCATTTATATATTTTATATTTCATTATTGATCATCAAAAAATATTTGCTTTGTTTTATGTCTTCGAATTTTTGTTTTGTTAATTTTACAATTATGGATGAACAGATAATCGATAACTTTCTTGAATCAGATGTATACACAATTGATGATTATTTGGAAGATGATTTTGAAATTACCGATGGCAATGGCGAAAAAATGCTTCAGAAAATCAATTTTTACAACAGATGTCTTCCATATTATGAACAATTGGAACGAATGCGGGTGAAATATTGGGAAAATTTAAAAAACAATCTGTCTTGTTCAATGTTGAGCAATAATAATGATTGTCTCTTTTCCAAATGGATAGATACATTTTCATCGTAAGATATTGAAAAAAAATAATAAAATCAATCCCGAATTATTGTTTTTTCAATTTAGGTACATTTCAATCTATGATCTTGCTTTCACTAAAGAAGAACACATTTTTCTCATAAAATTATTTCATAATTCCCTGGCATTTTTTGAATATGATTATCAACTATCAAAAAAATTGATTGAATTATTATCCCGACTTTTGAGGTAATTGCTAATAATCTATTTGATTTTTTAAACTATTTTTCAAAATTTCAATCTATACAGAGAGACAAAACATATAACCAGATTAGATCTAGAACTTGATTGGCGTGTTCTTTACACTTTGTATGAAAATATTACAAATTCTAAATGTAAATTTGGGATTAGCGTGAAGCATGAACAGAAAAAAAATTGAAACAACTAATTTGCTTTGCTAGAGCATATTTTTCTAAAGATTCAACCAAAGAAATGTTAGATGAATGGAAACAATATCTTTGTATTCACAATGAAAAATATCGGCTATACATGGAATATTTTAGCCTGTTTTTGCCTACATTGCTTCCACCCGAGGAGCATGAATTCGGTTTTAAACTTTGGCTCGATGATTTCATTGATATGCTTAATTGGTCTCAGGTACCATACACAACATTATCAAATTTATTAGCCCGTCTGGCAGAAGATGTTTATGGGTAAGTGATTGAAACAATTATCTGATATTTAAGCTATTTTAATGATATTTTTTTTTATTAAGCTATATCGATTGGGAACCATATCTGCCTTACTTTTTTCAAAAACTCAATTCTAAACCAAATATAATCTATCTTTTAGATTGTCTCAAAATATTTACATGGACCATATTACCTAGCAATACTGAAAATTTTAAAAAATTTCTTCTAATAGCAAAGAATAGTCGTGATAACTTCATATCGAAATCCTATTCGTTTGTTCCTTATGCTTTAGCTATAATGATCACGCGACGATACAAGAAAGAACAGCAAAATCTTTGGTTTCATTATGCTCATGGTAATCATAAACTGGACGAAAAAACAATTAATGAAATTGGCGCCATATTATTGGAAAATTTTATCGATTCATATTTTTGTAAAACACAATCGACGGACAATTATCAATTTCTATACGGTATTTTGAATTTGAATCATAAATTAGTTGCAGAAAGAATCCCAGAAAAATTGCAAATCGCTTATGAACAAATTTCAGAACCATGGCGCTTGAAAGCAATTTTGAAGTTGTATTCTGTGTCCATATTTCCTATTATAATGGATAATCAAATTGGACCTAAATATCGTATAGAATTGGTTCCAATGTTGTTTCAATTGATCGAAACATTTAATACATATGATCATGATCTTTGTATGGCACAATTGATCGCCATTAAATCCATCTTAATTTTAGAATTTCCAATTATTGATTGTTCATCACTGTGCCAAATATCCGACAAAGTTTTGACCGAATATGAATTGGAAATGTGTTTGCAATCAGTCCGATTAGAAGAATTTCCTATTGGTTTCATGAGATGTTGCCAAAACATTATCGATTCGAACAATGAAAATTTATTCGCTGACCTTGCAAAAATGGATTCATTGTCATGCATAGTGTTTTTCATTCTAACTCGAACATCTGAAAAAATAGCAAAAGCTTTTATCGATAATTTTTTTTCATTCATCATCTCAAATATATATGAGAATGGATACATTGTGATAAAAATTATCATGAATTCAATAGCTATGGTCTACCCAGATTATATGATGAAAAAGTTATTTCCGTTGATTTCCGAACATTTGAAAATGCTAGCCGTCAATAAAGATATAAAATTGTCTAAATCTTTGGAGAAAGACTTGAAATATCATGTCAAAATATTCGGATACTTGTTTTACTGCAATGCTGAATTATTGTCCTTGTATCAAGAAGAAATACTGATCTTACTCGAAGAAATTAGTCATTTGAATTTGGATTCGAATTCTTCTATTGTTTATAACCTATTGATCAATCTATATAACAGTTTGATCAGCGAAAAAAATTTTGTTTCTGTACAAGAACTTAAACCCGAAATGATGATGTTCGAAAATTGGCCTAAATTAATTACAATAAAAGAATTTTCAACCAAATGGCATAAACAGACAACTAATGGATTGAATTTTGCTCATCGTTTGCTAAAAATTTTTATTAAGAATAAGCTCATTTTATTGGAAAATTGGATAGAAACAAAAATTGAAATGACAAACGACGAATTATTGAAAAATTTAAAATTCATATCATTATTTGACGAATTGACAATAAGTTCACCAGAATTTTTATCATTTCCAGCAAATGATTCATCTTCATATCTATCTAATATGGATAACCCATTCTTGAATGATTTGATTAAATGCCGAGAACATATCATAATTGTCATGCATAAAGTTTTGACCAAATTGGAGAAAATGAATTCCGATGACACTCGTTCTTATAAGGCGATCATTGATATCTATGCTGCAATGCTAACAAAATCATCTCATTTTTCTTGCAAAAAATTCAAACAAATACGTTTATATGAGCGTCGGACTAATCCGAATGAATTTTTATGGTTTCTGCATTTAAATGCTGCAAATGCTCGTGATAGATTCATACAAAAAGAATTAATAAATGTCATGCGAAAACGTTTAACGGAAATGGATATTACTATAATGAAAAATCTGATTTCATTGTCTCGATCAAATTACCAGTCAATCAGACGTAATGTTAAGAGTACTTTGGCCAAAATATTCCAATATCATGTCAACTCATCATTGTTAATTTCGGATGAAATAATCTATAATTTAAACATTCAAGACGCTGATTCTTTGATCGGTGTTCTTGACTTGTTGCATCTTAATGAAGATCGTTCCCTGATGTTTTGTTCTTCTTGGGATACATTGCTTAAACTGTATCCAATTTTGATAAAAACAAAATTTTCTGAAAAACCGGAAATCACCAGAATATTTGATGAAGATTTTGAACTCCTATTTCAAAATAATTATTTTATGAAGCCATTAGAAAAAAATTATTCATTAGAATCATTGTTTTGCTATTTCGAAGAAGGAAAATCATTGAACTTTCCTCCGATCGCCGAAGATGTAATCGAAGCATTTAGACAAAAGATAATGGATTCTAATCAGAATAATCGTGCTGCGTATAATAAATTAATTAACCAATTATTGACCATAATGCTTAATGAAAATTTACATTGGCGTTTTTATTATTTTGGATTCTTGCTTTTGAACTATCTTATTCGAACTGATATTGATTTTCCTATCAATGGTGTTCGATTTTTTATTCATAATTTGGCGCATGATTTGCTACTCATTCGAAAAATAGCCCGCACAGGTTTAGTGAAGATTATGCAAATAATGCTGCCAAAGAAGATTACATCAAGAATTGAAGGGCTTGAATCGATTAATTATGACGAAAATGATTTGGGTTGTCTCCATAATGAAGAGATTTTCGATCGGCAATTGTTTTTAGACAAAAATCATCATGGTTATTACAAAAATTTGCCATTCAAAATTAAAAAATTTGACTCATTCGAAAAGAATGCCCAATTTGAAGTTCTATCAATTGAATTTAATAAATCAACATTTCTGGATAAAGTATTCACGTTGAATTCAATCGAAAATGGCACTAGAATCAGTGATGAGAATATCAAGTTTTGGAAATTATACTTTACGCTTATCAAATTGGAATTTTCAGATCAGATATTTTCTCGCGTCACTTTGCTTCTTGATAAACATAGATACCATTATGATAAATATGCTTTAGAAGTTTTATGCGGTTTGACAAAAGCGAGCAAACATTTTGAATATCATGCTTATAAAAAATTTCAAACATTTTTCTTGGTTATTATTGAAAATATTTTTTCAATTTGGATTCTGAATCAAAAACCTTTTGGGATGAATTGTTCTATTCTTTATTTCACTTTGGTGATCTTAAACGCTCATTGTGGTGTGTCAAATTTCTTATCGAAAAGACAACGAATTCTGTAGAATTGTCGCCATTTTATCAGTACGAAATTCTACTAAAATTAAGAAAGGCAATTCGTGATAATTGGAAATACCCAATGGTTTCAAAAAATGTTCGCGCACACATTCTAGAAAATATTAACCATCCATATCAGCAAGTACGATACATTCACGGAATGTAAGTGTTTTGATTGGTGATTGACAATATTTTTTTTAACATTATTCTGCTTCTTATACTTGCAGCTTACTTAACTACACTTTTTTCTTTCCTCTTGGCTTGAAAAGTGAGCAAGTAAATTTCGATCACAACTATAACAATCATTGTACGTTGGCACCGATCTTTCAATATCTTAATGAAAAACTATCGATTCTGCTCGAAGAGAAAAATTCCGAAATCGACGTTACTTCATTCAAAAGCGATCTACTTGATTCAAACACAAACAATGGTAAAAATTTATTGAATGTCATTGAAACAATTTGTTATTTTGCACTACCCACAAATTAAATTCATCATTCGAACATTTACCAGGATTACAATTAATTTTACCTATAGTAAGTGCATCACTATTTATTTATTTATCTGTTTATTATTAATTGATTTAATCAACGATTTAGTTGTGTGTGATACGAACAAATAATCCTGTCATGTCACTAATCAACAATGCCATAGATCATATTGCTAGATCGAATTATCATACTGAAGAGAAAATTGAGCAAATTTTGGCAATAGTCAATAAGGTAATTCAGGTTAATGATAAACAGCTATTTTTTAAATATATTTTCTTTAATTCAGCTTTCCAATAATTGGAATTGGCGATCACGCAAAACAATTTTGAGATTTTTGCAAATTTTCATCCGAAGCAATAATTTTTTGTTGATAACTTTTAAATATAACGACCAAATCGAAAAGATTATTGTTAGATTGTTGACTGATGAAACGGTCGAAGTTCGTAACGCTGCATTTTCAACTTTTTCCCAATTGCTTGAGAATGGATTAATTTCGGATAAAAGACGTGATGAATTAATTTATCTATTTCGATCAAAATCTTCAGACATGTCATCAGATATTTCCGAAAGACATGGTAGCATATTAGGCCTTTGTGCTTTTGTATATGCTTTTCCCAATGAAATACCCGATTTTATTCCGGAAATTTTATTTTTCTTAACTGGTCATGTTCGCAGCATCAGTGTGATTTCGGTATTTATTATTAGAATTTATTTATTTATTTCATAACAATTTTTTCATATTTATCTTTTCTTTGCTTAGAATTCTGTGACCAAGACATTACGATTCTTTAAAAAACATCATATTGAAGATTGGGCCATTCATAAACGTAAATTTTCTTCTGATCAATTGTCTCAATTGAATGATGTCCTTATTTCTCCTTCATATTATTGCTAATAAAAGTGATATAAATCAAATGTGATGAATAATAACTTTCAAATTATAAAAATAATGAATAAACTTTAGATTTATGTTTTATATGCTATAATATTTAATCGAATAATTCCTATGAAATAAAAATGGATTTTTAAATGTTGTTCGTAATTCATGTATCAATTGCGCAAAAACCACTTGCCTGATCCATGCATGCATAATATACTCTATAGCAGTCATTCTTTCATACGTTGAGCATTACTATGTACGATTTGTGTGTTGTATTTACATGAAATGTTTACCGTAGATATACAAACGATTAATCATTCTATCCTGGAGATTTTGCCAAGAAATTCAAATTATTTTTACAATTTTCAACCATTATCTTTTTTTTATTCCGTCTGATCTATTTTAAAATCATTTCAAATATTGTTGCCATTGTTGTCTTTGTAAATAAATAAATAAATAAAAGGTTAGTATCAACCTCAGCGAATTCAATGGTGAAAATGATGCTTGCCTCCGTTATCCGTCGTATCTATTCGATTTTATTTTCGTCTAGAACGGCCGATAAAATATTGAATAACATTCCATCGATTGTTCATTATCACTGTGATGATGAATTTATTGAAAAATTTGAAGAAATTATTATTATCGGCGACATTCATGGTTGCTATGATGAATTCCAATTGCTACTCGAAAGGATCCACCAAGGAGTTGACAATCCAAAAAAGTAAATATTTTCAAATAATGATTTTATTATCATATTAAAGTTCTGTTTGAATGTTTTAGAATTTTAAAAATATGCGCTGGTGATCTCATCAACAAAGGTCCTAAAAGCAAAGAAGTTCTCGAATATTTTATGAAAAATCAAGATGATTGTATTTCAGTCCGAGGCAATCATGATCAAGTCATGATTAATGAATACATCAATTATATAAAAACAGGCGATATTGCCGAAAAAAATTCTTGGCTTAAAGAATTAACCTTGGATGGTCATTTCGAATTTTTGAGACAATTGCCCTACACGATACGTATTCCTAAATTGAACATTTTGATTGTACATGCTGGGCTGTTGCCAGATGTTTCGCTAGAAAATCAGCAGTTGGTTGACATGATCGAAATGAGGAATATTGTTGAAAATGGTGATAATGTACGTGTAGCAACCAAACATAATGACGAAGGTGTCGCTTGGGCTTCGGTTTGGCAAGGACCTTGGCATATCTATTTTGGGCATGATGCCAGAAGAAAACTTCAAGAACATCCCTATGCCACTGGTTTAGATACAGGAGTTGTTTACGGAAATGAATTAACAGCTAAATTTGTTATGGGACCTCGCAAAGGGCATTTGGTTTCAGTGAAAGCATTGCAAATGTGGAATGATCCGAACAAAAAAACAAAAAAATAAATGATGTTATCACTTATTCTTTCTATCTTGTTGATTGATATATTTTTTTACATTTCAGTTTGTTGAAAATCATAAAATTAAAAAAATGGAACAAATCGGATTTTTTCCTATCAGCAATTCAAGTAATATCTATGGGATGACCAATATGCATGGTGATATGACCAGAATTTTAGTGGCCACATTAGAGAAACAAGTTTTTGCAGTTGAATATTCGGATAACAAGAAAATTACATGCAATGAAATTCATTTCGCCTACATACCTAGTGAGCATACCAAATTCTTGTATTTAAATGATTTAATAAATACCCATTTTGGCCTTTATAGATAGTGCCGATATCATATCAATCGATGCTTTTGTTCGAACTAATTACAATGATATTGTTTTGGGTATAACTTTCTTTAAGAATTATAAAGAATCTGATTCAAATGAATTTCGAAAAAACATTGTCGTCTCAAACAATCGATCAACGTCATCAAGTTCGGAGAAAAACATCTGTAATCATTATTATTTCAATATTTATTCCAGTTTAAGTTCAACAAATCGGTTTGATTTGAATCAAATTGCTCGTATGTGATTATTAACGATGGTAATTTCGGATTTTTAATTATTTTCACGATTTTTTAGAGGATTGTCAAACCTTTGAATTGGATTTTGTGCCATATCATCTGTATCATACATCGTAATGCATTTCCAAAATAAATCTAAATCTTAACGACTAATTGTTTTATAACCATTTCGTTTAGCATTATTAATGAAAATAATATTGCAGAAACTTTGTGGCTTCTGTCTGGCAGTGATTGCTATGTACACGTTTTCCGTGAAGATAATAAGAAACAAAGTTTCTATAAAGACAAAATTGATCTGTTCCCCGAGTTGAACAATTTTGAAAGTATCGTTATTTGGATTGATGTAATCAATTACGAAGAAAATCATAAATGCCATCGTTTGACAGCAGTCGGCTGTGAAAATGGTATATTGTGTTTGTTTTTTGTTGAACTTGGGGAAACGAATAATCCTCGAATAATCAAGTCATGGAAAAATCGTTTCGATGGGCCAATTTTATCCGTAAAATTTTTTAAAGGTACATCCATCGATTTAATCAAAATTTAATATAATTTATTATATATTGCAGATAAAATAAACAGTAATCTAAACTTGAGAAAATTGGGATTCAAAAGTGAATTTTCGCCTGAAATCCATTTATTGGTACTGGATTCTTGTGAACAACCAACAATCTATAGAAATGTACAAGAAAATGGTCTTGGACTACGAAAAATTCTGCCAAAAATCAACGAAAATAATATCGATTTATTTCCGGCAAGTATCGTTGGAGATGTTAATTTTGATAATAACAATGAAATAATATTGGGCAGCTATGGGAAAGTATGTTGTTATTTTATGTAGGTTGATGTTATTTTAATTTTCATTTTTTTTTCGTTTCAACTTAGAAAATCATTTTTTACAAATTTGAACATGAAAGCCAAACTTATTTCATTGAAAACACAATGGAAGTTCCCCATCCAGTAATATCGCTCACGTATCTTGATTTAACTGGTGATGGAATAAATGAATTGATAATTGTTACAACAAAAGGCATCGTTATTTATCGACATCATATCGACCCACTTATTGATGCACTTGTGAAAAAAATGAATACAATAGCTAGTAAATAAATTTTGCATGTGTTTTGTAAAAATAAAAACCAAATCATACAATAATGGTCATTCATTTCAATCTATACAACATTTTTCGTTGCATTCGTGGCTGCAATTCTCCTTTTCGAATCATGCAATAAATAACCTTTGATACGAGTTGTGGCCCAAAATTTTGTTTAACAAGATCTTGTATAATACTTTGTTCTGAAATTTGTGTTCCAACTGGGAAACGACGTTTGAGTTGTTTTTCTATACGAATCATTTTTTGATGTTCCTCTTCAGTGGTGAAACCTTCAGCACCTGACAAGTCTCCAGACATGGCTGCCGCCAATGTGGATACTCGAAACAATCGAAGTGCCTCATCAACATGTGTTTCATTTACAAATGGCTGAAGTTGCATTTTGGCCAAACTTTCCGATATACGAACGATAGCTTCTAATTGTCGAATAGTGATTGGAATAGGTGATTTTTTTGATGATTCTTTTTCTTGTTCTCGACTACCGTTTCGCATGATTACATATTGACGTTTAAGTTTTTCGGCAGCTGCTGCAGACAATCGAGGTCCACAATGACTAGGAAACCAATGATTAATTTTAATGTACGACAATGAAAACAAAGTATACTTACGATCGACTGTAGGCAATGTATTTTTTCAAAAGCAATAGACTTAATTCGCCTTTAACTGAATCATCAATTGTTTTTTGAGCATTCATGTGTACATCCAAAACATGGCTTGCAATTGTAGCATCTCTTCGTTCATTATGTTCATCTTTGACAATGAAAATCATATCGAATCTGGATAAAATTGTGGGCATGAAATCAATGTTTTGATCGGCTTTTGTGTCGTCCCATCTTCCAAAGACACTGTTTGCAGCTGCCAATACAGCACATCTAATTTTGTTTTCAAAATATGATCAATTAATTGATTGTTGATTTATTAAAGAATTATCATACCTAGAATTCAAAGTGGTAGTTATGCCAGCTTTTGCAATTGAAATCGTTTGCTGTTCCATGGCTTCATGAATCGCAACACGATCATCTTCACGCATCTTATCAAATTCATCAATACAAACGACACCTCCATCAGCCAAAACCATGGCACCACCTTCCATGACAAAATTTCGAGATGATGGATCGCGAATCACTGAAGCAGTTAAACCGGCAGCACTACTGCCTTTGCCTGATGTATACACTCCAATTGGCGATATATTCTCTACAAATTTGAGAAGTTGACTTTTGGCTGTTCCTGGATCACCTAAAAGCAAAATGTTGATGTCGCCTCTTCGAGTTAAACCATCAGGTAAACGTTTTCTGGAACCACCAAACAAGAGGCATGCCAATGCTTTTTTTATATCATTTGAGCCGAAAATTGATGGAGCAATTGAATTAGTTATTCTTTCATAAATATTCGGTGAATTGGCTAAGTGACGAAACAGCTCTTCATCTTCAGGCGTGTATGGGATGTTTCCTGAACGTCCTGGTCCTTCATTTTCAACATAGATGCCTAGTACACGCAAATACGGGGCACGTATACCTGAAAAAATACTTTATAAGATTTGAACGTCAATACAAATTATGATATTAGACATACCAACGTTAACCTTTGATTCAACATTGTTCGTGGATGGTTTAGATATTTTTTTGATGGAAAAGATTCCCAACACTGTTACTCGATTGCCTGGTACAACTTTGTCACATAAATAACGATCGCAAAAGAGTTGTAAATGTCTGGGCATTTCACCATGTGGTACTGATTCAGGTGTTTCTTGAAGTTTCAAAACTTGATAATCAATACATTCGCATTTATCAGGTATTATGAAATATGGATCGACAGGACATTTGTTTAAGCGACCGGTTTGATCGGTATTACATTTTCTGGGCAAAAGATAGCCCTCTAAACCAGGATTAATATTGACATCTTTGATTATCTCTTGACAACCACGACATTGAAGAGATACTTTGGTGGCTTTAGATCGAACATTTGATGAGGAAACAATGATGCCAGGCACTTTGACGAGTTTGGAAATGGTATCGGATTTCACTTCGCGCAATGAGGTTGGATTAGCATCAGAACTGAGAACAACTTGAATTTGTTTAACATTTTCTTCATCTACTCTGGGTCGGGTGATTTCATCAGCCAATTCAGTAGCGGTTGTTTCGAATATCTTTAGATATTGAATGGGAGATTTGTTAACATGATCAGCCAATTCTTCATCATAACTGGCCAAATCATCCAATGAAACTTCAATCCAATATTGTTCAATATTATAATGTTCTTTCAATTGATTACGATATTTATATTGAAAATCACCAGAATGAAATTGACGAAGAAAATCTTTGAATCGTCTGCGAATAACATTAACATTCGATTGAGCAAGTGTATTGTCACCATCTTCATCTGTGACAATATTACCGCTGAAATATACACCAAGATCATCAAAACCAGACATATTTAGATGAAAATTTGAAAAAAATATTTTTAGTTATTAAGGATTAAATGGACTATATGGATTTAAAGGACCACTAAAGCGTGTGTTCGAGTAAGCAATTGATGAGAACAAAAAAGACAATGAGAATTGGCGCGAAAAGTTCATTGTGCCTGCAGGTTGCTTTGTGAGTTTTTCAGCATGCCTTGTCTATACAATGTAGTTTAATCAAATCAACTAACAATGTGTAAAATTTTCAACATCATCTATTCTGCATCCATTTATATACAAGTATATTTGTCTCTTGTTAGTATATAAATCAAGATTTCCTTTTAATTTATTATATTTCATATTTTTTTTTAGTAATGTAATATAATTTTTAAAAAGTTCATCATTCCATTATCATTTATCATTTATTATTATTATTTTTCTATTCAAATTTTTTAATTTAGAATTTCAATCGAATTTATTGTCATTTCAATTACACCACCAAAAGAAAAAACCAGCTCATGAATGAAAGAATCAACAAGAAATAACTAACGTGAGTGTAAAAACCCATGTTCATGTTTGTTGTTTGTTGATGATGATGATGAAAATAAATGAATGAATGAATGAATGAATGAACGTCCGTCCCAGTATTTTCCAAAATTCAAATAATATATCTCGTGAATGTACTCACGCGCTTGTGTCTGTATTAATGTATCTATATATTCAAGGCGATTAATTTCCTATGTAGCATCATGACATGATGATTAAAATAGTAAATGAATAAAAAAAATAAATAAATGGTTAACTACATTGCTCTTATTTTCTATTTGTCAATGTTTTAATATTTCTATGTGAATAAATTCGAAGCAACAGGTATGATGATCATTTTTCGGTGCATTAATGACGTTGACCACAATTTGTCGAAATCTATTGCCCGGCTCATCAAATGACCGCGATCAACCAATCAACCAACCAATTTACCATTTTTTTTTTTATTTTGCCAAGATGGCTAAATATTTCAATGTAAACATTTTTTTTTTCATTCTTACATGAAGATGATCATCTTGATTAGTAATATATATGGAAAATCCCGACAAGTTTTTTTCTTGTTTATTTTTATTAATACAAGAAAAAAAAACGGCAAAAGCAATATGCTATACGTATACGTGAAGAGATGATGATCGAATAGAAATGATATTCAATACCACAAGAGACAATGTATTCATAGAGGGATATAGTGAATGGAGAGGATGTATTTTCAGTAGGAGGGAGAGAATCAAATCTCATCAATCGTATAAGTTCAATGCAACACTTGAAAAAAAGCGTTTATCATATTTGATAATACAAATGAAAAATCAATAGAAAACAAACAAATTTTAAAGAGAGAGAGAGAAAAACTGGTGATACTTCATGAGAGAAGGAGGGAGGGGGGAATAATGAGAACAAGAATTAAATGAAATAATCTATAGACGTAAATTTGGTTTTTTTTCTTTCCTATTCATCTTTAAATAAATATAATAATAATTCAAACAAAATATGAACGTTTGATTCCATTTATCACCTCTTCTTTTTTTTTAAAAAAAAAAAGCGCTACTTGTTTCTATTGCCGCCCATTCGTTATTTTGAATTTTTTTTTCTGATGATATGGGTATGAAAAAAAAATGAAATTTATCATTCATATCCTGACATAGCAACCATAGTGATGATGATGCTGATGCTGATGATATCGATCTTAATGGCAATGATGCTGATGATGATGATGATTGTAAAAAATAACACAAAAAAAAGAAGAAAAAAGATTATAAAATAAAAAAAAAATCTATTTATAGCTAAAACATAATCAAAATCATAACAAAAAAAAAATTGCAATGTTATCATTGTAAAAATGAAATATTGAACAACGAATTTATAAATTTTTCCCATACACTAATAATGAACAATATAATGATTTATTGGCATTTCCCATTCAGCATTTCTTATTGATTTTATATAAACTTTATACAATGAATATAATTTATACAAAAAAAAAATAAATAAAGAATTCATATGTAATGTTGGTTTTCATAATCATTATCATCATCATCATCATCATGAAATTAAAAATGATTAACGCGTATCACACGTTTTTGTCAAAAAAAAAAATCACACAAACAGTTGATTCATTTATTAGCAAAATTCTTACGTGCATCTATGATGATGATGATGATGATGATGCATATAAAGTACGAACATTTTTTGTTTTGTTTCTATAGCGTAAAAAAAACCCAACAATATCTATGAATCAGTAGTTGATTGTCATTAAAATGATGATGACGATATATAATTATTTATTAACCTAACAACAAAGCAACTAAATGAATGTATTTTGTAGAATTACGAAAATAAAATGAAATTACAAAGCAGGTGTGTGTGTGTGTGTAAGCATCGATTCAAACGAACGACCAAAATCAATCGATCAAGATCGGTCCCAAACACCAAATTGGTCCTTTGTCCAAGTTTTTTTTTCTGTTGTTATTATTATTATTTAATTTAACCTGTTTCTCTTTCATCTGGTTTTTTTTGCTTTGTTTCGTTGATGGTAAAATCCGTTTTATCGGATAACAAAAAAAAAAAAAAATTTTCCACCAACAACAAGTGTAGATATTTTATACACATACACTTTTCAGGAATCCCAGAACAAAATACACTTAACACATAAAGTAGCTATCTCTATCAGACAAATCAAAGTCTCCATCATCAACATCAACATCAACATCATCATCAACAACAACAACAAAAGCAACAACAAGAAAAAAACCACTGGTTGATGCATCCATTTTCGAATGTTCATCATCATCATCATCATCATCATTCGAAATGAATGAATTGAATGACACAAATACTGCATTTTTTTCATCGTCATCATCAACCATTTGCCAGACAAAAAAAGGCGTTTAAATCAATGATAATGTTGTTGATAATAATAATAATAAATGATGATTATAATCATTTTAAATGCAAAAAAAAATTCATATACATCCAAAAGAAAAAAGTTCCAGTTCAAACAGAAAAAAATTTAGAATATATTCAACAAATTATCAAAAAAAAATTAAACGAACGAATGAATGAATGAATGAATTGATCATCAAAATACCACTACCATCATCATCATAGTAACCAACATATATAAATTTTGCTGTGTATGTCTGTATCGTTAAATCGGGTTTTTCCCAATATACACACATACACATATACACGCACTTTTAAAATATTGTTAAAAGAGAATGAAAAATGCGAATTGAAAAATCATGCACACGCTCTTTCTTGTTCTTAAACATCTATATGAGTATTTGCTACTACTTCATTGTAAAAAAAACGACAACGAAACAAAATAATAATGTGAGAGAGAGTGAGAGAGAGAGAATGTATCCAGAACATGACTATATCTTGAATTTTTATATTTTTGGCTGACGTATGATGAAAATTGAGTCCAATGGAAATGAAGCAAAAAGACCAATTTTGGTTGAGAGAGAGATAGACTATGTAATAACTAAATAATAAGAATTTTCCGTTCTGGGCAGAAGCATTGAATTGATGGGATGATGATGGATGATAATATTATTGGATTCAATCTTCAATTTTTAATACAAATGTTTCGTGTATTTTTCATGTTGTTTTTTGGTTGATTGCTATTCGGATCAATTTTTTTTCATAATCACCATCATCATTATATTTTAATTATTATTAAACATCTTGATTCCCTACTATAATCATCCATCACAAATTATTGAAATTGAATGATTTTCCTTTTTTGGTATTTCGGGTTTTTTCCTTTTCTTTCTCTCTTTCTATCTCTCGTGAATATCCTCTTAGTTTATGTTTGTGTGTGTGTGTGTGTGTGTGTGTGTGTGTGTGTGAGTGTGTGTGTATACATTTGTGTATCCAATCGAACTCAATTCAGTTTACCTCAAGTTTTTGACTTGATGAATTGAAATTTATCTCAACGATTGTCATGGTCTTTGATTTGGTTTTGTGTCCAACATTTTGACTATTTCATTCGTGTTTGTGTGAATAAATAAATGTCTTCATGATCGTTGATGATCATCGTCTTGTGGCCTACGCCCAATAATTTAAAATTCTCATCCTGTCAAATTTGTGATCAATTTTCGATTTTTTATTTGTTTAATTGTTCATAAAATTTCGTCTGCAATAAATTACGATTTCTGATTGTGATCCATCTTATTATTAAACTTACATTTGACAAAAATGTCTCACGAAAAAAAATCATCTCATCAACATCATCATCGTGAATGCGAATACAAAATGGATTCAGATATCGATATTGATTCAAAAGAAAAAACATTTGAAGGATTATTCGATTCTGGTTATAATTCCAACATACAAAGTAAAACATTTTTAGATTTGGATAATGAAGAATTTGATAATTCATCTTTATCAAATCAACAACAACATTTGGATCGTTCACAGCAATCAAATTCAAATCGACGACTACCATTAACACAGCAACAAACTAATGATGCCAATGATAAAAATAAATTTGATACCGTACAACAATGGAGTGATTCAGGAGTATGTATAACCGATTCTGGCCTCAGTATACAAGAAGATTTTGAAAATTACGATCCCATTGATTCAAATGAAAATGATCAAGAATCTAAACAGCAAAAAATTGATACACAACAATCACATTTATTGGCAAATGATTCAAATGATAATAAAAATGCACTTGAATTGTGGCTCAAACATAATAGTGATGCTGAAACGTAAGTCATTTTTTTTGTTTGTTTGAATGAAATCAAATCCCTAAATGAACTTGATCTTGAATATCTTTCCATTTATTTTTTTGTTTGGATCGATTGCAAATAAACAGATTACTTCATCTAGCAATTATCGAAGGACTCGAAGATATTGCCTGTTCAATCATAAAAAATCTTTCCACATCAAATGAGATGCTCAATTCTTTCAATTATCTTTATCAGGTATTTTATTTTGTTTTTTTGTGATTAAAATCTTTTTTTTTTGAATGTATAATAACAATAATTAATAATAATATTTATTACAACATTCAGAATCCATTACATTTGGCCATTTTGAAACGACAAATCAACGTCATTCCTCTTTTGATTATAAAAGGTGTTTCGCTTACATTTCAGGACAATCTGGGCAATACTCCATTACATATTGCTTGTAAATACTCATTGGTAGATATTGTGGAAATCATACTTGCAACTGCCTCGAATAAAAGTGTATCTAAGTGTTTTGAAATTCGTAACTATGACGGTAAGCAGGCGGTTATTTTTTTCATAATTTTTTTTTTAAATCTCATCTAATTATTTTTTTCAGGTGACACTTGCCTACATTTAGCTGCCTATAATAATGATTTGAAACTATTAGAATTATTTATTCGATCCGGTGCACATATTGATATTCAGGTATGTTTTATTATTTTTTTTTATTGAATTCTTATATCATCATCATTTTAATATGTGAACAAAAAATAATCTTTCCTGATAAACAGGAAGGAAAAAGTGGAAAAACCATTTTACATTGGGCTATAGAAAATTTACGTGTACAATTGGTCGGTTTTCTTCTGAAGAACCAAGCAAACATACAAGCTGAAACTTTTGCCGGGAAAACCCCATTGCATTTTCTTTTAAAATCATCGATCATCAAACAAAATAATCAACACGATTTAACTTCATCAACATCATTAACACAATCAAACAAGTCCAAAATTTATAAAATCATTCGTATGTCAATTGAATATTGTAATGAAAAAAAATTATCTTTAGATGCGATAAGCCATGTGTCCGATGATACGGATACATCGGAAAATGAAAGCTAATCGGATTGTATTTTTATATTCGATCAAGATAATATGATAATAATCAATCGATTGATTATTTTTTTTTATAATTTGTGGTTTGTACATAAGACAATCACTTGTTTTTTTCTTCCTTTCAATATTCATCGTCGTTTGTAAATAAAGATTTAAATAAAAATTATTTATATATGCATTATTCCATATAACAACGTATCTTTTATGAATATGAATCGATTCTAAAGTCAATCGTTAATCGATTTGAGAGCTCGAAATTTGGATCATAATTTTTTTATTCTTTATTTTAAATGGAAATTATTCACAACACTGCATGCAATAAATATAATAATAATATCGATATTCAGAGTAATTGAGATCATGGAATAAAGAATAAAAATTTTTTTTTGTCATATTTTAAATCAATTGAAGGATATTCGTGAACAAAACTGCATTGTCGAAAATTGAAGAAAAAATTGAAAAAAACTATTTCGACTTTTATAGTGCATGAAATTCACAAACGGCTATTGCTCGCATCCAATTCAGTCTCGACAAAACATTGCATAATTGTTTTTTTATCCCAGACCAAAGACGCTCCTCAAACGAAAATATTACTGACTTATCATAATTTTAGATGGATCATTAATCTAAAAAATAGTTGAAGAATTCATCATGAATGATGTGGTAGATGTCATTGCAACAAATCATTATGGAAATCATGATGATAATTATCACAATCATCATCTCCATCAACAACAACAGCCAGATATTTCATCGAATAGTCTGCAATCAACAATTTCAAATCACCAGTCACCAACAGCCACAACAACTTCAATATCCAGTAATGGTAGTAACAGGATTAATACGAATATTCTAATACCTGAAAATTGTTATGTGGGAGCTCGAGTGATGAGAAATTCCAATGATTGGAAATGGGGAAAACAGGTAAACCATAATTTTGCAAATGTTTTTATTTTCAATAAGAAAAACATTTTCATTGATAATTCAAAATTTCTTTTTCTAAAGGATGGAGGTGAAGGTCATCTTGGTACTGTTCGTAATTTCGAATCACCCGAAGAAGTAGTCGTTGTTTGGGATAATGGAACGGCTGCTAATTATCGTTGTATGGGTGCCTATGATCTCCGAATCGTGGATAGTGCTTCAACGAGTGTTAAACACGAAGGAGCTATGTGTGATTTTTGTCGACAATCGCCAATTTTCGGCATCCGATGGAAATGCGGGGACTGTAACAATTATGATCTCTGTTCCATCTGCTATCATGGTGATAAACATAATCTAAAGCATCGTTTCTTCAGAATTTTAAACCCAGGTTCCAATCGTTTTGCTGTTGAACCCAGAAGGAAAGGAAAAAAGATAACAGTAAGAGGAATATTTCCTAATGCTCGTGTAATCCGTGGTGTCGATTGGCAATGGGAAGAACAAGATGGTGGCAATGGAAAACGAGGAAAAGTGACAGAAATTCAGGATTGGAGTGCTGCCAGTCCTCGAAGTGCAGCATACGTCATCTGGGATAATGGCTCTAAAAATTTGTATCGTGTTGGATTCGAAGGAATGGCAGATTTAAAAGTTATAAACGATGCAAAAGGTTACACTGTTTATCGTGATCATCTGCCATTATTGGGTGAACAGAGTGCTAATAGATCTGGCTGTCATGATTTTCAAGTTGGTAACCTAGTCAACATTGATCTTGATCTGGAAGTTGTTAAATATCTGCAACATGGTCACGGTGGTTGGACTGATGGAATGTTTGAATGTCTAGGCACCACAGGTACTGTCATAGAAATTGATGAAGATTTTGATATTGTCGTCCGTTATCCCAGCAACAACAAATGGACCTTCAATCCTGGTTGTTTGACTAAAGTGGGACATACTTCCAACGATAATAATGATTCGAATAGTACAAGCAATGACTCGAATGATATCAATTTGAATTTGTCACCAACGGTTAGTTATGCAACAAGTAGTTTAACATCTACTACATTGAATATGCAAAATCCTTTACATCTATTCCGTGTTGGCGATCTGGTGAAAATCTGTAGTGATATTGAAAAGGTAAAACTTTTACAACGTGGACATGGTGAATTTACACCATTAATGATTCCAACGCTTGGAACTATTGGTCGTGTTGTACAAGTTTACTCTGACAATGATCTAAAAATTGAAGTTGATGGTTTTTCATGGACCTACAATCCGGCTGTTGTCACCAAAGTTTCTTATGACACGGCTACTATAGAAGATATGGACAGCTTAATAAAAAGGTTGTTCGAAACAACACAAATCTCTACTGATCCAAATCAAGAATTGGTTAAATTGGCTGCCAATGGTGAAGCGGTTAAATGTGATGAACTACTTAAAAGAGATGATGTCGATGTGAATGGAGTGTTTTCGTCTCATACGGCTCTACAAGCGGCCAGTCAAAATGGTCATGTCGAAATAATCAAAGTCTTACTAAAACATAATGCAAACGTCGAGATTGAAGACAAAGATGGTGACCGCGCTGTTCATCATGCTGCGTTTGGTGATGAACCAATGGTTATAAGTGTGTTGGCACAAGCACATGCAGATATGAATGCACGAAACAAACGCCGTCAGACTCCTTTACATATAGCTGTTAATAAAGGTCACATTCAGGTGGTTCGTAAACTTTTAGATCTCGGATGTCATTCCAGCCTACAGGTAATAATTGAAAATAGTGATGCGAAAAAAAGATACTGAATTTTTTATTATAATCAATGATAAAGGATTGTGAAGGTGATACTCCAATGCATGATGCTATAAGCAAAAAACGTGATGATATACTCAAATTATTGCTGGAATTCAACGCCGATATAACATTGACGAACAATAATGGTTTCAATGCTTTACATCATGCTGCATTGAGAGGCAATTCGAGGTGAGAAAATTTTTCTGGTATATTTTATGGCCTATATATTTGATTTGAACTTGATTAGCGCCACTCGAATTTTATTGGAAAAATTACCTCGTAAATGGATAGTGGATGAGAAAAAAGATGATGGTTACACTGCATTACATTTGGCTGCATTAAACAATCATACACAAGTGGCTGAACTTTTGATCAAAGTAGGAAAAGCCAATATGGATTTGCAGAATATCAATCTTCAAACGCCATTGCATTTAGCCGTTGAAAGACAACATACTGATATTGTTAAGGTAAATATTATATAGTTTTAATTATCCTATTGAATGTTCACCCATTTTTCGTTAACATCAAGTTGTTGGTTAAAAATGGATGTAATTTGAATATACCGGACAAAGATGGTGATACACCTTTACATGAAGCATTGAGACATCACACACTTTCTCAATTACGACAATTACAAGATGTTCAGGATGTCGGAAAAGTTAGTATTGAGAAACATTTTTTAAAAATTTTTACTATTTCATTCATCATTTATTTGAACAGCTTTTGATAGGTTTAGGAACATCTGGAACAGAGAAAAAAAACAGTTCGACTATTGCTTCGATATTGGTGTCGAATGGTGGAGATCTTCATGCTAAAAATAAAAAAGATCAAACACCTTTAGATCTTTGTCCAGATCCACATCTGAATGAAGCACTGAAAAAATGTCGAAAAGAATTGAGGTAAGATGAGTTTTTCTAAAAAAAAATAAATAAATAAAAATATCAAAAATTTAGCCAAGATCAAGAAAATGAACAGCCTACGAATTCGATAATCTTGAACAATTCAATTGTACAAGATCCAGAATCATTGATTGAATGTACAGTATGTTCAGACAATAAACGTGATACTCTTTTTGGACCTTGCGGTAAATCGATTAATTCATTGTCAAACATGATAATAATAAAATTATTTTTCTTCGAATAGGCCACATAATTGCTTGTTCGATTTGTGCGACAAGAATGAAAAAATGTTTGATATGTAAAGAAATGATACAAACTCGAACAAAGGTAACAATCAAATAATTCATTGATAATTATTACTTTAATTTATTTTGTTTCCGTATACAGATTGAAGAATGTATGGTATGTTCCGAACAAAAAGCCTCTATATTGTTTAAGGTATGTCATGTTTTGATTTTTTTTAGATTTAAAAATGAGTATTTTATATATTTATTTGAAGCCATGTGGTCACATGTGTGCCTGTGATAATTGTGCATCAATCATGAAAAAGTGTATCCAATGCCGGCAAACAATAGAAGAAAGTAAGGATACTTGTCAAATTCAAATGATTTAAGTGTTGATTTTTAATCATAATTCATTTTCATTCAGCTCAAACGTTCATTTATTGTTGTGGTATTACGCCATCAGCAACAGGTTGGTTTTTTATAATTACTAAAAAATGATTTAATTAAAAATTTTAATCATTTTTTCATTTAGGCAACAATCGGAACAATAATAATTTATTAAAGTCTGACAACAAAATCAAGACTAACAACATTTCTTGTTCAACATTGTCTACAAATAACAATAATAAAAGTCTGGATGTACAAAAACTTCAGGAACAATTACAAGATATCAAAGAACAGGTAATCATTGAAATATTTTAAACTTATAAATATTATTAATGGCATATTTATGTTTCGTTCACATTATTAGACTGCTTGTCCAGTGTGTTTAGATCGTTTTAAAAGTGAGTAAATCAATAATGATCAATGAAAATTTTAATAAGAAATACTGATTGAATTTCGTCCTTTATTGATGATAAGATATGGTTTTCTTATGCGGTCACGGAGCTTGTCAAATGTGTGGTGATCGTATGACATTTTGTCCAATTTGTCGACATACGATTGAAAATAGAATTTTACTTTACTGAAATTAGATTTCAATTCTTTAATATATATTATATAAATAAAATTTTCACTTACTAATTGATTAATCATCATCATCTTCAATGATAATTCGTCGTCGTTTTTTCGTTGGATTAATCGGTGTACTGGAAATTAGTTTGTTATTGAAAGAACGTTTCAAATTTTTTGAAACAGTTACAGGATCCTCATCACTAATGTATATTATTTCATCATTACAAAAACTATCCATTTGATATTCATCCTCTTCGTCATGTTCTTGAGGTAAAACAGAGCAATATCGTTGAGAGTTGACTTCAACATTACGATCATAATCGAAATTAAGCTTGTATTTATTTTGTGGTCCGACTAGATGTTTGATACTTTTAAGATAAATTGAATCATCATCATGATTCCGATTTTCATGAACATCGTCATCGATAAATTCCCGGTCTTCAGAATTTTCTAATTGTGTTTGTAGCTGAGTATCAAATGCATTGTCATTCACATCAGCCTCGTCCAAAATGAATGAACTTAGAAAAATATAAACTTGAAAAAAATATATTGTCAATTTTAGAAAATTACCTTTTCTTGTTGAGGTCTCGAGAACGTCTAGATAACGAAGTATTAAAAGTTGTTGATTTAATAGAAGTTTCGATAGCAATCAAGTCAGGCCCAATTGTTAATTGATTATTGGAATTTTCACTTATGTTCATTGCAAACGACGAATCTTTTATGGACTCTGATTTGTAGCTTTTGCCAGCTCGATATCGAAGATCACGAACTCTTCCTTGTATTGGCTGTAAAATTTTATTAACATTAATTGATGAAATTAAAAAAATAACTTAACTTACTCTCCGAAAATAAGAAAGATTAAGCCGAAGAATCCCAACATTATTAGATGCCATTTTTGCATGCATCTGCATGAATATGTTTTCACAAGTTAGAATTTTGTAACGAACTTTCATGAAAGTTTGAAACAACTATCGATATTATTCGATATAATCGATATGTTCTTCATACGCTAAAATTTTTTTTGAATTTCACTTTAGTTTTAAATTCGAGATTTATTTATTTAATGCAAATATTATATATAAATCAACTTTTGACAGGAAATGTAGAATTAGACAAAGGAATAATTTTTTCTTCTTTGATTTCGGGTGGAAGCACATAATTTTGATCGCCTTTTTGTTCCTTAACTTTACCACGCAAAACTTCGGCCTTGAATTCTTCGTGGTTTAATTCATGGTGTTTCAGGTTATCTTCCATGTTAATAACTTGTCCAGCAATATATTGGTCTTCCAATATATGCATGACCATTGTACTGAACTGTTTCTCATCTTGTTTCGAATCGACCATCAAGGTATTACAACGTATTCGGGCAGCTGTCAGCAGATCAGCTAGACGATATACATCATCATCTATAGTTTCCAATGATATTCCATATTTTTGAACAAAATCGTCTTGTTTTTTGAAATATTCAGCATCATATTTGGAATTGATATAGACTAGATTTATGATACAGCCACGACAGCCGAATTGGTTGATCTCATTATTTTGTAACTTTTCCAAAATGTTTTTCGAAATCAAATAACTTAAAAAATAATTGTAAGCTTTTGAAAATAAATTAGGATTCTTTTCGATTTAATTTTCATCTGATCACAAACTTACAACTTCGATGGCCAGCACAATTAATCAATGCATCAATAGGACCAATATTTTTCAGATAATCTCTTAAAAAAGTTTGATCAGCTAGATCACCTTGTATGAAATGATGATCTTTTCCATAAAGTTGTGAACTACGGATACGTTTATCGACAGCATAAACTGTGGCTCCATTTTCCGCCAAATCCTTGACCAACTTATTACCCAATCTAGAACTGCTCCCGGTAACAAGTGTTTTAAGTTTTCCGATTAAAATTTTACCCGCTTTCTGCATCTTTCTGGATCGATCAAATTGATTATTTCAAGCGAAAAAAAATCAACATGCAACACACGCATGTCATCATGATATGATTGATGCATCAACAAAACATCGATAGTAATCGATACTCAAGAAAATTTAATAAAATAAAATTCATCTGAATAGTTTATATTTTGAATTTTTAGTTTACATTTTTTATAATAAAGAAATTATTATATTTAATAATTATAATTTAATTTTTAGTTTGATCAAACTTTTGATTGTCATTTTGTGAATTATATGAAATGAATGCAACACCAGCAGCGAATGATACAAAATATGAAGCTAAAGTAGTTAAACAAAATGGTCGAACAATTTTATCGACTAATATATTACGATTGTAAAATATTCCATAGCTGGATTGATAAATGCGTCTAATGGGATAGACTAAAAAGAACAGTAGCATACCAGCACTGCCACCAGTCACGGTGAAGAATATCAATTGAAATGGTTTCGATTCATTTTTGAGATTTTTTGGAAATGAAGCCTTCGTTTGTTCTAGTTGACATTCAGAATTACGTCTCTCATCTTTAACATTATCATTTCGATGAAAATATTTTAGATATAGCCCATACATCGTAATCAGTGCGTTGATGACAATTTTAATCAATGATGATTTTAAATTTTTAATAAAAAAAACCTTTTTGATTCATTTGATGATAAAGTTTCATATATAGTTAGAGCCACGTCCCACTCAAAAATGTCGATATAATTATATTATTTGAAATAATTTAATCTTTAAAATAATGATGACAAATAATATATGAAATGATTAATATTAATTATTGAAAGAAAAACAATGAAAATTCAGAGAATCACATTTCACTGTTCGTTTAAGCTAGCAGAAAAAGAATTCAACAAAATAAGTATAAGTCAATAAAAAAAATCAATTTTTTTACCTAGAATATCCTTCACTACGATGATGATGATGTCTACGACGTTCGCTTGACATTCCAGCTATCAAATTAAGTCTTTCGTGATATAAGAAAACTTTTCGCATTGATAACATCAATTGTAAGCAAGCACAAACCAAGAGAGCCCAAATACCGAACTGGATTTTGAAAAATATTTTCAGAATTTTCATTATAAATTTAGAAAGACTAACCTGTACGATACCCAGTTGATAAGAAAAATTTTTAGCCACAATCGTACTGTTTATTCCGATTTCCATCACAGAAGCTGCTATACTACAACTAAATTCAAAGCTCATATAAATATAGAAATAATCGTAAAAAATAAAACTTACGAACTAAATCTTTGAGTGACACAATCACACCAGATGTAAAATCCGAGGGTTGTAATTATTCCATCGATTAAGACAAGCAATACCAAAATACAATCGAAAAAGAAGCATAAAAATGCATGAAAAAATGTGCTAGAATATTTCGGATTCGTTAAAAAACTTTCAAAAAAAATATATAGATTATAATACCATTCTGCATTTGTATATAACAAACGAAGTTTCATGAAAATCTGAACAAAAGAACAAATAAAAGTAAACGATCCAATAAGAATCGAAATTATGCATGGAGATTTATTTGCCCATTCCGGTTCGAAATGACCATCATCTTCAATGTAATGGCCACAAGAGAACAAAGCACAATGACCATGAAAATCATTCAAATGTGTACCAAGTGGAATGATCACATAGAGCGAAACTAGAAGACAGATAAGATGAGTGGCACATTGAATTATCAAAAATATCTTGTCATTCATTTTGAAAAGAAAAATTATTCTGACAATTCATTCGAGAAGTAAAAAATAAAGGAGTTAAGGACTTTGACAGATGTAAACCAAACAAAAATTGATTTGCAGAAATTGAAACGAATGAAAACAAATTCATCACGTGTTATATGAGCAGGACCTCAGAATCTGAACACGTTTTGTTTTTGATCGCATTTTTTTAAATGTTTTTAAATCAATTTTTTGACTTTGAAAATTAAAAATCACAATTCATCAGATTATCTCATCAAAATGAGTTCGTTTATGAAGGCTCAAAAATCTCGCCAACGTTTACATCGAGAACGTGTAAATGTATTGGATAAAGGATTTTTGGAGCGAAAAAAAGACTATCAAACACGTGCGGCTGAATATAATCGTCGAAAAGATATATTTACTAAACTCCGTAAGAAAGCTTTGGACAAGAATCCAGATGAATTTTTTTTTCGTATGAAATCGTCGAATTTGATCGATGGTATACATTATGATCATCGTAAAGATGAAGAACTATCAAAAGAAGAGTTACAATTGATGCAAACACAAGATCTAAATTATGTCAAATATAAACGTTCAATAGATATGAAAAAAATTCCAAAACTTCAAAGTGAATTACATTTATTGGATCCGGACAAAAGAAAACGAAAGAATAAGCACATTTTTTTCGTCGATGATAAAAAAGAGAAGAAAAATTTCGATATTGCTCAACGTATGAAATTGGATAATCAATCGTTGAATAAAGGTTCCCATTTTGTACCGAATCAATCGATAAGTGATGAAGATTTACTAGCATCAAATCAAATCAGAGATCTTAAATATCGAAGATTAAATAATAAAATCGACCGAGAAACATTATTACGTGGTGTGTCTGATAAAATGCGAATCAAGAAGCAACTTTTGAATAGAAAAGAATCGGCCAAAAAAATAAAAAAAGGTACAAACAACAAATTTCCTGTGTATGAATGGAAAATAGAAAGAAAAAAATGAAATTTTATATGAAAAATTCTTTTGTAAAAAATATTTTATTTGGAAAAATAAATAAATTTTTGTCAATTGGCAAAATCATTTTCTTTTGTTTGCTCATCCCATTGGGAGAAACAGAAAAAAATAAGGCGGCACGCAGGAGATTTAAAAGTTATTATTATTATTATTATTATTAATGATTTCAATCTATTCGGGCTATTGTTCGCAATCATTTGGATGAATGGATCGTTTCATTTGGGATTGCATACGACCATGGAAATAATTTTATTTGATACAATTAATTGTAAATATAGACGGTTAATGAACTGGTGAACAAGAAAACAAAATTTTTAATATTTTTTTTCAAAGTATATATGTTCATGAAGATGATTTGCAGATAATTTGATTTATAGTGAATATAATGAAATTTTCATTTCCACAAGGAACTCATTTTCTGATTTGAAAGTTCATGGAACTTTGAATCTTTAAATTAAAGAATCTACACACATGCGTATTATTTGAATAATGATAAATTCTGACCATATAATCCCTCAGAATATCAGGTTAAAACCTTAAATATTGTTCCGAATCGATTCATTTTGTTAAATTCTAATGATATATTGATGGATCTATTCTAGTAATAATAAAGATGATGCGGGTTTATCATTGTAAACTTATAGGGGCACGTTACAAAATGAAAAGATGTGCAATAAATTGTTGATGATAACATGACTGAAAATTAAATGAACCAAGTTTAATCGGTCTCTAATGAGCATGTGACATGTAGAACATAAGATTACAATAGATGATGATTGATCAAATAGGACCTCATTTATTTAGATTTTGTGCAATCGATTATATAGAAATCGGTTCCGGTTGCGTAAAATAACTGTAATTTTTGCTTGGTATTGACTGTTGGCCATTTGGATTCACAAACAAGCTGCCATTTGAAGAAGCTAACGGTTTTTTTAATGTTCTATATAATCTAGAATCTTTGGATCAAGATTTTTTTCATAATAAAAGTGCGCCAACATTTATTTTGATGTAGACAGTTTGTTGATTGTTGTGATCAAGTCAACAACAAATGTATACACACACACAACGAAACGCTGAACTAAATATCAAAGCAACATTTGTCAATTATTTGAATTGTGTGACTTAAATTTGAAACAATTGAAACTTTTTAATTTGAATCTAAACGATATAAACGAATGCTAAAATGACGACAATAATTATAAAGTTATTCTTGGTAATTACCGTTGCTACGACAATGGTCAAATCAACTTCGATGAAAGTTAAACGTGAAAATTCTTTGCCCATTTCCATATCTACTACATCACAATCCCAATCGAATATAAATCCAGAATCAGATTTGATTGCTGAATATTTAATAAATAATCTTCTAAGATCATACACACCACCATTGTCATCATCGTCAAATGAGAATCGAAAACAAAATCTAAAATTATCTGGCCTTTCAAGATTACCACTTGATTCATTACATCAGAGTTTAGATGATAAGGAAGATTTGGATCAGGAAGATTCAAATAGACTTTTATCAGATTTTTATACATCATTATTATATGGTACTGATAATGATGATGATAATTATCGACCATCAATGTTGATCAATAATGATGATGGCCATCAAGAGATTGGCTGGTTCGATGGGCCTGTTTTACCAAAAGTAACTGCATTGGCCAAGGATTATAGTGATGATACTTATCTTGGTGATGTTGACGATGATGATCAAGCTGCTGCTGCTGCTGCTGGTTATGATCAAGAAAGTGTGCTTGAACCTTCATTGGTACCATATCCATATGCTCGACAACAGATTGATAATCCAGATGATACAATATTAGATAATCCTACATTAATAAATGCATTATGGACAAACTATTTGACATCACGACGGCGTATGAATGATCTTGAAAATCTAGATAATCAGATTCAACAACAAGCTAGTGATGATAATGATGATAATGAAAAGCAACAGAATCTATATGATGATAATAATGACAAATTTACAATCAAAGGACTTGAATTGGATAAACGTCGACAGAAAATTATAAAACATAAAAATAAAAAAGCTGAAACAACATCGAAACCACAATCATTATCAACTGCAATGAAAACAGCGATAAATACGATGGAAAAAGCGAATAAAAAAGTAAAAATTCTACATAAAACAGTTCCTAAATTAACAAGCTTGAAGCATTCATCGGAAATGATGAACGGACAGAAAGAATATCCAATGTTGCGGCCAGCCTCAGAAAATAATAAAAATAAGGAACCGGAATCGACAGATACGAATAAAAATAATAATAATAATGATGATAATAATGAATGGCCATCCGAACTGGACGAAAATAATTTGGCGGAGGTAAGCATTATTAATATTTTATATTCTAATCAAGTACCATTTACGATATGAACATATTGAAAAAAGAAAAATCTCAGTAAAAATATTTTCATTCATAACTATTGTCCAATGTGTTACTGTTATAAAACATTTCCATAATAAACAACAAACAACAATAAGCTTGACGTCATAATATTTAAGATATTGTTGTTGTAGTTGTCTCTTTTTCACTATAGGTCAGTACATGATATTGAATTCTAATCTAATGATTAGCTGTAGCTTGATTCAGATGTAGTTAGCTTACGTCATCATGATGTTTCTAATAAAATATACTGTAGCTATCTATATAGTATGTTGATGTTATTGAATTGTTAGACAAGAAAAAAAAACATAGAGACATCAATTTCCAACAGAAACACATTATTTTGGTCACATTCCGCTTGCGTTATCGTTAATATTATTAGATCTGGAATAATTTTTGTTTATTTGTGAATCAAATTGATGCCAAAAATATTTGAAATTGAAAAGTTTTTTTTTATCGTTCATTTTTTATTTATTACGAAACCTTGATCTTATTCTTATTATTATTTGTGAAAACTCATGATGAACCACTGAATTCAGAATAAAGTTTTTGATGTAAAGGAAAAAATTTAAAAATCTCATTTTTTTTCGTTATATGATTATTTTTTATATTTTTTTCACACCAATATATAGTGATGATGAACATAATTTTTTTTTTTTTTTGGCATTATACTTACAATTCATATATATAACATCAATATATTTACAAGAATAATATTCTAGAAAATTTCTACATTTGCCCAAAATTGATTGAAATAACTATTACGTCAAATATTATTTAGTCAAAGAATTATTATTTGTAGACTACATTGTAATAATTCTGTTTCATGCATATACATGCATATATCTATTTATATACAAATGATCCGCATGAGCATTATTATTATCTATACCGATACACAACAAAAACAATGGCCGATAAAAAAAATCGGATATAGCATACTGTGAAAGAAACAGTTAAATTTATTATATATCCAAATTCATTACATTCTAACTGAATTCTAGTATTGAATTTTTTTTTATGAATGAAAAAACATGAAAATTTTTTTTGTTGTTTCTTCTTTATATTAACTATAAACTATAAAGCAAAATTGAGTGAGTGATGACAACCGGAACTCCGGAATATGTGTATACGTAAACAAAAATTCAGTATATAATATTAATGAAATGATGGAAAGAAATTTTCTTGCATGATCGTGATCATTAGGAAATTTTAAATTACATCATTAGTTTTCTGTTTTAGATTTGTAATTTTTTTTTAAATACATTTAATGATTAATATATAATGACCAAACGAGTTATCATGATGGGATTTTTTTTCATCCAAATCATCATCAAATCATGAATAGTATTTACATTTTCCGTTATTGGATAGATTTAGTATTGTTATAACAATTCATAAAAATACTAATGGACCAACCAGACACAAAATCTATTCTTGATAGAATCATATATATGTTCTAAAAATAGAATCATTCAATATAGATACAGTAATATAATTTGAAATTGAAAGTGAATGGAAATAAATGGAGAATAAAGGATGAAAACAAAAAAAACATTGAATCCATTAGATATGTGCCATGCGTGTAAAAATGGAATAGAAAATAGAAATAAATATGGCCGAATAGATAAAATGAATGAGAATTTTGTTGTATTGAATCAATGATGAATCATTGATCGACTAAATCTGGAAGGGAAAATTTTTGAAAGCAAGTAAGGCATTAGTATCTCATTTGATTTTTGATTTTGACCAACTTTTTGCAAAGATCTTTATTTCATCAGTCATTCTTAAAATGGCAATTTTTGTCATCATTATTTTTATCATTTAACCCAAGTTTTTCAAGTTGATTTTTCTTTCTTTAATGGTCAATGAACAAGTTTATGGGTCAGAATAGCAAACAAAAATTTCAAAAAACAATACTTTTTATGGGCACAGTTAACACATCCTTGGAGAAACCGAATATACCGAAATCAGCAGCCCAAACACAATGATCCAATGTCAATGTCAACAACATTGACATTAACATTGAGAATTTTAATGCTATGTTTAATAGATGTATATATATTAGAGAGACGGATTGTTAGTCATTCATTGAAACAACAAGGATATAATATAGTTTTTTTTCTTTCAACATAGACATAGATCTAGGAAAAATAAAAGAGGATATCTACCCACGCAAAATTCTTGAATTTACTACACATGATATATTGGCAATGACTGCAGCCATAGACCATCATCATTATTATCATCATAGAATAATGTTTTCATTTCTCTGTTCTGTATGTTCGGTTGGTGATGGCGACGCTCAACACAAAAAAATTAGGATTCAGATCGAATTATAATGAGGAATAATATAACAAGCTAAACATATAGGCCTAACATATACGATTATAGTATTAGGTAAAGAATAAGAGAGAGAAAGAAAAAGTCCATATCACACTGGACGCCCACGCACGGTAAGCAGGGAAAAAAAATTCCTAACTGGATGTTGTGCCTTGTTGCTGAGTCTGTGTCTTACACACACACAGATTCTCATTTTGCATACATAAATTCAGCATATATATTGTTTATATTAGCTTCAGCAACATCAAAAACACGAAAATTCACTCATGAAATAAAGAGTATAAAAAAATACTGAGATACTGGAATGAAGAATCAAAATATCAAACAAACACACAAACACTAAAAAAAGATGATAAAGGTTGACATTGAAAAAGGACAAAAGATCGATTTTGATTTTGATCTATTTAATTCTTTAACAATTTTTAATTGATAATTGTATCTTATGACAAAGATTATTATTACCTTCATTGGCTAACTTGGCTTTTGTCTATTTTTTTTCCTATTTTTCCTTTTCCTCGAATTGGCTATAATATCAATAATAATCAAAATGGCAAACTAAAAAAAAAAATATCTATAGGAAGATTCATTAAAACAACTACCGAAGCAACAGCGAATAGTTCGTGACACACTAACATCACAATTAAGTTCGCTTAAAACAAAACGAGAAATTCCCCGTAATAAAATAATGGTGGATGTCAAATGAAATGTGAAAGTTTATTCAACATCATCAAAAAAAAAATTAATCATTTTTTTGATTTGTCAAAAACATTAAGTAATTAATTACTACTACTATCGGAAATCAATGAGAACTGTATAAAAAAGAAAAGAAATATCACATCATTAATAAAAGACACACACACACACACACACATTATCATTCACCTCAAATCATCTCATTGCATTACACATTCCTTGTTGACACCGATAAAAAACCAACGATCTTTGTTATCCCATATTGCTCCATTGGTTACACACACACACACACACATACACAAAAAAACACACCCTATTATCATCGGATCTTCTGTGATGGATTCAGATTTTTTCTCTCTTTCTCTCTCTCTCTTTCCAATAATAGTAAACTAACCAACAAACAATTAAAATAATGACAGACATATGATGATATATTTGGATTTTGAACAACAACAAATAATTTATCAATCAAATAGAGATTTGACCAAATGTTAACAATGGCATTGTTATTCCTTTTTCATTATGCAAGGCTAAAATTGGTGAAAAATAATAATCATTATTATCTATAAAGATGCATGTATGCAACAAGCAATTGTAAAATTTGAAAAAAAATTTCTACATCCTTTACATACAAATTTAAAAATAACAATTGAATTCCGTTAAGTATATTACGAAAAACAACAACAACAACAACAACAACAAGAACAAAAAAAAAACACTACATCATGAACGAATCGTCATTTATAATAACAGCATCCACAAAACGACATCAAAAGGAATGAAGAAAAAAGAGCATAACAATGATCATCGAGATGTTCACCAGAATCGATTTCCTCCATCGAACAATCTATATCAATATATGAATGAGAAAAAAAAATGATGATATATAATCATATATCTGTCGTCTGTTTGTTTCTTTATATTCCTTTCTTATTGATTGAATGAGAAAAAACCAATGAAAATTAATTTTGTTTCATACAATAAAAATAAAATATAATTTATATATTGATGATCGATAAAAAAAAATTTCTAATTGATTGGTAATTTTATTCATGTTGAAAAAAGTGTTAAATGTGGAGAAATATAGCTTTTTTTTGGCAACAACAAAATTTGAGATGGTCACAATTGTTGAATTTTATTTATTTTTTTTTCATACGAAAAAATAGATTTAATCGCTAACAATATGAATGAAACAGATAAATAAATAAAAAGAATTCTAGAAAATTCGTTGGGCGGAAAAAAATCTCTTCTTCATTTTGAATGAGCTGATGGTGTTTTTTGTTGTCACCAATCTTTGATGGTTCAAAATGTTGTAAAGCTCATCATCAACGGCAGTTGTTGTTGTACATCGTATATAGCTAAATTTGGATCATGTTTCATTATTTATATAAGTTACTTTTTATCAATTTATTTTCTTCATGTAGTTTATTTGATATACTGGACAATCTTGATTCAAGTTAGAATCATCTTTAATATAATACAAACAGAATAATAATCTTCTTGTTGATAAGAAAAAAATGAAATAAAAGAAAAAAAAAACAAGGACAAGTTTGATTTTGATGGCAATATTCTGTTCTTAAAATTCTATAGTTGTTGAAACAGAACAAACACTTCTTCAGGTGAGTAACATTCATTCAAACTCGCACGCACATATACCCGCAGACAAGCAATAATTACCAACCAACCAACCAACCAACCGACCGACCAGATCGAATATTGCGTGCCCGACGACAATGGATATAACCGAGTTATCATATAAAATTTGATTTTGGAAAACAAAGTAATGATAAATAAATAAAAAAAAATTACAACTTCCATTGCCATCTTGGCTAGATTGAATTGATTTATGAAAATATTCTTTGCCAAGATATGATAAATTATTGAAGAAAAAATAAAATTAAAATTGGCCTCCATATTATTTTGTATTTTAATCAACAATTTTTATGATTTGAAACATTTTCCATATAAATTTGTAGATTTTGAAATTTTTATAAATATTTAAATTGATGGAAAATATTAATTCTGTATTCATTGAAATCAAAATAAACAAGAAAACATTGCACAAAAAGATGTAAAAAAGATAAAAATACATGCCAAACATTTTTGGTACAAGATCTGTTCATAAAACCAAACGGTTCATTGAGAATGGGGAGAAAAAAAATGTAGGACAACCAGGATTCAAAAAAAAAAAAAAAAAAAAATTTATGTACTGATATACTATTTACCCGCATTCGAAATCGGTAAAAACGAAACAAATGAAATAGTCTGGCGTCGTGGCCTCAAAATGTTGTTGGCCTCACTCACTCACTCTTTCTCTCTCTCTCTTTTTTTCTTTTTCCTCTGTCGTCCTGGTTCCAGAATCTTTAGGTCTTGTGGTATATGACGCGTTCTACAAAAAGCAAAATTTTACCAAAAAAAGCTTTTCTCTCTCTCTCTCTCTCTCTTTCAAACTCTCATCTTTCATATTTAGAGATTTCACTTTCTCAATTGTCTTGTCTCTCTTTTTTGTCGATTCGACTCATGATGATAATATATTTTTGTATGATTCACATCTAAATTCAATCTATAATTCTGGTTAGCAATTGAATAATTAGGACATCAGGACAACACGCACAAACTTAGAGAATCATAAAACCGTAAATGAATTTGGTTTATGTATATATGTCATGTATGTATGTGTGAGAAAAAACAGGAAAAAATGTTGAAACAATTCCAGTAAAAAAAAAGATGTAAAAAACGCATGAACACATTGAATTAAACAAATAGTGATTTGTTAGAATGGATTTAAATGAACATAAATAATGAGGTCCATTTATTCTATAGAATACAAAAAAAAAATATGAGGCCAGATGGAAAAAAAATAATGGACCTGGTTACTATGGAATGAAAATACGAATACACGGGCATATATTCATGTTCATTCTGATTCCAAAATGGATCCTGAATGAAAAAAAATGATAACTTAAAAATGTTAACTTTTCTCTGCATGCTATTTCATCATATAAGCAACATGAACTTGAACTATGATATTTTTTTGAGAATGAAAAATTTTGATCATTTACTTTTTTAGTTTTTTTTCGAAATAAATTGGCTACCGTACGCCTACTACTATCGAAAAAAAAACATTGAAATGTTTTTTCGATTCTATATATTTTATATAAACTCAATGAAAAAAAAACAGTCCGAAAAAATGGTTATTTTTCTGTTTGTGTGTGTGTGTGTGTGTATTAAAAAAAAACTATAGCATTTCTGTTTTTTTATACTTGTTATTTAGGTTTCTCTTTTACTTTTTTTTCATAAAAAAACCAACACCCACACAAACATAAAGTCCAAAGAAGATTCATTGATGATGGAACACAAAATAAACTTGAACTTGGCAATGAACATCATCAACATGAAATTATGGTCAGATTCACCATTCTCTCGCTTTTTTTTTGTTCATTCGTACTCTTATCAGTTTATCCAATTAAATGTTCTGTGCTAACTTGACAAAAAAAAATTCAATAATGTAAACAGCAAACTGTCATATATGGTGAGCTTTTGGAAAAAAATGTGTGTGGGCGTCAAAAAGTAATTTCTGTCATTAAATGAAGTAAACAGACATTACCAACATGCACAAAGAACAGAAACATTTTGAATGAATAAAGACCAAAAGATTTTATCATAATACTATTAAACCTTCATTTATTATGTTCAACATATATTTGATATTTATCATCGAATATATTCAGGAAAGCATTTAAATGTTCCATGGTCAAAATGACTAAGAAAAAAAAATTCAGCCAGATTTCATTCCTTGTTTGGTTCCATTCGACAATAGCAGAAAGAATAGAATATAACAATAAGAATCTTTGAAAGAAATTAATTATAAACATTTAATACTCCTCTTTCTACGTGGGCGTCATCACTATTATTACGAAATTCTATCATTTATTTAATCTGATTTTTGTTTTGCATAATCCTATATGAATGGATTAATCTGTATAGGATTTATATGTTTACAAGTTGTCAATGTGATTAAAAGTTGTTGTGTAGGCTCTATAGTTAATCCATTTTGGGGTATAAGAAAATTCATTCATTTCTGTTATTGACGTAACAATCAAAAACATCTGAATTATTTTTGATTCTAAATACATCAATTCAAAACCAAAACTCATGATCAATTGACGGATGTTTTGTACCTATTCTATTCATAATCATTCATTCATTCATTGTTTTCATGTGACTTTAAACCAATGTTGATTGAAATTTTGTGAGAATGTCATCATGAAAATGGCGATGATTTTACGGAATTCATGAAAACAACGGCTTAGACAACTGGGAATTATACTTGAACTTGAGCTCAAACGAAAAAAAAAATTTATATAAATCATTAACGAATATAAAAAGAATGGATGACGATGGGATTTTGTTGTTTCCATTATCATTGATAGAATAAAATTTCATTAGAAATGAAAAATAATCATCTATGTGTGTGTGGGATTGGATGGATGAAAATCGATGCATGGTTGTTTTTTTTTTTTTTTTTTGGAAAAGAATGAAGGTTCTGAAGAATTTTTCTTTTTTTTTTGAATTCTGTCATAATTTTTGTCATTGTTTTGAGCTGTCAAAAAAAATCAATAAAATAATGAACCGATTTGTTTTTGTTTCCTGTCGTTTTTTTTTGTTTTGTTCTATAGATTCAAGTTTCAATGAATAGTTAGCATTGTCCGAAAATAAAAATCGGAATTACCATTTGCCCGTACACAGAAAAGAAAGTGCGCGAGTACTCGCGATTTTGGCGAGTATTTCGGCTATTTTTTGGTGACTATTTGAGTGTATATAGCCGAACAATCGAAATTTTGCGAGTACTCGCATTTTTCGCGAGTACTCCGACTATATCCACACAAAAAGTCGCTAAAAAATAGCCGAATACTCGCAAAAATCGCGAGTACTCACAAAGTTTCGATTGTTTGGCTACATACACTCAATTAGTCCAGCAAAATAAAGTGTAAATAGCCGAAATAAAATCGCGATTACTCGCGGTAATCGTGTGTAAACAAAAGTTTTCGATTGTTTAATTTGATTTCGATGTTTAACATTTTCATTTTTGTTTGGATACGGAATTATTTCGAATCATAAACTAATGGATTAGAATTATATCGATAAAAATGGTAATTTGGTACAAAACGATCCAACTATTCCAATCCAAAAAGGTCTTCAATGTGATGGAAAAAAAGATTTCACATTTCATTTTTCTGTAAGTTGAATATGATATTTTCGTGCAGACATTTATGTTAATAATAATGTTGAATTTTATTTTATTTTAGTATTACGAAGGAAATCTTATAAATTCAAATGGCACATTTGTGCCGGATAATTATGAATTCCCGGTATTTGATGATGACTTAAACGTATTTTTGCTGAATCCGAATTCGATTGCCAGCTTTAAGATATTGAATTCAATTATTCTTTCGATTATCAGATCAATCGTTAAACATATTTGCGGAACAAGTAACGACTGCTTGTATATGACAAGCATTCCTAAAAATACGATGCTCATCATTTTAAATAAAATAGACGCCAATTACCCAATTTTACCCAAAAAATATAATGAACTAAATTGTGATGCAAAAAAATGGAATTTGTATTTCATGTATTTTTTCAGAAATTTTATGGTACAAATATAAAAATATCAAACGGTCTAATGACTAAAAAAAGAAAGACAAATGAAAAAGAATCCTTTATAAATTAAATTGTATTTTTATAAGTCAATTATAAATAAAATGGTTACATTGTTTGAGCTTAATCGTTCATGACTATCATGATTAAGATAGAACAAGAAAAAGCGATGAGTGTCATACGATATTTTGTCCGAGGTCGACTATAAATTTATTTAATTCTAAGGAAGAACAAAGTGATAACTCTTGGTCATCTGTTGATCAATTCTGTTGTTTTTGCTTTTTGTTTTTAAAACACTCAGAATTCAAAATAAAGAAAATGACAAATTTCCAAACTAACACGACCTGTTCAGAATCGAGAAAATGACAAATTTCCAAACTAACACGACCAGTTCAGAATCGAGAAAATGGCGAATCCAATCTAATACGACCAGTTCAGAATTCAAAATTCAAAATCGAGAAAATAGCAAGTCCAACCTAACACGACCAGTTCAGAATCGAGAAAATGACAAGTCCAACCTAACACGACCAGTTCAGAATTGGTTGGCGATGCTTTATTGATTACTTTCCCAATGATTGTAGTGGTTTCGATTTGCTCATCGCTGTCCACAGTGATATTATGGTCCCACACCACGGCATTTTCTTTTGTCACTTCATCTTGTTCGTTTATTACTGCTGCTGGTGATTTGTCATTTTCACAATTCTAAACTGGTCGTGTTAGTTTGGACATTTGCCATTTTCTCGATTTTGAATTTTGAATTCTGAACTGGTCGTGTTAGTTTGGGAATTTGTCATTTTCTTGATTTTGAATTCTGAACTGTTCGTGTTAGGTTGGATTTGTCATTTTCTCGATTGTCACTGGATAGATTTCAACATCACACATATAATTCAACTTTGATTCAATTTTGTTGGTCATTATTTCGGTCTCATAAAAACCAAACATTTTTCAGAATCGATATATTTGTTTTCACTGGGTACAATCTCATTCTCATTCATTTCATTATATCTTTTGAAAAATATCATGATCATGATTTATAATATAAGATGGATAATGAGTGAAGATGGCAAAGTTACTAAAAAATTTTTCCATCTGTATATGGTCGTAAAATAATTGTTTTTGATCTGCATTGGCTAAATTGGCTATCGTTATAAGACGTCTTGTTTTTGTGGTAATACTGCTCAAAGTTCTATTCATCTGATTTGTTTATTTGTGCGGAACGAACTTTAATTGAAAATCAATGTGATGTAAATCTACAAGATCGACATGAAGAGAATTTATGTATTTGGCTATAATTCTTTAAATATGATTTTAAAAATTTATAATTTATTTTCTTCCCCCCATTTTTGAGGTATAGGGGTTTTTATTGAATAAATAAATAAATAGCTCGACTTTGAATGAAATAACTGTCCATCAATCAATTAATCCTGACAAATTGACACCAATTTATCAAACAGTGGCGAAAATTCTTTGGCTCAAATCACTAATGATCAATATGTGATAAAGGTCAATTTTTACTTTCCATTGAAATTACATTATAATTTTTTTTCATCAATTTTGCATCTGATATGATAATATCTATCATATCATGAGTGGATTTTTATTCATTTTCATGCTAAGTCTACGGCAAAAATAATGCATTCATTTTGCCGCCAAAAATTTCAACTCAAAGTACAACTAATGGGCAACTGCACATAGTCAAATAGTGGTAGTGCAGCTAACTATTTTCAATGCAAATGTCGCGCGCTTCTTTTCCCCTTCTATTCTCCATACAAATTTGAATTTGATCGTTGGAAAATCGAACATTCGAACTCAACGGTCGTCGAAGACGGTTGTCCTCACTTTGAGCTATTTTTCGTGATCATGTCGTGATATTTTTTCATTTTTTCTATTTTAATCATGGATTTTTGCAGTAAATTTTGGAACAAAGAAATTAATCGATTCAAGATTATCGTTGTTAAAACATATTGCGGTCTAAGATCAAAATTGGCCCCTGAAATCGATGAAGATCGTTTGGTTCGGTCATCATGTAATCATGACTCAAGTTGGCGAACAAATCCAATTTTCGGTGACTATCAAATGTATTTATGACATTTTGTTTTTCATCAAATTGTATTCAATCACATCCTTTTCAAGTTTTCTTTTTCAGAGTCCATTATACTTGATGTATGACAATGTATGGAATTCGGATTAATATGTGAAAACATGGTCAATGAGGTAATTTACATTTTGCCTTTGATTGAAAATGCTAACAATTTTCCTTGTCTTTTGAAGCATAAAATTTTCATTGATGATCAATGATCATTAGAATCATATAATTGGTGCCTTCTTTATAAAAACGATCATGGTAATGATGCCGAACAGTACAAATTTGTTGGTGGATATCTGGTCGCTAACATGGTACAATGTCCAATGAAAAACATCATGTTCATCATCAGGTAACTTTGAAATTTCGCTATCAATCAATGATTCTAACACTTACGTTTCTCAAAAGTCTATTCAGAACATGCCTGCTTTTGATTGAATTGTCGGAACAACTTATCCGGTAAGTCGACATATTCATTCTTCATATTTAATAAAGATTGGTCTATCTTTTTTTATTAGGTTCGTTCCTGAAATTTTACAATCATCAAATTGAAATTCGATTGATGATTATGTTCGAGATCAATTCGGCGGTTCCATTGTTCATCAGCATCCAATTCAAGAATAGTTTGACCATGTTCAACACATGATATCAGGTTAGGCTAGGGTTAGATTAGGCTTAGGAACATGGTCTGATTATTTCCTATTGAATTTGATGCTGATTTAATCTTTTGAATCAATGAAGCGATCGAAAACATGATTATAAGTCGAAGATTCATGGGATGGAACACATATATGAAAATGATCATGGTAAGCAAATGAATAGATTAATTGAACAAACAATTAATATTTATTTTTACTTAGGATCGCCGGCGAACAATTGGGAAATTGAATCTCGAACCACGGATAGAATTTGGACATTGTCTTGGAACATGGACCGCGATTATGGATTTATTTATGTCAAACGGGACAATTAACGTTTTATGGCGCAATTTGGATGTGAAATATGCATGTATTTTATTATTTAAAATTTTTAATAATATTTCAATAAAATCAATTAAATTTCAATATATATCGATTAAATTAATATGAGGGGTAAAGGGAATGAAAGGGGGGTCAAAATTGCTGCAACAATCGGTGAGCGACACCATCGATGATTTCGATATATCGAAAAAACAATCGGTCAGTCGGGTGGTCGCGAAAATCGCGAGTACTCGCGAAAATTGCGAGTAGACTATCGATATATCGATAGTCAGTCGGCCTATCGTATGTCGTTTGCGAGTACTCGCGATTTTGGCGAGATTTCGGGTGACGCCAAAATCGCGAGTACTCGCTGGCCACCACTTTCTTTTCTGTGTAAATTGTTTATACCAGGGGTCGGCAACCTTTTTCGGACAGCGGGCCATTTTCAAAATAAAATTTTTTATGTGGGCCGCACATTCAAATATAACTTAAATAGTGCTTTTATATCATATACGACAGGGATGGCAAACTTTTTTTGATGTCCGTGCCACAAATTCATAAAAATTCCTATTTAAATATGTAACGCAGGGGTCGGCAACCTTTTTCGGACAGCGGGCCATTTTCAAAATAAAATTTTTTATGTGGGCCGCACATTCAAATATAACTTAAATAGTGCTTTTATATCATATACGACAGGGATGGCAAACTTTTTTTGATGTCCGTGCCACAAATTCATAAAAATTCCTATTTAAATATGTAACGTGTCACAATAAAATTTCATTCGAAAATGGCAAATGTCCAAACTAACACGACCAGTTCAGAATCGAGAAAATGACAAATCCAACCTAACACGACCAATTCAGAATTCAAAATTGAGAAAATAACAAGTCCAAACTAACACGACCAGTTCAGAATCGAGAAAACAACAAATCCAACCTAACACGACCAATTCAGAATTCAGAATCGAGAAAACAACAAATCCAACCTAACACGACCAGTTCAGAATTCAAAATTCAAAATCAAGAAAACATCAAATCCAACCTAACACGATTAGTTCAGAATCGAGAAAATAACAAATCCAACCTAACACGACCAGTTCAGAATTCAAAATTGAGAAAATAACAAATCCAAACTAACACGACCAGTTCAGAATTCAAAATTCAAAATCGAGAAAACATCAAATCCAACCTAACACGACCAGTTCAGAATTCAAAATTCAAAATCAAGAAAACATCAAATCCAAACTAACACGGCCAGTTCAGAATCGAGAAAATGACAAATCCAAACTAACACGGCCAGTTCAGAATCGAGAAAATGACAAATCCAAACTAACACGGCCAGTTCAGAATCGAGAAAATGACGAATCCAAACTAACACGACCAGTTCAGAATCGAGAAAACAACAAATCCAACCTAACACGACCAATTCAGAATTCAAAATTGAGAAAATAACAAGTCCAAACTAACACGACCAGTTCAGAATCGAGAAAATGGCAAATCCAAACTAACACGATCAGTTCAGAATTCAAAATTCAAAATAAAAAAATAACAAGTCAAACTTAACACGACCAGTTCAGAATCGAGAAAACAACAAATCCAACCTAACACGATTAGTTCAGAATTCAAAATTCAAAATCGAGAAAATAAGTCCAAACTAACACGATCAGTTCAGAATTCAAAATTCAAAATCGAGAAAATAACAAGTCCAAACTAACACGACCAGTTCAGAATCGAGAAAATGGCAAATCCATACTAACACGACCAGTTCAGAATTCAAAATTGAGAAAATAACAAGTCCAAACTAACACGATCAGTTCAGAATTCAAAATTCAGAATCGAGAAAACAACAAATCCAACCTAACACGACCAGTTCAGAATTCAAAATTCAAAATCAAGAAAACATCAAATCCAACCTAACACGATTAGTTCAGAATCGAGAAAATAACAAATCCAACCTAACACGACCAGTTCAGAATTCAAAATTGAGAAAATAACAAGTCCAAACTAACACGACCAGTTCAGAATCGAGAAAACAACAAATCCAACCTAACACGACCAATTCAGAATTCAAAATTGAGAAAATAACAAGTCCAAACTAACACGACCAGTTCAGAATCGAGAAAACAACAAATCCAACCTAACACGACCAATTCAGAATTCAGAATCGAGAAAACAACAAATCCAACCTAACACGACCAGTTCAGAATTCAAAATTCAAAATCAAGAAAACATCAAATCCAAACTAACACGACCAGTTCAGAATCGAGAAAATAACAAATCCAACCTAACACGACCAGTTCAGAATTCAAAATTGAGAAAATAACAAGTCCAAACTAACACGACCAGTTCAGAATCGAGAAAACATCAAATCCAACCTAACACGACCAGTTCAGAATTCAAAATTCAAAATCAAGAAAACATCAAATCCAAACTAACACGGCCAGTTCAGAATCGAGAAAATGACAAATCCAAACTAACACGGCCAGTTCAGAATCGAGAAAATGACAAATCCAAACTAACACGGCCAGTTCAGAATCGAGAAAATAACAAGTCCAAACTAACATGACCAGTTCAAAATTCAAAATTCAAAAGTCCAAACTGAACCAAACTGAATTTGAATTATTATCGACTTTTACAACATTTTTTCGAATCAGATAAAATTTTTTTTGATGATCATTTGTTAATGTTATTCATTGTGTGGAAAATTACAACAACATATTCTGAAAATAAATATTTCCATCTTCAATGGCAGAACATCCGATACATATCGAATTAATTAAATGTAACAAACATTATTTAACTCTGAATCCTGGAAAACAGAATTCATCATTGAAAATAATTTTTAATGAATCTAAAAAACGGTATAGAAACCAACCAATTCTGGTAACTAGAATAACTAACCATCTGAACTGGTCGTGTTAGGCTTGACTTGTTATTTTCTCGATTTTCAATTTTGAATTCTGAACTGGCCGTGTTAGTTTGGACTTGTTATTTTCTCGATTCTGAACTGATCGTGTTAGTATGGATTTGCCATTTTCTCGATTCTGAACTGGTCGTGTTAGTTTGGACTTGCCATTTTTTTGATTTTGAATTTTGAATTCTGAACTGGTCGTGTTAGTTGGGATTTGCCATTTTCTCGATTCTGAACTCTGAACTGATCGTGTTAGGTTGGATTTGTCATTTGTGATGTTGATTGTTGCAAATTTGTCGACACAATATTTTTTTTAATTTAATATTTTTCCTAAAATTATGTTGGTGCTTTGGTGGGCCGCACAAAAAGTTGTAATGGGCCGCATGCGGCCCGCGGGCCGCAGGTTGCCGACCCCTGGTTTATACAACAATGCAAGTACTTGCAGAGTGTAAAAATTTCAGTTACTCACAAACATAAACGTCACAATGAATTAGATTACATCACTCATCATATGAATTTTGTGGTCCTTGCATAAATATAATTACAACATATTCATCTATCAATTGGCAGAAAGTTTTTTTTTCGGTTCTTAACGAATTTGTTTGTTTTGATGATACAAGCTTTCAAGGTTTTATTGATAATTTCACTTGATTTTTTTTATTGGTTAAACAATGGCTCATCGGGGAATTTGCCCATATGATTATAAACATCAAGTTCCAAATCATCGTTTTGAATTACACATGTTGATTTGTCCAAAAAAATTTAATGTGAATGCTGATGAATCTGATAAAAAATCATTGGTATCGGATGATTCTGAATCAAGTGACCGAACGATCGATGAAAAAATTAAATTATTAATAAATACGGATCAAAAGGATGATTTAAAACTCCTGACATTAGCCGAATATGTAAATGCATCCGAATCTCGACGAACCTTGTATCGTCATTGTCTAAGAAATTATTTATGTCGCCAAATCGTTAATGTAAGCCATTGTAACAAAAAAATTTGCGAAATTTTTCTGAATGGACATATAAAATTAGTAAATAATTTTTTTTTAAATAGAACCAAAGTTTATTCAGTGAAAAATGATATATTGATGAATTAATGGTAATCAAACTGATTCATGTTGGAACAATATGAGATTTGTATGACCGGTTGTAAAATCCTGATTGAAATGAGCTTCAAGGTATGAATTTTCAATCTTTTCATTATCACATGTTGACATTTGAATACGTAACAAAAAACGGTTCCTAGAAAAAATAAAAGGATGAATTTGTCGACTCGCCTGATATTCAAAGCCTTTAATTTTGATTGTCCAATCTCTAATAAATCCATGTATGCCTTCCTGTTTCCAAATATATAGATAAGAATTGCCCATCAAAACCATGAATGACTCTGAAATCGTAGTTGAAAAACCAATGTTGAACAACGAAATCGAATAAACGGATTCAGCCAATGAAATTGTTTGAAACAAACGGAAACGACAATCGATGCTGGTTCTTTGGTAGATACGAATCGAAGGATCGGTATGGGCCAAATTAAAAACAAGATAATGAATGTCATATGAAGAGGTTTCATGTTGAACATAATGGCCAACATTTGAAATTTTTTCTAGCGGAAAATTTTGAATCAAAATCTGAGTTTGATTTGATCTGTTATAATCAATATCTAGCCTAAATAATTTCGTTTCATGGTTTTCATGACAATCATCAATAAGATCTTGACGATAAAAATCAAAATAAATAATATAGATGAAAGTATCCATCGCAAACAAGAATGGTCTTGATCCTTAAAATAAAAAAAAACATCAATTTTGATAATAAATTCAACATATAAGTTACAAACCTGATTGAAGATTTTTTTCCAATACGACCCATGATTGTCCATTCGTTGTCTCAAAACTGATCAATCGAAAAAGGTTGAATCCTTGTTTGGCAGGCCTTAATTCCGCCACAAAAAAACGATGTTGTCCCATAATTGATTGCCATAATATATGTTTACGTTTGTATATAATGTCGAAAAGATTGGCCGTAGCTGAAACATTAAATACTTTAAAACGTTGTTGGAAATAAAGCGATTCCATCGTCCAATTGGATAATATTGAAGCCATTTGATTCGTATGATGGAAATAATCAATTTCTAGGTTTGATTGCTCATAATAATGTTGATGCTCAACCATAAATGTTTGATAATCATGTAATTTTTGTGTTATTTCTTGTGCATCAATCTGCGGATTGAATTTAGATTCGATTGATTCTACCGTTTCACTCAAATCCAAATCATTGAGATGATTATCGACAGTAATATTTTCAATAAAGTGTGCTTTATCGATAGACAAAAAACCAAAAATTTGATCATTCATTTGGTCATTTTTCGATGTTTCAAGATTATCAGCCATAAATCCGTGTTGGAAAATATCGGTCAAATTTACATCATTGATCAAATGATTTTGAACATAAACTTTTTTGGCTATAACATTGTTGAAATTGAGTGCTGGACTATTGGCCATTTTATCACTATGAAGAGTAATCAAATCTGCAGGATGAAATTGATTCAACGAATCAACAGTATTATTATTCATCATGAAAACGGGAGCTACAAATGTTAATGGAGTTTTTATGTGCTGATTGCCATATACCAAAAGCATTTGTTTGGCCAATTTTGGAATATCCAGCTGAGCGTTCAAGAATCCATGAACATCAATATTCTCATTGAAAACGATTGAATCAAAAATTTTCTTGCCGGTAATGATTTGTCTTACACTGTCCAATCGGACAATGTCAGCAATATCGACCTTGTTAATCAATCCTAAAATCTTGAATTGAAGACTATCAATAGTTATATTGTTCAAAAATTTTATATTATGATTCTGGATCATTTGATCGACATCGGAATACACTGTCGAAGAATTGAAACTATTTAAATCCACTGAATTGATTACGTTAAAATTAATTAAACCACGTTCATGATGTATTTCTTTCACGTTAATTTTGGCAAAAGTTTTATGATAATCGATATGTTGTTCTTCAGGTGCATCAATTAAAATAATTTTCTTAAGTTGGTTTTTATCATAATGATTTATATGTGAAAGAATATTTATGCTTTTATTGAACCATTGAGGGCTATCGATAATTAATTTCTTGACATTTTGTTCACCATCTGACATCAGAATCGAATCCCTATTCAACGTTGTATTATCTACACGGCCTTCGACAATAATTTCATCGGTTTTGAATGAATTAACGAAATTAATCACATCATGTCCACTATTATCGACAATTAATTCACCATGATGATTCTTTTTTAGAACATTATGGTTCAATTCAGTAAGATTGACTAAATTTATTACGCCCAATACCGTCAGATTTTTTGAGGCGATTAATTTTTCATGAAATCTAACATTACTGTAAATTGTATAATTTCGATTGACTGTCATTATCACATCTTCTGGTGTATAATCATTTAGTTTGAACACACGAACATCGGCCATTAAATCGACATCACCATAATAATTGATATCACCTTGAATGTGAATCTTTTCATTAATATTTCTAAGTACAACTTCACGGGTGAAAAATTCAAAATTCACTCCATTCCATTGTCGGGAAAATAGCTGACCTTGTGTGAAAGTTAAATTTCCATGAATGATGACTGGTTTTGTAATTATATTGTAACCATCATTAGTCAAGGCTTGATATTTCAACGTTTTCAGATCGATTCCAGCAACATTTGTTGTGCTTCGAATATGATGAAATCGTTGCAAAGCTTCAAAATGTTTATGTCCATGAATCACTTGATATTTTGATTTAGAAAGATAATTATTTAGAAAATGACTAAAATTTTTTCCATTTAAAAAATTTGTTTGAATATTAGCAGCCGAACAATTTATGCAATGAATAAAAGCATTCAAACTAAGCGGTTGGTTCAACATCAATAAATTCGAAGTTTTTTTCTTAAAATTTTCCCCATTTATGGTTTCGGCTTCAAGATCGCCATCTCTGATCAACATTCCACAATAAACTGGAGCTTTAAAATTTATTGGAGAACTGATATTCTGCATCACTGAGTAACGAAGCCAATTTGTCGGTGAAAATTGATCATTAATTTTTCCATCAATCTTCAAATGGCCAGATATTCGAATTCCATCCGAAAATTTTTTTAATCCCTTCAACACCTGGGATCCTGTTAATGTAACGGCATCGTTAATTAACTCATCCACAAGGACATTATCGATCTTATTGTTGAGTATGACGTGATCAAAATAAGTGCCGTCCAAAAATTTAACATTGTTCGAAAAATGAGTCGATTCGCTTAAAGAAATAAAATCTTCTACTGATTTAGAATTAACAATATTAGCATGCAATGCATTGCATCGTAAGATGTTATTGATAATTTTAGCGCTTGAAATTTTCAATGATCGTTCTGAACTGAAATAAACATTTGAATAGAGTTGATCCAACGAATCAATTTCATTAATTCGTTCGGATATGATTGTCAGTTTGGTCACATTCACCGGACTTAAAAATGATAAATTCTGGTAAACATTTTTAAAAGAATCTAAATAACGACGATCTAAATGTGTTAGATTTACTCCATCATATAAACCATTTACATGAAGGTTTCCATTAACAATTAAACGATCGATTTGCAAATCTCGTTCAATAACTTCACCATCACCACTTAACGTGACAATATCAATCGGAATTTGCAAATGATTCAAATAAGTTGCATTTATATTGTCCACATGAATGTAAGAGAATTTTTTGACACCGTAAATGATCTATAAAAAATAAACACTATAATACATACAGTCAAAAAATAAATAAATTTAAAAACCTACCTGTTGTGAATGGCGATCAACCAAATCCTCCGGAATACGAACATCATTGATTCTTTGTTGAACATTGATGAAATTCATATTCACATCTGCAAGAATATGAACAGGCGATACAAATCGAATGTTTTGATTTCGTAGTATAACTTTGCCAAACAGATCTGTTGCATTCCGTTCATTGATAAAATTGACAAAAACATCACTTCTAACTTGAAGTTTGTCTATTTTTGTTGGAATTTTCACCTGTTGGAAATTTTCTGAATTATGTCTTGTTAGAACTTGTTTCGGAAAATCCGTCATCGGAATATTATCGATGGTGTCAACGTAAAGGTTATCAACATTGATCGAATTAAATACCAGTTTATTTTGGATTGTAATTGGCTGATCATTATTCTGATTTATGTAAATAGCTTCTGATAATGAAATGTTGAAAGCGATAAAATTTGAAACGAACAAGTTTTCAATGTGAATTTCGTTCGGGTACCAAAAATTTGAATAAATGTCTTGATCCAGATCAGTGTACAGGAATTCACTAAAATCAACATCATTTATGTTGTTTATCGAAACGGATTTATCGACGAATAAAGTGGATGTAAAAAATTTACGCCCACTTATTCGACCATCATGTTTACCAATACGGTAAATGTTGGACATAATTGCATCTACTGATCGTCCATGATATGTTGTTACAAACGTTTGTTTCGCATAAATTTTTCTTGCAGAAAAGCCTTTGACAAATTGTTTCTTACCAAAAACATTGACATTTTGATTTCTGTAAACAACATCATCCACAAGTCTTTTTTTCAAGCGATCCATTCGATGGACGATTTGCTGCAATTGTTTTTTAACAATATTCAAAGAAATACCAAGTTCATTCATTGCGTAATCTCGGTGATTTATATAAATTTTATTCACTATGCTCGTATCATCGATTCGATAACGCTTGACACGAACATTAGCTCGAAATGTTACGTTGAAAAATAATGTGAGATTAACGGCCATTTTAGATATAGTTTGCTGCTGATCCAATTGAAAAACCTTTTTGGTCATTTGTTCGATTTTTCGTTCGTATAATTGTTTGTTATAACGTTGAAGATTGTACAGGTTTGATTGTGACGTTTTTCGAGTATTTTTTGTGCCAGAATGTGAAATGAATGTTTCATAAGTAAAGAAATATAATTCAGATTTTGTTGTAAGTTTTAATTCGAAGGCAAAATTAAGATCATAGAAACTGACAGAATACAATGGGTTAAAGACAACCGCAGTCGACATGTTTAAATGCTGTGATTTAGAGATTGTCTGTAGCAATAGAAATGCCGAATTGGTTATGTCATAGCCATAAATTTGTACAGTGTCTTCATTTAGCTGATCAAAATAGAAGAAATTATCTTCACGAGAATAACTTAATGTTATTGAATTCATTTTATACACAAGGGGTAAACGCATTCGCGCTACACCTTGGAAACCTAAAAAAATCTTATTTAGTAAGCCACAAAAAGAAATGAGCAATTATGATAAAACAAACCTTGTTTACTATCTTTCCATTGATAGATATATTGTTCATTATGAGTGGCTACTCCAACATAGTATCGATGTCCATTTGAAAATAGTTGCATATCGCGAATAAAATATTTCATTTGAAAAAAATTGACCAGTTCGGCTATTCCATTATGATAACGGTATACAGCCCAATGTGTGGTATTTGCAACAACGATGAATCCTTGTGATTGAATCCGTAAAGTACGAATACGTAATGCGTGTTGAGCTGTCAAACAAATCATCTGATTTTGTTCACGATTATCATCATTGGTGTTAATTTCTAACTGGAATTCCTCCAATTGTTTCCATCCGGAATCAATCAAAGAAACGAGTCGATATTTGTTCTGATCATAATGAAGAACATCAATCGCAACAACGCGTTCATGAATTTTAAACGAATGAAACAATTCTTTGTCGATTATTCTGGCACTATCTTGAACTTCATATAAACGAATCTCATATAGACCATTGAAAATTAAAGCAGCTAAAAATAATTGATCAGTATCATATTGGCGATAGAATTTCATCTGTATCAATGTTCCTGGAACTTTGAACGGGCTATGCATCGAAAGATTTGAAGAGTCTTGATCATAAACTAGATTTTGTGAACGATCCAGATGAAATGTGCGAACAACAAAACTATGATTGAAAAAATATACTAAATAATGATGATTATGATGACGTTTATAATCTAATCCAATCATTGGTTGATTTTGGTTGACAAATTTATCGACAATTTGTTTTACAGATATATTGCGAATATCCAAATTTTCATACAAGCCTTTGTAGTTGAGCATCTGGTTGAACATTTCTGTAGCTTGATGTGTATTCGAATAGGTCGAATCCATTAGAAATTGGTTCTCGAACATTTTCATTGCTTCATTTGCAAGACGTTGTTTGTGTTGTTGAATGATTATTTTCTTTTGTTTCTCGGTAAAATAACTTTGAGAACAAACTAAATGAAATAACATTAAACAAATGGATCCAAATATCCATAAAATTTCACGAAGCTTCATAATGAAACCAAAATAATTGACAAAAACAAAACGAAGAAAAAAAAGTACAACAAAATAATTATTTGACACTCTCATTATATATCAAAAAACTTTTGCAAAAAAATTTTACTCATCAAGTTCAAAATTATCAACTGTTTGAAAATCAAAATGAAGAATCAAATTTTTAATCAAAAAAATTTCCCGCTCTTCGCAAACATCGATTGTATCGCGATAGCATTCATTCAAAACTCAGGCTTGTTTTTAATTTGTTTTTTTTTTGTTCTAAATTGAATGAATGAAATTAAAATTTGTGCTGAAATTTTTTATCCTTAGAAAATTATTATTATTGAGAATTGTTTTCGATTACAATTATTGATTTCGAAGTTTCTCAAGCATAATTCATTGTTGCAAACACTATGAATCCAACGCCCAATCAGAATTCTCAAAGTGGTTTTGTTCCTGGTCGTGGAGTTCCATTATATCCTGGAACCAGGCCATTGATGACAGGTTTTCAACCGCTGCAATATATAAACTATCCTCATTATAGTTACAATTCTTTTCTTCGGGCCAGTTATCAATATCCCGGGATGCATGGTTTACCGAATACTAGTAATAATAGTTATATGCCTGTTTCTGTTAATGCTATTAATCATCCAACATATTCCATGTATTCACATCAAATCTCGAATAATATGACTATGGTTAATCAATCTAAAGATCCAAAACAGCAACAGCTGCAAAATCCTTCGAATAATACTGCTCAAGATCAAAATAAAATTTTATCTTCGAACACTTCAGCTAATTCCTCTAAAGAATTTGATCGTCAAAAGTTTAAAGAAGAACTTCTTTGTAAAAATGGACGTGAGAAAGAATGGCACTTGCGTTTGTTGGAAAATGATCGAAAACAAGTGGAAAACATGATGGAAGAAGCTGTTGAATTACAAATACATTTTCAAAATTTCCAGCGTGAATTCAACCAAATATCACAAACATCATCAACAATGAGTGCTGAAGCATTGCAAAATTTCAATCTGTGGAATAGCTGGAAGGAAAATTTGCTTGCACGTCGTGATCAAACATTTGCCTTGCAAGAAGAAAGATTGGCCAAATTTTATCAAAAAGTACGTCTCAATGTCCCAATAATCGTTGAACAGCCAATTGCTGCAACATCAACGGAATCTGTTAAACCCTCTCATATCGAATTAATCAATCACCCACCTGAACAGCAAGATAAAGAAAGTCAACCTTTGGCAACATCTCCAATGCCAAAAATCAAGGAAGAATCTTTAAATCTTTTATCAGATAATGTTAAAATTCCTTCTGATAAACAAAAATCTTTGATAGTACCACCAACTACTCTATCGAAAATTGACAAGACAAAAATAAAAAATGTTATTGATGCAAAATTTATGTCATCAGTGCAAAGTGCTTTGAATTATCAAGAAAAGATTAATCGAAATTCATTGTTTATATTAGAGAATAAGGAATTCACAAAATCATTGAATGATTTTGCCTTTCTTCGCAATCAAATAAGTTTCATTGATAACTTGATATCATTAGCCAGATCAAAACCTTTTGAAAATAAAGCAAAACATCCCGATTCGAAAACGACACCGGTTCCAATTACGAAGTCGACAGTAAATACGGCGGTTCAACCGATAAATATTTCGAAAAATCTCATGTCAAAACCGAATACATTACCAAATGTCCCAACTTCTAAACCCAATCAGGTATCTGCTTCTACAAGCTCTAAGCCAGGCCCTGAATCAACTTCTACAACTTCAATGTTGAAACAAGCTCGGCAGACTAATTCGGAAACCTCACCACAGAAAAAAATAAATCCGAAATCTGCACCAAAAACTCCAATAAAGGCTCCTAATTCATCAAAACCTGATCCTATTGATCAAATTCAAACAATCAAAATTCAAATCACACATCCAGGTCAGCGTAAAGTTACTAGTGATATAAAAATTGATAATAAAGCCATTGATCATACGGTAAGTTCATTGAGTAAAAATCCGGCAATCGAAGCATCGAAATCAACAACTGCTACAGTCGCTTCCAATTCAAAAGATCAACCTCGAACCAATAATATTCAAGTTCCAATTGTACATAACGATTCTCGTAATTCAAGAAAAAATGGTGATACCAGAAGAAATCGAAATAATAATATATCGTTGATTACTAAGAAACCGGAAACTATTTACCAATCGTCATTGATTCCATCAAAAACGCATCTCCCACCATCTACTTCATATTATATGCCGGAATCACAACCTATTTTTGATCCAAAGAATAGTTTGCCTTCTCAAGCATCATTACAAACATCTTCATCCATGTTAAATACATATGCTAGAAATGATAACCCCATTCCATCATTGTCAGCACAAGATATGAACAGTTTCATCAAACGTGAACAAAAAAGTCTTGAAGATTTTCAAACCAAACCTTCACATTCATATGAAGATCCAAATTTTTTCACTGTACCGAGAAAATATTCGGAAGACCCATTATCCATAAAAGATTTATTGGATTTTCCAGGTCGTTCATATCGTCCATCCAAGATCGTGTTCATTATTCGCGGCTTACCAGGATCTGGAAAAACACATCTAGCTCGATTGATAAAAGAAAATGAAGAAGCGAATTCTCAACTCACTAAAATACGCTTGATTAGTATGGACAATTATTATTTGAGTGAACTTGATGATCACGATCGTTATCGTAATGATAATGGAATATCTCGATCACCACCTATGAGGACTTATGATTTTGATCCATCCAAAGAAATTCAATATAAATTTATGTTTTTCAGAGATTTTAGGGAAATTATAACTGCAGGTTCTTACAATTTTATTATACTTGATTCAGTCAATTCAACTATAAATGATGTGCGAAATTTTTATACATGTGCCATCGAAAAAAATTATATTCCGTATGTAATCGAAATGGAAGCCATCGTACGACGATTATTAGACTATTGTACAGACTGTGAAGAAATTATTGCTTATTGTTATAAGCATAATCAACACGGACGTTCATTGGCTGAAATTCGATCTCTTTATAACGAATGGCAAATACTGCCTGAACAATATCTTCGTGTAAATGCCTTTCCATTGATGGAAAAAAGTCCCAAAGTAATTAAATCGCCGCCATCAACTAGAATCATAATAAATGAAAATGATCTAACTACAATATCGGTAAGAATTATCCTTTATAATTTTATGCATAATCATAAGATTAAATATATTAATTCTTACGTTTAATGTACAAATAGATTCCAAATCAATCAACACAAACGGATTCTTATTCAAAATGGATGAATAATCCTCCTCCTCCTCCCACTATAGCAACGTCATTGTCTTCATCAGGTTAGCATAATTTTTTCAAATATGAATTTAAAGTATGCTGCAATGTTTATTTATACATTATTATTATTATTGTCTAATAATGAAGAAAATCTATTGTTTTTGTTTCGATTGCTTTCATTAAAGCGCTAATATATTTATAATCAATAATGATAACAACACTATGATCAATTAGCGTTTTTTTTGTAGCCATGTATACATTTAATTGATAATTCTTTTTCCCATTTCATTTGAATATTGCTTATATTATAAAGATTCTTTTAGTTATGTTAATAGTGATTGTTATATGTTTGTTCATCGATTGTGATTGATTTATTTGCGCTGAATAGTATTCTTTTTCTTTATATGTAAATTTTTTGTTTTCTTAAAGTTTTATGGCAGATGTTGTTTGAAATGCTGACGATTATGATGATTCTAACGATTATCATTGCTAATGCTTTTTGTTCATTATTGTATTTAGTGGTGTGTGGTGTATGTGTGTTTTGAAAATGACATTTTGTTTATTCTTTGATTTCTTTAAATTTGAATGAATTTATAAAATGGATAAAAAAGTGTAAAATAACAAGAGATCGATATCTTTTTTATTAGGCAAATTGCACCAATTTTGAATTTTAGTAGATGTAGAATTTTAGGGAGAAAATTTTACACAAGTGTTTGTTGAAGAATGTTGAGAGAGAGAAGGGTCTTGTTTGTTGTTTTTGAAATAAATAGATTGAAATGTTCGTAAATTTTTAAAATAAATCATGTTTACATTAGCTTTACATACATACACACACACACACACACCACCACCACCACACTCCATTTGATTTTTATTCTATTTATGTTTTTGTTTTATCCTCTTTTCTGAGACGATTTCTTGATGGATTTTTTAAAGTGACTGTAAATAAATGGAAACGAAATAAAATTATTATTTGAGAGTTTCCAATTATTCAAATGATTGATTGATTGATTGATCGCTCGTTTGATTGATTCTTAAAAAGATTCTTTCCTTTCACAAATCATTGTATATATTTCAATAAGAATTGTATGCAGCATTATATGACAAATTATTTTGGTATTAAATAATGCAATCAAAAAATTGAAATTTGAGCAATTTTTTTTCGTCATCGTTTTTAGATTATTACCAACAACAATCATCACAACAGCAACAATCGAATGAAATAGTATCATCAAATTACCATTCGAATTTCTCATCACTGCCATCAACAATAATATCATCACCAAGAACACGTTACTATGATGATAATGATAATGATTTTGAAGAACGGAATAATCGATTGCCAAAACGAGTAAGTTTTTGTCTACCTATTTTTAAAATAAGATTTATCCAAGCAATTTTTTTCTTTAAAAAAAAATTTAACCATCTAACTTAGTCACGTTTTGATGACGGAAATAATATAACAATGATGGGCACAGATTCGAATCCAAACCAGTGGCCAAAATCAAATGAAAGTCTTGCATATCCGCATCAATCTGCTAGTTATTCTTCAACGTACTATCATGGTTCAGATCGAAGATATTATTAATTGGTAAACAAGATTTTATACAAACAATTTTTATTCTTTCGGCTTTTTTTGAAAAAAATGAAAGGCCAAAAGAAAAATTGATTTATTATTAAACTTCTTTTTTAATTTTATAAAATGAGTACGTGAGTTATAAATTTAGCTAAATTAAAAAAAAACTTATATGGATGATTAACTTCATTTTTTCTGATGACTATGGTCATTCATGGCCATCATAATTGTTTTCATTTTTCCATTTTTTTGTTTCATCAAATTTTGTAATGCCCGAGATTCCATAACAAGTGGTAATTGTGCTTGAAATGTGAGAGAATGACGCCATTTCATTCTACGATTCTATAAAGAAAAACAACGAGCAAAAATTATTATTATTATTTTAAATAATATTTTGTTTCTTTGTATAATTGAAAAAATGAACTCAAGTGTTCAACACGAAATTTTTATTATAGTTTTACATGTCTCTTGAATCTATGAATTTGTTAACATTGTAAACATAATTCTTCATAATTCCTATTCTCCCTTTCGAAATAATCATATCCATACATACACATAGATATGTTCATTGTAAATTGTTTTGAACATTTAAACTGGATCGATTGATTGATTGAATGACGAACATCATCATCGAGATGTTATGATGCTCATAAACGATAATTTGCTGAATAATTGATTTGCTATTGGCCTATTGAAAGGCAAAGTGAAAAAAAAGTCATTGTTGTATATTGCCACCATATGTATTGTTGATTTTTATCCATAAATTATTTGGCAAGCTATTAATTGTAACCGATTGTTGTTAAATTGACGCAATAATAACTTCATCATCATAATAATAATCGAAATGACGCGAGTGAAGAAAAGCAAAAATTTTCTTCCTCTTTTACATTCTTGGTTCAATTCATTCATTCATTCATATATTGAATAATTGAACAATATTATAACCAAAAATTGAGCCATCGTCTTTCATCAAATAATAAATGGGTATAAATCGTTATATTTGATTTGGAATGGATGTGCAAGTGTATGTTATGATGATTAATAATAAACAAATAGCCGAAAAACAGCATTCATACTCAATGATGGCTGAATCTTTAAAATAACAATTTATCTTAATCTATTTATGCACTTTAAAATCATATTAGGTTGGTTAAAATCATATGTGTTGTGTTTGTAAAATTGGTTCGATCATAATGACACATATTTTAGAAGAATTGCTTTTTTGATCATCTTTCTCATTATTATCAATCGAAATTGATTAATTAAAAAATTTTTACTGTAATTTTTTGGCTTTGTTTTTATGTAATAAAAAATTAAAAACAAATTAACTTAACTAACCTGAAACCAAACTTTCACTTGCGAATCGGTTAGATTCAATTCTTCGGCCAAACGATGACGATCCGGTTTGGTAATGTATTTTTGTATTGCGAATCGTCTTTCCAGACCACGTCGTTGATTTGTTGAAAATACTGCTCGTGACCAGGTTCGTTTTCGTTTGGCATTCTTGTTGCTGTTATTATTATTATTATTATTGGTTTGCTGTTGATTATTGGCATATGATGATTTAGTTAGATGCTGTTGTTGTTGTTGTTTCGATGTAAAATTTTGAGTTGCATTCGGTAATATTGATTCATTCAAAATTGTACGTTGCGATAGAACGGTAGTCATATAATCATTATTTAAAACACTTGATGATGATAATAAATATTGATATTGATCTTTTAGACAATTCCAATAAGCTAAACGATCATTATTATCATTCTCTGTAATCGAATTTATTGATGAGGTTTGTGGCATAAATCGTGGATATTGATTACGCATCCAATTCATTTGTTGCTGTTGACTAAACAACAAATGTGGAATAACATACTCAAAAGATGATGATGACGATGAACCAGGTATTCCGGAAGTGGAATAATTTGTATTCAATGGTGAATGTATGGGCTCGATGAACGATGTATTAAAATATCCTGACCCACCATACCCGATCATTGAATTATTTGTTTGTATTGTCGATTTATTATGAGAATTATTTTGGCCTGAATGAACGATATTATCTTCGTGGTGGTTCGTATTTTTAATCAAATTAGTTTCGGAAGTGTTCTTTTCATCATTATTGCTGACTGTATTTTTACAAATCTTTTTTGAAAAATCTTCCGAAGTTGAGGAAGATTCGGATTTTGCTTCAAAATTTAAATCTATAGACAGACAAGAATCCTGCTGATTTTGTTTGGTTTTTAAAGCATTTGAAGATGAAGCGAGAATATTTTCCATGGCAAAGTTCAATATTTTTGTTGTTGTAACATTATTCGATACTGTTGGTGATGATGATAATGTTTTTGATTGTCCGCCATCAATGACATTAGTTTGAATGTTATTATTGTGGTCCACCATGATTTAGTTTAAATATTTTATAATAATCTACATTGGAAAAAAAATTATTGAAAAATTGTACTTATACATCTGCATGATGATGATCATCATCATTATGATATTATAAACATGACATTTGATTTTTTTTGCGTATCGTATTAGATCGGATTGCAATAATAAAAATATCGTTATATCGATTATCATCATCATTCAGATTTAATCAAACAAACGATAATGATTTTTATAAATCCACACAAACATTCAGATTAATTAATTTTAACATTTCATAACAATATTAAACTCGCAAAATTATATATTATAAAGATTATTATACATATATTACTTACTTCTGACGATATGAATGCAAATGACAAATTTTGATAAATATAAGAATATCTTGATTTGAATTGCTTTTAAATATTGTCCGATTGAATAGAAATTGTTATTGTAACTAATGTTGGATATTTTATTTCACACCAACTTGTTGACACCAAGAATTTAAACTAGAAACAAATGTTTACTATGGGGGTTTTCGTCTGAATAAATGATTGTAGAAAAAATCGATTTGTCATATGATGATTAAATATCAGAGTAATTATGACCGTTCATGGCATAATAACCAAACATGAAATCAACTAATGAATTCCAATGTTGGTGATTATCATCATCATCATTTTTTGGATATTTGAAATGATCATACCAAAGGAAATATTTGAATTGAATGGAATATATACTCATACGTCAATGGCCAAATGGAAAATTATTGAAATGAATATAGTGATGGAGGAGGAGTCGAATTATTTTTGGTTTCAATTTCGAACAATATTGTTTTGTCTATATGGATCGAAGTTGATCATCCCACCAACACACAAATGCATATATCCGACAATAATTAAGACAAATAGCATGCTTATGATCATCATTATGACTTTAATACTGAATTACTGGATTAAACTGTAAACATGTTTCGAAGCCAAAGCCTATGGTGTATGGATAATGGAAAATCAGTAACATTAGTTAAATTGTTTATACATTTTCATTTCTTGTCATAATAACATCGGTTATATGTCGAAATTTTGGCACGTGTTTGTTCATTTTCAAAAAGTCGTTCTGTAAGATTTATCCATGTTTTTGTTTCTCTTAACTTTCATTGAAATCATAACCATTTGGTCCGAAACCTAATTTAGCTATAATTTTACGCCATATTGTATTATTGGTATCTGAATATTTTTTTTCTGTCGGTTTCGTTTAGCAAAAGAAAAATAAACCCACCAGTCAATGATAATTATGATGATCATGATTATCATCATCTGGTCGACCATCAATTTTTTTTTTGACGCGTGTCCGTGTCATATGTTCTCACTTATATCTGTATATAATTACAAAAGTTTGATGCAATTCTTACCAAAATTCTACATATTCGAGAGCAACAAGTTAACAAACCATTTGACCAGAGACATTTGTTAAGGTCATTTTCTTATTTTTTTTGCAAAATGGTTAGGATATAATGATTACACTTAATTGTATTGAATTTTATTCTTTTTAGCAACAAATGGTTGCGGTTTTAAAGTCTTGAGGCTATGATTTGTCACGGTCAAGGTAATAATGTGACGACAGACACAAATGATTCAAAAGAATCAAACACTGATAATATTGTCAACGAGATTTTGAATTTATAACACTCACATATACACAAATACTAGAAAATTTAATTTTCAACTATTTAATAAAAATTTAATTGAAACTTTTCAGAAATTTTGTTGTAAAATTTTTTTATAACAATCAGGTAATGAATCGAAAATAATCCATTTAAGTGGTCTTTGTGTTGATTGTGTCCATTGAGAAATGTTAGCAAATTTTTTATTTATAATGACAAATTGTTCTGCATTGTGGCTGACATTCTTTTCATCATAATCGAAATAATCGACACGATTTAATTCAATTGGAATTTCGTATTGACGAAAAAGATTTTCCACATAATCCACGTTTTCGTTGGAATCTTGTATTGTTTTAGGACAAAACCATTCTGTCAATACTGACAAGGGCAGTCGTGTAGCAGGTGAACGATAAGCTAATGAAATAGATTTCAACAATTCCATATGATGATATGGAAGATTCATTGTGAAAAATGAACAACAGAGAAGCTTATATTTCCTTTGCATCATATTGATTTGGCGAAGTATTTGTATGTGATTACCAATCAGATAGTTACGGATAAAATTGTTGATTATTTGAAATTGTTTGAGTTTCAATATCTGAGATACATTTCTATCAAGTTTCAATTTACGGTAACGTTTAAAAGTTTGATTTTCAAATTCTGGGCGAAGATTATATAACATGTATAGCATTTCGAAACGACATCGCCACCGAGACCATAATATATTGCTGAAATAATCATAATAAGAGATCAACGAATAAAGACTGTCTTTAAAATGAGTCTCATGAAGGTGAGCATCAAAATATCTATTATTCATGGTAATTGATGATGATTGGCCAATATGAATCCAAACAAAATGAGAATAGATATAAAATTCAATACAACGTTCCAATATGTAAAGACAATTGGAATCCAAAGCTCGCTGAATGGTCATATCTTGACGAACCGATCTCAGTCTATCGAAAACGAAATCATAATAAACACCAAACGATTCCATAAGGCTAAATCCATTATCACGATAATTGATGAATTGCGTATCAAAACAATCGTCGATAAGATAATCAATAGTTTTTTTGAGAACAGAAGTAGGACGGATGTTTTCCGGTATGACAGTTTCTTTTCCTGCACTTGAACGTTGATATTGTTTCACTGATTTCTGAGCATCGGTAAATTTTCGATGAGCAAAAGAATTGTTGTGCCCATCTTTCCCACGAAAGCGAAGTTGATACAATGACCATTCGTTTGGATTAATCAATTCCATTCTATGTAGCAGACCGTTTCGCTCTCGAAATGACATTTCTTTAGGTGGACACATTTGCATACATTTTGCTTCGACCACTTGATTTACTTGGTTGTTATTATCATAAAGATTCAACGATGAAAATAATTCTGGCAAATTATCCATGGCTATTGAATTTCGAATTTACCAGATGCAACATTTCAACACCTTAATCTACCTTCTTGAGGCAAGAGATGTGTATATAGTGTGAAATTCCTTTTATTTTTTTTCCAAAAAATTATAATTTTTCATTCAAGTTTGAGCTGAAACTAAATGGGGTTTTGAGTAAAATGAATGATTCTTCCAGAGAAGCAATCCAAACTGAGAAAAAAATTGTACCCTTTCAAAATAGATTAAATCATTTTAGGAGTTTTGTTGTTTTTGTATAAAATGTTGGAAATGTAAAATAGATTCTGTAGTTAATATGGAGGCGAAATAAAATATAAAATAGGATGTCGATGATTTCGAATTGACACACGCATACACACATTGAATGTTTTGGTAATGTTTGTGTAAATAATAGAGAGAGTGAGAGTTTGAGTAGCATTAATAGTTTGAAAATTATACAAATTATTCGCCGGTAATATTTGAAGAGAATAAAATATTTACAAGCTGAGAATTGAAAACAAGAAATATTTCGCAAGTGCTGTCACTCAAGATATTTCTGGTATACAATTGATAATCAATTATTTCCTGAGATCCAAAACAAATACCTGCTCAAAGAAAAATATATTAGCAATTTGACATATTTAATGAAAAACGATTAACATACGGATCCATCTGAGGCTGAAGCTCCAACTTTATCTCCCTTAGAATTCCAACAAACTTCAAATATGCCTCCGGTACCTTTATATGAGTTGACCAATTGTCCAGTCTGTGTGGACCAAATATGTACACATTTATCGAAACTGCCTGATGCAAGAAAACGACCATCTGGTGAAAATGCGACCGAATATACTGGTTCGTTGTGTTTGGTCAAGGTATTCAGACAGGTTCCTTTTTCCACTTCCCATAATCGAACAGTTGAATCGAACGAAGCAGAAGCCAACATAAGATTCAAATTGGGATTGGCCGTGCCTGGACCAGTTGGTGACCATTTAATAGTATAGATTTCTTTTTGATGTGCTTGAAAATCATGCACAGGTGTGTCCGAATTCATCGACCAAATCTTCAATGACATATCATCCGAACATGATGCTAAAAGACGACCTTGTGGACACCACTTGATAGCATTAACTTCGTTTTGATGGCCTTTGAAAGTTTTGACAGGTGTAGACAATCCTAATTTGCAAACATGTATACATTGATCAGTGGAACAGGAAGCAAACGAAAAATTTGTTTGCCAATCAACATCCAATGCCGGAGCGCTATGAAATGCAAACTACACAAATCAAATTAAATAACAATCTAGATTCTAGAATACTAATTTATCTATACCTGTTGAGTGCATTGGCCTGAAGATGCATCCCAAATAATAGTCTGTAAAATAAAAAAAGATTGTTTAAAATGGAAATATTATGATGATACCAAATTTGACAAACCGTTTTATCAACCCCTGCACTCAATATGTAATTTCCTTTTTTGTTCCATTTTAAAGCAAATATCGGGCCTTTATGTTGTCCTAAAGTGGAAGCTTGTCTGCCTTCGGTTGTCCAGATGCGCGCATAACCGTCATAACTACCTGTGGCTAATAAAGTTCCATCCGAATTCCAATCTAACGAAGTAACATCTTTGTTTGAAGGTACTTCAGTGCCGCTGTAAATTTTTAAAAGATTAGGCCCATCTCAAGTCAAATAATTATTCAAAGTCATCTAACACTCACCCTCTCTGAATGCAATGACGGAGTATTAAATGATTTCCGGGATCAGCCATATTCCATATTCGAGCAGTTGAATCACCAGATCCAGATGCCAACAAATCGGATGTAGGATTCCAGGCACAAATAAATACTTCTGAATCATGGCCGCGAAGTACTGTTGCCTTTGATTGAGGAATATCGATATCATTTACCGAGACAGATGGTGGTATCTGTTGAGTTCCTCCTCCGAGATTATTATTCCCAATATTTAATGAAGCTATTACAGGCGAATTTAGATTGGCTAATGTAGCCGATGATGATGGAACAGAATTTGTTGAGGGTGTTGGCTGCTGGGTACTATTCACGGATGAAAAATTATGTGGTGTTCCAGAATGAGAAGCTCCTGAATTAGTTTGTTGTTGATTACCGCTGCCAAGTGGTAAGTTATTCATAGGAGCCATATTCGGATTGTTGGACATTGTCATTGAACAGTAATGATCAATTTCCATTTTGATTGCAGAATTATTTGAGGCATTTTGAGTAGAATTGGCCATACCATTTTGAACCACAGAATTTATAAGGCCATTGTTATTCGTGACCGAATCTTGATTTGTATTACCACTATTATTAGCAACATCGCTTGGTCTCGAAGAATCATTGTTTGTGTTGTTACTGCAGCTGCTATTGTTGTTGGCATTGGAAGTTGAATTTGATGTGGTTGGTGGCCCAGTACCGTTCGGAACATTTCTAGCGTTTCCGCTGTTATTATTTGCTTCCAAACGTGATAATTGTATTCTATGAATAAATTCAGGAGTAACGGCATCAATTAATGACATTGCTTCAAATTGTCTCTCGCCTCCTTCATCATTATCTGCATAAAGCTCTGCTTCGGTGTATTGTACACCTGAATTAAAATTAAAAATATTAATCAAACAATCAAATATTTAAAGAGTTAAATGATCGAACCTTTCTGTATGATAGAGATTAATGCTGCCGGTGGAACTTGGGCGCCATTTATATTCGATTGACTCACATGTGATTCGATGCCAAATGTAAAAGCAGAATGTATGAATCCACTTTCTTGTAGATATCGATAAATAAGATAGTTAATCTAACATGAAGTACGAAAAATATATGATTAAATAAACAGGAATGAGAAAAACCAGAAATCAAATACCTCATCCGAAGTAAAACTCATGATCTTAATGATTCGATTGATGAAATTATGAATCATCAATTTAATTTCGAAAAGAGAATGGAATCAAATCAAATTTTGTAAGAAGATAAAAGTTTGCACGCAATCCCAAAAATATGTTCGATTATCCAAGATGATGATGTCGGTAAATGAATAAAATGAATTTTTTAAATTTTACAGATGATATATCCATTGATCGGATTGATATTAAGAATTATCAGATTGTGTCAGATTTTCATCATTTGAATTATCAATTAATATTTTTAAATTAAACAAAATTATATAATAAAATAAAACTTAGTTATAATTTTCGAGCCGATTATTATAAAACAATACCCAACAATCATAACCATCACACACACACACACAAGCTTGTGCCTCCATCCCGAAAACCCAGCAAAGTCCATAAAGAAAAAAGGGATAGTAGCTGTGTGTTTTTGAGCAGCCGCTAATTGAAAACTAGACCATGGATGCCCAATTCATACGTTGCAAGCTGAATATTCTTTGTTAATTTTTAGACTTCCATGTCACATTCATATTTGGGTGACAGCCCACGGAAGAACAATTATAATCTTATAGGAAAAAATTTTTTTGGTAACATAAATGTTAACTTGAATTGTAAATTTGTTAATATCGATTAAATGTTTGAATTTTGTGATTAAAGAAAATAAATGTAATGTTGAATCATCAAAGTATATTAAAATGTGAATTTGATAATTTTAATATTAAATTAAATATAATACCAATTAGCTTATTATTTTTAATGCTAATTGTTTCAAAGTAATCCTTGTCGTTTAAGATCTTCATAGGTTTTTTTATTAACTACATTTCCTTGGCTATCTTCATATTCTTCTTCATTGGCCGGTTGAAATTTTTCTTTATGTTTTTCATTTTTTAATTTCTCCCATAGGGCTAATGCATCTTCAATTTTCGTTACATTAGCAAAATGTGCCGTATTTGGTATGCCTAAACAGCGCATACCATGTGCATGACGCCATTCAGCAAAATGTTTTTGAAAAGCTTTTGGTCCTTTATAAATGGCATTACCACAGATTTCACATGTATAGGAGATGTTCAAACCATGAAGTTTGTAAAGCCAATATGGTATAGGCTTACCGTCCCAACCTAGTGGCAAATTTTTAGGATTATAAATGACATCAGTTTCTTCTTCTTCTTCAGGTTCACTTTCATCAACTTCCTCATCCGATTCTTCACGTTCACCAGCAGTACGAGCCTGTTTTCGTTGCACATTTTCTTTTGTCGATTGCCGCTAAACATGTATAATATAAGTTTTTATTTTTATGTTCAATTTATAGATTACCTGTTCATCTAGAATATCTATATATTTATAGATTAAAATTTCCATGAAAGCAATCGCTTTTTGTTTTTCAGGATCCATAGAGAAACCTTTACGCTTTGCAAATAATTTTGGATCTATTTCATCCGGTGATTTGTCTCGAATTTGCCACAATCTTTTTGCTCGCTCTTCTAATGTGCCACCACATTTAAGATCCAATGCAATCAAAGCAGACTTGAGACGATCTAAACCGAGGGAAGCCAATTCTTCCCATGAATTAAATGCTTGCAGATCCAATGGCGCTCCAGTATTTGACAACACTCCACTTGTTTCTTTTGGCCAGCCAGGAACCTGATGATTAGCCCACATACGTTCGAAATCTTCTTTAAGTTTTTCAACAATCTAAATAAAAAATCAGCTTTAATTGCAACAATTTATATTTATGAAATTTATCTTACGTCTTTGGTTGGAAGTAAAGGTTTGACACGATCAATATAATGTTCTAAATATTCATTCAACGATTCAAGATACTTTTCATATCCGGAATGAAATTTTTTTTCCTTTGGGATATCGTAGAACCGATCAAACGTATTCAAATAAGTTAAATAATCAATCTTTGAAAAATTTGTTCCAACGATCCCTTTCAAATTTATGTATCGGTTAAAATTTTCATTTAAATCTAAAAATTTGCCATATCCTTCTTCGTCGGTAAAATCGACTAAATTGATATCTGATTCGCGATCTTGAACAAATTTCTCATATTCGGCCCCGATAGGTATGGCTATTTCATTCTGATGGTTTCGGTAAAAATCTTTAACATTCTTTAATCGTAAATAAAATTCGTTAAATTCATTTGTTTGCATAGCTGCAATTTCTGATTTAATTGTACCAGTTTTATCATCATACATTGTAATGATACGTTTGGTAACATTAATATATTTCTGTAGAAATAAAAAAGAATTAGTCAGACATATAGAATTCTATGGTCAAAATACTTACATCAAGTAAATACTTGACATGATGATCGGAATTAATATGCTCACGATGAGTGGTCTTTTTGACAATCAATTCTCGGACCATTGCATTTTCGATTCTTTCACGTTCTTCATGCAAAAGTCGATGATCTTCGAGAAAACTTTCCATTTCTTATAAGATTTTCAGGTGAATTGAATGGCTAAAATTGTTGATATCGAAATGTGATTAAATAATCCATTTTTCAGTGTATGAAATTCTTAACACAAAGGACGTAACTCGCATGATTTTTCATTTTAAAATTGAAAAAATCTAAATAATTTTTCCAATTTTATTTTTATCAATAACTTTAAAATTAATTCTGCAACTCTCTCACCAATAAAATCAGTTACAAGGTAATTTGTGAAAAAATGAAAAATTTTATTAGTTTTTTTTTATTGAATAATGTTTATGTCTCTCATTCTTCTTATGCAGCTATTTTGGTTGGTTCAACAGCTAATTTTGATTCCGAGAAAGGATATGCCGGGAGTGTCTCTTCTTTCGGATTAACAATTTGAACATTATCGGGCAACGGAATCTTGGGCCCTTTCTTTCCGGCATAATCTTGTTCCAACATGATTTTTACCTTGATGCCCAATACACCTTGTCTCAAAAGTACATGTCTGACAGCGACATCAACGTAATCGTTTTTAGGCTGACCAGAATGGATCATCCATCCGTCGACAAATTTCATACTTTTGGCTCGTTGACCACGAAGTTTACCGCTGACAACAACTTCACAGCCTTTGGCTCCAGATTCCATAATGAAACGAAGAACACCATAACAAGCACGACGTACAGCCAAACCACCAATTAATTTGTATCGTAGAGATTCACATTGCGCGATAGCACACAAACCTCTATCAGCGATTTTCAAAGCAAAAATCTACAAAAAAATGGAGGTTTTATATTTGTTAAAATAAAATTGAAACGTTATTGAACATACTTCAACTTTGTCTTCATCAAAATTGAATCTTTTTTGAACTAAAGATGTCAATTCACGAATTCTGCGACCTTTTTCACCTAGGACTGATTGTGTACGCGTGGCGAAGATAACGATTCGAGTTTTAGAAGCTAAAGTATAAACATCTAGACCACTGTAGCCATCTTCGGCCAATTCACGGCGCAAAAATTCATCCAATTCGGCACGAAAAACACCTTGATTCACAAACTAATAAACCAAATTTTTAATAAAATTAATTGAATCAAATATAGAAAAATACTTACTGTACGTTTTTTCGAAATTTCTTTCGCCATGGTTGAAAATAAAGAATTTTGTCAATGTAGAAATGATGAAAAATACATGTGAAGAATATGCATGCAATAGAGAAAGGAAGCAGAAACCAACAAAACAAGCACGAGCAACGCACACGCACACACACACACTCACATAAAACACAATATTTTGTGCAGCACATTTTTGAGTTCATTCATAAATATCAGTAACAATTTGAAACAAAAAAATTATTTTATTTCATGCTAATAAAAAACAATTTATTTTATAATTATAATTATTTAATATATAATTTTACAAAAATAATAATTTTGTATTGATTTCAAATTCAATCTATAAATGCTTCTGGGGGCAATGCATTTGCCTGTTTGAGTTTGAGAAAAACGTCGTATGCAACAGCAGGATTAAAACCATTCTCTTCAAGACATTGTATAGAAAATTGTCGATTCATTTTCGTTTCTTGTTTAAATTTTTGAATAATTTCTTCACGTTGATCAGTAACAGTGACTGGTAATTTAGATGCTGATGAACCAAATGTGACAGTTGATTGATTTGTAATAAGATTTGTGGTAACCATCAAATCTGAAGGCTTAAAATCAAAATTTTTCACATGATTATCTTTACTAGAAGATGATGCTTCCTTGTCAATCAATTGTTTGTATTCGTTAATTTGTTTTATCTGATAAAGAATTAATGAAAAAAATGAGAAAAATAAAGCAAAAAATAGACAAATTACCGAAGGAGTGGCTATCAGTAACATTTCATTCAGTATCACGAATCCATTGTTATGTGGAACCAAAAAGAAAGTTCTACAAAACGACCTGAATGAACTTTGCGTTTTAAAAGTCTCTTGTAATAGTCCATTAACGACGACATTGATGAATTCTTTGCTAAAAAATGGTATATCAACGTGAAACGTTTCCAGATGATGTTTTGTAATGGGCAATTTGTTCATAAATGAAACAATGTCTACATTCGAATTCTTGACCAATTTCACCCACTGACTTTCGTCGCGCAACTTTAGGAGATTATGTGAATCTTTCATTATAAGCTCATTTGGCTTATACATGCTATAAAAGCAATGGATGGATAAAGAAAATCTAAAAATCTTGAAAAATAAATTATAATAATGGACTTACGAATTGTTTGAAGCAATACTTATAGTGAACGTTGCTGAATCATGGTATGCGACCATCAATTGTTGTCGTGAATCCGAGTCATACATTCGAAAATATTCTTTTAAAAAACCAGTAATAAAAGTTTTCAAGCTTTCGTCTGGAATGAATGAACCCTGAAATTGATGGACATGTTAAATGTGTTGTTATTTTTTAGAAAATATGTCACCTTTGTTTCCGGTATGTTTTCAGCAACAGCCAAGTCGAAACCAATTTGATTTGGTAATGCTTCTTTGTCCTTAATGAAATCGAAAAAATAAAATGTTGAAAAAATATTGCATTTTCATTAGGAAAATTAATCTCACCAATGTTTTCAAGTTGCTAAATATCTTCCGTATGGCGCTAAGAACCAATGTTCATACATTTTAGAAAAACATTAAAAAAAAATATAATTTTAGAAAAATTTCATTATTTGAATTTGTTTTTTAGAGATTATCTATTAGAAATTGAAAACTATTCATAGTTGTTGTGATGAAAGAAAAACATTCTTTTTTCAGAAAATCTGAAGATTTTTGTATATTCTCAAACATTTAAAACGGACATGCTATTTTATAATCAATAATAATTGCTTTCCGACATCATGATTAATGTGAAGGAAAATAAACCCGTAAATATTCATAAAATGGAGTAAATGTCGTGCATAATGGCGTACAAAACCTTTTGATAGAAATTCAAATTTACTTTATATATGATGGCCATTTATTCGTATGGTAAATTTTTCTATTGAAATTTTTCAATAATCCAGTGATCATTTCGATCGATTGTTTTGAAATTTAGTAAATTATGAATTCTATCAGGATTTGTCGCATTAAAAGGCTTACAATTTGTATATAGGCGTTTTCTTTGTAAAGCCATTCTTTTTGATGGTCTAAAAAAACAAAATATTTTTGTTGTCGAACATTTTTCAGACAATTTATCATTTTGAATTTATCGGGTATAAGAAAAAATACCGGATTTGGCAATTATATTTATAGCATCAAAAACATTAAAATTAACAAGAATTCTATCGTAATGACATCATATGAAAAATGATGAATGAATGAATATTATTATTATAGGTGGCTGAATGTTACAAACCTGACATATGATGCACTACTTGGGTAATTGCTGATTAATGGATTCTCTTCTAAATCCAATTCCATGAGGTCAAGATGTTTTATATGGTCCAATTGTTCAAAATTGCTTATCTATAATTATAAAAAAAAAATCAAATCAAACATGTTAGGCGAGCGAATGACTTGAAAGAAATCAATAATTACATTGTTTTTTGACAAATTCAACGCTTTCAATTGTTTAAGAGCTGACAAATTCTTCAATGGTTCCAAGATTTGTATTTTATTATCACTGAGATTAATGGCGATGGTATTGGGAGCATTTTCATTAATCAATCGAATGATGTTGGCAAGAACATTGGGGCGATTTAACATGATGAATAAACCTTGATTTTTGAGATGTTTACAATGACGAAATCGGCTCAAATCCATTATATTGGTTTGATGATCATATTGTGAACTCATTGCAATTTTAATGAATTCAAGGAATTGATCGTTCATTTGTATTACTGGAGGGGGCGTTCTTTGTGTTAATATGATCAAATTATGACCACTTTTTGTTTTTATCCGTCTACTCAGGCCACGCAACGTATCAGCTTTGTCTTGACCATTGACATGAAAAGAACAATTATTTTGTCCAATATGATACTAATAATAATAATAAATGAATTAAAAATTTAAACACAAAAACCAACAATTTAGTCAATAGACTTACATTATAAAAGATTATTTCATCATCCATATCATCTAAATTTTCTTTGAGTAATTGTTTGATATATGATTGTTCATATTTATGACCATTAGGAATGGTGACTTTGAAAAAATCGTCATCGCTTCGTCGATTATTTGCATCTTTATTATTATAATTTTGAGAACGATTATGGGATGTTTGATTATAATTACCGCCACTTGAACCGCGTAAATTTCGCCGTCTTGGACCCAATCGAACGTGAACGCTTGTTCTAGAAATGAATGAATTTAAAATTTCAGAATTAAAATAAAACAATATTACCGATTATCATGATCATTATACGATTGTTGCTGATTGTCATAAATTTGTCTTCTTCTATTATTATTTGACTGTTGTGAATTTTTATAATATTGTTGTTGTTGTTGCTGACGAGGTCTTCGACTCATCATGATTGAAATTTGGCATTAAATTTTCAGATAAATAAAAAAAATTATTGTAATTTTTAAATCATTGGTTTGTTGACGTTGGAATAAAGAGCTCAATTTTTTAGTTCTGCATGCATGCTCCATATCCTGTTCATATATCCCAGTACGATTTGATTCTATTTTTTTTGTATTCATTCAACTTGGCGCGTATTAAACGTAACAAATTCAATATATATCAGTAACGGTCATCCATGATGGGTTGAAAAAAAAAAAATTTTTGTCGATCCGATTTGATTGATACATAATGACTTTTTTTGTAATACATTTGATTGTGAAATCAATCACCAGTGACCAATTGAATACAATCATTGACTTTTTTTTTCATTTCAACTTTATTATTATTGTCTGAAGATTTATGAAGAAGGCTTTTTAGTTTTAGTTTTTTTTCCAATCATCATCTCATTTGTTATTATTGAATTCTTTTGGGGCGTAAAATCGGCTATTTGTAAATCATTATTATGTTGAAACATATAAAACTCAAAGTTCCGAATGTGAATTATCAAATAGTCTTTTTGGTCATATGGTTGAATGCCTTAAAAAACAAAATTTGTACCGCTACCAGCTCTTGTCAATAGTAATGCCATGATCAGACCATGATTTTTCTTTTATATTTCGTTACAAAGTAACCAATTCTTGGAACAGCGCACGAGCGTAATATTCTCTTTTTTTTTCTTGTTGGAACTTTGCAACTTGATTCAGCATACATCAGTCAGTTAGTTTTTTTTATTCAGTAAAGTAGTTATATTCTGGAACTTTTTTTCACTTGTCTAATATGTGGATGAGTTAAATGAAAATCATCTTAAAAAATCTTATTCCATTCTCTTACATCATCATGTTTTAAATACGTTGTCACATCGTTGGATTCCATTTGTGATTTGTAGTTGAATAACAAAAAAAAAAATTTTCTGGAACCCAATTGGTTGCTAGAATAGTCAGTGATTTTTTTTTCTGCATTTTGATTACATTGTGATTGAATTTTTGTTTCACTGTGTGTATTTTTTTTCTTTTTTTTTTTTTTGCTTCAGATAATATAATGAATCTATTCAGATTGTCGTGCATATTGATAACTATATTTGTTTGTTTCCAACTGAATATTTGTTCATCATTTTCATCATCAATACTTATTCTGATAGCATCATCGAATGAAAAGCAACAAAATTTTAATCAACATAGTGACAATGAATCATATGATCGTCGTAGACAAAATCCTGATTTTCATTCAATATCATATTTTTTGAATGAAAATTTCATATTAAATCATATCATTTCAAACGATTCTGTTCGTCACAATCAAAGCATTATCGATCACAAAAATTCAATAGATGAAGTTAATTCAGATTATGAAAATTTAGGGAATAAAAAAATGAATGAAAATTTTATTGATCAAGAACTAGAAAATCGATCATCTTATGATAATAATGATGATGATGGATCATTCGTTGAACATTTTGGCCTGATCGAAGAAGATTTACCGGAATTGGACGATTTAAATCTTCATAGTCATATATTTAATGCATTATTGATATTTTTCTACACTTTATTAGCCATTATTTCATTGGTTGGTAATGGGCTTGTTTGTCGAGTACTTTTAGCACCAAAACATTCATCATCATATACATTACCGGTTATGACGTCAAGTGGAACAGGTACATCAAAAATGTTGATTGTTAATTTGGCCATTTCGGATCTGCTGCTCACTACATTTAATATTCCAATGAATATTGTTCGTTTTGTTAGCCGTGATTGGCCATTCGGTTCTTTGATCTGTACAATGATGCCTTTTATACAATCTGTTTCGGCTTATTGCTCAGCATGGACAATGATGATCATTGCATTTGAACGTTATCGAAAGTAGGTGAAAAACATTTAATATGAAAATAAATTTTTGAATGAATAATAAAAATTCTGCAACACATTGATAGAACATTTTGTGGATCAATTAATTATCGATACTAGTTAAAATCTACATTCTCTGCCTTTTGACATTTAATTTCAAAATAGTTTTTTAATTGTCAAATAGAATGATCAATCATGGAAAAATTTGTTTATCCATATGAATAAAAAAAAAACTTGCTCTTTGTCAATTTGTGCGTGTGTGTCTGTGTGTTTGTGTAGAGGAATGCTATAAAAAAAACGTTGACAAAGTCAAATAAATGTGAAAAAACACGATTTTTTTTTGATTATCCTGATGAATTATATAGATAAATAAACATGGTGAAAATTCTACATGGCACATTGGGTTTTTTTTATATTTACGTAAAATCAAATTTTTGATTGGAAATTTGTAGCTTTAAGCTATAAAATATTCGAAAATTTTCATTAGATAATTTTTTTTCCTGTCTACCAATTGTGTGTGATTTTAATTTCGAAATCATTACCACATTCATCAGACATATATAGTGACCATCATTTTATTTATACAAAAACACATGATAGATGATATTCATTCATTCATTTATTTATATTAACCATTCGATAGATGTATAGTTTTTGTTTTTTTGCCATTCTATGGAATCGGTATTATTATTTCAAAATCAATGAATTTTTTTTTTGTTAATCAAACTTTTTTTCCATTCATTTAATATTGAAATTTTTGAATGTTATTTTTCCAAGAATTACATTGAATCCTGATTTTTTTTCTCATGATATGAACTTGAAATAAACAATAATAACAACAACAAGGCATATTTAAAATACACTTGATTATATTGGGCAAAATTATACGGACACAAATCATCAGGATGTTGTTAATTCCAAAATCCTTCTTGTGTGATTGAGTTATAATATAAATAAATTAATTAATGTTGATGATTCAGACACAAATGATCTCGATGTAGAATTTGTCTTTTCTGTATATTATTTCTCTCTCTCTGTGTGTGTGTGTGTGTGTGTGTGTGTGTATGTTATTATTCAAATATTAATCAACAGTAAATTGCGAAATCAAAGTTTACAATGTAAACTTCACATACTATAATAACTTTTTCTCGTAATAATGATGACGATGACGATAATGATGTTTACTTTCATTTTTAGTTTTTATTATCAATGATTAATGAATTTGAATTTAAAATGATTGAATTTTTTATTTTTATCTTTCATTATTCAAGAATTTTTCATCCACGTACAATGTTTCGTTTACGTAATCTGTATCGAAATAATCATTATAATCGTAAAAAAACTCAAAATAATAATGATCAAAAACAAAACAATCATCATAATACAAATTCTAATGAAAGTGGAAGCTCAGCCTGTACGAATGGACCAAATTGTTCGAATAATTGCATTAAATATTCTTTCTCCTCTTCGACCAATTGTGATCAAGTAGAGATATCGATATCGGCACCAAATGCTAATATTGATAATATTGATAGCATTATTTTACATAATAATAATATTCATCATAACCAAAATCCCCGGCAACAGCAGCGAATTTTTCTAAATAAAATCTCTCCCGATCTTTGTCCAACATTTCGACGAATTCTATCACATATTCGTTATTTTTGTTGTGCATATTGTTGTTGCTGTTGTCCAATTAAATGGATACCACCACCACCGTCTCTAAGTGATAAATCACCATCATCATCGTCAAGACAAATGGCCAAGTCAGCATCGTTGACATGTTCAAGATATTTTTCGCCATCGGCTATTGTTTCAATGATATGGATAATTTCATTGATTCTATCTATTCCCCATAGTCTATTCAGTAAAATTGTCCATCATGATTATGTGGAAATGACTAGATGTACTATAAACAATTTTCCGGATGAAAAAACTAAATATTGGTTGACAATCTATACTTTCATCACACAATATATTCTGCCCATTGGAATAACATCGTTCTGTTATTTACACATCGGTGTATTCCTGTGGCGTCGTGAAACAATTGGACTAATTTCTGAGCGTAAACGTTTATTATTGCTTCAACGGAAAAGAAAACGCATTCGATTATTGATAATGGTAGTGGCAACATTCGCATTATGTTGGCTACCATTAAATCTATATGTTTTGTTCACTGATCTAGGTTTCATCACACATCATCACATTCGTAAGTTTTATTTTCGTAAATTTTGTGAAATTTCTTTCAAAATTTGTTCAATTTAAAATTTTTATTTGTATTAAATGAATTTTCATTAGTTTTATTCTTCATCGTTCACTGGTTCGCAATGAGTTCTGTTTGTTACAATCCATTCATCTATTGTTGGTTGAATGAAATGTTTCGTCAGAAGATAACATCAATGTTGAAATATTTATTTTGGATTCCATGTGTTATAATATCGAATCGATTTTTCTGTCTTAATTATTGTTGTTTTTGTTGTTGGTGGTTACGATGGTGTAAACCGAATGTCTTCAATGCTGTGCCGGCAGTATCAACTGTTTGTGATCAAATTCATTCGAACAAATGTCGTACAAACAACAATCAACAACCTATCACATTGGAAAATGGCTGGAATTTCGAAAGTGATATACACCAGAATCCTGTTTCATTGGCATCTTGGTCAAGTACAACAAATAGTGGTAATACTACTGGACAACAGCAAGCCATATCTGAATTGATTTCAATGTCTGCATTTCTTGAACATCAAAATTCATTAAATAACCAAAATATTTTCAATAGTTTTGTTACGAAAGAACAACGTTTAGCATTGATGACCACACAAGCTGGCCGTCGTCGATACCATAGTGGACAATTAATTATGTTGTTGACAAGAGCTAATACATTCCAACAATCACGACAGCAGCAACAACAACCACAGAATCATTCACAACAACAACAAATGAATGAAATACTAGATCCAGAACCAATAACGAAAACAACATCACTTAACCTTAATTCATATTGTTCATCGTCAGGATCATCTGAAATGGATAATCATACTAATGTTTAGAAGAGAAACACACACACACATAATAATATTACATCGACAAAATTTGTATATACAATGTTAAAACAAAAATCTTGAATCGATTTTCATCATAATTCCCAATACAATTATAATTTGTTATTAACAAATGTGAATCGCTTTCAAGATTCAAAAGTTTTTTTTTTGCAACACAAATCTGCCTTGTTTTTTTTGCTCTCCTATTTTCTATTTATTTTTTCATTTAATCTTTTCAATGTATTGCAATCACAATTTTTTCCCTTGATCTATGATAATAAGAAATGAATTCTTTGAATTTGATATATATATATACGAAACGGGCAGTTGACGGACATAGTCACTAAAATGAATGGATTGAAAATGGATAGTGTCTATGATATAACGAAGCTAAACCGAAATTTTCTCTGTTGATAGGCGCACAAGTATATATTGGTATGATGAACATGTATCAAACATGTTGAAAATAAAATGAAATTCCTTGGAATGCGAATGAGATTCATCGCTCTTCATATCATCTTCAACAAATGGGGTTGTTATACGGGTATAAATAAACATCTTCATATTTGATACTCCATCAATATTATCGTTGGCTTGTCCAATTTCTTTAGTAGCCTAATTCAACTGAAAATATAAAAAATAATATGAACAGATGTATGTATGTGTATATAGAACAAAAATGACGAACACTAAGTTATTAAAAGCTTGACAACTAAAAGAAAAAACTGAGATTAAATAATCGTGTATCCATACCATATAGCCAAAAATGACAAAACAAAACAAAAGAAAAACAGAAAAATTCCTATGAAATACGACAATAACAGACAAAAAAATAATAAGAATATATCTATAGTGAATGAATCTCATAAATTAATCATCTTGTTAGCAATGGTTGTGTGGTAGGTGTATTCACTATATTAATATTATTATTTTTTTCATTCATTAATAATATTCACATTAGAATATTCTGTTGGCAAATCCATTGTGGTTAAAAAAAAATAGTAACAATGAAAAATCGGATAACAAAGATTTTATCTTTTGTTTTTAGGTTTTGTCATTATTTTCTCTAAATTTTAAAAGATAAATTCACATGATGAACAATACACTTTTAATAATAATAATAAACTGGTTGACAATAGTAATAGGATGAAAATTTCTACTACAATATACTTGAAACACTGAAAAACGAAAAAATGACAGTTTTTTCTTTGCCTTACCAATTCCAATGGTCCCTCATGTAAGGTTTATAATAACCACACATATAAGTCGACCAGCTTGAATATGTGAATTTTGGCCATCTCATTTATATCTCAGTTTATTTATATTTATGAACCAAGAATTTCGAAATAATCCTAAAATTTTATTCTGATTACTGTATTTTATTAATAATTAGCTATTGTCATGTTTGTTAGCATTCTAAAATTTTAACATCTTAATTGTATGTATTTGAATTGTTTTTTTCTATCTTTATTTCCTCGCCTTTCATTTTGTTCAATTTCTAATTTTGTATTTTTCATATTTCTGCTTTATTATATTGTTTATTTTAAAACAAGTAGTGTAGTTGATTTCAGTGTTTGCTTTGTCGCCCTTTATTTGTTAAATATAAGTTTTTTTCCGATTGAATAATGAATGAATGAATGAATGAATAATAATAAACCAGAAAAAAAGTATACATGATTCCCTTGACAAAAGTAAGAACTAATTTCATTTCTTATCATGAAAAAAAACAAAAACAAAAAAATTTCAAATAAAAAACTCTACACACGAATACTAAGAATCATCGACCTATAAATATATAGAATTAGTAATAGTAAGCGAAAGAGAAAAATTATTTGTCATCAACATTTTTACACTTATGAGATGATTAAAATCGAATGAAATATGAATCCATCATTGTATCAATATTTATATGTATTTGAGTCATGTCTACAAATTTTTTCCTTGAAGTTTTCGATTGAAAAACTAATATATTAATACTACGCTTAACGATGCCTCAATTAGCGCTGTTTCACGATATAATAATTTAAATTTTTAGTACAGAATGGTGATAGAAAGAATGTCATCAAAATTTAGTGATTTAAAAAAAATTAATGAATTATTGAGATCGAATTCTTTTCAATTATTCAGTTTGCTGTGTATATATGATGATGACAAATGGCATTTCCAAAATTCCCAAAATACGTACAAACATATATTCGAAAATAAACATCGAAACTTTGTTATTATTATCTTTTTTTTATAGACTGTAATTCAATTCGTTGCATTGATTTCAAGTTGACCTTGTTGTGTTCAGCTACTTTTTTTTGATTACTAGCTTATATTCGTGCCTGAGAAGGTTAAATTAAAATCATTTCAACAACCTACTTTTTTTCCTTGTATTTTTTTCGAAAATAAAATAAAGTCATTATCAAAGAGAAAAGATATTCGAGAATTTAGCTATAATCCTGATTCAATGTTATTATTAAAAAAAAACAATGGGAAAAAAAGGTGGACAAAAAACAACGCTACCTCCCATTCGAGTCGATGTGAAAGTTTTGAACAAATATTGTCTCATTTTCACCAGAATCATGTGTTTTTTTTATTATTTTTTTCCAAATTCACTGGTCAAAAACAATAGAAAATTCATACCCTTTGGTTATTCATGGCTCTATTTTCAGTGCCAAATTTTCCATTGAGATGTTGACTATATATACTACATTATTATTTGGGAATAGCAGGCCATATAATCTAAAAACTGCAATTTTGTATCGAATTTTTGATGATTCGAAAAAAGTTTCTAATCAAATTTCGATTGGGAAAGCATGAACTTTTTACTATAATAATTTATTTAATTTTTTTCAAATTCATATGATCCATGGGACACGGTGGTTTGGCCCGGTAAACAAAAAAAAAATCAACAAACAACATAAATAAAAAAAATTATGAAGAAAAATTTCGTACACAAACTGAATTAAAATTTCTTCTTCATTTAAATTCTGAAATTGTGCATGGTTTCAAGTTTGATTTATGAACCGAACAATAGCAATGGTCAAAAAAATGAAAGGAAAAATTGAGGAAAAACAACAACAAGCGAAAATATCTCGAAAACATATTGTGAAATTGAATAAAAAAAAAATGATAAACATCATAAATAGGAAAAAGCCCTGAATTCTTATATTTTTTCCAATTCTTCAATTTTTCTATTCATAGATTACCATTACAAAGATGTTTTTTTTTCATCTGTAGTGATAAGTAATTGTATTTATGTATGTAATCAAGAAATAGAATTATTATGAAAGATAAAAAAAAATTATTATGAGGAAAATCGAATTACGAATCAAGTCTATAAGATTCATGATAATATATTAAAGAATCTGACAAAATCAACATAACAAAATTAGAAGAAAATCGTAAGAATTACTTTTTTATGTGTGTTCTAAATAATTCTCTATGAATCAACAAAAAAAAATTTCACTCATTCAATACGTTACAATCTCGAATTGAATTATTATAGATTTCCACCAATATGAATTGATTCAGAATATGAAACGTTATTTTTTGTCTTGAATTTTTAAAATTTCATCTGAATCACTGTTACTTATTCACACTGAGACAGAGAGAAAAAAAATTTATTTATAATGATCTTTAACCTTTGTCACGATTGAATGATGCGATTGACTTTTTGATTTAAATGGTCTCAATCTATAGACTGGAAATCTGATTCAATGGAAACTAATTTCAATTCATTTGTTTTCTATAGTAAACAAAATGGATAAAGAAAGATAATATTTTATAAATCATTATTGATAATTTGTTGATAATGATTATAATTATTATATAATCTCATATTACCTAATTATTGTTCATATAATGTGATGATGATAACTATGGTAATTATTGTTGTTCTTGTTGAATTTTTAATGTTATATGACGTATACAAATTTATCAGACATCATATCATATTATGATGATGATATCACGTTTGAATGAATTAAGGCATCTGGTTTGCATTTATGATGATGAGCAAAATGGTAGGGAGAAATGGAAATAGAAAGAGAGAGAAAAAAAATATTCTAATGGTGTGTTCGTGTTTTCATGCATAGCATATTTAGCACATTATAATCATCATCATCATCATCATTATATTATAAATGTTTTTGCTAAATGAATGGATAGGTGCATGAAAAAAAAATCAAATAGTCAGTCAAATATCAGACACACATTAATAAGAAAAAAAAATTCTGTTCAATGAAATAATACAAGTCCGTGAATGGCTGAAAAAAAAATAAATGAATGAATTCAAATGATGATGATGATGATTTCTACATGATGAATTTCCAGTTTTTTTTTTGCATTTGTCTATTTTTCAGTTTTCAATTTAAATAATTATGATGTTAATATAATGAATTCGATGATGTAACATTAGAAAAAAATATATCGAAATGAAAAATTTGAATATTTGTTATATCTTTTTGTCCAAGTTTATAATGATCAGCGGCATTATTCAACATAAATGTCATCATCATCATCGCCGTCGTTATCGTCATTATTATTATTATTAAATATTGCATTATTTCTGTATATCACAAAATTAGAAGACGGAAGCAAAAACAACAACAACAACAACAGCAGCAGCTGCATAAAAAAAATTATATCAATAATACTTATGGTTGAATCGATTCTGATGATGATGATGATGATGATGACGATAATTGGTACATTACGAATTGGAACACTTATAAAATTGGTATTTTTTTTCCTATATGTCAAGATCACAATAATGACGAAATTTTAGGATTCTTTTTTTTCCATGTTTTTATTATATCATCATTATATTTACACATCCAAATTAAATGGAAGTCATTGCAAACATTCTTTTAATAATAATCTTTTATACAAGTCATTAAATGGGTTTTTTGTTTTGTTTTTGTTCATTATTCTATGTATAGTGTTTGATGTCAATTAATATTCATTTTTTTTTTCTTTCATTTTAGTGATAATAATTCCTATTAAACAATTCCATTGGTCAATATAAGCTATATTGTAAGAGTATTGAATGATTTATATTGAAAATAATACAAGTGTGTTTATGAAGAAGAAGAAAAAAAAGACAAACAAAAACAATGCTGATGACGTTGATGCATTCATGTATTCAAATCTAGGTTGAATTTTAATTCTTATGAAATCAGATTACATAACATCAAATAGGATTTGTTGATTTTTTTTGTATGAGGAAACCTGGTAACAGAAAGAGGTAAAAAACAAAAATAAGGAACACATACAACACGAATAAAAATAATAGGAATATTAAATAGGAAACGGTTATTATTTCAACAGAGCCAGGAATAAAAATTCTAGTGAGAGAAAATCTGTATGAAAAAAACAAGCAAATCAAATGACGTAATCCAACTCCATTATTTTTCGTTTTTATTTTGATTTCTGATCGGTATGTAGATTTTTCATCGCCGACTTAACTATACCGACAACAAATGTGAAATTTAAATAAACAAATTTGTGTACACAAACCACACAAACATTAGATGATGACATTGTCATCGTAATAATTGGTACATTGAACAAGTGATGATTAACAACAATTAATTATGGGAAAAAAACAAATCTAGAGAATAGAATAACGAACAAAAAAAAATTCATTGCGGTTGTTCGCTAATTTTTGTCATTATTATTTAATGGATCACGTGGATATGAAAAAAAAACAAATACACATTTAGACTGGTAATTATTTAAATGTGAATGTGTGTGTGTGTCTTGTTCATTTTAATGATACTATTGTCATTAAGAAGATTGTCATTATCATCATCATCATCATTATTATTATTATTATATATGACAGTTTACAATATTATGTGCTTATTGTTTTATTATTATTAGTCGGGTTTTACGAACGAAAAAAAATTCTTTTTTTTGTAAAGATATCCAAAGGTGTAAATGCATATTCTTGAATGGAAATAATTTGAATTGTCATTTTTTTTTGTTTTGTTTAAAAAAAACCGGCTAAAATCAGCGGTTCGCATCGTTAAGGTAGATAGATATGGAATATTGCACAAAATATTTTTTTGTTTTAGCTTGTAATGATTTAAAAAAAAAACAAAAAGAAAATATCACAGGTAAATATAGAATATTTAAATGATTATATTTTTGTTACCTCGAAAACACGATTGATATTGATGGTCGAATAGAGATCGTGGCCACACAAATGCACACATTAATATTGTTTTCAACATTATCAGGTAGTATTTCGGATCTATTATTATTCAAAGAAAAACACTCAGTTACATACAATTTAGAATGTTCATTCACTAAGTTAAGAAAATAAATAAAAGATCTAAAAAAGAGTGTCGAACATGTTTGCTGTTTTGAATATTATTCATTATATAACAATGAATAATAACCAGAAAGAGTGCAACTTAATGATCATCATTATAAAAAGATCATAACCATAGTATGACGTATGTCGATGATGTTGATGATGATGATGATGATGATGTTGATGATGCTTGTATTATTATTATAAAAATCATGGATAAAGGTAATAATTCCCATTTCAATGTTTGCTATCCAAACAAACATGATTATCATTTCATTCTTAGATTTAAAGTCTATGAATTATGTCGATGAGTATGTTAAAATGTTTTCATATCTAGAATAATCATTGAAAATATTAATATTCTGTGTTATAAATAATAATATTAAAAAAAATGAATAATAACACTGATGATAATCATGATTTTTCGTTGTTGGATTATCATCATTATCATCAACAAGATATTCCAGATGATGTACAAACGTTTAACACTACCACCAAACAACTATCGAATTCGCATATAATCGATCATCATTGTTCAGATTATTCCATAGTTCATATGAATTCACGAAATTCCATGACAAATAATGAACATACAAATGAAGTTTTCCTTGACCATCAAAATCAATATTCTCAATTCTATAATAATAATAATTATAATTTTCAAAATAATCATTTTTATAATAACCATAATTCTGAACAACAAACGGCATGCCATCAACAGCAAAATAATTATCATCATATACGATCAGACTATAAAAGAAAAGATCTTGTAATTGATGTTTCAAACAAATTCAACTTTTCAAGCTGCTGTTATTCAGCTATTATATCTACGACAGAAAGCCAACAACTGTCATCATCATCATCATCATCGCCATCGTCATCATTAATTAGAACAAATCCAACAGATTGCTTGCCTATTAACGATAACAATCATCAACCAGAATCAATGCCAATATCTTCGTCATTGAAAGGATTCAATACACCATTTAATAATATTGAATGTAGTACAATCATCGATTATGATGGTAATAATGGTCATAGTTTTGATAAAAATAATGAAGAATATATTGAGAATGATAATAAACAAATTATTGATTGTAATCATCTAAGTATTATCAATAATGATGATGATGATGATGATGATGATAAAAATAATGGAAAAAACATCAATAACAATAACAAAAATAAAGTGATTACAAAAAAATCAATTTGTTCATCTAGTTCATCATTATCGGAACCAACCACCATCACCACCACTACCACTACACAATTATCAACATTATCCGATGATCACAGTGATTGTTTAGTTTCATTAACACCATCATCATCATCATTGGTTATTGAACGTGAATGCGCCAATTGTATGACACGTAATACACCATTATGGCGTCGTTATGGTCCAAATAGTTTTCTTTGCAATGCATGTGGTCTCTATCAGCGTGTCAATGGTAATCATCGTCCATTGATGAAAAATATTCGGCGTAATATATCGACAACAATTACAAAACGTACAGGTAATTTAATTTTATTTCATTCCTTTCAATATGTCGTAATCAACGGTATATTTGATGTTAAATTCCTTTTTCAATAAACGAATTTATTATGAAAGTTTTCAATTTTATAAGTTAGAAAGATTGGAAAATTTCTTTCCTTTTCTAATAGAGAACTAGAATTCGAATAATATAAATTCATGAATCATATTCGCGTTTTTTTTTGAAAAAATTTGTTGAAGATTATTATATTTCAAAGTATTTCAATTTTTTATTGCATTACTGGATTTAATCATTTTTTGAAATAATCCATTGTTTTTTGGTTTATTCCAATAATTTATAATGGTGATTTATTTTTATTTCAAAATAGAATCAAAATAAATCATAAATTTTGATTATTAATTATTTTTAACACATAAGCTGCCATCTACAATTGTGATTGATAAAATTGTTTGATTGATTAATTTTCATTTTTTTTTTCATTTATTTATATATGTATCAATTAGGCTTATGTTGTGCCAATTGTGGAACAAAGGCAACATCAATGTGGAGACGGAATACATTTGGTGAATCTGTTTGCAATGCTTGTGGCCTGTATTTTCGTTTGAATGGAGTTAATCGACCAATCGAAATGCGCAAAGAAGCCGTTCGAACACGAAAACGACGTACAAAACCAATGTTGATGTTGCGCGCCATGTTGGGACCAGATTTTTTCACAAAAACTTCATCATCATCGAATAATTTAGTTAATAAAATTGAATGTCAATCATCATTAGAAAAGTTATTAAATTATAAACCTCAAATTTTGGCTAATAACAGAAGATTCGAATCTAGTGAATCGATAAAATCGAAAACGAATGAAAAAATTATTGTTAATGATGAGAAAAACATGATGATAATTGATAATGATAATGTAAAACAATTTGATCATCAAGGAACAAAGTTTGAGAATGTTAAACGGAAAAAATTTGCCAATTCAAATCAACAGCTTATTGTGAATCGTTATAAAAAATTCGAGGAATTAGTTCTTGAATCGGGAACGATTTTTTCGGGCAATTACTTGCCGAACAATACAATTGATTGGCAGTCGAGTTCTTCAGATCCATCCATAATAAATTCATATAGTGGTCATTGTACTTCATCAATACCCAGAACAGCTATCATGGGATCCAAGCAAGAATTGTTTAATCGAGAGAAGAGCTGTCCAATCATGATGGATCATGAGTATCAGAATCACCCAGATACAAATATTGACAATGACAATATGACAATTTCGGAATCATATTTCCAATATTCTCATCATCATCATACACAGCAAGACGGGCATAATTCAAATAATTATGAAAATTGTGAAACTTCAAATATAGAATCTTGCATGAAACCGCCAACATCTATATTGTCACTACCGTCAAGATTTTCATGCATCGAACCTTCACTTGACATTTCGATGCTAAATACGACAATATCACATTCATCATCATCATCATCATCAACAACAACAACAACAACAGCACCGACATCATCAACGTCATTGCCGTCAACTTGACATTTGTTGTCATTCTTGAATTCAGGAATAGGTGGTAAATGTTGCGTATGATTTATATCAAATCATTTGCACAATATTCGAATATGAATAGATTAATATTCTTGATTGATACATCATTAATGCATAAATTGTTTAAGAATATGGTGATGATATTATAATAACAAATTACATTCTATAGTGAATTAGTGAAAAAGAAATGTGTGTTGCAAATGAAAATGAATTTATGAATTTATGAATAAATACTAGATAATCATTTGTCGATTCTCAATAGAAATTTGGCTTATTTGAATCAACATTATTTAAACAAATTATTACTATATGAATCACGTTATCCAAAAATAGTAGCAATGAGCTCAAGAATAATTATGTATCAATTTATGCCTGAATGAATCTATAGTGTCGGTATGGAAGGCCATATTCATTATGTGGTATAATAATTTTGAAGTGAATAGAGAGATAGAGAAAAATTAATTTTTTAAACATTCTGACAGAATATATATCGTGTGAATCTAAACAATGTTCATACATTTATGAACCAAAAAAAAAAAATTTATTTCACAATGAAAGAATTAAATAAATATATATATATGGATCCGACCATCAAAATCATATACAAACAAAAGAGTCTGATTCAATGGTTTTCGATTGTCATTTACAAAATGAAAATAAAAGATATGCTCCAGATCGCAATCACAATATAATCTAAAAAAATTCCATTCCACATGTAAATAATTGAATTAACTATTCGTTTGAACTTTTATTATTCGTATTCAATGTATCTAAATTTTATTTGAATAATGTTTCTGTATGATTGTATATGATTACACGAGTCAAATTGTTGTATTTGTAAAGATAACGATTCTTGTTATTAGTAGTAAATTGATTGAATATATAAAAAAAAAATTCAACTCTCTTCAATTCAATTCTATTTTTTTTGTAACAATGATGTGAAAGTTGACATTAGCTTTTCCGTTTCCAGTTTCTCTTTTGACAATAATTTGTTTGCAACAACAATAGATTATGATGATGATGTGTGTATATGTATGTATGTTTAGAATTCGTGTCCAGTTTTATTTATTCATTCATTCATTCATTTGTTGTCGTTCTGTCTATTTTGTGATGATTTTTTTTAATATTAATTCAGAAAACATGAAATAAAAAAAAAGACTTCATACATGGCTGAATAAACGGTCACATTAGTAATGTGTTACATATTTGTAACAATATAAAAAATGCAAGCTTGGTCCTCATTATTTCTTTGGCCAAAATTCTCTTTTTATTTGAACTTGTATAAAAGATAGATAGGAAGAATTTGTCTATCTATTCTGGCTGTCTGTCTGTATGTTATTGACTGTCCTACCGTAATTTTTTCCGCCATATCACAACCTCAGGCTTTTCAACAACAACAACAACAACAACGTTTTCATATGGTGAAGAAAACAAAAATAAAAATTATATTTCTTTTAAACTGATGTCATATTCGAAAATTCAAATTATTCCACTTGAGACAACAACAAAAATGAGAAGAAGAACAATTATCTTGTTTCAGCAACGAATATTGTCACCGAATATTGTTTTGTATTCGTTATTTTCTTTTTTTTATTTTATCCATTCTTGTCGGCATCCATCTAGAATTGAAAATTGAATTCATATGAAATTCTTGAATTAAACGTAATTTTTGTTGCTGATGTTTAGAGGTGTGTGTGTGTGTGCGTATGTATGTGCGTAGATTCTTCTCAACAGAAAATTCGATATTAGCATTCTAAATTCTATTAAAAACTAATCTTTTCAAGAATCAAGAATAAAATAACGAAAATTGTACCATCTTGAACTTTTTTACAGAAAATAATCTGTAAAAAAATATGTGTGTACTATTGTTCTCTTCTTAATACTTTTCTCTGATTTTAAATTGAACTGAATTTAACCAAAAATAAAACAAAAAAAAACGAGTGTGCGCTTCATACCTTTACAAGACAAAATCAACTTTTTTTTTTGTTTTCACTCCAGAAATCCTTCTGAGAATCTAAAGACTAACGACATTTTTTCTTTGGAACAATCACAAATTTTTTTTTCATTCCTCTATCATCTCTATCTCCGTTTTCATTGTTGTATGAGGCCGATTCTGTTGTCATATTCACTAAAACAACAACGCAATTATCCTTGATTTTTTCATTACAATATATTATTATTAATTATTTTAAAATTCGGGTATGGATTTTCTTATTACCGCGTATTATACGAAAAAAAGTTGATAAATAAATAGTCTTATTTTTAATAGTTACTCTATAGAAAAAAAATATATCTGCATTTCGATAGTTGCATCTTATAGTCGCGATTTTAGGGTTATTCTAAATTGATATTATTATTAATATTATTATTGAAATAAAACATTTGAGCAACAAAAATAATTCTAATTTTAATGATGATGAGGTCATATTGAAAATCGCAAAAAATTCAAAACCAATTATCGTAAATAGTACCGATTCTTGATGAGCAAAAATATGAGATTAGTTTTGTAGTTTTTTTTCTCTTATTATCTTTCAAAATGATGAATGTTTCAACGTAAAATCAATTCAGTGCTGTTACTACTTTATTGTTTCAAAAAGTAGAATAGTTGATAAAAATTGTAATTCCCAGAATATCATTATGTTTTGATTCTCTTATGGAAGAAGAAAATTGAGAAAAAAAAGTAAACTATTCTTAATAATTCTCAATATTTTTTACGTGGAAAAACATTTTCAATTTTATTTCATTAAGATTTCATCATTTTTTGTTCACACACTTAGATTGTTTTATTATTGTATTAAGAATGGGTCGATACATTGAATGGATGGATAAATTTTTATCATTTATCATTTTATTGTTGATTATTCGTTTTTATAAAAAAACTGTATTTGCTACAATATTACAACCGTTGGTCGATGTCAGTGAGTATCTTTCTAAATTCTGATAGAAAATGATTTTTTCATTTTTTTTTTTGATAATAAAGAAGGAAATGATGCAATTCGTCAAATACGTTTTTTATACGATATACACGAAACTTCTTCAATATCATCGGAAAATTCGAAAAAAAAAATTTACAATAATCGATTGTTGTTACTGGAAGAACAGCGAAAATTTTTCAGCAAACCAATTCCAAATGTTTTATATCCATGGACAACAGGACAAAGAATTTTAATCAATCGCAATAATCGTTATAATAATAACAATAATAATAATAATCACCCAGAGAATTATTTTGTATATAATCGAGAAAAATATGAGCCATCATCATCATCATTATCATTAGCTATGAAATTCAAAGATATTTCTGCTATTCAATTACAACGGGGACGACCAATGTTTGCCGAAATCGATTTTGTTCCGCGTAAGTATCTGAAAAAATTTGTCATTCATCAACATTATAAGTTTATTTATTGTCAAAGTAACATTTAATTATCTCTTTAATGATTCAGGCAATTTTTTGTACAAAAATATAATAACTTAATTAATGTGATAATTGATTGATTTATTTAGAACTTTTTTTTGATAGTGAATCATTTTTTCTTTCTTTTTCAAGGATACATACCTGAATGGACAAGTCATGTGGCCGTTAGTGTAACGTTACCGGCTCATATACGTGGAAGACCATGGATTCTAGGTTATCATCAGGAACAATTTCCAATGCCTACTTGTCGACTCTGTACAAATGCCGATCAATCCTATACATTACCTGTGACGATATTTTTACCCGACGATGGATGGTGTCCTGAAGGTCGTGTACAAACAATTTGGAAAATTGAAGCACTTCAATTAGTTCCACATATAGACAAACAACAACAACAAACAATTCTAAATAATGAAATTATTCGAAAGTATCCCGAATTTAAATATCAAAGGCAAATGGATCAAACTGATATGATATTAGCATATGGTTATGATGAATTGAAGCAATTTTATATCAAAAACAGTGTCAATTCAAGTAGATGTCGTGATATTCATGAAGCGATAGTTGCTTAAATGTTTTTTTAAAAATATTTTTTTATATTATCATTCTATTTTCGTTACAATATTATTATGATTTTATTACTCTGTTCAAACTAATCTGCCTTGAGCGTTTCCGCTTTTTCTATTTCTTATATTATATACCAACAATTTGATTCACTCGATTTAGTTAATTTGTTTCCATGGAATGATAATATTTTTTTTTACTGTGAGGAGATGTTATTGAACTTATCATTATCTACTGAACGCTTATTTAAAGATGGCCAATTAGGTCAAAAAATGGCTGTGTTTTTGTTATTTTTTTTTATTGAGTGTTGTCAGTATATTATACAATATGGTGAATGATAAAATATTTTTCCAAAATTTACTTTGTTTGTTGTTGATCATTGATACTTATATTATCATTAATAATATTAGGTGAATTTATCGTATTTTCTTTGAAATTATTTTCGTTCTAAATAGATAATGCAATTAGATTCCAGATGTGAGAAACCAATGAGAAAGAGCAAAAAAAAATCTACTTTCAAAATTGATGATAAATATTTGACAAAGAAAAATCATTGAATCGGTAAGACGTAACTAATACCTGTCGCTTAGATACGATAATTATTGATTATAATCATTGAAAGTTTTTTTTTGGGCTAATATCAAAATGTGCAGACACCGGTAGTATAATAGATGCTCTGAAAACGGTATTCTTAGAAAGTAAAGTAAAAAGTCAACACATAAACTAAAATATAGCAAAAAAAAAAAAAATGTCAAAAGGAAATATTTAGCCACATCAATCAGTGTAAAATTGGTCTACTCACTGTTCATTGAGTCATCATTGAATTTCGTTTGTCAAAGAATGGGATCCATTATTGTGAATATATTTAGTTTTACTACTTTTATAATAATAATAATCTCGATATCGGTCGCATCTCAACCAACATCCATTAATAGACACTATTATCAACTAGGTTTTGCGACGAACAATATAGTGTCCAAATGTGATTTCTTAACGAATAGCTGCCGATTTCGTAATCAACATAATTTAGCCACATATAATCGATATTATAATGCAGAAAAAATGTTTTTCGATCGTCATTCATTGTTATTATTGAATATTAATGCACCACGTTCACAACGTTATCCTGGTGCACGATTAATAACACCATATTATCAAGCCAAATATCATAATGCTTGTTTATTTGTTTCATATCGTTATAGTGGTCCTGGAACCTTACGTTTCTTTATAATTCAACAAGATATAGATAATAAATGTATTTTTTCTGATGATCATTTTAAATCATCCATATCAATCAGCAATGAAAATGTCTGGAATCATTTGGAATTACAATTGGATCTAAGTGATGGTGATGTTCGATTCTTTTTGGAAACACATTTCAATAGTTCAGCTAAAGCTGGATATTTTGCCATTGGTGATTTTAATTTTGGTTATGGTAATTGTCGAAATAAAAACGAAAATCATTGTTACGATAATATCATCAACAGTCATATAAATGTAGCACCAACAGCCAATTGATTATGATGATTACATTTATTCAAATGATGAGTTAATGATGCTTGCTTGTTTTTTTTCAAAAAGCATAAATACCAACTATATGTTCCTGGCTATTTCTAATAAATAAAATTTATTCCTATAAATTCAGAAAACAAATGGCATTTAATTCCAATACTATTTTTACAATAAATAATCTTATTGTCATTGTTATTTTATTCGATGATTTTTACTATATAAAAGACATCTTTTTTTGTCAATCGTAAATCGATTTATTCAAATAAAATTTATTATAAAACGATAAAAAATCAAAATTTCAGATATGAGATTTTCAAATGTGAAATTTAACTCAATTTCTTGTAATTTTGTTTGTTCAATTTTTTTGATTTTAAAATAGATTATTTCTGGTTTCATTCTTTGTCATTTCATTGCTTATTTTCTTTTTGTAAATAGAAACAAAAAACAAAAAAAAATCATCATTCATCATTATTTCTGTATCGTTGAAACATTCTTTAAATTTAATAAATGTTTTTTTGAAATTCTTTTACTTTTATTTTCGAAACAAATGTAGTAAATTACATCGATAGAATTTGTACCCAAAACCTTTTTATATTTTTTTTTTACATTCAGTAATTGAATTTGATTTAGCTTTTATCAATGATGATTAAATGTGTTGAAAATGTACGTAAGAAAGTATGGAATTTTTTTTTGTTTAAAAAAAATTTATCCCTATTCATCGCATGTTTGTTCAATGTGAATTCTTGAATTCAATGATTTATTTATTTATTTTTTTTTTGAAAGGAATTGAAAAAAAGAAAAAAATCAATATTAATCTATTATGATCATGTTAATTAGTATAAATAAATAAAATAAAAGTATCAAATAAATTCAATCTGAAGTAAGATATAATGGTTTTTTATGTCTAAAATGTTGAGCTTTTTTCATCATTACAAATTGAAATGATAGTATTATTTTGATCCTGTTCAATTATCTTTTTAGGTTGATCAATGTTATTTTCATTTGCATTATTTGCATTATTTTCATTCAAATCTTTGTTGACAATTTCATTCGGATTTCTATTACATGAACAACATAGCATAATAAAACGTTGAATCCGATTCTTCAATAATGTTAATGAATGAATAAATGAATCGGTACGAAGACGAAATGTTTCGTTCAGCCAACAATATATAAATGGATTATAACAAACGGAACTCATTGCTATCCAATGTGTAACAAAATAAATTCCTATATTTGAGGATAATAAAGATTGCAATGATAAAAATCATTACAAATGATAACAACAGATTTAAGAAAGACAAAATCAATTAAATAAACATTCTTACCAAAATGATGTTGAATTATCTTAAAATCGATCAATGTAACATAAAGATGTAATGGAAACCAGCATGTAGCAAATACGGCTACAACAATCACTAACATTTTGATACGTTTACGTTTTCGTTTCATGATCGATGCACGACGATTTGCGCTCACACTACCTATTGGATTGTTTTGACGCCAAAGAAAACAGCCAATTCTTGCATAAAATAATGCTGTCAATCCGATTGGCAATAAATATTGACTTAATGGAGATAGAATGGCCAACATTAAACGATTCTGTTTGCTGGGAAATACAGTTGCACAACGTATCATATTGAAACCTTCCAATAATGATGGATAGACAACTAATTGATTAAAAAGGCAATGAGGTATAGATAAAACAATTGAACATATCCATATCAAACATATTGAACATTTCCATTGATTGGTCGATCGCTGATGTGATATTCTATTCATCATTTCATTGGAATGAGTTATTGTTCCATCTTCTATTGATTCACGATTTTTTCTATTGCACATATAAGGAAGATATTGACATACATCGAAACCAATACCAAAACATGTTGTTCGAATTAAACTATATAGTTTTAATGAAAAAAATATAATAATAAGAACAATAAATGGAAAAAACAGATTACAAGCTCACTGAATCCAGAATGAACATTAACCATTGGCATGACGATATATATTTTTTCCCATAACAGCTCATTAGCTTCAAATTCTGAAAAAAAAGTGAAAAACCATAATGAAAATATGACGATAATAAACTTTTTAACTTGTTTACAGTAAAAATTCTCAGAATAAAATGAAACTGATTATAAATAATACTACACCATTACCAAAAAATGGGAATGATCTTAAGAAAAAAATGTCATGAAAATTTTCCCCGTGAATTTTATTAAGATAATCAGAAGATGAATTCCAAAAATAAAATTTTATTGAATCACTTAAAGAATAATAAATGGAACGATTCATTCAGGTCATTATTTCTAATACATATGTAATGTATAGCTATATATAGGGTTCCTAAATTATGTTGGCTTGTTATGTGTCGGATTCGGATTAGTGTTTGGCTATTTTCTAGTGAGATTCAAATAGTTGAATTACCTTCGATAACGTTCGAATGCTATTACCATCATTGTAATCGATGAACAATGTGCCGATAATGATTGAATGAATGGAGTCAAGATACATATTACTGAACCGAATGGCCAATTTGTGCTGACAAATCGTACAATATTGATTGGTATGTTGAAGCAAGTGAGCAACAAATCAGCGATCGCTAAATTAAATATTAAAATATTTGTCGTATTACGACCATTTCCGACAAGTAAGGCTATCATTACACGGCAAACAAATATATTACCAAACAATGAAACTAACACAATCAATGAATAGGATGATACTAGTAAAATGTTCCAAATATTTTCTGCAGAAAACATCGATTCATTTAAATCAGATTGAGATGATGCATCAATTATTGGTAAAGTTTCTTCTTGATGTATTATTCTTGATTGAATAATACATCAAAGGTAAAAGGATTATCATCACTGGAATTGAATGCTGAAGAATCACTTGATAATTTGTTCCAATCAAATCGAATCGAAGTGGATGTTGTTGTTGCTGCAGTTGTGGTTACTAAAGTTGATGCTTTTGTCACTATTAATGATGTAGATGTTGTTTTAATCAACGATTTCTCAAGAGATTGTATCATTTCATCATTGTTGTGATCGTTTGATGACATTTGAAGTAAGAATAAATTATTCCAGGCCATTTTTTAACTATTAAAATAATTGTTACACTGACCAATAGAAATAGACATTTCAATGATCAACTTCTATTATGTCGATATATTCGTGATGAAATAATCTTTTTAAAAGAAAAAGTTAAATTTGGTAATCATTTGGTCCATTCGAGTTAAATTATTTGAAATGGACGACTGATCAAGAAAGAGTGATGGAACGAACGAGCCAACTAACCAACTGCCAAATTTAATGCAATTTTTAAGACTAGAAAACTAGAATAAAAAAATTGTATAGAATCAAAATTTTCCAAAATGAATGATGCTCAGGCGCAAATATATGCAGTCGCCACAATTTCTTGACATTATTGTCATTTTTTGAATCAAAAACGAATACATCATTCTATGAGAATATTGATGGCAATAATAATCATCTTAATTTAATGAGTAAACATTTTTTTACATAGACTTAGACAGAAATTAATTTTTGATGTCGGATACAGTCTAATCTGATCGTCAATGTTTTTTATTCGATTAACAACAATTTTCTTAACATTAGCAAACTATTTTGATGAAATACTATGAATATCGAAGCTTGACATCACGTAATCACCAATATATATATCGAAAGTGGACTATTCTAAATAATAGAAGTATCGAATGTACTTGATAAAGATGATCTTGTACAGTTGGCAATTTTTTTCGTCAAATGAATTAGGCAATATGTCTAAAATAAGCTCTGGATTTCTATAAGATATTGATGATGGTCTTCCATGCATGGTGATTCTGGGAAAAAATCTTGTTGAACATCAACATCATTATGAGGATAATCATCCATTTTACTGCTAGCTGCTAATGATGATTTAGAATTTTCAATGTCAATAATGATAATGATGATGATTTCCAATCTAATTTTATCTGAACAGAAACCTAATTAGCCGTTTATTACGTTAAAAGTTGCTAGAAATTATTTGCCGTTTTTAGGTAAAAATCGAAACATAGTTTGATGCTGATTTTCATAATTTTTCGATTCATTATTCATAATTAAAGTACATTGTTGTTGATGTCATTTATTGTAGACAATAAAATTTCCATTGTGATCATAAAATCTTGGGCGATTAATTTGAACAACATGAAAACAATTCAAGTTGTTCCTAATTGTTGCATAATATTGGAAAAAATTAAATTTCATAAACTATTCTATCAATTTTTAAGACGAATACATCCATGCTATTATAAAGTGTTGTTTTAGTCATTTTGGAATTCGATAATTCTATTCAACGAAATTTAAACATATATGTTAAAAATCCCACAAACACTAACATTCGATTTAGGCCTGTATCGTTTTCAAAGTATATGCGTATGACAAAAAAAAAACTAAATGCAGATGATTTCCTGTGTGTGTGTGTGATATTTACAGGAAACAAATGTAGTTTGTTATTTGATGATAAATGAAAACTGAAACAAAAATTTTGACGTAAGTCTGTAATGACATTTTTTTTTGTTCATCTGCTTTCAGTATCCTCTTGATGATTTCACCATTTCATTACAACCTTTATCGCACACACACGCTATTTGGAGATTGATGAAATATTTTGATCATGCAAGAGTTATCAACGTTATCATAATAAATACGATTCAATGTTTTTGTTGATGATCACTAAAAAGTCAATAGTTTCTTCATCATTGTTTTTTTTGTCATTGATGGTGATGATACCGAATTATCATCTCCAACAACAACAATCTTGTAGCGATGAATTCCATAAAGAATGTCATTGTGGTTCTCCAGCAATGCCCCCATCAACTTCATTATTCACTAGAATCGTATATCCAAATTCTACAATCAAAGTGGAATTATACAACGAATCCATTCCATATGGTTACGCAAAATATCTTCGTGTGTATTACAAATGTACAGATGATCGTGATGTTCTTGTTGGTAATAATATGCGCGAATGTTCCAGAGGAAATTGGATTGGATTAGTGCCTCGATGTGGTAATTAATTTATATCGTATGTTTTATTTTAAAAAAATAATTTTTAAAATTTCGCCTTACAGCAATTAACAATTTAAATCAAACGAAATTAAGTCACGTGAAAGTCAGTGATTTTAAAGTCACTGATACAATCGGGAAAGAAAATGATAATAATTTATTTGGCAATTTTCCAGAAGACAAACCGATAAACGTGCTCATTTATTATGACGAATCTTTGCAATTGAATCCAAATGGAAGTTTTGAAGTGCCGTTGATCAATCAACCTCATGATTGTTTACGTTGGAGTTTATCATCTAAACAAGTTTGGACAATGAATTTAGATAGAAAAACTCTTGTTCATTATGTGCGATTAAAATTATATGGTGATCACATTGAAGATCTTTATTTAAACCATGAGATTGGTATCGATCTTTCACTTACAAATATTTCAATTCAAGTATCAAATAATCAATCTAGACAAATGGATTCATTGCAATTGGAGATAAAATGTGATGAGACTATCCCCAAAGAAAGTCAATTTTCCACTTATCATCAAAAATATTCAGCCAATTACCTGGTATTAGATTTTCTATGTGAAATTGATGATAAGGAGAAATCTTTATTCGAATTCCTTTTTGCTGAAGATTATGATATTGATGAGCTATTGATTGGAGTTATAGAAGTAAGATTTGAAATGTTCAACATTCTTCATATTGATCATGGTCAAAATATCGATCTTGAATTTAAGCAAAAAATTTTTGTCATATCTCTTTGTGAATTACATTTATATTCATTCGAGCCTGATTGTGGAACACCTGATTTGCCTGTTACAGCCATTGTCCAACGGGATTTTAATTTTATCGAAGATAATGGACATGTAAGAAAATCATATAAATATACATGTCCTTATAATCAAGAGATAAGAGGAAATCCAAACATTGAATGCGGATATTATGGAAAATGGAAAGCTGAATTTCCAACATGTGACCACAGTAATCCCTGTAGCTTATTAAAGAATCTTACATTCATGCCAGGTTATCTTGTAGATGTAAAATATGAGACCACTATGATGAACAAAAAATATAAAGATGTAATTGTTCCCAATGGAAAATTCGCTAAAATCATCTGTATTCGATTGAATGATCGATCCGATAGTATTGATCAGCAAATCATGGACGATAAAAATGCAACATTCAGCATCAATCAGGTCGAGAATAATAATTATACAACACACCAAAAAATGATTTCACAGCCACGACGTGATGTATCACAAATCAAATGCATCAACGGAAAATGGATTGGTATGGAATCAGTCGATTGCATAATGCGTAAATCAATTTTGGAAGAAAATCCAATTTTGAAAAACGTTTCAGGCACAGAATTGAATAAAAGTCAAGTCGTTTCTTTACCAGTTCGAATGATACAGATTTTATTCGTTTTGTTCATATTTTTGCTTTTAATTATCATATGTCTGTTAATCTACATGATCATTTTTCGTAAACGAATGACAAAACAAGTAAAAAAACGAAATTCCAAAGAACCTAATCAAGACCATGGTGCCTTCTCGGAAGGCATGTTTCAGAATCACGGAATGTTAGGCATACCGACTTTCCATTTTGACTCTGCAACATATCGACCCGATTATTATAGTTCCGTTGAAGATTTTTATGAAAGGATAAATTTGGAAGAAAGAGATTCACATCTTTATCATACCATCCCGAATCCGAATTATAACATACAAAGTCATTATAGCGATTTAAGCATTTATCCCAGTTTGTCAAGTAAATTCTCAAGCAATTATCGTCCACCAACGTTAAATTTAGACTTAGGAGAAGAACGATACAATTCGATTTATGGTCTAGAAGAAGATGGTGTATTCGATCAACAACAACAACAAGAACCCATACAACAAGTTACGGGTGTTAAAGATTTTTTAGAAACCACAATCATCAATGATGAAGATACAAGAAAATGTTCATCACAATATAATTCATTATCTCGATCATCTACAGGTTATTTAAGAAAGAATTCTATTTATGAAACATAAATAAATGAATGGAATATTTTTAAATTTTGCAAAATAAATTTCATGATGATGATGATGAAAATAAACATGACAGCGCCATCTCAATACAAATAAATGAATAAAATCTATAATCTATAATTTTAATTTTTAATTTCTTTTCTTTTTTTTGGTTAATTTAAATTACATAATATAACAATCATAATACAAAAAATAGATAGATAGAATGTGAATTTATAAAAAGATATAATACCAATCAGATAACAAGGAATGATTCGTATTTTCTGGCCTCATGCTATAATCAACAAAAATAAATAAAGATTAATGAAAACAAGGACATCATTATCGATATGTGAATCGATTTGTGTGTACAAATATCATATAATAAAATATTAATCATGTTTAATTAGCTATAAATTATTAATCTTATCGACGTCCATTTATTTTATCATTCAGAATGGCTCGCATTTGTTTGCCTTTTGTATCTAATCGCAATTTTTCCGGCTTGACAAATATTCCAAATTTAGGCCGACATTGAAAATAAGATATTCCATTGACTGATCCATCATTTTTTCCAGTAGGCGTATCCAATATGATTCCCACCCATATACCAGGAGCAAAATCCGTCTCTCCAATATATCCGATTGTTCCTAATTTAGAATCTGGACATACTCGTACACTTTCACCGATTTGCATCCATTCGGGTAAATTCATTTTGAGATGATTACTTTTTTTAAATTCATCATCTTCATCACCGCTCCCATTACTCGATGATTGCATAGATAATGATGATGGTATTGATACTGATTCATTGGAAATGGGTGTTCCGGTACTGTTTATTCGTGCATTACTCATCTGGCTATTCGAATCACTAGAAGATATATTGTAATAGGTCGGTATATCTGTGTATGAACGAATGTCATCATCATCATCAACATTATGAATAATAATGTTTAAACTTTCTGGTCGTGATCTTCGTTGCAATTTGTCCTTGGTGGCCGAACGATCGAATACAATGAAACATTGCCCATTTTCTTCATCATTTGGATCTGTAACCGTATGTTTTGATTTGTCAACAGAAATGGATGGTGATAATTGTTTCTCTTCAACAACTGTTCTCATAGATTTTCGAAATGGCTTATTCATGTTGATAGCTTTATAATAAAAACAGAAATTGAAATCATAGTTTTAAACTAAATGAATAGACTTACTGTTTATTTGTGATGGATGTGATTCGAGTTTTACGGATTTGTTTTGTCGATCTGGTTCGCCAATATCAATATCCGTAACGTAAATTTGATTCAATCCAGTCATACTTCCGAACAGTGAGCTAGCTTTTTGTCGTAGGCGTCCAGCAGCAGATGTAAGATATGATAAATCAAATGAAGAATCAGCTCGTTCTTGCTCCGATGGTCCATCATAATCGTCTTCTGATCTTTGATAATTATTTTCATCAATTGCCAGATTGTTTCCTTGATATAGCGTAGTCTGATGCTGTCGATAATGTCCGACAAATTGGACCATGTTTGGTACAGATAGGGTTTTTCTCAATTCAGAATTTTCAGAATTATTATAAAAATTATTGTTATTGGTAGAAGAAAGAAGTTGAAGTGCTCTTTTAGCTTTCTTAGCGATTCGTTCACGAACAGCGACTTCTTGCCTTAATCGATCCAATGTGAGAATCGATTCCAATGCTGAAACACTTTTGGTATAACGTTCGATATAACTTTCTCCGTCACAAGCGGTTAGATCAACATCGGAAGCAGCTAATAATGCTAAAGATTCACGATCTTCAATATCTTCACTAGCTTTTGGTATCGACGAAACAACCTCATAGGTGATTCCCGTAGCAACAGGGGCTAAATCAGCACGTGAAATACGTTTAAAAATATTTTTGGTTGATGAAACAAGTCCTTGCTTCTTATAAACATTGATGGCAAAACGCTTTCGTAATATCAAATTCATATTCGCTGGATGAGTTATTGCAATGCAAACTTTTAATATCAAAAATATCCGTTCATTAGGTGAGGTTACACGATTCAAGTGAGGAGATTCATGTATTGATGAATCCCAAGCAGCAACAGCTTGCACACCATCCATATTCGCTTGAGAAGAAACAATACTTAGATTGTAAAAAGGACTACCATTGTGTTCTTTGGGCAAAATCAGATCTGCTCCCGCTGCTTTATTTTTAGATTCGGACAAGTTCAGTTCATCTGCTGTGAGGAAATTAATTATTTTCGATTAAAAAATATTAACAAAAGGTCTAACTTACTATTGAGATCAAGAAAAATAACTGGTATGTGATTCTCCATACCATCTGGTATTTCCCAACTATCATCCGGAGCTCCAGGTATTTCCGAGCCTGGTGTTGGACATTTAGCGACCTTTCTCTCTTCAACAAGAGTCACCCATTGATTCATTAATCTATGTTCACGTTCGATATCTTCTTGAGTTTTATTCTTATTTTTATTCATCAATTTATTTATTTGATCTTGTAGATATGCTTGGCGTTTGTGCAAAATAGCCGACCATTTTTCATGTAACAATGACAAATCACCTTCTTGATAGCTGTCCAATGATTTTTGAACTTTAGATCTAACACATATACATCCAACTTGAATGAATTGAATTGAGTGGAATATGAGTGGAAGAGTTCCAGAATTTGGCACGGTTTCAACTCGAACTGATATTCTACGCTGTTGACCTTGACGTAATTGATAAACTCCACCGGTCGAAATATCTGCTTGTTGTTGAATTTCGACTGGTGTATATGTTCCTTGATCATTCAATTCATGAATTTCTATCCAAAGTTCTAACTTTCTTTTCAATTCTAACCAACGATCCACCAAGGTACGAGAGATTTTGAAAATTTGTTCTTCAGATTCATTCTTTATAATTGGATTAGCTGATATTCTATGTCCCCAGACTTCAATTGATAAAGCACCATCAATGCAAAGTTCACGAAATTCTTCCGTCAACGTGATGATAAATTCTTGTTGGTAATCAAAACTAATTTGTGGCTGTGAAGATGAACTGAAATCCAATTTATGAAGATCTGTTGTATCGACTGGGGTGAGAACAATCATTTCTGTTAAACCACAGACCGTGTATTGACAAAAAACAAAATTCGATAATTCTGGTGGTAGGCAACTGGCAGATTTTATTTGTAGACGTAATTTGAATTGGTTTGGTCCGATGGACTGTGGCTTTTCGGCATCGACAATAATCACAGAATTGGTCATGTTGCTATTGTCTACTGATTCAGTATCATTTGATAAGGAATCATCGTCGGAGAAAGCTGCATCAGCCATGCGTTCGCCGAAATTTCCTTCAATTCGGCCGAATTCAATATGCAAACGACCCGCCATTTCCCCTTGTTGTGAAATAATCGGAACTTGGTAAACTAGTTGAACATCTTGCATTAGTACTTCTAGAAAAATGTTGGCAACACCAATGAGTAAATGTCGTTCTTGGGATTCATAAAATGGATCGTTTCGTGGTTGTATGTAATTCGGTGATGATGGCACAGAATTATCATCATTGATTGATGTTTTATTCTTTAGTTTCAAATTTTGTCTTTCTTTCCATTCGACATAACGTTCGCGCATTTCGATTAGATTTGCATCAAATTTTTCCATTGACCATATTTGTGAAGGGAAATTTTTTCTTTTAACCAAAATAGCAGGTTCAGAGACGAAAACACCACATTTTAAGCGGCTGGGATTTAGGTTGGCTGGAGGTATTTGCAAAGTGACTTTGAATTCACTACTTTTGTGCATTTCTTCAGCAATCAAACTAGCTTCATAGGCCAGAGTATTAGCTTTTGCTATCTCTTCTTTCAGTTTTGATAGATAAACACGAAAATTTTCTTCCCGTTCTTTAGCTAATTTCTCCAACATTCTCTGAGAGTGATGCATTTGATTTGAAGTAAGATTTAATGATGAACCACTCATTACGCCATAGCCATTAGATTTTGAATTACCCAAGTTTGATAAAAATGTTGTACTGCCAGATAGTGAGCCTCCGCCGGATCTTGACATCGTTAATATTTGTCGGGGATCATTTTGCATCGAGAACATGGCTTTCAAATCCGGATTATTACAAGTAAGCATCTCATCGCGAGCATAATTATAATCAAAGTAATTATTTTCAATTTTAGATGTATTCATAGATGATTGATCAGATGTTGCCGGACAATTCAGACTAAAGAAATGGTTATTTCCCCACAGTATTCGATCACCGTTTCGAAGACATACACGTTCATATATACGGACTCCATTGACGAATGTCCGAGAATCATTGATCGGTTCTATCCATAATTGATTTTTGACCCTATCGATTTGAATTACTGCATGTTCTGGCATTATACCAACGCCCAAAAGTTGAATATCTTGTTCGACTGTTGCATCGGGTCGACCGATTAAAGTTTTTTCTTTGAGATAATATACCAATAAAGCATTCATTGATGGATCGGCATTCAGATTGACTAAATAATAACGATCTTTTTCTACAGCAATACCAGAACTTTGAACGGAGATGCCCATCTTTTCCAATGCTAGTTGTCGTTCTTGATGAATTTTTTCTGTTTTTCGTAATTTCTCTTCCCAAGTTTGTTCCATTTCACGTATAAATTTTTCAGACTCAGCCAAACGTTCTTGAAGGTCCGTGTTAACATTAGCATGCATCAACTGTTCGCGTAACTGTTCTACTTCTTGACGAAGTTCCCGAATAATACGATTGTTCGGATCTTCATTGATTATTGCATGGTTAACAATACGTTTGGCTCGATCAGCATAACGTAACGTTGATAATGTTTCATCATAGCTATCTGCTGAAGGACTAATGGTAGAAATCATAATAGTTTTTGAATTGCCACCCAAATTATCTTTTAATAGCCATGTAAGAACAGAATCTCGATATGGTACAAATTGTTCTTTGCGATTGCGACTATTAGCTTGATCTGCTAGCTTAGATATCACAAGACCAAGTGTGGTTAATGATTTATTAATATTGGAACCTTCTTTTAATCGTTCACCGACAGCTCCGGTTTTGATTGCTCGTTCACTGCCAGCCAAATCGACTAGACTCATTTTCGAGACACGTTCACCAACGACATCGGCAACAGGATCGTAAATGGAACAAGTCAGTGTTAATGTAAACACTGCATGTGATCTAGATGATTCAGAATTCATGTTGGTTGACGCCACAGTACGAGATTTATTTCCTTCGGCCATCAAGCTGTTGATCTCTTCAAATGAAGAAACCGCTAATGTAGATAAGCCATCAACATATGGCCCGAGAATATTGTGTTCACGCACTTTAAGCGAATGTCTTGCTCCAATAGGATCTAAAAGATCATGAACTCTTTCATTATAGATTTCCATATAAGAAACTTCTAATTTGAAATTTGAATTTGGATCTTGTTCAGTGAGGTTTTGAATACGCTCAAATATTGAATCACATAATCTAGGTATTAGTCCCTTTTCATGTGGAGATCCCATCATCGTATATGATTTTCCCGATCCTGTTTGTCCATAGGCAAAAATGCATGCATTATATCCTTGAAAAGCTGAATCCAAAATGGATAGGCCCAATTTTTGAAAAACATCCTCTTGACTTGCATAATGTGGATCAGAATTATTGTATGACCAAAAACAGTGATCAAATGTGAATACCTATGAAATTGAAAAAGAAATAAAACAAAAAGTTAGCTTACAAATCAAAAAACAGATAAAAATAGTTTATATAATTAATAGTTAGAAGTATCAAATTATTTTAAATTAATTTCCAACAATTATGATTAAATCAGTCTAAAAAAGAAACAATTTTGAACAAGGACATCAACCTAATAAATTTTAATTTTAATCCATGTAATTTATAAGCAGATTAGAAATGGATTAAATAATAGTGATCCATGAACGTTTGGCATGACAACTCTGACCTATGTGAATATAATCATTTTTCATTCACGACAGTCAATGAAACTGGTCATGGAAGAAGAAAGTATGAAGATAATAATGATTTGGCCATTATCGTTTTTCGCAGCTATTGTTGGAGAAATAAAATAAATTGAAATCAAAAAAAAAAATCCAAATCATCGCCATCATATTCAAAATCATTTGACAATTTGAATTTTTCATTCCTCGAATGCAACAAATGTGTTACCATTAATGGAGAATGAATCATTGAAATCGAAATGACATACATTATCACATATGAAAGTAGGACAGTGAAACATTTTGCATATAGCTTTATACAATGCCATTGTTTTTTGAATGCAAATCTTGCAAACAAATTATGAATAAACCCTTTTTTAATAAGAAAATTTTGAAAAACTTATTTCAAAGGTAATCGTCTGTCATTGATTGTATCGTAAAAGAGAAAATTTCATGGTTTTTGAAAAAAAGATTATCGTCATCGATCTATGTGATTTGGTATATTAAAATCTTTGTGCTTACTGATTAATCATTCTACTTAATGTCATTACATTTTATGTACATGTGTGTGTGTGTGTGTGTCTTTCATCTATTATCTTTTGACTTCAAAATGTTATGAAGAATCCAAAAATTATGCATCTGCAATTAAATGGGATAATGAATGAGCTTTTAGATACAATTATAAAAAAAATCATAAGGATGATGATGAATTTAGATGAAAGTAAAATTACGTATTCATTATAATAAAATAAAATAAATTACCGGCTCAATATAAATGTAAAAATATTAGCATATGATAAATTATTCAAAGTGATAATGGATACTGACAGATGATATTCAATGATCGAGTCAATCATGATCACACAGACATTTTTGGGACAAGATATTATCATCAATATCCATTGCCACTATTCAATTGGAATATGAATGATTTGAAGGAAATTGAATAAAATATAATAAATATATTGATGAAATGTGCGATGAAGATGATTCAAAGAATTTGAATATTATGAATACAATTCAAACTTTGAATACATAATTATCATTCAATGAATGAATCCATTCATTGCAAGGTCATCACGACAATATATATACAGCCACACACACATAATAATAATAGGAAATGACAATTTTAATTGTTCTTTAACTGGTGATATCTTTTATAAATTTCAACAATTCTCCCAACAACAACAACAACAGGTGTTTAAAAAAAGGTAGCTCAACAAATGTTTGAAAAAGACAACTTGTTGAATAGAAATTATCGTTTTTTTTCTTTTCACATGGTAGAATCTAATCTAAAACTAAAAAAAGAACATTACCTCTTATTATCATCATCAAATATATGAAAAGAATGGAAAAGAAAATGATCCATTTTTTCAGTTTTTATTCGTTTTTATTATTAACCAATGATTATTGACTTTTGTGAAATCGTATTTCGTTTCGAGATTATTATTATTTCCTAGTGTTGTGAACTAATAAATGATTTGAAAAAAAGAGGTCCATTATCACCATTGTCATTATTATTACCAAAAAAAAAAAAGAAATCACAATCAATTTTTTTCTTGGTTATAGCTAGCTCAAGCCATCTTCCATAATTGATGAACGAGCGAAAAAAAATAAGGACACACAAACAAACCACCATTATTATCATCATCAAGGAAGGAAGTAAGTAGGCTCGAACAATCAGTTGTGTAGTAAAAAAAAAAAAAAATATTGAAGAGATAATGATCATATGTAATGCATTAAAACATGGAAAAATCATGGAAAGATGATGTGAATTTTTGTTGTTGCTGGATGTTCAGCTGCAGTTTGCAGTGAGAAAGAGAGAAAGTTAAACCAAATTACTTGTTGTTGCGTGATAATAATGAAAAATATGGCAATGTGTCGAACCACCATTACCATTATCATCTTCATCAAAACCATAATCATAATCATCGAGTCTGGTGTGTTATATAAACGGCCAGAAAATCGAAAAAAAAACAAATTATAATCTCATTCACAAGATTTGTAGATCATATTATTACCTAAAAGTATATGTGTGTAGCAGGTAAAAACTATGATGATGGTAGATCTTTTTTTTTATTTTTCGACATTCGATACAACCACAGTTGTAAAATGAAAGAAATGTGAAATAAAAATGAAAAATGAAAAAAAATTCAAAATATTATTTAATCAAAATCGAAACCAAAAGTGGATCAAATATACAAAATCGATATTCTTGTGAAATAAAATGAGAAAAATTGAATGGATTGTACAAAGTGTTCTTTCTTCTATGGTAAATACATTTAGGGAATTTACATTTTAAAAAAAATTCAAATTTCAATGTTGAACAGAGTCTAATACTCTTTTAATTGAAATAAAAATTATTATTTTTTTCATAGATTCAAAAAATCTTTGAAAGTATTGAAGACGACAATGAAAAAAAATATCGAGATTGAAACATTATGATTGAAAAAAGAAAGAAAAACAAATTAATGGATGAATAACAATAGAATGATTTCGAATAACAAACAATCATTTGTGGGTGTGTGATATTTCGCAAAAAAAAGTCAAATGTTTCTTCATTGGCATAGTGGTCCATGATGAAATCTTTCAATTGATTCGATCATCATCAACGACAACAATGACAAAGATCAAGTGAAAGCGAGGAGCAAAAAAAAAGTCATTTTCTGTATTTTTTTTTCTTGTTGTATTTATGTGAAATGAAATGTCACCAAAAAGAAAGAAAGAAAAAAAAATTCGATTAACCTCGTGACACTGGTTAAGTATTTTTCCATCGTCATTCATCACCTACTGATTGCAATGATAAAAAAGATAACAATTGAAAAAAAGTGTCCTCAATATCTTCTTCGATAACAAGAAGAGCAGCTATAGATGCACAAACAATTCATTCATATCGACTGAAATCATTCAAGTGAAAACGAAATTTTCATCATGAACAGGTTTTTCTTTATAAAGAGAACTTAATGATTTAATTCGAAAACGACATAACATACGATGATGATGATGATGATGAGATAATGATGTAAACGACAACATTTCGCATATTTTGTAATTATTCCAGCCATACTGGAGTTGATATTTAGTGTATTTGTGGGTGTGGGTGTTGTTTTCATCTGTCATCACAATCGTTTTTTTTTCTTTTGGTTAAACATAGAAAATTGATAATACTTCATTCTCAAAACTACAAATGATAAATAAATAGAAACTTAAAGATTTAATCTATACGATCATATCGGTCCATTCACCTTAATCTACATTTTTTTTTTGATGTATGAATTCAAACTAAAGCATCACAGATTACAGAAAAAACCAGAAAATCGATCATCTAATCAATATGCAAAATGGTGTGCAGATTGATTGATGCAAATTAAAAAAAAAGAATGTCCAAATCTTCACAAATTTAATCGATGATCATAGCATCATCAGATAGATTCATTTGAATTTACCGAATCATATATTTGTGTGTCTCATCCTGCTTTTTTTCAACGATTATAAATTACAAGTGTCGTTTTGTTTTGTTTTTTTTTTTTTTTGGCTTTCTTTGTACACACCTTTGATCTTTTAGAAAACGAATAGATATATGACTCGAATCAGTTTGCCTGTTTTTCATTTTATCTTTCATCATTCATTCATGTATTCTAAATTAGCCATACAAATACACTTTTAAAAACATTTAAAATAAAAACAATGAGAACAAAACAAAAAATTACACTTCATCTTTTGTTTTTGTTTTTTTTTTTTTTGCCAAAGAAATGTTGTTTTCTGTTTCTGGATTGTTTTCGTTTTTTTTCGATGTTTTCGTGCCTCTGTATGTCTGTATGTTCTAAAAATAAAACCGATTGGATCATCATTCATAGAAAAAAAAGACCACCATTAAATGGAAACGAACCGTATCTTTGTTAAAAAAAATATATCCGGAAAATTCATGCTTGAAAGCATGAATAAACTTATCACACCTGGATTCTCTTTTTCGCATTTTAATTATAATTAGCTTATTGCTCACGTGATTTTGTCACTGATTTGTCCTATGCACAATGACAAAAATTGGTTTTTCATTGATCAATGCTATTTTTTTTATCTAATTTTTTTTGGAGGATAATTGGGGATAGTGAAACCCATTTGTTGTTGTTGCCTGAATAATGTTTATTCAGTTTTTTTTTTGGAGATGACTAAATGAAGCCATTTTCTATTTTTTCAAATGGAAATATTTCGAATGACCCTAAGTAATTTTATTTTATTTAAAACCCTGAGATCATCAACCTTATTGATATCATCATGACAATATAAATATCATGAATGACAACATGATGATGATACTTCAAAACTACTCAGCATCCAAAAATTTGGGCGAATTCATTAACGAGGTTGTCAGTGAATTATGTCATCATCATCATCATCATCATGAAAATCGACTTCTATTGTGTGTACATGATATATTCTATAAATAGGAATTGTATGAATGAAATTTTTCTTTCGTTTAAAGATAACTGAAGTATCGTATATTCAAATGGTGATTGAATAATGAAATAATGATAAGAAGGATGAGATATTTTGTTGCAGAGTTTTTTTTATATATACTGTCAATTTTACTAATCTTAAAATCGTAATGGAAAAAAGGACAACTTACTTTAGGTGGTCTTAATGTTGAATTTTGTTGTTGTTGAGGTTGTGGTGATGTCGTTGGATATTGTGATGTCGATGATGATGATAATGATCCGGATGTTATTGTTCCTTTAGCCACCATTACCGGTGTCGTTGTCAATTGTTGTGGTGCATAATGTAATATTGTTTGATCACCTTTAACTTCGACCACACATTTTGTTTCCAATTCGATTTCTATTTCAAAAATAATAATAATAATAATAATAATAATTGTCATTAAAAAAAAGAACAAAAAAATGGATAAATGGAAAATGTTCATTTCCGGTGGTGGAAAGACAACAACATTTTTGAAATGTAAGCAAAAAAATATGATTGTTTAAAATTGAAAGAAATATATAATCCATGCAATAGTATTTTTCCGTATTTGACGATAATTATCCAACAAGAAGTAGGAAATTGTCAATGTACAGAAAAAAAACAATTGTAAATAACGAGATATCATTGTGATTGTTATCATATCGATATATTGTATCTATACATCCGGTAATAAATTACTGCGAGAAAGTATCTTCTATAGTTCAGTCCACTATATAAATATGTACTTGAACCTTGTGAATATATATTTTAGGATCTTGAACGAAAATACCGAAATATGTCGATTATTATTGTCGGATAGATAATTAGTAATGTTTTCATAAAGTTTGTTTATCAGTAAATTTTTCGGTGATTACTCTTGTATTGAATGGATTCATTGTAAAAGACAATTTTTACCTGTCAAGCGAAACGATCCATAATTCCTTTACATTGCGTTTGTGTGTGTGTGTGAGTTATACATCTATTTTTGCAAAACACCATTCAACAAGGACAAAATACTATGCATGGATGACAAAAATAAATAAAAATGGAAAAATTTCATCGAATTACAAATTTGGATTAGATGAAATTGATTAGCAATTTCTTTTTTTGTTTTTGTTGTTGTTGCAATGAATCATTTATTTATTTATCAACAATGTGATTGAATGGAATAATAAAACATGAATGATTCACTCATTATAAATGAGTAGAATGATTTGTTTGTATCATGCACACATAATATTCGAAAATGAAAAGAATTCTATTATAATCATTTCTATTGTGTTGATGCTTGGATCATGTACCAAGGTCATATATATCATCATCATCTAAATTAATAATCAAAAACATACAGTATGTGATCATCATTAAAAGTGATTAAATATAATAATTATGAATCAGGAAAAAAAACATTTTCTTTCCATTTTATTATTCATAAAATATGAATGCTCAATAATGATGATGATGATGATTATGATTTTGATTTTATGCATCAATTTATTATATATTCATAATAAAACTTTCATTTGAATAACATTAATTCAATGAATATCGGTATATTTTCAAATATGGGTCGTATTGTTTTTTTTTTCCTGAAGCTCGATGGATACGCTATAGTTGACAAATGTTGATTAAATAATAATGATGAGATAAATTTATTAGTTTATAGATCCAGAATTTAAAAAAAAATCTCAATCCTAAAGGATTATAGCTTACATTTACATTTTGTTTGTGCATTTGAACCATGATCATCATGATTCAATCAAAACAGATCATAATCACCCTTCTGTTCTTCTGAGAATCAACATTTGTATTGAAAAAAACAATTCAAGTTAACTCTAACAATTGTCTTTTTTTTTCAACAATTCCATTAGTTTCCACAGAAACAAACACACATCACGCATGCAAAAATGATAATGATAATAAAAATAATAATAATAAAAATAAAATATATATACAATTGAACCAAGAAAACATGCATGAATTCATCCATTAAACAACCCATTTGGAGTCTATACAAATATGGTATATATATAACATACATTTTTGTATGCAGTTATTATTGTTATCATCATCATTGTCATTGTGTGTGTGTGTGTGTATCCTTATTGGATTGTATCTATGTTTATCTATCAATAATAACTTTGACTTTAATAGTAGAAATGGCAAACAGCCATTTTGAGGACACACGCAAACAGATTAATGGATAGAATGAATTATAGAATATAGAATTCATTTTCAATAATAAATTAATTTAATTTGTTCAATCAAAAAAAAAAAAAAACGAAAAATTCTTACCTCTCCGACTGAATGGACGTACACGAACGGCTACTTTTACTTTATCAGTAGCAGAATTTATGACCTGATGATGATGATGACCGGTCATTGAAGTTGTTGATGATAACTCAGTAGTAGCCATGTTAATTCAACCAATTAATTTTATTAGAATAATAATTATATAATAACAATGTCGAAAACAAAAAAACAAAATTCGATTATCAACAATGAGATTTAAAATAAAATTTAAATCATAATTAGAAAGAATTTAATTGGTCGATGATTATGATATAAATGGACACAATAGCCTCTTCAAAAAAAAACAATGATTAATCAGCCGAAACCTTCAAGTGCATTGTACGAATCATTATAAAGACCGCACCAACAAACGATTAGATTGTCGTTGTCTTATTATAGTTAAAGGGTAGGTGAACCAAGCCAAGCCAAAAACTAAACTAACCGAAACGGTACAATCTATTTCTTTGTTGATAAATTGTTAAAGATGATTACAGTCGGCTATGTATTATTGTAGGTGGATGATGATGATGATTGACATTAACAACAGGTTGACTTCCTTGAATACAGTTGAACTTGTACATGATTCTCATCATCATTATCTCTAACTTGTTTTGTGTAGATTCAATGTCTTATGGTCATCAACATCGGTCATCATAGTCGTCCGTATAACATTATCCATTTGATCAACATTGAGGAAACAAAACCAAAAAATATGAACACAATTAAATCAAAATAGACAATGTTGTAAAAAAAATGTCTATCCAATATATCAATTTTAATATTTATATTCACAATCACATCATGAGCGTGTATGAGTTGCTCATATGTTTGGTTAATATGAATTTGATTAGAATCATAGTAATGATATATCTAAAATTACTCGTTTATGAAATATCCAAGATGATTTGCACATATAAACAAATGAATTTATTTTTTTTTTTGTGACACGATGATGACAATTGTGATGGCGTTGATGGTCGAATAAAAAGAAACCAACTACAGCTTTCAATCGAAAACCGAGTAACAAGAAAAAAATGATCATATCATCATTTAATAATAACCACAATCATCACCAAGACAACCAAAACGATGATGACAAATGCAAAAAAACACACACATACACAATGCTATAAATCAACGGAAATCTTGATTGTTTGTTGATTAGGAAAAAATGCATTTGTAAACCATTGGCGACAATCAACAACATAATCACTTTATAGAATGAAACAAAATCCGAGAAAAATAAAAACATTTTCAAGTCTCATGCATGGAATCAATGCATTTACATAGAAACATAAAAGGAATGATGATGATGAAATGAATCCATCCATACATCTAGCTACTTGTTTGCTGCCAGTATATATTTGTTGATGGAAAATTACACGCACATGTTTTTTGGAAATTAATATGAAAAAAAATGATAGAGACAAACCAATAAAAAAAAGAGGAAAAGAGACAAGAAGTGGTTTGAAATCCATTCATTCAGAAGAAACAAAAAAAATTATGAGAGACGATAAAAAGAGAATTGGAAATTGAATTGGAGAGAAAACAGCAACAAGTTGCAGATATATAGCTTTATTGAATTCAAAACTCACTCATGCAACAGGTGAGAGCATTAGAGCATACTCTGTGTGAATAATAATCATATATGATGATGATGATGTTGATGAAAACCGAAACGAATAAGGATTGTTTATGATGACAATAATAACAAATTTCGAAAAAATTAATTTATTTTTAATAGATTTACGAATTAACAACTAATGTGTTTGCATGCAACGAAAAAAATCGGATATAAAATTATGAATGGAAATATTACATGTCACAAAGATTTTAATATAAAATGTGTAATATATTAAATTTTGATCTTAAGAATCATGATCATTGTTTACTATTGGCTGTATTGTATTTGATGAATGATCAATGAATACTGAAATGCTGGGTTGTACAATAATACCATCCCAAATGGTGACATTTTCAATGTTACGCTCATCCTGTATGAGTCCAATAACAAAATCGAATCCATTTTCATAATTCATTATACGTAATAATGTTTGTGCCGTACAACAGATTAGATCCAATAGTTTTTCATCCAAATCATTCTGTATGGGCATCCAAGTTGTCATCAATGGGTCACAAATACTTACAGAATCTGGCAAAAATATTCCGGATGATAATAGATGAAATGCTCGAAGAAAAGCTTGATTTAATTTGATTGTTTTTGAACATTTTTGTCGTGATTCTTTCCGGAATTTTCTCCTGTGTTTATGATGGACATTAATTTCATCCATTGATTCAACTTTGCTATCGATTTGTGGTTGAGAATTTAGACAATAATTCAGTAGCGCTTCAATCATCCATTCATTGAAATGTTGAAAACCTTGAAACCGATGTTTAATGTCTTGGAATAATTTAACCAAGATCCTTAATTCATATGTGGCAATTCCAAGAAACCAATCCGTTCTCTGTAGAATATTCAAACGTTGTTTGACTAGATTAAAGTTTATCAACGAATCAGCATTCATGACCATCTTACATGTTGAAACACGAAATACTATGTCGGTTAAACCAATTAATATAACAGCTTTTATGTCAAATTCATTACTTTTGATGATAAAATGAGCATTTGATATATTAAACGTATCCAATTTAAGATCACTGTAAATTGTATTATTGTTTTGACCTATTTTTTCCGTTATTATTTTCCTAATAGATTCAACATGATTAATTAATAGATGTTTTTCATCAAACAATGCCAAAAAATGAACAACAAACGGTTTTTGCTTGATCATCACATTTTTCCTATATGGACCGATCTCTTCGATCCTGGAAAACTTGATTCGTTGATCAGTTAATATAATTGAGCCTAATAAATTTCGAACATTTTGAATAAAATTATCAATTCGTGTACGATCCTCTGTCTGGATGGAAATTTGCTCCGTTCGTTTATAAATTTTCTATCAAAAAGAAAAATTCCATAAACATCTTATAACTCAAATTTTTCAAACTAACCTCCAATTGATTGATTGGATTATCATTAACCATAGGAATATTATGACGAAGATAAAAATGATCCAAAACATAAATTTGATTATAATAAGGATATGGAATATCTTCCATGAGAAAATAATAATTTGAAAATATTATTTTCAAAATCTGAGAAATATATCTTCAAAATCTCTCAAAAATAATGGCGACTATTTCCATAATCATTGGGTAGAAATAACTTTTATACACATTTTACATATTTAGCCACGGTGGTATCTCGGTTAACGACGACGATCCGTCCCAAGACGGCCAACGTTATCCAAAATACGAATTACCATAAGAAGAATGAAAAAAAATTGGATGACTAATGGCCCTTTGGGTCATCTATCGTTAACCAACGTTACGACGTTAATTAAGATATTTTTCGGATTTCGATGGGCTATCGTTTACAGAGGTTTCACTGCATCTGAAATGGACAGGGTAATAAGTGGAAAAAAATTCAAATCGAGTTCATTGTTCAAGGACAGATCGATGACAATATTGATTTTGATTTTACCCAAAATATTTCCAAAATTTATTTTTGATAAACTGATATTATTGCAATAAGGTCAATAAAATGACTACTACAATATATACAAAAAATGACCTGTTGATATTTTCGGTTTGGACACTATTTAAACTAGAATTAAATTAGTTTTTTAGATCATTTAACGACGCACTTCATCACCATCCATAACGAATTTTATTTTTAAAAATTTAACATACAAATATATTGATCATCACTGTGAATTGAATTGAACTGTTGTTGTAAAAATGAAAAACTTTAAGAATTTTGCCATTTTCGCTATCATGATCGTTTTGATGTTTGGTAATGCTGTTGATGCCGGAATGATAAGTCGTATGTGGAATTGGAGCAGTAAACCAGGATATGGCTATAATCAACGATATCCCCATATGGTGGATATTACCCGGGATATTATCCTGGATATTATCCGGGACATTATCCAGGAAATTATCCATATAGTCCTCATTACCCAGGATATGGTCGTAGATAAATCTACGAAAAGACTAAACCATTCTTTTTGAATGGTCATTCAATTTTGTATTTTGACTTTGTTTTTTTGAATAAAATAATCAAAAATTCAAATTGTGCTTAAATAAAAGTCTAATGAACGCGATCATTAGTAATCTGTTGCCTAAGGAGTATGAATCAGCTCAACAAGTTCTTGCTGTATATAACACTGGAAAGGATGACAGTGATTTGATGTCCGATACCGCATTTGAGTCGCATCTGCTAGAATTGGAACGAAATCTAAAAACTGATAGTAAACTGGTTGCTGAAACAGAAAACGTTGGTTTGTCAGCATCGTCATCCAAACAAACAAAGAAACAAACGAAGAAGAAGCGTTTTGGTGGCAAATGTTATAATTGTGGTTTGATTGGACATATGTCGAAAGATTGTCGACGTCCAAAACAAAACGTTGATCCAAGTGGCGCCGCCGCTAATCCAATCACATTGGTTAATTGGACTGGAATAATGCCATCGAATAATTCAAGCTTTTATAGCGATAGTGGTGCTTCTTATCATATAGTGAATGATCATAGTTTGTTGTCTGATATACGCAAAAGTAATGTTCGTATCGATTCAATACATGGTGTTGAAGAGAATGTACAGTTTGGTACATTGTTGTGTCAGTTTTTCAATGGCACAGTTTGGCTTGATATCAAACTATTAGATGTAGCATTTATACCAAATCAACCGTTTAATTTGATATCAACTGGCAATTTGACCAATCCGCGTATTCATTCTGGAATGAAGGTCATTGAAGAAGATGGAAAGTTGACTGTATATCGTTTTGGAAAACCGATTTTGACTGGAGAACAGACAAGTGAGATTCGTAATTTATATAAACTAAATGTTCGTCCTGTCAATAGAAATACAACCATGGCGTCTGTTTCTTCTGATGATTTTGTGATTTGGCATGAAAGATTGTGCCATTGTTCTACATCAGTGTTGGAAAGGATGGTTGCTCTCAAGACTATTATTGGTTTGCCGAAAGATATTCGTAACAATATTGCTTATTGTTCAACGTGTCATACTGGTAAAATGACGGATGTTAGTCACAAACCAGTTGCTTCTGTCAATGAAAATATTGTTTCTGGAATGAAGTTGCATGTAGACATTGGTGGTTACATGAAGCCTTCTATTCATGGAAATCAATACTATTTATTAGCTGTTGATGATTCGTCATCATATTTAAAAATTGGTTTTATGAAGCAAAGAAGTGAAGTTTATGATAAATTGAAATTGTTTATCAATGAAGTCAAAATTGACACTGGTAAAGATGTACTGGTGGTTCGCTCAGACAATGGGTCAGAATTTAGATCCAAGAATGTTCAGCAATATTTTCGTGATCGTGGAATTGTACATGAATTAGGTGTGGTTGGCGTTCCACAACACAATGGAAAAGCCGAACGATTCATTCGAACAATTTCTGAACGTGCAGTGGCGATTCTCAACAATAGTGGCTTACCTCAGTATTTATGGGACGAAGCTCTAAATCATGTTGTTTATGTGGTGAATCGTACTTTAAACTCGAAGAATATTGTGCCATACGAAGAATATTTTGGTAAATCTGTTGATGTTTCAAATCTTCGTGTGTTTGGCTCGAAAGGGGAGAGTTGGATTCCTAAACATGGTAACAAATTTTCAACGAAATCTGAATCTGTTTTTATGGTCGGTTATAATGGGTCAAATATATATCGTGTTTATTGCCCTGATCGTCGTTGTATCAAGCTATCATCGTCAGTGAAATTTGATGAAACTTCAAAGTGTCGTCTTAAGTCAGTTGAGGTTGAATCAAATAGTGGCACGATTATCAATATTGGTGAAAAATCAGATGATGATGAAAAATCGAGTCAAAATGCTGAATGTCGTGAAGTGGGTCGTCCTCGATGAACGGGCCAAGCAATTGGCGCAAATTCTACTGAAAAAGAGTGAGCGAGCCAGTATTAGCAAGAAAATTGTACATGTGTTTTGTTGTCAAAATTTTTGTATTTATTGTTTAGTTTTTTGCTTTTTGAATTGTATTAAGATACAATCATTTAATAAACTACGTTTATTTAACTAAGAAAGTTGTCTTGGTTATTTCTTCACATTTATTAAATGATTTGTACTGTGATCGTGATCATATATTGATTTCGAATATTGACTTTGACGTAATTCAAGTATTACGAAAATTTTGTATCGTGATCATTCATTGGTTGCGAAAATTGTTTTGGACGTGACATATTGGTTACGATTATCGTGGACTCGATTCGGACGTAGCTCAATCATTACGAAAATTTGGACTAAGACTTGGACGTAATATTGGTTACGATTATCGTTTTCCCGTTGTTTGGACGTAGCTAAATTGTTGCGAAAAATTTGGACTAAGACGTAATACATTGGTTACGACAATTGATTTGTATTTAGATCGTGATCAATTTGTGGTTGCGAATATATTAAAATTGATTTTGATTGTGGTACTCGTATCGCGAATTTTGAAAATTTGGTTTTTTGGTATTGTATCATCGGAATTGATTTGATCCCGAACCTTGGAAATTTGAATATTTGGATAACGGTTACATCTTGGAAACGTATTGAACTTTGGACTGTACCTTTACGATAAACATATAGTAAAATATGTTGACAATTCCGGATGATGTGAAGCAACGATTGGCTTCGGCCAGAAGTAATGTATCCCTTCTTCATGTAAGACGTTGGGACATGGCTCGGACAGAACTATTACGTTCTGAATTAGATGAATTGAACCAGAAATTGATCGAGTTAGTCGGAGAAGAAGAAATTCCCGAAGAGGAATTAAAAAAGATGGGCGACTACAACAAGAAATTAGATTTGTACATGGAACATCTGAAAAAGATGAGAATTGTTGTAGTTCGAAATCAGTCCAACGTTCAGGACGATTCTGGTGATCATCTACGTACCTCAACCCCGTTCAATTCAATAGTTAACAATTTTGCGGATACATCATCATTGAATAGATGTCGACCAGTTAAGATGGATCAGTTACCGACTTTCGATGGTAAATTCGCATTTTGGAATGCATATAAAATCATGATCGAGAAGTTATTGATCAACAATACATCGCTTTCAGAGGATTTAAAGAAATCAATGTTGTTGAAAACCATGAAAAAGGATCCAGAGAAATTTGTGACAAATTTGATCGGTCAACGATTATCATTAGCCGAGATCTGGTCGAGAGTTTGCGTCAAATTTGATGATCCCCAACGGGCGATATTGGAAATCAAGAAAGATCTAGAATCTATCCCAAGAATCGAATCAGAAAATGATGTTCATGATTTGAAAAAGACAAAAGATATAGTAGAAAACGCCAATTTGGCAATCAAAAATTTGGTTTCAGACGTAATGTTCTACACGATCAATTTGATTCAGGCAGTAGCCACCAGATTCTACTATAAAGCTCAACGTCATATGCTGGCGAAGATAAAAGATTTTGATCAATTAGTCAACTATATCGATAAGCTATACGATGAAGCTCTTTGTTATGATTACAATAAGATTCGTAAAGATAGTCCATTGAAGAAACAAGAGCCACCGATGATATCGAATAGCACAGCCGCTATCACGACTAATTGTTATATTTGTGAAAAGTTTCATCAAAATAATTTTGAATGTTTGAAAAATTATGATGTCAAAACAGTAGCAAATCTAATCAAATCAAAAGGATTGTGCTTCAGATGTTTGAAAAGAGGACATTTAAGTAAAAATTGTCAAATGTCATCGAAACTTAAATGTGATAAATGTCCACGTCTTCATGCTACCGAAATGCATGAAGTGATTATTGAATTGTTTCAAACGAAACCCAAAGTGATCGACGAATCTAGTCCAGCCACGGAAGAATCAATGATCGGTAATGCAGCAGCGATATCAGTAGTTGATCAATCGAAAAATGGTTTTGAGATCAAAAAGAATTCTAAGTCAGAAAGTCGACCGTTATTGTATGGGTCATGTAATGGAATTCAGAGTCGTATGCTGTTTGATTATGGTTCGGATGTTTCGTTGATCGATAAAGAATTGGTAAAAGACAAGTCAAATGATTCTGACAAAAATTGTACCGTCTATTCGTCGTCACCACTAGTAGGAAAAGAAGCAAGTCGACGAAAAGTATCGCTGGAAAGACATAAAGCTAATTTATGTAATGTAAATATTTGTACCAGACCAATCATCGATTTGTCAGAAAATGAAAGTGATATTTATGAACCAATTATTGATCTTTTGAATCGTCAAGATAATGGAGATATTGATGAACCAATTATTGATCTTTTGAATCGTCAAGATAATGGAGATATTGATGAACTAATTATTGAAGATGACAAAATTATTGATCATTCTAGAAATGAATTATTTTTGAAATCTGATCATGAATTATTGAATTTTGAAATTGAAAATGATTTGAACGTTAACGACGAAGACGTTGACGATGATTTGAAAATTGTACGAAAAGAGAATGGACGATATGAGGCTCGATTGCCTTTTCTTTCAGATATTCGTCCAGCCAATGATTTTGATAAGGCTCTTATTGTATGGAATAAATCGTTCAAACAATCAGAAAATAAGAGCATGAAAAACGAATATGAAAAACAATTATTGGCTTATGTTGATAGCGATCAAACAATGGTAATGGATGATCCAAACGGCTATTTGTTGCCGTACCATCCGATTTATCGAGAATCCGCGTCCGCACCGTTGTGTATTGTTTTCAACGGATCGTTTGGATTTGACGTTTCGAATCAGTTGCTATGGAAAGGCCATGCACACGGTCTTAACATTTTTGATCATCTCATGAAATTCCGCAAAGGAAAATTCGCCGTATCGGCCGATCTGTCAAAGGCGTTTCTGCAAATGAAAGTTTCAACATTCGGGTTAGTGTCTTCACCCGTGATATTGACATCGGTCACTAAAAAATTATTGTGTGAGCAAAATTTTGGAACTATTGCTAAATCCCAGATCAAACAGCATCATGAAATGTTATTGCATGATGGTATTGAAACTACCGTTCCTAATTTGTATCATATTGAAAAGAAATCTGTTTATTATTGTAAATTTTGTCAAATTGAAAAGCGAAAACCTGTCGATCAACCATTTACTCAATTACCATCAACCCGAACAAGTTTTGTTGCTCTTTTTGAAGCTGTATGTATTGTTTTATTTGATCTATTGCGATATCGGAACAGAAAAAAGTTTTTTGGTTTGTTGGCCACCGGTTTTGTTTCTCGTAATCATGATCTCTTGATGAAAATTGAAAAACTATGGAAGCAAAAATATTTCGATTCATTGATTCAACGTAGACGTTGTGATTGGCCATTGAAATTCAAATTCTTTGAAATCTTCTACGATCGGTTACGGACATATCCTTTTTGGAATCGGCGGGGGAGTGTCGTGAAGTGGGTCGTCCTCGATGAACGGGCCAAGCAATTGGCGCAAATTCTACTGAAAAAGAGTGAGCGAGCCAGTATTAGCAAGAAAATTGTACATGTGTTTTGTTGTCAAAATTTTTGTATTTATTGTTTAGTTTTTGCTTTTTGAATTGTATTAAGATACAATCATTTAATAAACTACGTTTATTTAACTAAGAAAGTTGTCTTGGTTATTTCTTCACAGCTGAAAATGAAGAAGATAATGATCATGAACCAGAAGCGACAACATCAACAAATCGTGGTCGTCCGATTGGATCAACAAATCGCAAATATACGGTTTGTGAAGAACGCTTGAAAACGTTGCGTTCATTTTGTTTGCTGGCTGGTGCAGAACCTTCTACATTTGAAGAAGCTGAAAAATCTGAAGAAAAGGATAAATGGAAGAAAGCTATGAATGAAGAATATGACGCATTGATCAAGCACAAAACGTGGAAATTGGTTCCACGACCAATTGATAAAAATATTGTTTCTGTTAAGTGGATTTTTCGTATCAAAAATGATGGACGTTATAAAGCACGACTAGTAGCTCGTGGTTTTAGTCAACGTAAAAATGAAGATTATTTTGAGACATATAGTCCTGTAGTGTCAATTGAAACAATTAGATTGGTGCTTTCGATTGCAGCAACATTGAATTATAATGTTTGTCAATTTGATGTGTGCACTGCATTTCTCAATGGTACAATTGATGAAATCTATATTGAACAACCGCCTGGATATGTACAAAATGAAAATCTGGTTTGTCGTTTGTATAAGGGCTTGTATGGTCTGAAACAGGCTCCGCGTGCTTGGAACAAGTTATTTGATCAAGTGATCAAAAGTATTGGTTTTGTTACTTCTCCGTTTGATCCATGTTTATACGTGATGTTTGATGACAACAATCTTCCTATAATGGTTACGTTATACGTCGATGATGGATTAATTTGTGCACCGAATATTGAAAATATCGATTTTATTATTTATCATCTTAAAGAAAATTTCGAACTTAAAATTTTAAAACCTGGTAATTATCTTGGTCTTGAATTCAGACAAGATAAATCAAAACGTGAAATATATGTGTGTCAAAAATCATATATTCTATTGAAGCTGAAACAATTCAATTTGGATAATTCAAAAACTATGAATACACCGATTAGTTCAACAAATGATTGGTATTTGGAATCTACAGTAAACGAAACATTTCCGTATAAAGAAGCAATTGGCAGTCTTCTTTATTTGAGTACCAGAACCAGAATGGACATTTCATATGCTGTTTCATGTCTAGCTCGTTTTGCTTCTTCATCAAACAACAATCATGTGGTTGCTGTTAAGCGTGTCTTTCGTTATCTCAAAGGAACAATCGATTATGAATTATGTTTGGGTTCCAAGAACGGTTTCAAATTAACTGGTTATGCTGATGCTGATTTAGCTGGTGATCAACAGACTCGTGAAACAACAATTGGTACATTGGTGTCGTTAAATGGTCCCATCATCTGGTCGTCAAAACGTGCTAAATGTATTATTGATAGTACGTGTGAAGCCGAATATATTGCAACTAGTAAATGTTCCAAAGACATACAATGGTTATTAATTTTAATGGATTATCTTCGTCTTAATATACCAAAACCGATTATATTTAATGATAATCAAGCAGCTATTCGACAAATTCATGGTGAAGTCGTGTCTCAAAAATTAAGACATATCGATGTCAAATTTCATCGAATCCGATCCTTGCTTGGCAAAGTGGACGTAGAATATATTCAGTCGTCTCAACAATTAGCCGATATCTTAACGAAAGCTTTGTCAACACAATTGCATCAGAATCTTATTGATAAATTATTTAATGTATTAGTTGCTGAATGATGTTATTGTTCATTGTTGGTTTCATGTCCAACAAGGGGGAGTGTTGTGATTGTTTGGAACATGAACAACAATGATTAACGAATTGTTCAATTAAGAACTTTTGTGCATTGTATAAATATAACCGTAGTTCATTGAAATAAATATATAACTGTTTTTTGTTCGTATAGTATATACATCTTGTGTTCTTATTTTCATCAACTGTGTAGCAAAATATTCAACAATGGCTATAATCAACGATATCCCCCATATGGTGGATATTACCCGGGATATTATCCTGGATATTATCCGGGACATTATCCAGGAAATTATCCATATAGTCCTCATTACCCAGGATATGGTCGTAGATAAATCTACGAAAAGACTAAACCATTCTTTTTGAATGGTCATTCAATTTTGTATTTTGACTTTGTTTTTTTGAATAAAATAATCAAAAATTCAAATTGTGCTTGCGATGAACATTGTCATTGTTTATAGTTGAAATAAAAATTTGACCAATATGCAATTGATCATTTCAATCATTGATGAGCTTGTTTGGTGATATAACAATTGTAATTTTATTTTAATGAATGTTTATATTATAGAACAAAAATATAATTATTAATAATTAATAATAATAACCACAATTAATTAGTCATAATATGAATTGATCAAATGACTGGATAATAAACAATGGCAAGGATGGATGATGGAAACCACAATAAACAAAAAACAATTACTTAGCAAATCACAGGTTCGAATCAATAAAATGGAACGATCCATAGAAAAAAAAATACTGATCCATTTGATTGAAATTCGGATAGAACAAGAAGATTCAATGTATGTTTATTTAGGTTTTGACAATCGGTGATTTGGTGTACAAAAAACGATTGTTCTTGACCAGGTGATGAGTATGAGGAGAAGGAAGGGGAGAATGCTCGATGGTTGACGTGCAGGAATGTGTTATGGTCGAATCGCTACAATTTGATGCTAATGCTGATAAGGATGATGTCATAGCCGACGACGATATTGGTGGTTTGACAGGCATGTTTATTGATTTTGATAAATTCAACGGACGATGAATTGGTGATTTCATTACGGTCATAGGGCCCTCTGTCTTCATGGTCATCGTTGAGGCAGGACAAATCATGGGATACTTTGTTGTGGAACCCTTATCAGAATGACCATAGAGTGAATGTGGCCAATGTATAGCCGTGGTTGTTGGATGATTTGGTGTTGGAGACATTCTCACAATCGTATTGTGACGGGTATGCATCACATTCGGAAATTGCTCTCGCTGATGATTGCCAATCCGGTGATGAACAACCTCACCATCAAGTTGATCATTATGGACCATTTGATTGGCAGACGATATTGGCAAAAGCCGTTGCTTTGAATCAATGTCACTATCAGCTTCACTACTCGGGCCATAGGAAGATGAAGACGAAGAAGGTTGAAATGGCGACAAAGAATGGTCATGTGGTTGTTGAGAAGTTGACATGGACAAATTATAGGTTATTGTAGATGATGAGGATGACAGTGGACAAGCGATCGCTTGAGTGTAAAGTCCATTATGATGAATGAGGTCACCATTAAGCAGCATAGATGCAGGTAATAATTGTCCTCCTTCTTTTGATAAATGATGGGCATTAAACATGGGGACATTCAGTTCATCCTCTTCTTCGTCGTCGTATTCATCATTGTTGATGGAACAGCATTGATTACTGTTGTAGGCATTGGCCTGTGTATGATGCATATTCTTGTAGTAATAATTATGACTATTCGTAGATGTTGGCGATCGTTTCACTGATGATTTATAAGATCCACTTGACCCTTTACTGTATTTTTCATCATAGCTTCCAGCGTTCGATGGTGATGGTGAGTATTGTACCAATTCTGGCATGAATGCCATGATCAAAATGGCAATCAACACCAGGAAAGAGCCAAACAAAAATGGAGGCCCAGGTATCACTTGGTCGGTGGGTGAATGGAAAAATTGATTTGTCGTTGAATTGAGAAATGTAATAAATGAGGATGAGGAGCCATTCAGGTTCGTTATCGATGGCATCATGTGTTTGAGTGTATCCAATGATTCGGCCGATGAAGAAAGTACTGATGCTGATGACGACGAATGAATCGGATGCGATTGTCGGACGAGATCAACATTGAACAGGCTGAAAATAAGACCAAAAAAACATGGGCCCAACCCATTAGATAAACCGCGAATTCCAGTTATTATTCCTTGTAGAAGACCTTGTTTATCGGCATCAGCATAAGAGGATACGTAAGCACTTAAAGCTGGATAGGTGATGGTACTAATTGCGGCAATTACGCTAACAATCCAAACGACCCTGCATAAGGTAAAAAACAATTAGAATAAAACCAAACAGTTAGTTATGAGTTTGAGTATTACCAATGGCTAGAGCCAAGACCAAAACAAATCAATTGCAACATTTCGAATATCAGGCCTATCATGATCGTATTTTTTGATCCAACTCGTTTCATTAATATGGTCAACAAAAGCGTTTGAGAAATGACCGACAAAATGCCAATGAATGCAATATAGGCAGCCACTTGAATCTGATCGAAGCCGATGACTAATTTGAGATAGACAAAAAAGCAGGAATACTGGCCAGCTTCCGGTAGATAGGAGAGAAAGACGGCTACACACAAAGTCAATATCATGCGATCTTTACCGGCACGACGTATCGATGAAAATGGATCAGCAGATTCCCAAATCGAAATAGATTTCAGCCTCAATTTTTCCGGCAATGATTCTGGTACCATTAAGAGAATGTAAATTAAATCAAAGATGGCTACACCGGTTGCAATACATATGACTAGATTGTCGTCGCCAAATGTTGACGATATTAATGTGCCTAACGATGGGCTAGAAATTAAGCTTAATGAGAAAGAAGCGGTCAACCATCCATAAGCATGGCTACGTTCATGTTCTTCAGTTATGTCTGCTACGTAGGCGAATATGACCGAAAAAGTGACTGAGAATATTCCAGACAATATAACTAGACCAAAGTAAATGCTAAGCAAAATTTTAGTCATGAACATAAAAAAACAAAAGCTACTAACCTGGGACTAAATTTCATGAAAGGAATCGGAAGGCAGGTAAAAAACACGGTGATCAATAGGAAAAATTTCCTTCCCCAAAGGTCGCTCAAAGCACCAATAAGCGGAGCACTCAAGAATGAAAGGAATCCTTTCACGCCCATTATAAGGCCATTCATAAGAAACGTTTGATCGGGAAAAGTAGTATTCAGAACCTATTTTTTTCCAGAGAAAATGTAAATTATTTGTTAAGAAATCGGAAAACTTTACATACGGTGATTGCGGGCAAAGTTAATAGACCCCATGCGAAAAATTCAAGAAAGATGACGACGATTGCGTGCAACAACGATGGCTTGGATCGAACGGCTGACATCTGCATTTGAATCATGATAAATAAATTGATTTTTATCACTAAAATTTCGATGATACATACCAGGCTATTGTTGACAAAGGAGGTTCGTCTCCCGGTTCTAATAATCGCGTTGACCATACGTTTCGATCCCATGTTTAGGGGTGATGTGAGCTCTGATTGCTCTTCAACTTTTTGTTCGATCGATTCTTCAACTTCTCTGTTTCTACACACCGTTGAGGGCTGGGAATTCGTATGCATTTAGAGATATTGAACTGGTGGTTGACGATGATATGATAATGGATAGATTTCAAATGCCAACAATAATACACTAATATCAAGCGAATGGAAACAACAGCAAGGCACTAAATCACAATCAAACTTGATTAAATGGACAAGGATTTATCGGATAATGAATAAACAAAATAGAATCTTTTTTTATTTTTATAACAAAGGGTTTAGATTTCTTCATTCTTTACAATTCACAGTCTGGTCATTATCATCAATGAATAATGACCAGATTCAAAGAAATAATTTTGGTACCAAGGCCAAACCAAGAGAAAAACCAATGGGCCAAACAGCGGAAAATATACACCAGAATATACACTGGTTGCTGATGTGTGTATTCTCACAAATTATCCTTTGCATGTTCGTTTGTTTGGCGTGATACACAACTAATAGTGGTATGAGTCAGTGAGAATCGATGCATTTAACACCTGAAAGTAATGCCGCTACCACTGAGGAGAACACAGGTTTAGAGTACCATTTCTCATTGGATTCAAATTTCATCTGTTCACTTGTAACAGTGCTATTTAGATATGTATTGTGCATTGTACGCCAATTGATTTCGCTTGTCTGATCGATCTGCTTATACCAAACACATACATTGGATTCAAGGACAAAACAACATTATTCTTGTCAAATGAAAGCAAAGAGTTTCCAAAAATCAAACATAACTCCATTTCAACTGGCCACATTTGATTTATATCGAAATGAATTGTCCGCAATTAGACTGAGCTACATTTATGGAACAAAACATGTATTTCCGATTGATCAATTGTTTCGTTGATATACAAACATTTGGCATAGCAAATATATGGATTACATTGACATCGGAATTGATTGTCGAATATATTTCAAGCTGTTTATTTGTTTCATATGACGATCAATAGATGGCGCACTGTTGAAATCAAATAAGATTACGTTCGAATTCTGTCAATAGTCAGGAATTGTGCATTGATTTCAAAATTGACGCGTTGCGTTTACGTTTATCAACGAAATTTTACATGGAAACAAAAAACGTACAGTTTTGCCATTCTGATCATTGTGTTTGACCTATCAACAGAGTATAATTCATTACAAAACAAAATATATCAAGCAAGAATTGAAGATCCAGCTTGCAAATATCAAGAGCATTGGTTGGTAAAAATTCAAAATAGACCTCCATTTCGATCAATTTTATGCGAACTTTTTGGCCGTGCTGGTTCAACGCTCGATGTTTTGATAACATTTGAGAAATTGTTTGTCGCATCAATTGAGTCATCTGTTGGATATGTGAGTCAATCCAAAATAAATATAACCAATAAGTAAGGATACAAAGGAAGAAAGAACAATTTGTTAGCATCGCTTCCGATCTTTTCACCAGATTCGCTATGGTAACTATGAAATCTAATGCAGTACAAGTACTGAACATGAGGAATGACCATGAAAACAAGCCATTCAATTGATGATTGATCAATGCCAAAGATCGTAACGACATGATCAATCGATCTGCATCATGATTAAACGACGATAAGTGCCTCAAATTATAAAGAATTCTGGACAACTGAATGTGGGTAGCTCGTTTGACATAATGAAAGACCAAAAGGTAAAGATAAATATTCGAATGTATTACAAAGTAGCCAATTATCTGCAATAGGTAGCCATTGGTCAAACATTTTATCAATAGTGGCCAATAAAAGAGCACATAGGTGATATGGTTCAAAGTGATCACTGTGGTAGCCACAATACATAATCCTGTATATGATTGTGATTCGTACACCTGAATTAACATTTTATCCCTTAAAAGGCGAACCAAACATGGCCCATAATAAAAGAGATAAAGTGCTTGTATAACATAAGCCAGTTCGTAGGCATAATCATAACTTTGATATATGAATCTTAGGAATGCGTTCCCCAAATCGGAATTGTTGTAATTCAGGTATTTCAGATTCTGACGTGTGCATATGGAATAGATGACTACGATGAATAGAATCAGATTCCAGAAATTATTCACTATTGATGGCCATTGCCGTAGATCTACCGGTTTGGTTGGTGTGCCTATATTTCTATCATGACTATTAAAATTTATTCTTAAATAAAAAAAAATATACAAGACTTACCCGAAATAATAACACATCCAATCGATAAGGTTTGCTTTTCCGAATTCATCATTCATCATGATCGATGTGTGCTCATTAGATGATCATTTCATTGACTGACTTGAATGTACAAAATTTAATTTATTGTTATACATTCAATGATTTGAAAATAAAGATCGATCGATCGATCGACCTTGCTTTTTGTTATTCTTTATCGATGAATACCATTATCGACCCCTAGCACAAAATTGTTTTCCAATCCAATTATATGGATAACTACAATTGTAACAATTTTTTCAATTCAACACCTTGCTTTACTGAAACATTGAGAAAAGGTGTATATTTTCAAACTTTCGTTACATGGTATTAAATGGTGACAAACGTCATAATGAATTAGATTAGATTAGGATGACAATATTGAAACCGTTGTATACCTAGCTATAGCATTTTTTGTGATAATTATTTGAAATAGTATGCGACAACCACCACTCACACTACACAACACCATCACTACTATTAATGACACACAAAGGACACGACATGTATATAAACTCTGACACGAAAGACACGAAACACACTTGTTGTTTAACCTTTGATTCGTTTCGATTAAAGTTCTTTTCAACTGTTGGTGCGAACGTTACTTTATGTTTTTGTTTGGTCTCAATGGAATTTAGTTTAATTCATAGAGCTACATAGTCTAACTACTACTACTATCCACATATCCACATAAACAGGTTTATTATCGTCAGTATGTCGTTGACCATTCATTTAAAATTGATTTCACTCTATTTTGAGTTTCATACAACGTTTAGGATTCGTTCATCAACGTTTTCATTTCGTTTATTGACCAGAATTTACCACACATTTCTGTAAATGATTTACTGAATTATTATTGATTCGATAAGTTTTCATGCTCGACAATCAGATCTTTTTAAACCGAGCTAAAAAGGTTCAGAATTAACAATATCTAACTGGTGTTTGATCAATCAACATTGTCCAAGAATTTGATATTGATCATGGAACCATTGATAACTATATCAACAGCCATTGGTATTTTTGTTATTTGTTTAATTTTATTCTGGCTATTGATGACCTGTTGTAACCTTTGTCAATGTTGCCCATGTACTTGTGGTTATTGTTGCTGCTGCTGATATCATCTCGACTGAAGAACCTTGAGAAATGCCAATTTCATAAATATATCCAACGGAGCCATTGATTGGTCGCATGTAAATTAAATTTTCTTTAATAATCAATTTTATTGAATTTAAAATCGTTTACCGAAACATCAATTCATTTACTATTTCATCATTACCATGATGATTGTATTTGATGAATAAAACAAATTTTTCTCAATTTAAAATTATCGATATTTAATGGGTTGATTTTTCAGTTTTAATATATTTGTCTTATTGTCGCTGTAATTATTATACGGAATAAAATGATGATGGATCATCATCATTTTTCCACAATGAAAATCTATTCGTCAAGTTGTATAATGAGAAAAGTTGTGTCTGCATTGCCCATAATGATCACAATGAACAATAACCGACGACAAACAATGCCATTACTAAATGCATCGAGAGTTTGGCGCCTGTAAATTTTTGTCCGGGTTGTTGTTAACAAAACAATCCAGACGCCTGAAATTCATTTGTTGGGAAAATGCCGTTTTAGACAAGAGACCAATTCATCTGAATGTAGATTGGTGGGATAAAGAATAAAGTGATGAGAGAGATTCCTGGCCCCATTATGGTTCACATTCTTTACATGGACCCATCGTCACCATCGTTTTCGTATATTAATGAGAAGAATTTCTCACTTTATCTCCATGTTATTGGTTTTTTTCTGCTGATAGTCTATTCAATTGGCAAACAATTTTATTTAACACAATTTTCGTATATAATGTCATCTTGGTACAATGATAACTGCTGCATAAATGATCGCACGATTCATACGTTTATTGATAAAGAATAATTGACAAACTTATTGAATCAAAATGAAATGAAATGCAGCTACGCCATTGCCAAGTTTGGCCTAATATAATAATTTTTTCAAATTTTCTACTCACTTTCTGTATATTGGAGTTTGAGTTTCAACTATTCGCATCGAATGATATAAAAAATGTCAAGTAGCTCCATGCCATTTATTGTTGAGCTCTTGATTCATCCGTGTGTTCATAAAGACTTTAGACAACAATCTTTGTTAGAATATGGAACATCATAACTTGTCTAGTTTAATGACAACGAAAAATGATAAGATTAGATTTCGTGTACGTCAAATGACCAACGAAGATGTTCCCACCGTATTGGAAATTTGGGCTAAGAATAATCTTCATGAAGGTACGCATACCATACAGTCATTCATGATACAAGATCCTGAAGGCTTCATCGTTGCCGAACAAATTAACGATTCTGATGACCTTGATGGAAATCCAAGTCAAACAATCGGAAACGCTTCGATTATTGGAATGTGTGTCGGAATATTTGTACATCCAACCATAGCTTTCATTGGAATGTATGGTGTTCAACCTGAACTTCATGGACGTGGCATCGGTTTAGCGATGTGGCGAAAAATGCTAGATCATGTTGGCTCATTGAACGCTGGTCTTTACGCTGTTCCGGAACATTTAACTATGTACCGTGATAGAGCTGGATTTCATCAACCCGATGATCGTATGTTGATTATCTATGAATCCGATGAGAGTGATCAGTTGAATGTGGACATTTTGGTCCCTTCGATACCTGAGACTAAAATTCAACGAATCACTACCGAATGGTATAGCAAAGTGATTGATTATGATGCACAAGTTCATGGCTACATTCGTGCTAAATTGTTGCCTCATGTCTTTACGGGTAATGTGATTTTTTTATCGAAATTTTTTTTATAACTGACCCATTTATCATTATGCTATGCAGAAGAAGGTTCGATAGCATTCGTAGCATCTGACACGACTGGTCAACGAATTTTCGGCTACGGTTGTATGCGTACGAACAACATTGGCAAAGCAATGATAGGGCCATTATATGCCAACAATGGTGCCGTAGCTGAGTTATTGATGCGGTATCTGTTTTCCCGATTGTCCACGCCATTCGGTAAAGGTCTCTTATATATGACGCTGGATTCAAATCATGGTGGGCAATTGATTGCCGATAAATTATGCCTCAAGCAACAAGAGAAGATTCAACGATTTTTTCGTTTCCAACCATATGAAGGAGCCGATTGGAATCGGGTCTATTGTATTCACTCCCCCAATTTTTCTCTACTATAGCTTGCAATTTAGGAATTCAAATCGTTTGATTTCCTTTCGAATATAACCTTGTTAGCATCTTCCAAACTTAACAGATGGAGACACGGATAACATACATGTTAACAAAAAAAAATTGAATATCTTGTTCTTCTGTCCGATTACCAGTTTTAAGAATTTCCTTTTAAAAATTTCGTTTATATTTCCCTTATAGAAATGAAAAGAAAACATTCCTATCTATAATCAAATAGAATAAATGAATGCAGAACAGAATCATAAATATGAAAATATCTATTCGTTTTCGAAACTAAATCCTATGTATTTTGGATATAATATCAGATATCTCAAACTTTCAGTTACTTTAATTTCCTACTTGGGAAAACTCTTTGGCAACTAGGGATTCTGATCATAGTTTGGTGTTTATTTTTTAAAACGACAAAATAACATGCTCTTTCTGTTAGATTGCATAGAATTTTAATTGAAAGCAAGTTATAACTAACTCTAGATAGAAGGATAAAGACCAATATTGACGAGCACGAGTTACATCCATCCATGGACAATGATTACGATGAGTATGTGTGTATCAAAAATGGATAAAAAAAACACGGTAACCAAGGCCATTAACCATATTTGGAACTCTTTTTGAAACTGTATTGGTACTGTTTAATTCGTAGTATGCATACGATGGCTTCAAAATCACCTATTGTATATAAAAGTTTTCATTGACAACTCCACAATACCTGTATACAACAATACAACGGCATCAGCATGAGATCTAAGTTTGTTGAGCATTGAGTTACAAGAACATCCCCGTTCTGATTCGTCAAAGTGACAATTTTGTTGTTTGTCTTTCATCAAGACGTGTTTGGTCGAGTAAATCATCGTCGTTAAATTTATTTGCGTAAATGTATTTGTGCAAACTTCATTGATGATGGCTACTCAACGAAGGGATGATGAACCACCACATTATGTTGAATTGCATTTCGGCAATCTTCATCAGTTGAGCAATGATTCCAATCTGGGCCAGCAAATACCTGTAATATCACCTCCCCACCGACTCAGCCGCTATGAACAACAAAAACAACGAATTGACAAATACTTTGCCCAGAGTACAGTTGACCAACATTCAACATCAGCACCTTCAATGATGCTCAGGTCAGGTAATAATCCTGATCCAGTGACCAAACTAAAAATGCCCGATACAACTATCCAGACACGTCAGCATAAAGATCCTAGAGATTTCGCAACCTTTCTTTGTAAGTTTTTGCTATCCTATTCAGTGTTGAACATGAAAAATTAATATACGGTTTTATTCGTTTACCATTCAAAGGCATATTTGCTTCAGTGATGACGACGGTTCTGATATTGATGTTCTACATGGTGGGAGAAGCTGCATTTCGCTTGATGCTGCTGGTCATTTCATTTGTTTTAATATTGACCTTATGCTTGGCTTGTTTTCTTCGCCGTCCAACGTTGTTCATCCTTGGTCAAGCCACCGTTGTCCATGATTTGGGTGAATCGACAAACAATCTGGATCAAAAATGGATTACGCCTCAACCATATCTATTGATTTTTCCGACATTTAGAACTCATTTCCACTCAACATCTTCGACTTAGATTAGCTGCTAAGTGCTTTAGCTGGCAGTTGGTCTTTGCCTGATTTCTTTTAATGTCAATAAAACATTGATTAGTTTCATTTTAATGACATTATTGTTTTTTTTGTTTTTGTTCTTACACATGGGGTGCCATCAGTAGGATCTGGACTGGTGATGTGAAATAATCCATTTCATTTGTAAATATCATTCAGCTTTTTGAACTCGATCGGATATGTCAACAAAAGCAAATCTAGCCATGAATTTGACTCTATTGTTCATTCTTTTTGTATCTTCATTTAATGATTATTTAGTCTCTTCATTTACGTCTTCTTCGGTTCCAGCTAGCCAACGCATAGAATGGAGGAAACGAACAGACGTTGATGGTGAGCTAAATTCATCGCCCACCATCTGGCTGCACAAATGTCGAACGATGGAAACTCTGGTCGAGATGAGCAAAGATGAACTCGGTACGAATGGTGAATTGATACGTCGATGTCATGGTCAAGCGCTGGTTAGCAAATGTGAAGGGGCATGCATTTCTAATCTACGGCCATCGATCCAAACGCCAACAGGGCTGCTTAAGGTATTGTCATTGAAGGTATTGTTGCTCAAAAACAAAATATTATCTATGGCTAGTGCAAATAAGCTAATCAGTATTTTTTTTTTTATTGTTGTCCATATGAAATTTAATAATTTAGGAATGCAATTGCTGCCGTGAAACATCGATGCATAGCAAACGTATAGTATTGGATAATTGTTTCGATCTAGATGACAATGCATTGGAAGATGAAAAGATGATCATTACCGTTAATGAACCCCGCAATTGTGCTTGTTTCAAATGTGCCAATCGAAAATGAAACATGCAGAAACCAGATTTGTTTCCACACCATTCATCTACAATTAAAATGAATTATTATTAATCTGTTCATTTTGCAATTCAAATGATATTAACCATTCATAGAAGAAAATTTCAAAAACAACAATTTCGAAAAAATATGTTAAAAGATATAGTGAATCAGTAAATTTTTTTTTAATTTTATTTATTATTATCAATTATCAATTTTTTTTCTTTTTTTCTATATTGTAATTTTTGTTTTTTTTCTCTCACTCTCTTGTGTTTCACAAATTTTTTTGCATTTTGGTATACATTCCTATTATTCGTCATAGGAATCGTTAAATTTATGAAATAAAATGAACCATTGCAAAAGATTTCGAAAATAAAATAAACTTAATTTAAAAACCAATTCCAGCTACACTCATATCATGTGAAGAGAAAATTTTATTGTCATTTATTGTTGGTTTTATAATTTTGGAAACAGATGATCGTTTTTAGCCAAAATTTTTTCAACAATTCTTTTCTAAATCAAGTGTGCTAAGAAAAAATTCTTTATATTGATTTTACTTGATTATTATTGCACAGAGACCAACTTGTGTTTTCATTTGTGCTTGTCTATTCATTTCGAACAGTTAAATAAAAATGTCAATTTTGTCTAGAATTACTTTATTGCAATTATAATGTTCGAGTTGATCCCATTTTTGATTTTCTTCTCATTCTGCACACACTGTTGGATATCCTGTTGACAAGCAAAATCACTTAGGCTGGCAACATGGTTACATTTTCATATTTAAGTTTGATGTTATTCTGATGTCAATATGAATCAATCCCAGTGGATGTCACCTTAATTCACCACTTATATAGTTAGATTTTAACAGGTTTCAGATAAAAACAGCATTTGTATTGAAGCGATCAATCAGATCAGACCTTTTAAACAAAGAATGAACATGTTTCGAAAAGGTAAATCAATTTGGTTTGACCGATGGCTGCTTCTTCAACTATTATTCGTCACTAACTTGCCCGAGAAAATAATCACCGGTAGTGAATCAAGTGAATTCATCGATTCTAATATAATGGTCAATGATGGCCAAAGCATCGATAAACACGAGCAGACAAGAATGGCCGAATGTCATTTACGTCCAGTTATTCATATTCTACAACGAGCTGGTTGTATTCCAAAACCAATACCTTCGTTCGCTTGCTATGGAACATGTAATTCCTATGTACAAGTTAGTTTTACAAGTCTTATATTCTCTTCATCCTTAATAATCTCATTTTCTCTATCTATTATTTTCAAAGGTTTCCGATTCTAAATTTTGGCGATTGGAACGTTCATGCAATTGTTGTCAAGAAATCGGTGAACGGGAAGCATCGGTCATGCTTCATTGTCCTGGCCAGACGCCTCAATATCGTCGAGTGACAACCCGGGCTCCAGTTGAATGTCTATGTCGACCATGTTCAGCTGTTGACGAACAGCAGGTGAAACCATTAGAGATGTTTCTTCATAATCATCAATTTAATTCCAATTTGCCATCCGCGCTGAATGTGAATGAAAATGAGAGCAGTGGCCAGCGAATTAATCGTCGAATCAATCTTCATGCCCGTGGTTAAATCCACCATCGTAGTCGATCAAATTATTTGTTTTAAAAGAAGAATAAACTTGATTTGATCAAAATTCTTTAGCTGGTATTCTAACACATTGACATTTCAATGCTAATTCTAAATATTTCTTTAATTGGAATTGTAACTGTTTTGAATAATCAAAATAAAAATTCAACATCTAATTAGTCATTTGATATTTTTCATGAATAATTAAAATTTTTTTTCTTACATGTGAAACAAATCTGCATAATAGTCTATAAATATCCGATTCAATTATTTTGTTTTGGTCAACAAGTATACTCAAAAAGTGACCTTTCTAATGTAAGAATAACATTTCAGGTTTTTATGCAATTAATTTAAACTGAATTAGAGAATAATCAATTGTATGCCTCATGAGACCAAAAAAGGACAGACAGCCAAAAACTTTTTGTAACAAAAACAAAAATTGAACCGTACACGTGCGATGAATTGGCCAAAAACTAGAGCCTGCGTCAATAATGGTACTAACCTAAACCGATTTTAGAAAGGACCCTACCACCAGATTATTGCTGATTGCAATAAGCATGACACAGAGCAAAGCAAGATGAGAAGAACCTGAAACAGAGTGAAAATTTTGAAACAAATTTCGTCTCAGTTCCGTTTCGTTTAGATTTCAATGGACTAGGTTTTATCTGATGATGAAAATATATTGTGTATCGTGTGTGATGATAAAGATGCGTCAGTTTCGGTTGTAACTTTGATCGATGAACATAACCAGCATATCGCGATTGGATAATGTTAATATATGAATGTGAATTGCCTGATTGAAATTTTATCAGGAATTTGTTTCATTATGGTCGAGAATTGATCTCACTCCCGTATCTGATCAAGAAGAAACTAAATTTAAAAATCGATTTTCATCAAATCCATCATAATTCTCATTATAGTTTTTTGTGCAGTAGTGAATATTTGATTCTATTTTAAATAAAGACTATCTGTTGGCCGTTCTTTTCAGAATTGCTTTTTTTCATTGAATCATTGCCTTAATTTCAAGCCATGTGAAGTGGCAATCATTTTGATGATGATTCAAGATAGCCGTAAAGCATCATTTAATACGCGAAATTGGTCAAAGATTGTAAATGATGAGAACAATGTATCACAAACACTAAATGATTCCATTGTCATTGATCAAGTTTTTTCTTCCGTATCAATGAGCTTGTCATCATCTACTCCTGCAGCACCAGCGATGAACAATGGCAACAATAACGATCGCCAAGATGTTGATCGGCCATCATCGTCATTATGGACAACAAGAATTTTGACTAACAATAATGATACCGTTTCCATACAATGTTCCCAACTGTTTACCAATTCAGCCGCCGATCTGGCCGTCAACGATACATCGATTATGGTCAATGTCACAAACATAGCTAATATAACGACAAACACTGGTGGTGCTAGCTTCAAATTTGGGCAATTGAGTCAACAATTGAGCAACCAAAGTAAGTTCGTTTCCAGCCATTGAATTGGCCACAAATGATTGATTATTCCATTATTCTCTTTTTCCCATACTAGGCCAGCTTTTGTTTAATGAAACCTGGCTATTCAGCAACTTAGCAGCAAATGTGCATGAAGATGGTATAAATGCAACTTCGTCAGCCAATTCAATTGTAATGAGCGAAAATTCCTCTTCATTCTATTGTGACACTGTGTGGGATGGCTTCTATTGTTGGCCAATGACCGCTTCCGGTACGATATTAATGCATTCATGTCGCGATATATTTGATTCAGTGGGGGAATTGCCAAAAGATCAAATTGACGAGTCCACCTATAACAATGGTAAGTTTTTTTAGAATGGCTTCATAATCTATCGGTCATTTTGATGGCCACATCAGGTGCTTTATAATTAGCTAACATATAACTGTAACGTAAAGACAATGGATATCACAAATGAGTGAATTTCTTCATAATTAGACAATTTTTATTCTGACATCATTTCACAGATTGAATTGAATTGATGCTCATTATCTAGTCGAATTGTCAGTGTGACTATTTATGCATGACCGACATGTTGTTTGCATGCATTGTTTGACTATTTTTCAGCGAATCACTAGATAGTTTATTTCCGAAGAATTCAGTCATAAGAAAGTCATAAATTTGAAGATCGAAAAAAAATTTGCCTAAAATTGACAAGTTTGATAATTATTGTCGTATTCCAAACGCCTAATCATATACACGGGTATAAGTGAAAACTCTCTGAGCCAGTGAACCACAAACAAATTTTGAATTCTATTTTAGATCCAATTAGGGCAAAGTGAAATTTGTGGATCGGAATTATCAAGCCAAGAAATTTTCATAATGATAGTGGACATGATGTTCGATAATGCTTGCAATTTAATGATGATCCTGCCAGGAGAAGAGATGGTATCGTTAGAATGAATTACGATCCAGATAATCATTACAAGCTTGTTTCACTTGACTCGATAAAATGATTCGATAGAACATCCATTAAAACATAATGTGGCCACCTGAAATATGATAACAGCCATTTGCTATTTGATCCTTTTGATATTTAGATTTGTAATTGAAACATAAGTTCAATTCAACGAAGCGATCGTAATCACAGTCATCATATGATCAATATGAATATAAACGATGAGACCATATGGTTCGAAAATAATAATATTCTTAGTTTCGAAATAATACCCACCAAATTATGACTAGCCAATGGAAAGAATAAAGATGAAGCTCCAAATGTCTGATAATAATAGTCAAATCTTATTCACGAAACTATACTCGACGAGAACAAATGAAATGATGAACAAAGCAAATTTAATACAATGATACATAAATTAATTATAAAAGAATGATTCGAATTAAAAAAAAAACAAACAGCATGGCAGAATAAAATGAATTAATTTCAGTTTCGATATTGGCCTAGTCACTCATAACGCTCTTTCCATATCTTATTAAAAATTGTTGAGAATATTAGGTTCCACTCAAATCTACGTTACAGAAATAAATGTCAACTTTTATTTATAGTTACTTGGCAATTCGCCAGTTTATTTACAAGAATCACAAAACAGAAATAATCTAACAACACAGGTTATTAAGAAAATAAATTAGCTTTTCCATCTCGAATTCTATTATGTTCATGGCCATCTGAATCAACTGCGATAGTCATAGTATGGTAGGATCATGTTGTGGCCAACACGATCATAGAGAAGAGTTTGTTGGCCATTCTCGTTATCCATGCTACGACGACAACGACAACAGCAGAATATTACCATAACAATCAGAACAAACACTGTTGTCGTACCTGTCGTGATGGCCGTATATACCACAAACCTATCGGTTACCTCTTCACTCACTTGAATGGCTGCACCGGAATGAGATAAATTATAGTTTTGCTTGTTTGTCGAATCCCCACTTCGTCCAGTGAATCTGTTTTCATTACGCTCGATTCCAGACTCCGAAGTGTGCGTCGGTGATAGTGGTGGCGGCAAGACAATCTCTTTGCACACGAACAACGGGTTATTACGTCCGGCTAATTCTGTCAATGCGTTGACCGGAAATTGACGAGTGATTTCATTAGTTACGCTAATTTGTCCCGCATTGACCGATTGTAGACAAAGTTCGTATGCGGCCATTGATTCTAATCCATCGATTCTATACTGGTAGGTTTTATTGTTTGTTACTGGCGGATCAAGCGTATTATTTTGGTCAATAAATCGATATCTTTCGCGATGTGTTTTACCGTAACGGCGAATATACAGGTTAAAACTGAGCGGATTCTGTTCTTGTTCAACTTTAGCTTCTATTTTACGTTTTAAACGACTAGACACTGGTTCCATTCGTAAATGAACGACCACTCTCCATCCGACTAATATTTCCCAAGATGTCAGGTTTAACATTGTTACGTAAGTTTCGATTGATTCAATGTGTCGGGGTTTTGGTGGATGTAAATATAGTATAGCACTCGAAGGACGAAACGTCGTATGCTAATATCATTCCAAGAATGAGATCAAGGAGAAAATAGAAGAGGATATATGCTTCACAATTCAACTAAAGTGAACATACCGTACGGCGATTTAGGTGTTGGTATTGTTGTTCAAGGTTATGAGGCATCAAGATATGGGTGATATTATTGGTTATTTTCAAACGTTCATTGTTGGGCATTAGTTCGAATCTTTGACGCAATGATGGCTTCTTTCCACCGCTAACTTTATGGAATGTTATCATGGAATCGCTTTCATAACTGTAATCAGCTCCACTTTTGACGATCCAGATGACTGTTATCATGATGATTATAGAGTATAATGATTTTAAATGAGTCCTCATTTTGTTGATAGAATAACAAGTCCAATTAACCGATCGAATAGTAAATTGACGAAGATAGTCAATTCCGTCAAGAGAATTTGACAGAGAGGCAACATAAATTTACACGAAATAATGATTGTTTGTTTTGTCGATGTTGATGAGAATCTTTTCATCGATCGTCAATGATTCGATGGATGAGATCATGACAATGATTGAGCCAGATAGTCAGCATTGAGTTTCGCCTGCTTCACCATATTTGCCATTAACATCTTCACCACGAAACTCATTTCATGTGATGTTCAATGCCGCCGCATCCTTTTGTAGCAATTGTTGCTATTCGACACACCGCCATAAAAAAGTGAAAAAATGCTAGCAGCTGCCAGTTATAGAACAGTTGAAATTAGTGACCACCATTATGAGCACACAGCTAAGAAATTCATTCATACATTAAATAGAAATAATGTACATGCTATGACGGTATCCATGACGACAATCATGACGGAAAAGTTGATAAATAACTTTTTAATTTACATACAATCAAACACACCGGCAAACATATAACGATAATATGCGTGACAATGTTAGTCGACAAATTCTATTGGAAATGAATAATAGGTAATTCAACAATGAAGTGATGAAATGGAAAATGAAATTACCTGATCGATCGATCAGTTGCAAACATCAAAATAATTAATCACAGCATAGGATGTGCAGCAGCGTTCATACTTACAAACAGATGGCTGATGGTTTTTCCAGTCGGTTGACTTGCATCATATTTCATTATTCTCTCGATGCATATTTTTTTATCCAATTTCAATTCATATAAGAGGGCCGGAATTTTTTTAATATAAATTTGCATGAAAGATATATGCTCATACAGTCATTTCATTTTCATTAAACAGAAATATAAGAAAACAAAACGACATTTTGATTATAAAACATTGATTAAATTAAATTATTATTATCAAATTAGACTGCTTTTGCTTACCGTTTAAAATTCGATCGATTCGCACAATTTAATATCAATCAGGCAGCCGTTATAGACAAATCCAAACAAACAAACAGGCTTGTATGTTTGTTAACGAATTAATTATAAACAAACAACAACTAATCTGGTCATGAGAGGAGTTTTTGTTTGTTTGCCATTGGGATAATGTTTCATGTTAGCCAACACTTGTGCATGTTTGTTTGCCTTGTTTAGTGTGTGTATTTTTATTCTGTAATGAAATGAATGGTTATATGACAAATTTTTTGAATTGATTTGATTCACACCAGCTTTCGCATATCGCATCTGTGACAATAACGGAACATGGATCAACAATTGGACTAATTATACCGAATGCTTGTTGTTGATTGCCAATGTGAGTGCATTTAATTCATAAAAATGTTTTCCGAAATGAATTTAATTGATCCGTTTGCCAGAATGAATCGGACACGGATGCTTCCAAATATCAGTTCATAAGACAATTGGTCATATTCATCATGTTTTCCTGCTCAATGTTGTCGTTGATTTTATTGTCAATAACATTCTTCATCTTCACATATTTCCGGTATTTCCTCTCAAATTCGCTTACCCTTAATGTTAATTATTAGTTTCAATCTCTACAGATCATTGACATCGTGTCGACTTCGTGTGCACCGAAACCTGGTTCTTGCATTAATCCTTCATTCATTATGCTTGTTGTTGATTGCCAGTCCGCATTTATTCAATCCGGATGAATCGCTTTCTTCTTATTGGGAGATCGTATGTGTTTTCCATTGATCCATTCAATCATAACCGATAACCTTTTTTTACCGCATAGGAATGGCTGTGTAAATCGATATTGACGTTAAAGCTGTATTCAACACTGGCATCAATCAATTGGATGTTTATCGAAGGTTTCCAATTGCACAGCCGAGTCACGGTATCTATTCTACGCAAAGATGCTCCATTCAAGCTTTATCATTTTCTGGGTTGGGGTAAGTTTTGAATGCCATAATAGAAATATTACCTAGAGCCATGTTCGACAATCCATATCCAATCGTGACATGTATGTTTGTTTTGTTTGGATTTTTTTTTACATTTTTATTGTCGTTGAATAGAAATTTCAATTTTTATATTTGCAACGTTATATTCTAATCCATATTTTGTTAACAAGTTAGGAAATGAGAAATCATTGAATTGCTTCTGGGTAGTTTTAGGTCTGAGAGAGTCAAACCTGTATATTTCAAAGGGAAATTTGTAAAAAAAGTTTAGTTTGGAATCGGCAATGATTTGTCCATTGAAGTACGTGTATAATTTTGTGCTTGTGTTTGATTTATTTCAGGAATCCCACTTGTGTTGGTTACAGCGTGGGCATTACAGATGTCATTGACAATGGATACCTTATGTTGGAATGGTTACGCTCATTCGCTATACATATGGATTATTGTTGGACCAATGATTCTTGCTCTTTCGGTAAGCTATGATAGAAACCTTATGAAACCAACCAATTAAAAGTCAATATCACATACCTATCGGCAGGTAAATTGCATATTTTTAGTGAACATAATACGCGTGTTGCTCACCAAACTTCGTTTGACTGTAACCATTGAGATCAAACAGATTCGAAAAGCAATTAAGGCGACAGCTTTGTTATTTCCCTTACTGGGTAAGTACAATTCCAATTCGATTTAACTTTTGATTATCTATTGATTGCAATGAAAGGAATATCGCATCTGTTGTTTTGCATCAATCCGGATGACAATGGTCGTTTAGAGGATGCCTATCTCATTTTCAATGCCTTCCTGCAATCATCTCAGGTATGTTTGTTTAATTTTGACATTGAATGGTAATATTACATATGACATTTTTAGGGCATATTTGTCTCCATATTGTACTGTTTCATGGACACCGATGTTCAACAAGCGCTGAAACTAACCTATCAACGGACAGTATTTAAAAACCGATCGTTTCCTACTAGATGGTCCCGACAAACTGCAACCACAACAGCAGCCAAAACACCAACCATACGTGATCGAAATCTGGGATCATTTAAATTTGTCCGACAGCCAATGATCAATAATATCGTTCGTACTAACAGTTTGAATGAAATAAATATTGGCATGGAAATTGCAAACCACGCAAATAGGTCCTTGAACGACAAGACGCATGACAAAGATGAGACTAACAAACATTTGGCACGACAAAATAACGGCTTTGCCTTAAACACGACAAAAATGGTTATAAATTCTACGGCTTATGGGCATCAAATGGATGGTAAGTGATGAATCCATTTGTATTGCTAGCCATCTTTTAACAAACCTTACGTTATTCTTGACAGTTAGAGAAATATTGAGTCAACAGTCACAATCTCAACGTTCGGCCGGTAAAACAATATCACCATCAACAACAAGAGAGTCTCAGACCCTATGTATTATGTACAATTCCAATGGCGAAATGGTTCGATTTAAACCCAAAATACAGTATTCGAATCCTAAACCGTATTCAATGCCTGATACTGGCATAATAGCTATTGAAATTGATCCGAAAACAAAAAAGAGATGATTCTTGTATTTTATTTTATCATGAATTTATTTTTCATTTCAAATAATGTATATATGATTGGGCGGTGAATTAAATTCTCCATTTTTTTTATAATGTTAACATGAAAATTTATCTCCAAAAATATGAATGTTAAATAGAAAATGAATCATTATAATATTTGTCAATATGGTGTTGATAAAGAAAGTTTGGGCAGACTGGAGGAAGGTTTGCGGGGAACATTATCCAATTTTTGTTGCTGATATTCGGTCATTGGTCGACCGCCAACACCTATTAATGAGGAAAAATAGGAATCAGATCAAGGAGAAAACCATTTGAAAAAAACAACAATGATTGGGCAAAACTTACCACAAGTACCGACACCAACACGTCCAGAAACGGAATCTGGGGATGCGAATATACTTTTCTTTTGATTACCTTTCATTTTTTTATTCATAACCTGCAAATAGTGATCAATTAAAATGAGTCTACCAAAGTCAAGTTAGAAGCCAAGACCTACCTTATGGGCAAATGATTGCCATTTCATTTTGTCTTTTTCCCTTTCCTCCTCTAATTGCTTTAATTTCTCTTTACGTTTCTGCTGTTTTTTCCGCTGTTGTTCCCTAAGTTCTTGCTGTTTTTTGTACTGATTGATGTTTGTCGTTTGTTGTTGGGAGCTTGACGACGATAAAGTTGAGCTATCGACCGATAAATAATTGGTAGTCGAACCTAAACCAGTTTTATTTGTTGATCCTAGAGAAGATATATGTGCTTTATGATTATTATTAAAGGTACCACGTTTTTTGCCCAATGGTTTCAACAATCCGACCAGACATACTTCGGAAAGACGTTTTTTCGCGTGGGTGAACATGACCGTACATTGACCATCTGAAGTTATATCTTCGACCTGTGCCTCGTAAAATCTAGATGATTCAATCAATGATCATCAACAGAGTTGATTGTGAACATAACGAAGACTACTTACTGTCCATCTTCGCTCCAAGGGGCCAACACCCAATCGCCAGCACTGAAATGATGCTCATGTGTGGGGGCACCATCGTTTTCCAATGATTCTAATGCAGCTAATTCTTCTTTAGTCATCATTTGTATTGTCAATTGTATTACCTCCTACATGGTGAATAACAATCTTATGAAAAGATTATTTCGATCATTGATTGACTTACATTTAGATCATGTTGGAGCGTTTTCAGGTCTTCATTATCCGGTTCATTTATCAGGCTCATCTCGACCTGTCGTAATTGAATCTTGTAATTACGTATGTTGGCCAAATTGTCCGACATTTTCGTTGAGTTGTTGATTTTGGCGAATTCCTAAATTTGAAAGCGAGATTTGTTTGGAACAACAAAACAATTCATGCATTTACAATAATAAATATCAAAAGCTCATTTGCAGCTCGAGTTTATACCAAATAACCACTAGATGGCGTCATAGAATGATAAATAAATAAATTATTGTTCGTGTGATAATATAGAAATGTAAAAATGGTTTCAACTTTATTTTTTTAAAACAAATTACGATTTTGTAAATGAATAAATTTTTTATTTTATGACAATCAATTCAACATGTAATGCCATTTAGTACACATTGATTTCAATGACGATAAAACAGGCTGCAGAACGATTGATGTAAATTCATGGAATGTTAGTCTCTTGCAGTAATGCTTTAGCAGCAGAATAGATTTCATTTTCAGCATAATCTCCCACTCCCTATAATTTACGATTCCAATAAGCTGATCAACAATCTCTTTATTCATAAGTTTATACTGACCTCAACTAATTGTTGTAGATCGTGATAAGCGGCCGTTATTCGTTTCTGACAATCTGGCAATAGCATGGCTGTTTCATTGATAATCTCTTGCTTAATTTTGAAACACAATTAGAAAAAATTTAATGATCTATATAAAGTTAGTAACTAACCTGTTTATTGATTTCATATACATCCCTTTGCTGTTCACGCATTGTATTCAAACGTTCAGTCTCTCGTGTCAATTCTTGCTCATAGGCTTGTCTCTCTTTGACACATCTATAAAAAAAAATGACAATAACAAATCAAAATAACACACTTCACTGCTTGTATGTACCAACCTTTTTAACACGCCCGTTCGGATTCTAATCTGGTTGATTTTAGGATCACTCATTTTATGGACAAATTTAAACTTACACGAAATTGTAATCGAATGACAAACAAATGATCAATCACGTGCTAACGGTAACAAATCAATATTTTCCGGAAAATTTTTTTCAGAAAAAATTAAAGTATCCTCAAAAACTTTACGGTTGAAATTTTATTAGAATTAAATGTAACAAAAAAAAAATTGATAGTAGGAAGAAAATGCAAGCAGATTTGTACACACTCAATCTGAAAATTTGATGATTTTTAAGATGACGATGAAATTCATGATCCAAGGATGTTTTTAGATGACTTACTCATCGGATTCTTTTTTGATTTTCTTATTTTTCTTTTTCTTTTTCGCCGATGTCACTTGTTGATGATCCTGGTCATCATCCATTGTTTTTTCACCTACCTCCTCCTCTTGTTCGTTTGTCTCTTTTGCTGGTGACGGTTTCGCCTCATCATCAACATCATCTTGGTCGAAAGATTTTCGTTTATTCTTTGGCACGAATGTGGAATCCGCACCATCCTTGTAGATCATAACTTTAGATTTGTTTTCAAACTTTTGAGGATGCTGTGATCGCTGCTGTCTGCCCGTTGCACTGATCCTACGAATATTACCTTCTTCAAAAAATTTGAGTTGTGTTTCCAATTTGGCTCGATTTTGTACTCCTAATTCATTGCTCGATTCTTCTCCTAATGCATCGACACGAATTGCTAAGGCTGCCTTAGCTGCCAACATTCGAGACATTTTGCCTTTCAACTTGCTATTAGCCTGGGTGATCAGTTGAGCATGATAAATAAGACCATACTTAGGTGTGTCATGCTTTGTTTTCAATGCTCGAAACAAAGCCTTTTCTGCGCCTAATATTTGGACAGTGGATGCTGGATGTTTTGCTAGATTTAACAATGAACCTGCATGCGATATTAGTCGGGCTCCTACCAATTCTCCAACCAAAATGGTTAGATTCGGAGCTACAGCCATCATACGATTCTTGAGATATTCCAACAATTGTGCACGATATTCATGTAAATCTAGACAATTTCGACACAATGCATGAATATTAATTAAATCTTCTCCAGCAATTTCTGTACCCATGGACACTTCAGCTAATTCTTTGACCTGAGTCTCAACTTCTTCAGGAATGATTTCCGAAAGATCGGTAGTCACAGCATTTGTGCGCATACCGATGGTCATGACAGTTCTGATATAGGCAATGTTGTCTGCGATAATCTTAGATAATTCAGGGAAATGCCAACCATACCATTCCTTGGCTCGCATGATGTAATTGTTCAATTCTTTATCGAGATCATCAAGCAAAGCTATGAATAATCAAAAGCAAGTTGTTTCTTTAGAAAAATTGAAAAACTCAATAGGCTTTTAATGAAAACTTACAAATGGCCTGTATGATCATTGTATCCACCTTATCCGGGCTAAACTTTAGCTTATATCGACCAAGCCTGAAGAGAAATAGAAAGCAAAAAATATATTACACATTTTACTAAGCAGAATGGTAAAATCGATGTTACTAGAGTAGAGAGAAATGCATCTCAGAGGTAGTGACGATAATTGCATAATCATATGGTTTCATAAATAATAAAATTCTATCCATCATTGATGATAAGGTTCATGAAAGTGTTGTAAATAAAAAAGCCTACTTACCCATGACTCAAGCCAAGTTGCATGGCTGCCTCTTCGTCTTCATTCCAATCGGGTACTAATTCAGGTAAATGAATTCGAATGCATGACATTAGTTCCTGTATGGCATTACTAGTAACACATGGAACATCAAGCTTCTCTTTGATAGCTCCTGCTAATTTGGCATCGGCAACGGCTAATGTCTCATCAGAATAGACTGACAACACCTTTTTTGAAAGAAATTTCTTCAGCCTTTTGCTCAATTTTCCTTCAATCAAGGCAGTGGTCGATGTCAAAGCATCAGTAGCATCTTTGAATTTTTGATTAACTTCAAATGACAATAATTTGGTTGCCTTTTTTGCATTCTCAAATTCTTTGTACAAATTGGCAGGTTGATTTAGCTTAGATTCATCATTGACCTAAGAAACAAGCAAACTCATTCATTACACTTGATTATAATTTTTCAGAAATTCAAACCTTGAAAATATAAAATCCCGAGGCCGACTCAAGAAGAACCAACATGTTTATAATCGAATAGAATTATTCTGAAATCTATAAAAAACGGATGGATTGTCTTTTTCACTTGTGTGCTAAAAAAACGGCATGTCTTTGGGTGATGAACGAAACCGATATCGATATATCAATAAGGTAGTTGTAATTTCAGAAAGGAGATGTCGTTGCTGGTTGGTAGAAAAAAAAATTCAAATCTATTCCATAATATATTATTCGATTCTATGAATGTGAAAAGATGGACAATATTCAAAATTATGTTAGAAATTTAAAGCAATTTTATTTCATGCTTTATTAATTTCATTAAAAATTGAATTTTAAGCTGGACGGTTTACTTACAGAAAAAGTTGATCAATAAAAAGATAGCAACAAAGATAATAAAATTTAAATTTGAGCGAATCCAATTTGATGGACGATCTGGGAATCGTACGGTAGTTATTATTATATTTGATATAATTCATGTTGTTGAAAAATCCGATTTGTTCTGGAACGATTTTTGCCCTTCTTCTATATTTGATTACCGAGAATCGATGAAATTATATCGATCAATTTTATGATCTAAAAGTCATTTTTCCTTTACAGAACAATTGATCGGACATAATATGACCATTAAATACTTTCCAAGTTTCTGAGCTGGACCCTCTGATCTATAATAATACAATTATTTTCTGGAACAGTGAATGATCAAAACAGCAACTAGTGAATGAAAAGTGCTATTTGATAATAAAAAAAGCTAGATGTTAGATGCTCACTCACTTATGTTTGTTCATTCGATATTCGTGAAATTGATGAGACCAATGAATAATTGATGGCAAGTTGTGAATGGATGAAGCGAGCAATGCACGCGGCTGCATCTATCTTCTTCTACATACGGTCTATTATGGTTTAATCATCATAACCACGATTAGCTCCGATAAAAGAGCTTCATGACGACGACACGATCACCCCTTGTCTATGTTTTTCTGCCATTGGGCGTCGGTAAAAGCTATACTGGTTATTTTGGTTGGATGAGTGCTCATAAAAACATGGATCAATATCTGTTAGATTCTTAGGATGGCCACCATAATGTTTGTCGTCATGAGAGAGATGCATTAATCGCGGTAATAAACAACAACAAATTCGTCTTAGATATAGCTTGAACTATGGCAGACCAAAATAGCGATGAAAGAGAATAATCATGTGCTAAGATGCCAGATGGATTCATCAAGATAAGAATTTGCACAAACAAACCATTTGGCGACATTATCAAACATTTCTGCTGGAGATACATGAATGGATATAATGTAAAGACGGCTTTGTTCGGCATTTTCGTCACATGAAAGTCAAAAAAAAATGGTGAAAGATGAGAGAGATAAACCAAAAATAGATGATGAGAAAAGAGGCCATCGGCAAATATCATTCAGTATGTAATCATCATAATAGTCATTGAAACCAAATTTGAACAAAAGATTGCTAAACGATCCTTTGTAATGGTGATAATCGGTTGTGAATCTTTTATTTCGATTCATTTTTAGCTAGAATATAGCTATGAATGTTACAAAAATGAAATAATGAACAATCAACTAGATTGAATTAACGTATGATCCATTCATTCATGATGATCATTGTTCATGATCGTTCTTCTGATTGAATCAATCAGAATTCAAGCAATTAACGATTGTGTGAGTTACAATGACTTTTGTGTCGACAGGACATTGCTTTAATAAAATCATCAATTTAATGAAAATAAATGCATAGATCCATTGTGTGTGTGTTCTGTTATAATTAGAGGGTTAAATATTGGTTCTAAATGACGAGAAAAAGATTACAACATTGCCAATGAATGTCAAATGTCAAAAGGCCATGAAGTCAAAACATTTGAAAAAGGGCAAATAATTTATTGTTATTATCCCAATCGTCACACTGGTTGTCAATGTACCTTAAGATTTGATATTTTGGCACAACTGGAAAATGTGTGTACCACGCGAATGGATCGCGTTTTCAATTTTCTCTCTCTCACTCTTTGTGCTAGTCGGTTAATATTTATATGCAGTGTGTCGTGTGTCACTTGGTGTGTGGGTAATTGGGATCGTGTTTTGGCAACTCAATCATTCTATTTTTTGAAACTAGAATGAATACGATCATTGTTCTCAATAAGCCAAATTAATCTGTTGGCAATTTTCAGCTCCAAATTTGCTTACACGTCCTGGTGTGTGTTCTATCGATCCGTGAGGTCGATCACGGGATTGGTTTATAAACTTTTACCTTGTTGTACCTCCAACCTCGTATTAATGTTTGGACAACACCATTCTGATAATATTGGTGTGTGACACACATTGATGAGGATAGATGAATTGAGCCATCAAGGGAACTTTAGCAGACACCTGACTATAGTTTGTATATGACACTTGTGCTAATCAGTTCAGATGAATTCAATGATTGATCAGATTTCTGTTCAGATTGAATATCGGGAAACAATATGGTAGGCACTATCTGCATTTCAGGTTATTTTATTTAGGTGTCAGGTGCAGATGTTGAGAATCCGGTATTGTATTTTACGTCCAACAAGCCAAGATGATAGATTTGATTATTTGATGCATCATCATTTATCCGTTTGTTCGTTAAATGATCATAGATTTTATAATGAATGAATGTTATTTGACAAGTCCCAAGTTGAGAATCAAGCATAAATCGGATTTCGATCATTAATTAAATAGAGCTATGAATCCGAATCTGGTGACAACGTTGTCAAGTGTGGATATATGTGTAATCCGGTTGTTAACAAGAGCTAATCCGATGTTTATTTGTGTTTCTGACGATTTACGTATTGAACAGTGTTATGATATTGCTCAGTTGATCATAGCAGAACCATTCTGATTCTATCAAAAATTCATGCCTTTATGTTACATGACAAATTGATTAGAGATTCATTTTCTCGAATTTACGGTTCATTTGATTTGCTAGCTCGGTATGAGTTGAATTGATAATCTCATTGTTACCGGTTTGATTAATTAAACGCTTGTTTTCTCTAGTTGGTAACATTCTTGTCACTTGTAATCAAAAATTTAAGCTTAGTTTAATTAAATGCATCTGCTATTATGTCGATCGGATCGAAATGGTTGCATGTCGTCACTTTGGATCATTTGTGGAGCATATAATTGGTTTTGAATATGACAATTGCCGATTTCATGCCATACATAAATTTGTCTTACTATTCCATTTGATTTGGGTGAAAATGACAAAATTATTGCTTGTCGATTTGGTTCGTGTGCGGCAGCGACGGGTGTACAGCGAATTGCATAAAATGTTTATCTCAATTGGTTTCGGAGACAAAAACATTTTTTTGCTGTTGTTTATTCTAGCAATATAGAAAGAGCAATAAAATTTCAATGTAGCCAATAGAACCCCTTTTAACTGGTGTGTACAAAGGGATGTAGTCAGAATGTTGACCAATTTCCACCAAACAAAGCATACAGAATTTGTACATTTTTGTTAAGCATGTCAATTCAAGCAATGGTCATCAAGTTGATTGTTTTATAATTTATGCCTTATGTTTGTCGTACAGCAATTAGGACATGATTGGGCAATCAACGAAAATCCAATTACACATTCTATGTTTCAGATAACAGAAAAATCTTATATACATCGAACGAAAGAGTGAAGGGGATCATTTCATAAAAAATGTTTTACACCACTAGGGCCGTTTATAAGAAGATTGCTTTATTGGATTGCTGGAAAAGATCCAAAAAAAAAAATAAGAAAAAAGAATTGAAATTGTATCAGGTCATAAGAATCGGTTATTTTTTCTTTGATCTTTGTCATGATCATGATAGCGATGGGCATGGCCATTTGTGACCATCATCGTCGTTTCCATCATGAATGAGAATCACTGATCATTGATCACTGATGAGTGATCAATTTTATTATTATTATGGCAATATTATAATCAATGACGCCACCCAGTCATTGCTCATAATTTTTATTATGATCATTTCCAATCAAATCTATTGAAACAAACTAAAGACAAAAAACTTCTTCTCAAAGCTATTGTTGGTCATTGCCGCCGTCGTATTTACAGCAAGTTTCGGTAACTTTGTCCTCAGGTCTTGGGTGCTTAATTTTTTAGGCCACTATGGTCCGTCCCTATGTGTTATGAATTGGCGGTTGTTGTTTGACAGAAAGGCTATCGAAGTTATATTGACGAGGCAGCAATTATTGATTGAAACTAATTTGAATCTTTTATTAAATGATTATAACCAATAGAGGCAAATAGGGTATTGACAATATAATCATTTTATTATTGGGACTATAGCTATAGCTACATCCAAAAAAGTTGCTATATGAAACAAATGAAAACGATCTGCTTAAATGAATCTACTTTCTGGAAACGACCATATAAACTTATTCATCTCATGAATAACAATAATATCTTTAGTTGTATACAAAGCAATGATGATAGGCCCAAATAACATCATGGTTAATGTAGATTGATTGCAGCAGCCATGTCATTACATCGCTCAAATATCAACAACAGCAGTAGGCCATCGTTTATTGCAGATTGCCTGTATGTGTTGTTTTTTTTGTATTGGAACCTAGCAAGAAAACCCATGGAGTGTGCATTTATATTCTGGTGCATAGAAAATTCTCACTGTCGAATCAATTTATTACATTATTATTACACACATACATAAACATCTATTCTCATATTTAGTATGGCAAGCTCTCCACTTTGAGAACTAAAGCCGACATTGAAACGACAAAGCGAAGATTGCTATTCTTATCATCATCGATTCAATTTGGTGTTTACATACAGATGTTACGATTGAAAAAGTCCGGCGTAGATGATGCAGCCCATAATTGCAGCAAAAAGGGAAAAACAGTAATGCGCCCAATGATGAATCAACCAATGAATGATTACTATTTATGACTGAAATATACAAACACAATGGGCTTGTTTGTTCAAAAGCGATCGTCCAATCATGTAAAAGCAAAGGCAGGACCCAACCCACTTCGGTATAACTGGCCAATGAGATATAGGTATTGGCATTGGTGATAAAGACCAACAAAAATATGGTGAATGGATCAAGTATTTATATACCATAATTGGTGATCGACAAAGAACGGGGATCATCATCATAGGCTATTGGAAATTTGAGTGTCCAATGATCATTCATATCGAATCATTGTTCGGATACACATTGGACATTTAGAGTGATCATCATCATCATCATCATTATCAAAAAAAATCGCACAACGATTATTCTTGACCATTTGTTCATTACAATCAATCATAAGCTCAAAAATGAAACGAAACGTTTCAGCCACAATGGTTGCTACCAATAGATTTGAACAACAATTACACCATCATCAACAGTCACATGAACAAATGAAATTGTTTCAATGTTCCGGCAATGATGTTCATCATCCTCATCACCATCATCGTCGTTCACACGAGCATCATACATCGATCGGCATGGTCGATTCGGCAGTTGCAGCAACTATGGCACCACAATTACCACCACACCCACCATCCTCAACAACATCAACAAGTTCGGTCAACAAGCGAAACAAATGTAAGTTTTTTCTTGAATTTCTCATGTGACACTTATTCAAATCGACTATTATTATGAAGAACATTCATTGATTGATTCAAAAACAATCGATCAATTGGTTGAAAAACGAATACATAAAATACAATTTTAATCCTCAATGAATTAGTCATAAATAGCTATTATTATTATTCTTAGCAAAAATTCCATTACTTAGAAATGCAACATAGCATATGTTTGGCTGTTTTATTGCCCATCAGCAACAGGAATGAATATAATGATCCCATTATTTGCTCAAATTGATTTTCACATTACATTACATACACACACACAAATTTTATTTATTAACAATCAAACCTCTGTGTTTTAAAGCAGCCGATCATCATTTGCTCATCATCATTTCGATGATAATTGTTGCTCGATGCTCGGTCAGAATGGACAAACACACAAGTGCCGCCGACAGAAAGAGAGAGAGAGAGAGAGAGAGAGAGAGAGAGAGAGAGAGAGAGAGATTGAAATTCCAAAATTGACACCTCTATGTCTGTCGTGTGTACGATTATTTATAATTCAAACATAGATAATGGCTTCATCATGAACAACGAACGAAATAGCGCACAGTGGTGATCATCGATTGATGGTCGAATTTATTGCTTGATGATTGTTGTTTGCAAATCTTTCAATTCAAAAGCTGACAATTTAAACAAACACAACGAGACTGCATTTGCATCAGCGAAACACTTTATTCAGTTCTTTCTCCCTTCACCTGATTTATTTGCTTTTAATTACATTAGCTTAGAATGGCATCTCATCATCATCAACTGATCGTCACCATGTATAATGGCTTTAATCATATTTCTGATTCATTCTGACATTCATGATGCTTAAGACAAATTCGAGCCAAGTTTGAACTATGCGGCATTTCAAATCGCATTCTAAGACAAAATCAACCATTATGATTGATTTCAAATCATCATAAAAAGAAATAGAAATAGAGAAAGTGATTTAATGAATAAGGTAATTAAAAGATTTTTATGATTGAGCCGTTAGCATAGGCGGCGAACGTTTGTGATTGGTTGTCATAAAAGTCAGACAAGAGTCAAATTATAAGCACCAATTGATTTTGTTTCATTGATTCAACTATTTGAGTGATTCTTTAAATTTTCGATTTTGCAATCAGTATAATTACTAGCTAGATTCCCGAAAGCCGAATAGAAAGATGGGGAGAGAGAGAGATGAAATAGAAATATCAAACTAGTCGACACACCTACACGGTCATTATATGATCACTTGGGTGGTAATGGCCTATCCTTTGGACTTATCAATCACCATCATAACCTAAGAACGAGTTATTCACAAGAATTTGAATATGTGTTTCTTATTGATGTTGCTCGAGTTCAATTGTCGCCACGTACTAACAAATGAACTTGTTCAAAAATTGTCCATGAATGTATGCTAGGGTTGTTTGTTTGGACATATTACCTGCTGTCACTTTGATCCAAATGACAATGACAATAACAATTGGTGGTTCAATTCTTCATCTCATTTATTGCCCAAATGTCGCAGTGGGTGGACATAGTAGGAGAATAATTGTTAAATGATCAAATAAGCCAACAGATCAAGCAGTTAGAAGCAATTAATCTAACTAGTTGTGTACTTGTTTGACAGTTCCTTAGTCACAGTATCTTCTCAGTGTCCACCACTAACTAAATTTTGCCATCAACCTGGTATGATAAAGTTGGGCCCGGAAACATTGTGTTTGTTGGTGGTCGATTTCATGCCTGTGGCGATCGATTGAACAAGACATTTATACAAATTCAATGATAAGAAGAACAATTTTGAATTGATCTATCATCTGTCAGCATTATAGTTATTATCATAATCATCTTAATAAACAGAAAATGTCATAATATCTAAACATGGATTCAGAGTGGGCTAATTTGTTGTTTACTATTTTAAAATTACAGCAGCATCATCAACCAATTCTTCATCGACCAAAGAAAGCCATTCTGGCGGAGATAATGCGACTGCATCATTACGAAGATATCGAACGGCATTCACCCGTGAACAACTCACCTTACTTGAAAAAGAATTCATACGCGAGAATTATGTGTCCAGACATCGACGGTGTGAACTGGCGGCAGCGCTTGATCTACCCGAAAGTACAATCAAGGTACGTGTCAAAAGTCAGTTTGGCAAAAGTTGAAACACTATCAACAGAATGTCGCTATAAATAGTCAATCTAAGCATTTAGATGATTGAAAATTTAAAAAATGGAATGACGAAAATAGAAACATTGCATTTAGAAATCTGTATATATCATACATTTATTTACCAATAGGGAGCTTTATTCTCGACAATAACACGCATGCAAACAGAATTCATCTAATGGACATTTTTCGCTCTCGCCTTTCATTATAGGTCTGGTTTCAGAATCGAAGAATGAAAGACAAACGTCAAAGAATGGCATTGACTTGGCCGTATGCCAATCCTCATCTCGCTGTATATATGTTCGCAGCAGCAGCAACAGCCGCTTCGTATGGCCAACCAGCAGCTATGTATTGGAATCGTGCTGCTGCTGCTGCGGCAGCTGCTGCTACTGCACCACAATCACCATACAATAGCCATCATGATGAACATCAACTACCAACTTCGGCCAATCATCATCATCATCATGAGCAAACATCGGACGTTGATCAAACAACCGGAAAAGTAAACCAACCAGGAGGATATCATCCATTAATGATTGGAGCACCGGCCGCTGGTGAAACAGTATCACCATTCATGATGATGACCAATGGTATGGCCACTACTTGTCCCATAATTGGTAACTCATCGGTGGAATCAACGAAAGTGAATTCACCTACGACTACAATGATCGCTACTATGGATCAAATGGTTCGTCATAATGGTGCATGCTGTACATCGCCATCATTACCATTGGTATGTCTAGATGTAAACAGTTCATCCATACATTCTCCAACGACAACGACATCATCTTCCTCCTCGCCGTCGACAATGGCTATTGCTCATTCACCATCTATGTCAAAATTCAAACAGGAGCAAATGATACACAACAATAACGGAATTATGATGATACCAACATCAACGGCAGTAGAAATGAATCGTAAAAAATTATTTCAACCATACAAAAACGATCTAGAAAAATAATTATTGTTTCATTTATAATTTATCATCATCAAGAAGAAAAGAGGAGGCCATCTAGTCCGATCATTGGCTCCATTCACTTATAGATACGTAGCATTCTACCATTGTACATCTATAACAGCATCTAATTATTTAGCCATTCAATGCATATTTTTTTTGATTATTTTTTCCTGTCTGATTCTCTTCTACTTATTTTCTTGGAACAAGAACAGTGAATACTTGAATTACTCATTAAAATCAACTTATTGCACATCATACACAATGTATACTGACACACACACACACACACACCAGCAAAAATATTTCAATATAGAAATTTAAACAATTATTTTAAAACAATACAATACAATACAATAGAGAAATGATGTTGACAAAAATCATGTAAAGATTAAATACGGATAAGGTGATGGTTTCAATTGCGAAGAAAAATTTGGCTTTTTGGACAAGTACTGTCATTAGCAATACTGGTCAATGAAAAGGAATGAGTATGTTTTAGGTAGACAATACGTTTGATACGGCGACTAAGAGCATCTATAAATACGTTATTATTCGCTCCAGAGACAGATTGTATCTTGGCAAAAAATACTTCGTTGAATGTTGATTCGGCTTGTGATCGCAGCAAATCAATATCTTGCATTAGTTCCAAGGATAAGTCAGCCGTTGTAGTCGACATGGAAAAATACATGTTGAAATGAGTCCATAACAGGTAGAGAGCTGATTCAATTATGGCAATACTTTCAGCTAAATCATTGGAGCGAGTTGTGCATCTATGAATAATGGAAACCAAAAGGCCAAGATTGTGCTTACAATACAATCGAGAATCGGTGTATGAGAGTGAGGGCTCGAATAAAGGTTGATCTGTTGCTGAAAATAGTATAAGTGGAAAAAATTGAATGAAAATTCAAACTGATAAGTTAACATTGAGTAATTACCATTGGACGAGACAAGTTGTACGCAGGCATTTAGAATAATAAAAACAATCTGACCGTCTGTTGAGGCCAAAGATTGTTCACCTGAACAAAACAGTGGAAGTAATCCAATAAAATTTGTTTGTAGCGTTCGATTTACATTCAAAACGAGACGGCCGATCAAACGTGAAACTAGCAGCAATAGTTCAGAACCGTTAACGCTTTCTTTAATTGTAGGGGCCAAACGGATCAAATCATGCAAAATTGAATGGGCCGATATAAACGAGCCAAACTGTATGAAAAAACGGTAAGGATATCAAGAATAGAGTGTGTTAGTACAAACAAACCTCTGAAATGATCTGCCTGTTATTGCTGATAGTTGTTATAGTGATCATGAGCCGTAAAATGTAGACAAACATCTTGAAACAAACAGGATTCTCGCATATCAAATATGGATACATATCAAAACATTGCAGTGATTCGAGCGTTTGAACCAGATCGAGGTTGTTTAGCAAACCATTCAGTAGGTAGTCAACGTTGGTAGATGAGAATATAATTAGCAATAGCATCTAAACAGAAAAGATAGAATGAAACATAAAGCCAATTTAGTTTTAAAAGGCTTACCATTTTTGATTCAAAAACGTAAAAAGCTTTGATGAATTCGTATTTGTTAGCTCGGATTTCTCGTTCGTCTGATAAAAGACTCAAAAGCAATTGTTTCAATGAACCATTCAGTATTAATTCATTGAGCCAATTGGTGCAATCGCAACGATTAAGTATGGAAATGGCCAGCATTTTGGCCACTTCATGACCAGCAAGAATATCTCGAGTAAATTTATCCAAAAGATTTGATGAGAATCGTAATTCTTTGAATAACAAAGGCGGCAACAAACGAAACAAGTACAATAAAGATGCATAGAAATTGATCCGTGCCCGCTTTTGTTTCGACCATATTAGCGAGGAATTCTCCAGTACGTGCATGATTGAACGAATGCATGAGGAAATGTTTGTTACACTTTTCGAATCGATTTCGTTTAATGCCCATGAGGCAATAAGAATGGTGGAAGAGATGGATCGGTAAAAATGATCATTCGTTGATGGATCCATAATTCTGTTGATGAGCTCAAGATTAATCTCGGCAAGATAACGAGATTGCATCTCCTGTTCCATTCCAGAGCCAGCAAGGCAGCTACACAAAATGATGACCTGCACTAATTCACACCATGATTCGATGAATTCACTTTTCTGCTTAACCATCTCGATCGATTGATTAACCGAAGTACAATAAAGCATTATCTTTTTGATCTCTTCACGGAGAAGGCTCGAAGAAGAAAGACCAATCTGAGTACCGAGAGCACGGATTTCATTGAACAATTTCTGATGCAACAAAGGTAGATCTATGGTCTTATCGACATTCAAACTTTCCAAGATGGTTTTCTGTAATTCTTTAGAATCAAAATAATCAAAGCTTTGCATGGTCGGGTGGTCATGTTCGAATACGAACGGATACAGGAAGCCTAGAATTCGAGGTTTTTTGGTCTCTTTGAACAAGAACGAAACGTATGATGAACAGTAGGATTGAAGCTTCTGTTCAGAAGTGATACGTATGTCAATCGCCAGAATCTTGAGAAAATATGTTATTTCGAATAGCAACGATTCGACAAGCTTTTGATCCATCGCAAACTGTGTGACGGTCAATCTATTCCAGAATTTTAAGTATTGAAGGTTGAATTCGTAGCTTGACCGTAGAACACGCAAAACGATCTCATTTGTATGGACGGATGAACACAATTTGTAGATAATGTGCATGCCTAATTTACGTTCTTCTAACAAATCTTGCCATTCAATAATTGAGCCATCGAACAATGAAAGAATCGAATGTAAACACGTATAGCTCTGACAAAAAAGACTAACGTTTTTTAGTGAAAACAGTTTACTTTCGATACCAATTAATTTGTGAGCAAACGTGTATTTGCTAGTGGCCGATCCCTGTCCCAAATAGGTGTCGATGAACAGGAGGGTTTCTTTACGCAATTCTTGACTATCACGTTCCAAGCATTCGACAAACATTTGATTAAACTGTTCGGATTTGAGCAATGGATTCTGTACATTTGAACAACACTGCATTAAGCATAAATAAGTCATTTCGAAATTTGCATCACATAACGAACGTAACAGTCGTAATGTATGGATAGCAATTTCCGACGAAAAAGGCAGCATCCGGAATAATATGACTAATCGATCTTGACGATTTGTGCGCGGATTGATATTGTTGAACAATGAATCAAATTTGACAAACGTTGATAAGCAAAGGCCAGCTGCCCCTCGTATCGATTCAAAGAAAAGGTCTTGACGTTGGCAAACTTCACGTAGCAATGACAATATGGTAACGGTACATTGTTCCACGAATCTGCATGTTTGTTGAGGGCCATGATCATAATCTTTTAAGGTTGGCTGGTTATAATTGACTTCCAAATAGGTAACACTCTCTTCTAAACTTGAAATAATATGCCGAAATAGGAGATTCTCCTGTAATATCTGTGAGAACACGGCCAACATTCGAGGAGTGAGTCCTTCGATAAAATCACATCGCTGTACAATGTTCAAGAGCAGCTGGTAAGCCAGTTTCATGACGATCCATTTTTCATTTTCATTCTTGAAGATACGATAGGAAGTTTTTAACAGAATGGAATCTATAATGAATTTAAAACAACTTTCAGATGAGCTCATCTGATGTATTGTCATGCGAGATTCCAAATGTGAGAACAAGGTGTTCATCAGTTCCAAGAATGCGATTGTTATTGGATATTCTTCATTTTTCACCTCGATCTCTTCGATTTCAATGGCGATACCGTTCTGCCATAATTTTGGATGACTAAGCATACCTGATTGATTATAGCGAGGTAATATAGTTTCGATTTCACGCCAAATAATGTTCGACACGGATGATACAGTGGAGAATGCGGCAAAACATTTCAGTATCTGAGCCTTTAACTCACGCGAAACAGCACAACGAAGGATAGACACCATGATTGGAATAAAAAGGTATTGCTGATTCTCAGCAATAGCCACACAACAGGTTCGATCATTTTGGACGATTTCCTCTAAAAGGTTCACGATAGCACAAATCGATTCGACGTCTGCTGTGGTGGCCAATTTTCGTCGGTTGCCTTGATTTTGTACATGTTGATGAATGTGATTATTGAAGCCAACAGATAACGAGAATGAAGCACTAATTCGTTCGGTATTGTCCGAACCTCGAACAGTGTTTAGATAATCATTTAGCGTTTCACTGAATGAACTTATAGAGAATTGAATGCTAGTGTGAAAACTTGTGTTCTTAATCAGATTGAACACGTTGAATGGTGAGTGGCGAGCTAGTGACCGAAAGAATTTAATGACAGCAGCATGCAATAGCTGTGGAAAAAAGGATTCGTGTAATGAACGAACGAATTTGTGTAGTACTTGCTGACGGGATAAAACAGATTTCGAATGAATCTGCTGTTGATCAACGTTAAGCCAAAAGTCATTAGATAAGCCATAAGGATCGGCATGATAGAAAGTTGCCAGAAAACGGAGAAATTTATCAAATTGAAGTGAGGCTTGAGACAAATTAGTGAAAGGTTTAATCGATTCAGCTGACAAAGCATTCAATATGATGCCCGATTCGTCGGCTTTGTCGCGTAACTCTTTAATCTTATGTGACATGTTCATAATCATATCACAGATGATTGAATGAATTTTATGAACGAAAAATTCTTCACTGTACAGATGTTTATTTTGAGCCAACAGTTGGTTAATGTTTTCGAATACATTCTCTTCAATTGCCCGATCAATTAGCTTTTCTTCGTCAATTTCTACCAAATCCAAACCAGGCAACGAGTACATGGACAATGTCTTGAGATTTAACGATACGGCCAATCGAATGATTGGTTTGATAGATTTGATGACAAATTCAGATTCGTCTAGTTTTGAAACAAATTCTGCGAAAGCATTCCCATTTTTGATCCACCAGCAAGCATCAATAGTAGCAGATTGTCGTTGCTCATCGTCCTCGAGTTCTTGGATAAAGCTGACATCCAACGCATAAAGCATGGACAACAACAATTCTGTGGTTACTGTATCTAAATAGGTACTCTCCAAACAACTCTTGTTTTGAACAAGCTCAAATATGCTGAACATTTCTTTTGTCGAAAGATATGTCTGTGCTGAATAATTGAATATGATGTTGGCCGTAATTTTTCGAATGTCTTTCATTGTGTCAAACACTTGTTTCCGGTATCTATAAGGTCCAAGGCCTCGATTCGTTTCTAACATATCATACTCGCGTTTGATATCGAATTCATTCAATATATTACAACAGCGTATGACTATGCTCTCCTCTTTTAATTCATTGACGAATCGATTTATGCAGCGAGAAATTTCTTTTGACAATTTTGATGTCCAACTGCGGCCACTGCTAACCTGAATTAATGTTTGTAAGGCGCTTAAAAGATTTTTTTTGCTATCGTAGTAGTAGAGAACGGCAACCGTTCCGCGGCTCATATCTGGAAAGCGGGAAAGTTGGTTCTGGCCGGTAATCAACAATTCCAATGCATTGAGTTCGTTCAGGTTGAATAAATCGGACAGGAGTAAAGCTTCATTCACCATGTCTTGGGGTATGACTTTTTTTAATTTATTCTGATTTTCAATTATCGTTATGCCATCATTACAAGCATTACGAACAACTTCACGGTGTAGTGAATTTTTCGGTGCATTTTTCATAGCGGAAATGAAATCGGCTTTATGTTTGATGAGTGCGCTTTCAAGCTTTGAACAAGCTTGAAGAGAACCATCGCGAATGGAATTTTTGATGAGATTATTCAATTGCCGATATGGTAGCCAACAATGGCCTGAAAAGAGATCATTTCATGTATAATGATCGAGATTGAAACAGATATTACTTACCGAGATCGATTTGATTGTCAACAACCATTATTTTCACAACAATAATTGTCCGTTATTGAATGATTGAGTTAAAATCGTTTGCTACAACCAAATTTCGGCCAAAAGGCATGTGGTAGCACTTGTACATGCACATTCACAATGGGCCAGAGTAACAAAAGATAACGATACAATCGATACTTGAAGTCAAATTCAAAACTTTTTTCTTTTCAAAATTAATAATAAAATCAAATTATAATTATTATTATTTGATGGATATGAAAAAAAGAAAAATATTTATACAGATTACACACGATTAGGCACTTTTCAATATGTAAATCATTTAATTATAATAAAATCAATGAGATTCAATGAGAAAAAGCATGAAACTGGTTCGAATTATAGTCATTCGTCAATTGTATCTAGAAATTGGGCATAGACATCACGTTTACATTCGCCTTTGGCATTAAACCGAAATTTGTAATAACTTCCATCAGCACATATAGCTTTTGAGAAACAATGATTAATGAGCGAATTGATACATGGATAAAATGAGATTCAACTAACCAATTACTGAGTCAGGCTCGGAACCAAAAGCACATATGCATTGAGCACCAACAGGCACTTGGAATCGAGTGAAACTCCATTTAGAACTGAAATATTTGGAAATAAAAGACGCCGAGGCTAAACTGGAATTGTTGAAATTCATAGATAAAGATTCATCAGCAGGTCAGTGTAAGGTATATAACTTACTTGGACTGTTTATTTTTACGGACATCATCCACAGCAAATATATGTACTGTGCCGTGATCACTGGATACACAAAGCAAAGAAGAATCCTGATTGAAATTTATACTAAAAATCGAATCATATAACATTACAGAGGCATAAATGATAGATTTGACATTCAAATAACTAACCAATAGATGTTAGCAGCATTTGCCCCTCGCCGTAGCTCATTCAGTAGGATTCCAGTAGTCGTATCGAATATTCTTATTAGTGTGCCTTTCTCTGATGCTGTAGCCAATTTCGTGCCAGAAAGGTTCAATGCTAAACAACTCAATGCCGAATCGTGAGCTGTTATATCAAGTGGATGCTTTTCTCCATCGGCCAGATCGATAATCTGTACATTGCCGATTTTCCGTGCCGGAAAAGCCAAATAAGAATTATTACTGTTAGGGCAGAGGACGCCAAGACCTTTTGGATTTGAACAGGTTTCAAACACATGCAACTGCTGTGGTATATGGGTGAATGTGTACACTTTGATCATTGTCTCCAATATGACAACTATTCGATCACGACGAAGTTTGACAGATTTAACCGCCGATTGAAATTCCAATTCGATTACGTGTTTCTTTTTCAAATCATCCCAGACGATTACTGTCAAATTGATTCATTTGTCAAATTAGGCAATTGTTTAAAAATTGATTCAATATTTCATACGTTTTTTTGGAGAGAAACAAGGCTTATTACCACCACCGATCAAAGCCAAGTAATTACAACGGAATAGCATCTCAACGTAACCGATTCCTCCTCCAGTGAAATCTGTGGAAATTAATGTTATATACAAAAAAACAATCTTTGACTCACTTTACCTTGTTTCTCTTTTTCTTTGAGTGGATCTGAATTGTAAACACGAAAACCATTCTGCAGGCCACAGGCAAAACATCCTTGGTCCTGATTGAATCCGACGAACAAAAGATTCTTGTTGTTCAATGATGAATCGATCTTTTGCACATTCATTTTTTTACCCTGATGGGATCGCTCGAATATGGGTGGATCACTTTTAGGAATTTATTTTTTCTACCTCTCTTTCTAACAATAAATGGCCAATTTATATCAACATGCATTCACGATGACTGTATAGATTTTTAAATGTTTGCAATCTTCACCTGATTGAAAAAGAGCCAATTTACGAATGTTTAATCGATTCCAATGAATGAATGTGGATGATGTATGGTTTATTTTGAAAAAATGACAACACAGAGTATAAACAGATCTTATAACCCATTCCGACAACTTTTCCCATACAAACCTTTGAGCAAGATGATTTGGCAGCAGCTGGTATACCAATGTTGAATTGTCATGCATGCATGTGATAAAATCGGTTATCTATGAATGTTTGGATCGCTCCATGACCATCAAAAACAATCAAATGGACACTCTCATTGATCGTATAGAGCATGAGTAGTAAATCTTTGGAAAAACTGAGGGGCGACACATTCATTCTTTAAACTATAATTTTTTCTTGCTCGGTCCTATATAATCTCATCGAATCCATTCACCTTGTATCGCTCAATTTGTTATTTTGAACCAGATTGAAAAAATTTTTGACATTCTGTTAGTTTTTTCATCATCCGTTAGTAGTCATAAAATTTGTAATAATTTACAAAATGGTAAGAAAAAAAAATGTTGTTTCCATTTTAACTGGTAATGAATAAATAAAATTGATTGTTTCGCTTATTACAGGAACTGCAACTAAAGGTAGCCACTTGTCCAAGCGACGTCTTATCATACACAAATCGAGCTGTGGTCAATCCAAATGATTTACAATTATTGAACAATACCAAGTATGTCAAAACAGGTATACGTTTGATTCATATTGATATTTTCATCATTCTCTTTCGATTGATAAAGATATGCCGAGATTATCAACTCACAACATCAACATTTCATTTTCACGCTCGAACCAAGCGACTTGATTCAGCGCAATTTCATTGGATTCAACGTGTTAATGGTTCGTCATTGGTTTTAGTCCTTAGTTTAACGTAAAATTGTGTGTGTGTGTGTTTGTTTTTTTGTCACAGAGGAAATGGGCATTACTTAGTACAAACGAATTGCTAATTGTTCGTCCATACATGCCAGACATGAAGAAACATTCTGTGGCTAAAATGACTGTCACTGTAGAATATGTTCAGAAAACGAATGCAGTCGATACGTTCAACACAGATGAAATGGCGGCCGAATTCTTAAGACAATTCACACGACAATCGTTCACCAAGGACCAAATGGTATTGTTTCTATAATACAGTTTATCCAAATGATGATTTAATATCATTTATCTTTTCCTATCAGTGTGTTTTCAAATTTCAAGACAAAAAACTGTTAAAATTAGTGGTCAAGGGAATGGAAGCGATATCCGTTGATTTGGATAAAAAAGCAGATAACGGACCAAAGATTGATTTTGGCATACTGTTACCAAATTCGCAGATAATATTTGAGAAAGCTAATGAATCTGGCATCAAATTGACTGGCCATGCCAAAGGCAAAATTGTACATCAATCAATCATTAATCCAAATTGGGATTTCGAATCAATGGGCATTGGTGGCCTCGATAAGGAATTCAATGCCATATTTCGTCGGGCTTTTGCATCTCGTGTATTTCCTCCTGAGATAATCGAAGAACTCGGTATAAAACATGTTCGTGGAATTCTTTTGTATGGTCCACCTGGAACGGGCAAGACTTTGATGGCTAGACAAATTGGCAAAATGTTGAACGCTCGTGAACCAAAAATCGTTAATGGACCTCAGATATTAGACAAATATGTGGGCGAATCCGAAGCGAACATTCGTAAATTGTTTGAAGATGCTGAAGAGGAACAGACAAGAATGGGTATAAATAGCGGTCTACACATAATTATTTTCGATGAGATCGATGCTATCTGTAAAGCTCGAGGATCGATGGCCGGAACATCGGCAGTTCATGACACTGTCGTTAATCAATTGTTGGCCAAAATTGATGGCGTTGATTCGTTGAACAACATATTAGTCATTGGTATGACTAACCGCAAAGACATGATTGACGAAGCATTGCTTCGACCAGGTCGACTTGAAGTGCAGATGGAAATCAGTCTTCCGAATGAAGATGGCCGTGTTCAAATATTGAATATTCACACTAGTAAAATGCGCCAATACAAAAAAATTGCACCTGATGTCAACATTCAAGAATTGGCAACGTTGACTAAAAATTTTTCCGGTGCAGAAATTGAAGGCCTAGTTCGAGCTGCTCAATCGACTGCTATGAATCGACTAGTGAAAGCGACAAGCAAAGTGGAACTGGATCCTCAGGCCTATGAGAAATTACTTGTAAGCCGTAATGACTTCATGTTAGCCCTTGAAAATGATATCAAACCAGCATTTGGTACTAGCACTGAGACGATCGAACGTCTTATAATGGATGGTATCATCATATGGAACCAAATGATTAAAGAACTTCTCGACGATGGCCACTTGTTCACTGAACAAGTTCGATCTCCCGAAAGTTCGCATGGCATCGTCAGCATCTTGATCGAAGGCAATCCGAATAGTGGTAAAACTGCTTTGGCCGCTCGTATTGCGCTTGATTCAAATTTTCCATTCATTAAACTGTGCTCGCCGGATGACATGGTTGGCTTCACAGAACCGGCCAAATGTCAAGCTATTCGTAAGGTGTTTGATGATGCATACAAATCTACGTTAAGTTGCATACTGGTCGATAACATTGAACGTCTTCTCGATTACGGACCCATTGGACCTAGATATTCTAATCTAGTGCTACAAGCGTTGATGGTATTGCTCAAGAAAGAACCACCACCCGGCAAGAAATTGTTGGTTCTATGTACGACTAGTTGTCGTCAATTACTGTATGACATGGAATTGTTACCTACATTCACCACCGTACTTCATTGCCCAAATCTGACCACCGCCGATGACATGCTGGCTGTTTTGCAAGCTTTCTCCATCGATTCTGGCAATACCAAGTCATGTTTTTCCGTTCCAGAAATTCGACAAATTTACGAAATGACAAAAGGACGTCGACTAAGTATTGGTATCAAAAAATTGGTCGCTTATATCGACATGGCAAAACAGGTAAGAATGATGATGCTTCAACATAATTCATCATTAGATTTATTAATTTTAATGACATTTTTTTTTCGCAGATGGATCCTAATGCTCGAACCAGAAAATTCATATGTAAACTGGAAGACGAAGGGGCCATACAATTGAGCTGAATAATCATTAACATGTATACTCATGACAGTGGTTTTATTTCTTGTGCAAATTGTTTATTTATTCGTTATTTTGTTGATGCAGATGCCAAGCGATATTCATTCCAATCTCTATATCAATCAATCAATCTTTGTCCTTGTTTGTAGCCCAATTATTTTTCTCTAGAAAATAATCACTTATGGGTGTGTTTGTGTGTGTGTGTGTGTGTGCGTGTGATCCAATTCATTATAAATTTCATTGTTAGGTGTTATTTTTATTTATGCAATAATTAGACAATTCGACAATCAATCTGGTATTAATTAGTTGATACATTGAAAATATGGTACCAGGTTCAGCATTGTTGATGGCTTTCAGCCATATAAATCTAAGATTGAATAAAATTCCTATTGGATCACATTTATTTTTCATGTGGATTGGCCATTTATTAGTTGATAGAGAGACAACGACCCAGTTTTCTGTTATATTGCGGTTGTACATCGTGCATCTCCATGGAGATATTGCTTAACTGTACATGTCTATTAAAGAGAAGAGAGAGAGAGATAGCAACGCTGGCCAATTGTATTGGTCTGATCAGGTTCCATCATCACCATGATTACGATCATCAACGGAAAGCAGCAAACCAACTAAAGCATCATCTTATCCCTAACTTTCGGTGCAATGGATACATAGGAGAGATGATAGAACCTGTTGGCTGAATAGGATTGTTATGTTGTCTGAGTGTCTGTCCGGTTATGTTACTAACATTGTTGGCAACGAACATAACCAACAGCTGTCGTCGTTATCTCCACATCATAACGCGTAGTTATTCTATTCTGTTTTTTATTTTGTGTTACAAAGTTCCATCATTATTTTTCTTTGAATGATAAATTGTAATGTTCCAATCGATCTATGAAGCTTTGACTTTTGTAACATGGAATTGGTCGATGGTACCCGAAACACAATGCCATGTCGATTCGACCGATCATTATTGCGTCAGCATTCCACTTCCAAACGGTATCGATCTTGTTGTCTATGCATACAAATTTACTTTTCCTATGTGTTGTGTGTATTCTCCAGTTCAATCATAGCAATTGCAATGGTACAATTTTTTCGAACATTCAATCAACAATGGCTAGTCTTGATAGGGGGTGGCCTATTATTCATAATAGTAGGCTCATCCATTTACCGTAATGGTGTTCTGAAGATGGATGAGAATGGCCACGAACGTTTTTGGTCTTTGACCAGCAAACGTGATCGATGGAAACGCTGTAAACGTACAGCACGCGAGAATCATGTATTCGAAAGTCACTTATCAATCAATATGCTGCCACAATGTTTTACAAGTTTGGATATCACATCATCATCAGAGGCGAATGCACAACTACAAAACCACGCTAACCGTTCTAGACATCTGATATTACTGCCAATCGATGCTGAACAAATGCTCAATGATCATTTACATCCTGATTCGGCAACTGTGGTTGATATTCATGGGAATCAACAACAACCGTTGCCAATTTCACAGGCAATTCATGTTACTACGGAAATCCATACATCGACAACGACAAACAATGAATTTGAATCTTGTGTAGACAACATTGTTGAATCGGCCATTAATAGTGGTTTGATGGAACACGATGATATATCATCTAGTGATCAACTGCAGTTAATGTCGCAAGAACAGACATCGCCAGATTCGAATTCTGATGATGATAATGAGAACATTAACAACGAAGCACCGCCATGCTATGATGATGTCATTACTGATGGTGGTCTTTACCGGACTTTATGATAAATTAAGAATAATCTGGGATGGATAGTATTAACTGTGATATAGAAGTCTCATTCTACCATTGTAATAATAATAATATTCTATAAAATACGTATCATTTATTGTTAATTTATTTGAATTGTAAATAAAGGGAAAAAATCGAATTGTATACAAAATGACGGGAAATAGTAATAGTACAATATGATAATTTTTATAATGAACATGAAATTTCAAATTAAATTTTGTAGTGGAGCTATTTACGTGTCCTACAGGTAAAAAATAATGATCAAATTAGAATGAGCTTTGAATATACATTTTCGTTTCGACTTACCTTCCGCTTCCTTTAGATGAGGTGGATTTACTACCTCGTTGATTTGTAGTCGTGGTTGTCTTTTTGGTGGCCAATTCTCGTTCTTCCAATTCTTGATTCTCACGTTCAATCAATGTGATGAGTGTATTGCAACGACGTTGCAGCTCGCTAGTTGTACGAGATTTAAGAAACCAATCGAATCGAAATTGTGGAGCTTCTCGAATGGCTAGTTTCAGATCTTCATACACTTGTTCGCGATCGACGCCCAATTTATGAAGCATGCATATGAGATAACGATCCTCCTCCTCGATGTAATTCTTTCCTTTATTGGCACCATAATTGATACGTAACTGATGGAATGGTGCAGAATACCGTTGCATTTTCATTTCAATAGCTCGTTTGATGTCCTGTCGTCGTTTGATGCGTTGTTCACCTTTTTCAATCTGTGCGATGATCTTTTCACTATCAGCCAATTCTTGATATCTTTCCCAGAATATTTTAGCATAATCGATAACCTCCTCAGGCGTTTTACCTTCGATCTCCTTGGAGATTGAATCAATATCCTCGCGACCATATTTTTCACACATCTTGATGAATTGATTGAAATCCCTTCGTGACCAATTTATAAATCCTTCTTGTAGCAATTCTTCTTTCTCTTGTTGTTCGTCCTCGGTCAGAGGTTCGCTCTTATCAATCAATTTTTGCTCTTGTTTTCGTTGTTTTTCAGCACCTTCGCCAAGATCAGGATTCAATGGTACTTTGTAGCCGATAGTTTTTCGGTAATAATAGATTTCTTTGTCTAACAATTCGAACAATCGAGGTGGAAAGAACTGAAAATCTTGTACGTTCGGCTGTTTCGGTGGCCGAGGAGCTTTGGGTGCTTTCTGGTTCAGAAACACGTAACGCTTCTCGAAAATAAGCATCGACAGCATAGTTGGCTTTTCGTTCACGCTTTGGTGGTTCGATCCAAGCAAAAGTGGCCATTTTTGTTTTTCTCGATAGTCTTCGCCTTCAAATTGATAGACACTGTCGGTATTTGTATCAAGCGTGAAATTCTTTAGCTGTGATTCACCCAAAGTTTCGAGACGTTTTTTCATCTCCTCAGTTTTAGATTCACCCTTTTTGAGAATTGCGTCTAGATCTTCATCGGTGATTTCACTGTCTTTCGATGCAAATATGTGATCGGCTCCATGACGAATCATACCCAATACTTCGTCTTTGCCTAACTTGTTGGCATTCGAATCGACAAGTCTTCCCTGTTGGATGACCAACGTATCTAAACGTAATTTGACTTCTGCTCGTTCGACGATACGTTCTTCAACTGTGTTTTCGGTAATCAATCGAAACACCCGGACAGTTTTCTTCTGGCCAATACGATGTGCACGATCCTGTGCCTGAAGATCTGCTTGTGGATTCCAATCTGAATCATAGAGGATAACAACATCGGCCGTGGCCAGATTGATACCAAGACCACCTGCACGTGTACTTAGCATAAAAAGGAATTTATCGCTATCAGGTTTGTTATATTCTTCTATGCTTCGTTCTCGATCTTCATGTGAAGTCTGGCCATCAAGACGGCAGTATTTATATCCACGCCATAGACAATAATCTTCGAGAATGTCAAGCATCCGAGTCATTTGACTGAAAACGAGGACACGGCTATCCTGTTCTTTAAGCCGTGGCAATAACTTATCAAGGATTGACATTTTTCCACTATTCTCCACAAGATGCATATCTGTCGTATAAGGTGGACCTGGTTCAGCACCATCAAACAAATATGGATGGTTTGCACATTTACGCAACTGCATCAAAATGTTCAATAGTCGAAGTTTGTCTGATTTACCAGCATTGTTAACAACGTCGATATCTTTCATCAGTATTCGCGTATACCATTCCCGTTGCATTCGACTAAGACCGACATAAATTTTTGTCTCAGCTTTTGGGGGTAATTTTTTTTCCACTTCACTTTTCAAACGACGCAAAAGAAATGGTCTTAAAACACAATGCAAACGTTCAACAAGGGATTTGTCGCCCAAACAGGAATTGGTGTTAAACCAGGAATCAAAATCATCCGATGAATTGAACACGTCGGGCAGCAGAAAGTTGAGGAGAGCCCAAAGTTCGTGCAAATTATTCTGCAACGGGGTACCGGTCAATAACAAACGATTGGTAGATTTGAATTCACGAATTATTTCTGATAGTTTGCTTTTTTCGTTTTTGATACGATGAGCCTCATCGATGACAAGATAACGCCAATTGAATTTTTTCAGCACACCCTTCTCTCTGATAACCATCTCGTATGATGTCACCAACACGTCGAAACTGTTGGGCGGACCCATGAGGACATCGCGAATAATCTCATTACGTGCGTCTTGATTTCCGATTAGACAAACAGGCTTCAACGTGGGACACCATTTCTTTATCTCATTCATCCAGTTAGTCAGAGTTGATTTCGGACTGATGACCATATGAGGACCAGCGCCATTCTTATAATGTTTCATGTAGCCGAGCAACGAGATGGTCTGCAACGTCTTGCCTAAACCCATTTCATCGGCAAGGATACCATTGATGCCATTCTCCATTAAGCTGATCATCCAATTCAATCCACGAACTTGATAGTCCCGCATTTCACCGTTTTTGATATAAGTAGGACTTTGTTCGAAACGAAAAAAACCAACTGGTTTCTTTGTAGCTGAAAGTAGTTCTTCATCTTCTTCCTGTTCGGTCATTCGATGGCGATGATCACCAGTAGTAGGAGCAGATACAGAAGGTGCTGATACAGGAGGTGCTGATACAGGAGGAGCTGTCGGCGTTTCTTTAGGTTTTGGTTTACGACCACGTTTGGCTGTCGTACTTGAATCAACCATTGGTGTCACACCAGTTGTCATGAAATGAGAGAAAATTTCAGTCTGTTTGAGTAGATAATCGAAACGTTTTGAACGATCTTCTTTGACACGTGCATCGAAATCATTGGATGAGATCATTTTGGAAAATTCGTCCACGGCTGATTCGGCAGGCGTTGTCGATTGAGAATCGTCGGGTTCATTAGATGAATCGGCTTTTGATTCCATATCATCCGCTTCCATCGGTGTTGCTGATTCGGATGGCCGATCATCTTGCCTTTCATCAATGGCCATATCAACGTCTTCATTCACGGTCGTTGATGCATCAATTTGGCATTTATCCTTCGCTTCATCTGATTTTTTTTGATCTCGATCCATCGTATCATTATTCACTGTGCTATCATTTGTTGCAGACATTGTAATCGATAATTAAATTGATGTCAGAATATTATGGACACGATTATTAACGTAGAATACAAGAGAATAATTTATTTAAGATGATAGTTGTCAATTTTTCATTGCTACACAAAAGAACAATAGAATTATGATCGAATACCTGAAACGTGCTGTAGCTACTTCAATGCAATGTATTCGAATAAAGCGAGTTGAAACATACTCTCTCTCTCCTACAGAGGCGCGCTATATTTTGCCAGATTTGCCAGAAAATTTTTTTTTCAACCCATGATCAAATTTCTCTGTTGGGAACATTTTTTCTATGATCATTTCTAAACACACACATGTGTTACTTTAATTCTCATCGTTTCTGAGTTCCAGTCCAATTTTAAACATTAACTTTATTGTTAGCTGTCTGGATTGGATTGTTAAACGATCTGTCTATAGACAACATTTTATTGTGAAAAGTTTTTTTTCGAAAATTGAATAAATTTCAAGTAAAACGATGCTCACTATAACGGGATTACCATCAAAATTAATGTCATCAAATCGAATAAAATTGATGTTATTGGCCACACCGGTTCTTATTGGCTCCGGTTTATGTCTTTACTACTATTATTATTACAATAATGGTGGAAAATCAAAGAGAAAGAAAAAAGATGAAACGAAAGAGGTGGTGAGAGATCCGGTTAGTATACCATGTTAGTTTTATATAAAGCTTAATGATTATTCCTAAACAGATGAAAATTAGATTGATTGAAGCGGTAGAACTTAAAAATAAAGGCAATCAATTATTCCGTACGAAAAACTATGAAGAGGCATTAAAGATGTATACCGAAGCAATACAATTGTGTCCACCAGACAAGCGTAAAGAAATGTCCACTTTCTATCAGAATAGGGCTGCCTGTCATGAACACATGAAACAATTCCAGCAAGTGATCCACGATTCGACCAAAGCCATCGAATATGATCGATACTATGTTAAAGCCTATCTTCGTCGCGGTAAAGGTTGGTATACTCAATCGATTTTTTCATGACTAATGAATGTTTTATGCAGCATATGAAATAATGGTCAATTACGAAGATGCTTGCTATGATTATTACGTTGCATCTAATTTATCACAGTTTCAGAATTCCGACTACATGAATCTCCTTTCCGAATGTATGGAAAAATATGCTTACAAACGAGCCGAACAGGTGATGGCCAAACGTAGCGTCTATACATTCCAGAAATATCTTTTCAAACATATTTTGAATAAATTTACTCGAGATCCATTGAAACAACTAGGAAAAAAAATAATGGGCAATGATTATGATTCAATCATTAGCCAATTGTTGACTAGTGATGATGATCTAAACGAAGATGATTCGTTGCTTAAAGGTATGATTGTCTATATTCGGATCATGCTTATTTACATTTTGAATGTTGCAATTAGGAACAATCGAACTGTACATTGGCAAACATGACGATGGCCGGAAACGATTGATGAGACTGATAGATACAAGCGATCATGTTGATTATAAAGTGAATGCATTACTCAAATTGGCCGAGCATTCGCTACAGAATAATCAACTTGAAAAAACTGAACATTATTTGACAGATGCAGCCGCTTTGGACAATGATAACCCTGATTTGTACTATGTTCGATCGCAGGTAAGTTCGGTGGACGAATATGCTTCCTCTCTAATATCCAATTCTATTCTCCAAGCTTCATATTGTTCAACGGAAATATGAGGAATCAACTCAAGATCTAAAACGTGCCATCGAATTGGATCCATCGTTTGTCGTTGCCATTGGACAACGATTGTACATAAAATACCAACAATGTATCATGACTAATAATTTTATTGGAAAAGAACAGATCATCCAAGGTGTGTATCATTTTTTAATTAATATCTTTGTATTTGTAAGAATGTTTTTTATTGTAAATTTATTAACAGAATTCAAATCGCAAATTCAACGTTTTTCAACCTGTAACGAGCTATTGTTGCTCTATTTTCAGGTATGTCTGTATCAATTAATTGTTTAATAGTCCACCTAAATTTTTTTTAAATTTTTTGATGAATGAAATGGGCAGATTTTGCTAAGCGAAAACAAAACTAGCGATGCATCAACCATTGTCCAGCAAGCATTAGATAATGAGTCCGATGATCCTACACTTTACGTTTATCGGTCTCTCATTTGCATCGAGGAAAATTCGTTCGATAAGGCCAAAGAAAACCTGGGTAAGCTCAAATAGCTATATCATCACTATGATTATAATTTTTATTGCAATACTCCATTCAGACCAAGCATTGGAATTGGATTCCAGATGTAGTTTTGCCTACGAGATGCTATCCGATTTGTTCACCAAGTTGGAAAACTTTCCCCAAGCTATCGACTATCTAGAAAGAGCTATCAATAGTTCAACAACATTCGAAGATGTGAAAAATCTCATCGTCAAACAGAAAGCACTTACTATGCAGCTCCAATTTCAATCTATACAAGGATAGCGACCACATTGACTGTAAATTTAAAGCCATGTTTAAATTTAAATTTAAATGTAATGATGATTGTATATTGTTAATAAATGATCACCCATATATATGATCAACTGATTAAGAATTGATGCATTAATCATTTGATTTCTTAATCCATTTGTTTGCATCAAATCATCATCATGTTAATGTGTTTGAAAAGAATCAATTTGACTATTTCGATACAACTAGAGCGTTTGGCATTCGAAGCATGATGTTGCGTGCCAATAGACATAAACAAAAGTGGTCGTGCAAATTTACTGACGTCGCCTTATAGGAAATTTGATCGTCTGACATCTGATTCTTTTAATCTTTAACATTAGTTGAATATATACGTAGGAAAACAAAAGACCAAAATGGCCGAATTACCGACATTGTTACAGTTCTATATGTCGATGCCACCGGTAACCCGGGCCTATACTACCGCCTGTGTTCTGACAACGTTGGCCGTGGTAATTGTGATTTAATTGAATTAGAATTATATGTATTATTTTAATTATATGATCACTTATCTAGCAATTGGAACTAGTCTCACCATTTCAGCTTTATTTCAATCCAAATTTGATATTTCAAAAGTTTCAGATTTGGCGCCTCGTTACGACATTCCTATTTCATGGGCCACTGGGTTTCAGTTTCATGTTCAACATAATATTCACTTATCGACATTGTGCGATGCTTGAAGAGGGTACTTTTCGTTCCAGGACTGCCGATTTTTGTTACATGTTCTTGATTGGTGCTTCACTCATGTGTGTATGTTTCTATTTCCTTGATCATCTATTTTCCCTTTTTATCACACTCATTGATTTATTCTGATCTATATAGATAATGGGCTTTTTCGTAAATCTTTTATTCTTGGGTCACGCATTCACTATAATGTTGGTCTATGTTTGGAGCCGTCAGAATGAACATGTCCTTATGAGCTTCTTTGGCCTTTTTCATTTTCACGCTCCTTATCTCCCATGGGTTTTGTTTGGTTTCTCATTCATTTTGGGGAATTCGATTCTCGTAGACCTGTTGGGTATCGCCGTTGGTCATATTTACTACTATCTGGAAACAGTATGCCCACGACGGTTTGGTTTTAGGCTATTGAAGACGCCTTATTTCTTGTATGTATTTCTGTATGTGAATACATTTCCTTATCTCATTTTATTCGTCTGTTCATCCCGAGCACAGAGAGCGGTTGTTCCAAAATGATGAAGAAGAAGCCGAAGCTGCTTATGATTATGTTGATCCTAGGGTCGTCGATGATCGTGATGATCACTGAACATAAAAACAAACTACCCATTCTTAATGGTCTCTGTGATCATTACCTGTATCATACCGGATAGAGCGATATTTTGGCAATTGAGTTAAGCCAGTAACCCTGAAAGTAATATCTAAAAATTGTTATAATAAATCCTGGTTAATTGTTCATTGTATAGAAAGCATCACAAATAAAGTTTTATTTTTGATAATTGTTCATACAAAACGGCAAATTCTTCAAACTTTTTCTCCACAATGATTGGCCAAAACTGATGAATGTATTGGCAATGAGGGTGCTATGAAACGCAAAACCTAATGTATTTTTCTATGTCTAGATCTACTGATTATATGACCATCTATAATAATCTTTTTTTTATTACTCAGTCATTAAAATTATGGATTGAGGATTTTTACATTTTTTTTCTTGTTGATGAGGATTTTTATGTTGTTGCATTATCCGATTTTTTTTAAGGTAATGAGCATTAATCTGGTTGGACGATTGAATGATGATCAAATGCCAGCCGTCGTTATTTGGAACGTGATCGTGTACATTCAAACTTTTTAATTCCATTTTAACTTTTATCATTTTGAATCAACAAGTGTTCACCGACTCATCGATTCGAATGACTCCCCAATAGAAAGTGACCAGATTAATTGGAAAAAGATAAAGATGATCGATGAAGAGACAAGATCGAAACTGGCTATATGGTGCGCCATATTGCGACAAAGTTGGCGAGTCATATTTGGTTTAATTGTTCCAATTATTTTATCTCCGTTATTGTATGATTTGAATAATAAGGTATTGTAATGAAGTAATCATGTGTTACTGGTATGAATAACAAATCAATTTTTTTTTTCTCTCCTATTTATTGATGTAAAGTTGAACATGGGCGCTTATGTGTTGGCTCTAATGGTCCTTTATTGGATGTTCGAACCAATCAATCTTTACATAACGGCATTGATTCCAGTCGCATTGTTTCCGCTATTGGAAATTGCTACGTAAGTGTTATTTATAAAAATCAATTTGTTTGACAGACCACTCTGTGAAATTGTGGCCATGACCGATTGTAGAACAGAAGAGATAAGTCAGAATTACATGAAAGCAGCTAATATGATGTTCTTTGCCGGTTTGATGATGGGTATCTCACTTGAACATTGTAATCTCCATCATCGGATTTCACTCAAAGTGATTATATGGTTTGGTTCAAGTATTCCATTGTTGTTGGCAGGCGTAATGATTGCCACAATGTTCCTATCCATGTGGATCAACAATACGGCCACAACGGCCATGATGATACCAATAGTAGATGACATTCTTCATGAGCTAGGTAAGTTACCATATTCATATTATTAATAATTAATTTTACACTTTGAAATTGTTACATTGTCGCCATCTTATCAACTCTGATGGTCAGCTCTTATGAACAAGGATGATATTGAACAGCGCACTACCGAAGATGCTGAACAACTTTCAAACAAAAAAGATGGTGATGAAGATAAGAAATTGGATACTTCTTCAAAAAGACTTGTAAGTTTTTTATTCAATTGACGTAACGAATGATATTAGATTTGTGTGTGTGTAGAAAAATTTACGGAAAGCCTTTCTTCTGTCCATTGCTTATTCGGGTAAGTGATGATTTTTCCTCAAAAAAAATTCTAAATAACTATCCGATTAATGCTGAATGATAGCCAATATTGGCGGAACGGCCACTCTAATTGGTACAGGAACAAATTTAGTGTTCCAAGATGTATTTTACAAGTAAGTTAATATTACAAATACCATTAACCATGAATTACATACGAACATTATGAATACATCCGTTTCGATTAGTGATTATAAAATAGATATAAGTTTTGCCTCTTGGTTTTTCTATGCTTTTCCATCAGCATTTCTGACTATAATTGCCGCATGGTTATTACTATATCTACTGTACGCTCGTTCTTCAAAGTGAGTATTCGTAAAAACAACTAGTCTTTAAATTTTATTTGACATGATTCAAACTCATTCTCTTCGACAATTCTGAATATATTGACAGAAATATCACTGACACTCAACAGGCTAGTCAATGTATCAGACAGTCAGCAAGAATGAAATATTCAGATCTTGGTCCAATGACGTAAGTTTAGTATGGTAATGACTTGACCAATGAGAATATGACCGATTTTTGAATAGATTTCATGAATACGGTGTCCTAACATTCTTTATCATTCTGGTGGCACTTTGGTTTTCAAGAAAACCAGAGATAATAACTGGATGGGCTGAACTGATTTCCTCAAATCCACATGTTAGTGATAATCTTATGTCTCAATGCCATAAGTATCTGTCTCTAATGATGACTATTATATTTATTTATTGATGATTAATTCATTTAGAACATCAAGGATGCAACACCAGCCATACTAATCACAGTGTTGTTGTTCCTCATACCGGCCAATTTTCATCAATTCTATGCGTCAAACGGAAATGCAAGCAGCAAAATTCAACGACTTCTATGTTGGAACGTAGTTAAGACCAAAATGTCTTGGGGCGTAATTATTTTGCTGGGCGGAGGATTCGCATTAGCTTACGGTACCGAGGTTTGTCATCACATCGAACGATTCTCATCGAACTTGACACACTATTTTGGTTCTTAACTCCAGAAATCTGGATTATCTAGTTGGTTCAGTGATCAATTGAGACAGGTACGTCTGGATCCCATAGTAACCATGGTCGTGTTGGCTATTCTTAGCGGATTCATTACCGAAATGGCAAGTAATGTGGCTACAGCCAATGTCATCTTGCCGGTGGTCAGTAAATTGGTAAACTTTTTAAATGTTGAAATTTTCATGCAATTGACCTGATATGCAACACCACACTATCGTAGGCTATTCAAATGAACATCAATCCATTGAGATTCTTGATACCGGTTACTATCTGTATTTCGTTTGCGTTCATGTTCCCAGTGTCGACTGTAAGTCTATGCTTAGTTTTTGTTGAGTCACAAATTCTGAATGGAATCTATTTCTTTCATTAGCCGCCGAATGCAATCGTATTTGAATACCTCAAAATGAACATCAGCGACATGATCAAACCTGGCATATTGATGAACGTGATGGCCATAACAATACAACTCATCTCAATCAATACGTTGGGCGTTTGGATATTTGATTTAAAACATTTTCCAGAATGGGCAATCACACCATCACCCGCAAACCAGACATTGTCAATAAATATTCCTTCGATAGTGTGAATGGTTCGAGCGATTATTATACAGATTTCGAAAGCAATAATAATCATTATCCAGAATAAAACGATAATAATAATTATAATAACGATTATCCAAATATCGATGATAGAAATTTCGTCGATAGCTTTCAAGTTCTTTTCGTCGTTTACCAGCATTTCATCAACAATATTGATCGGCTGTCATGATCGAGTTCATGAATAATAATATTCAACATCGACATCTTTTATTATTCAAAATTATTTCACTTGAATTATGATATTTATGTTGAAATTCGGATTTTGGATAATAAACATTTTTCATTAAGAACAAATTGATCGATCCCATCCGATTATATTTGTATTTACCAGACTTCAGATGTTATGTATTGACATTTAATTTACATTCACAATCTGAATAGATTTCATCATTAACAATCTTAATTGTCTTTTTCATGATCGAATTTATGAATGATAATATTTCGGAATCAAAAACTTTTATTAATTTTTATTATTTCATTTGAATAATATCAAAGTCCAAGTTACCATGTTTTTGAAAACAATCGAAATGGCAAAAACCAATTTTTTTCATAGATTGCAAGTTCGTTAATTTATTTTTAAAGAACGAATCGGAAAAATCTCGTATGCAACATCATCACCAGAATTGGTAGCGGCATTGATAAATTTTTTGCATATGCCGCTCCTTCGTAAAAAAGCTGGTCGATTTTCGAGGGTGATTGATGATTTGAATTTTTTTCGGCTGCTGATTTCTGTCCTCATCCTCGTCAATAAATACCACGCATGCTACATACACTCAAACAAAGAAAGTTGCCGGGAACATCATCGCGAGACAAAATTTGGAGCGAAATTTAAATATTCGAAATTATAGACGTTCAAAAAATACGTTACTGTACATGGAATGTACGTGAAAATTAAGCTCCTCCCATTTTGCATTTCTTTGACTTACGATCCTTACTTTTTAGAGTGTACACTCAAAATAATAGACCCCCATTTTGGGGTAGACTTTGTACAACCGAAGTTGAAATCGAGGTAAAAAAAATACATAATGGGAAGAGTTTTTAATAGAGAAAATAAGTACGAAAATTTCCTATTTTTTGAGTGTAGATGACAAGAGAGAAAAATCCCCTTTTCTATTGAGCTAGCTAGGCCTTATCCGATCGGTTCGGTCGGTCTTCGTATAGTCTGATCGTACACCGAGAAAAAGAGAGAAAGAGAACGAGATTTGACGCTCGAATTGGCTCTTGTTTGTTCGTTAACGAGCATTTGCTTGGATTTTTTGTCTCGTTTTCATTGGCAGTTAGAAAACCATTTCTCCTGCTGGTCTCAATCTACACTGTTGTTTATCGTGTCCATCGTGAACAACAGCTTCTTCACGAGGCCACATTGTGTTCGATTGTGACAGATATACACAATCGAGTTTAAAGCTATCCTTTGTCTTGACGGCTGCATTGGGTTTGATATACCACACTGAGCATTCAAACAAATTCTGGAACCTAAAGTTTCATATGATGTGATGGTATCGAATGCTCAAACATCACATCATCATCATCATCATCATCGTTCATCATCATCACCATCAATCACATTTGAATTCTCATCATCAGCAATGTTATCAGCGGCAGCAGCTGCTGCTGCTGCCCAATCTTATTATGCATTAGCGGCGGTTGCTTCGTCTACGACGAACAATCCAGCAATTGCAGGGACGTCAACAAATTCGATTCCAGGTCCAATGACCACAACTCCACTTCTTGTGCATCATCCTGATTATCATCAGCATCATCATCAAAATAACAACAACAACCATCATTCTGTCCATTCATCGTTTGGTCAAAATACCAATAATCATCACATAATCCGTGGTGGATACCATCACCATAATCTGGTCAACAACAACCATATTCATGATTCATCAGCGGCCTCACAAATTCATCCCCAAGTGAACAACAATGGCCACCATCATTCAAATGGTAACAATAATGGTAGCGTTGTCGATTTACCACCGGATCGACCTATCGGTTATGGAGCATTTGGTGTTGTTTGGTAAGAATTGTCAATGTCCTTTTTAATTTCAAATATTGCTCTTATATGCTTGCATCTAATCGAGTGGATTATATCAATCGATTAATTGAGATTGTCGCCTGACATTCTGGTCATGGATGGCCTGATTATGAGTATGAGCAATGAGTCTATCGAACTGAATCGAGCGAAAACAAGCAGTTAATTTTTCACATATGGATTGCCATCTAGGTTATCCCCAAATTCACTATAGCTGTCTATTTTTCCATTATTATGCTATTTGCCCATAAGTTCCATACTTAACAAATTGAACCAGTATCAAATAATTGAGGCTTACTGAGACTTCCGCTTTTAAATTCAAATCTAATCTCTTTGCATATCCCCCATAGGTCAGTCACTGATCCTCGAGACGGTAAGCGTGTAGCTTTAAAGAAGATGCCAAATGTATTTCAAAATCTTATATCGAGTAAACGCGTGTTTCGTGAGATCAAGATGTTATCATTCTTCAAGCATGACAATGTGAGTATAAGCTGCAATCACTTTCTCATTCTTTATAATCGCTTCACGATCATCGGTTTTATTTAGGTACTGTCTGCATTGGATATACTTCAGCCGCCTCTGATAAATTTCTTCCAAGAAATGTAAGTAAAGATTTGAAGAGAAAGTAAAATCCTATATGCCTAATATGTTGAAACGATAGTTATGTTATCACTGAGCTAATGGAAAGCGATCTACACAAGATTATTGTCTCATCACAACCTTTAACTCCTGACCATATCAAAGTGTTCCTCTATCAAATGCTTCGTGGCCTGAAATACCTACATTCGGCTAAGATTTTACATCGTGATATTAAACCAGGCAATCTACTTGTCAACAGTAATTGTTTGCTCAAGGTAAGCTCCAGCACCTACATTCAAATTAAGCATTTAAGCCAAATATTTCTTTCAATCGTGGCCAGATTTGTGATTTCGGTTTGGCACGCGTCGAAGAGAATGATCGTTCTCGCAAAATGACACAAGAAGTGGTTACGCAATACTATCGGGCACCGGAACTGTTGATGGGAGCCAAATACTATCATGAAGCTATCGATATGTGGTCTATCGGCTGTATATTTGCCGAACTATTGGGTCGACGAATTCTGTTCCAAGCTCAGACACCGATACAGCAGGTATGAAAATCTCTTTAGATTAATCTTACCCCATAATCATTGATTTAACCATATAGCTAGAATTGATCACTGATCTTTTGGGCACGCCATCGTTGGATGATATGCGTTACGCTTGTGAAGCCGCTCGACTTCATGTACTACGACAACCGATAAAATTACATCGTCTGAGCTCATTGACCAAACTGTCTAATCACGCCAACAACGAAACCATACACCTACTTTGTCAAATGCTCACCTTTAATCCGGTAAGCTACACAATCATTTATGAATATAGTTGACTAAATTCCATAATTCTTACTTAAATTAACCTAATGCAGGACAAACGCATTAATTCAACCACAGCGTTAAACCATCCCTATTTATCCGAAGGTCGAGCACGTTACCATTCGTGTATGTGCAAATGTTGTTACACCGTTAATGGTGATACACGTAGATTCTGCAACGATCTTGAGCCCATTTCTCCTCATCCATTCGACAACTCATTCGAAAAAGAATTGACATCCGTTCAAATCGTGAAAGGTAGGTGCTGTCCATCGGTTTATCCATATTGTGTCTAATGGCTATTGTCACGAACAGAACGTCTGCACAAAGAGATTATGCAACGATGTTTAGCATCGAATCAGGTGCCTCTTTGTATCAATCCATTATCAGCTTCATTTAAAAACTTTGCCAGGTATGTCTTGTCTCTATCATTATCGCTATTTATTCATCGTTTTTTCCGCCCATTTCTAGTTCAACCGTTGCTCATCCATCGGAATTACCACCGTCACCCCATTGCTGGGAATGACTTTGACAAAATTTAGTTTAATTACAATTGTCGCCGTATCAACTCCTAACCCATCGATTGTGATTGAAGAGGCCATTTAACCGCTTCCATCCGTCCAAAACAAGTTATATGTGATTACTTTCTTTCTTCATTAATTCTCAAATTGATCAAACGTTTGTGTAAAACCAATGGATACCTTTATTGGCCCATTGCTCTCACACACGATCTCTATGCTTCTTTTTGGGTGCTCACAAAATAGACCCAATAGTTTTTGGAGAATTTGTCGATTGTCCTTCATATCAGGTGCCTCGAATATAATTTTTATAACTTCTTGACCAGAATCGGTCGGATATTCAATTTGATCTCGATAAATCATTCATTATCTGTATACACTACACTGCCTAACAAACTCCTGTATCCTCCTCATCCATTCATTCATTTATTGATTGGATTGATCGCTCAAACAATGATTCATTCATAATAATTATAATTAAAAATTAAATAATAATGATAATTTTTAACAATAAAATAATCATTTTTGCGATTCAAAAGTTCATACACACAAACAATCAATCCTTCAGCCACATTTTTTATGTGCCGGTTGAAAGAGGTCTGGTTTAGTTAGAGCTGACAAAATCTTCTCCTTTTTTGATTGATGCTTTCAATTCTGGTATCGCCTTTTGGATCATCTCTTCTTCATACTTATTTATCTTGCCAATGCCTAAATTTTTGGCCAAACCATTTGGCTAGCCGATTTTTAGTATATATTAGATGGGATTAGTTTAAGTTGTCGTTTACAATAATCATTAATCGAACTTACGCCCAATTGTAATGGTGTGGAGAAGTAACTACAATCAGCTATAACATCCGATTTGACGTACGAACATTCGATAACTTGTTCTCCATTTAATGCTCGCAACAACTATAGACAAAAAGGTTTGAATTGTGTGAATAAATAAATAATTAATTAATTAATTAATGGGTTAAAAACTGTTCATACCGATATTGCAAATCTTGCTCCAGCCATAGCCATGGATAACGTAGCCGAACCCTGGGATCATCAACATCTCGGTTATAATGTCCGTTATTAATATAAGTATTCTCATAACTTACCGTTCCTGCTTTAGCCTTGACCACTTCGGTTCCGGCGTCTTGAATCCGTTTAGTCAATGCATCAACTTTATCATCACCAAATGATACCGATGGTTCCGCACGAGACAATAATGGAATGATGGTGATACCAGCATGACCACCTATGACAGGAACATTCACTGTAGCTGGGTCAAGGCCTTTTGCTTCGGCTACAAACGTGTTAGCACGTACAACGTCCAATGTGGTCACGCCAAATATACGGTTTGGGTCATAAACACCATTCTTTTTAAACACTTCCGATGCGATCGGTACCGTAGAATTGACCGGGTTTGAAATAATGGCAATAAAAGCGGTGGGACAATTACGTGCGGCAGCATCGCATAAATCTCGTACAATAGAGGCATTCGTATTGAATAGGTCATCACGAGTCATTCCAGGTTTTCGTGGAACACCGGCTGGTATAACTACGACGGCGGCTCCTTTCAATGCATCTGCCAATTGATCAGGACCAACAAAACCGGCAACACGAGCTTTCGTGTTGATATGGCTCAAATCAGCCGCAACACCTGGTGTATGAGCAATATCGTACAAAGCCAATTCGGAGACCAACGAATTTTGTTTCAAAAGCAACGATAAAGGTTGGCCGATACCGCCACTAGCACCTAGAACAGTGACCTTAGAATTGATCTGATAGCGAAAACGTTAGAAATGAAATATATTGGAGCCGTTCTGGTGGTTTACCTTGGGTGATGTAGAAAGTGCTCGTATTGAATGATGAAAAGTAGCCGCCTGAATGAAAAAACGTTTTGGTATTCCAGTAAACATGGTGATTGATTTCGTTGAAAATATGAATCGTAAGTTAAGAGCGAAGCAATTGATATATTGTTAATATTGCGATTAGAATGTGATGATGATTATCAGACTTTTTACCACCCTGGAGATGATTTATGATTGACCTTTTTTGCATCGGCCGTCATTGCCATCTATCGGGCAAAATAGTGATCGTCCAGAAATTTTCTCGTTAAATTTTACGATAGTAATGTTTCCTCAATATTCATCAATATTCTCTGTAGTGGTGGTAGTGGTTAACAGACAAACTCTTAACTGCTGCTTGACCACGGCCATTCATGATGTGCAAGTGGTAAGCTATTGTCGACACGGGTGCATTTTGGTATAGGCTAGTTTTATCGACAAACCTCAACCACTGAGCAAAACTGCCAAACACAAAAAACACAAGTTTAAGATAAACAAATTTTCCATCTCATTTGTTGTGGATTTAATCCGTAGTCCAAGAATCCTATAGGATAATTCCATGATTATTTTTCTTCATCTTTATCCTCATTTTTCACTCAATCTATTGAAATTACGATCAGTTCGTTTGTGAATTTCGAAAATCTGTTTACTTTTGTGTCATGGTTTGTTGATATTTGATTTTTGGTTGGTGGTGGGTAACGGTGTTGCCGTTAGTTACGCTGGTGACGACAAATGGCCATGATTACAATTGAACGGATTGTTCCAGCAGGTAACTCATCATCAGCAGCAGTTCCTAATAACTTATCGCATCAAACAAATAAACAAAATGACAATTCCACGAAAGAAGCCACCATGGGCCATTCTAACAACGAACAAGCGAACATATCCGATTCGACCACGATGGTCAGATCAAATGAAATCTACATAGCCGTTAGGGATGCAGATATCATTTTTCCACACAATGAATGTCATCGATATTCGAGGACAACTGCGGCAGCCACTACAGCTGCCATTAGTGAATTAATACAAAAACATCTCAAAGCGATATTGGAGATTCTGAGACCAGAGGATACGATGAAAATGGTATTCAAGTTCAATTCTGTTTTGTCTTTTACTTGTCTTATATTATTCACATTCTATGATTATAGGCTGTAAGACTGGAATCACAATTGGATTTAGATCGTACAAGGTATCTATTGGTTGTTGCCAATGAATCGGATCAAAGTTGCTTGTTGGGAATCGACTATGAGAATGAAGCGACCATCGGCCTGGTTTTACCTATTTGGAAAGACATGAGAATCATGTTAGATGGAGACGGGTTAGTCTTATGAAATAAACACTTGTTTACACACCGATATCAATATTCTTGTATGCCTTGTTTTGACAGTGGATTCCGTATCACTACTGGTCATCGTCATCACATATTTAAACCAGTGTCCGTACAGGCCATGTGGTCCATATTCCAATCGCTACATTTGGCAACAAAGAAATCAATCAAAAATAACCACTATGAAGGGAGTGGCTCTCATCGATGGGTCATTTCCTACCAGAATAATATAAAATCGAATTCTCGATGTCTACATGAATGGTTGGTCCTATGTTTGTCATTGAACCATTGTTGTTCATTTTCTCTTAAACCAAATAAACACAGGTATACGGTGAACGACCAATGGGAAGGCACGTACAATAATGTCATTGATCTAACCAGGTAATTCTATATAGCAATTTTGTTACAATATATGATGTTATGGTCCTTATCTTTTATCGGCAGGTCAAGTGATAACAAGAAATTCGAAGAAATAATCACCGCCAAACTGCGCGAAGTGATGATCTCAGTCGATTTGGAGCAGGTTACTTCCAAAGAAATTCGCTCCAAGTTGGAAACGCATCTTGGTCGTGATCTAAGTGATTATAAATCCTTTATTGACAAGGAAATGATTCGGATCATGGGGCAACTCGAAGAGCCATCAAAAATACTCGACTATCTGTACCTTGGTTCCGAATGGAATGCTTCTAATTTTGAAGAACTCAAAGGCAAAGGGTTCGTATAATGCTAACTGGTGACATTTAAATTGACCACACGTACATACACAGGGTACAAAAAATACTAAACGTTACATCGGAAATCGACAACTATTTTCCGGGCTATTTTGATTACTACAATATCCGAGTCGAAGATGATGAAGCAACTGACATGCTCCGACATTTGAATGATACTTACTATTACATTCGAAAAGCAAAGTAAGTTATCAATCATTCCCGAGTTTTATCGTCATTTTGCTCAATTTTATTTGATTCATAGAGACGAAGGTGTCAAAGTATTGGTCCACTGTAAAAAGGGCATTTCTCGCTCGGCCAGTGTTGTTGTCGCTTACATTATGAAGGAAAAATGCTATGATCTTGATGAAGCACTGCGATATGTCCGTACTCATCGTAGTACGATCCGTCCAAATCCTGCCTTCCTTCAACAGTTGATCATCTACCAAGGAATGCTCGCTGCCAGGTACTGTCATTCAAAGTATTTTAACTTGTAATCAATGTTTTTGATTTAATTTTTAATCTTGACTAGCAATAATAAGAATACTATGATGTGGAAATCAAATTCCGATTCTGAACTTCAAAGTTCGTGTGTGAGCAATTGTGATGGTCTACAATCATCATCGAGAGGAAAGAATTTCCTGATACAAACTCGTGAACGCGACCTGTTTCACCGTAAAGCCGAAACGGATAAAGAAAATGTATTTAGGTTTCATAGACGAAAGTCTTGGCCACCAAAATGCAACACCAAAGATGACCTAATTTTTCGATCGCAATCTAATAACAGAAGACGTGAGACTTTAATTCGATCAGACAAAAATCAATGGCCCAAAGACAACTGTAATACGGCCAAGCAGGAATTAAGTCGAATAACTATGTTTAAGCGAGTAGAAATTAAAGGTTCACGAGTTAGAGAAAGAATCGAGGATTTCGAAAACAAACAGCCAACCAATTCGGTAGCGGCGGCGGTCTGTGTACCAACTATCGGAACCAGTAATAACTTACTTTTCAAAAAGAATATTACAGCCAAAAATGGTCTCGTATCCAATTTGGCTTGCCAATTTGAATCCAAAGAATCAACGGCGACCAATGAAACATATGATTCGAATGAATGGAACACCGGTGTGAGTGACCAAGTCAAGTTGGATGTCTCATCGGCTCTCGTCTATTCACGTCTGATGAAACCACCGATACCTCCTCCATCAACCAACAGTAATGCAACAGCCGCTCATCCATCGACCCATATTGACGATCAAATCGAATGTCTGCCGGTATATTTATCATCCTGTGAATATCATGCTCATCTGACAGCCATCGGATCGCAATACTCGGATAAAACGAGCAGTGGTGGTTTACTCAAACGAGCCTTATCGTATGACCAGATGATCATGTTGGACAACAATTATTGCTACATTCATTCACCATTATTGCCCACGACGACTAATGTATCATCATCGGATAGTTCATTGAAAAAATGCAAAAAAAGTTTGGCTGTCCGATCTTCAATGGACAGCAACAATAATGACAACGATTGTGTTAGAGTAACTGTTATTCCTGGTCACCATGACCAATGGCCACGTAATGAGATGACGATCTGTCATCAATTGCTCCAGCCATTGCATCGAACATGCAGTTTGCCCAACATGGCCGATGATGATCATTTAAATGCAGATAAAGTTGTTTGTAGTCGTTTTAAGAATCAATGTAGTAATTGCAAAACGGTGTTAATGACTCCTCTAGATTTGCAATTCTTACGGCAGATGACATCTCATCATTGCAACAATGACAATGCGACAAAGTGTAGCCATATTGATGGATTTGTTCGACGACGAACCGAACAACTTGAAACCTATAGGCAACATTCATCATCGATTCCAAATACAGCGGCCAGTGTTTGCCCGGATGAGAGCAAATTCACAGACAATCGACCCTCCGATCATCCTCCTATCTTCAATAGCCTATTAAAATCGTCCAAGTCTTTCAATCATTCTTCATCATCAACGAAATCTTCCATTGAATCGGCCATAATGTCCACGACTTTGGCGTCTGAGAAAAAATCAAAGAAAACGTATGGCAAAAGTCATCCATTGGATAAATTGAATCGAACTTCAACAATCAGTTAACTGGACAAACCAATATTCATAGCCACCGTCATCCACTCACCGACGGCATAACTAGTCATTATGGTCGAATTAGATAAATTTTAATAATTTTGTATATTAATTCAAATTTATTCGATTTTAATCATACTCTTTTTATCATCATCATTCAATAAATGAACGCTTATTTTATAAAACAAGTATTTTGTATTCAACACCATCTGGAGGTGGATCTCTGTTACATATTATATATATTTATTTGTTTATTTGATTAAGAATCTTCTGTTGATAACTCAGTTTTAATTAATAATGGCTTCCTTGGATGAGAATTTATTCTTCCGAACTTTAATGGTTAGTAATTTAGTCATATAAATCAACTTAATCTGATCACGATGATAATCTGTTATTATTGTTGAATTGTATGTAGAATAGCTTTAGGAAGCGTTACGATGAAATTATCGATAATTGTTTCCATATCTGTGTTCCAGTTAATGGCTCATATGAACCGAAACAATTAAATGATAAGTTCATTTGTTCGCACATTCTTAAGCCATCACCATTACTAAAATCGTACGTACATTCTATGGTGATTGAATTACAATTTATATTATCATTTATTCGCTTAATGGTCCTGTTTACAGCCACTTTTTGCCTTACAATAGTAAACAAAATTTCCATGTTCAAATTGATGGTAATCTCATTAAAGTTACCAAAGGATTTGGTGGTGTTAACCACGAAACGATTCGCATTTTGAACGAAGAGAAAGCATACAACAACGTAAGTATGATTTGATGACTAATTCATATTGATAATGTCATTCGACATTCACTTAGGCCAATCAAAAGTACAGTATATTCATCTGCGAAAAGCCGTTGATCACTTCATTGAATTCAAAGCTCAATTATGAAAGCTTCGATGTACGATCTAATGAAATCCAAGTGGTTACTTTCCAAGAGTTAGTTTTTGCTTAATTGTCGCTTTTATTTTCATTGATAAACTTTTTATATCTAATATAGTTGTCAACAATTTCTACAACAAATATCGGCAGCTGATCTGGATCGACTGAATGACGAAATAAAACAAGTGGTCGACACGTACATTCTTTTGCCAAATTACCTCGAAGATGTGGCGGCCAAGTTGAAAAAAATTATCGACCAAAACGTTGCAGTTAGTATTGCCCAAACTATCATTTGGATGGTCTAAAAATCTGACCAAAAATACCGACTTATTATATAGGTGTTCACCGAAGAATGTCGCAACCAAAATCAATCGTTACGAAACAGCAACGAACTGTTGAGCTCGACCATTGAAAGCTATTCAATTGGATTGCTTTATGATCGCCTACTAGACATGGTTCAAAAGCGAATGTACAAACAAGATGAAATATTTGTAAGCAAATGTCGAGCAATGAACAACCAAACACGAACGATTAAGCCGACCGATTTTGGAGCACAGAAAGCGTTCGAAAATTTTGCTATATCGGAAGCAATTGCAGCCAAATTCAATGAACTACAATGTTCACTTTTGTGCACACCTTTGGCGAAATTGAATTGCATGCGGCAAATCCTGGATGCCATAAATGATCAATTAAAACTAACAGTGGATCAACACGAATCGCCATTTGCTGTGAACGTCCCTCGTGACAAAATTTACATCATGTCTGATGATCTTTTAGCTGCTGTCATATGCTCTCTGTCCATTTGTCAGCCCCAAAAATTTTGTTCCACTATCGAATTTATCCATTCGTTCAGCTGGTATTTGCCACAAAATTCTGAACTTGGATATTCATTCGTTACATTTAAGGTAGCCAAAGAATACATAGTAAACTATAGCCATGAACATACTGGCTCTCAAACCAATCAAACGACCGAGCAACATCAGACAATTACATCAAAAAGTCGCTTAGATAAGAATCTATCTTCATTGGATGAAGAGATTGATAAAATGACAAAAATTATGGGCAGAAATTCTCCTATGACGACGATCACTACAAACAGCGAACAAACGCCCGATGCATCGAAAAGAGTTGAACATCACCAAGAGTTAGGGTACGTACAACAAACAATTAGTCCGATGAAAAAAACAATGATTAAATTGATAAACTTATTATTAACAGCGGTTTCCTTGGCTCACTTGCCGACAACTTTATGACTGTCTCAGGTCAGAAACATTAGCATTGATCAAAGCAATAAAGACATATGTTGACAGAATGATTGTTCAAACATTTGCTGCGAAAATTGTTCCAATGATTTTCTCGCTTTTAATCGAATCATATGTTTGTTATCAGCCGACAATTGCATAATCCTATACAGATGATGAGCGAATTGATCACAGTCCTCAGCCAAGAATCCTGTCTCATTCTCGGTGATAATATCCAATTTCGGACCACCAGAATTATGAGCAACGGTTAATAATCCAGCAGCTAAAAATTCGACAACACTGATGCCAAAATGTTCATTAGTCATTGTATGGATTGCCATGCTAGCCTCTTCTATCAGACGGGCCATTTCATCATAGTGAATGTTCAATTTGAATTGGACACAATCCTCGATACCCAATTTTATCGATTGTTGGCTTAGACTTTGTGCTAATTTTTCATCCTGTTCATTTCTGCAACTACCAATCATGACCAACAGTGGTCTTTCAGTGGATCCATTCTCACGCAAAATGTCGATCAATCTTGATATCGATTTTAATTGTAGTTGATGATTTTTTTCCGGTCTAAATTGACTCAACGATATGATCATGTTGGCTTTCTTATTGGTTAGGCTAAGACAACTTAGATTGTCCACATTGCATGGTGGATAAACAACGACTACGGTTCGTCGCCAAAGCGCTTCTATATGGTTTCGTGTCCATGTAGAATTAACCATGACGACGTTAGCACTGTTTCCGGCCATTCGATAGCAAAATGCCAACAAGTGATAATAGACTAGCTTGATTTTGGTCAATAATTGACTTTGGGCAATAATGGATCGATTATTGAATGTGGATTGATTGCAGGCTACCACTTGTAGCATATCGGCACTAATCATTGGATAGTGGGTGTATGTGGCTACTTTTGCCGAGCCAACCAAGCGAAACAATGGATAAGTGAAACTGGCGCCCATAGTATCGATGTAAATATCAGGAGGACATCGAAGCATCGCTTCCAGTCCGACAATAAACGAACCAATATTCTGGCCAAGCAAAGTAAAGATGGGATAATATTTAGCCAAAAGTAGCCAACATAGTCGAAGCTGTATGAAGTGCACTTTCATCTCTTCGACAGCCAAATCCAATTGAAATGTTTGGCTTGCTTTTCTCACTATCGTTAACGGCTGTACATTATAATTGTCTATAATGAGAGCAATGGTGTAATCAATGAAAACTTTTCAAATGAAAAAAACAACGGATTACCAGAATAGATGATATAACAATGCTGTGGGTATCGTTGGTGGAGAGCTTTGATGGCAGACCACATGACCCTTTCGCCGCCACCACCGGCATTGCAGAATGGATGAAAAAAAGCAACCACTTTTCCATTACCGTTTATTGCGTATCGAGTACGAATCTGTTCATGTTTATAGCCCACGTACAATTTAAGCAGATAAATGGGCATCAAAATTCCGACAATTATGAATAGGAACATAGTTCTTACGAAACATTTTCATGGACACATCATCCAAATTTGATTAATGCTACCTTGATATTATCGAGTCGAAATAGCCATTCGCTGCTCCTATTTAATGTTTGCAACGGTCACGTTTAGTTTACCATCTTAAGAGCGACGACAACCTTAGCATGATTGGTAAATAGAATTTCTTTATCGCTAAAATTTTAATTTTTCTAATTAAATTTTTTCACCATTTGGCTTGTAGGTTACGAAGTTTTACCTTGGCTAACTACAGCGTTAGCTGTTTGTTATGGTGTTTATTTAACCTACAAGACTAGTTCTTGCTGTGGTGGTAATAAACAAAAAATGAATCGAAAGATCGATCTAGACAACGTTAAAGTGGTACATAGTTTCGATATTGAAGATCTTGACCAGAAGGCTGTTTTCTGTCGCTGCTGGAAATCGGAAAAAGTATGTATCGATATTATCCTCAGTTCATTATAAATATATACTCTATCTAAATTATTTGATTCTATGCCACCAGTTTCCATATTGTGATGGCACTCACAACAAACACAATGAGTTAACTGGCGATAATGTGGGCCCATTGATTATCCAAAAGAAATGAGGTTATTCGCAAGATCAAAGTGTAAAAGGAGATTAGTAAGAGAATAATAACAAAAAAATATATTAATAAAATTGTAATAACAAAAGAATTTATTCAGCAAAAAATTAATGTCAATCAAGTAGGTTATAAGTTAAAATAATTGTATAAAAGGTTTTTCGTTTGATTTTGTAGATTAAAAATTGAACTGTTGTTGATTCTGATGATTGGGAACATTTTCGTTATTATTGTTGTTAAATCCAAATTCGGTATCATTAGCCTGTGGAACCAATTCTGGTATATCTTCAGTGTTGCTATCAAAGAATCTATCCACGATTTCGAAGGCAAACTTATAGATCTGATCATTTTCATGGTGTTGTAATGATTCAATTGTATCGAGACCGCCACATTTTTCAATCTCATCTGCAATTACATTCACTTGTGTTTCATAATGATGGAATATCTTGATAAGACCTTCGAGCAATATCTGCAATATCTGAGTATCCTTGACGGTGAGTAATTTACACATGGGCTCTATGACTCCTTGTTCAACTAGATATCTGACCTGTTCCTTTGTTCCATTCATGGTCATATTGGAAATGGCCCAGGCTGCCTCTCGTTGTAGTTGGAAACTACCACGGTCCAGATTTTCGATTATGGTCGGTATGATGTTGTGATCCATCAATGTCTGGATTTGGTCAATACGGCCGGCTGTTATGTTTGACAGGAACCATAGTGCTTCTTTTTTGATTTTCTCTTTTGTATGGTTCAATAATGGCGGCAAATAAGCGAGCACATTCGAATCAAGTACGAATTGTGTTTGATCGTCTGTACCGGTAACAATGTTACCAATGACCCGCAATGCCGGTGTTTGAATCTTTAAATCTTCATGATGTAATAGTGGTATGATAAAGGAGACGAGGCCGGAATCGATGACCATCTGTATTTGTTCATTGCCATGATCAGTTATGTAAGAAATCGCCCATACAACATCCACAAGGATGGAAGTATCCTGTGAATGTTGTAATAGGCTTTGTAATACAGGCAATATTGTCACCAATACGGTAATCGGAAGGGGAGGATTCTTGTTACGACACATGTTAATAATCACCCAAGACAGGTTACGCAAAAAAGATGGAGAAGGATAGCGATGTAGTATCGTGATTAAAGGTTCAAGAACACCACTTTCGATGACAAAGTCACGAAGATCTGGTCCATCACCTATGATGTTGCCCAAAGCCCATAGCGATTGTTCGGCAACGTTCTCGTTTGGCGACACAAGCAAATTCACCAACAACGGAACTGCTCCTTCGTCAACAACTTTACGCGTCTGGATCGACGTACCTGAGGCAATGTTGGTGAGAGCCCAGGCCGCTTCAAACTGCAAGGTAGGCACATTACTGTACTTTAATGCATCGATCAAAGGAGGCAGAATTCCGGCTGCAATTATCTCATCGATAGGCGGATTCTTATCCGACGATAACAACATTCGAGCATTCTTGATGGCGGTCAATTTATCATCTGGATCCGGACTCATGGATGCAATGACCAAAGAATTTAGGTCTTCAAGTACCAATTTCGGTTCGATCACTCCGTCAACATTGGAACTATCTTGGCAATCGTTCGTGATAGTTATGTTACGCTTTTTGAGCAAGGCATCTTCGCGTTTGTTTTTACGTAATTCAACCGTCGCTTCATTACGACGACGACGTACATCATCGATATCACTGCCTCGATTCTTGTAACCTCTAGAATGTTGATCCATGCTGTTTTGTTCGAACGATTGCCAATTGGCTGATCAAAGATTTTATTTATAATATAAAAATATTATTGATGATGATAATCTGAAGGAAACCAAATCTCAGTCAATTGTTAGTCAAAGATAAAACATAGAGACAAAGAGACAATGATGTCACATGTTGTGATTGTGCATACAAATCATTTGACTCAGCCTACCAACATTGTATTCATTTTAGATGTGTGTATGTATTGAGCAAACAAAACTCAAACGGACGCGAATTAAAATGGTCCGCTATATACACCCAATTAAGTCATTTGTCCAGCAAGGTGGTATAGCAAATCATCTCTCTTGGTGATTCAAATTCAATCATTATTATCATGGCCACAATGTTCGACCAATTATTAAATGATTAAAAGCGACATTCTTTTACATTAGGAATCCAAGCCATCGTGAATGTGTCAGTTAGATGTGGAGAATCGTTCCAGTAGGAAGGCATGACAATGATCACAAACGCGTACAGGTTTCTTGCTCGATGGCAATGGCATTTCATTGTTGGAACAATTATTGCAGAATATCTCGCCACAACTACGACAGTGATGCTATTTCCAGACATGAATACACTGACTTTAATTTGAAGACGAAGAGACTTACCTTTCGACGTGAGATAGTGAATTTTTGTTCACAATGTTTACAGCAATTGACATCACTATCACGAGCCCAAGCTGCCTCCTTAAGGTGGCCATTATATTCACGCAACGATTCAATCTCCAATTTCGAACTGCCGAGTGACAGAATTCAGAATAAATGGATAACTTAGTCATGTGAACTATGTATACTAACTCTTGTAATTGTTTTCCAATCTCTTCCAGTGCCAATTCATTTTCATCAAACTTTTTTTTCAATAGATTGTACGCCTCTTGGAAATGTATTTGTTCTGATTGTTTGATACGAGCCGTATCCAATTCCAATTGCATACGAGTCATCTGTTCCTGTTGTTCGTCGATTATTCGTTGATAATTTTCAGCTAATTCTTTTGCACGCCTTTCTTCATTTTGTTGACTTAGTCTGTTATCAATTATTAGCATTAGCAACCATAAAGAATCCTTGGATTGAAACAACACATACTTTTGTTGCAAAAGTCGCAAATCTTTGGTTAGTTGATTGATGTTGCTTTCACATTCGACAAGCTGGTTATTTTTTTCCTTAAGTTGGCAATCCTTGTCCTGCATCTTCTTGAATAACTGTATGTTGATTGTTTTCACCTCTTCAAGTTGAACCCGTAATGTGATGATGGCATCCTGTTTCTCTTGGATATCCCTTTCTAGCAGATTACGTGCCGTTTCAGCTTCTTGTCCTGATTTTATTGCATCTTCAAGGCGAGTTTCTAACATTTGTTTGGCTTGCTGTTCTAGCATCAGTTCCTGTTCCTTCTGCGCCAGTAAAGTGCCGATTTGTAGAACCGATTTTGATTCATCAGTTGTTTCATTCTGCTCCTGATGATGTTGGTCATTTTGTTGGCCGAATGTTTCTATTTTGATCTCCAACGATTTGATTGTCGATCTATAAGATAGAATTGCAACAGATTAAATCTATGGTGAAATATGATGAACTTACTCAAGACGTTGATTCACTTGTTCAAGGTAATTATTCTGATCAAGTAATTGCTGTAAATTTACAACAGTCTCCTCGTCGCTAATGAAGAAATCAAATATGAGTAAGTAGTAAATTAATTGAAAAACAAAAAAGTCATACTTGAATCCATTGACATCACTGAGAATTTGATCAAGATCTCGACAGTTAGCGACTGCTTGATCACGAAGATAAAACCGTAGATCGATAACTGTATCAGAAAAATCGAGAATTTCCTCTTTGATGTAGACACTGTAGTCGAATGAATTGAGGCCAACGAGAAGACCACAAAGTACATTGCTATCATCGGATAACATCAAGGAATTGACGTCATAATACTCGTAGAGCAGCGTGTCACGATGATCAACCAATTGTTGAAATGATTGGGCCAATCGTTTTTTCATCAAATTTAACCGAAACCAGGCTCGTGCTCGACCTAGCGAAGTTCGAATCTTAGGTAAATGTCGAACACTCTCGATCACCTCTCGAGATACGTCATCGCCGAATTTGCTAGTCAATTCGATTATTGTCCATATTTCCAATTTCGCACCAAACATTTGTTTTCGAGCTACCATATTGGATCAATCATTTTACCATACAAACAAATAGAAATATCGCTTACGTTTGAGACCATGTTGTAGGCAATTCTCGAGACAGACAAACAGGTGGTCAAAAAGTATTTTGCATTCGTTTGTCAACGTAACTTTGGAACGGTGTTTGTACAGCTCTTTTAATATCATTCGTAATAGAAGCATGATGTTTGAACGTTTCACTTTCTGAGTTTCTATAGTATACGAACAACATTCATCAATCATTTAAAGGGCTCAAAATTGACCATACAAACACACAAACCTTGCAATAAGATGGCCGCATTATCCAATGATCCATGATCATCATGGCTCATTGTAGATTGGTTTTCAATTTTCGTGAAAAAATTCTCAATCACCAAATCCATCGATGAACTATTGAGCGATGAATGACTACTCATTTGCTCCAAAAGGTGGATCACCTTTCTCCTATGAAATCAATAAATGATGACTACAAATCCTAATCTAATAATGAAAAGAAATGATAAAAAAAAACTTAGTTTTCATTCATCTTTACCTGTATGTATGTTCAAATCGAACCATTTAATGTTTGCATAATCATCATAATCATCATAATCATTAAACCCCCATTAAGCATAAGCATTCATCTGGATTTTCAATTGATAGAATGGATTCAAATCATCAACATGATAAATCGTTGTATGTGGGGAGTCGTAATATACATACAACATAAATGATTAAGCCAAATAAATGATTTTCAAAATCGTCATTTATGAATACACTTATGTTGCGTCAGCTTCTCGCCGTGTAGGCACATTGCTGCTGTGAATTGCTGTGAATGTCTATAAATTGTTCTATTGTTTGATACGTTTTCATCTTTAGAATCGGAAAAATTGTTTTTTGATCATTTTCATTGTTTTCAAATTCCATTTTACATTACTCTCCCAAATGTCTGAGGTAAGTAATTATGATCCTGGAATTTATTGTTTTGAAAACTCCCATTTGCAGAAACCGGCTGAAAGTTTAAAACAGGAAAGCGGCACTAATGAACAAGATGTTGTCGCCACTGGATCATCAACACTACAACCGGCTGCAGCTCGGTTAGTGTCCGAACTTCAAACAAAACATCCATTGCAAAACACATGGGATCTATGGTACTACAAGAATGTATCCAGTGTGTTTGAAGAGAATCTATTCAATATTACTTCTGTTGATACTGTAGAGGATTTCTGGGGGTTCGTTTTTTTTTTTGTTTTTGTTTTAACTATTGTCCATTCTAACCCCTTTTCTATTCTAATCGTACAGCCTATTCAACCACATTGAATTTGCAAGCAAATTGAATGTTAATTGTGCCTATTATTTTTTTAAAAAAGGCATACGTCCAATGTGGGAAGATCCAATAAATAAGAGTGGAGGACGTTGGTTGATTAATATGAAAAAAACCTACGACAGTACCGATAAATATTGGCTTGAATTGGTAAGGCTATAGCCGAATAAATCGTCCATTCATTTACTAATTTAATTTCAGCTATTGTGTCTGATTGGCGAAGGGTTCGACGATTTCAACGATTATGTTTGCGGTGCTTTTGTCGTTATCAAAAAATCACAGGATCGTATCGGTATCTGGACCAAAGAGGCCAGCAATCGTGATGCTAACATGCATATTGGGTATGTGTATCTATTATTACCATATGTCTCTAATTTCCTGATTTCTTTATTGAGCAGCAATGTAATCAAGAAACGTACCAACTACAATGGGGGAATCAATTTTGAAGCACATGATTCGTCCAAAACTAACTTTTATCAAGTTTGAATTTTTCCCATTTGTATCATTTTTCTATTTGTATTTCCTTTCTTTCAATGATCGTTGTCGCGTGAAATAAATTCAACAAATTCATCAATTCATATGATTATTGCATCTCGTTTCTTTGGTATATCCGTTTGCTTGGAAATGGAAACAAATAGATTTTATGCACAGTTGATTTAACTCAGATTGTGATTAGAGTTCCCATTGTATACATATTTAATACATGATTTTGAGTTTGTGCTTGAAACAAGAGAAGCCTAGCAATAAACAAGATTGTTGCTCATCCGAATATGTGCATTCATTTTCTCTTTTTCTCTCCGTTGACCAATTGATTCGGATGTATTGTCTTTGTCTGACCTGAATACTGATTATTTCTTGTAATTCATTATTCGTTTTTCGTATTATAATACTAAGATTATGGACATGATGCCTATTTTCTGAAACCTGGAAGTTATTTTCGCTCGTGATTTGGATGTGATCGTTTCATTCGAATTGTGAATAACACACATCTTCAAAAGGAAGTGCTCATCATCATGTTTTTATTTGCTTCATTCATATTGTTTATTGTGGTTTGTGTGGCTGTCAAATTGTATTTCCGCATGACCAACGGAATATGTGTGGAAAATACCGAACTAAACGGAAAAGTGATTGTTATAACTGGCGGTAATACTGGCATAGGAAGTGAGTATGTACTCGATATGGCTCGACGTAATTGTGCACACATTGTCATGGCTTGCCGCAACATTGAAAAGGGCAAACAATGCGCTCGTTGGGTTTATAAGAAAATCCAAGCCGAAAACATGACTACAACGGTCATTACAGTCGAGCATTGTGATCTAAGCTCATTTGATTCAGTGGTCCGATTCTGTGATCGTTTAAAGCGATTATCGATCAAACAACGTATAGATTATCTGATTTGTTTTGCCGCTGCCACAGGCATTCCTATCGAACAGAAATTCACGGCTGATGGTCTGGAAATGCATTTCCAGTGCAATTATCTCAGTCATTTCCTTCTTATACACCTGCTATTGCCACTACTTAACGAGGGTGCTCGTATCATTTTAACATCATCACAGGCACATTTGTTTGGCAAAATCGACCTAGAAAATATTAACCGATTAGAACGGTATGATCGTCATCCATTTCGAACATATGGTGATTCAAAATTGGCTTTGGTCATACTGGCCAGAGAACTGTCTAAGCGATTAGCCGCAAACAATATTTTGGCTTATTCATTTCATCCAGGAACCGTGCTTACCAATGGCATAAAACATAATCGAATATGGTATCTTCGAATCCTTTTAACAATTGTCGCATATTTCTATGGTAAATCACATCGGGACGGCGCTCAAACAATGATCTATTTGACAGTGACTGAGCAGCGTTGGCTATCGAATGGTCGATACTATGCTGATTGTGCTGTCGCTCATTATAACCCAATGGTGGATGATGAGAAACTTGCTGATCAACTATGGTCGCATAGCTATAACTTAATCGAAAAATATATTGATGGAATCTCTATAGCCAAATTTTAAATCAGTATGCCGGATCATGGAAATTCATAAATTCTTATTATTGATGACGATAGGCTTAAATGGATGTTTGATAATATGCAAGAATAATAAATTGGTTAAAACTTTGAACAAACGTGCCTTTAAATATGCGCGTACGTGCATCAACACAAACTTGTGCATTAAAAAGATACGATAACTGACTAATTAATTAATGTTGCAAAAACTTTTTCTGTCAGGAAAATGGGTGCCAACGTGTACATTTCGTGTCAATTCGTTTACAAAAATAAAACCGATCCTTGTTATCATCGTGAATGTTGAGTTGATTCAAATTCCGTTCATGCATTTGGATCTTTTATTGGCTATGTATAGACGATGAGATTGGCACGCCAAAAGTAAAGCGCTTGGCAAACATGTTACAAGGCTTCGAACAAATGGGTATAAAAGAAGAAATAATTTCGATAGCCGATTGGCATTTATCAAAAACATTCAAACATTCATTTTAGAACAATGACACAACAACAATCGACAGCATCTATTGTCCTCTGCCTATTGGTCATGGTATTCATGGTCCATTGGTCATGTATTCAGGCAGAATCATCACCGGTGGCACAAAGCAGCAGTGCCAATTGGGAAGCCGATACGATTCCTACATCACAATCAAAGTCATCACTGTCGACCAATCTGAACGACATATCGGATCGATTATATCGCATCATTTATAAACGATTGGCCGATACGACTGCATCGGTAGATCCGTATGGCGGTAAGTGATAACAGAATTTGGATTGTTTTCGATAACTTTTTCACTTCTCCTATCCGGTGGTCAGATTTAGATGATGTAGACCGCTTCAATCGCCAAGAACGACATTTACGGTTTGGAAAACGTTTCAGTTCACGAGCCAAATATAGTGATCTTGATTATGGCCATATGCGTTTCGGACGACGTTGAATCTTTCTATTCAAATACCAGAATCGATCGATTCTTTCATGATAAAATTTGATCAAGCCACCAACAAAAATCTTTAACAAAATAAACTAAAACAATTTTTTTTGTCCCTGTGTAATCGACAAAAATATAATCCGTTTTTATACCCTATTCTTCAAAATAGGGAACAATTTATTCAAAAATATTAAATAAAGAATCCCTACTATAAACCATTTTTTGTTGATTGATTAATTTATTGGAATCGTTTCAATAAAGAATTTCTGAGAGCAATTTGTTTATCTTTAAATGATCGTCCACCACGTTTTTGGCGTAGTTTGTGTTTGATCATCATAAAAGATTTACCCTTACGTGTTTCCCTGTTACTTTTGCTCGCAAAATCATTTATTTTACCTTTCCGTGAGCCAAATTTACCACGATCTTTGCGTCCAGCTTCGATCGACTCTAGCCGAGTTTGTTTGTCTGATTTTTGAGACTTATAGAGTCGTTCGATAGAGCTTAATGATACGATTTCTGACTTGGCAATATTGCTGCTGTTGCTGATCAGAGAAGATTCGTTTTCATTCTGTGTCGATGTCGTTTTTGACAGTTTTTTCGATCGAGCAGCTCGTAAATGCTTAGATAGTTGAGCCATACGGACTTTATGGAATTCCTCTTGAGTCAAAATACGACTGGTCGATATTAGACTGGCTTTATCCCTCTGATCTTGAGGTACAGAATTACAATTAGTTGAATCCTCATTTTCGTCGGCATCACTTTGAATATCGTCATAATCATCAATAGCGATTTCATCTTCGTCATCAGATACGTCGATCCAACTCCCATCACTGTCACCATTATCTTTCCCAGTTAGTTCATCACCTGGATCAGATTCGTATTCATCCAAAACTTCGGTTCCAGAAACAAAATCCACGGCTTTCGATTGGCCGAATCGAATCGAATGAACAGATTCTTGGATAGCTTGAGTGGGGCGACCTCGATCTTTTCGTCGTAACAATGAAGGGTTTAATTGTCGATACAGTTGTATAAGTGATTTAGCAGCCATAGATACATTTTTATCCTTAAATGATGAATATTCCACTAGATCTTGTAATAGATCTTCGCTTATAGCCAACGGACATCGTGCACAAATTTCGCGGATAGAATTAATACCAACGGCCATCACTTCAGATGAATTTTGTTCAGTAACGAAATTGTTTGCAATCACTTTTAACAATGGTTCAATTGAATCTGGTGGAACAAGTTCATGTGAGGCTTGTGCCACGTATTGCAATAATTTGGTCACATCCCGTTGTTTAGGATGTAGGTAACGTTGTAGATATGAATAAAGGTTGAGCAATTGTAGTTCATGGATGCCCACCAGTCTGGATATTAGATTTATGAGCAACAGTTTCAGCTCAAAACGTTCATTAAATATTTCAAGCATCTTGAACAGATTTTCCGCCATGCCCTGTGGATCATTAAGTAGATGTATCGCAGAAAAATCGAATGATTCAGGTCGTGATTTTTTCCGATATCGCTTGAGCACTTCTTTGCTTCGTAGTAAAAGACGTTTCCGTTTTCTTGTTTTTTTATTTACACGATTCGCCATGACAATTTCTTGTGCTGATGGTAAATTGTCTGAATCACTGTCCGAATCATCGCTATCCACTTGCTTATCACCATCTTGTTCAGCCTGGTCAGTACCGAGGAAAAATTTCAACGCAGTGACCATAATCTATAAAGTCATTACAAATTTTAATTTTAGCCAAGACAATAAAATAGCCATAAATCATACCTTGGGTATTCGAGAAAAACAGGCCGTACTAATAACGTTGACTGTTTTGGCCGTTTTCCATACATTTTTTTTATACAGTTCAATCATTATGTGCAATGAGGTTTTTGCTGCTACAACATTCGAATCATTCAACATGGAAAAGAGAAAATTCTGCAACACCGTATTCATCCTTTGTTTGTTGCTCATATTCTTAATATCTGTGATGACATGTTGTTTTATCAATGCCCGCAATTTTTTATCTGGACATTTGAGTAATTCGAAAAGGAGCGATATTAGATCGTTGGCGGCAAATTGCGACTTGTTTCGCATCAGAATCAACGCTCTTACTAGAATCTATCGTATTTTAAAGTCGAATCATTAAGTCCATACAACAATAAAGCCATCTTTTACTCACCAGACGAACTTCTGAATTCAATGATGTTGAAAATAATCGCAACAACCGCATTAATTCCGATGGATAAGCTACAGCAAATTCATCATTCGGATAGCAATGGCTTACATGGGCAAAAAACATGACTAAATTCATGAATTCGTTATCATGTGATGATGGATCGAATTGAAACAGTTCTAACAAAGATCGAAAATGCTCATATTGCTGCTGAAACTATTAAAAAATAAAATAAAATGCGATAAGTCAATTTTTTTATCACAAAATCATCAATTACGTGACAAAATACCTCCTGTTTATAGCCGACTGGGTCGCGTTTAATGCAATTTTGCAACTGTATAAGATTACTGGGCAGTTGATTGTTTATTCGCCGATTCATTCTTTCTGGGCATTTGAATTTTATTAAGTAAACAAAATTTACAAGTTTTTTATTAAATTTAATTTCACCAAAAGAATAATACACGTGCATACGTGGAACTGTCCACAAAGTAAGTAACAGAATAAATCAAATTTTCGTTTGAATTCTGGAATTTTAATCATTTTCAACGACAATGACCATTCAGTACTCAACAAGTTTGAAAATCTTACAGGTTGAATCATCTGAACAAGTAAGAGCATATTGGGATTTTGACGAAATAGCAAAGTCAAGTATCTGATCACGATGGCCACGTTTCTCGTCAAGTATGTTACCGGTCAGAATGTCAATAACACGAAACACACCGTCTAAACATCCGGCATACACGATATTGACATTATTTGAGTCTACCAACAATTTAGATACACCTCTGGACAACTCAATTTGATTTCTTTTGGTTTGACTTGGCACATGCCAAATCTGTATACGGCCATCCAGTGATCCAATGATAAGACAATTTTGTCCACCGAATTGGAGGCTTTCGATCGAGTTATCTTTTTTTTCGTCATCATCACCACCTATCACATCATCCAGCTTGAATGAAGTTATCACTTTTTGATTTTTCACGTTGATCATTTTGACCACACCGTCAGCTGATCCGGTAGCTATAAGATTGTCATCTAGACTTAGAGAAAGTGATGTTACTGTAGTATGATGGGCTTGATTTCCTCGTATGGTGATAGCAAGTTGATTCTGTTCGAGATTCCATACTCTTATGGAACCATCTTCATAACCCATAGCCAGGCGTCGTCCATCACGAAAGAGCTCTGCAACTAGGTTACCACAACCAAATGATTGTAACGTCCGACATTGTGGTCTTATTTCTGATAATCGCCACATCCAAGTTTCGTGTGTACCAGCCAATAGAACATTATCGATAGTGTTATGCCATAATAACCAGTTCAGATCATTGCCAACCTCATACTCATAGATTTTTTTGCCATCCTCCACGTTCCAAACGATGATGACACCACTCATATCACCGGTGGCTACCATTGTTGAATTCAAATTAAACTTAACAGCCACTATTGAATCTTTGTGATGACCATTGGTATCGAATCGGATAAGTCGATTATCCATCATATCCCAGATGATGGCTTTATCATCTTGTCCACCTGTGATTGCATATCGGTCATTATGACTCAAATGACAACAGAAAACGGATTGTTCATGTGATTCAAACGTATAGATGCAATCATCTTCCACTACTTCGGTGGTCGTCATTATCGGTTCTTGTGCTTCTTCATCCTCATCATCGTCATCACGAATATGGTCGATCGTATGTTGGTCATCCAAATCAATAACCTCATCCAAATCTTCCTCTCTTATAAACTCTTCATCTAAATCTGGCTGTTGTTTTGGATTCATAATCATAAACAAATATAAATATTCATATTATTAGATCGAATGAAGCGTGATATAACACATGCATCATCCCAAATGTTTTAAGATTCTAATAGTAGATGGCACTGTCATTCATAATGATACGATCAATGTTGTTCAAAGATGGCGCAGCAACGATTATGACAAAAAATATCACCAATAACCAATATATGACAATTTATGATTATTTAAATTTGAAAAAAATGTAGCTTTAATTCATTTTTTAATATTACAGAATCAGTATTTTATATATAGGGAAAATATTGGAACGAATAAATTCAATATGTAAAGATTAAATGAAAAAAATAAATGAATAAAGAAAAATCGATCGAGAATCAATTTCCTACAAGCATTTGAAAATATAAAAGAAAAAATGCAACAAAAGTTTCATAAAGTTAGATAATTAAGAGGACAGATTTGAAAATTTACAAAGTGAGTTTGAATTTGATGATGATAAGGTGGATTATTCATTTGTTTTAAATAATGTACAAAAATAATAAAGGCAAATCAAGTATGTCAAGATATCGTAGAAACAGGATGACGAACAGGCCAAGTTTGTTGTGATCGCGTGATCAATGCAGTCACATGTATGCATGAGTCATATCAAACTTTGACATGAAAAAGGATAAAATTCGATGAAAATGAAATTCGAATAGACCTAATTAGCGTAGAATGGACCAATTGGTCCTTGATAATAGAATAGCGTGTGTGTGTGGGTGTGTGTGTATACTGGCAGATCGTATTGTGCATGTTTCCTTTGTTTAGGTAGCATAACGTTTTGTCCATAGACGTGCGATTCGATCATGCTCTTCCCGGTGGTTAATGTATTGGGTGGCGATGTTACCGACCAGAGGATCGGCTTTCAATTTAAATGAATTTGAAAACGAGAATTAAAATTAATTCTATTCTATTTAACGGAGTGAATATTTCTTACCTGGATTACAATCGGTAAGCAATGAACAAATGGATAGCAATACTTTTGATATTGTCAATGCTGGACTCCAATTATCCTTCAATATGTCCAAACATATGACACCTTGGCTATTAATATTGCAATGATATATACGAGTACGAAATGTCACCTGTTTGTCAAAAGAAATACAATTTATAGTAAATTGCATACATTAAATGAGACAATTTACTTTTGGTGGCTTAAATGGATATTCAGATGAGAAATGAATGTCGAGAAAAAATACGCCACCTTCATATACGGAACCAGGAGGTCCAAGAATGGTGGATACCCATTCATAGAGATTATCGCCTTTTGGACCGGCACTATTTAGGAAAAAGCAAAACATCGGAATGATAAGATAATAAATAAATAATCATCAGAGACATGCCTGCAATTAGGCGGTGGATCAAGAGTTATTTCGGCAAGCTCCTTCTGTATCCTACAATACAAAGCAATTAGAGAATCCAATCGAAACAATAAGAACAATATATCAAACCTTTTGGCACTTGTACTTAGCGCCTTGGTTAACGGCTTTGTCTTATTACTATTTCCGTCCTTGGTGCTATCCCCATTTTGTTTATTGCTCGCCGTAGCTGCATTATCATTAGTGGATGATGATGATGTCGATGTTGTAGAGTGATGATGATGGTGATTATTGGTTGCCATGGTTGTTCGTGTTGTTCGAGATCCAGATGATGTTGATGCGGAAGGAGTAGTCAATACAGCGGCAGAACCAGCCCGTAATTCTTGATTGGAATTTGATGATGATGATGATGATGTTTCGGTTGCAGATGCTGTTCTTTGTCGTTTATAGCGTTGTGATTGCTGTTGTTGTTGACTATACGGATCAATGCGATCGTCACTCATGGTGGTGGTGGTCACTCAAGTTGACTATAACTTGATTTACTTTGCACCCTAGGTTCGTGGTTAGCAATTTTAAATTTAGTATTTTTTTTTTGGAATGAAGGGCCCAAATCAACAATAAGACAAAGATAATGTGTGTGGACAACGAAACAATTTGATCGACAAACACAAAAACACAAGCGACAAAAGAAAAAAACTTGAACCAATACGAGTAAAACCAGACAGTGACAGACAACCACACACACACACTCATACTCTGTCGGTTAATGCGTACGCGCATTCAGTTTTACCCTGTTTTCTCAATTTCATCATTACAAATCATTTTTATCATTTACCCTACAGTATACAGTTGGACCTCGTTTAATGATGGTAATCTGTTCCATCATTAAATGATCATCGGCAACAGATTAACAGGTTAATTATGATTCAATCAACTCGACTTTGTCGGATTAATGACTATGACTAATTAATGTTTGGTCATAAATCAGCCATCTCCATTTGACCGATCATCGATAACCTTGGTACCACTGTACATTCTATATATGAATATACTGCTTTCGGTTTGTAATTGCTGCTGTTGTGTTAACTTGGATCAAATGGTAAAATAAACAAGGCTAGTCTTTGGTGCTGCTTCGCCTCCGTTGTTGTCCACTGCTCCACTCTTTCACACTCGGTCGCTGTAGCAGCGGCTATTATTGATGGTGATGACAACACCTTCGAAAATCGGTGTTGCGTCGAAATCGCTTAATTCGTCGATTCGACTCATTTAGAGCGCGCGAAAATATCCATTTCGAATAAATTGAATGATGAATTTAATTTATCTTTCGATTGCTGCCATTATGATGAAACAAATGGAATTTTAATACAATTTCTGACTGACTAGGTAGATGTAGGCTTTACAAATAGGTATAAATCGGACACATCACTTCCGGTATGCATAGACCATTATGCCATCGCCGATTACCGATGCATTCACACCTTGGTATGCATTTGTTGCACTTTAATGAGCTCATTTCATTTTGTTTGAATTGATGTGGACAAGTTTTTCGTCCACATTCATTGCCACAAAAATTAAATTCCGAACCTGTTGGGCATTTTAGGGCTATAATTTACAAACAAGATTATTAAACAAGATAAGATTATTAATAAGAAATTAACTCACATTTGCACATGGGAATTCGCAGCTCAGATGATTCAGAAATTCGGTCAATACCAATCGAAGTCATGTGGCAATAATCCAAAAAATGTTGCATGGCATAGCAAAGACATTGACGGTCATCTCCATGATCACCGTAACAATGGCACACCTGTCGCAAACACTGCTCGTACGCTTTCCTCAACTCTTTCGGTCGACATTGCAACTGCTGTTTATTCCTTCGCATGATTCGATCACAAAACCGACGAACAGAATCCCTTAGTTGTGGCTGACAACTTTGTTTTAAGAAAGATTCCCCTTGTTGATGATTTTTTAACGATTTCGCCCATTTCTTTTGACAGCCTTTAGTGATATCTTTTGGTTGATGTTCATCATTTGATGGATCACCATTGAAATCACCACATAAACCACAAATATGTCCTCGAAAACGGCTCTTCAAGTGAATTTCAACTGACCGATTAGGTTGCCAATATATATTGATACCGATTAGAGCATGTAGAAGAATATGGTTCTTTTCTTTATTTTTTACAATCGAGAATTGACCCATATGAATGTAAGGAAGTTGAGCCGGTTTGTGGTTCACACGAATCCGACATACTGTTTCATGATGGCTCAATAGAATTCGAGTTTCTCCTACACGTAGCAGTAGCGAGGCTCCACGATACTTAACCGATTCATTGCGTCGTTCAGAATATCTATGCATAAGATGCAATGAAAAACGACGATTTTCATGACAATCCTTGGCTAGTACACGATTGCAGAGACGACCATTTCCTATTTTTATGTCATCATCATGGTTATTAAATCTGTAATTGTAACCATCAAAAGTAGTCACGTTGTTCCATGAATCGTTTATAATACAATGACCATCATCATCATCATTAGGAACACATGTCTGTTCACCGTTTTGTTTGACTTGATGATGTCCATGGGGGCACACCAGATTTACGACCGATCGTGTAGTGCATGGCACTTTTTTATTCATTGTATCCGTGCATTGTATGGATTTGTTTGCGTTGTCTTTTATGATTTTTTCTTCCATCATGGTGGTTGTTGTATCATTGCCAGTCAAACATGATCTTTGATGACAAATATTGGTTCCATTCTTTTGAGTAACATAAACTATGTTATTATTATAGGTTGATCATTAATGTGGATGTAAACAAACCTTGCATACACAATCAGTGCATGAATCATAGGTAAATGCTTGTAAATGTTCAAATCGTCTTTCACCCATAACACAGGAACTATTGACCGATCGTATAACTTGCGCGATTTTGGGTGGTCGGCAAATTGGACAACAAGAATCAGGTTTCGATTTTCTGATCCATTCAGAACGTGGACAATGCAACACTGGACAAACATGGTGGTGACAAATCATCTGTCCCTTGAAGCAATAACATCGTATACAAGATTCTTTCTGATTACCCTGTACTGATGAGGGTAGTGGATCAACTTCATGGCCATCGGGTATATTACGTGGACAAACATTGCATGATGGACAACATTGTCCAAGAAATCGTATAGGACGATCACATGGAACATGACATTTAATTCGTGATGAAATTATCGTACCATTCTATGAAAAAAGAGAAAAAAAGTTTTGTCATGAATAACATTCCTTATTTGTTCCATTCCATTCCTCATTCCTAACAAAAAGCAAAATACTTACATGACATTGGTATGATTGACATATATGATGATCCTGAAAAATTTGTCCATTCGCAATAGTTCGGTCGCCGATTCTAGGAGTATCGATAACATTAATTAGTTGTTGACTGTTTTAATGGGCAACAAATTACCTGCAAGTTAGACAAACTTTTCGGGTGCAACATACGGACTCTGTCCAGTTTGATGGTTGATTCAGTTGCATGGGGTGGTGACCATAGTGATAACATTCATTGTCATTATCCGCTAAAGGCAACAATGACGTTGTACAAGCAGTGCTATTGCGATCATAACGGTAGCATTCGATCACCGAATTACGACACATGCATACAATACAGGGATCCGTCATCCGAATGAAAGGTATCTCAACGATTTGACCTTCCTGATTACAGCCAATTCGATTACCGATAAGTAATGTTTGACTGTTGCTTTCATTATTAGATATGAATGCTGTATTGCACAATAGGTAAGCGATAATTATCAATGTCAATGAAAATGAAAATGATGTTTTCTCAACTACCATCGTCGTCATGGCTAAACTAATTTCTTATTCACACAACCAATCTCAATAGCAATGGTATTTGCTGTCTATGATGACTGCTGATGGTTAAAAGCGAAAGTTTACCTGAACCAATTGAACTGACGAATGAATAAATCAAGCAGGTACGCTCGAAACAGGTCGTCGTCGATCAGACCGCATAGCTCATCCAATTATCATCTCTCTGTCTGACAAAGTGACCACTGAGCTCACAGCCTAAACACACACAGACACACACACACACATACTCAATAGATTGATCATATATTATTGTAGTCGATGACCAAAATAATCATGATCATCGACGAAGGAATGTACCGCCAGCCAATCCAAACCGAAAAGCAATCGACCTTGGTTGCTTACGAGGCTAATTATCGATCTGATAGGGGTGGTCCATAAACTCATGTCTGTTTGCCACATTTGTGGTTTTAGTCGCAACCATCGTCATTCTCAAAAAATTCCTATCGTCAGTTTAAGGTAAGTTTTAATTACGGGAATGAAAAAAAAATTTTTATTCATCAACCAAATTATAGAAATACATAGAGAAAAATAAAAAAAATAGACAAAGAAAGATTTTGGTCTATAGTCGATGCATTTCTCATAATGAAATCATTTTTTTGGTTGATGTATGAAATGATTGGATTTATTCAACGGACGACATTCATTTGTTGGCATTGGCTTCTTATCATGATATGCCCGTACTGAATCTGCTGGAAAATCTTCATTGCCCTACTCAAGTTGATAAATTGATTATGTTATGCCTAGACAATTTGAATAAAGGATTAGTAAGAACTTACACGAACTGGTGCTCCCGATACGCTCATAATCATAGGTTTCGGTGGTGATTCTGGCATTGCATGTTCATCATCATCATCATCATCATTATTATCCTTACTACCCTGGATTTTTACAGCATTTGGCTTTTCCGTTGGCAATTTATGTTGAGTAATCCGTACTCCGCCAGACACTTTCACTGTTTCCAGGGAGTATACTCAATGACATTGGAAAATGACATAGTTCACAACGACAAACACTACTCACCAGCTGGTGGATGGCCAGCTTTTAGCACAGAATGATTTGTTTCTGGATCGTTTGCGTCCGACATGATAGAAAAATAATAATCACGTATAGTAACCTGAAGCTAATGAAAATCACTCGACAAATGCACGACGCACTAGTTTCAGCAGACGTGTCACAAAAATCCACACAGTAAATTTTGAGATATTACCAATACATGCATGCATGCATGCATGTGTCTTTACGTGAGACTGGAATTTGATAATTGAGCCACAAAAATGCATAGCACGCCATCTTTGGACGCCTGTACAACCGAATCAATAAAAAAAATTTAACAGGTTTTTTTAAAATTTAATATATAATAATAGAACACACACATATCAATAACAAGAAAAATGATGCCCGAATAAAATTTCTCTTTTCTATCTTAAGCTATTTTTTCTTTTTATTTTCGTTCATAGAACCGGCCACTGTCGTCAATGGATTGTTTCGACATTGTTTATAGATTTGGTCCAAATCATATTCCATCACCACATTGTCCTACAATAATAAAATCATAACCTTTTCATTTGGTTTTGTAATGAATATTCAATATACTAACGAATGTAAAGGCAAAATTAACTAATTTGCCTTTCTCATTGACCAATGGACGTCGCATAGTTTCATGACCATTCATGAATAATATAACTGTAGGTAATTGTTTACTCAAAGTCGAAATGTTAATTCTGTATTTAGTGGCTGTATCCGGGTTACGGGCCAGATCAACTTTCGCAAAACGTAAATTGTCCAATGAATATTTGTTAGACAATTCGGCGAAAACATTAGCAAAGTCGACGCAAGGTGGTGACCAAGCGGCATAAAGTTCAACTAGCCAAACTACTCGCTTGTCCCTGCCAATTTCTTCTTCAAGATCTTCACCCTTCATGTAGGCAATGTTTTCCGGTCCTTGGTAAGTAGGTTCAGGTAACAATAACATTTGCACTGTGTGGTTGATTAAATAATGAAATAGATATGATCATCAAACACATCATAAATGAACAATGCGACTTACAGAGGCAGCAGCAACCGAAAACGATTCCGTAAAGAGGACCAGCGTTAAAATAGAGTAGAATATTACCAAGCTTCATGAGCATGCAGGCCGATGACAAGTACGGCAGAAAAGTGACGTTGCCCTGTTTACGCGTTCGAAACATGATTATAACGATGGTAAAGAAAAGAATTTCTGTATCGCGCTATATTCAAATATTATTATGAATCATGATCAATCAGTCAATGGAAATGGATAATAACAAAAACTTACATGTTCTAGCTGACATTCTTTGAACAGATAATTGCAAAACGGTGGTACCAATTTGAGCACAAGGAACGAAAAGGCCAATAAAATGTTGACCAGGTAATGCGGATGACATACCTTATGTAAATCACGAGTATTGATGATCGCCATTCTGATCATCTGTTCATATAATCCTGGAGTTGGTTTACGATGCTTAGTATTTGACTTAATCAAGTAAAAACAAAAATCCACTTAGTCATCGAACAAATGAAAAATGATTTTGCATGTAATATATGACACTAAATAAGCCCGTCATCCATTTATATTGATTATATTAATCAAGGCTCCCGAAATCAGGCGAAAAGCACGCATCAAATCATAACAAACTTGGGTCATCATTATACACTGTTACATCGGAAAGAACTCACTTTTTCACTCATAATAATTATCCCAAATATCCGGCTTGAATCGGATCCTAAAAAATTCTTATTTAAAAGATACGAGCATAGTTTTACATATTTTATTTGTAAAGAAACTTTAAGTCATTTTTTATACTATTCTTATTTCTGGTTCTTATTCTTTATTAGCTCCTAAGTTTTATATATCGCGGGTTAAGCGCGTTTTTACAAACAAATGCTACTGTGTGCGTTGTATCGGCTCATAAATACGGCGTTTGAATTATAAGTATTTTATTATGAAAAATCTTGTCTACTTTCAACAGTTTGTCATCACAGAGATATTGCTATGTAATTGATTGCATTGCCGAATCAACAAAACCGGATTGCCCATAATATCTACTCGCGTTGTTGTTACTTTTAGGTTTGTTGACCATTTTCTCGAATAATGATGATAAGCTTTCATGGCAAGTCTCTTTCTTTTTTTCTGTATGCCTTTTTTGCTTATTATGTTTGCATTGGTGTCATAATCGTGGTGTTCCACTGTCGCCCAATCATCGCCACATCGATTCATGTGTGTGTGTGTGTGTCTAATGAGTTTGAATTTGCTGATTATTGGCAGATCTCTATAGTTCAGAATGTGTTCGTCATCAATCGAAACAATGGATTCACAAATCAACAAAATTGAGGCCATTCTAAATGGAACAATCATCGACAATTCCGATAAAGAGTTCTTACAGGTAGACTATTCACTCGGACAGCAGAACGATGAATCAAGTAAGTTGATCTTGCTAACATAGCTTACTATCATATGCAATTTTTTCCATTCATAGATGCCCGTGGAATTGATGCTAAAGTTTCCAATGAATTTGGTCCCAAGATCGGCCTGAATGTAACGTTCATCGTCACGGCGGTTATTTTCAATGAACGGCAAGAAGTACTCATGATACAGGAAGCCCGATCAACATGCTCAGGAAGTTGGTATCTACCTGCAGGTCGTGTTCAACCAAAAGAATTGCTTGAGACTGCCATTGAACGTGCCGTACTAGCAGAATCTGGCCTTTGTTTCCAACCAATCTCTGTGATCAAAGTAGAATCATCGCATGGAAATTGGTTTCGTTTTGTCTACATAGGACGTATCACTGGTGGTCAGTTGAAGACCGTTTCGAAAGCAGACGAACAATCGCTCCAAGCCTGTTACGTAGATGATGCTGGTCATCTATCGTTACGATCTCGAGACTGCCTTCCATTGATCGAATTTGCTCGTGATTACTATCGTAATGGCCAATCATGGCACTCGCCCCAATTGATTTGTCGACGCTACATTCCCAATCTCTACATGCGATTGGTGATAGCATCCTGGGACCAACAAATGTAAGCCTCCTCTCTCCATTCACTACTGTTTATTATTTCATGTTTAATGTTTCTCTTTGTTTTTCATAGTGGTAAACATCGAATTCTCATTGCACATTCTTTGTCACCACATTTACCAATCTGTCAGCTTAATCCCACTCGAAGCGTATATTCTACATTAAAACGCTTCATGCAGGTATATGAAAGAGATTCACTTCAGAGACTAAGAATTTAACGCTGACTTGACTATTGTTTGTCTTGGCAGTATTTATTTGGCGGCAATGACGGCATACCGAGCAATTCGGCAGTTCCACCGCATAAACCACTGGGATTAATGGCTATCGAGCATGATTTTGCCGACCATACTGATCAATACGATGGTCTATGTCTAACGCTGTTAGTTCATTGTAAACATTCGGATTCACCTCTACACAGTGGATTCACATGGACTATTCTGAGCGTCACGGGCGAACAACTTTTAGTTGACAAATTGTCTTCCCGATTCAAAACCATAGCTCATTCAGTGCTTTGAAGCAACACTTGGCCATATTTTAAACCACAATGGAATAATAATTAAAACAAGGAAACATAATTAATAATTGATAATTAATTGATAATGTAATGATGATAATGATAATTTGTTAGATAACTAAATTTGAAAGAACATCCGTGGGTGGGTCAATCATCTGCTAATCATTTGAGAATAGAACCATTTGACCTATCGACGAGAGAAACTTTAAATGGCTTGGGCGCCATCGATGCCGAAACGATGCTAGCAACTTCGGGTGGTTGTTCACCATCAGGAATTTTGAGGTGAAATTGTTGCAACAAACTGGTTAGAAAAAGAAACACCTCCATCTTGGTCAGTATATCGCCTAGACACATTCGTCGACCTAGTTTGATTTCAAATGAATAATAATTCAAAGACAATTGAAAGGACAACTTTAAGGCAACTTTTTCAAAGTATGGCTTACCAACAGAAAACGGAATAAAATATTCCGGCCTATATACACGGCCATTGCTGAGGAAACGGTCCGGGTTAAATTCTTCTGGATTCTCCCAGAGTTCAGGATCCATGTTGATCGCATACAGGTTTGGCAGAATGTGTGTCGTAGCTGGTATTGAGTATCCGGCCAACGAAGAATCTCTAATTGATTACAAGTGATTTAAAAGTATTATTATTATTATATTATTATATTATATTATATTATTAAAGCTGTGAACAGATAAAATCGCTACTTACTCCAAAGTGCTGTGAGTATTACCCAAAGCGACAATGTTACTACGGCGAAGCACCTCCCAAAATGTAGCTTCCGTGTACGGCATGTGTTCGATATCGCCCAACTGTGCCTCATTACTCTGGCCAATTACCTGGTCAATTTCCGCTTGGATGTGTCGTTGAACGTTCGGGTTGAGCATCAAGAAAAGAACTGCCCATTCTATCGTGCTGGTGACATTCTCAAGTCCAGCGCTGAATATGTCGTTCATGACCTGTATAAGTTGCTTTTCTGAAAAAAAAGAATCTTGTCCAGATTCTTTTATCCGGTCATGCTGAACTAAGTAGGCATCTACAAAGTCGCGAATATGATCTGGATCCAATGTCTGACGGTGTTCCTCGACAATTTCGTGAAAATATCCACTGGTTTCGTCGCGGTTACTTTGCATTTTTCGATAAGCATAGTTGACCAGTGGTACAAATCGAAACAAGGGAAAAAAGTTAACAGGCATGGCTATAGCAAATAAACGAAATCCTTCCTCCATTAATTCTATGATTCGGCGGAATTTACGATCCGAACTCTTGAACGTCATGCTCATCAATAGTGATCCTATCACATTAGACGCTGCACAGGCTAGATATGGCCGAATATGTATCGATGACTGCTGACTGCATGTGCTTTTGAGATCATTGAGAAATATCTTCACTTGAGACTATAGAGTAAACAAAAACAGCGGAAAATTAAGTATTTCTAGTCTAATCGAGTAATCTAATCACTTACTCTTATTTTAAGTTCCAAACAATCGCGTCCCAATATCATGCTTTTGGCTCCCAATTTTCGAAGGACAGAATGTAAGAAAGCCCGTTGTTCTTTCCACAATGCGCCATCAGTGTTGACGATACCTGTGTGTGTGCGTGTGCATGAAAACTGTGAGCCAACAGTAGTTGAAAAATCAGTCATAGATAAACTTACCATAGCCTTGGAGAATACGCGTCAATTCAGTGTCTGGTCTACCGGAAAATACTGGTTGACGAAATGCTTCTTTGATTATTCTGGCATCGTTGATGACAACGACGCGTTTAGTTCCAAGATAAATCTGATATATGGAGCCATATTTCTTGCCTAGTTCAGTAAGGCGTAAATGGAAATCATGGCCAACAAACGGAAGATAGCCCAGTATTGGCATACCATACGGGCCTGGTGGAAGTGGTAAGCGATTTTTTGTGGTACTGTGCGACCAATAAAGTTTGCTCACTAAACAAACAATCAGCGTGATGAGTGATATTCGTATCACGACCAAAGGGCAAACATTGTCGACAATCAGATCAAAGATCATCGCTACGACAGACAACGAATGACTAACGAACGTAAAGGATAAGTACCGGATTCTCGTTATAGACGGGACGGACGGTTTATTAATATAGCAACGGATATGATCAAAGTGGATGCATGATTATCTGGTAATAGCAGGCCAACACAATCAACACTTATAAGATGATTCCAATCGAGCAATCGATTAATGGACGAAAAATGACAATGTGACTTAGTGATGGTTAGACAGTGACTAAATGAAATGTTGGCCAAGTTGGCGGTTCTCCTTTTATATTAACTACAAGCCACTGTCCACTGTATCTGCTGCTGTGATTACCTGTGTACATGCATTCCATCAAAATGCTTTTGCAGCAGCAGAAGCAGATTTATTAGTAAGTGTAGTGTCTGCCCACCTTGCCACATGTTTACCACAAGTATTTGGCCGTCTTCTGGCGGCGGAAACATCCAATATCGAGGACCTTCGTCCATCTGTGTGTTTGTTTATCAGATTTGAGGCGGGAGAATACAATCATGATCCTCCCCTGTATGTATATTCACTATGTATAAACAAACGCCATCGGTGTGACCTGTCCAGTTGATTACAGCTATCAGCTGATCTGATACTAACCAGATGAACACGTGTCAACCTAAACCGAATGCAAATGTATTAGTTGCTGATGTTGTAATTTTAAGCATTAATATCCGGTAATACCGACTATCGGGTATTCAACAAGTGACTCTCTAGAGTTTCGAATAAATGTGGTCCTTTTGTGTAGTGATCCATTTCCTAGTTTTCTTTTATCCTCTCTTTCTCTATAGGCAGAAAGCAGTGACCGGCCATCACCACTATGGCCGCACCGAGGTCATCATAAGCAGTCATTCATAAGTCGTTGAACTGTGATCATTAGCTATCCAATGAATGAGGATGCCCACCGAACAGCAAGTTTCACCACACACACACACACCATGCAAACAAAAATGTGAGACATACGCGCCTTTTCCATCTACACAAGTTTTGAATTTGCTCAACGGAACATGTGTGTCCTCACAGTAATAAAAATAGTTTGATTGCCAAATCCCAATACAGCAAACAACTATAGCACCAAATGGCCCGTTGCTATGCAGCATGTCAAGATAGTTTGATTAGTGTGGTTTGGTGTCTAACCTAATGGTTACATAACAATTGATTCAAGACAACCACTCCGGGGTGTGCTTGTTCCGGGCATATCCATAGTCAAACAAACAAACGCCACTCGCGACTCAAGTTCATTAACACTTGATCATATTTGAACACTTGAACATATTGTGGATCCAAGTTGACCATTCATTCATTCCATCTATCAGGTCAAGGTTTCGGCTCTACCGTTTTGATCTTTTAAACGATATCGGCCATCATTGATTGTATTTGATTCATAAGTTTGATTCCTTGTTTTCTTCTATCATTGTGTCTCTCAGTATGTCTCGTTTCTGGATCGATCCAGCAGCAACAGGTTACATACAAGTACTTTGAAAAAGATAAATAACGTTTTTGGCAATTGTGGATGTTCAGTTATAGGTCGTTGAACTCTCCTCTGTATGTTTTTGCCATCCTAAATCAATCACATTAGCTAGATTAGATTGTATTTCCAAGTTGGTGTTTCCTTTGTCAGTATTGAAGCAGGAAAAGATGAATCATATCGATATAAATCGGGTTAAGTGGCCATCTTCTAATCAGCCTGATCATAATATCAACTTCATCCATCGGCCAGTTTGATGCAATCTGAGGAATCGGCATTCAAATTCAACATATTGAATGTGGATTGCATTGAAAAAAGATTATTCATGGACGTTCATATATATATACTATACTATACTATAGCTGTACGGATGTGGAGGACACATAAGCACATGTGTGCAGATTCCTGAACTTCGATTCGATATGGATGAACAAATGTTGAAGATGGTGGTCACTTTCGGTCATTGTCCGCAGTATTCATCATGCTAATTAATATTCTCTTTCAACGATCCAACGTCATCTATATACGATGATGGTGCTCATATACACACACACAAACACACAAGTATACACGTTTGCACTGAAACGATGAAGATAATAATAATGTTCCAAAGAGAAAGCACCTCTCTGAAAAATGGAAAAGCTTTGTGTACAGCTAAGCACATGTTCAATTATAACTCGATTTGCCATTTAGATTCACTGATGATGAATGCTAGATATGTATATCCGATAATCACTCTGTGAATTAATAATATCATTTTCAATGGAACATTCTGATAAATTGCAAAAATTGGATTGTTGTCCATCTAGGATTAAGCCATCCACGAGACGATCATGAATGAAAGATGCTACTAGTGGATTTCTCTGTACATGTGGTAGTCATTAGCACAGGTGAGTTCAGTGAACTCTGAATTGGAGTTGACCACTTGTTGCATAGCCAACTTGTTGCTATTTTTTAAGACTGGTTCATGGGTGACCTTCGATGGTGATTGCTGTTCTGTACATGTATACAGCTATAATAATAATAACTAAATAAAAAGAGAAAGTGGTCATATGGCTATCTCTCGTGGCACCGAAAACCCGACCGAAGTGACCACCGTTCGACCAAATGGTGATAATAATAAATACGAATAATTTATTCTTCATATATATTAGTCATCAGTCTAATTGGCCTAATGCCAGATTTGTCGATTTATAGATGGAGCACAAAAAAACATGGTTCCATGGCTAAATGGCCATCAATTGAATGTCGTGCTGGTGAATGTGATTGAGAAATTGAATCGAATCTTAAATAGATAGCGCGATCTTAAAAGATGTCAATGAACGTTTAATTACACTCGAGCACGCATCCATCATCATCATCACAAACATTGCCATTCGATGTAGAAAGACAGAACGAAAGATAGTTTCGACGATGAAACAAAAGTTCACTCCAAATTGGAAGCTGATGAGAGATGAAAAAAAAGGAGAACATGCATGAGCATAAGCAGTCAATGCTCGAATCGAATAATAATAATAATGCGCCTCGATTGGATGGATCGAGGATTCGACCTAATTATTGCCCAATGACAGTGGTAGTGTGCATTCGATGTATGTATAAAGAATAGTTCATAACGAAATGACCAAGCGGTGTACAGGTTATATCCAGTATTCACCACTCACGTTTCAAGGAATCGACTTCCATTTGAACATTTACATTCCGTTAACTCATTGGCTTCCATTGCCTTGCATTTAATGCAAGATGTATATTCTGATATACCCCATTATATAGTGATTAATCATGATGGTCGTTCATTGATGAAAGAGATGCTCAACTGATTCACAATTGCAGAGATGACTAGAATATTGTCTCAACATGACAATCAAACTATGAGTCAGGCGTATATAGCGAGCGGTTCATTGTCCAAATACAAGGCTATTATTGCTTACTATCATAGTTTGAATACATTTATTTTTATCATGACAATCATTTCAGTAAAGTCGAGACATTGGTTAATGAAGGAAGTGCTACTTGTCATTTTCACCACAGCTACGCTGGAACGAAGTGGACATACCTGCAGCTGTAAAGCCCAAACCAACTCCACGTGCCAGATGCGTGGATCGACGTGCAATCGAATATTGTTGGTCCAGATTTTCAAACAGTTTTGCTTGGTTCGATGCGGCAATCTGTTCATTATGACGGCTACTTTCCTTAACATCATCATTTTTAGATGATAGCGATTGTTGATTAGTATTGTCTGTTGTTTTGATTCCCATCAATTTACGAAATTTTTCCGTCATTGCCTGACCATGTTCGCCTTGAAATTTGAGGTTCGTCCATACGTTGGCTGATGTCGTCGCGGACGTTTTCACCTGAAATGAAATGAACAGTGTCAGATATATATATATTCGTAGAATGTTCATCATCATTTACCTTGTCGCTAGCTGAACCCTTGTTATCACCCCACAAAAGTTTACGCTTTTCTGCCTGTTGAGCTAATTTGGCTGCATTTACCATTTTGGCATTATAATATTTTGGAATATCGGTAAGCTGCGATGGAATTGTCTGGTGAGGTGAAATGCGATTAAATACTGATTCTGATGATTGTTGTGCCTTCATAGTAGCCACGACAGCAGCTACTGATGCTAAAACTGCGGGTGGCTCTCGAGGTTTAGATTCTGTCACAGTTTCTATCTGACTTGAAACTATAATTTGGTCTTCAACTAATTTTATATTGTCGGATTTGTTACACTCGACATTCGAATGCTTACTACTCGTAATAATAGCAGATTCGTATTCTTTGGGTTTCGATGATTGTTCCATTCGTCTTTCAGCATCTTGACTACGACTACGGCTTGAACGATGACCATAATGAAAATGATGATGTCTACTATGGCGGACATGATAACGTCGTTCTTGGCTTCCATGATTTGTCATGGATGGCTCTTTGGACGACCGTGTTCGACTATGCTGATAATGAGATCGATCACGTTTTGATTTACGATAATCATCGCCATGCTTATGTCGGGACTCTTCCTGTTTGTTGTGGTGGTTATGAGATTCACTTCTTTCTCTATGTTTATTTGTTGAATTATTTCTACTTGTTTGTGATGATGATCGATGCCGATTTCTAGACGAAGAGGATCGATCATGGCTTCTATAATTATAGTGGTGAGATGAACCATGATTGCTATGATTATCTTTATATCCACCATCATTACTACGTATGAGCTGGCGATGACTATGGTCATCTGAAAAGTTATTCTCTCATTGCAACAACAACAACAACAAAGGCAATTAGGCCTATTAATTACTTACCACGATCTTTATGACTATATCCTGCTTGTGATGTATACTGATCCGATCGCCGCTTGCCACTTGATGTCGAATGTCTTTGGGCCGACACTAAATCGATATCTTCGTAATCATCTTCATAGTTGACAATCGACTGGAAAATGCCATGAGAATAACATAATTGAGATTTTATGCATTCAGAATTCATTTACCTTTTGATTTGTCGTTTTCATTTGGCTTTTATTATTGTGTGACATTTTCCTTCTGTTGCATTTGACAATCAATTCATGAAGCTTGATTGTATCAGAGTGATGTAAAACTTTATCATAAAACAACTCAATGACTGAGAAAAATAAATTATAAGCAATGCAAAAAATGAAAGGTAAACAAATGAAGGAGCCGATGATGGTGATGCTGTCGCATTAGAAAAATAACCAGATTGATACCTCGAAAGTACCGAACATAAAAATGCATACTCTGAACTAGATTATTATTTTTTGAAAAAATTATTATTATTGAAATATAAAAGAAAACAAACAGAATTTATTCAGAAAAAAAAGAAAATTCTTAAAAAGCGGTTGATGATGATCCCATCCATGAAATGTGATTTGATTCGATGCAAGATTAAAAAATATTTTTAAATTCTTCGAGAATGATGGGCATACAATTTTCATGATGATCATAGTATAGGAAGACGTTTAAATAAATGATGATGCTAATACAATTGACAATCAACTTTCAATATTAACTGGAATCATATTCATAAAATTAGGCTTGTTGTTGAAATACATTCTGCAGACTAGGCGAAATAGGTAATTTTTTATCGTCATTTAAATTGGATACACCGTTGTTGCCACATGTCCAGGTCGAAATCGACGTAAAGTTAAGTAGTTTGGCATTGTTTTTACTGTTAGCTTCAAAATTAGCAAATTGGTTTAGATTTCGACGGAAATTTTCGTTGCATTGTAGAAATGCATGATTATCTTGACCACTGGCATTCAGATCTTCCGGAAAACTTTTTGCAATGGAACTAATTGAATCGAATGATTTATCCGATTGATCGGATGGTGTGAGGTCGCCAACGAATTTCACTTCGGGTCTCAAAATTTGCTGTAATGAGTAAAATTTAGCTATAAATCACTGAAACATATTTACTGTGTGCATAAAACTTGCCTGCAATGTTTTTCGCTTTCTAAGCACTTTAACCAATTCGATAATGGCAAACAATGGAATTAATAAAGTGGAAGACGCAGTTAATGACCAGCCAACATATTCAGAATATTTAGGAAAAACATAATCATTGTAAACTAATGGCTCGTGTTTCCAGATGACAACGGTCAGCATTCCACAGATCAGAATTGGACAGCCATATTTGAACATGAATCGCCAATAAACTTGAGGCCAGATTTTATAGCCAACCATTCTGTAAATGTTTTTCATGTGAATATCTAAGCCATACACCCAAAATATGGCAATCAACTCAGCAATAGCAATGAAAAAAGCAGAATAAGGAATTGAATAACTATCCATCAACTGCAAAATATATAATCCAGCCTAAAGATCAATTATAAACGCAATGACAAAATTAAATAAAGAAAAATCATCTAGCCGACTTACCCCGGTACACATAGGCAGACCGGCCAAAAACATGACCAAACAAACTAATCCCAAAACCAATGGTTTTCGTTTTTGTAATTTATTTGGCCAAAAATCGACTAGAGTAGCGACTGTGGTCTCCACTATAGTCATTTGAGATCCAAATCCGAGCGTTATGATCATCAGGAAAAAGATAACTGACCAGATCGATGGGTAAGGCAACCTGGCAAGAGCAGCCGGATAGGCAACAAATGCAAGACCGACGCCTATTAGAATAATAATATGATTGCTAATAAGAAAACCATTTATGATAATGAATCCATACCTTGGTCAGCAGCTTCATCTATCGATTTTCCAAGCTGATTGGCCATAAATCCAATGACGCTAAAAATGGCAAAGCCTTTGAATGTTATGAGAAATCATTTATTAATTTTATGTTAACTTGAAAATATAGTATGGCAACTTACCGGCATAGATGCTAGTCAAAGAATTGCTTATGACAATCAAGATCGAATCTCTAGAAAGTAATACATTTTAATCACAATAACTATTCAACAATTGTTTATCGAATGAACTTACTGAAAAAGATTATTTTTAAAATTATTATAGCTGGCCAATGTGATCACACCGCCCATACAGATAGATAATGAATAAAAGATTTGGGTGGCAGCATCAGACCAAACGCCAATTTCACTCAACTTTTCAAAATTGGGACTTATGTAATGAAGGATTCCTTCGGTAGAACCTTGCAACTGTAGACCATTAATGAGCAATGCAGTTATCATAATGTATGGAAAGAAAGCCGTGAAATATGAAATTTTGCCCAAACTTTTTGTTCCTAAACAAAGGCCACAATATATGAATATCCAAGCCAACGCCAGACACAAGACCAAATGGGGACGCAAAAAACCCATTTCATCGATACCTCCGCTGATTTGTAGAACTTTATGACTATTAAAGTAATGATGATAATCAATGTACGAATTGCAAATCATCCATGATAAACCATGCAACTTACTAGAAAAATTCCTGACTTGGACTTGTCTGTTTACCATCAGTCACGTTACGAATAATGCCATCAGCACATTCTTGGCTATTCCATTCATTGTTACATGATAACCACGGAACTGACGGCATTTCTGTTAATGCCGAATAGACATAATAAAATGACCATGCTACGACCATATTGTAATAGATTCCAACATAGGCGCCCATTACGAACATTGCGTAGCCAATTCCTTTGAACAATGGGGATAGTCTCCATACTAATCAACCAGAACAATCCATAAATTAGTTGTTATCGTTATCAAATAACTTAAGCAATACCTTTGATAGGACCAAGACTAGTGAATTGGCCGATTGAAGATTCAAAAAAGAAAAATGGTAAACCCAAAATTAACAGACTTGTCATGTAGGGTATCAGAAACGAACCACCACCATTTTTGTAGCAAAGATACGGGAATCTGTGTATGAAAAACACAAAACAAAAGAATAAAAAATTTTCAAATCAATTAATCAAAAATGCTGTTGGTGTAATTAATTGTATGGAAACCATAACGATACATACCTCCATACGTTTCCCAATCCAACGGCATAGCTGAGAGCGGTTAAAAAATATTCGATTTTGTTGTTAAAACGATCTCTAGATGCGCCATCTGTTGTCATGGTGGATCGGATTTGTTTGTAGCACCGGGAAAAATTTCAAGAGGAATGTAGATTTTGAAGCTGCTAACTTGGAAACTGATCAGATTCACTGAGAATGAATCGGCAATGAATTACGAATTACGAATAATTCATAGATTTATTTTGATTGTGCTGAAAGTATTGATGTCAAACACCAAATAAATGAATGAATATTTTCTATAATAAAAAAAAATTTAAAATCAAACAATCTTCGTATGGAGCGATAGTATTATTTTTATGGAACACAACATATTCGAAAAACTATTCATATTATAATGGTCATAATGACGGTGATCACCGTGAATATAAGTGGTGGTGGACGAAAAATTTCAGAAAAAACGGACCATCACATTATGTATGTGTATTTATAAGTGATAATTGATTGATTATAAATGATGATGATTTCCTAATTTTTTTCGGATTACGTTCGACGTCATTGATTCATCATAATAATTCATCAATTTTATTTGCTAAGAGAAACAAGATTATTTTTAATTTTGTTTTTTTTCACACTACACGTACACTGTAAAGAAAAAAAAATTTCTTCGCATCTAATCACAAATCAATGACAAAACGGCAGTGTTACATCGATTTCGAAAAAAAGTACACCAAAACAAACTTATCGAATTTGGACGATGATGATGATGAATCTTTTGATGAATATAACCGATTGTCATATGTGTAAATGTTTTCCTAGTTTCGATCACAAAACTTGTGATTCTCTAGTGTTTGTTTATTTAAATTATTGTTTTGTTGCTGTCAATATCATGGGACTAATAATATGTCTAAAATCAAATCAGATCCAATGAGCTAAAAAGTGATTGTCACACAAGACACCGGAGACAGGACAACAAGCAGGCATAGAAGAAATTGGTTTATGAGCCAATAACTGCTAATGTATGAGGCATATTTGAATCTTATACTTTTAAGATTCAAATATCATCTCCTTTGTCTGGCTATTGATCGTTGTTGTCATATCTTAATCAACTCCTTAGTGTGCTTACCTGAATCAACATTAAAACAATTCATTCAGAGTAAATTTAATTGGTACCTTAAGTTGTTTAATAATAATCTCGCTTTACAACCCTCATCATTATTATATGATGAGGCAAGAAAAACATATAAAAATTTATTGAGCTGCAATCATAATAGGCATATCTATCATTTGAATGTTGGCATTTGAGATGATAATTGTTGCAAAATAATCGTTTCCCTTTCAAAAGTTATATTCAACACACTGACCTGTTTGGAACTGTTTACCGCAGTGGAATGTTATTTCAATATAAAAAACGGCTCAAGGTTGGAAGGAGGCACTGATCTATAAACAAAATGACAACTGGACACAATTTGAACAATAATCAATCATCGATGATTTTGCTGATATGATTCTGGTCAAAGTTTGCTGTTTTCACAATCTTAATGACAATGTTGAAAATTTCAATCCAATGAGGCAATGTTTTTGTTTTTTCTTGATTTATTATCAATGATAATAATATCATTAATTCATAAATAAAATTCAATATCGAATAAATCAATATATACAATCGCAATCAAAGATTTTTCAATTTACAACCATTATGAAAAAACAACACGATTGAATAATGAAATATTGATCATACGGTGGCCGATTATCAATATGCAATATGATTTTAATGCTGTCACGCTTATCGTCAATATTGTAATTGTCGTCGATTTGATTTCCGATCGATGATAATCTTTTTTTATTCATTAATTTATTCATAAAGCCAACAGTAGTATATGGGAATAGTTTGATTAAAAAAAACGGAAACCAGAAACTGACGTTAAAGAATTTGTTCTTCTCAACTTTAAATTGTTTTTGCCGATGTGGTGAAATTTTTCAATTCGATATTCTGCATAGTTTATGTATAATGAAATCTAGTTCTAAATCCAATGGTTTCTGTAAGTTGTAAATCATGTACATGTGTACGACCGGCGTAAAATGGTCCAAATGACGAATGAAACTAGTTGAATGTGTGGTTTAAATACTAAATCGACTAGCTGTTTGAAAATTGAAAAATAGGCTGCACTTGTTCGTATAAATATATACACTATTGAAGATCGCAAGCGACAAAGAAGCCAAGATTGAAAGTAAATTTCGAATCATACATTTGTGGCCATTGAAAATAATGCGCGCCATTTGCCATGCATGCAGTGATCATAGAAATTCACTTTCTGCCTTTCTCGCTCTTTCAATCGCAACTTTTTTTGAATAAAAGAAACCAAAAAAAAAAAAAATTTTTCTCTAAATATGTTCAATGTTATATATGGCTGTAGATGCAATTTCATTTAGATTTGAACAAATTCATTGCGATCATTCAAAGTTGTTAAGCAACTATATAATGTACATGTATATATGTTTCTTTCATTAGTAGTATCTGGTCGAATGTCTGGCCAACAATTCGAGTGATAGAAAGAGAAAAGGAATCAACAGGTTGCAAGACAGCAACATTTTCATCAATTCAATCGCAATCCTTTCCATGCCTATGATCAATTTTGAAGCTCATATCTAAGCAGTATTGTAAATAGAAAGAAATAGAAACAGAAAAAACAATATGAAAAGCAATAAATAACAATATCACGACAAAAAATGCGACCAATCAAATTAAAATCAAGATTCGAATGTTCACATCGTTGATGATGTGAATACCAAGAATAATATATTTTTGATTAAGCAAATGAACGATGATATGATGTAAGCTAGACTGTTATACCAGTTGTATCTAGTATAATGAGATTCTACTATTTTTAAATCAATATTTCATGTCTCGATTCATATGAATTAAATCAATTGAATTGGTCGAAATGGGCCTTAATGATTTGATTAATATTAATCTAATATGGTAATTAATTTATTTTATTGATGTTTTGCATATGTATTGCTATTACAAAATGTGTATATTCATATGGCCATTTTATAATGATGATGATCGATGATCGTTTGTGATGATAATATTATTATTACCAATAACAATGAACAATAATAATGGTTATTTTCCCCTCTCAATACAAACACCATAAATTACGATATAACATCAATATTGAACAACTATCAATGGGCAATTGTGATTTTCAAGGCCATGTTTTCGTGACAACCCTGTTTCCATTTGGCAAGTATTTTAGAGTGCAAAATAATCAAATCTATTCCATCATCATCATCATCATTCCTATCGACAAACCAACGAACCGACCGACATATAACTAACGAAAGAACAAATACGTGTTCGAGTTTGACGTAATCCGAACACACATTACAATAAAATTCACAATGTAGTATGACATTATCGTTATTTAATGGCTGTATGTAATTATATATCTAGTAAATCACTGTCTCAAGGTTTCTTTCGTTTATAGGCAGTCGAGCCGGCCGGGTTTTATGGGGAGCACGAACTTTCCTTCGAATGTCAAAAGAACTTGAAAGAATGTCATTATCATTATGCTGTTTGCCAAAAAAAAGAGGCAGACAATTCATTCGCCTCACCAACTGGTTTTCTCGTTTGTCATCATCATGGATTGTCAACTTTTCACAAGAATTCTGGCTCAGTCTTTAGGAGTTTTAAAAATTTTTAGAATGACAAGAATTTCAAATTCAAAATGCATTCATTAAGACTACTACAATTTTAAGTAGTTTAAATTGTTTCAGCATCTCGTGCTGTCAACTCTTTTCTTTTTTGTTCGATAGTTAACAAACTGAATGGCTGAATGGCTTTTCTTTCTTATTTAAGGTGATGGAAACGGATTGTTTTATGTTTTATATATATTATATAAAGTTTTTTATCAGTGAGCATTTAAGCTGATATGTAACCTGTCGAACAGTTCTAATTTATCTATGGTATCTGCATAATAAACTCAGTGACACGACTGGTTATCCTTTAGGTTCAAGATTTCACAATGTTGCATTAACATATGATCAACTGAGGTATTATTGATCAAAGAACTAAAATGGTTGATAGAGTTCGAAGTTCGATTAGTCTGATCGGTCATTAATGTCTACTGAATGAAGAGATGATCACAAAAAAGTCTTAATCTTATGAAGATCAAGGATTCATTACATGACAAGCCGCTAGTAATGCCATGATCACCGCATGCATCACATGATCAACCATTCCAGATTGTAATCAAGTAAAAAAAACTTGCAGAGATAAACGAGTTGAAAAGAAAAGGAGAAAGCAAACAAGCGAGAGGCATAGATAAATTCCAACCATTCATCAACAACAACAACTTCATCATTCTTCTTTCTTAGATTCCATTTTCAAAAGCTTTTTATGATTGTTTTCTTGTTGTTCTTTTTGATTTTATTTCCAATGGCCTGTTGCTGCGATAGAGTGGATAAAAATATCCAAGTAAAAATTTCCATTCACATTCTTATTGATATAGAACACAATCACAACACAGAATTCCATTCAAATTATGATTGTGATGATGATAGTGGTGTGGCGCTCGCAAACAGCCGATTAATTGGAATGGCATCACATTTATCAAGATTTGTAAAACACTTTACAAAATGAATAACATTTTTATCTGTTCTGGAATGCAATGGTACAGATGTAATGGCGATACAAATTCTCAGAAATTTTTATGACCTCGAATATCGAATTTTTCATTATCGTTCATACTATAGTATTAAACAACAAAATAAAATTCCAATACGTTTGATAGTGATTCTGATACTCTCAACCATAAATATAGAACTGAATTTTTTTTTTTGGCTGTTTTATGTGGCCTAGTTTTTCATATTGAACAACACAAATCGAAATAAATATCAAAAATGAAAAATTTAACCAAAAAAAACCACACATCTGTCAAATTGAATGATTCACTTTGATATAAACAAAAGCAAATGGACAGCAATGTTTATTTCATATTGATTGTTTTATTCATTCGATTGATAAATTTATCAGGTGAACAATGAATTGTTACAAAAGAAATAAAAAATGAATGTGGTGATTCAATGGCACTTTTCTATTAGTTAGTCAATGAACTGACTTTTCTGTCATTCATTTGATATTTGATTAATATGTTAGATTATTATTTTATTTTTATCGATTGACCCAATTTTAGTGAGCTGGCATCGATTGGTTCACAATTATCGACATGCTTGGAATGGCTCGCACCGGAATCGCTGAGAAACACGTGGCCATAGGAACCAATATCGTTACACTGCTCGGCATCTGTATCACAACCACAGGCATAAGAAACATCAATGGTTAATCAATCAGAACAGAGAATCTCGATTGTTTAATCATCCCATATATATGTTTGGAATCGTGAATGTAGGGTGAAAAAAATAAGATATATGGATTATATAAAATACATAAATCATTATCATCTATCATATGGTCCTTTGCCTGTCAATAACGACATGTTACAAATGCGAAAAAATTGTAAAAGTAAAAAAGTATAAAATTATTATAATCGTATGAAACAAAAACAAAAATATTGTTACAGAGGGCCAAAATAATTAAATTGATAAATAAAAATTATGCTCAGGTAAAACGGGAACAGGCACTGGTTTTATACCAAGGCACTATATATGTGTATGTTTGTCTAGGATTTATTGATGGTTTTTTTGAATGAACTTCGCATTACGTTGGCCGTATTGGCTAGTTTACTTGCACCATTACTACTAGCAATTGATGAACCTCGAGATGATGATTGTGTTGGGGCATGATTGAGCACATGATGCCTACCTGTTTGACCATTCGAATCAGAAACGTTGATAACGCCCAATTCATTTCCTTCTATGTGTCGATGAATGTAAGGATTGTCCGTTATGTTGCTACCATTTGTTGGCTGCAGGAGAGCCTTATTATCACTAAGGTTAGCATTGTTCACAACAAGTGTGGATGTTGGAACCAGATTTCCAGTTACAGGATTGATTTGAAGATCTTCATAATGGTGATTGATGAGATTATTGTTGGAGCTGGTTATCCGGTTACTGAGATCGAATTTTCCAGTTATGCCATCGCTATCATTACTACTGCCATTACTATGTTTGCTGGCTAATGTATGAGTCGTCGTTTGATTGTTGCAGCCATAACTACCGGAATTTTTGACAGTATTGACTGATTTTCCCATCACAGCTTGTCCATTGTAAAGAATTGATTGACCACTTGTTTGGCTGTTTTGTTCATCAATGTGATGATGATCTTGATACGACGAATGATTGCCGCCTAAAAGTTCAAAAAGAAGGTCAATATGTGAAAAATGAAGGCAAAATCTCACCTGAATGATTAATTTGCATAGTTGAGTCGTTGTTTTTCATAGTCATAGGTTGTGGATCGAGTAGACCATAGTTGTAGATTTCACTTTTTTCATCCCAATGACACATGAATGGGAATTTACTTCGACCACTTCGATTATTGATTACATCAAAGTTGGCTGATAATTGTTGCTGCTGTTGTGAGTCTGAATCAAACTCATTCTTCAATCGTAATGCTTGGCCAAAATTATCTTCAAAATTGTTGGGCAAGGAAGATGGTTGTTGTTGAAGCAGTGGATAATGAACTTGATGATGACCACCGGCAGCAGCTGATGCTGAAATTGGCTGAGATAAAACCGAATGGCTTTGAAAGTCAGATGTTGAGAGAGAATCCGTTGTTGCTTTGTTGATTTGATTCAGTTGTTCGGAAAAAATATAATAGCACTTCTCGGACAAAGAATTCTTAAAATTTATTGTATGACAGATGTAGCCTTCTTTCAATAATTTGGTGGCCATCTTTTTGGCATCTTTACGATCATGTAGGCCACTTATCATCGAGTACAGCCAATCGACAACATCAGAACCAAGAAAAGCATTTGGAATACTTATCTTAAGCCACATTCGATCACGAACATCCAATCCAGAATTAGGACTAGCCATTGCACAAGCTATTGTCTTGAGGTCTGATCCACGAGCCAAGGAAATGGGTATGGATGATGATGAAAGCGGCAGACAAGATGAAGCTGTCACTTGTGGCTGCTGTATTGTCGTAATTGTTGAATGACCAGATTTGAATGATGAACGAAGTGAACAGCCAGGAACCAAGCCAGAATTGGTATCACCACCAGTGACAACACTACCACCATTGGCTAATAATGGATAGACATTAGATGGATTGAATGATTGTGTAGAGGGTTGAAACATAGGATTCCTTTCAGAATCCACAGGTGTTGGGTTCATTCTCATGAAATTACCAGAGCCAGCAAGATTCAAGGGAAAATTATCCGGATCTAAAGAATCAACACATTATATCGTTATTGAACAAGATGTAATCTTACGTGTAAATTTAGCTCTAGCAGCTTCGGTATGAGCCACCCATGCTTCTGGATCGATGGGGCGAACAGGTTCCGAACGAGGTATGGTGAAATGACCTAAGGGATGTGGATCCCAACATTTGGCCACCAAAAGTTTGATTGGGCCAGGCTTTTTAACAGCTTCTCGAATCACTTCTACTGCTTCGTCATTGCTCAAGTTCTCGAGATTGATATCATTGACTTGTAGAATCATATCGCCCGGTTCGATACGGCCATCTAATGCGACTGCCCCACCTTTTAATATGGAGCTTACGTAGATACCACCATCACCTTTTTTACTGGTTTGGCCCACCAACGAAATACCCAAATAATTAACAGTGTCCAAATTCAATATGACTTGTATGATATTTAACGACATTGATGATTCGGTAATTGAGCTCAACGATGATGTCTGCTTTAATAAAAGTGACAAAGGACAGAATTTTGGCATAGAACAGATGAGAAAAACAATTAATGAAAATAAGACTTACCCTACTCATTCGATTACGATAGCCACCTTTTTGTCTTCGATTACGATGGCGATTACGACGTTGGTATTGACGAGAAACACTCGTTTCCTCAGTGGTAGTAGACACACGACTCGTATAATCTTCATAATCATTCTCATCATCGACTGTGGTATCATTCAAAAGGTCATCATCATCATCATCATCATCCTCGGAATCGACAAACGAAGTTGATTCTATATCTGATGTCATCACAGATGAATCCATATAGTTACCGTGATGATGACCATGGTGGCGGTGATGATGACCATGATAGTAGCCACCAGAATTCCCATATCTTCCGCCGCTGTATTTATTATTGTGGCTGTTTTTGTTGTTATTGTAACCACGTCTAGGACCTTAGATTGCAGATAAAATCATGGAAATAAATTAATGATGACACAAGACAAGATGGTGGTTGAACTCACTTAGATGATGATGATGATGGTGTCCATCTCGGGAATTCAATAATGACTCATTCTCCATTGGACTTGGGTCACTGATTAGTGATTTAAAAATAAGAATTGAGATTTGTGATAAACATGTCATTTATTGTATATATACATACTTAAAGCTGGATAAATGAGAATCGCCAATCAGGCCATTACATTCTTGTTGTCGCTGATGCGCATGATGATGGTGATGAGTAGCATGTACTGTACGAGCTGTGGCAGATATTTCCGTCTGACATTGAGAATTGGTACTGTCCGAAACGACTGACCCTTCCGTTGATACCAACTGAAAGACAAATGAAATTATAGAAGGGTTAAATGTTTAAGAATAATCATACCCAAGCTACAACGCGATCCTTGAATATTGGTAATGAAGCATTATCGTCAAAGATTTCTTCTTTGACCACACCGACCTCTTTGTCATAGCTTTTGAAGAAATATTTGTAATGAGGCCTCGGCAATGAAATGGCAGATTTAAAATCACTAAGTTTGATTTGTGAGTGTGGTATTGGCAATTTGACCAGGTATGGCGTCTCCTCGTCATCGACATGATAAACAATTCGTGTTTCATTAGTAGAGGCTAATGGTCCAACCTTTAACGGTAGCTGTTGTCCATTATTCGTTGAAATTGGTGGCGGTGAAGTCTGACTATTGTTTGCAATAGATTGGTCAACTGTAGAATCGATAATGGCAACACCGTTGGAATCGAGAATTGTTGCATCACTATCGGCAATGGCACTAGAGCCAGAATTTTTCAACATGCTGTGGTTTGGTTTACTTATCAGCATGACATGTCGAAAATGATAACAGCCACTGTAGGCAATAAAGATGATGACGAATGAATGAATGAAAGAACGATTAATTTCACATTGTCGATTAGAATTGATCACAAAAGGACAAAACAAGAACAAACAGAAGAATGTAAACAAATCATAATTCGATTTTTTAACCTTCTCATCAATTCACCAAAAGTATTTCAAATGATGGGAGAATTTATGTGCTATAACAAAAAAACAAAAGAAAAGTATGCCAACAAATCAATGTTTGATTGTTTCTGGAACAATGAAAGATGGACGATATGGACTATACAGAGTCAGATTAAATGTAAGATGAATATATAAATAGTTATTATAGTTAAATCCGAACCCGATGAAATAACATCAAAATATAAACAGGATAAAAAAGGACTGAGTGAAAAAAAAATAACAAAATAGCCTAGTTCTCCATAATGGTGGCAGCACTGACACTATAGTTAATGCTAAAATTTTAGTTTTTGTCGAGTTTTGATTCCGATGGAACCAGCATTTCAGCCTACACATATACATTTTGCTCACACAGACAGAAAAATTGATAGCAGAGAAAACTATGGATCTCCCGAAATTAAGTTTGGTCGTAGTGGCATGTATTCAATCACTTTTTTTTTCTTTCTCACTCCATCTGAGAATAGCCATCTCGTCTCGTTGGTTTAAAACCCAAATCGGAGCGACGAGTTACCAGCAAAACTAATGGTCATAACAAGTTCACCTTTGCATTTATAAATCACCGACCAATGTTACTTGTGTCTTGAATAATAGAAAAAGTTGGTCAAAGATTATTTCTTGTCCATGGATAGTTTTTTGCCGTTGCATTGTTAACACATCTAAATACGATGCTTTGTTTGACCTCGGTAATACTTCATGGTGGTAATATTTTAAGGATTTGTAATGTATCACAAAATCTGGCGTTGCGAACATTGAACTTGTTATGTAGTCGTTTGATGAATGGAGAGGATTAAAACAGAAATGACCTAGCTAACCGACGTGATCTATTAATCGACTTTGAGGATGATTTTTATTTGATGGTTTCTTGCTATGTTGTTAGCCAAAATTTACAGCTATTAATCATATGACCGGATGTACTATAATCGATTGATCTAATTGGTCAAATTCGATACTAATGTTGAATCGACAACAGGTTATGATCATAAATATGAACATTGATTCTTAAATGATGAACTAACAATCTAATTGCCAAAGTTTTTACCGTTTTTAATGCCAGAAGCAGATGGACAACTAAAAACATGATTGATGTTGCTCATAACACATCACTACATTATTTCTAGTAATAATAATAATAATATAATTTTGTTGATGATGAAATATTTACCAATTTGCTACTCATCACTGGAAATAGAATAATTATGGACCACAAATGGCCTATTTTGGACAATCATAATAAATCCATATAATAATATCAACAGGAAAAATATTACGGGCTTTTTTTGGGCATTTACTTGTCATTGTCGAAATAAATGAAACCATTCATTAACAAATCAATGATTAACGATTGGCAATTTTATTTTATTTTTTTCATTTTAAAAAAGTTCAACAACAAATTTTTAATTGATTCCCATATTTCAATGATGATGATGATGATGATGAAAAGAAAAGATTAATAAATCAATCATTAAATATAAATCAGCCTAGTTATTGTATCAACAATATCTTAAGGGTAAGAGATGAAGATATCGATGATGTGTATAAGGCCGTGTTTTATCAATTTATTTGCTTGAAAACACTTTGATTATATTGTTGTTATTCTTATCATCACGATGATTCGAAAATCTATGGAAATCCTCATATTTCTCTTACATCAAAAAGAAAAACAAATTGTACGTGAAATTATTGTCAATAGGCGCCGAAATTTTTCGAAACCAAATTATGGCGACATCTATTGGATAGGATCCAAAATAACCATTTTTGAATTTTTTTGTTTTAAACAGAAACAGGGTCAGTGTTTGGTGGATAATCGTCCATTATCACCGATAGTGATCTGATTTAGAAGGAAATTGGTTTTAGTATTTTTTTAATTATTAATTAAGACAATTAAAACAAATATAATATATACTTTTCTACCAAACTTTGATGAAATTTAATGGGTTGAATGTTTGATAGCGAAATGTTCATCTTCAATGATTGTGAACCATTACTTTTATCACCATCACCACCATCAATCGGTTTATTATGGTTGCTATGAGTAACAAATATAGTAGGACAGGAATGATGATCATCGTCATATTTATGCTGTGCACAATGGTAATGATTGTTCAAATTGTTTCGTATTCTCGATCCAACAGCTGACGCTTCTGATTTGAGCCTGGTCATTCTCGATAACGACTGATCATTATCCTCAGAGAATAGATCGCTACTACGATCGCTACTAGTGTGCATATTACGTTTAGAACAGCAAAATTCAACTTTTTTCATTGTCTTCAATGGAGGCTGTCGTGGTTGAGTTGGCTGCGATTTTGGTTTGGCACGATGATGATGTCTGGTATTGATGGTCATCAATGAAACAGGCAGTGAAACATCCGACATGATGCCATTTGATTGATTTGTCCATGCTTTATTCATTCGATGCTCAAGCTGCTGAGATTGTGTCTGAATAGCTTGCGTTTGCTGTAATTGAAACTGTTGGCCAGCACTTTGCTGACTTAGCTTTGGACTTTGGTTACATTGCCGCTCCGAATGATGGAAATGTTGATGATGATGAAAATTGTTTCTATGTGGATAATAATGATAATGATAGTTTAGCATTCGCATTGGATTCGATTGTTGCTGGCGATTATGATGTTGATGATAATGCATGTTTCGAAATAATTTTTCACGTTTTTTGTTCTTCATCAATGTACAACAAGCACATTTCACATAGTATTTTAAATAATTCCTCATTCTTTGTAAAACATAAAAGAGTTGATCCATTTGTCGAATGTTGTGTGATTTATATGAGGATGAGAAAAAAAATTCAAATAAAAATGGAAATTAAACGTTTCATGTGTTATAAATAATACCTCCGATTCATGGCAAATAGGATTACAGGATTAAATAACGAATTGGCCATAGCAAACCAGTAGAAAGCGAGATAGATATGTTTGATGCCGGGTGTTTTGATCAAAGAAGGCCACCAATAAATCGAAATGAAATACGAATGATAAGGCAACCAACATAACGCAAACACACTAATCACTATTCATTCCAATTGTTTTAAAATAATAATCAGACATACATGAAAAAATTTAGTTTGAAAATGAACTAATTATTTCAAGTTGGAAAATTATTCATTGGGGAATAATAATGCTTACCGCAAATCAATATGCAGACAACTTTTCGTTTGGAACGAATCAATATATTCTGTGGTACAGTAGTGTGTTCGCCAATCAATTCTCGTGGCCATAATACACGAGACATTAGGGCCAAGGCTACAACCATCGTCAAAACTGGTATCACATAGAAGAATACCAAAAAAGCCATGTTGTATCTAAAAAATAAAAAAGATCATCTTATCATCGAAATGAAAACAATTAATTTATAAGGGAGTAATTTACAAAAATTCGTATGTTGAAAATCCGGAAACACCATCAGGCCATCTCATTATGCATAGTGTTCGGACAAAGACATGTGGTCCATGACCCAATGGATCGATGGATTCATTTTTCGCACTGGTCGTCGTTGTGGTCGTTGTCATTGTCGTTGTAGATGTTGTCGTCGATTGAAACAATTGATTGGAGAGATAATTTAATGTAGCATTATCAACAATGGTATTGAATACACTGGTTTCCGTTGTTGATAAAAGATTCATTGTGAATAGCCATGATTCATTGGTTGAATTATTATTAGATGATTTAAATGGTAATAACGAAAGTTCGTTATGTTCGACCTCATCAAAAGTTTCTGCTGATAATGATTGCATGAGTTCTTCAGTATCCGAGTATAATAATGCGGGTAATGAGAACAATATTGATGAAGCCCATATGGTACCTATTGAACAGAAGAAACGGCGTTTTGTTTGCCGTGGTTTCAACGGATGCACAATTGCATAGTATCTATCACCACATTTCATGCATGAAAAAAGAAAAAAAAATTATGCAACATTATTGTCATTGATTATTAATCAATAGAATCGATATTGTCTTTAAAAATAGACTGATCAATATGAAGTTGCCATTTCTCCTACATAAGTATCGATATAGAAATGCTTTCCTCATTTTTCCATCCTATTTTTCCAAGCAAAAGTTCGGACAATCCATTCAATCCAATCATTGATTGGTGTTTCTCAACCATAGGATCACCATAAACAATCAATACAAAATGATTATTGAGATTCCGGACATGTCCGGAATAAATCTGGTAACCCTACTTTTAGTCGACAATAAGGAATCACTATTTCACGGAAAAGAGATCGAACAAATAGCTACACTGTAATAAATGATTTTATTTTCACTCTTTGACTGGTTGATTTCAACCTAATGAGTTTTATAGAGAGAAAGATTTTACAAAATCTAACTGTCATAATAACAGTAAACCACAAAACTATCATTAAGCGTATCATGCTGTTATGTTGTTGCAATAGAATGTTCAAGTTATAACTCATAATTTCAACTTAAATTCAGGATTTATCATAAAATTAGTTTTTATTCTTTATCCATTCGTTCATACTACTAATTTCATTTTCTATTACACAATAACCATGTTGATTGAGCTACTCTTTTTGTTTCTTTTCATTCATCAATCCCTTATTAGTGAACATGAGGAGGTCGTTTTTTATCCTTTTAATGGAATCAAATTTTGTTGTTAAAAACGATGCTAAAGCTATGCTAATAAAATCAAAAATGCAAACAAATGTTTTATTGTTGCAATCCAACATAGCTCATCATTATATATGCACTCAGTTCATTGAAAGACACGAACAAAAAGAGAAATAAAAAGTGAGAGTGAAGCTTGATTTTACATGAGCTTTTTTTTGTTCCAAGATGCTGTAATGATTTTGTCCTTGTTGTTGCCATCCAAGAAGCTAGTTTCTACTTCATATTCTTATTAGAAATTTATTCATGCATTAACATTCATTTGAGTATTAAACATCATCTTTTTCATTAAAAAAAATGGTGACCAATTATATATTATTTCTATCATCATCGTATATTCCAAATTTATTTGAAAATCTAACAAAGATAAATCTTCATGATAAAACATGACTTTATATAGAAAAAAACAAATGAAAATCCTGTCAAAAAGAATCAACAAGAGGAAGTTACCTTGTTTCTTTTTCAATTTCTTACGTTTTGAGTTTAGGGGTGTTTGTTCTAACTAAATATAGAAATTACGATGATTCTAATTAATTTTTGACAACAGCTGTTGTTGTTGTTGTTGTTGAAATCGATAAAGAATAGCCAATACAATTGGCATTCTACTTTTTCAATTTCAATGATTTGCTGTTTCGTTTGTCGTGACGCTTTTCTATCCTCGTGATGATTAATATTTTTTTTTCGTAAAAGTCATAGTTATGATTGCAAAACGTTGTCGTTATGGCATTCATATCCTGTGACGACGAAATCCTAAACAATGTACGATCGTAACAAATCGACAACGTATTATTCATGATGACATTGGTAAGCATAGCAATCATGGCTATTGATTACAATCATTCTCTTTTTTTCCTATCTGTTTATAGCGTACATTTTTCTTTTGTTTTGCATTATGTATGAAGGAAATCTTAGTTGCTTATAACTTAGCTAATATCTTTGTGAGGTTTTCATGATCAATGACGACCACATATTTATAAACAAATATATAAACACATCAACAACAACATCAATTATCACGGTTTATATCTTTCTTTCACTAACATTCTTCTCATACGATTAAATTCTTTAGTAAAGTATAAATCTAAAACGACGAAATAGACATAAACCTCAAGACAACAGTAGTGGTAGTGGTGGTAGCGGAAGCATCAATAACTTTGTTCCATTAGAAACAAAACAATAGAACGGCTCAACAAGGATTGATTGTCTCAAGAGAACAAGAAACATTTTCTACGACGCCATATACATGAGAGCAATAATCATCATCATCATCATCATCATTGTCAGCCATTACAAGCATTATATGTATAGATTGGGCGCTTTTTGTCGTGAATCAAATTGCTCGTCGTTATCATTGTTTTGTTTGCTTCGTACTATTGATATTGATATTGTGTAGATAAACTTTTGAATCTTATTATCTGCTTTCATTATTATCAAATTTTTTTTTGTTTGATATCAACCTAATATATTGTTGTCGTCATCGCCATTTTCAATATATACATCAAAATAACGTCATCGACATAGCTTAAAATCGACATACCCGAGGAAAATCGCCAATCATACAATCAGTTACAAAGAATAAAAACGTCACAACCAGAAGAATCGTTTCCTCTGTCATTTATTCGATTCTATTATTTTTTTTTTTTTGGCCTCTTCATCATTTTTTGTTTGTTTTCCTGATTCCTTTATAATTTCACCGAATCGACACAACTTTTCTACCTTTTACTTTACGCCAATAATCTCTTGAGAATTTTTTCATCTTTTTCACGTATTTTTTTCTGCTTCTTTCAATTAAAAAGAAGGACATATCAAAAAAAACTTTTACTGATTAAAATGGCTATCAAAGCTGCTGTCCGAATACAACGACAACAAATCGTTCCGGAGCAACAATTCTATGGGGAAGATTTTATACTGATCGATCATCACAACTGTCATCATGATGGGCAGCAGCAAATCAATACAGGCAATCGTAATTCATTTATTTGTCGGATAATAGAACTGGAGAAGACGATATTCTGTCTGATGTTTCATCTAATCGAAACGTATTATAGGCCAATAATTAATCAATTACCATTATCGAATAATAAGAATAGCAATAAATCAACGATAGACATCAACAGACAACTTGATCGAACTACAACCGGCAAGGAATGGTATTGTCAATATCGAATGCCATCAAAACGTATTTATGGTCTCCAAAAAGCATACAAAAGACAATTCGATAAAAAATTTGACAGAGCTGCCATACTTTTAAGTGATAATTGTTATTTACAATTTCATCGTAATCACATTGATTGGCAACTAGTGTTTGCTCCAATATCGGGCTTTCCTTGCTGCCGGCAATCGAATACAACTTTAGCAAAGCAATTGGATTTTGATTCATTGTTTGATATTGAAGATGCCATAACACAATCGGCATATTTGTTGGCTAACGCTCGTCAGCATTCTCAATTAATTGACAATCTAATCCTAAACAATGCTGAGACAAATAATGGATCAAATGATATTGAAAACGATGGCAAACAACCTTATCGACCATCCAGTCAATATGAACTAATTATGAAAGATGACTATGATGATTTCACGAGATTAGTCAAAATGATAGAAAAACTTGTCAAAATTAAAAGCGAACAAATGAAAGAATGTTTAATGATAAGTGAACATCAAAATAAACCAAAAGAATCATTAGGTCTGCTGGACGCTTGGCTTTTTTTCAAACGAAAGTCGAGATCGTTTGATCAAACAGAAAATGAACATTGCCATGAATACGATGTTAGTCAAGTTCAAAATCTAATTGAAGATTTGCGAAAAGAAATTGCTTCTTGGGAAGAATTGATAGATGTAATCAATATTTTAAAATGCTCACCATCATTGCAATGATGATGAATTTTGTTTTCATTTTCATATAAATTTTTTTTTGTAATAAATACTCTATAAAAACTCATGAAAGAAACTTTTCAATTATAACGGAGGAGAATTTTAAGCAGAAGCTTATTGCTTGTTTTATATAGGAAGCAAATTTCTTGAATTCAAATTTCAAAAATAACAAATGTCTTACCGGTCTATAGAAATCAACATCATGGTCGATACGGATGAAACAATTGTCAGATTGGCGATAAAATTATTGGCAATGCAATAAATTTTGCCGAAAGGCCAATGTTGGTGTAACATGAATACGAAATTAAAACTAGCATTGAATGTAACAGATAGGAAATCCGATAGTGTCAAATTCATCAAATATTGATTCATAATATTACGCATCAGTGGTTTTGTAGCTATAATCCAGATGATTAATAAGTTACCGATGGCAGCCAATATGACCATTGGATAAAATAACAATGACCAAAGTAATGTTTCCAGAAAGGAAACCTCCAAACTTGATGTTGCCGTTGGTGATGTTGAAGCCGATATCGAATAAGTCGGAGTAGATGTAGTAATTATATTGATCGCAGTAGCAGCGGTTGTATCAGTTTGCGATTGTCGATCCAAATTCACTGGAAATTGACTATTTAAATAAAATTGCTCCATAACATTATTCAAATATTGAATAGTAGACGATGCGTTGACAATTGGTTTTTCATTAAAAATGGACATTGTCGTTTATGATGTTTTTTATTTCGACTAGAAAACTGCTAACGAGTAGAATAACAAAATGATCATAAAATAAAATTGAACAATTTACTCGTACCATAAACGAAATAGCTAAAAAAAAAATTCCTAATGATCTAAATTTGTCTCTTGTTTTGATGATGGTGATAAGTTTATTCAGTTAACGGCCATCGTTGATTATGATTGAATTCGGATAATAATAATGTGGTCACAGACGTCAAATGTTTCAAGTGACAAGAAATTTTCTATTTGTTTGATTCTGAGACACTTGTGACAAAGTAAGAATTGAATTTCTGACTTATAAGAACTCGAGACAATTGAAATGTAACATGGATATGCAGAAAAACACATCAATAAGGGCTGAGATGTTTGTATATATATATTAAATTTATGTCATGACTTATGATGATAACTTTGCACATTTAACATCTATGGCTTTCAAGTGTGAAGGTAGGTTTTTTTTTTGTTTGTCAGCTGGACAAATGAACATATGATTTGATAGAAATGATGATGATCATGATGGCCATTATAATTTGATTTGATTTTTTTTGACTATATCAATTATTAATTAATTGATGGTAAGTCGACTAACACGAGTTTAAACTAGATGTTACTATCGCTGAGTTGTTTGTTTATTGTTTAAACATAAAGTTTGCTTGAAAGCTGATTGACCAAACAATAATTTTTATGACGAATCAATACAAGGAAAATTATTCATGAATGTTGATTTTTCTTTGGCCTGATGGAATAAATTGGAAAATTAAAATAAAATGTGTATAAGTATATTAGAAATATATGGCAAGAATGGGCATTCTAGGATAAAAAAATGAAATGAAACCACTTGATACGGCACGCAGAGACACGTCATAATAAATTTATCCATACAGCCACCAACATGATTGATATGATGATTTTCATTCATTCATCTATTCTATCTAGCTAGTCAACATAACTGGAGATGAAAATCGATTTAAAACATCGCGGATCAATGATTTAAATGGATGTTTGCTGCATTCAGGCTCTTGATCCAGAATTAATCTGATAACAATAGCGACATTTTTGAATCATGATTGATGAACATTGTAACACAAAAGCGAACAAGCAAACTGGCCTTATGTATCTATAGCTGTTAACAAGTAATAAAATTATTACTGCATTTGTAATATATTCTATAGAACAAAGATCATAAACAATCATGAAATTATGTATTCAGCCTTGTTACATGGATTAAGGCGAATGTTACTTGTTGTCTATCAATCATTTTCAGCATCAAAATTTTCATCAGAGCCCAATCTTTTTCATTTGTTTCCTGTATACACTTGTGAAAAAAAATAATGCCTAAAAAAACAATCAAATTGAATGATTTTGGCTATGGGAATATTGTTGAATATGAATATGATTCTGTGGAATCGAATGTAAACATATAAAAATCGAATTGTGAGGAAAAGAAATACTCAAAGGTAGTATACCTGATATGAGACATGGGGAGAAAAACAACCAAAACAAACAGAAAATTCTATAAAAGGGAAATTTTTAGAAGGCGATATCGAAATTGTAATGTTTGTTTGGTTCATCAAATATTAACCATACATTAGTTGTTCATTGTCCGTTTTTTAAATTTTGTCTCCTTTTGCTATCGGGCTTTCCTTTTATTTGTAAAAATATTTCCGCGAAAATTCGTGAATGAATGAATGAAAATCACAAAATTCAATGTATCTCCTTTATAATCCGATTTGAAGAATTTAGTTGTGTACATTTATAACAAGAGCAGTCTATTGTCCTAACACAAGTGGAATCCAACATGGCCACCACCAGCGAACACGGGTATGCTGTGCTGCCTTAGAAAAGACCAAAGCGCGTCTTATTGACGTGTTTCATATCTCAAAATGTCACAAGTAACCCACCAAAATATTGTTACAGTAGATGACAAAGAGAATGTTCATTTTTCAAATTATTCACGCTCAAATCGACAATCATCGTTTTCACATTCATATACATTGGTCTTTGCTTTCGGATATCCCGGAGATTCATCTAATTTTTCATTTGCCAGATTTTAACCACCGTCATTGCACAATAAGAAAAAATGGAAAGTGAATTCCGTTACTTACTAGGCCCAATTCTGAATAGAGACTCATTCAATCTCTGTAATCGCAATTATAAAAGTCCAATAGTGTTCATTGTTGTCGATTAGATCAAATTTCGCTAGCGTAAAGACGTCATCAACACATCGTTTCTAGATTGAACATTTTGAAAAACAGGTTTAATAAAAATATACTTTTGATTAAAATGAAAAGTATATCCATGTTATTACTGTGGAAACCTTACAATGAATTCTTGAAGAATAAAATAAATTTCGTGGCTAATATGCAACAAATTATGATTCGTATGTATCTTGGTTAAACCTAGATACCACCCGGGGTTAGACAACAAAACATAATCTCAGTATTTCCTGGTGATTATTACCAGAGTTGCATTCACGCACGAATGACGATTTTCTGATGAATAAGATCGATACGTTTGATATAAACTAATTATCGAGCAAATATGATATATTTTATTAAAAAGATATATTTTCACTCCATAGGAATTTCGCTCAACCCAAATATTGAGACAACCGTTAGGAATCGGCTGCCAAATATGGATTTGTTTTGTCAATGTGGTTTGTTTTTTTTGCGATTGAATCTCAAATTGACAGTTATTAAGAATTGATCGTGTGAGGGAGAGCTATCATTGTCTTCCCACCGCTTTCCATAACAAATGGGCCAACATTTTACGATAGATTTGTTACTCATAAAATTTCACGTTGAAAAGTGAGCAAATTTAAACTGAATTCGTCTTCCATCTTTTTCATCTATCTATTTATTAATATGTGTGTATACACAGCATAGTATATAGCCGGTATTTGAAATTGGAAGGACCGACAATGTTGGCATTTTTTGGTGTTATTTTTCAATTTTTTATCGGGTTCGAGAAAGGAAACTACATCAAAATATAGTCCGAAGGTAACAAAAATCACATGAATAGAGTCTATGAGAATATTCATATTTAGAATGAAAGGAATCCGTTCGGGAAATTTCATTTTTTATGAACTGTTTATATTTTTGGAACACTATTAATAAATAGTAAATCTTGACTTTATTATCGAACCATTTTTTTTAAACAATGAAAATGTCTACGGTTTTTTTTATTATAGAAATAAACCCCTATACCTTTATAAATAGGGGTAAAAATTTATATACAAAAATAATAAATTAATTAGTTAATGTCTACGGTACTGTGGTTTCGAAACAAATTTTAATTTTTTGCCCGAATCAAAAAAAGATGATCTGATAGTCGATTTAATACAAACAAATATTGACATTCAGTTGTAATAGATTTGATTAAAAATAATCCGCTTAGGATGAGTAGATAGGAATTCAAAAATGCAATAAAAACAAGAGTTTAAAATAATTCAGGTATATTTTCGGATTTGCCATTAATAAAAACGAATATAACACACATATAAGACATATATAAATTTTCAATTTGGAAATCACAAGAAAAAAGATTAAAATAAATACCTGTTAAATGTATTTAAGAAGCGTCACAAATATAAATTATGGATGACCATTCCAATGTTATCACTGGTGTTGAAAGATGCTGCATTGGATTCAAGTTTAAAGTTTCGAGTAAAAAAATCTAAAAGTTGAAAAAAAGACAGAATTACATCTGAAAAAAATCCGATTTGCTCATAAGATTTATATATAATGTTTGTATGGTGTCATATTTGGTGATAGCGGACACAACACTAAAATATTTGAAAAAAATTGATTCTAACTTTGAAACGTGATTAGCAAGAAGAATAATCGGCCAATTTTTTATTTTTATCTTTTGTTTAATGAACCGAGAAATAGTAAGAAAAAATTCTTTTAAAAACTTGGTATTTATGGTGTTTATTAATCAAACGAACAATCAGTATGATGACAATTACAAAGAAAAAATCGAATTGGTAAAATTATCGGTTGAAAACCAGCAGCAGCTGTAGCATCAGCAACAATAACTTTTAATGAATGAGTATCAAATTGACGGATATCCATCGATCAGTGGATATTTTTCCAATTGTTTTCGATAATTTAACATTTGCCATATCAATCAAATAGGAAACGATGAAATAAAAGCTTTATATGAATGATGAAGATGGTCAACACTTGAACACTTGAAAAGCAATCGGCCATTTATAATTCATGATTATCAATGACCATCATAACCATCAATAGTAAAATATTGCTGAATTGTCCATGATTGAGCTCATCACTTTTTTAATATTGATATGAGAATGAAGAATCAATGTTTATGAAAATTTCCTCGTTTATGATGTTGATAATGAAGGGATAATGAGAAATTCTTTTTCTTGATTCATTCGTATAAATGAAAGTAGTAAATAGTAATCATTCAAAATGGCTTGACTAATTAAATTGAAAATGAAACGATGTAACTAGAAATGAAAATCAAAACAGAATGGCTGATTTTCTGGAGGCTATCTCAAGAAATGTGAGACGGACACAATGAATCATGAATCAACCAGAATTATTCAGGCTTGGCGCGCGCCGTTTTTTTTTCTTTCTCTCTGATTCATGATTAGCAACACATGCGCGCTTTAGGAGAACAAAGAAACATCATTCGTTTTGAAAAGACTCAAAAAAGAATAAAAAAATATTTTTCAAAAATTTTTTTATGTCATAAAAAACATTACCAGTTATCAAATAAATACAGACAGACAAACAACAACGAAAACTGGAAACTTTTCCAACTTAACCAGAATCGGAATGAAAACATTCAATCAATGATGATCAATCAAAGAGCCTATGAACAATAAATATTCCAAGTGTTTATGTGAAAATAATGGAAAAAAGCTCTAAATTTTCTATGCAAAAAATGAAAAATCGAAATGACTGGTTAAGAAGATATTTCTTTATTTTTGTTTTGCAATATTTTTTTTAAATAAAATTTTCGTAGAATTTCACAAAAATAAAAGAGCAAAAAAATGTCTAGTAATTATTTTTTCAATTCGGATTTTTTTTTGTTATATGTTTTCAGTTGAAAAAACTAATTTATTATGATGGAAATAAAATAAAGTAGAGGACTTGGGTACAATTTTTTGCGTCAAGGATTAAAACTTGAAACGAGAAACAACGTAGCAAATAGAAAAAAAGAATCATTTGTTCACATGAACACGTACGATAACCAAATGACAATCAAAGTTCAATGCGTCAATAATTGATTTTTTTCTATTTGGGTTTCGTTTTTTTTGGGCTCAAGAAAATTCCCAAAACTCAATTTAAAAGCCACTCATGATTGTTTTTTTTCCATACTTGGACAAACGTTGTGTAATAATGACAATTTTTTTTGTCCGGGCATTTCATATTTCACGAAAAATAGATTTCTTTCTCATAGTTTTTTACAATTACCAGATGAAAAGTTTGAATACAAACCAGAAAAAAAAGAATTGACGATTTGTAAAGAAAATAATGATAACAATCAATCGACTTTCTTGTTATAATTCCCTTTTATTCTTAAAAGCGTGTTTGTATTAGTAATTATGAAATCAGAATTTTAGTATGAAAAATGGTCAAAATATTTGATCAGAATAAGAATGATGACGATTATTGTCGTAATAATAACAATTTCGTTGAAATTCGCGATAATACGTGCGGAATGAATAAAAATAGATTGCAAATTTAAATAGCAAATGAATTAAATTCCGTTGGCTGCTAAAAATTGCGGAAACAATATACAGTAATGATTCAACCATGATACATTGATGTAATAATCGATAAAACAAAAATGCCATTGATGGACTATTAACAGTTACTTTGACTAAACGAATTCAATGAACTAGTATCAGAGTCAATATAATCAATAAAATTGAATCGAAATCAATAAAAAGGACTAATAATGTTGGTGTGTGTGTTTTATGAAGACTCACATATCAAGCAAAACAAACAAACAAATGTTTTTGAGATTAGAGTTTAGAGAGAAAAAGAGATGAATAGTTGAATTTGTAGATGAAAAAAGAAAGAAGGAAATTCTTTTACAAACAAAAGAATCGGTAAAAAAAAGTCCGGAAAAAATTCAATAAAAAATACAAACTAGAACTTTGCAAGCTATTGATAATAGTTGATAATAAATAAATAGTATTGATTTTGCCATGGAACAAATGGCAATTATCTGTTGGACCAGGAAAATTTGGTCTAATCTATTTATCTATTACTTTGAGTCCTTCTAAAAATCAAGCAGAATTTAAATATCCAATCAATGATATGATCATTTCAAATAGTAAATGGATCTGGGTTTGTAAACAATTCAACTTGGTTTTAGGAAACAAATTAATTTGAAATTAATGAATACAAGTTTTATTGACACATATATAGTCAATATCGACAATTAAATGGATTCAAATGAATAAAAATAGAAATTTATTGCCAGTAAACAGACAATCATTAAAGTGGAGCATTGGACCTATTGCAATTTAATAATATCCAATCGAATAGGAAAATCAATGATTCCAATCTGAACTTTTTCATAAAAAAAATCAGTATTCGAAATACCTGATTTGTTGAAAATGGATTATATTCCGGTAGTTATACAGACTATTCGACCTGATTTCAAACGAATCAACTTTTAAATCATCATCTGACGTTAATGTTTAATTGGTTGACAAATGTCAAGTTATTCTGTTGTATTGATGAAAATATTGATTTGGTTATAATTCATATGAAAGGAACTGAACCATAATATTCAAGATATTCCAAGGCTCCAGTTAGGAAAAGTTAATCCCTTTTAAATGATTGTTGATTCGTTTTTTTTCGACCAAAAATCTAAACCAAATTCAATTTTTATATAAAGAATATGAGAGAAAAACAATCGATGATGATAAGTTCTATTCAAAGTAACAATTGCAAGTTGCTTGATAAGGAAATAATTCCACAAAAAAATCAGTAAAATCACAAGCGAAAACTTTTTCCTTATAATATTATTATTTTCCACCAACACAAGTAGTTAAATAATTTTTGTTTCACAATCTTAAGAGATTTATTCGAATGTTTGTAGAGCTAAAAAAATTATTTACCTCAAAATACTTTATAGCCATCAATTTGTTTTCGACAACAAACAAAGGTCAATGGATATATATTCTATAATAATTATAAAAAATGTTATATATTCAGAGTCGGATAAAGGAAACTTAGCAAATCTAATCAGTAATGCTTGTTATGATTGATCCTATATATATTAAAATTAATCTGGTGTGTATTCGATAAATCGGTGATAAAATTTGCGGAATACATTTCAATTAGTAACTTGAAATGTTGCCAGATTGGTGGTTGTGTACGAAATGAAAATTCTAGAATGGTATAACCATAACATTGTTTTTATATTTGTGTGAAAAAGTTTACAGTTTACCATACTATTGTATCAAAGGATTATGGCCATCAATAACAGCCAATAGAAATAAAAATTCAGAAATCTCAATCGATTGCTACAACGACGACAACAACAACAAGTTGATCATAATCCTTGATTATAGATGATGGTGGTTACCACATAAAATTGAAAACAATAACAACAACAACAATTACTGGTTGTGGTGTATGTGTATCTTTATTATCAGCGCCGAGCCGTGGCTGTTGGGCGCCCTTGTGCAAAAAAATTTCGTCGCCCCTTGTCCAAAAAAAATTTTACGCATAACGTAAGAGGGTGTAAAATTTTTTAAGTGTGTACAAATTAAGGCGCAGGTAAAAAAATTGTCATTGTTATTTGAAAATAAAATTAATAAATTAAAAAGTGATTGATTGCGGTTTTAAATGTGGTTCATTAAGAACTTGAATTCATTATAATTTAATTCTACATTATTTTTTTTTTGAAAAAAATCAAAATTACAAGTTTCCAAAAAAGTTTCGCTATAAGTTTGTTAGTAAGTCTGAATATTCGTAACTCGGGTGTTCATAAGTAGAGAAAGAAAAATCCAACCTGAAACGAACAAAATAGAGAGAATGACAAATCAATTGCCAACTATATAGCTAAAGTTAAATGTCCATTCTGAATGGTACAAATATATTAATAAGTGTTGTAAAATTTAATTGAAATACAAATGTCAGGGAAATCATAACAATCACAAAAATGGATATCAAAATTAATCATTAAAGATCCGATCATCAAAGGATGTGAGAAACATCAGAAAACATCGATATGGAAATTTTAATAAATGTAAAAACATCCTATCATGAATACAACAAATGATACATTACTAAAATAGTAATGTGGCATTTGAACATCCGATTGTGAAAACAAAATAAATTATGAATTTCAAATTATAAAAGCTAATCTAAAAAGAATAATAAAGTACGATAATTTTACTTGTGAATGTTGTGTGTAACGTCGAATAATTTGATAAAAGAGCAAGATTATCAAGTTTGCGTGAAAATCTCAAAATAATTATCGTCAAAATAAATTATGAAGTTAAAATTATAATTCGTGAAAAAATAAAAAATTGCAGCGACAATAATATATAAATAAAATGGCATGATAATGATATTGAACAAGAAGCAAAAATCATCACACGATTGGATTTTCTAGAAACCATGAAATCGAAATTAAGGAAAAAAATTACCGAATGTCACAAAGATATTAAAAATAATACGTTTTCGAATACTGATTTAATTGTGAAAACACATAAATTGAATGAGGCCATCATTGAATAAAATGAAGAATTGACGAAAATCGAGAAAATGGCAAGTCCAAACTAACACAATCAATTCAGAATTCAAAATTCAAAATCGAGAAAACATCAAATCCAACCTAACACGACCAGTTCAGAATCGAGAAAATAACAAGTCCAAACTAACACAATCAATTCAGAATTCAAAATTCAAAATCGAGAAAACATCAAATCCAACCTAACACGACCAGTTCAGAATCGGGAAAATAACAAGTCCAAACTAACACAATCAATTCAGGATTCAAAATTTAAAATCGAGAAAACATCAAATCCAACCTAACACGATCAATTCAGAATTAAGAAAATGACAAATCCAACCTAACACAATCAATTCAGGATTCAAAATTCAAAATCGAGAAAACATCAAATCCAACCTAACACGATCAATTCAGAATTAAGAAAATGACAAATCCAACCTAACACAATCAATTCAGAATTCAAAATTTAAAATCGAGAAAACATCAAATCCAACCTAACACGATCAATTCAGAATTAAGAAAATGACAAATCCAACCTAACACAATCAATTCAGAATTCAAAATTTAAAATCGAGAAAACATCAAATCCAAACTAACACGATCATGGGGAAAATTTTCGAAGGTATTATTGCTCGTCGCTTACAATTTTTCCTTCTTTCTAATAAAAAATTATCTGGCAACCAATTCGGTTTCATCCCGCAGAAATCTACTGAACAAGCATTATATCGAATTAGCAATAAAATCAAAGCCATTTTTGAAAAGAAAAGTTTTGCTATTCTGGTTTCTTTGGATATTACGGGTGCGTTCGACTCGGCTCGTTTTGATCTCATTTTGGAGCAATTAAGACATTTTAACATTCCACCTAATTTGTATGCCATCTTATTCAATTACTTTTGTGACAGATGGGTGGAATTACCCCTTATTGGAACATCGGCCGTGAAACAATGCTCTGGTGGTTGCCCGCAGGGTGGGAAAATTTCCCCGTTATTGTGGAATATATTAATTGACAAATTGTTAAAATTGCCTTTGCCACACAATTGTCATCTACAAGCTTATGCGGATGATTGTCTGATTTTTTGTGAACATCCGAACGCTGATAATTGTACTTGGCTTGTTAATAATTGTTTAGAGATTATCTATGAATGGGGATTAGCCCATGGACTAACTTTTAACCCTTCCAAATCGGAAGCTATGATTATTACCAAAAAGAGAAAATTTAACATTCCATCGATATTTTTAAACGATCAGGCTATAGGACTTGTTCCTTATATCAAAATACTTGGCTTAGTCGTTGATTCGAAACTCTCTTGGAGCCATCATATCGATTATATTTCTTCCAAAGCTACTAAGATTTTCAATATTATTAAAAGAAGATTCGGTTCACTTTGGGGCTTGTCTTTTGATGTACTCCGCACCATATATTTACAGGCTATTGAACCGATGATCCTATATGCTTGTCCGGTTTGGCATAAACATGGTACAAATATGAAACGATTATTGAGAATACAAAGGTCATTCGCAATTGGCATGATCCGTGCCTACCGAACCGTCTCTTTGGAAGCCTCATTGATCATAGCAAACATTCCTCCTATTCATTTTAAATTGGATTACCTGGTAAAAATGTTTTCTTTAAAAAATAACTCGACCGCTATGGATTGTTCTTATGAATCTCCTATTGCTTATGATAATTTGATCCATCCAGGGAAAATCAATCTTTCGGTTACAAATGAAAATGATACTTGTTTTCAACATCAACATTATTATCATATATACACTGATGGATCCAAATTCGAAAATTATGTTGGTGCTGCGTTTGTTGTTTTTTCAGTCCATGAAAACCGTATACCATTTTTGAGAAAAATGTTTCGTCTGGATAATCGTTGTTCAATTTACCAAGCCGAACTTTTGGCTGTTGTTGAGGCTATAAATTGGGTTGTTGATAATAATGTTCCTGGCGTTAAAATTATGTCTGATTCTCAAGCTGTATTGTTGTCGATTCAAAAAATCTATTCTTCCAATAGGATGGTACAGCATATTTTTCAAAAAATCGTCAATTTTAATGGACATATTTGTTTCGAATGGGTTAAAGCGCATAATGGAAATTTTGGAAACGAATTAGCGGATTATTTAGCCAAAAGAGCTGTAGAATCGCCGATTTTGAATTACGATCTTTTGCCTTTATCCTTCTTTAAATATGAATTCAAAAAACAACTATATTGTGCCTGGAATGAGATTTGGACAACATGCTCTAATGGATCCACTACTAAAAAATTTTTTCCACTGGTAAGCATCAGATCAGGAATCAATCTGTCTCCCGATTTCATTCTTACCCAATTTCTTACAAACCATGGAAAATTCAACCAGTATTTAAACAGAATGCGAATCAAAGATCAATCGTCATGTTTCTGTGGTAATCCTTCACAAACATCTTTACATTTAATTTTGGAATGTGATCGTTTTGCAGCACAGAGATGTTTTTTCGCTTGTTACTGTTCTGATATGTCTAATTCTCTATCCAATATGTTGGATGAAAATATTAGAAAATATTTTTCAAATTTCCTTCTTTCTATTTATAATTGTTTATAATTTTTTGTTATATTTCTCATTTTTATTTTATTTTTTGTAAATCTTTATCAACTCCTATTTTAAGGTATAGGAGCGTTTTGCTTTTTTCTAAATAAATAAATAAATAATAAACTAACACGATCAGTTCAGGATTCAAAATTCAAAATCGAGAAAACATCAAATCCAACCTAACACGACCAGTTCAGAATCGAGAAAATAACAAGTCCAAACTAACACGACCAGTTCAGATGGTTAGTTATTGGAATTAGTTACAAGAATTGGTTGGTTTCTATACCGTTTTTTAGATTTATTAAAAATTATTTTCAATGATGAATTGTGTTTTTCAAGATTCAGAGTTAAATAATGTTTGTTACATTTAATTAATTCGATATGTATCGGATGTTCTGCCATTGAAGATGAAAATATTTATTTTCAGAATATGTTGTTGTAATTTTAAACACAATAACATTAACAAATGATCATCAAAAAAAATTTTATCTGATTCGAAAAAATGTTGTAAAAGTCGATAATAATTCAAATTCAGTTTGGACTTGGTCTGAACTGGACAGTTCTGAACTGGTCGTGTTAGTTTGGACTTGCCATTTTCTCGATTCTGAAATAAATGCTTTTTTTCATAAGGTGGGCCGCGAAAAATTTTAAAATCTCATACCGGGCCGCGTTCAAAAAAGTTTGGGAAACGCTGATTTATCTTACAAATATTCATCGGATCAAACATTCCTTATATGTTGATCATTTATCAGATTTAAAATTTCAATTAATGTTGCCTGTTAACCAATTTCATCACCCATTTTTATCTTTCAACTTCTTAAATAACGTTCGTAACCAAAATCATGATTTTCATATTTATACTGACTATTCAAAATTGGCTGGTCGTGTTGGATTTTCCAGGAGGAATTATTTGCAATTTTCCAAGCATCATTATGGTTGAAAAGAACAAACCGATCTGCAAGAATTTTTATTGATTCGTACTCTTCTGTTTTTGCAATTCTGAAAATAAATCATTTTCAACGAAGATATTGATGAGCAACCAGCAAAAAAAAACAAAATACGACTTACGTTGAGGCTTATATTAATTGATTTTATCGATAATTCACAATTTTCACAAATTTATAAATAAGAAAACAAATGAATTTTATTCGAAATCACCATAAAAACAAATCGGATAGAATAAATAGCACAACAGACACAGAACATATGTTCCGCTCTCTCAATGACCATATTCATACCTTGAAAGTAAATATGAATAATTTTAGAATTTCAATCACTTGTGTTATGAATCGTAATAATTCGACCAATTTTCGTATTTGAAATGAACCTTTGAAGTTTTATATGATTTTTTAAAACAAAAAATTTTGACATGGCAAATTGAATTTTTTCAATAAAATTGTTGAGATTAAGATCTATTCCACCTATTAAATCGATTGAAAAATTTCCATGGGTTAATCGAAAAAATCTTCTATCAAGAAAATATGTCTTTACAATTTTATAATTTCTTCTTTATTTTCAATTGTTGATTCAATTTTATATTTTTTTCTGCTTTTTTAAATTGTCGATGCAATTTTATATTTTTTCACAAATTATAATTTTCACTTCATAATTTATTTTGAGGATTATTATTTTTTATTATTTTTAGCGCCAATTAGTCGGCCAGGTTCTTGATGACTTCAACCGCATTCACATTCGGACGATAAGTTGACATTGATTCTGTAAAGATAGCTCTTAAAAAATCCATGGCCTGTAATGAATTGTACATTATGAAAATTAGGCTTAAAAAATTTCGCGATTTGCGATGTAGAAAAAAATTTTTTATAATTATCATTTGCATTGTTGAAATAGTTGGTTATTGACTTTTTTTACGAACCCAACACGACCAGTTCAGAATCGAGAAAATGGCAAATCCAACCTAACACGACCAGTTCAGAATTGGTTGGCGATGCTTTATTGATTACTTTCCCAATGATTGTAGTGGTTTCGATTTGCTCATCGCTGTCCACAGTGATATTATGGTCCCACACCACGGCATTTTCTTTTGTCACTTCATCTTGTTCGTTTAGGACTGCTAAACAATAATTCGTCATTTGTCATTTTCTCAATTCTGAACTGGTCGTGTTAGGTTGGATTTGATGTTTTCTCGATTTTAAATTTTGAATTCTGAATTGATTGTGTTAGTTTGGACTTGTTATTTTCTCGATTCTGAACTGGTCGTGTTAGTTTGGATTTGATGTTTTCTCGATTCTGAACTGGTCGTGTTAGGTTGGACTTGTTATTTTCTCAATTCTGAACTGGTCGTGTTAGGTTGGATTTGATGTTTTCTCGATTTTAAATTTTGAATTCTGAATTGATTGTGTTAGTTTGGACTTGTTATTTTCTTGATTCTGAACTGGTCGTGTTAGTTTGAACTTGCCATTTTATCGATTGTGAATTTTGAATCCTGAACTGGTCGTGTTAGTTTGGACTTGTCATTTTCTCGATTCCGAACTGTTAGGTTGGACTTGCTATTTCTAGAATCTAGCATAATGCTTTTTGTAAAACATTGATTAATAAAAAATTGTTTAAAGAAGAATTGTTTTTATTTGTTTATTTAATTATACTTATGTATAGTTTCACCACTATAACATTTCGAATCAAATTTTATTGTGGCACGTTGTAATTTTTTAAACGTTATTTAAAAAAGAATTTTTATGACTTTGTGGCACGGACATCAAAAAAGGTTCGCCATCCCTGATATAGTCGGTTAATTTTTCAATGTTGCTGAGAATACAAACAATATTACATGAAACAGTACGAAAAGCACGAATTGATTCTAGCAGAATTTGATGTTGGATAGAATTAAGCTTGTTTTTTGATTCGGTAATTAATTTATCAAATATCTATAAGTGATAGCATGGCGAACTTTCACCTTAATTGATATGATAAACAAACTTCGGTTTGCTTGTATCCGGTTATCCGTGGTGATTGAATGAAAATCTGAATAGAAACTTTGGTCACCAAAAGGGCGCCCATCGCGATTATCCATGACAATTTAATGAAAATCTGAATGGAAACTTTGGTCATCGAAAGGGCGCCCATCGCGATTATCCATGGTGATTGAATGAAAATCTGAATAGAAACTTTGGTCATCAAAAGGGCGCCCATTCCGATTAGTGACAGTTGTTTTAAAATCCAAAAAAAAGAAATTTACGGAAAACAAAAAGCAGTAAAAGAAAATTCCCAAGAAAAATGCAAAACAGCTGCTCGTTTTCGCTCCTGATGCTGTAAAATTAGTTTTAGAGCCAATATTTTTCAATTTTGGCGCCTCAGACTCTTTATTTTCTCATATCACTGCCTCGATGGCTCATTGGACAATTTTTATTTTTTACGAAAAAAGCGCCCCTAATGTCCAGGCGCCCTTGTGCGCCGCACATCCTGCACAATGGCACGGCTCGGCCCTGTTTATTATCTTGGTAACACACTTTTAAAAGATAAAAAACGTTTTTGAATAACTGCGTCATCTACTGGACGCAAAAGCAACCGTAGTTAGCATAAAGTTCTCTGATGGGCGGCTATAGCCTCCCATCTGTCGGCAGCTTAGAGCTTTAAGAAATTTTTAGATAACAGCGCCACGGCAATGCGTGGCCGGGCGAATCTAGTTTTTTTTTATATAAAAATACGGTCTCATTATTGGCGAAAAATGTGAAAATTGTTTTTAAACGAAAAAAAATGACAATTGAGATTGAGATTTACATCATCCCTTATCACTTATTATCATTGTCTGGGAAATGTTGTACACAAAAAAAAACTTCATTCGAGGACAATTGAAAATTGTATCACCTGCTTGCCTGAGGCATACTAAATGGTTTAATGTACTGCAACAAACAATTTTAATGACTTGAATGAAAATGTACCAGGTTTATTTTACTTGAAAATCATGAATGATAATACGAGACAAGATTTAAGAAACACCCTCTCTTATTAGATGGTTGTTGGTGGCACGCGACCGGAATACGATTTGTTGATGTTAATCGTTGTTCGAAATAAACGAATCGTCTTTAACGAACAGAGGTCAAATCGGGCGTTTGTTGTGATGTTGATGATTTAAGAACTGAATCGCCAGCTGAATTTAACTATTGAAGCAATCAATCTATTCTCTCCCCTCTTTTAAGACGATCAACAATGTTGCATGACAACAGCTGCTGCCCTCACACACACACACACACTTCATAATTGTATCATTTTAGCCTCAATTGACCTTATCATTGAACAAATTCATTGATACGTTTTTGGGTTCCATCTTTTCAGACTATGACCATTTTTATTTAGCCAATTTGAACACAATGTCAAATGAGATAATTAGGTAAAGATGTAAAAAAGTCAACTTGGAAAAAAATTGACATGAGGCACGATTATTTTTTATTTTTTCGTGTTTATAATCAAAACTAATTACATTTGGCACATCATCATCATCATCAAAACCAAAATGACAATGGGCCTCACAAAAACAAAAGGGGCCTCAAACACTTTGTATCGATAAACAATTAAACACTCGCGAGATGATCAAACAAGCTCGCTCTGATTTTTTGATTATTTTTTTCCTATTTTTATTTGTTTCCATTGAGCCAAGATAAGCGACATTATAACATGCCACGCCACGCCAGGTGTATCAAAATCTCTACCCTAAGTAAAAAAGGATGAGATTTGAAAATTTGGTTGTATACTCTTGGTATTCATTTTCTGACACACGTTTTCAAATGTTAATGTTTGTATGTTTGTCTGTCTATGTATTATCCATGTTGTGCTGTTTATTGACTGAATGATCAAACTCAAAATGAAACGACAACGTCGACGCCTCGCCTCCTTCGTTCGATTCACGAATATATCCAGTCATATCAGAGCAAGCGTGTATTATTTCAAATATACATATAAACTAAGTCGATCCATTTGAATCTGATCAAATTGCCATTTTTGTTCGTCCAATAACTTCGATCAAATTGTTATTAGAAAAATTGATGAACAAAAAAAAATTCTTTACAGTTTTATTGATGGATACATTCAACAATTCTTCGAACCTTTTTGGTATGTCAACACCGCCAGCATCAACATCCACTCCCATTCCCAATGATCATTCGTGTTTGTTCCGAGTTAAGGATCAAACATCGAAAGAAATTATCATCTCGAATAAGAATGAAATTCACAACGCACCATTCGTTTATTCAGAATCATTTGATAACAACTATGGCTTGAAACAAGGGCCAGATCATGAGCTTGAATGGAATATTCAGTCCATGTACGCTGTATCAAATCATAAATTATCAAATAATTCATCAATTAAAAGACAGAGATTTCGTAGATCTCCTGGATCTTCGAAACCATCAAAATCTGCGTACAAACACATTCCACATCGTGAAAAACCCGTGCATTTAGTGGCAAAACGAAATGCCCGCGAACGGCGACGTGTACAAGCAGTGAATATGGCTTTCATGCGTCTACGTCGTTGTGTTCCAGTGGAAAATCGAACAAAACGTTTATCAAAAGTTAAAACTTTACATAGAGCCATTGAATACATTGCTGCATTGGACAGAATATTGAAACAAGATCAAACTTCGAGCACAATAACGGCTAACGAAAACACTTCGATTATCAATGAAAATGATCCATGTACGTTTCGTTCTACATTACGGGTCCACCATTCTCATCATCAACTGAACAACCAAATTGAACCAATGATGATGATCACTAATGAAAATCATAGCTTTATGCTCAATCCATCCAACACTATTCATGTAGAAGAACGACAAGTAATCAACGACAGTGATCAACAATATTTTCATTCAATTCCATCCACTTCCTCTTCATCTATATCATCCGATGGATTAAATTTTTCCATTGGTTATCATCGGCAACATTCACAATTAAAGGAATTGGAATCACATGAAAATGATGACCATCAATTGACGATGGCAACTATCCGATATAACAATGACGTTTCGTCGTCTCATTCTTCATCGATGATGGTGATGTTAACATCTATGATTGATAATCAAAATCATCACTCTCATCATAATTATTTACGCAATCAAAATATTGACAAAGAAATTTGCATCCAATAACATAGACTTTCTTTTTTTTTCAATCAATGTAGAGTTTAATTTTATTTTTTTTTTTTTTTTTTTTTGAGAAGTGATAATATAGATAATGATAATGAGCACGAAAAATCAAATCGACTATTACTTCCACCAGTGAAAGTTATCAACGTATTAAATTATTAAATAAAATGTTTTTTTTTCTGTTCACAAAAATTCTTTTATTTTGAATAAATATTTTGGTTCTATACATCGCGTGATGATTAAACTAAAAAGGATCAACTAAAAGGAAATGAAAACAAAATCTCTCAAAGATTTATGATTCATATGATCATTGTTACAATAAAAATGTTCAAGAATGATGATTTAAAGAAATAATGCATAAATAAATCCTACTGTGGAGAGGTGTGTGATCGATGGGTGTGTTTGCAATTTTTTTTAAACATTCTTATCTCAATCAATTATTAAAGATTCAACCAAAAAAAAAAAAAATGAAATAAACAATAAGCATGATGATGATGATGATGATATGCGCATTGATCACAAAAAAATGAATATAATTTTTACGAAAATATAAGATTTTCATTATCTGATCAATTATTGATAAGATTTGTCGTGTGGCAGTGATTTAATCATCATCATCATTGAATGAATAAATCTTCACCAAAATCATGATTCTAAAAAAGATCATTCCATTAGCCATCTTCAATTTGTTCTCCCACTTTCTTTTTTCTAATTCGATCTCTCTTTTTTTTTTTGATTGGAAAAAAATGTCCTCCCTTTTGCTCATTTATTCGCAATGATGATGATGATGATGATGATGATGATGAATAGTGTTCTATTGATCAAATATTCCGAAACTAATCAGAAAATAAATCCAACTAATCTTTCATTCACTTTTTTCCTTTACTTTTGGTTTATTTTCCAATATATAAAAATTAAACATTAGTATTTGTATCAAAGTTTATTTACTATTCAAACTATATTCGTTTGATTGGGCTAATAAAATTTCAAAAAATAAAATATAAAACCGAACCACAGATGTCGTTAGTGAATTAGTAAGAGAGAGATTGAAATTTTGTCACCACGAATATATAATCATCATCATCGATCACGTGAGAATAATGATCAATCGCAGTCTGAGACTGAATCATTATTTGTATATTGTAAGAGAAAAACGTTTAGATCCGCCTATCTAAACTCAAATCAAATCTGACCATTCGATTCGATTTTAGCCGCCAGTCTCTGTGTGTTGTTTTTTTTTATATATTCAAATGACAGTTTAAACTGGAATGAATCACCTGTCGATGTATGAATGCGCATGTTCGACATTTCTTTTTTCTGTTCTATTCTGCGAAACCGAAATTCGTTGTTTTGAGTTTTCTAAAGAATGCTGATATGGGAGTTGATGATTCCTTCAATTTTTCTTCAACTGAGATTTTTTTTCGCTGTGTTCCATCAAGATTTTGTTATATTCAAGTGATTTTATTATAAAAAAAACTATTGTGACGGCGCTTCAAGCGTTCTTCATTTGACGTTCTGATGACATATGGCTGTATGTCACAAGAGAAAAAAAGTATTAAAGACAATGTTAAGAAAATAAATAAATGTGTGCTTTTTTTCCCAAAGTGATCGTGTTTTCGTTTGTTTTTGTCTTTGTCTGTGTTCCTTTTTTTCGTGTGCGAGGAAAACTGTTATTCTATGAACTTTGATTAACCACTTTTGATATGTAATCAATTCCTCTTAAAAATGTTCGAATGCAAGATTAAAAATGATCTAAACACATCGCTTAAAATGAATTTTTAAAAAAATTAGATTGGCCTCTTATCACTAATGATCCGATTGGCGTCATCATCCGAATCATCATTATTATTATTAACAACATAGGCTTTTATATGAAACAAGCATCCGGCTTTTTTTTATCCATCAGCAATTTGTTTTTGTCAGCTCACTCATGACATTGTATCGCATCAATTTCCGTTTGTTATTTTGTTCATATGGATGGATTTCCTCTTTCGTGGATTTGTTCACAAACACCAACACGCATTTAATGTCCAATTGTCTTTTTTTTCTAGTTTGTTTTGAATCTTCATCATTCGCTGCTATTTGGTATGATTGAAAGCAAATAAACAAATTGTCATTTAATGGTATTGATTTGATTAAGCAAATGATATGTTTATCTTTTGAAAAAGCCGAGGTTTGTTTCTAATGTGATTAACTTGATTGTCAGAATTGATAAGAATACTTGTATTGGTTTTTTTATATGCAAATCAATCTCAAAGTCAGCCACATCCATTTTTGGTCAATGAAACTGGTTAGATTATTATCGATAAACAAACGGTATGTTGTTCTTTTTATATTTATTTAATGCTATAACACCCACACATATACATCCACAAATCGATACTTGTCAATAATTTTGCTTGGTCCAATAAATCATGTGTCATGTGAAATATAATTCGATATGACTTAGCTTTCAACTATTATCAATAGATGATACCCCAATCGTAACATATAATTCGAACAAAAATATGTTTATGTTTTTTTTATCAATCAAAATAGCCGGCTACAACTAGATTTGTGTATGAATATCATCATCATCATTGGCTTATTGTTTGTATTTTATAAAAATCTTTTTCAATCTGGAAATGCCAATGAATTTCCGATGATGGCTGCTATAGTTGTGGGCTTAGTTGTAGCTGAATCCACACAAACACAGAAAAATACAAGAATGATGATTCATGTGTGTTTGTGAATAATAATATACTAATACGATACGAATTTCATTAAATCAAAAGTAAGTAGAGTGACAATTTGTTACAAATACAATATTATATATAGAAATTACAATCGTGAATTATTTTCATTATAAATTCTATATGGAACAATTCTTGAGTAGAATGTGTATGTTTGAGCTTTTCAATTTTTTCCCAATAAATCATTACCATCATTGTGTAATACAAGATGTGCGAAAAGATTTCTTTATTGATAATGATAGCTTTTGCTGTCGTCATTATTCAGTCATAAGATTCGTTTAGACTTTGATGATAATTATTTCATCGCTCACAGGTTTAGCAATTATTTCGAATGAGTCAATTGATTGTGTGTTTGCTTGTTTGTGAAAACTAAAAGGATTGATTTATTACAAACGATAAGATTACGAATCAATTTTTTTTGATGACAATTAATTGAATTGATGACCTCAGGAATCTCTTAGCACCTATATCTGAGCATTATGACATATATAAAGATGGTAGCTTGTGAAAAAATTATTGAATGAACTAATGGTCATCCATTGTCGATCGAGTCGATTTCAATAGCGTTTAGAAATTCACAAAGGCAGAATCTGTTTTTCTTCCCTTCTTAATGGTGGTGATGAAAAAGTTCAAACAGCAAGCTTGAATGATGTTGTTTTTTTTGGACATCATCCCTCTAAGCATGAAGAAGAACCAGTTAGTCTAGGTTTATCCTCGAATAAAACATGATGAAAATGTGCACAAGCATCATTATGATCGTGTGCCTGGTGCGTGGCCATCAACGAATTGACGGGGGTGTTGAATATCTCATTGCTTACATTGAATTTACCATTTAGCTTGGCCTTTCACAATTAAACATGGAAGTCTTTTGGTCAAGCTCAATGTCTTGATGATGATGGAGTGGTCGTTCAGGTTCTCGTTCATCATCATCATTAACTCCATGTTGATGATGAATGCTCCAAGACTTATATATCATTTGATAATGATGGTCATAATCAATGATCACTCACATGTGGTTCGCATGCATAATGCAATAATCATACTCATTGACTGAATGAAAGGGGGGATTATATCATGATGTTCGATAAAGCTTCCATCATCATGATTATAGATGGCTTTGGATTTTTTTACAATTTTTTGTTTAATTTCCCTCTCTCTCTTTCTCTGTTCAATATTATGGCTATAATCAAATCAAGTTGATTGTTAATCATTATTATTTTAGGGAAAATTTTAAAGAACCACTAAACCAAGAAAATTGCATTTTAATCAATAAACATTTTTCAGTCCAAAACTTAAACGTCTTGTTACCTACCCATCATGCATTTACCACGATTGCATACAAAAGCGAAAGCCAACTTAGTGTTAGTTCTTCATTGAGTTTGAATATAATTTACTTTCCATATAATTTCCCTTAGATTCGTGGGTTTCATTTTAGTTGGTAGATTTAAGGTGAATCACATTGCATACTAGATTTTTGTTGTTGCAGCCAATTTGATGAATGTAATGAAATCTTTCGTGATTAGTGTCACTTTAGTGCAACAACAATCATATAGCAATCCTGATCATTAAATGAATCATATACATTAACTATTGTTTATTGTTTTGTGCGTGTGTGGTTTGATATTTTTTTTGTTTACATCATTTGATCGATATTGAAAAATCAATTTTATTATGCAAAAATTATTATTTGCAAAAAATGAGCGTTTGGACATTTGCAAAAATTTTATTCTCAGAATTTGTCCATATGAAATGATTCGTTTGTTTTTCCCAGATGTAATTTTTTTTCTTTTATTCTTACTGAAATATTCATTTTGCAGGATCAGTACGAGTCACTGTTTTTGTGTCATTATCAAATGGGCAGCAAAAAATTAATGTTTTGACAACAAAATTTATTACTATTTACTGGGAATTTTTTTTACAGAATTAATAGCGTCGGTCAAATTTATACGAATATTGTATATCGAATGGTTGTATATATTTTTACGTAAAAATGTTTGTTTTACATATGGCGTCGCATTATCGTATTTAGCTATTGTCAACTTCCAAAGAAACGGGATTTAAATTTCCAACAAATTTCCGGGGGTGGGAGGTTTTTTTGTTTCTTTAATCACATGTCAATGAGGTACACATGCACGAATGTATGTAATCTATTACAATATGGCATGCCAGTTTTATCGAGCATATGATCCGACTCATATAATGTTTTTAATGAGATCCCACTGTAATGTAATTATAGATTTTGACTGAGATATTCGATGTTACATTTCTACCGCTACACTAATAAATGTAATGCTACTTTTTTGCTCTTGGCTACTGCCGATTTTTTTCCGTAGAAATCATTGACAGTTATCAGTTTTTTTGTTTTGTTTTTCTCGGAACCTTCAGTTGCTATATTTGCTAGGATTGATACCGTACAATTGGCCAACATGACATTAACAATCTTCTGCTTTAAAAATTGATATTATCATTTTAAGATTAGAATTCAATATATTTCCGATCAATATTTGTTTTATTTGACTTTCAATTTTTTTCTTGTATTTACGTATGCTTTGCACGTTTGTCGAATGTCCTTTCACATTGGTCAGTCATAAAAACAAATCAAAAGAATTAGAAAAAAAAGATATGAATGAATCATTGTTCACATTCATACATATAGTTCGATCGATCAAACAAACAAGTCTTGATAATAAATACACTATACAAACTTTATCGCCCCCGCACTTTTTTTGTTGGTTGGTATGTTTGGTTGGCCGGCTATGAAATGTGTTGTTCAACGAAAATGGGGTCATCTTTTTTTTGAAAAAAATACTTAATAAAAAGCGAGAGCTACAAGCGTTGGATTTTTTTTCTGAATGAAACTTGTTTCTGCTGGCTAAAACTTTATTGTTTAAAAAAAAAAAAAATTGGCAACTAATCAAGAGCTTTCAATACTTTCATCACATCAAGTTCAGAGATCAGACTCAAAATATAGAAAGGTGGATATAATTGGTGAGATTACACACACACACACCTTCTTCATCTTTTACTGTCCATTATCTAAATTTAGCTTTCATATATACTTTGGTGTCGATAATGTAGGTGGTTATTTCCTTTCAATGTGATTTTCTGTCTTTTTTTCACTCTTCTTTTACTATTATATCGACCTCGATTCAAAAATGATGCCTCTGCATTTTTTATATTCTCATAAATTGTGTAAAATAAGAGAGAGAGAGGTGCTTTTGACGAATGCTGTATTTATATGCAATGTAGTGACCAATTCCATTTTCGTTCATAACAAAGTTTTTTTCTGTGATTTGTTTCTCTCTTTCTTGTCATCTTATCATCAATTGATTCTTTTATATTTGGGCAACGAAACAAATAGAAAAGAAAATTGTCGGCAAGCTTTTCTTGTTACATTCTGTCAATTAATTTTGATTTAGCTTAAAATCTTGGGTTTTGGTTCTATAAGACATTCTAAAAGAAATGAACATTTTATTACTGATGTTAATCAATCAATTTTCTATACACATATATTATATATTATTATTAGATTATTAGACTTATTTGTAAATTAATTGACCGCAGTAGTCTTTGAGATTTTTTATTTAAGGATTATCAATTACCATTACCAATATACGATGAAAAACGCCCAGAATTGCACAGACCACATTTTTAATAGGATAATTTTTTTTTATAGTAACTCATGACACTTTTGCAATTACGGTATTCAAGTATGATGCTCGTTTTTTTGAATGGTGTACATTGATTACGACATGATACTCATGAATGAATTGTATGAATGGACGAAGACAAAGACTTCCAGAATAAATGCATAGAGGCGCAGTCTCGTTCATAACGTGGTGTGAGAGAGAAAGAGAGCAAAAAATTCATCTTCCGATTGTTAAAAGAAATATTTGAATTCATACAACGATGGAGCCCGGCGTTTGGTTTTTCTGCCAGTATTTTCAGCCATCTCTTAGCTATGACGACGTCGGCAAGTAGACGAACGTCATCTCACTTTGTAGGTAAAGAGATAAACAGAAAAAAAACAAACGTAACTTGATTTGTTTCCAAGTTTTGCCCAATCACATGCACACAAAACTTAAAACTACAATACAGTGACACCTTGGTTTACGAGGATTTATCGGAAATCATTAATCAACAAATAGCTATCTTTTATTAACAATGGTCATCCTGGAGACTCATATTTCCATGGTTTTGATTAATGATGACTATTCTTAGATCTAATTGTCATAGTTAATTAAAAAATTGCCCCACCGGAAATGCCCTTAGCTTTACTCATAAATAATTAAACATTCGATTCGATTAAAGGTTAAAGTTCAAATATCAAGAAAGAAAAGAGAGAGAGAGCTATGTTGAGTAATCGAACTCGTTTATGCATATGATGTCACGAATCTTAAGGTTATAATCTTGACTTCTGGCTGCCATTATAATCCATTATAATTAAAAATAACTACATTATCAAATGAACCGAATCTGAATATGGATGTAATGATGTCAATAAATTAGATCATTTATGATCAATAAGATGCCAAAATCATTCATTCGATTCAGCTTTAATCAGAATCTATTGGATATATAGTGTATATTTATAGCGGAACAAATCCTAATTTTATACTGGTAAACCAAATAGACTTCATTTTTCTATTGTGAAGAATCATTAAGAAAAATCTGGTTTGATTTCTTTATTTAAAGAACACAAAAAACAGACGCGCATAGTATAGAATTATGAATTCGCCCAGTCTCTCGGGTATTGTGTTAGCTCACAATATAGCTATGGATAGATGAAAACTCATTCATTCATTTGTTCAATTTTTTACTATACGCTTTCATTCATAAATTTTTTCCTATTGCTTCATTCATAAACTTCTTCTATATGCATACACGCAATGAAATTTTGTTCTTCATCAGTGGTTTTCATTATTTTCACTATCGTGGACCAAATTACGATGAACCATTTTTTAACGATCATGCGGTTGGAAACTACTGTTCTTTACTATTGTGAAAGCTACGACGTCTCTCTTCTTGTCCCGATCGTCGTAGTTTAAGGAAAATTGTGTCGGTCTTTCTATCAATGTCTCCCACACAATAATACACAAACAAATGAATAGTTTTTATATCAACATCTATCTCCATGACAACAACCGCAATGCAATCCAATGGTTTTTTTAAAAACTTTTATTTCATTTGAATCATTCATTCATTCATTTATATTAGTTTATATTGCTTCAGCTTGATGAATTTGAGACCTCATTGTTTCTTTCATTCGTCGTTGAGTGGAGTTTCTCTAGTTTCTGGTCAAATGCAATTAGAATCGATAATTCAAGCCCCATTCCACACGATTGGTTAAAATATATATAAATTTTATGAATGAAATTGTGAAACAAATTAAACGCATGCGTGTTAATCCCACGTAGTATAATAGTAGCAGTACACAGCAATGGGCGATATACTTTAGCTCATATATGTCATGTCAATAGTACCCGCCCACCTCTTCCGGCTAGCGGTCTAGAATTATTCGAAACATACCACACACAAGATGCTTGATATGTCTATTGTGTGATCTTGTTTTTTTTTCTTTTATATTTCTTGTCATTGTGATCAGGCCATACTTGATGTGACTATAGTGATGATTGCTGGTGTTGACTGCATTCTTTTGCCTAATGTTGTTAATATCCGGATGCGCACCGGATGTTTATTGCAGTCATTCATCCATTTTTCAGTGAGATATATCTGAACAGGACGACTAGAGAATAATATGAGTGAAAGTTTATTATTGTCATCATGACTGGTTCAACATGATTAGTGTTTGTTTATTTTTGTCATTCAACCATTGAATCGACAGCTTATATAAACCAATATAATATATTATTCTGGGAGCAAAAGCTTCTGTTGTTCTTGCGATTGTTTCCACTTTATCATAATCATCAGCAATTATTTTGACATCTCAGTAAATTGTAAATTGTGATGGAAAACGAGAAAATACTGTAGCAACCACTAGCATCGACCGTTGCCGGTGTTTGTTCCGATCTCATTTCCGCGGATTCAGTCATACTGTATTACATACTGCCATCTGTCTCGTTATACGTGTATTGATTCATAAAAATTTATTGATTTTCTTCTCAATGAATCCATGGATGTATGTAGTAGCGGCATAATTGAAAAACTTAAAACAACGATTTTATCCAATATAAGAATGCCGTTAGCATTTAGGGTCCATGTAATCGTTGTTCAATGCTACTAGCATGATCAACAACAGTACCTGGGCTGTGTCTGTTTGTTGTTGGTTGTGTTGGCTATGTTTGCTCATTCTATGTTTAGCTTTTGTATGTGAAGCTACCTTATATTGTGTTGAACGTTTGAATGTGGTTGCACAGTTCATCAAACACGATTCTTATCTGTTATATCGACATGCCCAAAATCATTCCAAGCGAATTCAAGTTGTAGTGTGTTTTTATGTATCATATATTTGTTTTTTTTGTTTATATGTTTTTAAATCTGTCATTATGGCCATCAATATTTGCTGATTTGTTTGGCTGAGTTAGCCAGTTTTTTTCTTACTGTATTACACACCTAATTATATCGATCGATCATCGAATCTATTGTTTTGTTATGATTCACCAAAATCAGATTATTATGGCAAGCTAAGATTTTGTCTCATCTGTCTGTATTTCGCATTGTTTAACATCGTGATTATTATATTGTTTAAAAAGCCCCTATTGCATTCCATAAGCATCTATACGTGTGATTGTGTTGAAAGAATTTTTACAATCATGTTGTTCTGTCTAGGTGCATCGGTTCCCAAAGAAGATGAATATCATTTTCTAAGCGAAGAAGACGATGAAGTTGATGATGAAGTGGTTGTTGTCGATAGTATTGGCCACCGCTTGATCGGTCATCATCATCATCATCATCACTCGAAAGCCTGTGACATAGATTTGGAATGTGATGCGGCCAATGCTGGACAATTGATCGATTTAGCTGCCGTAGCCGCTGCCGCTGCAGCCGCTGTTTCTGATAGCAAAAGTCAAGAAGCAAATGATAATTGTATAAACGCAGGTCTACTAGCAGCAGCCGTTCAACAGCAGCACCAACAATGTTCTTGTTGTAAATCGTCGTCATCGGTCAATTGTTCTAGTCTTCGACATGTTCATCAACTAAATTATCGGCGAAAATTCCATAAATTGTCATGTTCGCCCCATCATTCAACAACGTCAAAATTCGTCGACACTAATTCCTCGTTACCATCCTCATCGTCATCAACATCATCTTTGGCCAATCGTCAATCTGGAGGTAATACTTCGGCCACTACAATTACTAGCACATCAGCGCCCTCATTACCTACCGGTAATACAAGTAGTGGTGGCAATAGTAGTAGTGCTGCTTCTGCATTTCTTTCCAAATTAGGTCCAATTCAGTTGGGCCGTAAACTTAGTCAGTTACGGAATTCGGCGTTGAATAACTCTTCGGCATCGCATTCGTCCGCCGTCACCAAGGGTACAGAGAATCTTCAACGTGAAGCACTACGCAAATCAAACGAACTGGGACAATATAATCTGGATAATTCACAACGTTATATACGACTACCGCCATCGCCACATTCGAAAAAATTCTCCACAAGCATTAACGTCAGCCAGCGATCTACCAGTCCGATTGGAGAGAAATGTTCCCATAAATTGAAATGTAATAATAACAGCAACATTAATAAAAGTGGTTGCTTACCAGCAAAACAATCACCAGCATCAAACATTATTGATTCATTATTTATGTGCGATGTTCTAGCATCACCGATACAATCGATACCAACACAGTTCAATAATCATCATTCAAACTCACCATCATTAGCATCACACACTGCATCCACACAACTAATTTCGAATCGATCTTGTATTTCGTCTCCATCATCATCATCATTATCATCATCAACGATTTCATTGACGCCGGCACCAACACCTCCGCCCCCTTTGCCTCCACATAATCATCTGCTATCAAATTCTTCAGTTTCGACGTTAGTTCCACGTAGTGCCAACAACAATCCACCACCTCGTCCAAAAGCCGATAAGCCAAACAAACATCAGCATCAACCGTTGTCGAACATGTCTTCGACTTCAGCCACCACCAATATGAACCGGTCACTTTTAACTAATAACGTTGCCGTATTATCGTCTACAACAAGTTTGGTATCGTCGATACCATCGAATGTATCCGGTAATAATGTACATCATAGTCATGATACTACAAATGGCATTCAAATCGAATCATGTGTTCCTCGATCATGTACATGTTCTCCATCATCTTTAATTTCCTCATCGACAACAACACAGCCATCATTAAATCAATGTGCTACTTGTTCTCCATCGACCGGAGGAAATCCCGTGAGCGCTTCCGGTTCCAGCAATGCCTCAAACAATCAGCAAACTACAAGCAACAATCTTAATAGTCATCACCACCATCAACAACATCAACAGTTCATTAATAAACCACCACGTGGTTGGCTTCATCCTGATCATAAGTTGACAGATACCGATGGTCCGGGTGTTACCTATACCGTCAGGGTAAGTTTTGTTTTTTTTTTATCCACGTGTTCCAACACTGGCTATTACATCGATTATTTAGACATTTTTTTTATTTCTATGTATTCGTTGAGCTTACATCAAGTTTCATCGACGGTCGAAAGTTGATCAAAATTGGCCTACGACCCTTAACTTATGTTAGCAATTTGACGATAGTTATAGTTGAACGTTTCTTTGCTTTTTTGGTATATACACGATTATAATCGAGGCTTCAGCAACACGAATGAACAAACAAGCCTATCATTGAATTCGTTAAAATGATGAGTCCGTGGCCGGAAGAGATTAGACCGGTGTGTGTGAGAGAGAGAGAAACATTTTCGAATGTAGTGGTGGTGATGGAAAACACAAGCAACTGTTGAATTGTAAATTGAATGATCACATTCGATGCATAGAGCGGCACTAATTCTACTGTGGTTGGTGGAGGTCACGCACACTGCCATCATTCAGCCAGCCAGCCAAACCAAACATTCGACTTACATTTCCCTCAAATAGCCGTCGTCGTTGAATAATAATAAGACAAAGCAAAGAAATGACGACGAGGACTACGACGAAACAGTTTCCAACTTTTCCAGCCCCTCCAAACAAAAAAGGTTGGCTCGATTACAGCCTGTCCTGGTCCTATACGATGATGATGATGATGATGACCTGGGGCTAAAAATACTATTCAGTGTGTCTGTGTTGTGAACCCAGAAAACATTGGCTATATCGATGATCTTCATGATGGTCTTCGTTTTTTAGCCTGTCGGTTGGTTGATAGTTTTGCTTGATCGGATGGTGATGGTGATGGTTGACTTGACATAAGTGTTCGCGTTTTTGTTTTTCTTCTGCAAAAACTTGGCTGGTATATAACTTGCAAATGCAACAAGAACACATACACAACATATGGCAGCAGATGTTTTGTTGGCTTCAATTTGCTGCTTTGTCCTTTTTTTGCTTGTTTTGTTCTTGTTCTCTTCATGCATTTATTGGGCAAACAAACAGCAATGTCGATGATAATGGGCGTCCAAGCAATCCCAAAATTTACTAACTTAATCTTTCCATCATGAGTGTATATGCATTGCAGAATTGTTCCTTTGCCTAAAAAGACAAGTCTTCCATATTTGCAATGAAATGTTCGAACCATATATGTCAGCTCTTTGTAAGTTGGCCGGATGTCTAATTCAATTCTACTTCAGTCTATTGGCTAATCTATATTTATATCTCCCTCGGTTACTGAGCAATGTGATCGGTCACCACCACCTGGACCAGCTGTTGTTTGTCATGTCTAGAATGTCATAAGGGTCTTTTTGAAATGAGCACCAGAAAGCATAAACCAGTCGATTATTCTGAGTTTATATTTTATTCAACTCCATCTGTCCAATTGGGTTCGTTTTTCTTCGAATCGAAATGATCGTATTTGATTATACACACATGGTAAGATAGAGCTCAGAGTGATTGGTTGTCTTGCGACTCATGAAGCATAGTTTTTAATGTTTGATAGAAGGCCAACCGGAAGTAAACTTTTTGTTTTTATTACAGCAACAACATGTAGGCATTATATATATATGCGATGATTATTGCGCTTGAACTGAACTTGCTTGTTTTTTTTAACAGTCTTTTCTTTCAATCAATCTTGTTCTCCCATATTTCGTTAATGCCCGTAATTCAATATATCCGACTAAATAACAGCTCATTTGTGTTTGTAAGTTTGTGTTAGTGTATGTGTAGGCGGCTCTCTATAGCAAAGTTGTAAAAATGAAAATTTGGGTTGCTATTTTTACAACCTTCGAGCCAACAAAGCAGTCATCATCCAGAAAAATCTTTACATCAAACATTCTTCTCTCTCACGCTCTTACAATTGATCTTTCAGAGTCATGTGTACCATGTATTTCCGTTATTTACAAATCTTTGGTTTCTTTTTTTTGGCTGGCGATTCTGAACCGAGACACAACCTTGTGGTCATTTGAAAAGATCGAAAATTGTTTTAATGTTTGCTGGTAGTTGTTTTGTACATCTATTGAATGATAATGACTTGGGTCTGTGAATGAATATGAACGATTGTGGAGATATGGTGTGTATTTCACATCATCATCATCATCATTCATTGTTACCGCTAAGTTGTATGGCTATATTCGACTACTATATATATACATAAAGCATACTATTTTCGTGCTGTTGTCCATGCCTCACCCAAGGCATAAGACGGTGGTATCATCTTGAAGGCAATCAACAGCAACAGTTGATCTATTTGGCGGGTTTTCTTGATTTGCGCGCGCGATTCTTACATTAGTTTATTGATTGTTTGAATTGTGTGCATTAATCCTCCAGTCCTACACGTATGCAGTTTACCCATAGACATTTTCGTTGTTAAAATTTGGACCTTGCCCTCTTAATTCTATGATGATCATAATCATTCTTATGGTTACCATTATTCATTCGAGTGTGCAATAGACCCATCTTGTTAATGATGATCTTAATAATGGATTATTAAGGAAGCGATAAATTCTATACACACCAATTGTCTGAGTCTCATCTGGCTCTTTATTTCGGTCACATGAAGACCATTCAATTATTCATTAGTTAAGTAAGTACGCACAAACTAGATGTCAAGGTGAAGATTCATTCATTTTTTTAGACATTCATTGTCGCGTAATCATCGTCTCGTCTCAGTTGGGTAGAAATTTTTTTTTTGATGAGAAAGGAAGTTGTTTTTCTCTTTCAAGTCATTCGCGTTAATCGACAAATAAACACACACACATACACAATGAGCTTCTTTTTTTCTTTTATTTGGTGTGAACGGAAATGGCTTATTACAAGCGACCAAAGTGTCCGTGTATGTGTGTGCATAGGACCTTCATTCTCCATGCTGAAATCAAACAATTACTAAAAGGCTATATTTGAATAAACGTAGTTATAAGTGTAGTTAGTATGCTTGATCTTTTGACCATTTCGGGACTGTTTCTTTTCAAAATGAATTTTCATTATTGTCTGAATGAATTATGATCACAATTGTCGTTTGACTAGCGCTCAATGGATGTTTGTGTTAAAGATGTTTCGGACATCATAGATGAACTATTTATAAAAGAAAAAAATTGGAGCACTAAGGTGCATCCACATGGTAAATAATCGTGTGCTATGCACACGAATGTATGTTACATTACATTACATTGTCCGATCGTAATTTTTTTTTTACTAGGATTCCCCTCTCAGATGTGGTCCATATTATTATACTTGGCTCATTTTCTGTGGGCTGTAAATGTTTTTGTCCTGTTTGTTTGTCTAGCATATTTTTACCATTGATAACAAAAAACAGCAAAAGAGAGGGAAATTGTCCCCGAATGGTGTCTGTCTGTGTGTGTGTGTGTGCAAGATAAAAATCACTCAAAACTTAACTTGGTGTAGGTGTTTGGGCTGTTCGTTATGCTCGACATATGGCATACGTGTGCTCCATACCAACGAACACATTTGACTGAAGAATTTTCAAATTTTTAAACACTAGATTGTAAACTAAATTATACACCTATCTTTTTTCAAATAAATAAGAATGGGACCATCTCTCTTTTGTTACTTTTGTTCTTTTGTCTCTTTTGTTACTCTGAATTCATTCTGATATTCGTCTTGGCCGCTGATTCATAATGATTGTAATCCATTCGTTCGACGACCTCAAAATAATGAAATCGATAATTATTCCTACACGTGTACGCGACACTTGTTGCTGCATGAATTGACTATATATCAGATATAAAATGCTTGTTTGTGATTGTTGAAGAGTTAAAGGATTCATTTGTTAATCCAATAGACCAGATTGTGGCTGAGATGAACTTTATTTATATTAAATATTCACTGTCAAAAATAATTAATCTATCATTCGGGCTTTTATTGCGAATTTTTGAATCAATATACTAAAGCTAAAACCTTTAGTGGTTAAATTGAATAACAAATTAATACAAAATGCGCGAATGAACAATGTATTTAAATTTAGATTTAAATCATCTGATGGCTTCGATATACACTGTTCTCTTATCGGTATCCCTAGCAATTTTCTTCAACAAGCGAGTGAGACAAATAAATAGCTATATAGTATAGTATTTATTTGTAAAACATGACTTGAATCCTTGATAAACCATTTTTTGTAGGGCGTCTTGTAAATACATATTTTTTCTTTTTCTTGCTCTCTCTTATAAGATGGCCTATAGATTTATCAATAAAAAATAAATTGAGCATGACCTGACCAGACTGCTCGGTTCTAGTTCCTATTTTGGTTTATAGAAATTGGTTTTTTGTTTGCATAAATTTGTGGCTGTCAATGTGGTTTGACGGATCACTGGTTTGACGGTTAAAATGTTTGTATATCTAGAGAGGCTAGAAATTTATCTTGATATCAATGAATTATGATGTTTCCAAGCTGTCTAAAATTTAGACTCTAAATGAATAGCTTCATGACAAAAAAAATATTCCTTTTGTTGATTTGTTTGATCTAGTGTGTATTATCCAATTTTTATCTGAAGATGACACACATGTTGTATGAGACCTTTTTTTAGAGCGATCATTAAACGATTGTCGTGGATATGCAGCTACATAACGTAATTCGATATGCTCGGATTTGAATTAGTTGTTGTGATGAAATTTTCACCATTACCAGAAAGCATCATTCAAAAACATCCGATTTTACGAGCTATTCTTACTAAAATACTACTGATTATGATTTTCTAAGTATTGATCAAGTATATTAGATAAAATTTCTCGATGAACAATGATTAGTGATGCTATAGTTCCTCGGATACACATTTGATTGATTGCCAATCATTTGGTTTGATTATAGCAATTATTACTGACATAATGCTCGGCAGTCTTATCATCTCTGATTAATCCAACGGATAATTTGTTTGATTTCTTTTCACCCATCGTTATTATTCACACAATCACACCGGAACTAAGATTATAATCGTTTTTTATCATAATATTAGAGCTGTTTGAATGTTTTTGATCCGCATTTTTTTATTTTATCGATTTTTTTTATACAGTACATTGGATGTTTAGGCGTCAATACATCAATGAAAAGTTTGGATTTTCAAACACGTTCACTGATTGCCAAAGAATCCATAAATCGTGTTTGCGAATCAGCCGGGTTGAAAACGGTGGACAAAAAACGTCGCATTGATAAAAGGATTGTAGGAATGTTGGCCGACGCTCCAAATATGGGTAAGCTGTTGTTCATTGATTGATAAATTGTTACCAATTCTATTTTGCATTCGACCTTCAAATAGAACATGCTGGTGTCGATGCCAATCTATCTATTACGATTTCATATCTCACATTAACGTTAGCCGAAACAGGTGAACCTTTGGCCAAACATGAGATGCCAAACATTTCTTTTGCATCGGGTGGCGATACGGTAAGACGGTTAAATTGATTTTGTTCTCGTGACTACAATCGTATCAAATTTTTTTTATTGTCACATTTCCCCATTCTTTTGGTGCATTTGTCATTATCATTGATTATGTTGAACATAACAGGATACACTTGATTTTGCCGCATATGTTGCCAAAGATACACGATTTGAACGGGCCTGTTTCGTACTTGAATGTGAGGATGGTCGAGCTCAAGAAGTTATCACAACTATTGGTCAAGCATTCGAATTGAGATTCAATGAATTTCTCAAAAGGAATCCATTGTCTACCGAAAGGTTAGTTTTGCATGGCTTGTTATTCGTGTTTTACCCAAAAGTTTAACCATATACGTTCATAGGCTAGAACATGGCCATCTCGGGACGAACAATAATAATAATGGACATAATCATAAAACAGCCATGGCCAACAACAACGACAATTGTCAAATAACTCCTGCACAAAGAATCGAAGATCGTGAATATTATAACGACCTGCCGGGAAAAATTCCTCCTGATATAATGGCAATAAACAACGGTAGTTCTGACCGCATGAATAAAATGATCCCCCCGTTGGCTGCACCTAGGAGCAAAAAATCAGCTATAACCACAACGACTACACCCAATAATCCGCAAGAGGAACAGATCAATCTTATCGATTTGAATGATGATTTAAAACCACCTTTGACAACTACTTCATCAGCTTATAATAGCAACCTATTCTCTAAACAGATTCGGCCCACCGATTCTCAATATGTCAATTGTGGAGCATCCGATACAACAACCACTTCCACTGCTAATAAAGATCCATTCGATATGCGTAAGTGTTTCGTGATAATCATGTATAATTTGACAATAACCTGGACATTTAAACAGAACCTTTCAACAATGCTCTTGCCGTTCATGTATCAGCTACGAGCATGTCTCAATCATCCAACCAAACAGGCAATTCATCAATGAGCCTGCCATCAACATCAGGGTTGCAAAAACTGGATTATGTTTCCAATTGTGATTTAGACAAGGAGGAATGGTTTCATGGATCAATATCTCGTAAAGATAGCGAAGCCTTGGTCATAAGAGATGGTGATTTTTTGGTTCGTGAATCGCAAGCCTCGCCTGGTCAATATGTCCTAACCGGAATGCAAGGTGGTCACCGTAAACACTTATTATTGGTCGACCCTGAAGGGGTGGTAAGTGTGTCATATTTTCTTACATTTTGCACATCATATTACAACTCAATTTGTTTATTCAATTATTCAGGTACGAACGAAAGATAAGACATTCGAAAGCGTTAGCCATTTGATCAATTATCATCGAAATAATGGCCTGCCTATCATTTCTTCCGAAAGCGCTTTGGTTCTCAAGAATCCTATTATCACATCAAAAAAACATTGATTGATTCAAAGTTCTGTTACTACATTAGTTGTGTTAATAGTTTTCACCAATTATGATGAAAAATGATGATTATTATTAAGATTTTAAAATTGTTGTAAATTCGCCCGAGTCATGTTTATTCATCTCATCATCCAAATTTGACCTGTTGATTTCGTTTCATATTTATTCGCATTGAATTGTCAATTTTGTTAATTTTTCGTCCTCCATTTCTTATACTTTCAAGTGCCTTTATCCATGAATGGAATTTCATTTACTTAATGATTGTATTACTCATTAGCCATTAATATAAACAGGTCACAACAATTATTATTCATTATTCTATTTTACATTTTTGAATTAACACCAATTCACATTCAAAAGTAAATGACTCATATTAACAATGTTCACTTGATTTTATTTCATATATCATTGGTTTACACAAGAATATTTGACATTTGTATTTTTTATCATTTGTAAAAACATTTATATTTCCGTAAATTGATGTGTATGTGTGTTCAACATGACTCAAAAAGTAAATTATTTTATTATGTAAAATACGATAATAACGACATTGCTTGATGGATGAGCAGTAGTTGTGATCATAAACAGAATAAGCTTGAATGTGAAAACTGGCTGTTTACGAACGATGTGATAGCAAAGTTTGAGTGATTAATATCATTTGACCATAAAACAAGATAGACTGTGAATTGAAAAAGAAATTAGTCAAATTCATTTGTTTTTTCTTAAATCACTTCTACCTTGAAAAATGCATCATGTGTATATGTCATCAAATACCTATCGAAAGTGATACCCATTTTTCGATCACTGCCAAGTATGGTTGAACCATAAGTTAAAGTTTTAATATGTAGCGAATGATTACGACTAAGTCGTACATTTTGATCATGTAAATGTAAGAATCGTAGATGAGGCCGATGTAACATGGCTGAATAATGGCTATACAGTAATTGTGAGGCAAACATTACGATAATGGTAACCGCATAGAATATATACATCATTATCTTGAGGGGATCATTACTTTTTGTTGCCAATAATTCGACAAAAAGAATCGATGATATAGGCAAAACCATTATACAATAAGCAGAAAAGGCACGTCCCATAACATGATTGTATCTAGCCACTTGTGCAGAACAAGCTTGATGCATCTTAATAAATTGGTACAATGTTCTACTCGGTTCTTCTTTATGAGACAAGAATAATCCACAACTTATCTTCCGACCATGACGTTGCAGCATATGATTTGTATCGCTCAATAAAGAAAAAATCATATGACTAAAAAGGAAGATACTAATTACTACGTTGCAAAAATGAAACACTAAAAAATGAAAGCGGATCATGCAGAATAGTGATCCGAACAGAACAAACAATATTGCCAAAAATAATTTAAATATGGATTTTTCATCTAAATATTCGATTTGATTCAGCCACAAATGAAAGGAAATAGTTAGAAGGGAGAAATCTGTAGAGAATCGAAAGTAATTTGTATGATAAATTATAGCCATTGTAGATATTTTACCTGTAATTATGATAAAAAATTCAATGATAATGTCCAAAAATAACTTAATTGAACCACGTGATTTATTATTGACAATGAATAATTTTAAATGGTGATTCCAGCTACTATTCCCTAGATTCCTAGTCTCATACGGCCTCCATTGTTTTTGCCGAAAGAGTTTTCCATAATATGTCTGATTCAACAGTTGAAAATGATAAAGAGTACCTCGCGAATTTATCAAGTAAAAGAGAAAATCAGAATAAATAGCAACCGCATACAAGCCCATGTAGATAAGATTGACGAATTTAAAATTATTATTCATAAACATGAGGTACGTAATGTCCAACATGAAGATTTGGGTGACCGAATCGAAATCCATTACATAAAAAACGGCATGAAGCAGGAAACAATAGGTATGTATAGCCAATTTCAATCGAAAATGGTTTGTCCATTTACAATACATTTCGTGTTGTCGCTTGAATTGCCATAGATTTTTAATGAATTCTTCGATTAACTCTTGTGAATTCACCAAAGGATTTAGTTTTCTTATTGCAATATTAAAAAATTTTTTCACTCTATCCATATGACAAGGTTTCTGATCATGATTTGCCATTTCGGTCGTTGCTGAAGAAGCCATGTTGTTCACAAATATCTTTACTGACTATTAAAAAATATGATTAAACTAAGCAATGATAATAAACTGAATGAATCCCATGATCATTACAAGTTGTCAATATCTCAAAGTGAATTCTTTATTTCATTTCGAGAATTCCCCACTTTTTCGCCCATGATCGTTAATTATAAAAATTGTTTGTTCAAAAAAAAGTCAGTTTTGTTACAATTTTATTGATCGGTATGGTACTGAAGTAATTTAGTTAGTAGAGAAAAAAATTCTGCAGCATAATTTAGGCGTATTTCTTCGCTTGCTTTAGTAATGGCCATGGTAATTTGACAACAAAGAAATTATTTGTTATGTCGGAAATGATATGAATGAATTACTTTTAAATGAAATATCGATCATGTTGACAAAATATCCATTTAATATTTAACCGATTGAGCGATTTTCAAACGCATTGGCAACATTTTCTTACCCAAATTGATTTATTTATGACGTTCACGGGAAGTGTTTTTATTGATTTGTGTGAGAAAAAAGTGTTCGAAAAAAACTACAATCTTGAATAGCCAGAAAAAAAATACAAATACTGGCGACTTATATTCACGATATAAAACATGGAAAAAATGCATTGTCAAAAAAAAAAATAAAGTCAATCCTCTAAAAAGATTATAATCAACAGATTCTTTTAAAAAAAATATCGCCTTCAAGATGTCATCAGGAAACTAGAAAAATCAGAAAGAAAAAACAATAGTGCAATATCGAACATATCCTCAAGTCATCGTTGTTTTTGTAATAGATTTTAATTAGGTTTTCCAACATCAAAATAGAATATGGCTATAATATCAAGAAAAGATTATAATTATTATCATATATCGTTCCTGTCTATGTTATGCGGTATAACAATCGAACTTTATGGTGATAATAATAATATAATATTAATCTACTCTAATCAATCATTCTGCCATATGGACTTGTCAAACAGACAAAACCAGTTGTTTTTCTATTGTTTAAGAGAAGTTAAATGAAGGATTATCGTAAATATACACACCATATAGCTAAGGTTTGCATATTTATCGAATCGGGAAAACAAACCATCAGATGTGAGAATGGGCAAATTTTCAAGATTTTTGTTTGATGATCGTTTCCGTTATCAGACCTATTTATTCTTGAATCGACCTCAACATTTTTTGGGCATTTTCTATCAACTGTTTATCGCAACCTTGGCGGCACTATGTTTGATCTTGTCGATATGTTGTCCTGACATTTTACTTTTCTGGCTTGATATCTTAATGACGATAACTTTCAGTTTAGAATTTATCATACAGATTTGGGCCTCGTCATGTTTGCCCAAATATCGATCGAGTCAATACAGAGCTATCCGAATCATATTGGATCCCATTTGTTTATTGGATTTATTGATCATTGTCACCACTGTGATTGGTATTGTCACAAATCATGATGATATTACGATGGTATCTTCACTTTTGCGAGGATTTCGTATCCTACAGTTCTTCGAACATAAATATCGATTATGGCGATTGATCGTTAGCGTAATTTGGAATGGAAGATTTCAGCTTTTATTATGTTTTTATTTTGCTCTAATTCTCTTCGTTTTCTTATCGTTTGCAATGTTTCTCATCGAACAAGGTATCAACGAGCAATTCGAGACACTTGGTAGATCAATGTGGTTCACCATTATCACACTTTCCACTGTTGGGTTTGGTGATACGTATCCTAGTAAGTATTGCACGAATTCTAAATAAAACAATAACCGAAAAATTGATATATGTTTGTTATTAAGTCACAACAGCCGGTAAAATCGTTACCGCTCTTGCAGTGATTATAGGCCTTTCCATTTTCAGTTTGCCGGGAGGAATCATTGGTGCCGGTCTTGCTCTAAAAGTGGAAAATGAAGAAACGATTAGAAGTGAACTACAGGAACATAATGCTGCTCATGTTATTCAAAATGCCTGGCGTGTTTATTGGTCTCGAAGACTACTTTGTCAGCCATCAATGCCATTAATTACATCGATCATAATGATGGTAAATGACCAAACATTCAAGCGGAAACCTGCCAACTTACGAGTCATACAGTTTGTTTATCTGTTGAGATTTTCCTTATCTTGTCGTCGATTTAAGAAATCATTGCGAATGTTATCCGCAAAAAATTTTCATGAATTATATAGTCAAAATTGCATGGAACAGATGGAAAAACTTGCAATCTTAGAAATGATTATTCGTGACCAGGAAACCATGTTGCATGAACTTTTATCGCTGTTTCATCAACGAAAACAACAACGTCGTATTAGTGAAAAAAAATCTTTGTTTAAAAAAGTGAAAAATTGTAGTCCTAAAAGTAAGATCAGACGCTTCAATGGTCATGTAAGACGTTTCAAAACTAGTAATTTGAATAAATCAACTCTTAATAATTTCGATGAAATTAAACTGACTGATGAAGATCAAAGTTATCAAGGATAGAATTTCTTCCAAATTAATTTAAGAGAATAAAATTATTTATTATTATGTTTTGACTAAATTGAATATAGCTTCAATTTTTTTTATCATTAAAATTTTAAATCATTCTAACCATCATCGATTGTATCGAATGAAACGATTAATTCGTCCGATTCCAAATATGTTTATAACTGCTCATTTCATTCAGTTCTATTAAATGGTACAAAAACAATTGGTCATTTCTTATGTGCGTTTCTTTCTGTTTTTTCAAGGTATAACGATTATTAAAATTTAAGAATAAATGTCGGCTACCGAACAGATGCGAGCAATGCTCGATCAATTGATGGGCACTTCCCGAGTTGGTCCAGGTACTGTTATTAAATATCTACGTCGTATTATTGACATATTTTATCTATTGTATTTTTTTTTACTTTAAGATGATAAGCAAAGATCGACAAAATATCGTTTCACCGATTCTCAAGTTTGTAAAAGTTTCCTGTTGAATTGTTGTCCACACGAGATTCTTGCCTCAACAGTAAGTATAATCACTTGATAGTCATGATCGTTGACTGAACTTTATTCTGATTAGCGTATGGACATTGGTGAATGTCCCAAAGTTCATGAATTTGCTTTGCGAGCTGATTATAATAAAGCAAGTAAAACACAACATTATGGATATGAATTGAACGTAAGTTTTCCATTTATATTCCTTTTATTTACCTTGAATTAGTTTTGATATGGACAATACTTATTTGACAAAATTGATATTCGATCCATGTTGATCTTCGGCCAACCCAATCACGTATTGTGTACGTATTCTCTTTATTGATGATCTTCAAACCTACAACCTTTCTGTTTCCTATTCATGTTTTTTTTCAAAATGAATATTTTAATTTCAACAAAAAAATTTTCGTTCAGAATCGATACCGGATATATATGATATATATTGATCTGGACATGGGTATTGCGCACCCAAAAATGGAACACATTCACACCAAAATCAATCGAGCGAACAAATGGTCAATCTGTATGTGTATGAAAATTAATCCCAATGATGATAATTTTTTTGATTAGAGTTTAATAGAGAACTAATAATAATGATATAGAATTTGACATGATGATGACCATGAGAATTATATTCGTAAGTTATATCTTGCATTTATTGAGCATGAAATGCAAGCCAAAAGTGATGAGACATCTATAAATATAATCTTGTCTGTTGCTTTTTATTATTTTCTCATTCTTCCATTCAACATGGTTAGTGGTTTTGTTGGAATTAATGTTTTGTTGTTGTTGTTGTTGTTGAAACGAATTGATAACCATCGTGTTTGCTTACGTACGTATTTAATTGAATCATTTCGTTGATGACAATATCTATTAAACTCGTTCCAAACAGTTATGTCTCGGCCGTTATATCGACGAAACAAACCTGTAAGAAAGAAAATTTGTCAAAGAAAGACTGTTTCGGTTCCATTAATGAATCGATTCAAGGCCTGTTTTCTGTTGTGAGTTTATTTAATTTTACTCTTGATTATTGATCTGAACAAATGCATTCGTTTCATCATTTATCACTGCTATAATTGTTCATTATTCCATTTTTTTCTTTTTATATTTGTTGTTTTGAATCATATGATCAATTTTTTATTGTGTTTCATTGACGTGCATCATGCATTGTCAATTTAGGCTTTTGAACATCTTTCTCAATTTGTCGCCGATGCTGATCGTCGAACTGAAGTAGCAAAAAAACGTTTAGCCGAAACTCAAGAAGAACTAAGTGTTGAAGCCTCCGAAAAGGTACTCCCTTGTTTATATTAAAAATTACCAAGATTCATAATTCTACATTTAATCCTGACAGCTCAATCGAGTGCATGAATTGGCTGAAGCTATTGGAAAAAAACTAGCGGCAGCTGAAGCCGCTGGCAGTGAAGGAAATGTGGAAGAATCGCTCCGATTGATGGAGGAAGTAGAAAAAATTAAGAAGGAAAAAAATGCTGCCGAAACAGAATATAAAAGTTCAATACCGACCTCCAGCTATCAGCAACAAAAGCTCCGTGTTTGTGAAGTTTGTTCGGCATACCTGGGCATTCAAGATAATGATCGAAGATTGGCAGATCATTTTGGAGGCAAACTTCATCTGGGTTTTATTACCATGTAAGTATTGAGAAAATTTATATTAAAATAATCATGAAAATTATCCCTCCTCTATTTCAGTCGAGAAAAACTTGAAGAATTGCGTGAATTGGTCGAAACCAATCGAAAGAAAGGCGTCTATAAACAATTAAAAAGAGATGGTAATACAAGCCATGAACGCGGTAGTAGTCGTTATGATTCAGATCGAAGTGGCCGTTCGTCCCGTTATGATAATGATAGGCGCCGCCGAAGCCGCTCTAGATCGAAGGAATATCCTGAACGCGATAGAGATCGAAATGAACGACGGAGTCATCAAAATCGAAATCGATATAGTGATCGTGGTGGCAGCAGCCATAGAGATCGTAGCCATCGTAATGGTCATTATTAAGTTAATACCTGTGCAAATTTATGTTATCAGTTTCTCTTTGACCGTGATCTTAAATTTTAATCATTGAGCTATTCATTTGAATTCATTTAATGACCAATTATCACATCCATTGAAATTTTTGTCTATCTAAATTTCATATTTCATATATTAATGCTTTTTATATATAATGATTATTATTAATAATAAATGTAATTGCATATATTTAGCAATATCTTATAAACACAACTTATAATTACGAGTACTATCAAATAGATGTCGCTTTGAAGAATTTTTAAAATCTTTCAAATTCTAAAGATTTTTCTGAATCACTCAATGAAACTGTGTCATTACTTCTCAAAAAACCCCCCCCGGTTTTTTGTGTGTTATTTTAAAATGATGATTGTCAATAACTAGTTACAGACCAACCATTGTTGCGAGCAATAACGTTCCGTTAGTCAACTATTATGAAGTCTGGTAAGGATAAAATTTTTTTCTCTATTTCATTTAGCTATACCTCAGCCAGCAAACTAGTAAGTAGATTGAAAGATCAGAAGTAATCTGATATTTGCTAAAATGACTTGATGGTTGATGGCGGTTGTGTATGTGTCCATGTGAATAATGGGTGCAGCCGTCTTTTCCTGATTATGATTATGATCATATTGTTGAATACTTTAAAGCTCGATTGAAAGCAGAAAATGATTGTCCAATTAGATATAACCATTATATATTAACCAGATCATTGTCTCCATCGTACGATTCATTTTGATGATTATGGACGCTGTTCACTTGGGATTCATGTATACGAAAATTCAATATGAGAAAAACACCTATTGGGTTACATCATTGCGACATAAACCAAACTTTACTGCTGTTGGTAGAATATGTTCTTTTGTGACATTTTGACATCTCATCGAAAAAAATGCAAAAACATTAGCATGAGGCCATATCAAAATAATGTCTACTTACGGAAAAAAATAGACCACAATTTGCGGACCAAAAAGTTGCACACGCCATATAATCACTGTTCTGGCAGCCAATCGAAGCTATAGAGTGTGTATGTTGCTACAAATGAAAAACTTTACACCATTGGACGATTTGACATTTGACAAAAGTGAAATTGGATCTTTTACATTCTGCGTGGGTCTGTTCTGCCGCTTAACAATCATTGTCTGTCTGTTTGGACATCATTCGAAAAAAATGAAACTCTGCTAACCGTTTTAAATGTTTGTTGCACATAAACAATGAATGACATTTTCTTCTTTAAAATTAATTGGATTATAATCCGTTTCCCTTGATGGTTACATCAGCAGCAGTGTCTCATTCCATGCAATATGCAGATTGAACGAAATGAGATAATCATTTGGTGGATGATTTTCATGACAGTTCTCATTATATTCTATTCACCCACTTTTGCAAGTTGGTCGCCTTGCAAACAATGCCTTGTTGCCAGATTCTGATTTTTTTTTTTATTTTTTGGTTCATTATTATTTAAAGGCGGAATATGTCTCAAAAAAATGAAATCTAATGTCTTGACTTGACCGCCATAGTAACTAAAAAATTTTCCCATCTCTCTTTTTCTTTCACTACATTTGAGATATAACTTTTTATTGGAAAGAAGCTTTTATCGGCTGTGATATATTTTTTATATTTTTTTTTGAATTATTTATTATCGCTGTTGATTCGTTTGAATTATGAATTATTATCATATAACAAAAACAACAATATGAACTATCATTACGATTATAAACATTTGTTTCGGACAATTGTAAAAAAACTAAATTCTGGAACTAAAACTGTCAAAAAGTCATTAAGATGACGTTGTATTCTCAATATGTGGGTATGGAATTTGCATTTACAAAAAAAAATAACAGTAGCAGGTGACAGTTATAGCAATGGTCAAGTGGGAATTCATCATTGTATAAAAAACTTAGTTAACAGTTATGGTTGGAGATTGAGCATCATTGCTGACAAGGCTACGGCAAAGGCTCAATCTTGTCATCATCATTGCTTTCTTGATAAAAATCATATTTTTGGTGATTGTATTAGATATTTGACACACACACACACATATACCAACTGGGAGATGACATCACAATAAATGATGGAAATGAATACAATCATTTCATTTCTATTCGTATCTATGAGTTTAATAGAGTTACATCACATCACGGAAACGGACATGAACAAAAAAAATAATGACATTTCGATTAAAAATATCTTTAATGAGGATCAAGAATGTCACCACAATTGACGATAAAATAGCATACTTTTCAAAGTGAAAGGTGTCAAATGTCAAAACAAATTTTCATTTTTTTTTAAAAACATTCATCATTCTTTCGTATTCGGCCGTTTTCGGGTTATTCGAATCAAATTGTCGAACTAACGTTTGGTAATTTTATTTTCCATCTTTTTTTGGTTGGCCCAGCAGTTACTGATTTCGAATCAAATTTGATTCATAACTATTGTTGTTGACGATTGATGATAATCTAATATAGAAATTGGAAAAATTCTCTTGTGAGCAAAATTCATGGCTTGCAGTCATTCATTGATGAACTACTTTTCTAGGATCCTTTCAGTTAAAAATGGAACTGATTTCATCTAATAGAAAAAAAAGAAACATTTGTCCTCAAGGCGGGCTTTGGAATTCGGTTGACAAATCTGCCTAGTTCTGTTTAGTGTTTTTTCGTGACCCAAGTTCTATGATCAAACGCTGAATGCAAATCATATATTCATTCAACCATTAACAAACGTGTGCGTGGATCTTTCAATTGATTCGATTAGTTTGAATATAGTTTCGATTCGATAAAATGATACCTTCAAGTTGACAATCACATAAAAACCCTCTGGCCTGCAAAATTAAAATAAATTAACATTCCATGGGTTAGAGTTTGTCCATGATTTCATTTCGAATGAATGACTATTGAGTGTAATGTGTCGATTTGTTAATTCTCATTTTGAATCATTGATGACCATTTCTAATCAATTTTATATGTTGATATTACCTGAATAATTAGTTGACGAAAATTATTTGAATAAAAAACATTTGAACTTTTGAGGCCAGCACCTATGACCTATGATCTTCAACAGTTTGGTGTGATATTGACAACTAATATCTCATATTATGGATAGCAATGGCCAAACAGCCACCTTACAAACCAATCACTATATTTCAACATCATATCGTTCATATTCGGTAGGAGCGATGATCCCTTGTGTTGTCATGTTTGTATGATAATAAAATCGATTGCTATGTACGTGCTGTTGTTCTTGTCGTGTAATGCTAACAACATCTGTGAACTTTGACATGAAACCACACATAACCAAGGTCAACAGCTTCTTTCTTTTCTTAGTTTATTTCCATGAACATCTTTTTATGGATTGCTGCTGTTGATTGTCTTTGTTGTAAACCAAGAACGTTTATTTAAGATCTGATCTCAAATATGTTTAACGACGTTACCATATATTGGAATGTGGATAGTTAAGAAATCTAGGAGCCAAAAAAAAACTTTGGATCTTTTCATTTATACTTTATTGGTCTTTGAAAATTGGAAATTTACAATTTGAGATCTTTTGAGATTCTGTTTGTGAATAAGATAATCAGTATTTATCATTTTGTTCAAATATTCTATCGTGAGTGAGAAAGCGGAAAACTTTGTTCAGCTAAATAATAGGAGAAGGCGAATAAACAAAAATTTATGGCACCATGCAATGACATTTAAAGTCTGACAAATTCACGAACAAACGAAACAACAAACCAAACCAAATTGCTAGAATTCATTCATGATGCATAGGATGAGAAAAACGGTAATTCAATGAGAATACCATGTTGGTATATGTATTTATCGTCTAATGAATTGCATAAAGTTATATGACAATCAAACATGTTGTTTTTATAATAAAAATGATGTAACCGTTCTATGAGCACTAAAAGACAATCCAATTATAAGTATATAGGTAGATGTATCTTGATTTAAGAAAAAGAGGACAACATTGCACAACAAATCAAATTACAATTATTATTTGGCGTGTAGTATGGGTGAGTGTGTTTGGATTGGAATAAAATCATTGAAGAGACATGTATGGCCAGGTATAGCTATTACCACTGACTAACATATCTCGAATTAATGTTTCGATGGGAGTTTTGCCTACTAAACGAACGAAAAACAATTGCTCAATCACATGCGAACTAACTGAACGTAACGAAGGTAAACGCAGTAATAATTTTCCAAAACGTATCGGCTGATTGGGATAATTTGTTCGGCAATATTCTTCCAATGCGCATTGAGATTTCTCTTGTATGCTTTCGATGTGGCCACCATCCTGTAATCCACAAGCATCTGTCAATATATAAATATAAAAAAATTCATTAATTACTTGTGATTATTATCAAACAATCAACAATGACGAGACCATTCTAAGCGACAATCGTCCCTATCCTCAACCGATTTGTCTGCACGATCCGTGAACACAAATAGTAAGCAGAAGATACAGTAGCATTAATGTGATTTGATTCAATCAAACAAAGAGCTCTCATCCATTCATACAAATCAAATCAAATCAAATCAAACCAAAAACATATCAGAGTGGCTGACAAGAGTGAACCGTTTTGTTCAAATTTTTTCCGCTGCTGCCGGCTAGCATTGAAACAAAAATTCATCTATTCAAATTGGTGGCTTTTCACGGTTACCATTATACCATTTGGCACAAATTCAATTTGTTTGCATCGTGCACACACAACCATTGTTTGAGTGTGTGTTTCAATTTGCAAACAAAATCATTCTCAGGGCCAGCGAACATTATTCGATTGTGGTTGGCACAAATCATTATAAAAAATGATTCAATCCGACCGAAACAATGTCTTTCGTTATGATACATACAATGTCAATAATCAAAAGCAACAAAAATCAAATGGAAGATTCGTCAAACGGTTTTGAGTAGTATGGTAAATCGTTTCTTATCTTTTTACTGTTGAAAATACACTAATTGCCGAAAAAACATTCATCGATATATGGAAGGAAATTTGATGCTCAATTAAATATTGGATGGAAAATCTCTTTTTCAGAATCAATCTAATTGATAAAGAAATTTTCGTTATTCTGCATGATGATATTTGGGTGATTGAATTTTAGGAAAGTATAATGGCGAAAATAAATTGAATGATGATGATAAAAAAAAAGTTTGCGGCTTGTCATAAAATTCAGATAAGTAATCAGTATTTTTCAACTTTTTTTCATTTGAGAAAGATGTAAAAATCTTGTTTTATTCCAAAGATTAAACTTTGATCTCGAAAAGAGTTCTGGGTTACAACTTTGAGAACAAGAATAGTAAAGAATGATGATGATGATGACAAGGATAAATAAAAGCATATCATTAACATCATTAAGCAAGTAACTACCATCCTAATAATCCCATTGCGGTAAATGTCGAATATTTTCCTCACTGTTGTTGGTTGAGGCTGCCAAATCCATTAACACCAGACATTTTTTTTTGCAATTGTGTTGAATTCAGTTTTTATTCTACCTACTCTCTCACTCATTGAATCTTTTTGGATCATTAAGGGAAAAAGTGGCATATCAAGTAGCCTCTTCATTCACTATACGACTTATAAGAGCAAAAAAGCTTACCATTATCATTATCATCATCATCATTCACCAAAAAAACGAGTCAACTTTTTTTCAGATTTACTGGATCCACAACAAACGACGGCAATCCATGTGGCCATATTATCGATTGCTGTGTGTTAGTGACAGTATGCTTGAGTGTGTGTGTGTGTGTGTGTGTCTATGACAATCGATCATCAAAGTCAGAGAAGCAGCAAAACTCTTTCGTTCTTTGTTTTTGATATTCGTGAACGAAATTTTGAACAAAAAAAAAACTCGGGAACCAAATGACACCAACCAACCATAAACAAACAATGCCATATCGGACCGGATGTGGTCAATCACACTAGTACGTTTGGTTTGCCCTTTGACCCGGTGACACAGTCTTTTTTTAAAAAAAGAGTTGAGTAAATGCACACGTGCAAAACGTGTTTGTTCGCGTTGACCTTTGACTTGGTCATAACAACCATTTTAACTCATCGGTATAGCAACAAAATATCATCTGCATTCAAATATTATTGGTCTGAAATATTTTGCTATAATTATAACTCACCATATATCGATGGAACAAAAAAAAATTATTATAATTCAACATTGAACCTGACCCGACTTTTCATTATCGAAGATAGTTAGATTTTTATTATGAATTGGCTACTCGAATATTTTCCTATTCGTTTTGAATCGGTCCACAATACAATAAAAAAATAAGAAAATGTTTGACCTCCTCAAAACATGTTCTTAACAAAAAGTTCGGTGTGGCCCCAGAGAAAAGGTCATGAACTTACTTGGTGTTTTTGAAACAGAAATAAAAAACAACTAAATCGAGTACAAAATTAATCGGCTTCGTCAATTGTAAGCGCTAGGACAGTCTTAGTCAAGCTAGATTTTGTATGTACAAGACCCAAAGGAGTGTGTGTGACCTTTTTTGCGGTCACACAATAACAACAAGAGAAAATGTTACCGTGTGTTCATTCATAGCAAATGATTTCTTTTTTTTTTCTTTTTATTCATCATCATAAGTTTCAATGACCCCTAACCTTAACTGTAAAGGTATGTGAATGATGATGACGACAAGGGTCAAGTGTTTGTCACACTTGTATATTCGATCACTTTGAAAATGCAAGCTTTATATGGAAAAAATATCTTAGTCATTGCTATAGTCGGGCCACAAAACGAAAGGTAAGGAAAACGTACGGACCAGAGTGGCAAAACACATATAGAAAAAATTTTGCCATTGACTTTAACCTTGTGAGTTTTGTATACAATAATGTAATTATCGACCAAATCAATTTGGGCCATTTCATCGACACGATCGTCTATTCATGAATTGGTCATTATGAATGAAGTACTTTTCATAGATAATTTGAAATGACGATAGAGGTTTCATTGTTTTCATTTCAGTGAAAAGTAAGTTTGAAAGGCCATGTATTGCATCCAAACCTCAAGTATTGCCATCATTTAAATCGAGCAGACACAGGTGATCATCATGATGAGGGACATCATGAACCATGCATTTTATTTTTTGCCTATAGCTGTGTGATCATTGAAATGACCTTGTAGCCTGATTTTCGTCTCAAACAATTTGATATATTTAAACTTGCCAAGCATAAACATACCACCAACAACCCTGAATTGTACCCCTGACTTTTAGGGTCATTTGAAAACTAGAATGAAAAGCGAGAAAAACTTTCGCTTCTCGATGCTTACTTCGGTCATCCTCATCATGATGGCTCATCTTAACATTCTGCCGGCAGAATAGCAATTCACCATGCACACACCCCGCCTGCTTATCTAGAAAATAGACTCACTCACTGACTAGCTATAAGCGATAATCAGCGACGAATATAACATTATAACCTTTGACCTTGGTCAAAAAAAAATGAAGAACAAACATGCCAATGTATTTGGGTGAGTAGGCATCACCCCTCCGCCGCCAAAGAAATTTCGTCGTTATCACGACTATGATGGCCATCAATACATCGACACAAACACACAAATGCCTGACACATGACCGACATTAGACTTTGATCTTTGATCAATGTTGTTGAAATTGTCGATTGCATTGCCATTCCTCCCTCACCACCACCACCACTACCAAGACGATAAACATCATCATCATAGTGATGATAAATCGCCATTTCATGTTTGACTACAATGTATATTATTTCCAAATCAATCTATTTATGGAGGTCAGATGGCAACAAAGGTTAAATTATATAGATGAGAATGGAAACACTTTTTAAAATTGACAAAATCATTTGTTTGTGATAAACATTGAGGAACACTCACCGGTAGTGAACAAAACGATCGCTTTCAGACAGCTATATTCGGCTGCATCCACTTGTAGGGCTTTCAATTTTTCCAAATTATCCTGAAAAATGCGAATGTGATCCATGAAGGCCACTACACGGTCTGCTGCCATTGGACTGAATAAGTTCGAGAATTACATGTTTGAAAATTTATTTCTATGCGTTTGGACACTTACTTGGCATGAAGACCAGCAGCTGCTAATAGATGAGCGGTATGCATCGGCATTGAACATTGACTGGCGTTCAAAATGAATAATTCTGACCAGACCATTCGAAGCAGGGAAACCTGGTCTTGTACTTGAAGATCCGGAAAATGAGGAATTTTCCTCGCCCAATCAACGGCAGAAAATAATATACGGGCAGCCATTTCGCACATGGTCTCGATGCTCAACAGTCCATTGGCCGATGTACTATGAAGCTGTTGCATCGTTTGTGTCAATCTGGCTGTCGATTCAGCTTGCTGCAGTAAGGATACATAACCTTGTAAATTATATTTTCCATTCGAACCATTGACTGCCGTAGCGGCAGAAGTCGAGGCTGTTGCTGCCGATAAGCTGTTTCCACCATCCATGCTTGGTACTTGACCATTTACCGAGTTAAGAGATTGACCGGCTGCATTGTTATTAGTCGACGAAAGCATGCGACTGTTGGTGTTATTGGCAGCTTGTGATTGTTGTTGCGATTGATGATGATGCGATGATTCCATCGATGATCCATTGGCCACTGGACTTAAACCAAGAGCAGCTGCAGCAGCTGCAGCTAAAGCTGCAGGTGAATGAGCCGCTGAAGATCCAGTAAAGGATGAATGAGTTGGAGTTAATGGGACACGACCACGCTGAACCGCTGTCGACGATGATGATGAAGGGGAAGAAGAAAAAAAATGATTAGACCAAGTGTTTGCTGCATATAATGCATGCGCTGCGGCCATTTGTTGTTGCTGATATAGGAAAAGACTAGCTGCTGCCGCTAAAAATTGTTGCTGCTGTTCCGGTGTAGATTGACTTGCAGTTGGAACATTGTTGTTAACAATAGTAGCAGGATATAAGAATGGCATTGGAATTCCCAACAATGTTGGCATGCAATTGATCATTGTATTGCTGTTATTATGAATGGAATGTCGATTTTGTTCTGATTGATTAGAAGCAACTTGTTTAGAATTGCCATTTTGATCATACGATGTCAACGATGACTGGGAAGAACGACTCGATTCCTGATTCGTAGTAACAGATGTTTGATATCCGTAATTAGCCGAACCGCTAGACGCTGGAGATGGAAGAAATAATGGCGGATAGAGAAAAGGCGGCATTAGGCCAGTGAGGGATGAATGATTTTCGCTTATAACTGGCGTGATTGCTGTTGGAGATCCACCATACATATTCAATGAGTTTTCCGTTTCAGATGTTATAGTTGTAATTGATCGATTTGGATCATAGACTACCAAAGCATTAGAATGTGTTGCATGATCCTTGGATGCCCGCCGTTTTGTATTGCTCATTTTCGCCATCGAACTTGTAGTTTGTTTTCCTTCCGGAATTCGTGACATGATCGAAGATGACTGGCCCTTATCAATGTTTATCATTTCAGAATATTGTTCTTCGCAAGTAGAGCTGTTCAGAGGACTAGATCGACTTTGACTAGATGAAAAATGACCATCAATCGAAGGTGAAGGTGATTCATCCACTTTGACCACAACCATCATCTCATCGTCAGCATTATCATGATTCGTAATTCGAGCTAAATTCTGATCACGATCATTTGATGAATTCTGATTCTGTGCCATAGTGATGGTGGATGACGCAGATCGACAACGATCACGAGCCTTTATAAATGGCTCATCACTAAGAAGAATTTCGATTGACATTTTTATGACTAGAGATAAATGATTGACCAGACTAGAATAAACCAAATTCAGCCAGGATATCTGACGCGGGCAATGATCGACGCTAAACTAAAGTGACGCTTGGTTGTTGGATCTAATTTTAGCAGCAACATTCAATCTCTCTTTATCCTCTTTCCCTCACTATATATATGTTGTGAACGTGTTCCAATTGGAACCGTGGCCAGTCCTCTTTTTTGTATTCTATCTATCATACGCTTGCGCCTGGATAACAATTATAGCGGATTCAAATATGGGCGGACCGTGTACCAATTGAACCAAGTTGATGTTTGTGTGTGTGTGGCCACATGTAAACTTACAATGTTATTCAACTTGATGAAATGTAACACGCATATCTAGAGTATATCTTTGATCTTTTTTTTAAGCTAACACCAGAATCTCGATATATTTGAGTATGTGTATAAAATGGATACAAACTCACCTTCGCGACGCATACCCATCTTTAGGCACTTTCGTAGGCGGCAATATTGGCACTGATTCCTATGATGTTGATCCACCGGACAATTACGACTACCACGACATGAATATGTTAGGTTACGGCGTACTGAACGTTTGAAAAATGATTTACATCCTTCACATGTGAATTGACCATAATGTTTTCCTGAGCTCTTATCCCCGCAAACCACACACTCTACCGATATCTGATTATTGGTGGTACTACTAGCCGTAACTGTTGTCACACAGTTAGCTGACCCTTGCGGCTGTTGGACACTATTACCACCATTCATGGTGGCCATATTGCGTTGAGATTGATGTAGATTAACCCGGTTAGTATTGGATAATTTGCTTGTACTGCATGTAGGCGTTGATGGTGATGCTTGACTACTTGTTGTACTCGATGCACGACTTGAACTGGATCGAGATCCTAATGGAACGGATCCTCCCAAACTTAACGGCAACCCTAAATTCGTATGTGCTACACTAGTAGTCGTTAGACTTCCGGGTGAGCCATGTAGACCAGAACTAGCTGTAGATGATGTACCGGAAATTAAGGATTGATGATGTGGATGATGATGATGATGATGATGACCAGTTACAGCCGTGGAACCCATCTGTGATATGTTAGAAGTGGGAAGAAGTTGAGTAAAATTGGCATATTGGCTGTATGCGTTAGTGGTCGTTCCATTTGTCATAATAGATGGTGGATGTTGAGAGGATACTGTGTTGGTCATCGCCAATTGGCCATTAGTTGTTTGATGAGACCCGACTGGCTGAGAAGACTGTTGAAAGCCATTGGCTGTAGCATAAGCTACATGACTTTGCATCGATCCATTAGTGGAAACTGTTCCATTGGGAGGAGGGGCAATGGCAGACATTAGCAAACCCCCATCAAAGGCTTGACTTGGTATGGAGGATGGAGATGAATACATTATCTGATGCGGATGATGGGGGTGCTGGTTATGACTTTGATGGTTTAGATGAGTTGTATTTCCACTTCCGCTGTGTGAATGAGATACGTAATGAGTTTGATGGCGGTGATGATGATTTTGACCAGTAGAATGAGTACCAGGATAATGTAAGGAGATGTCTTGAATATTTTGACTGCTACTGGGACTTGTTACAATAGGACTGATCGATGAGTTGGATGGTGATAATGATGAATGATGATGAAAAGTTCCAAAAAAAGGTGCTAAGGCGGCTGCAGCAGCAACGGCAGCAGCTTGTGCTGCCGGTGCATTATTATTGCTGTTGCTGTTAAGTTGTTCCTGTTGAAGATCTAATATTGAAGATTTAGTGCTCACTACAGCTTGTTGCTGTGTTTTTGAACCGTTATCTGCAGTCGTTGATACTTCACCACTGGTGATCGTGGTGGCCACACCAACAGTCGTAGATTTGCGTTTATCAGAATTTATCAATTGACAATCCGTTTTGACTAACGATGATGGATTGCCGGGCTCGTTTCCGGTAAAGGTAACAGCGCTCTTTGAAAAACTTGACTCAATGTCACTGGACGACGATGAAGATGATGTAGATGTCAAGTCAGTGCTTCTCGATGACACGGAAGGTGTTGGAGGATGCCAAGGTTGTGGCTGCTTACTCACTGCCAAAGCCATCAGATGAGAATAACACTTTGACACACACACACATACACATTTAGAGAAGACGGATTAGATTCATCATAATGTCAAGCATTCACCTATCTTTCAATCAATAATTCAAATTTACAAACACTCACAATCACAAATTGTAACGACAAACAGCAGCAAAAAATAGCAAGATACAATGGTACGATCATAACGACCAACAGGTCATAGGTCAACTAGAAAGGCAATACTATAGTTATCATCATCATTCATGATTCAGTGCTAGCTGGTCGTCATTGGCGTCGAATAGCATAGCAAGAGTCAGTGTTGTCATGTGCACAAATGGATATTTTGTCAGTGGATCAAGTGTCATACACAGAATGCAAACCGAAAATCTCATGATATTGGTGAACAGCAGCATCAAAATCAAAAGCCTGGTTTGTTCTGTTGTTTCGGGTACCGATAAGTTGACTGACGCCCGACACCAATAAATGTTCAGCACGAACGAACGATGCTCTTGCTCTGGTCTGTTTTCGCGATTGACTTATTTGGCCTACGAGCGTGTGTGTGTGTTTGTGTGTGGTTGTTCATTGGGATCAAACAAACGGTGATGATCTTTTTTTTCGGAGACGATATCGACCATGGTCGATTTGTGTGTGTCGAGACCTTGTGAATTCAGTACATTAATGTGTATTTATGTGGTGGTAGCAATAAATGTGCGCAACCCTCCTCATCAATGTATCGTATGAGATCGTTCATGTCTCTAAAGAATGATGTCGTGATGATGGTGGTGGTGGTGGTGGTAAAGCGATTGCTCTTGTTTCAAACGTTAGGCCACACCTCTTTTATTTAATGCGGTATATTGGGCCAATAATTTTTATATACAAAATTTCACGATTTTGGCCAGCCCAAAACTGTGCTGATAGTGTGCTATCCATTCGGGTGAATGATGGCTGGAATTCAATGTGATGATCGTCATTATCATGAATATGAAGTATTATATGTCATTAAAAAAATGGCCATTATTATAACCATTAGATACAAAGTCCATCGCGCCCATATTTACAGTAAAAGAAATCGCCTAGTCTGACTGTTTGACCTTATCACAGTTGAAAGTAAGTAACCTTCCTAGGACAGCCTTAAAGCGGCAATTTTTCCAATTTTAACTTTGATTGTACTAAAAAAGACCCCTTAAATAAATTCTTTGATCAAATTATACTCACACCCACACACATGGAACAAATTGAAATAGATAAAAATTAAACAATTTTTAGCATAGTATTCGTACCTTGCCTTACTGATGATGATGATGATGATGGTCCAGTTAATCGACCTTTTTGATTCATGAATCTTCTTTTCATCTACAGGGAAAAACCAAACGCTTTAGAAATCGATAAAAAAAAAATAAAAGATAACAGATGTAGATTTTGATTTCATCATGACCAACAATATAAAGTAAAGAAAATGACATGAAGCTATGGTTCACCAGAATCTTAACCTTAAGAATAATATCATAGACCAGGGTCCATATTATCTGCATGTGGGAAAACACATAGGAATTGAAAAAGGGGTATCAAATATCGAAACAAAATTAACATTGGATCATATCAAATTACCAGACCAAACTCTGATGGACATAAATCGAAAATTTCTTTGGTCAAAAAAAAACTTGTGAGTTTGTCTATGAGTTTTTCTTGTTCAAAACATTTGGTAACTTCATTTGTAATTCAATATGATTTTGGGATGGCCCCAATTTCTAATGTAACTGGGAAAGGAGAGGATTATCTTCAAGGGAATTATTTCCATACCGCAATCAATCACCACAAGTCATCGTGATATCAATTTCAATTTTGAATCAACTTTTCTGGGTCGGTTTTGTTTTGATGACCACACGCTGCTGCTGCTGTTGGATCAATGAACTAATGAACTATAGATGAATGGATGGTAGAGATAAGATAGCACCAGATTTATATCCGAGATCTCTCTCTCTCTCTCTCTCTCTCTCTCTGTGTGTGTGTGTGTGTGTGGCGTGTATGCACTATGTGGCTTTGACGTACGTACCGTTTCGGACACGTGTTAATAAAGTTTTTTTTTTTGGTTATAGATAAACCGTTAAAAAATATAACGGTGACGACACGTGTTTGTTACCGATTATTATTGTAATGATAGTAATGATGATGATGTGATGGTGGTCGTCTTCTTGATGGTGTAATCCTCACGAAGCTATTTGATTAATAAAAAACAATTGTGACAAATGGTCAAAGCGTGCATTCTCGGATCCCTAGGTTTATACTATTCATATTATATATATGAATTTTCATGAAAATTGTGAGAAAGTCAACATTATAACTACCACAATGTTTTAATAAAATAAAGAGAAGAAATTATTCAAAATTCAACAAAAAAAACTTATTGTACATTGTAGATCCCATTCTACAAAAAGGTTAATAGGGCCCAAAACTCCATAGCGAGTCAAAAACATCGATCTTGAAGTTTGTTTTGTCTATTAGGCTACCTGTATTCGAATTGTAGAGGACTGTTTGGATTATTGACAACAAAGTCAACCCGGTGATAAATTGATGAATCAGATCATCATTTATAACAAACGTCTGATAATGGCCTATAGCCGTCGTTAGAATTTAACACTTTTGTTTGATCTTTTCAATTTCATTTTGTTAGTGGTTGATTAGCAACTACTAGCATATAATCATATGGAATGAATTCATGAATGACAATTGATCAATCGATCAATTTAAATCACGCTTGGTTTCAGACACTTCCGTTTGGTTCAATCATATTTTTGTTTAGATCATATGCTTATGATCTAGCTGATTGAGCAGGTCCCAACCATTTTTTTTGACCAGGATCCATTTCTTCAATATGGAAATTCATCCAAATCTTTTTCGTGGTCCACGTTGGAAATCTCTGAGCTAGTGCTAGTATATCAAATGAGAACAAAAGGGAATGCTGATAATTTGTACGGTACAGCCTGATCACATTCATTTACTATAAACTCTTTCCATTTTATTAATTGAATGTCCAATTGGGGAAAAAATAAGGTCAAATGGGTTGTAACTTATGCATTGATAGACATTGAACATGTTAATGGTCATCGTCAGTGTATGGAAAAATGATTTTTTGTGCTGTTTTTTCAATACATTTATCCATTCATTCAAATGTGACATTTTAGTTGACCTTCTTTTTTGGTCGCAATATGAAAGAGGTCAAATATATTCGCCGCTGACGTTTTTCCCTCTCTATTCGCATTTAGTTTTTCGACTGGACAAACTTTGTTAAAAAAATTCTATTCCCAGAAATAATTAATTCTTCTCTGAGTTTTTTTTGGGAATCATGGCTCTAATCAATAATTGCTGAAGATGTGTCAGATTTGGTAAACACACTTTATTCAATCGCTAACGGATAACGACTTAACGAAAATGAAAAACCACAATCTGGATAGGCCAGAGCAACATGTATTTGACAAGACTTACATTACAGACTATCAGATAGCATTAATTTATAATCCTCGACACTGGAGTCAGGCCCGTACGAATAATTTTTCTGGAACCCTCTTATCGGTACCAAAACAGAACATTACTGAGACACAAAAAAACCTGACGAAAATGAATGTGAGCCATAGATTTTGTTTGTAAACACATACATTCACATGAATGGTATCATTATTCTAATAGGATTAAAATTAGCATCAATAATAGCAATGAAATAACCAAAACTAAATAAACACAAACACCCTGGGCATAGCATTAATCCGGAATAATACTGATGATGATGATAATCATAACTGTACCAGTTGGTACTGGTTCAAGATTCTTATCTTGAAAAAAACCACAATTTTCAAAACCGAGAATATCACAAGAAGTATATTCATTGAATGTAGAAACATAGAATCATTTTTCTCCATACAGAATGACATTTCGGTTATCTGAGTTAACCCTAAAATTCAAGCAGAATTTTTTTCTTTGAAGTTAGTGTTTGAGTTGACGGCTATCATTAAAATGATTAATTATTCGTGATGAAAAGTAAATTTTTCTTTAATTAGAACTCAAATCATATAGAAAGCACTTTTAATTCAGTGGTGGTAACAAACGAATTGCAATGGTTCTTGTTGAATAATCAATTAATAAAATTAACGAGAGAATTCAAGCTGCTGCTGCTGTTTAAGGCATCCTGAACAAATTTGTAAAATTGACTGAATTCACTTATTCTGTAGACAGCAGACGGTCAAACATCTATCAAGATTAATGTTCACAGCTTCTGGGCGCCATTCTAATTTCCTATTTTTTAGACCGTTGTCAGACAAGCAAAAGGCAAACTAATCAAATGATCCTTTTGATTCATCCATAGTTGCCCAAAAAGAGAATTGAAAGTGAATCCAAAAACGGAAATATGTCAACCATTGTGTGATGGTCACTTGTCGCATCAGTTCTTTTTGTTTTGAAAAATCTATAGCTCATCTATCAAATCAATTTTTCAGAGTTTGGTCATGCAAACCTTCTGGACGGAAATCCCCGAAATCCAACAATCACAATAATCTAGCAAAACAATTGTCAAATACATGATCTCACTGGATATATTTATGGAAATCCGGTTTTAATTTATTTTTTGTCAAATAATGCAAAAAAATAACAACGATCAATGACCAGTGAAGTATAATGATATGAGCGCAATAACACAATGAAAACAATTCGAGTAATATTTTATTACTCTCACCCTCTCTATCGTAGGCAAGAAGAAGGCAATTATTATCTATCTGGATTCAATATTGGGACGAATAGTAAATCTTGAAATCATATTCACTATCATAATATCGTATGTGAGATGTGTGAATTTAAACATAAATTCAAACACAGAGGATTCAGAAATATAATAATTCAATATTTATATCTACAATGGGGATGCATTAAAAAAGAATGAGAATGATGCATGGTTTATGATGGCCGTCTAGAATGATGATCCACATTATCACCAATGAATGAATGAATGAATGAATGATAATCAAGTTAATGTTGCATCAATATATATTTTGTCCTTTTATAGTTTGCTCATTAGACCAAAATTTTCTATCGATGGCTGGACAAAGCCTATTGAGAGTAAAAGAGAGAGAAAAAAAATAGTTGTTTGTACAAATGCGATACTCTCATTGATGGATACGTGATCATGTGATTAGTCACGTGCTTACTATGTTCGATTCAATATTTATAACAATCATGATGGACATAACGATTGTTTTTTATTATACAAAAAAAGTTGGTCGTTTTTCGTTTTTTTCCATTGACGATATAGCATTCGTAGAACAATGAACAATTTTCTTGAATGCTAAAAAAATAAACCAAAGATCCAAGAGATCAACAATAACAACAAAAATAATGATAATAATAATAATGATGATAAAAGAAATGAAACTCAAAACATGCTATACAGATTAATAATGACCATGTTTGTTGTACCTGAAGGTCTGATGGGTCAATGAAGAACTTTCCATAACGGAATATTATATATATGGTTGGCAGAATCTCAAAAAAGTGATTACAGTCGAATATAAGAACGCTTTGAATTGTTTTCATTTTGATAAAAATATTTTTCAAAATTAGATCAGAATATTTAATGAAAAGAAATGAGTGTACAATATTTCTAATTACTACAACAATCATCATCATTAAATACATTGATGATGATGTCGACAATGACGATGGCAATCGAATGTGAACCAAACACTTCAAATTGTTGTTTTGTGATCCAATTAATTGCATATCTTTGTCATCATCATAAACGCGGTTGAATGGAAATGGTATGTTCTTATTGTGGGTGTATGTATGCATGGTATACAATTTGTACCAACCATTTCTTATTGTCATAACCAAATTCGGGTTATGAGTTCCCGTAATAAGCGAATAAACGATGAACAAAAGCGGAATCTATGTAGGGGCCACGATCCATTATCTCAATTTAACTTTTTGATTCAGAACAACATCTTTCTTTTTCCCTCAAATCAAGAACATCAGGAAATCAGTCGAATGATGATGATGATGATCATCATCATCATCATTTAGTTCCACAATTTAATCGAATGGTTGCTAGTGACAAAAGGACTGAATTTGCCTTTCCCATTCAGTGGTTTGTTTGATTCCATTTGGATTCATTCATCCATTACCATGTTTGTATGTGTGTGGGTGAAGAAATGTATTTA